TCAAACCATTATCCGAATTATGGAACAAATTCGAAGGAACTACGTTTATAATTGCTTATCTTACAATTCAAGGTCAATCATCTCGTGTTGAAGCCTTGAGACCATCCCTTCAATTTTGGGCCAATATTGAGAGAATAGTTTTTCCAATTTCATGGTCTTATGATAATATTAAAAGAGAAATTACTCTTATTTGGTCCTTGATTGATAGAAAAGCTTTGAAACGTGACCCAATTTTCTATCATCATATATAAAAGATCATTACTAAGCTTAGAAATGGTAACATCAAATTATCTCAGTGGTCACAAAACAGATTTATGGAAAAGCCGACAAGAATTTAAACCTTCAAATTTACATCATTAATAGATCATAAAAATACAATCAATCTTCACTAAGTAATATCTTTAATAACCCAAATAAGTCAACTCGAATTCCAAACCAAACCTTTTGAGGTGTTCATTTATTTTTTTTGCCAATGAAATATTGTCTAGCTCTCTAATTTCAATCGTTGCCTTCCCCATCGCTAACTACTTGACAATTTAAAAAGGTTCACACACCTGGGCCCACCAAACAAACCATGGAGATTCCAAAAATCAAGTCATTTTTGAAAAATTCATTTAAATTACAGATTTATTTTTACAGAGCTCGATAGTTGACTATACAAAGTGCCAATTTAGAAACACTTTCTGTGAACGATACCTGGACCGGCATCCTCATATTCTTCCTTTGTGATCCACATCTGCTGAAAGGTCGAAAGGCTCGCTAAGATGGAACCACCAATCCAGACAGAGTACTTTCTTTCTGGTGGAGCAACAACCTTAATCTTCATTGAGGCAGGAGCCATAGCAGTCAATTCCTTGGTCATTCTTTCAGCAATACCTTCGAACATAGTAGTACCACCAGACAAGACAACGTTACCATACAAGTCCTTTCTGATATCAATATCACATTTACCAATGGAGTTGAAAGTAGTTTCATGAACACCAGCAGCTTCCATACCAATGAAATTAGGTTGGAACAAGACTTCTGGACATCTGAATCTTTCATTACCAACAGTAATGACATTACCATCTGGCAATTCGTATGACTTTTCAACAGAGGATGATTCAGCAGCAACCTTCATTTCAGCTTCAAAGTCCAAAGCAATATAACAGAGCTTTTCCTTAATATCTCTGACAATTTCTCTTTCAGCAGTAGTATTGAATGAGTAACCTCTTTCCATCAAAATCTTCATCAAATAATCAGTCAAGTCACGACCAGCCAAATCCAATCTCAAAATGGCGTGTGGCAAAGCATAACCTTCATAAATTGGAACAGTGTGAGAGACACCATCACCAGAGTCCAAAACAATACCAGTAGTTCTACCAGAAGCATACAAGGACAAGACAGCTTGAATAGCAACATACATTGCTGGAACTGAGAAGGTTTCAAACATGATTTGAGTCATCTTTTCTCTGTTGGCCTTTGGATTCAAAGGAGCTTCAGTCAACAAGACTGGGTGTTCTTCTGGAGCAACTCTCAATTCATTGTAGAAAGTGTGATGCCAAATCTTTTCCATATCATCCCAATTGGTAACAATACCATGTTCAATTGGATACTTCAAAGTTAAGATACCTCTCTTTGATTGAGCTTCATCACCAACATAGGCATCCTTGTTACCCATACCAACCATGATTGATTTTTGCTTTGGTCTACCAATAATTGAAGGGAAGACAGCTCTTGGAGCATCATCACCAGCAAAACCAGCTTTACACATACCAGAACCGTTATCGACAACGAGGGCTTGAACGTCTTCACAGAAGGACATGTTGAATTATTTTTTTTTTGTTTGTGAATTTTGTCAAGTTGATCGGGATGTGATGGTTAAATAATAATTGTGATGACAGGTTCAATGATTTGTTCAAGTAGGTTGATGGGTGAATGACTTGTTTGCAAAATGTGTGTCACTTCAAAAACGTTTATTGAGGTTAATTCAATTGTATGAAAATCATAAAATGAATATTGATCCATGTTGACATTTTGAAATGCACTTTGTTGTTGGAATGATGAACAGTCTTAGTACTTGGATTTATTTTATAATAGTTCCTTGTTAGTATCTGAAACCAATAGAATTTGAGAGCTCTTTAAAAAGTCGCCTGCCTTTCTAACTTTCGAACATTGGCGTCCCAAACAGACAGCCAAAACAATGACAACAATGGTAAGGATAATGGTCAGAAAAATGAATAAAACGGAGAGAGTTTTCAGGGCAATGACTTCTGGAGTATTGATCTGATCTGGTTCTGGAAGTTCTGGTAGAAGAATCGAATCAGGAATGACACCATTTTGAATAAAGTTTGAAACCAAAGCATAAACTCTAGCTGGTTGATCGAGTGGAGCAATATGACCTGCTCCTCTAACTGTTGCATATGTCAATCCATTACTGTAAACTGTCTTTCTACCAGCAACTTGATAATCAACAGACCAAGTTGTGAGATTTGCTTGAACAGTCAATCCATTTGCCTTAGCAAAAACATCATAGAATCCCACGACAGGAGTAGATCCATCCATATCTCCAGTATAAATCAAAGTTTTGAAATTCTTCCTATCGAGAAGATATTGAAGTGCTGGAAGACCATTTACAAATTCGTCCTTTCCATATTCGAAACCATTTCTTGGATAGCAAGCATCCCAATCCACCTTACTTCTCAGCTTGAAGAAGGATTGAACAGATTCCAAATTCATATACTTCTTCAAATGTTCTCCATAACAAGCAAGGCTATTCAAATTATTATTGTTACATGTATCCTTAAACAAGTTAAAAATATTAATTCCAGAATGAGCTTGAGTATAGATAGTCATACATTTGTCAGTGCATTCTTGATTGCCAGAGTGAGTAACCAACCAATTATCTGGATCGTTCCATCCACAAATTGAAGCAGCTTCTACAAGTAATTCTTTCGAAATCATTCCCACAGAGGCATAGTAATTGGATGATGAGATAAATGATTGTTGCCAATGAATTAAGGGATTACCAAGTGTGATTCCTTTCAAGTTAATGACGAATTCACCCTTTAGATTTTCTTCCAAGATGAGTTTTGCCAAAGCTGGAACATATTTTCCACCATAGCTAGCTCCAGAAATGTAAACCTCATTATTTCTGAACTTGGAATAATGGTTTAGGAATTCAATGAGGAAAGATCTTGTTTCTGCTGCTGTTTGTGCATCAGAATTCACTTTATAAACACTGGTGTCATTTGCGTAACTGTAACCAACACCAGCTGGAGCATCCAAATAAATAACATTTGCAAACCTATTCCATGAATAGTAGTTATCTTCCATTGCGAGCTTTCCATCAGTTGAAACATTGACATTTCCAATGCCACTTCCAAAATATTCCATTGATGAACAACCTGGACCTCCATTCAAGAACAAGATCAGTGGTCGTTCAATTGGATTAGTTGCAGCTTGTTGGAAATAGTACCAATAATGTTTTTGATAAGTGGAGTTGACCAGGATGTAACCGCTTGAATGTTGATAAGTGTAATCATTAGAGTCGTGATTAGGTAATGGATCTCTATGATGACTTGTGTGTTCTGTGGCTCCCATAGTAAAACTGGTGAGGCAACCAATGATGATGAGAACAGCAAAGATGCCAGCATACAAACTGTGCCTAACTTGTTTGTTGTTGAAGCACATTTTATGTGGAGAGTGTGAAAGCCTGGTTTGCGTGTTGGTTTTTTTTAAGATGTAAATTAAGCGCTTCCACAAGGATTACCAGCAAGGGCGCACTTACTAATGTTATTTTTTGAAAAGAAATTACATTACCTTAATAAATTTGTGAGCAATAATATAACATGGAATACCGGATAAGCATAATTTGAAAGGACTTAATGGAAATCGAAATAAATTTTAGCATTTTGTACAACACAACGTTTTCCGCAGTTACACAGTGGAATGTTGATAGTGGGGTGTAACGAAGCTGAAATTTATTCAGATTCGACTGGATTAACAATAGACAATTTAGCTCCATAATTAACATTTCCGATAATGTAATAATTTTGGGAAGGAGAATCTTCATGTGCTTCCTCAAATTGTAAAGGCCATTCAGAATTGTTAGATGGCACAAGATTAGCAGCAATTACCTCACTGATCAGATGGAAATGCTTTCCACTCAAATCTTGCAATACTCTACTCACTTTTTTATCCTCCAAATTAACTTGAAGGGCATGGCCAATTGGTTTTCTAATGAAAGAGAGTATTGGTTCCATTATAGCTTTGATTTTGGAAAGTTGCTTGGCAGCGATTGGATTTTTATGGAGGAAATCCAAGAATGGGATACGAGGTCCTGAACATCCAATCCAAACGTGTGGTTTTTCATTCTTGGTAATGAAAGAGAAATTATCTGGAATGCATGACAAGTTATCCATGTGAACAGTTACTTTACGTGTGGTGAGTTCATATCTAGTAATTCTATATCTAGTCAATTCAGCGAAATAAAGTGAATTCTTGTAGAAGACCATACCATTAGGGAAGTGCAATTCATTGATCAAAGTTTCAGTAGCTCCATTTCTCATGTCATATCTGAATAGAGCTCCATTGCCACCACCATCCAAAACTTCGAGTATATGTTCATTTCTTCCAAACTTTGAAGAAGTCATGGTAATATAAATGTATGGCTCTTGAATAACGAGAGTATTAGCGAATGGAATATTGGCCAATCTGTCAACTTGAAGATCACTAGCCAAAGAACCACCTTTAGTTTCAATATCTTCTGAATTCTTTGAATAAACCTTTACGAGTCCAAAAACAGCATCGGCAACATATAGAGCTCCTCTTCCATCAAATTTGAGTTGGAGTGGACGACCACATTTGTTTTCGCTTTCTTTCTTTCCAATTCGACATTCCTCTAGAGTTATTGGCTCCTTACCTAAAACCCTCATTGATATGACAATTTCTGGTGTTCCAAAATCAAACTCTGTGGAGCCACTAGTTGATTTTCTGGCCAAAACTTTCACTCTGCTAATAGTACCATCCGACAGACCGCTGTACAAATATCCATTTCGAATCAAGGTAGATTCAGGTGAAGAGTAAAAACCTTTCGAATATAGTGGATCCAAATTTAGAGAATGTTGAATGTTATAGATTGGAGCAGACAACTTGTCAAAAGGAACAGATTTTGGTACATCCCATTGCGGAGTATCAACACTTGGTGGTGTATAAAACAAAAATCCAATTAGAATTGATAAGAAGAAGCACAAGTACATCAAAAATGTCAAACAGGCACTGGTTGGCTTGGTTCTTCTGGCTCTCTTTTGTGTACTCCTCCAATGATTTTCTGGAATTTCCTCTTTCTGGCCAATTTTGTGAGTCAATTTTCCAAAAGGTTCCATAGAAAGAGTGACACTGTCACCCTCCTTGAGTGATATGTCGTTTTCAATACCAGCAAGATTTGGCAATGTACCAGATCCAACCAACTCACCTGGATAGATTGTCTCCGATGAAGAAATATAAGCAATAGTTTCTCCAAATGTATAATATGGAGCCTCTCCGTATTGCTTATCAACTCCATTATTGATGAGAGTGACTCTATCACTTTGAGCAACTTTCTTACCATTAATCAACACCTGTCCTTGAACACCATTCTTCCATTCATCTCTCAATTCATCAGGTGTAACTACAACAGTGCCCAACCCTGTACCAAATGATTTACATTTGTATGGTCCAAATCTGTCCTTGGTCTGTGGATTTTAATTCAAACAATGTACTTAAAAACCAATAGAAACTTACCATTTCTCTAAATTGATTACTACGATCTGAAAAATCATTCAATAAGACAAATCCACCAATTGCATTTTCAGCTTCTTCAGCACTGGCATTTCTAATTTGTTTAATAAGATATGCTCCAACTTCCAATTCATAGTCCAAATTCTTACAAAAATGTGGATATGGAATCTCAGCCCCATTTCCATACATTGTCAATGGATTTCCAATATAGAAAATTGGATGATCAAAGAATGATTTTGAAGGATTGAAAACTGGGAATGTAATCCTTGGAAAGATATTCTCAAATGGGAAAATTACAGAATAATAAGCAAGTGGAAGTGTCATCTTTGCCAATCCTCTTGCTGCTCTAATATTATGTGAAAGCCACAATGAAGCGTCCCTGAAGGATTTTGGTTTGAAAGGTAATAAATCTTGATATGGACAGTCAGAGGCAACATCTGTTGATGTTTTTGCATCACTGAATTCGGTTCCATCAATAAACATATCTCTATGTTTGTTCTTTCTCAACAAATCCTTCAATTCAATGGTCAACTCAGGACAATGAAGAAGGAATGCCTTGATCTGATCACCATGTTCCTTGTAGAACTTCAAAAATTCACACATATCAGAACCAATACGTGAATTCTTCTCCATAGAAGATTTGATCAATTCTAAATGATCTTTATGATGTCCCATACACCCTATATTAATCACAAAAATTCACAATTCATACACATTAACATCCATGTATCAATATTCAAATTACCCATAATAAATTAATTAACTAAACACTTGGAAAAACTCACCCGATGATAGAATTTTAGAAGGTGATGGAGGTTCATCCATACTCTGTGAATCATTCCAAAATATTGACATGGTAGATAAGTGATTAATCAAATCTGTCAAGACAATCCATCTCTCTGTTGTTTCATGATAAAAACAAATAAATAATTCCTGATGATGATCTGCCGATGAAGAGTAGGAGCCAACAATTGTATTAGCACCAACACTGGATGATGATGATGCAGAAGAAATAGTTGTGGTAGATAATTTAATTGATCCGGATGATGAATATTTTCGCAATGTTGGTGAGGATCCACTAGCAGAAGAGGAAACAATACGTTTCACCACCTTTAATCTCATTTTTTTTTGTGATGAGTCCAAGAAAGGTCCAACGAATTTATTGCCTTATCGGACGAAAAGTGTTTTAGGAAGTTGAAAAAAATACCAACCAAACTTCAACAAACAACTGCTGATTTTCGGAGTGGTTTTACATCACTAAACAACCAAACTTTCACATCATCATCTCAACATCATCTAAATAGTAGTAATAATAGTAATTTTTATTGGTGAATTATCATCATGAAATTGGAATTTATTTTTCATAATGGAAAATCACAAGTTGGTGTTTAATCATCGGATCATTCACATCATCAATGTTGTTTGCCATCAAAATAATAATAGTATTATTTGTGGAAATTAATTTTTAGTAATGTAATTTTGGTGAAATGTCAAAATTTTCACTAAATTCATCATCACTACTGTATCTACTGGACAAGCTGGAAAACTGTTAATGTAGCATTGTTCGGAATGGTCAATAGTAGGTAGGAGTATTTCTCTGATCAATCTTGGTCAAGATATGATAGGGATAGGTACATGTGAATTTTTTAACATACATATCACCAACTTGAATACACTCTTCTAGTACTATTATTTAAATCACTAATAAACTCCATATATTTTCATCAAATTATCGTCACGTTGTCAATTTACCAAGTTGGAATTTCATGCTATGCAGGGTTGATTCTCGGCTCAAGTGTATATTTAATATCTTACATTTGGAGTTTAATTTTAATATTTGAAACTTTTCTTCTAATCATATTGCTACAAGTTTTAGATATTCTTCTTTTAATTTTGTTGAATAGGAATTGAATTTGTTTGTTATTTTTGAAAAAAAATACATTAATTAAAAAATTCATCACATCTATTATGATTTTCAAAGGCAATTCTTCATCTCAGTGCAAAATATTTTCAGGACAATAGGATAGGATTATATGGAATGTGTAAAGTTGATTTTATTGGATTTGAATTTTAAAAGGCAACGATTAAATTAAAGGAAAATTTTGTTTGGCAAACTAGAATATTTTCAAGTTATTAATTTTGATATTCAACAAGAGAACACGATAATCATGTTGGTTCACCACAAGATATTCAACAATCTTGCAAACAATAACATTTATTACGAAAAAATCTGTAAAATTGATGACTTTCTTTCCCTTCTTCTTCAAATCACATATCAAATGTTCTGATTAATAATTGTTCATTTTCATTACTTCATCATTCAAACAGTAAAATGTAATTTAGATGAAAGTTTCAAAGATTTCCTTGAATTCTCTATATTTGATTGCTTCTGGGATGAGCACAATTCCTCTTATAACTTTGATAAAATCAATTCCCTTTGATTATATATTAATGAGACAAAGTATTTGTTACACCAACAACTTACCACTAAGATTAATAACATTTCACAAACTTTGGCAAAAATTTCAATATTTGTTACAGTTTGAACTTCCTTAACATCATTGATATTCAAGGTAGCATAACAGAATGATACCACTGTCACATTTTCCGTGGCAGTTCCAATTCTAGAATAGGATAAATCCCAATATTCAGGTTGATGATTATCATTCTTAGCCAAGGTTTCAACAACAACGTGAGTCATGACATAGAAATTATCTACATTCTCATAGGCATAATTGGTTTCATCCAAAACATTTGGTTCATGGCCAATCTTGTTAAATGTCACCTGTAGGCCATTTCTATTGGTCTCAGTTTGAGGCATTGTTGGGAAATTAAAGTACAATGAAACACTTCCCTCATAACCAGTACTCTTAACTTGAATAGGATGCTTCTCATCATAATTATATTGATAACAGTAAAAAGTATTACCATTCTGTTCATATTGAACATAACGAGGATGATTTACACAAGGGATGGGAGTACCTTCCGAGTCAACTTGCGAACAATCAACTAGAGTTAAATTACACTGCCCTCCACAACCTTCAAATGAATTCCAATTACACACTGTGACTTGAGGTAAATCCTTGGGAATCTTCTCAACAAAGGAGATTGATGTTGTTGGATTATTCAGTTCCTCATCTAAGGAAATTGCCAATTCAACAAGATACCATATATAAAACCCTAATAATATAAACCAAATACACACTAAAATTAAATCCTTAATGGAGTATCCTATTTTAGAGTGTAAGCAATCTGCTTCCGATTCTTCTCCTTCCTCATAATCGCCATGATGATGATGCACAATAGTTTTTCTTTTTGGTTTTTCCTCTTCCTTGTGTTGTTCTTCCGAATTTGAAATCCTCAATACCTTAATAACAGTCTCTTCCTTTGCAAGAGCTGTAGCTCCCACTTCTTTTAATTCCACACCTTGATGAATATTAGACATTTTTTCTTTTCAAAAATCCGCACTCGTGATGAGCATAGTATAAACATATGAATACCAACAACTTGGTTTGTGAACATGTAAAGTACATGGCGTTAAAACGTAGCGAAATTGCCCTTATAAACCTTAATAACCGTTAACTGTAGATTTTGGCTCAAAAATAACAAAAAAGAAATAATAATGGCAGCTGTGGTGGGGGATCAACAGCAGCAACATCAAATTCCTACGGCATCATCAAAAAGCAAACAACAAGAAGAGGCTAAAAAGACAGCTTCAATAAATACTAACAAGGTTGTTCCATTAAATCATGACGGAGAAGTGGATTCGAAAACACTGAAGAAAAAGAGATTTGAAAAGAATGATTTTGGATTTCCTAAATTACCTTTCGGAATTAGATATCAGGAATTAATAATATTTGTTTGTTGGATTGCTGCGATATCCTTCACAATTTGGTTTATATATGATGTGGCAACTCACTACCTTCATGCCTTACATAATCCTGTGACTTCACTTTCATTGGTTGAACACATTCCGATGGCTTTTCCTGCAATTACTATTTGTAATTATAATGCTTTGAAGCATTGTGATACTTGTAACCTCACATTGGAACATACTACAAGAGTTTTAGAAAATGGATCTATCATAGACTTTGAAATGCATTACGATTCGGCAGTGATTGATAGTTTTCATTGCATTGTTATTAATAATGATACCCATCATCCACTTCCAGAAGCTTCCTTGACTGGATATGGAGCTTCCTATTCACTCTTTTTCAAAGTTCCCAAGATGCCAAACAATCTTTATTTTAGATACGGATTACAAGTTTCATTTCACAAACAAGGAACAGTTCCTGATGTAGTTTCGGAAAGTAATTTTGCAATGGCTGGAGTTGATAATTTTTTCATTTTGACAAAGTATCATACCAAGTATTTGGACAGTCACCAATCAGGTAGCTCTGGAACTGTTGAAAGTATATCAGCAAGAAAAGCTCAATCAATTAAATCTTCTGGGGAAGGAAGTAGCACTAGCGAAACTAGTAGCAGTTCCTCCACAAGAGAAGAAATGAGATGGGTAAGTATTGTTAAATAGGATTTATTGGATTAATGATTGTTTTCAGAGAGCCTCTTTGGCAGCAATTGGATTGACTGAACATGAGGAAGATATCATTGTAGTTTCATTTGCGTATGCAACACTGAATCAGTATGAAATTGAAGAGATTCATTCTGTTACGCTTGAATCTGCTTTGGGAGAAATTGGTGCAATTATTGGTGTGTTGGCAGGATTAGATGTGATGAAGATCTTTAGAGGATTCATTGAGATTCCATTTGCAATTCCATACAAATCATTGAGGCCAATTTGGGAAGTTTTTAATTAAATAAAGGGCTATTAAACTTTATTGGATGGATCTACAATATCCATTTCCACTGGATTTGGTGCACAACAAAATTGTTCATAGCATGACGGAGAGCAAATTAAATGACAAGGTTGAGATTCATTTCCTTGCATGGAATTTAGTGAAATAAACTCTGGTTGAATCGTTGTTGCATGAACATTGAATTTGTGGAATATCTGTTGTACTCGTTTAACAATTCTCATAAACTCTTCATTGCTTTCAGATGTTAGAATGTGAACACTTGCAACGCTAGTTTTTCCAGCAAGTTGCCAAACATGCAATTCATGACACGAAATTACACCCTCCACTTCCAATATATTTGCTTTCAATTGAGGAATGTCAACTGCTGTAGGAACTGATTGCAACAAGGTTCTACATGTTGATTTCAATAGTGGAACAGCTGTGAATAAGATGATTCCACTCATTACTAAACTGAGAACTGGGTCAACATAGAGAACCCATGTATTTGGATAATTGCCTTGCTCATCCTTTTGGTCAAATATGAGAATGAGACCAGAGGAAATCATGACAGCAACTGAGCCAAGAAAATCACCCAAAATGTGTAAAAAAACACCAAAAATATTTTCAGATCTGTGCTTGTGTTCTTTGTGTTCTTTCTTTTGAGAATTGTTGGATTGTGGGTCAGTATGTTCATGATCGTGTTCATGAGATTCATGTTGGTGGTCTTCTTCCTTTGAGTGTTTGTGGTCATGTTCGTGTCCATGATCATGGTCATGTCCAGGATGGTGGCCACAAAACATAAAAAGACCAATCAAGTTAATCAACAAACCAGCACCTCCAACACACAACACAAGTATTGGATCCTCAATTCTCTCTGGCATGAAAAATCTCTGAATAGATTCCATTATCACATACAGCACAACACTCACCAAAAACACAGCATTAATTAAACCACCCAATGTTTCAGCTCTTCCAAAACCGAAGGTCATATTTGCAGTAGGTCCCTTCTTAGCCAACCAAATGCATGCTGCACCAACAATTAGAGAAATTCCATCTGAAAGCATATGGAACGAATCGGCCAGAAGTGTTAAAGATGCAGCCAAGATACCAACAGAAAGTTCAGCACCAAACATGACAAAAATCATGGCAATCATTATGATCATCTTGATAAAATCAGCTTCCTTCCATAATGGTTTGTTCTTTGAGAGATAGATCTTCCTCAAGGTTGAATTGTCCAATCTAACACGAGTAGTTGTCAATTCAACAGGTTGCAATTCTTCTTCCTCCTCTTGACATGAGTGTTTGTGATGGTGATTCAAATGATGGTGATCATTATGATTATGTTTCTTATGTGAATGATATGAATTGACCAACTTTGGGTCATCAATTATTTCCAAATCGATAGAAGTCATTGAAGTAACTTGCTTGTTTTTTTTAAAGTTGGATATTTCAATATTGTAGATTGAAAGTTTTAAAATAGCATTGTCATCATTGTCTCAAATTGGGTGATTAATGGTTTTTATCCAATTGTTTCTTCTTTATGCACCAAATTGAACCAATTTTTCTCCAATTTGTTTGAGATAAAAATTGATTTCCATATTTGAAGTTCCAAAGAAACCATTTGAGCACCAATAATAAACCAACTCATTCGAATGATAATAAAATAATGTGCAGAAAGTAATCAAATGATTGCGGTTTAATTATCTTCTGAAATACGAATCTGAAAGAATGTCTGCAGCATTAGGTCTAGTTAAACTGTCCTTGTCCAACATTCTAATAATCAAGTCAATAAGCTGATCTGAGTAACCCAGTTTAGATTGTTTCATCTTGTCTCTCAATTTCGATTGAGCATTTTGTGGATCATTCAACAACAAGTGACTGATTGATGTGGTAAGGTCCTTTGTCATTATTTGATAAATTGTAACACCTAGTGAATAAGTATCAGAGTTTGGATAATATTTTCCTCCTAATCCAAGTTCAGGACTCATATCTGAAATATTATTAATTAACAATTGAAATATTAAAAAAATTAAAATTGTAAAATTAATTGAAATATTTGTAAATAAAAAGGAAAATTAAAAACTTACAAAGTGGAGTACCAGCATATGAATTTGCAGCTGATTCTTGAGCTTGTTTGGCTAAACCAAAATCAGCAAGAATGACACTGACATTTGTTCCATCATATTCCTTTACAAAAATGTTAGTTGGCTTGATATCTCTGTGAATCATGGAAAGAGTTCCATGAACATAACTCAAAGCATCACATAATTGATAGAGAATTTGTTTTACAATATGTTCTGGACAATCAGTTTTGGTAAATTGAGACAAATCTCCCTTTTCATAATAGTCCATATCAATACAAAGTAAATTGTCGTTAGTAATGAAATAATCATTGACTTTGAGAATGTGGTTGTGTTTGGCGTTTGTTAATTGAGCACCTTCTTTCATAATCATATTCAAATCACTGACAGAATTAAATTTCAAAACTTTAACAGCTTTGATCTTGTCTCCGTCTTTGGTATCTCTAACTTTAAAAACACTACCGAATGCTCCCTGTCCAATCTTGACAATATCTTGATATCTTGTAAAGAGATTTTCTTCTTCATTGGTTGATGATGAAACACTTCTTGTCAAACTGCTACTCAAAATGACAGACATGTCAGATGGCAAATCACTCATTGGAACTTCATCAAAATCTGTGGTTTCTTCCAATCCCTTATCCTTCTTCTTCTTCTTTTTTGTGGCAAACACAATGATTACCACTACAATTATAATTACAATAATAATCAAAATAACCAATATTGGAACGAGAACAGCAGGTAAAATCACACCCAATGAATCTCCTGTTGTGACATTTGCAGCCTTAACAATATTACATGAGGAACCTTCGAATCCATCCCTACATTTACACACATTCACATCAATACACGATCCATTTCCTGAGCATACTTCTGAACTAGTTGCAGTTAAACCATAACAAACGAATACATTGCAAGAATCTCCAGTGTATCCATCATTACAGACACAACTACCTCCACTAGAGTCCAGGGTTGAATTTCCATCACATTGAGCTGTTATTTTTCTAATGAGACCACCAGTCTTATCTGCAATTTCAGTAAACATTATTCCATTGTCAATGTTGACAGAGGAAATAAAATTTCTCAAATTGGAATTCGTTGCCTGAGCATTGTATCTTCCATTGAATCCTTTACCAAATTGTTTTCCTGCTACCTCTTTGGGGACCCCACCTGAACTTTTAATGTACTTGCTAATTAAGTAAGTATAGGTATCGAGAATGAAAATGTCACCATTCTTATCGAGTGAAATTGAAAGCATCTTTTCAGTGACCGCAGCCATGGTAACCAAAGTTGTCAAATTACTGTTTGATAGAGCTATTTGTCTAACGCTACGAGTAATATCTGCAAAGTAAATAATATCATCAGACACGACCAAACTTGTAATGTTGGTGAGGAGAGAAGTTTTGGAAATTATTCCATTCACAACAGTTCCAATTTTACCAGTACTGCCATATAATGTCGTTAATAAACCAGTTTTCTTTTCAATTTTCAAAATCTTTGTTCCAAACGTAAAGTATAAATCTCCAGTTTTAGAGTCGACTGTCATGGAACTTGGTGTTTGAATGAATGAATTGATTGCTAAAATATTGTCAGCACTATCTCCACACACAGTACCAGTTACAAGCTTGTATGAAGCAGATGTAACATTGATGGAAATAATTCTGCAATAATCTGCAAGATATAATAAACCATCATAGGAGGAATAAGTCAATAATTGACCTGCATTCTTTGGTGGAGCTCTTAAAAATGTTAATGGTAATGTAATATTTTGTGGATCAGGACTTGGTTTAATTGGTAAAGTAAGTGGACTAATAATTCCACTGGCTTCATCCATCATTTTAACATGTGTATTACTGTCAATGAAATAGGTGATCTTTTTAGCTGAATCTCTTGCAATTGCCATTGGTGTTATACCTTCTGTATGGAGAGGTGAAATACCAGCAACTGTAGAAACAAATCCATTGGCAATTCTTCTAATCAAAGTACCACCACTCACAAAATAGATATTTCCATTAGAAGAAGAGACTTGCAAATTACTGATATCACTCAAAATAGCACTAGTTGCCAAAATGTAATCACTGTTGTACCCACTATAATCAAAAGTTTGTCCATTCACATTAACTGGCTTTGAACCTGCAATTAGGTAAGCAGTTGAATAATCAGAAACTGAATAGGCATAGATTCTATTACTTGTTGATGCATAGACAGTAGTACTAGTGAGTGCAACGCTTGTGAACTTGGTTTCTCCAGATGGCATTGGGAGAACAATTGAACTTAAATCAGTCTCATTAAAGCAAGTGATAATTCCACTCTCAATATAGCAAATTCTAGCGAAATCAGTATCAATATTTACAATATTGAAATCTGATGCAGATAATGATCCTTTCACAACTGTTTCCAAACCAGTTAAAGATTTTTTTAACAATTGATTGGCATTATTTAGGAAATATACGACAGCACCTGATGAGCCATTCATTGCTCTTAGAGAGAAAGTACCTACTAGTTCAGTACCTTGTTGGGTAATGGTAGATGTTCCTGAAATGCTTGCCAAATCATAACTGAATAATTTTAAAGTTGAGAGAATTAGAGAATCTCCAACGCTCATAATATCAATCGCGTTAGTTGCCCTACATTCCAAAGCAATAGATGTTGAAACACAAACTGGATATTTGGATGTATACTCAGATCCAATGAGTGTTTTGATTCTTCCATTGGCTGTAATCATTCTAACTCTGTTGTTAGTGTCAAGATAAATAATTTCATCCTTGTAGGTCACGGTTAACTTTTGAATTTTCAAATCTGCATAAACAGATAAAGCATAAACTCCTTCAAAAGAAGGTTGATATTTGAAACCTGCAACAGTTGATACAGAATTATTCGCAATATCATACTTTCTAATACAATAATTAGCCGAATCTGCAATATAAATCACTGAACTATTTCCATGTAATCCATAAGAAGTGTTAAAATAAGAATACGCCATATTAGTTACACTATACTTTCCAGCATCACCACCAGTAGTTGCAGATTTAGGAGTATTAATTCCACTTTCCAAGTTAAAAATCCCATTTCCCAAAGAATAGTAAAATGTTGTGGTGGAAAATGGAAAAATTGCTGGAATATTTGAACTATTTTTCAAAATATATTACTCTAGTACTCAATAAATTGATGATTAAAACTTACCCTCCTACAAGTCCTGTTTTTGTGGTTGATTGTAAACTTTCTGTATCTATAATAAATTTAGCAGTTGTGGCATCAGTAAAAACTACAAGAGTAGAATCAGGAGTGTAAGGAATGGTATGAATGAGTTTAGGACTTGTGATTGAAATGGTTGTTGGAACGACATTATCTTTATAACTACCACTTCCACCTTTTTAGTCAATCAGAACAAAAAAAAACAAATTTCAATAGTTTCGTATTAAAAACAATAACAATATAACATACCTCCTGCAATAATTGTAACTACTCTTGTATAATAATTAACCTTTTTCACATACTTGTCATCGGTTATGTAAATATTCCAATTACTTGTAATGGAAACACCAACTGGTTTCGTCAAGGTATCTAACACCCCACTCGATGTAAACATTTTAAATACATTACAAATCATTGTTTTCATATTCAAAACTCGAATCAATTTGTTATCAGTATCAGCAATAAACAATAATTCACCATTTGGAGAAATGGATAAACCATTCGGATTGTTTAGTTGAGTATCAATTCCAAGCAAACCATCATCATCATTTGAACCAGCAGCACCAACTCCTACCAATGTGGTGAGTGTTCCATTTTTCGAAACCTTTCTAATCATGTGATTAAAGGTATCGGATATGTACAATTCATCATTGTAGAGGAGTACGTTTCTTGGAAGGTTGAGAATTGCATCTGTGGCCATAATTCCATCATAGAGTGCTGTGGACATGTATGGATTTCCGGATAGCACTTCAATTTTATATCGTGGTAATAAACTTTGAACATTTTTGGTGAGTAAAATAATTCCAATCACCATCACCATGAACATCATGATGGTGGTGGTCAACTGTTGTCGTCTCTTATTTGAACACTTCATTTTCTTTCGATTATTGACAGCTGCTGTCATGTATTGTATTTTAGGTATCCACTTCAAAAGATGATGAAAATTGTTGAAGTGTAGCCGAGCACCTTGTGAACAAGTTTTTTTTGTTGTTTCTGTTAATTGCAATTCTCGCCAACAGAATTTTTTTAGTTGGCTGCAAAAAGGATTTTTCTCGAACTAAAAAAGGTTGGAGGATTGTGATTGGTTGCCTTTTCCTGAAATAAATATTCCACTCTACCTGCCACGTTTATTCGTATCGTATTTTGTAAATTTACAATACCAAGTTTGGATTTAAGGAACCAAGAATCAATATATTTAACACTTTTCACTTCTTATTCATTGTTGAGAAGAGATAATTCACCAAGGTACCTTATTTATTATCTCCTGCGACTATCGAATTATTATGGAACGAACTAACCAAACACCTTAATTATATCTTACGGAGAAAAATAATTTATTTGTTGTTTTTGGATTTTGATTTATCATCGTATTGATGATGAGGTTGTTGTTGCTGAGGATGGCTCACCAACAATGATTGGAGTTTTATAGGAGGAGGAAGAGGTTTGTGAAATTGTTTGAGACCTGACATCATCTTTGAAACACTTTTTGGCGAATTGTACAATAACCATGACAATTCCCAAGACAAAGTAAAAGAACATGTGTGCCATTTCACTTTCAGTGCATCCACCACTATTTTCCATGTCATCCATTGGAGAGGATGAGGAAGAGGGCTTTCCAATGTTAGAGTGGAAATATGCATCGCTCATCTTAGTTCTAGAAACACAAAACAAGTCACTGGTTGAATGTCTGTGAAATGGACAATGTTTTGCATGGAAAGTGTTTCCTGAAATAGAGCTATTGGATCGACTAGATTGCAAGTCATCCATTAGTAAGGTTTTCAGAGAGCATGGTTGGTTGGGTATACAAGAATTGGATCTATTGTTTTGATGGGCAGAGGAATTATACTTTTCACATAAAAGTCTCAATCTTTGATTAGGGGATGATGGCGGAATTGCATGAGTTGTTGAATTGAATGGTGATTGGGATGGATTCTCGGCTATAATAAAGTTGGAGGGAGATGATGATGATGATGATGATGACTTTGGGGAGGGAATTGATGATATCACACTCTCGGACTCTTCATCATGAAGGAGAGGAGACGTCATGGACACATCTAAGGAATTAACAGAGGAAATAAGGGGAAGAGAGGTGGCACGAATTCTAGATCGAGCTGAAGTAGAGTTGTTAGCAGGACAATCAACAGTACAAGCAGCACCACTCACATCACAATCTTGATTTTCCATTCTTACAGTATCATTAAGCATTTGATAAAGAGTATTTATTCTTGTTCTTGTATAAAAAACAGAGAATAGAGGTTTTGAGAAAAGAGATTCACACACACAGAACAAACAATTGTCTTTGTGATGGAGATTTGGAGGTGTTTGGGCGTTGCACTGTTTTTTTAATGTTTTTTAAAACAACTACAACATTGGAACAATTCAGAAAAAGTGGCACGCATTCCAATTTGTTCCTGGATCATTCAAGGAACGATTTAGGAAGTTATACAGTAATAAGGCAGTGCACTATACTTTTATAAAGACAGTTTCATTTAAGGGTGTGGCAATTTTTGTAGCGAAATTGTGCTGGTGCCTTATATAATACACGCATGTGGTTCATTAAGGACATTTTGTATCAGAGATTCGCTTGCATAAGGTTTTTAATTGTTAGTTTTACCTCCAAAATTATTCGGACTTCCTAATGATTGTGCTGATTGGCCAATTTATTTGAGCGAGGATCTTGTTGGCGGTTTAATTTTAGAGAATGGACAAATGAGGGTGTATAGGGTTTGAGGATTTCCTCCTCACTTCCGATTGACTAAAGAGATGATTTAAATGCATCCTTTCTCTATTTTCACTTCAATAACACGTGAGTACAATCAGTTTCGTCTAGTCAATTTGAGAAAGTTAAAAAAAATGTTTAGTTTTGAAACTGAAACGCTTATTGCAGTTAGTTTACTTCTCAATCTTGTACTATTGGCAGTCCTGATAGCCAACAAGTGGTATGATTTCAAAACGAAAGATCAAAAACATTCAGCAGAATCGAATAGAAATGCATCATCTAAATTTAGAGAAAGTACGTTTATTGATCAGTTTCCAAACGGTTGGTTCAGAATTTGTTTCTCAAATGAGTTATCAAAAGGTAGCTCCAAACTTGTCCACTACTTTGGCGAGGACATGGTTGTGTTTCGAGGATTTGATGGTTCTGTCGGAGTTTTAGATGCTTATTGTCCACATTTGGGAAGTAATTTAGGAGTGGAAGGTAAGGTTATTGGAAATAACATTCAATGTCCATTTCATTTATGGGAATTTGATAGAGATGGTCAATGTGTCAAAATTCCAAATAATTGTGACAAGAGCTCATGTCAACATTCAGAAAATTGTAATGAAACAATTCCAAAGAATGCTCACACTCGATCGTGGTATTGTGAAGAGAAGTATGGTATGATTTTGGTGTGGTTCCATTCAGAGAAGGAAGGTTTACCACCTCAGTATCCATTGTTGAATCCACAAGATTTGGACATGGACAAATTTTACCATTTTGGGAATTATTCATATGAAGATATTAGAATGAATATTCAAGATTTTGCTGAGAACTCGGCAGATTTTCAACATTTCCAACCCTTGCATGGCCAAATGGTTTTGCCATGGAGTGGACCTAGATCAATATTTGGTCGTTCAATTCAGGTTCCTTTCGTCCAAATTATACATCAAGCAGAATTTAAACTCTCAGATTCAGATCCTCATATTGCCTACTTTACTAACAAGGCATGTCTCGAAATTTTCGGTAAGAAACTCACCTCCACGACCGTAAATGCTCGAATTGAATTATTTGGTCCTGCAGGAATTGCACTTTTCAGATTTGATGGAAGTTTTGGCAGAATCTATCTATTCCATACACATTCTCCAAAGAGCAAAACAAATCTGGATGTTGGCTTTGTTGCGTATGCAGAGAAGAAAATTCCTCGACTATTAGTTTGGTATGTTGTGGGAAATTGGGTAGCTCAGTGGCAGAATGATATCACAGTTTGGGAGAATAAGATTTATAAGAGAACACCGAGTTTGGTGAAGGGTGATGGGCCAGTGATGAAGTTGAGAAGGTGGTACAAACAATTTTACTCGAAAAAGATTGACTTGTCTTTTTAAAATAAAAATGTAATTTTTTGTTCAAAATACATCTTTAAAATTTTAAAAATAATAAATTATTAAGGAAATTAAAATACAATATATAAATCTCTGGACAACAAGCAGTTACGAATTCATTTGGAGTATCATGCCATGTATTCGTTGTTCCAACCAAATTGTTTTAGAGTCGAGACCAAGTACTGATCTTCTGTGGCTCGACTTGTAAATTTTTTTGCCGGCTCGACGATAATTAGAAATTCTTACTCCCTTAGGGTTTTGCCTGACCCAATTTTACATCACCTATTAATTCATGTTTTTGGAATTATAAGGACCTTCACAACCAACTCCAATAGCGGAGATCTGTACCATGTACTCGAATCTTTCACATAGAAATATGAGAACGCATATTACAAAACCAGTGCATTGACGTGTATGATTGGAAATTGACCTTGTTTGCCTTACTGTTTGTTGGTAGTTGTTAAAATAACAATTAATTTATTGAATATCATAAACAAAACGAACAGCCATGAGAACTTTACCACTTGGATCAACTAGCTTGCACTTGACTCTGGTTTTGGAAAGCAATGAATAAATTACCTTTCTTTCAGGAAGGGTAATAACATAACGTTCTTCTTTTGGTTCCAGTTCAACAACTTTGGATACAAATTCAAGTCTCGAAGACACAGTATCAATCTTTTCGTGGAATTCACATCCTGCCAAGTATTCATTGACATAGAAACGAATTTGCAACTTGTAGGTCCATCTCTTCTTCAATTTGATAAGAATTGGTGTTGATTTAACTTCAATTGGTTTAGATTCTTCATTCAAATAGAGATAGGCAGCTTCCAATACTACACCAGGTTCTTGTCTCTTTACGTGAACAACCAATGCATTAGCTCTATTCTCAGCCCAAGTATCCTTGCAGTGATCATCACTAATGAAAGTAACTGGCATGGTAGATGAAGAGTTTGGAGCAAAGTTAAATTGGTCATCAACATTAATCTTCAATGGTTGTTTCAAGTGTCTGAGTCTTGCATTTTGGAGAGCAGAAATAATTTCAGTCTTCTTTTCATCTTCCAACAAATAGTCACCACTAGTTGGACAGTGCATAACAAATACATTGTCGTCGAATGGAGAAACAGAGACACCTGTAATTTCTTCAAGTGGAATCTTTCTCTTAATCTTGAATTCTTGTTCATCAATATTGTAAACATTCTTGTCTGTTACAACCAATAAACGATGTTGCTTCTTAAAGTTCTTGTTATATTTGAGAACTTGTCCAGAGAAGATTAATTCAGTATCACCATTTCTATCGAAAACCTTCTTCATTCTTTGTGTACCTTCCAATCTCAAATAGTCACCAAGATATTCACGAAGGAGAGATCTTCTATTACGTCCCTTTCTTCCTGTATAGATGGAATCCATCTTATCTTGAATACCTCTTTCATCAGAACCTTCATATAACTTGAGTTGTGGAGTTGCAGCTGGTTTTTGTTGTTTGGCAGTTGGTAAGTTTTGTTTAACCTTTTCAGGATCAGAATTGTTAACTTGAATGAGACAACCCAACTTGGTTGGAGTAAGGATTGGAACCTTGGTGGTTGGATCATGTCTAAATTCAATTGTTTTAACACCTTTAACATCTGTACTTGGTTTGTAGACGAATTTATCTTCTACGTGAACTGGGAGATCCATACCAGTCTTATCTTTGAAGGCATCACAAATAACAGAAACTAATTCAGTCTTCTTCTTACAAGATGCAAATAAATCGTGATCAGTTGGGCAGTGGACAACAAAGAAGGCATCTCTCATAGTACTGAGAGAAATACCACTCAAATCCTTGATTGGAGTAATTCTGTTAAAGTGTAACTTTTCATCATCGAGAGTGTAAATGTAATTTGGTGTAACTACAACCTTTCTAGGTTGAGTTCTGAATCTCTTATTGACTTTAGTCATTAGGTTAGAGAAGAGAACTTGTCCATTCCATTCTGGATCGTGCTTCTTGACCATTTCGATGAATTTTGGATTGTCCTTAAAGTTCAAATAATCACCTTGGAACCAGACGAGGAGAGAGTCCTTTCTACGAACCTTCAAACCACCAAAGACGTCATTCAAATCAACCTCATCCATATCACCATTCTTAACCATCTTACCACGAACTGATCTACGTTGGAAGGATTGTCTAACAGCCAAATCATTCATTGACTTGTCATTATCGTTATCAACTTCAGAAACAACATGAACATCAGCTCCACCAGCAGTATTTGGAACAAGTGTAGAAACTGAGAATTGTGTTTGATTTTCTGGTTCAATAATCCATGAAATAGCGACACGCTTGGTATTCTTCTTGGCCAAGTTAATGTAATAGTTGGTAGTGACCTTGACCGGTAACAATTGATTGGTAGCATTTTGGAAGCTTTCCAAAATGGATTCCAAAATTTCAGTCTTCTTGGCACTTTCACTCAAAATATCTTGATCTGGATGATCAACAACAAAGAAGTTATCAGTGTAAGGTGAGACAGTGACAGAGGTTACTTGGCCAATTGGAACACGTCTATTGATGAGGTAACCACCACTTGGATCAATATTATAAATGGCCTTATCGGTGACCATGAAAATTCTGTCTTGCTTCTTGAATCTCTTGTTATACTTGGAAACGACACCAGAGAATAGAACTTTGGAGTCATCATAATCCTTCTTTAAGAGTTGCATCAATTCACTGTTTTGCATTCTCAAGTAATCTCTGTTTTGATCTTGCTTGGCATAGAGTGAGGCCTTTCTTCTCAACTTTCTTTGATTGTAAATATCAGCTTGAGTGAAGGTGTTGACAATGAAGAGTCTATTATCAAATTCATCAGCATAGCATTCAGTGGTAACAGTCTTCTTGGTATTGTAGGCAGATGGAATAAATCTGACCAATAAATTTTGAGTACCAGTGTTCTTGTCCTTTTGATGATTGAGGATACTAATGTCCTTGGTAACTTCAACTCTTGGAACATGTTCACCCTTAAAGTTAGAGGCAGTTGATTCAATAAGCTTGTTAAATTCTTCCAAAAATTCCCACTTGTTATCTAGTTCTACCAATTCATCACCTTCATCCATGTCCAACTTGAAAATCATGTAATTATCAGAGTATGGTGAAATGTAAATCTTCTTGATATCTCTAATGGCAATCTTTCTCAATTGTTCAAACTCTGAAGATGAGCTTGTAGTATCCAAGAGGAAAATATTTCTTCTGTCACTACCAGTGATCAAGACACGTTTCTTTGTTTCACCAAAGTTGGATGTTCTGAAACCGTCATGTCTAATTCTGATTTCTTCAGGAGCTTCCTTTTGCTTGGTTGGTTCAGTTGTCTTGATAGCCTTCTTCATCATTTCTTCCATCTTTCCAGCTCTCTTCTTTCTGTATCTTCTGAAGGAGTTTTGAATCTTTCTAGCCATTTCATGTTTTTGTTCTCTGATCATTTCATCCAATTGGAAGAGTTGAACTGGAGAGGCCAACAAGACATTACCTCTACCCAAGAAGAAATCTTGTGGATTGGTCATACCAATATGTTCTTGGCTCAAAATTTGATGGACTGCTTCCTTCTTGTGTTCAATAGTGAATTCCTCAACAGGACCATACTTGTTGGTAATGAAAGTTTCCCAATATGGGAATGTTTCAGGACAGAGAAGCTTGTATCTTTCAAGGAAGGTATCGTACGGAATCTTAATGCTGTAACCAGTCACATTGGATCCCAAATCATCGGCTTTTCTCGAGAGGACAGTGTCTAAAATACCCAAATATCTAACTTGGTGATTAACAACGTCCTTTTGGAAATCATCAGCTCTTCCTTCATAGTTTGGAATGATACATCTAATGTGGTGATGTTTCAAGCTGCATGAACTCAATTGATTCATCAACTTGCTGACATCTCTCAAGAACTTTTCAGCAGTTGTTTGTTGAAGTTTGGTTCCTGCATTGGCTGGCTTTTTAGAGAGAACATCATTAGCTTGTTCATTCTTAGGGAAGAGAGCCATAAGCAAGTGGTCCTTTGTATTTTGCATAGTGTAGAGCATTTCAGCGAGTAAAGTGTCACGATTTTTGTCAACCCATCCATCTGCAGTGTTATACTTGACGAGAGCTGCAAAGTGTTCCAATTCAAATTCTGTTGGTTCTGCAATTCTTGGAATCTTAAAGTATGGATGTTTGATGTTGGTCTTCATCTTTTGAACATAGTTAACATCATTACCATTAGGGAACATGGATTCTTCATCCAACAATGAAAAGACACTGATTGGCTTGCCAGCAATCATTTGAATAGCAGCATCAGAGTCGAATCTCTTGTTTCTCTCTTGAGTAGAGGCAAGAGTTGGCTTAAAGTCATCTCCATAAATTTCCTTTTGAATGTCTTCTTGTTCCTTCTTGATGGATCTTTGAACACCACTTTGAATCTTTTCATTGACAAAGTTGATACACAATTGTTCAAAGCCGTTCTTGAGTTTGCCTTGATTGGATGCTTCATCTTGATCAACAATCTTTCCTGTTCCAATATTCTTGTCATAGATTTCAAAACCATAAATATCCAAGATACCAATATTGTAGTAAGTTTCAGAATTCTTCTTGGCAACAAAATCTTCATAGTCAGGAACTCTCAATGCTCTGTTGACTCTCTTGACCAACCACAAGAACAAACGTTCATAGATATTCTTGGCGAGAGTATCTCTGTTGAATTCAGCTTGTTCCACTGATTGAGTTTGTTCAATTGGCATTGGAGAACCAACAGTCTTGATAACTCTGATAATCATTGATCTTCTCAAGAATTCAGCATCAATTTGGAGAGTGTTGGCAACCAATTTCAATGAAGCTTCATTAGAAACATCACAAGCTTCAACACCAGGAGCGATGTTTCTTCTCTTTCTCTCCTCAGGATCTTCAATGGCTGTGAAGGTAATATTACCCAATTGCAAAATGGCAGCAACAATCTTGAAAACAGCCATTTGTTCTGGAACACTCATGTCCAATAAATCCATGGCACGTTTGGTTGTTTCAAATTCTGACTTGTCATCAACTTCGTTAATATTGATAACATTATTGTTGAGGTAATTGTACTCTTCTGGGAAACCAAGATTGAGTTGTTTTCTAATATAATCATCAGATAACAATTGGTAAAAGATATGGAAATTACGTTCTCCAAGTCTTCTCTTGACAACTCTGGCCTTTTCGAGGAGAATGGTTGTGAGCTCACCTCCCATGAGTTGGCCCTTAAAGTTAAAATACAAGTTGGTAAATTTACCGAAACGAGAAGAGTTGTTGTTACGAAGAGTCTTGGCATTACCAAAACTTTCCAAGAGTGGATTACTTTGAAGAATTGAATCCTTGATTCTTTGAGTTTCCAATCCAGAAATTGAAACAGCAGCCAAGTATTCCATGATAATTCTGCTGGCTAGTGTCTTACCAGAACCAGATTCACCTTGAATAATAATTGCTTGTCCAACACCAATACCATCTGAAATACTGAAATCATTAATAATGAATGTATCATCATCCAAATCAGCTTCCTTATTGATTGGTTTACCAGGAGGTGGAGGAGGTGGCATCTTTTTAGAGTGAGCAGAAGAAGATGACACAGCAGTAATGGCAGGTCTAGCTCTTGTGACATGAGTGGAGGTTGGCTTGTTAGCAGTGGCATGTTCCAACAATGTACGATAAGCATCCTCAGCAAGTGAATAAATATGAGGAGCCAACTCGTATGGAATGTGAGAGTGGAAGAGAGCCTTTGTTTCATTACTGTATAGACCCTTTACAGCCTTATATGGATTGATTGAGAGAATGGCAGGACCAACACATGTGTAAATTTCATTTTGATAATAACGATTGGCCAAAATGTTGGTCAAATCAATTTCTGTAATTTCAGTCTTTTGTGGAACCACCATTTGCTCGGATTTCTTTGATTTCATTGAACTTTGTGAAAGGAGCAATGTTAAATCGTCACACATTTCACGATCTTCCAATCTACGAACACGGAAATCTTGTTGATATGCAGAGTTGATTGGTTGATAACGATCACGTGAGATGGACTTTCTAGAAAATCCAACTTCATCTGGAAGAGATGGCATTAATTGTGGTTGCAACATGACATCTTCCCTAATGACTGTCGATTGACGATGATCATTCTTTGCAGAAGATTCCAAAGGATTTCTTGATGGTTTTCCTGTTGGAATTTGTGGTGGGGGTGTTGCCTTGTTGAGTGGTTTTCCTGAGGAAGAGGTGGAGCAGATGAATCTCCTTGAGTTGTTGTTGGAGAATTTGTTTCCTTTCTAATTGGTTTTGCAGGTGGTAATGATGGAAGTTTGCTCTCGACAACAACAACTGGAGGAGGATTATTCTCAATAATACTCTTGGTAGCAGGACGAGTTGGTTTTACAGGAGGAATAGAAGGAGGTTGTTGCGTTGTTGATTCCTGAGCAACATCATCCTTCTTTTGTGAGAGTTTTCTAGTTGGGACAACTGGAGGTGTTTGTTTCTGTGGAGAAGTTTGTTGTTGTTGTACAGCAGAAGTGGTAGTACTAGTTGGAGGTGGAGTTTGCTTGCGAGGAGAAACCTTTGGTTGTTGTTGTTGCTTGATTGGTTTCTTCCATGTAGTTTTACCAGTCTGTTCGTGATGATAGTAGTAGGCTTGTCTACCAGAGTCGAAATAGGCTGTCCATCCATCTTCTAATTGTTCTTCTTCCTTTGTTGTTGTTGCAGAAGTAGATGATGAAGAGGAGACAATAACATCGGATGGAGGCTTCTTCCATGTTGTTTTTCCAGTAAATTCATTGTGGTAATAGTGGGCCTGACGACCAGGGTCAAAGTAGGCTGTCCATCCCTTTGGTAGATTTGCTGTTGGATCTTCGTCATCATTCTGATTTGATTTGTTGTTGTTCAAAGATTGTGTAGCATTATGTAATGTGATGGAATAACTATCAACAATTGGTGTTTCTTGACTTGGTGTTTTCTTTGGTAGAGGAGGTGGAGTACTCTGAATGGTCAATGTTTGTGGAAGTGAATTATTGTTATTGTTAATTGATGTAGTAGAAGATGATGTTCCACTTGGTGTAGAAGGTGTAGAACTTTCCTCCGAGTCTGACTCATCCTCGTCATCACTTTCATGTCGAATACTATCACGTACTTGAATAACTTCTTCCTCGTCTTCCTCTTCTTCTTCGTGATGAATTTCCTCCTCAACAATTGGTTCTTCCTCTACGACAACTTGTTGCTTAGTAACAATTGGTATTTGTGGTGGTTCATCTTTCTTTTGTGAAAGTTTTCTAGGAGGCAAAGCAGGAGGAGGTTGACTAGTTGTTGTTGTTGTTGCTGTTTGCAAATTATTATTATTATTATTACTACCACCTGATGTGAGTGTAGCAGTGCTTGTATTGTTTGATCCAATACCAGATCCTCTACGTGGTGGTAATTTAGGTGGTTCCTTCTTTTCACTCACCGAATTTACAACACCACTGTTATTATTATTACCTCTCGGTGTTGATGGTTTATAAGTTGGCAAACTGGTGGTTGCAGTTGTTGTTGTACTCTTCACAAAACCACCAGCAAACAGTGGATTACCTCCAGCTGCACCACTCAATCCTTTCAAAGCTTCCCTAAATTGGCTCGAACCTCCTCCACTGCCACTTGTGTTGTTGGTGACTACTGTATTAGAATTGGCGGGAGTTGTGCTGGAGGTAGTAGATGACGAGTTGCTTGGTGTCGATGATTTATTGATCGGATTGAATGCAGGTAATTTACCAGTGGTAGTAGTGGAAGTGGAAGATTGAGTAGTAGTAGATTTGGTAGTTGTGCTACTATTACTTGGATTGCTCTGTAGGTTTTGGAATAGAGCCTTTCTATTGGCAAAACTTGAAGCAGCAATATCTTCAGAATTATTGTTACTCATTGTGTGATGATGGGTTACAAAATATTGCAATCAATTTATGTGAACTGTGTGAAGATTTGCGTTGATCAAGTATTGAGTTTTTTTTTTCTAGTTTGTGATAAGATGACAGTAGACACTTGTTGTCAACTTTACAGCAATTTTGTTGATTGGTGAAGTGTCTCCCCTTTCTTCGTTGAAATTCAACATTTAACACCCTCACTTCAATGGTTTGAAACGTCTCTTTTAATTGTTGGTTATAACAATGACTCAAGTCAATCACATTTTCTTTGGAGATGATGAATTATTGATAATTCAATAATTAGTTTTCAGTATTGGAAATGGATTACACAGAGAGACAGTTTTAAAAAAATTAATTTCATTGTTCGATATCTACAATTCATTCAACACAAACAAGTGAAGTTTGAAAAGTTTTACCTCTCTTAGTGCAATACTGCATGAGAATGAATCAAGAGGAGAAATTGTTGTGTTATCCAATAACATTATTGTTTTACAATTATTGAAAAATCAAACACTCAGAAATGTACAACTTTCCACTCATCAATGATTGTAATGGAAGAATGCAGTAGTTTGTGATGGGTGTGAATTGTTGTACTTTAGTTTACAACTTCTAAATCAACACTTCAATTATTGGATTATTCTACCAATTCCACAATAACAGGCAATGTCACTATTAATCAAAAATAACATGTGTTTAAATTGTTGATTTTTACATTTTTTTCATTGGAAAGGTTTGAATAAACATTAAGAAACTGACCTACAGATGACAGTTTCAAAGATTTCATATTGGACTAGTGAATGAAACTTGAGAAATCATCCTTCAACAAAACATGTTCTTTTACAACTCAACCTTTCGGATACACATCCTGTAAATGAAGCGACGAAACCTTTTTTTCTTAAGGAAAAATCGAAACAAGATTCTTCTGGATTCCAGAATCAAAATGCAACAATCCAATAAAGCTCACTACATCCTCTAAAACTCAACTAGGCAAATCACTAATTTGTTATCATACTTGCTATGTGTCAACTTGTCAATTTTGTCCCATCAAAAACATGTCGTTTTTCCAAAGCGTTCAGAAAGATGGTTGATGAAATGTCCCAATTTATTGAAATCATCTATAACTGACAGGTCCATCCTAAACTATTATCACATCCACCAATACCTATCGAATAGCGAGAGATGCAATACGAAAGAAACAAAATCAAAAAGAATGTCTAGATATCATTCCCAATTACCATCAGAATTTCTGTTGGGTCCATTAGTTATCGATCAACAAGATGTTTCACTGCCATTGATGGGACAACTGTCAGCTGTTGAATTGGTCAATTCTACCAATAGTTCTACAACAACAAGCGCGATTTATGGTGATTACAACACTGTTGTTATATCTTTGACTTCTCCTTTCGTTTTGATATTTGGTGGTTTATTTATTGCGTCAGTTGTCAGTTACTTGATGCAACAAAAGAACATGAAGAGAAATCAACACATTTTGTTTGCTATTTTGTTTGTTCTGGAAAGTTTGGTGTTTGTCAATATGCTAACTAGAATTTCAAGTGAGCTGGCTCTATTACACATGGTTCCAAATGAAGGAAAAGTGGCAAGTGTTGTTATCAAGATTTTTGACAGATGTTTTGTGAATATTGCAATTTATGTTGAAGTAGTGTTGATGGCTCATATTTGTTACATTTTGTAAGTTTCTTTTGATATAATTCCTATTAACAATCTTTGCAAATAGTGCCGAAACTTGTCGTTCTATCAGTGTTTTATCTGAAAGAGCATTCGAAATTGTTAGAAAGGGATTATTTGCCTTCTTGATCATTTTGGGTGGATTGTTCGTTCTCCTCTGTTGCATTACCATTGCTTTTGGAGGTTTAGCAGCTGGTCGTGCCAATATTGACCCAGATTTATTGAGCTATCTCCAATTGGGTTTCTTCCTGAGCGCAGCTCTTTTATTTTTCATCTCAACAGTTTCCGTTTCAATCTTCCTCAATGTGATTGGCAGAAAACTCATCAAGAGTTTGAAAGAAAGCAAGGAAAAAATCAAGAATATGCTTCGTGGAGTTTCTCCATCCGAAATTAAGGGAAAAAGTGTTGAAAAAATCAAAACTTACAAATTCAAGAAAGTTGCCTTGAGAAAATCAATGGCTATTCAATACGGATTGACCATTTCATTGATTTTCCAATTTATTGGTTTCGTTTTCATTCCACTCACCTTAACTTGGAATTATTTCATGAATTTCTTTCACATGCTTTACAATATTGGAATTATTGCGTTTGTAGTATTGATTCTCTCAATTTACAATCCATTGAGAGAGGTACAAAAGTTGTTTAGAATGGATTCTGATCAAAAGATTATTCCACAAGCTTCGAATGTTTCATTATCTTCTTCAAATGGAAAATCGAGAAATTCAACTCAAGATTTGGTTCTCTCGCCAACTTCTTCCAATGAAATGTTGGATGTTAAAAAGTTGAAATCACCAACAAGTCCAACTGGTGAAGGAAGTGATCAGCAGCTATCAATGAGCTTGGATAGTTCAATCTTGTCATCAATTAATATGACATCAGAATAACACAAGTTATTGAGCTTGTGAATTTGGAAATTTTGTAATATTGTGTATAATAGATATATGACGAATAATGTAAATAAACTTCGAGAATTTAAATTAATTATCAATTTATTTACATTTAAAAATACAGAAAAGATTTTACAATTAATTATTGCTCTACTTGATAAATGTAATACACTTTTCAATGAGTTGCTTTTCATCAAGTTCTCCTTTACAACCAGCATAATAACTCATTGACATTCCATTAAGCTTTGCTTTGACAGTTTTACAAGTGGCAGCAACCTTAAACTTTTCCTTGACATTTACCTCGTTTGGACACCAAGTAATAAATACCATTTTCGTTCTCTTTCCTTCTCTTAATCCACTTGTTTGGGATGGCATTTCAAAACTCAAATGATAACAAATAAAACGAGAATTTTTTGCTGGCAATTTGTCAACCAATTCATCAAGATTTTGTAAGCGAGTTAAATTTTGATCAATTTGAATTGAACCTTCTTCCATGTGAAGGACGATGAACTTGCTTTCTTTGAATTTTCCCTTTCCAAGTCTCATCTCTTCATAGGATTGAATAATTTCATCACTCACTTGTGTATTGAGCATCATTTTTTTGTTTTCAAGTTTGTTTTCTTTTTTTTGTTATGAAGTTTAAAATTTGGAAAATTTCAGAGTGGATTTAAGGTTTTTTTCATGATTGAAATTGAGGTTCATTTGACAGTAATTTTGTTTGATATTGAGGTTGGTAAAATAAGGAGTGTATCCAACACATGTAGAGATAAGGTCTTGGAACAATGAACTTGAATTGACTACAGTTCAATTAAGATGTTCATAATATTGTTTTTAAGGGTGTGAAAAATTGCATCACCAGGGTAAAGAGAGCTTGTTATCATACTATGAATGTCATGTCATTACATAAAACCATTTAACGTCAACCATCAAATCAAAAAAAAAAATGGTGTTAGGAGAGGCAAGCAAAAAGGAACAACAAGGACCAAGAAGCCACAAAGTTGTCGATCCAACAGCCAACGAAAGAAAAGATGATGATATTGAAATTCAAGTACAAGGTTAGTTTCTTCCACTTTCCATAAATCTTTACATTAGATTATCCTAAACAATATTAATATTCATATTATTTCATATTAATAATGATCATCATCATATATGATCCAACTCAACAACAACAACAGCCATTGAAGCTAGAAATCTTGTAGGAAGTATCATTAAAAAACCAAATCCATATCTTGGAGTTTATGTTTTAAAGGAATCATTTCCAAGAGTTACTACTGAACCCCAAAAGAAGACAACCAGTCCAAAGTGGAATCAAACATTGAATGTATATTGTAGAAATTGGACCAAGACCAAACAACCAATGAATATTCGTTGTGAATTGTACGATTGGAGTAAGAGTGATGATCATGAACATGATTTTCTCGGAGAAGTTACTATTAGATTTAATGATTATGCTGCTTTGAAGGAAACTACTGGAAAGTGGTTTGAATGTAAGTTTTCCACATTCTATTTCCTTTATAATCATGTTATATTTTTATTTAAATATTATATATTATATATTATTAATTTCATCATCAAAATATTATGAAATTAATTTATACATCAATTATAATACACACAACTTGATCCATTATAACAATCGTCATCATCAAATAATACTTATTACAAATATCTTCTTCATCCTCAACAAACAGTATGGCTTCCTCTCCAAAAGAGAACTTCCAAAGACAAAGTTTCAGGCGATCTCCACATTAGCGTTCGTTGCATTGACTTGGAAGAGAAAGCCCTCAAGAAACAACGTAAGCAACAGGCCATTCTCGAGCAGCAACAACCACCACAGCCTCACATCAACACACCTTCCTCAATCGATCCAACATTGGAGAATATCTCTCAGAATCCACTCAAACTTCCCCTCATCCCTCCAACCCTCCCAATCGAGGAACCAGAGGAAGACATTGAGGATATCAATGTTGAGGGAAGAGGCTTACGTGATGGCTTACGAAGTGGACAAATCGGTAAGATTAACTTTACCGCCAAAAATAACAAGGGAAAAAATGTACGAGTGCCACCTGATCAAGTGGAGGCTGAGTGGGTTGGACCGAATGGTAATTGTGGTGTGGTGAAGGCTAGGAAGAAGACTGTTATGGATAATAATGATGAGAATGATGAGAATGATCAACTTGAATTGGATTTTATACCAACAGATGGTCCTGGAAATTATTTAATTGAATTTAAGGTGAAGGGAAAACCAAGCAAGTATGGTCCGAGACAAGTTACTGTACATCCATTGCCTTTGGCTAGAGAAGCTATGGCTTATGGTGATTCATTGTATAATCCTGAACAAAAGACAAAGCCTTACAAACCAAATTATGTGAATTGTCCTGGAGAGTTTTATGTGCAAGCTAAGGATGAAAATGGAATGGATATTATTGAAGGTGGAGATGAAGTTACATGTGAATTGGAGGATGGAACTGTTTTGGATATTAAGGATATTAAGGATAATAATAATGGTAGTTATACTGTTCCATATATACCAAAGAAGTCTGGTGTTTTCCCAGTTAAGGTACTTTTCAATGGAGAACCAATCAATAATTCACCAGTTCACTTGTTGGTTGAATTTGAAATGGATCCAACTCGTACTTTGGTGACCGAGTTGTCTACCACTGTTCCTGTTGATGTTCCTCAAACATTCTCACTCACAACATACGATACTAATGGTGATAAGAAGCTTTGTGGAGGTGATGATGTTGAAATTGTTTTGGAGAGTGAATTTGGTGATCAAGTAATGACCTTTATTTCCGACAATGACACTGGCAAGTATGATGTTACATTTGTTTGTCCAGTTCCAGGAAAGTACAATTTCAAGGCCAAGATTAATGATTCTCCAATTCTTGCCGACATTACCATAACAGCTGTACCAAGAGTTGACCCTGGAATGTGTACAATATTTGGAAATGAATTGAATGGTGGAGATTTGTACAGCAGAAATGGACTCCCGCTCAAATTCAATGTTCAAGCCAGAGATCAACGAGGTGTTGCTGTCAAGAGTGGAGGTGAACCAATTCTCACTCAAGTTTACTATCGTCCAGACAAAAAGACACAAAATGGTATCAAACTTGAAGCTCCAGATAATGTTCTGACCGATAATTTTGACGGAACTTATTCTATTGACTTTGTTCCAGAACAACCTGGTATTTACACTTTTGATTTGACACTCAATGATCAAGCTCTTCAATTCTCTCCTCATCCAATGATTGTCTCTGATGGTATTGAACCTTCTAACACTATTGCCTATGGTCCTGGTTTGGTGAAAGGTTTTGTCGATACACCAGCCATTTTCTATGTGGAAGCTAGAGATCACAATGATAATAGAGTTCAAGATCCTAACTTGTCATTTGATGTTACTGTTCATGATTCAAATGGTGATGAAGTCAATGTCAAGCCATTGCCAGTTGAGGAGAATGGAGTTTATCCATACCTTTACACTCCAACTAATGTTGGTGTTCACAATGTAAATATTGCACACAAGGGTAAACCAATTAAGGATTCCCCATACCAAGTTCCTGTCACTGACTCACAATATGCTCCAGATCCAACCAGATGCGAAATGGGACCAGTTTCAAAGACTGGATTTGTACACAAACCAATCACTTTTGATGTCAAACTGAGAACTAAGGATGGAAAACCAGTTAGAGTTCCTGGTGCTACTGATGTTACTGTTAATGTAACTCCAGAAGATCCAACATTGGACAGATATCCACCTCAAAAGGTTAAGATTACCGAAAAACCAAATGGTGTACATGAAGTTGAATGGACACCACTCGTTCCTGGCAAATATAATATTGATGTAAAGGTGAATAGAGCTCCAGTTAGAAATTCTCCTGCAAGAGGTATCAATATTCTTCCACCAGGAGGATTACTTGCCAAACTTACAGAAAGATCATTCCAAATTCAATTATTTGATGATCAAGGAAACAAGTACACTGATCCTGATGAGGAAGAATTGGAATCTGTAAAGGTCACTTTCGTTGAGGAAGAAACCAATGCTCTAACTGAAGAAATCAAGTATAACATTAACTATGTGGGTGAAGGACTTTTCCAAATCAAATACTTGATTCAAAAACCAGGTAATTACATTATTAGTATGTATGTTGAAGGAGCTCTTGTTGGTCAAACTAAGGTTCAATCTGAAAACTTTGAATATGAACAAGATGCTGAATAAAATTACAAAATTTACTAGTTTACATAATCAGACACTTCTTTTGTCCATCAGTAGTATCTTTCTTTGGTTGACCATCCTCTTCCTCATTCATTTCTCTCAATTGTCTAACAATTGCTTGGAAACATTCCTGTACATTAGTTCCTTGTTTTGCAGACAATTCTAAAAATGGGATATTCCACTTTTTAGCCATGTCTCTTCCAACACTCTTTTGAACTTGTCTACTTGATTCCAAATCACATTTATTTCCAACAAGCACCATTGGTACATCCATACTTCCATCCTTACATTGAACAATGTGATTCATAAACTTTTTCTCCAATTCCTCAAATGATGAACGATCAACCATGGAATAAACTAGAATAAATCCATCATTATTTCTCATATAGGAATCACGTAATATTTCATATTCTATTATAATTTTTGAAGATATTCCCAAATTGAAGTGGTGAGGATGATTAAATTTTAAATTAATTTCACCATTTCTGTAAATATTTAAACTACTCACCATCTTTAAATTGATAAAATTGATAAATTTTTATCCGAAACATTAACTCATACCTTGTCCAGCAGTATCCAAAATTTCTAGTTTTACAGTTTTTCCATCAACAAGCACTTGTTTCGAATAACTATCTTCAATGGTCGGATCATAATAATCAACGAATGTATTATTAACAAATCGGAGCGTAATGGCACTTTTTCCAACTAGAATTTATTCGAATGATGACATTGAATATTATGAAACATACCACCTCCACTCCCAACTACGGCAATTTTAAATAATTCAGCTTTTTCTGTTGTTGTTTGTGTTGCTGACATTTTTTTTGATTATTATTTTGACAAACAAATCAAGTGACGTTTTACAAGTATTCGAATCTACATGAAAATGTATTAGAAACAATTACTTTTCATCAGATCATAATATTCTCGATCAAATTTCATTATTTTCACCAAACATTACTGTTTAACATGAAATTCTTTACAATTTTATTTAAATTTGATTCGACTAATTTCTCATTCCTGTTAATTAAATGAAAATAATCGAAATAGTGATGAAAACAACCTAATCGAAACTTAATTTGATTAGTACTTGTTGTAATTCACTAACAATCTTTCTATAATTCAAAACTTGTGAAGTTTCTGATTGAGTAGTTTCTTCTTGTTTCAAGAATGGAATTGGTGGTAAATTTTTCAATACGAAAGAAGGTTGAGCAATGAGAGGAAGATGAGAACCAGTGGTATCTGTCTTTTTAGAAACTAAAGAAGGATTAGTTTGATGCATTGACAAGGTTTCGAATAATGAATGTTCAGTTGCAAATTTAACAATTAAAACCTTATCCATATCTCCACTACTTTCTCCAACAAGGAAATAACGAATCTTGAGTCCTGATTCATTAACTGAACCTTTAGATTTCTTTCTAAAAACATATTGAGATTGATAATATTGTAAATTATCTTCCTTTTCGAATAATTTTCCAATTGCAAAATAATCTGATTTGTGATTTCCTTCTTCTTCATTAACCAATTCAAAATCAGCTTCATTGTAATGTTGTAAATGATTTCTATAAATGGAATCAAATAATTCAACACGTGAATGGAATTTTTCCAAACTGTTTACAATTTGTAAACTAACATGTTCACAAACATCAATGTGAACATCAGTTTCATCATTCTTTCCCTTTTCAGTCAAGAATGTAACAACACTATTCGAATCTAAATTACCAATTTTGTAATGTGGTGATTCGTGATGATAATCAATGAATTTCCAAGATTTTGGAATAAATAAATTCAAACCTTCAAGTTTTGAATTTGAAAATGATTGTAATTGAGTAGATGGATCAATCGTTGCATTCAAAAACAATGGATCCATTCTAGTCAATTGATATTCGAATTCAAGTTTCGAATTGGAATATTTAGAACTAATTGCTCTAACATCTTTTTTAGAAACATTGATAGGAAGAGATTTCATATCAATACAAATCTCACCAACATTATCCTATATATATTCAAATAAATAAATAATAATATATTCACAAATTAAAGTTTCCAATAAAAAAAACACAACTTACATCTCTAGTCAAATGATCTTTATCCATAACTTGAAATTTTAATCCATCAAATTTGTTAATAGTAGAATAAACAAGTTTTGCTTGTTCATTCCAAACGGGATTTAAACAATTGTGAATGACACTTGTTTTAACAGGTTGATTCTTTTGACTTGAAGTTTTGTTTACAATAATGTATGGATCACTAGTTCCATCCAAATCAGTGACTGGGAATGAAGTGCCCTTGTAAATGTTTACTTCTAATAAATCATCGATGAGGAAGGGACGTGAATTGGTCAAGGTTGTTGTGAGTGATGAGGTTGCCATTTTTTTTTAAATTTTAATTTCGAATAATATTTGAAACTTGTCAAATCGGATTGATCACTAGGTTCCATTATTGATTAATTACATTTATTCACAAGTTAATGTTCACACTAAAGAGTTTGATTAGTTGTATCATCATCTCTTATTTGACTGTAATACTTCTTAGCCATAGATCTGTATTTAAAGTATAAAAAGACAGCAACAATTGAAATACCAATGACAATGACCAAACCAACAACCAATACAATGGCAACAATCCAATATGGAGCAGTAATTGAGAGTGGCTCACAAGCTTCAGTCTTGACAACATTGGTCAAATCACCATCTCCTCTGGCACACTTATTGACCAATCCTTCCTTTCTGGCATATCTGATTGTTCTGGTCTTTGTTTCAGAGGAACATTCACCTTCCAAACGATTGAAATTGCTTTCAGTACACAATGGACAACCATGAATGGACAATGTTTCCAAACGGAAGTTACATCTGCTGTCGTCAGTGGCAACAATTCTTGGAGAGTCAGCAAGAGAAGATTCAGTGGCACTGTCTGTAGTACACATGGCAATAACACTAATCATTGATGGACCATCTCTTCCAGTAACATTGTTATAGCATACATTTTGATAATTTCTCAAAGTGATATTGACACCAACATTGTGGCTATCGAGAATTGGAGTCATGGAAAGAGAGTTACCAAAATCAACAACTTGACCATTTCTATATCTGATACAAGCATAGGAATTGGCTGGACAAACACTGGCATATTCACCAACTTCCATCATGCTATTCAATGGCTTAATGAGATCATATAATTCCTGTTCTTGGAAATTGAAAATATTTGAACGAAGATTAACAGAGGATGGATTCTTACAAATGTCAAAGTAGAATGAGGCATCAAGGATGGTTGGATTATAGAATCTGGCTCCACCTAATAATTCACTAAACTTATTCATATTGAATGTCTTGTCAGCACCACCAACATTATGAGTATTTTCACAAACTTGGCCTTTCCATGAACAAGCTTGACTTCCCTTAGCACTAGTTTGTCCTTCACCACAATCATAACAACGATCACTAGCATTATAACTGAATTGATTAGCATTACAAATACCACAACTGGCACTACCAGGAGGTGAATAAGAACCAGCAGCACAATCCTTACATTCATCCAACAATGGATATTTACCACCTGCACATGTCTTACAAACTACAGCACCTCCTTGATTGGCAACACCATAGAGTGAAACCTTTGAAATAACAGCACGATCACAATTGTAAGTATCATTAACAGTAGAAACAGGATTAACAGAAACAAAGTAAACTTCAAAGGTCAATGGAAGCTTCTTACGTTCAGTAAGGGTTAATGGAACATCGACAGTCATCCAATCTTCCTCAATTTCATTTTCATCTTGTTCGAATGGAATGCATCCTCCACAAAAGACTGACTTTCTTACAACACCATCAATTAAAAAGTCAACTCTATTTCCACTGTTAGCTGGGCATGAAAGGAACAATCTGGTACTGAAATATGGAGTAACATCTTCTTCCATACTTACAGTTGGCATGTTTTGGAACAAGACTTTGGCAACTGATTTACCATTACTAGTACCCGAATCCAAACCAACAGCACCAAGATCTCTCCAACCAATAGCAGACATACATTCACCAGTACAACTGGAAACATATGGTGATGAAATTCCAGCTACAACATCATAAATATGAACAACCTTATATTTGGAAGCTTCATTGGTTTGACAAGCTTCACATTCAGTTTCAGCATGTTGAATTGATCTGAGTTGAGTATCAGTTTCAGTTTCATTATTATTACGATTATCATGATCATTGAATGAACCAGGTTCACAATAAACACAGGATTGAATATTTCCTTGAATGGACTTTTTCATACCGAGTGGACATTTGAGTGTTTCAGAGCATTTAGTATTAGATAATGCTGGTAATGGAGCGCTATCTGGATTGGATGCATTACAAATGATTGGTGAAACCCAGAAATATTCCATAGTTCTCAAATCATTTTCACAAGTGGATCCATATCTGTATGAATAATCAGCTGAAGTACAAGGAATATCAGCCAAGAAACAATCTGTAGATCCAGAGAAAGAAGTCTTTCCAGGAGCACATGGCTTACATTGATCCAAACCTTCTTCATCAGCATAGGTACCTGGTTGACACTTTTGACATGGAACAGTACCATCAGAAGCAGATCCCTTAGGACAAAGTTCACATCTGAGAACAACTTCCTTATCAACAGAACCATTGATAACAATATTTCTAACCTTGGCTCTATCTTCACCTTCATCCTTTGAACTGTCCTTAATATAGGCCCAAATCAAGGTGTGGAAACCAGCCTTATTGAATTTAAATGTTTGCTTCTTCCAAGTAAGTTGTTGATCTGCTCTCATGAGGAAATCTTGAGTACTATCAATTCCGAAAAAGAAAAAGTCATAAAATTGTTCAGCATCAACTTGATATTCAAAAGAAACACTAGCATTTCCACTATCAACAGCAAGTTGTGAAATTTCAACATAAAATTCAAGGTAATTCTTTGCAAAGTTTTTTCCTCTATTATTACCACTGTCAACATAATCACCTCTTGGTTGCCAAGGTGAACATGCTGAACTCCAAGCATAATTACTGCAATAGGAACGCATTTGTGGTGGGAAAACAGGTGATTCTGTAAATATTAATTAATAATAATGTAAGATCAGATAATAACAATCGTAGGATTTGATAGAGGATCGAGGATCAGAATGAATGAATTAATAGAGAGAGAATTAGATTAAATATTAAATTATTAAAAACATACCAGTATTGGTATCAAGATCGAGACCAGTAGAAGTCCAACTAATCATGGACAATTCACCACTGTGGGCATAACTACCAGGCTCACAATGTAAACACTTCTTTGAGTTAACATCCAAACGAGTGCCTTCCTCACAAACCAAATCACATGGAAGACCACTGATTGGAGTTGGTAATTCATATCCTGTACATACAGCAGGTGGTTTGTAAAAGTAGAAGGCTGATTTAGTATTTGTTGAATTATCACACTGAGTAAAACGAGCACCAATATCAACCAGTGGATCACATGTACAACCAACAGTGAGAGGCAAATCTCCTCTCAATACAATTTCTTCTGAAGTGCTACTACTACTACTAGTTAAAGATGATGATGAGATAATTCTCTCCTAACCGATCTGGTTGGTGATGTTGGATTATTAACAAAGATCATTGGTGTTGTTCCTCCACAAGTCAATCCCACACAATGAGTATAACTATTCGGATACTTCTTATTGGCTGCACACGTTTGTCCCTCAACCAACAACACCGAGCATGACATGAACACTACCACCATCAGCACCATCATCATCATTATCAGAGATGATGATTCTCTTTTACAACTTTTGCGAGTGGACATTTTTTTTTAAGCTTGTGAGGTCCAAGCACGAATGAATTGAAAATCTCAGCACACAAACACAAAGCAAAAATTAATAACGTTGATTGTTTGATGGTGTTTGCTGATTGTGTTGTTTGGTGTTGGTTGGAGTTTGGTGATGATGATAATTTTGGAGAAGAGGATTTGGAAGGTTAACTTTTTAAGAATGTTTGGAAAAAGTAAAGTCAAAAACACACACTACTATTTACTGTATTGAATAGTTGTTGTAAATTTAGTTTGGATTCCATGTGCTTGGAGATAAAGATATTTCAGTTTGATTTCCGACTCTAGTCGGGTTGACTAAACATTACAATAAAATTATTAGATTAAAAAAGATTGAGAACAATTTCAATCTTCAATAAATCCAAAACGTGAAAAAGAGTTTCAAGTTTACAACAAAACGTGATTCCAATATTAGGAATTTTCAAAAAAAAAATGGCAAACCTCACCTCTTCACAATTATACAGCCACTCATCAGAACAGCACCACCAACCACAAGAAAATGATCCGAATGCACCTCTACATTGTCTTTCTTGTAATTTACTAATTTTTCCTCTTCCCAGCAAAGAAAATGAAGAAAATGATGAAGAATTTGAATCTAAAATTAATTGGAAATTAATTTTAATGGATCAAATTGATAATGATGATGATGAATTGATTGTGCAATATTTTGAGAAAATGATTGGTGAAGGGAGAATTTGTAAAGATTTTAAAGTGACGTGTTGGAAATGTTTGGAAGAAGTGTTTAACGTTTTTGGGAATGAAATTAAATTTTTGGAGAAATCAATTCAGATATATGAGAAGAAAGTGGAAGAAGGTAAGGATGGGGATGAGAGAAATCTTATTGAAAAATTGGAATTGGAATATATGGAATTATTGGAAGAGGAAAAGACTCTTCAATTATCTATAGAAAAACTACAGAAAAATCAGCAGCCAAATCTTGATGCAGAATTTGTAAAAATCTGTCAATTAGAGGAGGAATTTTATTGGAAGGAGAATAATGAGCTTTTAATGGATATAGAAATTGACAAAGTATTGAAAGAAGAGAGATTGCTATTAATGAATAGGGGTTCAATAAGTCCAAGTTTCTGTCTCATTGATTACTCGAAAAGTACAATTGATGGCTATATTTTGAGTATTGACAGAAATCGTTCTGATTCACAAATAATACATGACAGCAATCATGGTTGGACTAGATGCTGTCAAATGCTCTTTTCTCTCATTAAGGATATCCAAAATCTTCCACCTCCATTGAATCATTACAATTCAGATAGCAAAGCAAACTTAATATTCTTAGGAGAATTCACTCAAATTTACTATGAAGGAAAAACCTTTGATTTATTCCTGAATGGAAACAATACATCCAATTTCAATGAGGGAGTCAAATATTTCACTAGAATTCTCTACGATTTGTGTAATCACTTGGAAACACATGCACCAGAAAAGTTATTTATTTCAGAACATTCGACATTCTTCCTGGAGGACAAGACTTTGAAAGTCATTCTCAAATGTCTCAATTTTCCAATGATGAACAAATCGACAGAGAATTGGAATTATGCAATTAGTAGAATATTGACAAAGCTCAAATTACTACATTGGTATCTACTTCAAATACGAAACCATTCCTTAATAACACATTCTCATCAAAACGAATAAACAACTTCAATTCATCATTGATATAATATTTTATCTTCGATTGTAAAGCGCGCCTCAAGTACGCAATTCTACGACAATTATCCATACTTGAATCTCAACTTTTCAGATTTAACCCTAGATTTTTGAAAAACAACATAAAAAAACAATACAACAAGCATCAACAATAATCACAATATTTATTTTATTACTATTCAAAAATGTATGAAGAAACAAATGAAGATCCAATGATGAACGAATCAGCAAACACAAATTCTGCACCATCTCCATCAAAATTTCAAAAGATTCAACTCCGATTAATTCCTGCCCTCAATATCATTGGTTTTATATTGGTAATTATAGTGAATGCATTGGGAGCGGCTGGAATTTTGAATAACATTCCAACTGGAAAGGTTTCTGATGAATATGAAACTCCACTCACTCCTGCAGGTTATGCATTTTCCATTTGGGGATTAATTTATACATTCATTGCCTTGGTAATTGTTATTAATACTGTTCAGAGCTTGATTATGGGAAGAAATAATGAACTGTTGAATGAAAAGATTTCAATCCTATTACCTGTCAATTTCCTTTTTAATTGTTTGTGGATGTTTGCTTGGCAATATTCTGCACGTGGAAATATTGGATTGTTGTGGTTGAGTTTGGTTTTCATGTTTGGAATTTTGGCTAGTTTGATTTTAATGTATTTGAGAGTGAATGTGCATTATTATGAACCATCAAAAAAGGAAAATTCTAAACCTACCATTCAAGGAAATTCAATTCTTGCTAAATTTGTAAATTCTTTCACCATGACAAGAAAATGCAATTTCTGGGAATATTGGATTGTTCAACCAATGATTAGTTTGTATATGGGTTGGATTAGTGTTGCCACCACTATTAATATTGCCATTACTCTCACTACTCACTTTTCCACCACAGAATCGAATATTTATGAGAGATCATTGTGGGGAGTTTCTAATGTAATTTGGACATGCATTTTGGAAGGTGTTATTGTTTGTTTGGGAATTATCTTTCTCCATTGGAAACGTGATTTCGTATTTGCAAGTGTCTTTTCTTGGGCCTTATTTGCAGTTAGTGTCAAACAAAAGGCAAATCAAGTGGTCAGTGTATGCTCAGCTGTTTGTGCTTCAATTATTATCTTCTTTGTATTGTATACTATTGTATTGACCTTGGTTGATTATATTCAATGTTATGGTGGAATTAAGGGAACTTGGAAACAAATTAGAAAGAGTGTAAAGAAGAGTTTTACAAAGAATTAAATTAACTAATATAAAATGCGTACTTTTGAACATGAAACAATCCCAAAACCCCTTCCATACCATAGTTTTTCTTTGTGAGATTGCTACCAATCAATATTAGGTCTGTATCTTGAATTATTCGGTAAGTAAACACAAATTTAAATGGCTTATCTTTTATGGTTGGCTCACCAATATCATTAACATTCAATCTTTTACAACTACTATCTATTCCAGGGGCTACATTCAAAATTATTGAAGCATCAATATCATGTGAATGATAAAACTAATAATTTCTTTGTTGGAAATAATTAATAGAGAGTGGAACTTTTGGAACGCTTGAAAATGTTTTGGATTTTCCTCCTAATGTTTCCACAGCATCCCTAATATCTTTAGATAAAAGATTGACCACAGAGTGTTTTTCAATCTCAATATCGATCTCAAATATAGAGCTATCTTTGATAGAGAACAATCTATTAGATTGTTTGTAATAGTGATAACTTTTGAAACATTCATCTGTTGATAGAATATAATTGCTTGTTTCCTTACCAAGCAAAGTTAATCCATCACTGGTTACCAATAATTATTACATTGAGATTATATTTTCTTCGATTATTTGGCACAATAATGATATGTCAATGGATGAAATCATTCCGCCACAAACGAAATATGCAAGCTTTTTTCGGAGCATTGCATTTGTCTAGTGATTCTCTACTCCATCTATAAATATCAATCGTGTGGTTAAATATATGGTAGTACTGATGACAATAATTAATGGTGATATTAACATTGGTTGGATGATCAGATTTTAGCCTTTTAATTTTTGGTTCGTATCCTACATCATCATCTTCAGTTGTTTCATTTTTTTGTAATAAGGGTTGTAAATCATGTTTAAACAAATCAGAATACTATTTACTGATCTGTGAAACTCAAACGATTCAAAAGTGTTATTGTATAAAAATTTGTAAAAATGTTAATTTGATTCGCATTATTTTCAAAGGGAAAATTTTACGAGTTAATATCTTACAATATTGTAAGCGGTCCATTCACTCAAATCGGTCAAGATTTACTCTCATTCACACATTATGTGGGTTCTTGCCTTCTTTAGATAGCTTAGCAGTGACAGTCACACGCCACAAGTCAAAAAAAAAATCATTGACTCCATTCGAATCAAAGAACACGAAAGTCTACCCGTATGAAACTCTAACTTGTAAAACATGACCACTCCCGAACTTACCAACGTTCATATCGAACAACTGCAACATACTATTATAAATCAACAAGAAGAACAGCAATCAAACACCACTACAATCATCCATAACACGAGTAAATTTCCATCAAATAATAACAACAATATTCATCATCCACCACAACAAAATCAAAAATCTTTTTTCATCACCAATAATGAGCAACAAGATGACGACGACGCTTTTTTATTATTACCAACAACAAAATCACAAGAAGACCCGCCAATATTAACTACAACAACTGTAAACAAAAATGGCGGCAATCAGCAGCATGTAAAGAGTGGTGCTGGTGCTGCAGATTTTTGCTCCACACGAGACTCTGTTGGCTCTCTATCGACACATGAAGCTCCCTCATCGATTATCATGTTTGAAGATGAGTCTGAAACTGAGAATAATGGAACTACAACAACACTGAGTACTTCCTTGGTGTCGGCTTGTTCAACATCGGGTATGATGAATATGATGATGATGAATCACATGCCTTCGGGTAATGATATTAATCATGAGGATGAGAAGGAATTTGATGAAATGATGATGGCGAATAGAAATGATGATCAAATATTATTGGACGATGAGGAACAACAACACGGAAAATTATTGAACAATAATAATAGGAAGAATAGTGATAATAATAATGGAATGTTATTGGATGAAAATAATAGTAGGAAGAATAGTGATAATAATAATGAAGTGAAAATTCAAGAATCGACCAATCAACAACAACCAAGGATTTCTATTGGAGATATTTTGAAAGGACTTAAAGCAACAAATCCCAACTCTCCAATTAATCCTTCTTCTTCTAACAAGCCAACAACACCTTCATCATCAGTTATTGGCAGTAATCATTCAAAAGATAACTCTCCTTCTTCCTCAGCACCTCTGATTAGTAATAATAGTAATAATAGCAATGATAAAAGTAGTATTAAACAAAGTCCTAAAAAGAAGAATTCAGATCCTGTTCGTCCACGAAAACAATCCAGCGATTCGAACAACTCTAACTCTTCACAGAAACGAAAAAAGAAGAGTACTACAAATGATTCAGAAGAAAGAAGTAATCCTTCACATCATAGAAATCCTTCAGAAGCCACATCTCTCATGAATGCAGATATTGATCAATCACCACACAAGAGAAAACTCTCACTCTCTGTTACCATACAGAATAAGATTTCAACTTGGAGGTCAAAGCACAAAAAGAATGTAAATAGTAGTAGCACTGATCATGTTGCTACAACTGATCGTCCACCTCTACTGTTGCTAGAAAATAACCAACAATACTCACACTTATTAAGTGAAAAATCTCAATCTGCAGACACTTTCAACACGAGTATCAGTAGTATGAATAGTTTTGTCAGCAATGCAAGCGAAATTGATTTAAAGAATCCAATCTTGAAAATCATTGAAAAATCTCCTGAAACACCTCGTAAATCGAGTAATCCACAAATTTCATCCCTCAGGAATATTCTAGCAACAAATAGACAAAGATTTTATAGCTCTGCAAATGATATGACCTCTCAATATTCTGATGCTTCACCAATGGTTTTTTCACCCTCTTCACCATTTTCAGAAGACAAGACAAAATCTCCAAAAGTTTCCCTCTTGAATTTTTCACAAATTGTGCCAACATTGTTTGAAGGTCCAAAGAGTTCTAGAACTCACAGAGGTGAGAAGAAAACCATTTTTGACAATATTAAACAAGAAGAAGCTCCAAAAAGAAAATTATCCCTACCAGACAAACCAGAATTCCTAAACTCTCCAAAGCACAACAAAAAGTTACAGACACAACCTGCCAACTTGACCCAAGATGATATCTTTACTTTATCTCCACCAACACCCACTGTAGTAATACCAAACAGTTCAAGGCACAACTCACCAAAAGAACCAATTAAGAAACTCGAATCCCTTTTCTGTGCAGATACTCTCCTATTAATTTGTTCATTCTGCAAAGGAGGAAATCAATTCTTTATATTGAGAGAAGTCTGTTCAACATGGCATTCTTTCCTTGATGATGACAATGTTTGGAGAGCCATGTATTTGAATTACTTAGAAAATCTTATCAAGAGTTATTGGGATACTGTTGGAGCATATTATGGTTTTAGTGAGAGTCATCCAAAATCTGGTCTCCAACCAAAGAAGAAGGAAGGTATATCCATCAAGTACAGATTATTGAACAAGAGATACAAATTTTTAAAAGCCCTCCAAAAAGAGTTGACAACAGCCAAGCCAATTAATTTTATACCAACAGCTGAACCTGAAATTATTCATGTGAGAAGAGGAACAATTGCCAACTTTAAACAGTTTGAAAATTTGGAAACCAGAAGAAGAACATCCAGCTCTACTGATAGACTCACATCTCCCAGATTTGACGACTTATCAAACTTTGTTGGATTTGGTTTTCAAAATCCAACTAGCCCTCCATCCAGCACTGCTATTCCAAACTTGATGTCTCCTCGAAAACACGCCCATTCAACAGCCTCTCTCTTTGATATGAAAAAGGCACCTGTTAAGAAGAGCAAACCTCCAAAACAAGAACAAGTTGAGGAATTATCATCCAAGCAAATCTATTTAGAATTGGTGAAAGATGAAACAAGATCAAGAATTCAGATTGGACTTAAAATTTTGCAACCTGTTCAATTGGTTAAATGTCTTGTGGATAAGGAGTATAGCATATCCAGAATGACCTACTTTTTCTTCCCTCAATTGTATTCCCCTGTGGCTAAATTTTTATCCTCTGCCAAGAGTATTATTGTTGGAAAGCTTGAAGTCTCTGAAAAGAATCGATTCATGACCGAGTTATTCCAACATATTTCAGTTCAATTCTTTTCTCTATTCTTGATGGGTCTTAAAGCACTAAAGACCAACTTGATTACAAATCCCATTGATTATCCTGAGTTTTATGGAGAGTTGAGGAAAATCATGCCTTCAGAAACTGCAAAATGTTCAAATAGCACTGAGGCTCAATTTTTAGCTGACAAACTAATTACCAAATACTTTACACTTGTTGTGGATAGATTGAATCCTGAAATTAGTTTTGATGTATTATCACTCTTTATGGATTCCTTTGCCCGTATTGGTAAGAACAAACTTCTCGTTCTCATACTTGAGAAGGCAAAGGAAAAGTTTTTCGATTATGAAACGCAGCTCACTCCTCGTTTAACCAAACTGGTAGACCATGGAAGAGGAAAAATCAAACACAAGAGTGCTGAGAGTGATTTTCTCCATTTCGTGATCAACAAGATAATACCTTCTGCAGCAATGGAAGAAGGAGATTATAGACATATTGTAGATATGCTCTTTGATATTATGCAAACTCATTACGGAATTGATAATAAGCAAATAGCTTCTCATTTTAAGAAATTGACATCTACAACAACTGAAAGTATTATTGACCCTCATATTTCTATTATTAAGGCATGCTTTCAAAATAATGGTGAAAATACTGTAGCTCTTTCATTCTTTGATTACCTAATTGATAAGTTTTCTATTGATATGAATAGAAAAGAGATTTTATTCTTCCTTCTTGAGAATATTAATATGGCACCTTTCTTGGATTATGCTAAAAAAATGAACAAGATTGATCCAAAATTTGTGAGCAGATGTTTCCATAGCAAACACTTTGCAGAATTCCTACTTACTCAAAATCCAACAATTATTCTTGATCGTTTATTTACCTTCTTTAATATGGACCCTCTAGCAGACTTTGAGAATGAAAATTCATTCAAATCAATAGAGGAAGCTTGGAAATCATCAATTAGTACCGGTAGGAATCTCATTAGAAGCTCTGGAAGTTTCAAAAATAAGGACAATTTTCTCAAGATTATTAGCAAGATTGAAATTAGGAATAATGAACCAAAACCTGTCTACTCTCTTGACATTTTGCAAATTTACAAATTATTATGCACAAGATTTAGAGAACAAGACAAGAAATTCAACTTGCAAAAAATTGATAGAGATTTGAATATTGGTGTCAATTTAATTACGCATGTGTTTGTCAAAGATTTTATCGACAGACCTGAGAGTTTATATGAAATTTGTGATTTACTAATTAATCATTCAAATGTTTTGATTGATTGTAAAATTCTCAAGTTGATTCTCATGAAGAGTGAGCTAGTTGAAAAGCAAACTGGTTATAGTTCATTATTACCAAATATTCTTGACAATGCCTCGAAAGCACTTGAACTCATCCTAAACAATAGTGCAATGATAATTCCCAAAAATCCAAATTCTAGCATGAAATCTTCCATGCACGGCTCAGATATTATTGGCTATTCTGAATGGTATCTGAATTACAAGCTCACGAACGATCCAGCTCCACTGGTAGAGGAATACATTCAACTGTTTGAGAGGACACAAGCTTTCATTGAGAGAAATAGACTCTATGGTAACACATCAAACTTTGGCTGTTTTTCATGTTGTTACATGCAGTAAATCCATTAATTAACTTCAAATGTTATTTGAAATAAACATATTGAAAGCCAAATCAATCTAAATTGATTAACGATTAAAGAATGCAAAGATTATCAACCACTTTTGTATTATCAAATTTAATAAAACTAAAAATTCAATTAATTATTTAATTTTTTTTGGTTTTTTTATTTTTTATCGTTTTCGTCACAAACAGGGCTGGTTGATTTACGAATAACTTCTTCAACAATCTGTCCAAAATCAACCTTAACTTTGGCAAATCTTACAACTGATTTTGCAAGAGATTGTTTCTTGAGTATTCTTCTGTCATGATAGTTTCCAGAAGTTGCATCGAATGGGAATCTGTCATTGTCCTTCTTCAGACGAGTACATCTTCTATGAACTACAACATTGAGGGTACTCTTCTTCATTACAGTACAAGACAGAACATTGTTCTCAACGAGCAACTTCTTGTCAAACTTTCCAACTACCAAATGGTGGTTTTGGAAAAAGGATAATTTACCGTTTGGAATTGGTTCAACATTTTCTAACTGTCTAAAGAATTCTTGGAGTTTGGTACTAGATCCATCTTGTGATTGAGCATTGACAGTTGCTTGTGTTGTTTCTTCAGCATCACAAGAAGATTCTTCTTCTTCATCCTCATCTTCCATCAATGATGGACAAGAATCATCTTCATCACAACCATCATCATTGTTGGAAAGAATTGGAGCAGTGGATGCTGAAGGTTGAGGAGTTTGATCAAGAGATTCTTCAACCTCTTCTTCAAATTCTTCCTCTTCGCACTCTTCTTCGCAATCTTCGTCTTGCATTTGATCTTCAGGTACTGCAAGTACTTCACGTTTAGCTTTTGCCTTTAATTCTTCTTCTTGTACCCAAACAGCCTTATAGCCTAGGTTTTGTCCCAAACCATACTCCTCAACATCTAAATCTTCTAAGAGCTGATTGACACAAGCACAAATTTCATCAATATGCGAAGAGAAGACCATTGCATCTTCTTGTTTCATCTTCTCTAAAGGATGTGCATTAGTAGTGGATGACTTGTCTACAGCAGCTGTTGTTGTTGTTGTTGTTATTGGAGTAGTAACAGCTTGCCACATATATTGTCTTCTTAATTGTACTAGTAAATCATAGAGTTTTGGATTACGTGATTGTACTGATTCTGGTGGTATTTGTAAGAGTCTTTCTATCGTCAATCGTTGTTGAGGAGTAGGATGCATTAAATTAAGTTGTTGGACGTTAGAAGATGTTGTATTGGAAAGGGTTGGTTGGCATGCTCTAGATGGTGGTGATACAGTTTGTTGTTGGTGGTGGTGGAGGGATTCAGGTTGAGTTAGATTGGTTGATGATGATACAGGAGCTTCGTATTGGTGTTCATTATTATTACTAGTTTGATTTGGATAGGAAATTGTAGTGCTCGACACACTTGCATTACTAACAGATCGTGATCGCTCAGAGTTTCTTACATTAGAAGAAGCTCTTGATCTTGTATTAATTAATTCGCCTTCATAGTGTTTAGAATTACTAGAAGTAGTAGTATTAGTAGTAGTGGTACTTGTTGATTGTACAACAGTATTATTGTGTGTCATTGTTTTCTTTCTATAGAGATGATTGGAAAATGAATAGTACGTTTTCAATAGATACTAGTATCGGTATTGATGTTTGATAAAAACTCTCAATGATGGACGTCTATGGTTGTTGGCCGTTGTGTTAGTTTGATAGAATTGAAAAAACTTCGTGATGGGTACTTGACAATACACGTTGTTGAATCTATCAGGTGGAGTCGACTAGAGTTGTTGAGGGAGAGAATCAAAATTTTTCTTATTGTACTACTAGAACAGAGAGAGATGATGATCAATGTAGATGTTAGCTCTCAATAATTATTCGGTTGTGCACAACAAAGAAATGTGGTGGATGGAGAAGTGAGTTTGGTGTTGGTGGTTTTTTTAAAGTCGAAAATTGGCAGTGGTAAAGACCCGCGAAACTTTTCAGCACAACCTCCATTTGCTAAACTCGTTCTCATAATGGTTTTTTGCTTGTGCGTCATTGTGTGATCAATACGGTGCGACCAAGAAAATTTAGTACCTTCACGTTGCGTCTTTTTGATCCCATAATGTGACTTGCTATTGCTGCTTTAAAGCAAAATATTTTGTGATAGACTTCTCCCGCCATCCATCAATTGACCAAAGCAGGTGTCGAATGCGAATATTGGTATTTGATTGTCGATTGGCCAAACGTCAATTTGTCAATACAATGCCAAAGAGTAGAAAGTCCCTTACTGGGAATGACAACACAATGAGGGAAATGTGTTAAGAATCTGGAATAAAAGGCAAGCGATCATTTGCCATCACCTGCTCAATATTCCAAATTTTTTAAGGAATAGATTATTCCAACAATAACGTGTTGGAAATTACTTCTCAATATTCACATTAAATATTATTGAATGGATTATTCAATAATAATATTTCTCATTGTTTTCATGAATAACATATTTTGGAAATGAACTTAACAATTTTACCTCTATATTGTCACTCACTCGGTTTCTTTTGAGGAAATATTTGAGATATACAACTCGAGAGAATGAATACCTTCGATATTAAGGGGCTGTAAGTTTCATACAAAACACGCAAATAAGGGATCGAAAAAGATTCACGAAAAAAAACGGCGAAAAGGTTTAAGGAGACCCTCTTCCTTATTTTGCCACTGTTCCATTCTTCCATTTGGATCCAAGGGTTTGATTACAGCAAAAAGTGTTTGTTCAAAGACCTTATTCAACTCTAACATCAATGGTTGGATCGGTATCGTAAATAATGTGCTCGTTTCAATACAACAAGTATTACAATTGTAAATATTATTAATTTGGTATCATCACATCAAATTGTTAAATGGTAACATCAAGAGAGATGGGTGATTCTCTTGCTGTATACTTGGTCAGATGTTTAATATTATTACATTGGAAATCAATTGTTAAATTTATAACTTATGGATATTGGATATTAATATTCAAAAACAACTAATCGAGATGGTAGTAGGAGTAAGAGAGATTAGTCCAATTGTTGAATGTGCTCTTATCTCAATAAGAGTTGGTTATTCTAATCAATGAAATGGTGAGGTATTTCTGAATTGGCCATGTAAAGGAGGAGATCTTTATGCACGTTATTACAATGTGATTAAATCATCCAAATTGTTAACCACTACCCGAAAAGGTGTTTTGCCAGTTGACTTGACATTTTACAAAATAACAATTATTGGATGTTGCAAAACGGTATTTTATCACCCCTTCTTAGCGCTTCTACCTCCATACAAAGATCCATTTTAAATATCCCCTGTGGATGTGATTAAAACAAGTTCATTTCAAAATCAAATATCAAATATCATACCACTCACCAACAATGAAAAACACGTGAAAAACGTGTTATAAACTTTCAAACTTGATATCTAATCTTAGATCAACACGTTTTCTCTTTTGAACTGTTTTTCACTGAATGCTTTGTATGGTTGGCAATGAACAGTTCATTGAGTTGAGTCAGTGATAGAAGTGCTCCTTCAGTTCCAACATCATTGTTTCTTGGATTGTGTTGGATAGAGAGCGAGCTATTTCGGTTAAATACTATACATTGCATTTGGAAGAAAGAAATATTAAAATGTTAATGAAGTGTATTCTACAGCATAATGAAGTGGCAATACTGTTCATGCACAATTGAATATTATTATAATTGAATATTTAATATTGAACGGCTATTTGAAAGTGGACATGTTTGAGAGATTCGAATATTTTTCAAGAAGAAATGGTCATTAGCCATACCGTAATCTAACACAATATTCGATCCATCAACACAACAATAATATCAACTGTCCATCATTCAATATTTTGTAAACAATTTACAGTATTATTTGATTGTATAAAATGTTTAGCATTCAGAGGTGACATTCGAATTCAAAAGATTTCACTTCCCATGTGAGGAAACCGACCATTTTTGAATTTAAACCTCCCTACCGGTCAGCTAGACTGTTTTGTAATATTCAAGAGTGAAATGGTCAACACACAAGTTTACAACGTGAAAATTATTAGAAATGTTTCTAATAATTCGCAGTAATGCTTGTTTACAATCATTGAATTGATAAACTTTTTTGAATCTCAGGAGGAATAACTATAATTGAACCATACCATGAATGTTGATAATTAGTGCTTCAACTTTTACAATATTCGAATTGAAACTCTTAACGTTTTCGAATCATTGTATAAAATCTATTGCTACTTCAAAGTACAATCAATGATATAAGTGAATGACTTATATTTGGGCTTGCTAAGAGTTTCACCTTCCTTTCTAATTAAATGGACGATATCAGACTAATCCAGAATTCAACAAGCAGAATGAGGAAGGTAAAAATGCATTCAAAAAGGACACGATACTGCAACTATTTCTTTCCAAATTCGTTATGCTGCACCAAAAGTCAACAATCAATATGATCATTGTATAAAATTTAAATTCATCATAATTCTCTTTTAATTCAACCTTAATTCAATATATTCGAAAGTTAATGAAAGTTATTAACAATCTTGAAAATGCAAAATAGTTGCAATTTCATTTTAAAAAAACATTATTCAATTGAATGAAAGTTTGTTATATGTGATTGGGTTATAACTTGCCTCTTCATATGAATGTAGCATTTGTTTACTATTATTATTATTATTATTAAAATATAAATTAACAATAAAGTTTAATAGAAAAAAATGATCGGAAAATGCACCAATACGGAATGACCATCAGTTTATAATTGGGAGAAAACTCCATCATTATCATGAACACACCATATATTATTACATTATATTTTGATTAATGATTAAATGTTTTACATCCATGAATAATTTCATCATCAATTTATTAAATAGATATTTTCATCATGAAGGATAACATTCAACAAGAACATCATTGGCAACATCATGTTTTAAATCATGATTGTATCATCCTAGAAAGTTTCAAAACTTTTCGGTGCTTTTGAAATTAGTATTTGGAGAATTGCAAATCCACACAGGAAAAGAGAGACTTCAAGAATTTCAAACCTCAACATGTTGTGAATATGGATAGTAATAATAGTAATTTACTACTATGGAAGGTTGGAAAATACAAATCATCATCCGATTATTGAACCATCATCAATATTGTTTTCTTTTCATAATAGTTTTTGTGGAAATTCATTATTTAGTAATAAGAAAAGAATTGGATGTGACAACAGGCTCTCTAAAGCCGTTATCTAAGTGTGATAAATCTCAAGGTGTCTTGGCTTTCATCCTTTCCACGTGTCTGTAGGTTTGTCAATTCTACCTCTCCTATTACCCAAAAAGTCGCATCGACTTGCTCAAAAGGGTGAAACTACATATTAACTGATGAAAAATGCTGCCACTACAATGAAAGATCTGAAATATTACTTCAATCCACAGATAATGAATGGGTCTTCTTGTGTATCACAAACCTGTCTCCAACCTTAGAAAGGCTATCATTGAAACTCAGCGATCCAGAAAAACTACATACTGAGTTGGGCCAATTAGATAATGGCACTTGGAGAAACTCTTGTATTATTATCAGAAAAGACTCCTCTATTTTAATCTCCACAACTCAATTTTACTAGGTAATGACAGTATTTGTGACAAATGTAATATCTCAGAATCCTTAGGATTTGATGGTCGTTGCTCTAGTAATGACTGGCTTGAACACCAGTACTATGAACACTTCTTTGCAATAATACAATTTCTCTTCTTAATTTGAATGGTAGAATTAACTTATCAATTTATTTATATTGAATCAACAATTCATTAATCTTAATTTCATTCTCTTCCATTAATTCCTGTAAAGTTTGACCATAATTCCTCACTGGCATAAAATCACAAATCAATTGAGGATCATAATCGAGTGATAATTCCTCTCTGATTTTTGCAACTAATCCAAATAAGGTTGTGTCCAAAGGAAGACACATCTTGGATGGTTGAATTTGTCTAGTTTCTTTTGGTCCTCCCTTTACCCAGTAATAAAACAAGGAATGTCGAATTGGCAGCTTGTGGAGGTTCGTCAACTTTAGTCTTTTTCTGAGAAGGTTCCAAAACAGAAGATGAGTCAGCACCATTGTTATTTGCTTGCATGGCCATTGCAGGTGAATTTGAAATTGGAACATTTTGCTTTCTCTTTCTTCCAGGAACTGGTGGTTTTCCAGATGATGCTGAGCTACCTGTAAGATTATCTCCACTAGCATCAATATGATTCTTTCTTCTTCTTGGCTTTGTTTCATTTGTGCTTCCACTTGCATTTGTTCCACTGTTGCTAGTTCTTGCATTCTTACTGGATGCAAGCCACGAATGCGAATTACTCTTTTCATAGAGTGAACGAGGTGTTTCTCCTTTGAAATTTTCGTCAATTAAAACTGAATCTCCCAATTCTTGTCTCAAAGCTTGAGAGTGAACTTTAAGTGAAACTGGAGTTCTCAATGGATGGAAAGATGAAGTATTCTCCCTTAGAATAGTTACAAAATCAATTCGATCTAAGAAATCCTCATTATGGTTCGAGAAGGAAATGACTTGAATTGGTTTTGGAGCATTTGGATCAACAGTAGAAAGTATATTGCCACTTGTCAAAACTGGAGTATTAGCTGAAGAAGCAGAGGAGGAAGAACCTGAATGTTGGTTCAATTGTTTGGAAATTTCTCTTCTCAAAACAATTTCCTCACTCTCACTGAATGGTACCCAAACATTGATATTCGCTCTCATTCTATTCAATGCACTGGAACGTTTCTTTGGTTTTTCATTGGCTACAGATGGAGAGGCGCCGACAATGGCTGGAGAGTTCATTAGCTGTGGAGATTCTGGAATTTCCTTCTTCATTACATCAGGAGTACTTGTTGAAGCAGAGTGTTGGGCGTGGTGGTGAGAAGGTAGTGATAATGGCTTGGATTGTGGAATACTGGCCTTATCTGTGTCCATTTCATCAATGGTCAATTGAGCTTCTTCTTCATCTTCATCCATGTCGTCATCATCATCGGTAATCATCATATTTGATGATGAACTCTTCATGAGTGGAGTATTGCTTGCTGTTGTTGTCTTCTTCTTAATTGAATCCAAATCCTTTTCAATATTTGGAGTTGACAAATCTTCTTCATCACACAACAATAAATTTTCGTTAATATTAGAGGTGGAACTTGATTTGACATGTTCCTTCTTGTCCATCGATGGAGTAGAATCTATGGTTACAGAACTGGCCAACACTGGAGATGTTGAACTGGTAGCTAATGGGGGTGTGAAATCACTCTCGTCCAATCCATTCTTTTCAACATAAAAGTATTGATTCTGCTTCTTTTTACTCTCAGGGAAGGGTGGAATTTCATTCAAATTTGATGAGAGGAATGGTGAGCTAGATGAACTCATTGTTGGAGTGCTCGATGAGCCCAACACAACTGAATCTCCTTTCAATCTCTCCTGGAGTGGAACAGTGGATGGAGCAGAAAAGAGTGGAGGAACTACACGATGTTGATGTACAAAATTTGAGGTATTTGTTGAACCACCAGTCAAGATTGAACTTGGAGAAATACCCAACGATGGAGATGGGAAATTGACACCACTCATGAGTGCATTATTGAGAATGGCCTGAGTAGATTCAGCAGTGTTACCTACAGAGGAGCCAAGCATTGGAGAGAGATCGTAGGCAACTGAGCTTTGTCCCAAACTTGGTGAACTTGTAGATCCTCCCATGAATGGTGAGGAAATGGAAGTAACACTCTTTCTTCTACCAGTATCATTCTCCTTCTTCTTTTGAAAGTAACGATGTCTACATTGAATATCGGTTCTACCAGCGAGAAATTCAGCAACTTTGGTCCAACTTGATTCACCAAATTCCTCAACTTTTTCAATTAGGAGATTGTCTTCTTCTGGAGTCCATTCACCCTTAATAATACGTGGCTGTTTTAAATTGCATTAAATTACAAGTAAATTATATGAAGTTGTTTACAATGTATGATTAGATTAAATTTGAAAACTTTCTTTTTAGAAAAAACTTACATGTAGAACACGATGCCAATGCTGGTTACATTGATCTGCTGTGAAAATTCCTCCACAAATTTCACCAGCAATCTTTTTCCAATTTCTAGGTCCATATTTAATGACTGCTTCCTTGAGGAGTCTGTTCTGTTCTTCTGTCCATCGTTTGCAGGTTTTGCTTCTTCCTTTGGATAATTTCTCAGTGTTGGGTGTAAGGGAACTGTCTTCATCGGCAGTCTGTGGAGAGGAGACAGTAGTACTATCAGTTGTTCCACTGCTGCTATTTGGTGTAGTGCTGAGTGAGGAGGGAGTTTCTTCTCCCTTCTTCTTTCTTGGTTTTCTTGGTTTTGGAGTGGAAACTGCAGGAGAGGCCTGTTGACTTTCTAAATTACTAACTGGTACAGGTCTCATATTCTCTGGTATTTGTTTCAGTGCATTGGAAACTCCACCATTTGAACCATTTGAAACATCTTGGTGATCCATTCCAACCATTCCAACACTACCATTATTAGAAACATTATTCAATGCGGATTCCAATAAATTTGAAGGAACAGTTCCAGAAGCAACTAATTCTGAACTATTTTGTGCACTTTGTGTTGAAATGACACCCAAAGCAGGTGACATTTGATTATTATTGGCAGTAGAAGTCGAAGAAGGAGGTGAATTATGTTTCTTTGGTTGAATTGTTGATTGAGGAGTTGCAATTTGACTTGACAAGGTTTGTAAATTCACACTTTTAGGAGCATTTCCAGCCAAAATTGCAGAAAATGAAGTTTTTCTCATGATTGAACTATTCGAGGATGGAATTCCATGCATGGCCATTATTGAACTTGTAGATGGTAAATTGGGAAGTCCAGCAGAAGATGAAGAATTTGAAGCCATCGATTGTAACATTGTGAAATATTGTTGATATTGAGGAACAGCTGTTGTGGATTGATTCATTGTTCCACTACCACTACCACCACCAATGACACTGCTGCCACTACCACCACTACCAGTAGCACTACTTGTGGTGGTGTTGTTGTTGGTTGTGGTGGAAGTGTTAGTAGTAGTAGCACCAGTACCCATAGTCAAATGTCGAGCTGGTAAACCATTGTGGACGTGACGAACGGGTAATGATGATGAAATCATGGGACTATTGGAACCATTTGTGTTATTATTGTTGTTGGAGGAGGAGTTATTGCTTGCACCAGAGTTATTGTGGGAAGCAGCTGCTGTTGGTAGCATATTGTCAAAGGAATTTAGTCTAGTTTCGGATTGATGATGGTGAATGATGTTGTTAGTGTTGTTGTGGTTTGTTGTCCATAGAGAGGAAGAAGGAAGACATGAATTTGATATATTGATTAATCATAGTCGTTGGTGATGGACATTTTGTTCGGATGATGAAAGAAATAATTATTCGAAAGTGGATTAATGATTTTTGTTTAATATTAAATAGAAATTTTACATACTAATTGTGTAACGCGACTGTAGATGAAGCTGTAGTTGTTGTGATGACGTTTGACAGTAAAAAGGAGGTTGGTGGTTTGATATTTTTTTTCTGTAGAGTTGTGTGTACAGTTTATTCGAAAAGGCAAGACGAAAGGTTTGGCGGTGAAAAAACGTTCCTACTTTACAATGAGGAAGGTGAGCAAAAGCGGGTTTCAAGACTTTTTCTCTGTGGTCCCTTCAACAATTCTCTTATTCTTTCTCAACATTGATTATTAAACAAATAATTAGATCTATTCGATTCTTATGGTACTAGTAATAAATCTGTTACAGCACAACAATTGGAATCAGAAAGCATAGATATTCTTATAATTGAGTCAATTAAGTGAGAGCACTCACTCATCAGGTATTTGATCAAAATCTATTTCATCATCAACAATTAAAGGTTTCAATGTTCGATTGAATTTCTTGCCGAGAGAACCTGGATGTCTAGTCATGTGGAATCGATCCTTATAAGTGTAATAAATTGCTTCAAAATCGTTTCCATAATTTTGGAATCCTTCCCATAGAGCTTTTAATTCATCTTTGGTCCAATATCTGGCAGCTTTTCCATCCTTTTAATTTGTTTAAATATGTCAATATATATGTTGAATATTTCAAAAATATCAATTTACAATAACTTACTCTTCTCTTCCATCTTTCAGGAGAAAATGCTGGTTCTCTGGTATCTTCCTCTAGCATTGAATCACCAAGTATGGAAACATCATCTCCATAAACTCTCTTTTCAATAAAATCCCATGCTTTCTTGGTTTTGAATGTGAATGACATGCCAATTTTCTTTTCCTTCTTTGCTATACTTTTGACAGCTTCTACAAGTTCTCCCTTTGAAAGCTTAATATTTCCAATCTTTCTCTTCTTTTTTGGAGGAGGAGGTTGTTGCTCAATTACAGTTTCATCGGAGAATATATTGTTATTATTTTCATCGCTTATTGGTGTTATACTACCATTATTACTGTGTGTGGAAGAATCAGTAAAAGAAGGTACAACAGCAGCATTGGAAGAACTTGTGGCAGAATGACGTCCATTCTTGGATGGGTTTGTTAATCTAAAAATGTTTGGTTTTTCCAAGAATAATTGAGATGGCTGACTCTCTTCATCAGAATCACAAATAATGGTTTGTGTAGAGTTGAGTCCTGGAGGTGGAATATCTGGAGTTGATGATCCATTAGATACTGCTGAAATACGTGAGGAGAGTTTCTTTGCCTCTGAGAAGGGAGTAAGAATATTGAGAGTTTGTCTCAATTCTTCTTGTTCTCTTGGAGGAGTTGGTGGCTCATCTTGTTGAGGAATTTCACTAATGGCCTCAGACATGAAACTTCCAATGGAACGAATATCATTATTTAAACTATCTGAAACAATGGAAACAATTCGAGGAACAACCAATGAATTGGCCAATATTCTCACATAATCTAACAATTTACCAGCTGCTTTATCTCTATCTTCCCCATTTTCAATATTCTTTCTCAAATCATCTTCCCACTTTGTGATCTTATAAATAAATTCTGATTTTTCAAAGGAAGCTCCCACAAATATTGATGAAAATTCATCCTCTTGTACTTCCGATAAAATTGATCTGATTACATCAATATTATTCAATACTCTCCTCTTGTATGTTTCTGGATCAATATTCCTAGATTGCTCCACTTCTTTCATGGTTTTTTTAAATTGTTGAAGACACATTCTCACCCTAATCGGAATATGACCATCATCATAATGTTGCTGAATATTTTCTATAAAGTGCTGATGGGAAGGATATTGTGCATTATGGTCGTCCTGATTCTCCACCGTGAGAAGATACTCCAACACGAGTGTATTCACAATATTTTGTGTTTGATCCGAAACTTCGTTATTTAACGACATTTTTTTTAAATTTTAAAAATAAGTATTTAATTTTTTTTGATTTGTTCGAATTTCCACTGGAAGGGCTTACATGCATGCTTTGGATGAATTGCAATTCAGAAAATAAATTATTTTAATTTTATAGAGTCTCAACATTACATGGATGGAACCCAGAAACAAACAGCTTGACAAGCACTCACTAACATACAATATTGTGGATTGAAACAAGCACTCACTTCACCGCTGTGTCTGAAATCTGTGTTTGTGAATGAGTGACAGAATTTTCCTGAACTAGTTTCAATTGTGAGCAGTCGTCCATCTTCTGTTCCAACAAATAAAAATTCGCTATTTGGTGAGAATGAAGCACCAGTTTGAGAAATTCCTGAACTTTGGGGAAGTGGGAAATTATTTTTCGTATAGAATGCCTTATCTTCCTCTGAGAGGACACTAATTTCATCATTGGTCTTTCTGAATAATTCCTTTCCATTGAAAGCATCAATTAGCGATATAGAATCTGATGAAACAACTGTAATATAATTTCCATCTGGTGAAAAAAGCATGGAAGAATAATCTGGAGTTTCTTGAAAAGTGAGAGCAAAAGTGGAAAATGGCGAGTCCAAATTTCTGACATCATATAATTTGATAACACCAGGCGGTGTAGTAACTGCCAGTACCAATCCTTTAGGATCATAGGCAGTAACAGGTTTTCCTGTAAATGCACATTTGTGTGTTTCCGATGATTTTCTCAAATCCCACAATCGTAAAGTATTATCAAGTGATGTTGATGCAAAACCATCATCAATAGGACACATGGACAAGGAGACAACCTTCTTTGTATGTCCTTTAAAGTATCTGAGAAAATTTCCATTATGTATATTTAAATATCTTATATCATCATTTAATCCTTCCTTGTTAGAAGCATGAATACAAGCATCTTCAGAGTGTGTAAATTTAACTAGACTACATCCATACTTTTTGCTGGGTATTGTTTTAGAAGGTTCACTCTTCGGAGTAAGAGTTGTACAATCAAACCATGTAATATTATCATCATCGGATGAACATAAAAGTGATTTTCCATCTCTAAAGAAATCCATTCCATTTATTTCTTTAGAGTGTCCTTTATAGACTTTTCCTAGACCCAACGATTTGACTACGTTAATGTTGAGTGGTGTTTGCATTTTTTTTAATATTAAATTTTTATAATTTAAATATAATATTAACAATTAATTTAATTGACTTTAAGGATTAATTAGAAATATAAATTACTATTATTGTAATGTAGAATTACTAAAATGATTGTCACAAAATTTATTCCTTCATTCCTAATGAGAATGATCTTGTGAATTCATGGATGAGGATGAACCATCTTCTGTTGTGGTAATATTGTCAACGAGACGATTAAAGATGATTGATAGTGCACTTGTGATACCTCTGAGTGGGGAAACAACCACTCGGACAGCAGAACTCGATGATGTTGGAAGAGAAATTACTGCAATACCTTGTTTAACTTCATTGAGGGCTGCTTCTGCGACTCCTGTCTCTGAAAATTGAGGATAATTATCAATGGAGGATAACATTTGACCTTCTTCCTCGGTGAGGTAATTATCTACCTTGGTGCAGATCATATGGAGAGCATCAACTGTTCCTGCAGCAAACATGGTCGTATTGAGTGAGAGTGTTTTCATGAAATTCCAAATTCCCATATTCACTCCTCGTATCATCGCACCATCCTTTCTGAATTCTCTTATTGGAATAAAGACCAAATCGCCAACACCTCCCACAATGTTATAAATTGACTTGATCGTTCTCAAACCAAGTAATAATTTGAAAATATCTGTTGGATTTGTAAAGTGTTTAAAGATGTGATTGGTAATGAGGGCAACCAAATTATCAACACCACATACTTCGTCTCCCCTCAGCACTTTGAAACTGGTAATTGTTAGGGAGGCATCACTAACTCTTGGCAGAGAAGATTTAATGGATGGATAATAGTTCAGGAATACAGTAATATCATTGATAATAACACGATCGAAAATAGTTAAGGCAGAGTCACCATCTCTGGTTATACTTGCTGTTGTTGTGGCTACAGAAGTGGTGGATCGAGTATTCAAGGAATCATCCTCAGGTGGCGAGAATAAATCAATAAGGAAATCAACTGTATGCTCGTGAACATCCAATTTGATGGGAACTACTTGAACAGTCAATTCAATGTGTGTTTGTTGTTCCATATCCTTATTGATTTTTAGGCCAACTGAGAGAAAGTCTTCATCGATATCGTATGTGGAATGTTTCCTAGAAATGAATTTACAAACAGAATTTAAATTATACCTATCATGAACTACTAAATCCTTCAGTTTCAGACTTATGTTAGTAACTTTGGTAGATTCATCTTCATCGGTTAATTCCACATATCTCAAAGATGTTCCAGATAAAATTACACTCATCTTTTCATTTCTTGTATCTTTGGAATTTGTCAAGTGAAGATATATATTCACATCATCAGTAACAAATAACTCGAATGTAGAATTGACATTCGATAGGAATTGATTCTTCTTGGAGCTCTGCTTATCAACATAGTCTTCATCAATCACGTAGGGCAATAATTTAGAGAAGGTCATTGTCTTGTAGTCCTCATAATCATCGTCTGCAACACTTTCCACATCAGAATCAACAATAAAGTAATCATCAACTTGAGATGAAGCAATTGAGTACATGGATTCCATTACACTCTCCTCAACCATCATGTAATTACCAGAGTTGTTGTAGCTGGTTGGCTTATTCAAAGAGGATATTATTCTTGTCAGAGTAGCCAAAGTGGTTTTGGACAAGTAGAAATGAAGAGTAGAATTACTGAGTTTCACCTTATCAAGTTCAAAACTACCTGGTTTGGTTTTGATCAATAAGTTTGCACAACCCACTGATAATAACTCGAAAAATCCGCTCTTTTTCATGATGGATGAAAAACCAAAATCTATGGAACTATTATCAGTGGCTCGCTTAGAAAGATCTGAAGAAGTTATGAGAGGTCCAATAAATCCTTCCACTGTTTCCAAATCTATATTGATCAAATTTCTCTTAGTCACACTCGAGAGGGTTGGATAAATGGAGGCCAATATAGTACAATTACAATCACTTTGTTGAGAAATTTTCGTTTTCAAATGATTGAGATAGAGGTAAATGGAAGCATCTGGTGATTTGAAATTGAGTATGGTATGATCATTTTGTACAGTAATACTCATAGCTTTTGGAGGGTCCATTGAATTGGACTCTTCTCTACCACTCTCTTCGGTTTTGAAAAAGCTTGTTAAAAATTCAATGGTCTTTAAATTTTCCATTGAAAAGTCAATACAAAGTCCACATGTTTGAATATCTACAAAGGTTGTTGAAGGGCTAGAAAGGAAGATTACCTTGATTGCTTGATCTTGTTTGGTGAATGGCTTTAAAAGATTGGAGAATTTGTTAATAATGCAATTCTCTACTCCATCAAGTCTTTCTGAAACTTTACAATTACCAATATCGACAATGGCCTTTGAATCCTTCCCTTCCAATTGGAATTGGCCACTCACAGAACTCAAAGCAAGCATTACACTGTACAATTCACCAGAGAGCAACACCTCCAATTCATTAAAATTAAATAGTATTGAAAATTCAGAGGAGTCTGTCTCCTCGAGTGAAGGGCTAGAAAGTTGTTCCATATCTTTTGATGAGAGAATGGATAAAATCTCATTAGTTATACCCATTAAAATATGATATTGGTATTGATTAAGAGAGCCTGAGGCTCTGGTATTCTTGTTTCCAATCTCTACCGAGTCCTCCCTCAAGGAAATGCTCATATCGGCGAGAGAGATGATTTCACTTCGTATATCTGTATCTTCATCTGCAAGGTGAACACTGGAAGAGGTAACCTCAAACTTGTAATTATTATCTGATTGAAGACCAAACATTGAAGCATATAGTACAGTGTTACTCTCCTCTGATCGAATGTCAATTTCTATGAGTTCAATATTTACAAATGGTGAAACTGTCTTTCGAATAATAGTGGAGAGATCCTTATTATCGTTTGGATCATCATCATTCTCATCTCGATAGGGCTGATAAATTATAGTTTGAGGATTCTTCTCCTCAAAAGATTGATGCAACTTTACAATTCTACTGATCAATTTGATAGATTCTTTGAATAGAGTGATCAATTTGATATCCACAATTACAGCTCCAATGTGAACCATCAAGGCATTTTCTATTGGTGTGAGTGGTAGCAGAGCAGTATCATCAGAGGTTTTGACTTTTGAAAGCTCATCCACAATAAATAATTGGCCAACATCAATTGATGTTGTAGTGTGTAGAATGCCATCAAAGGCAGATTTGTATCTCATTGCAATATCATTGAATACACAAACAACATGAGGAACTGTAATATTTTGAGGCTCAATCATTCCAAATTCTGATTTCCAATCAATATCCTGTTGGTCTTTGAAGAGTAATATTCCCTGTATCCTTCCAGCTTCAAAATTAAAATCCATATAGAATCTCTCTTCAGTTTTAACATCTTCTGTTCTAATTTTTGACTGCTGCTTTCTCTTGATGTGTTGTTTCTTGTCAAATATAAAGGCATACATTCTCAGCATCATTTCAATTCTTGAAGGTGAAAGAACGAGATGCGCCTGGTCACACTGTACTGATAGATTAATCTTTGATTTTTGAACATCAACTGAAACTGTCAGAGAAATCATACCATTGGCATACATGAAATTGTTCTTCATGTCAATATCCGTTGTAATTGGTTTGTCTCCAGATTGAATAATAAATCCATTCTTTAAATTCATAGTATAACTGTACACCTTGTTAGAAGAGCTGTGATTGGTATTATCAAAATAAACCACCTGAGGAATGAATAAACTAATAACTTGATTCTGAGGCATTGAAATATTAATTGTCACGTTTTGAATATTGATTGAAAATTTGGAAATAAAAGCATCAACTGCACTGAATAAAACAGCCTCTCCCTCACCAAATTCTGTCATTGGAGAAGCATCACCAATATCACTCCTATCAGACCATTGAGAAGTAAGCATATCCGAAACTGATTGTAACATTACAGATGATTGAAGCATGGAATTTGACAAGTCAGTAAATTCATCCACCCATTTAATACTCAATAAAACTCCAAATACTGCCACTCTAATACTCGATAAATTATTTACCATATTAGACATGTGTGGTATTCTAATAGAAATGTACTCAATATATCCTTCAGTTATTTCCAAATTCCTAACAGAACATGCCAAGAATCGATTCAATACATCAACTCTAAATGTAACATTCTCAATCTTGTAATAATGAAAATTATTGGGATTAATGTTTTCTGAAGCATCAAAACGTGTTGGTAGAGAAGTCTTAATTTGATTCACTGATATTGGATGAATCAATTCCCATATCGGAGATCTTTTCAATACTTCTAGCACAACTTTTTGATGAAGGGCATTAGCTAGTGAATTTCCCATTCTTTCTATTCTTTTTAAATAATAATAATATTACTTCAGTAATCGAAATATCAGAGAGATGTTGTTCAATATGACCACTTCCGATTCTTTTTGATGTTTTCACGATCACGTTTGGTGATGTTTTTTTAAATAATATGAATGACCAATCGTGTTTCAAACTACTTTTAACGTGATGATCGGAGCCTATGAGGAAGTAACCTCCATGAATCTATTTTGTTGTTATGGTGATGGTAAGCGTTGATTTGGTATGTGGCCTTTTTTTAAATTAGAATCTTTTGGTTGTTTTCTAATTGAACAGAATTCCCTCTTATCAAAAAACTAGTTTCAAATCTTTGATAAAAAATATGTTGAAGAACACAACAACTCTGGAAGGAATTTAATTCATCATCCATTGATGTATACAATTCGGAGATTGTTAAACAAATTTATAAGAATGAGCTTATTTAAAACTGAATTCAATTATCAAAAAATGGATCATTTCTTGATTGCCACCGTGTTACAGTTCACTAATCATGCAACAGATTGGAAAATTTGCAAACCATACCTTGTGTGTAAGAGTTGGTACACAGTAATCAATTCGGAACACTTTGTAATGTTTTATTTGAATAATATTTATCAGCGGAGGAAACATTCTAATGATCAATTGATTGATCCAATATTAAAATTGGTTTCCAAACAATTTGCTAATATATCTAATCATGCTGAGAGAATGCCAAAATTTAATAATGATACACAAAAGGATTTGGAAAATATAAATCAATTATTAGCTCATCATGATTCTTCATCAGATTTTCTTGGATATTCTGGATTGGTGATTATTGGTAAAAAAGTGGAAATTGAATTCTTTCACTTGTGGGAAGATTGTAAACAATTGGAAATGGCATTTAGAACTTTTAATTTGGTCGAAACCATTAAGGATATAATTTGTAAAGAAATGATTCTCTACGAATTCAAACCAATATTTCAAAAAGGAGAATTCAATTATTTTGTGTTGAAAAAGAGGAATCTTACTTGTAAGTTGCATTTATTTGTAAATCCAACATCTAATTAATGCAGATGTTATATTTTGTAGAAGTGTAAGAAATGTGAATACCTTTTTGGTTTTTGAAACTCTAAAATTGATTCATAGAAAATTTAAACACCTGTCAGAGGAATCAAAATCATGTGAAATGCTAGAATTTTTGATTGACCCTTTTGATAGTTCTATTTTGAAGAGAGAAAAGCCAATTCAAGAGTTAAATATACCCAAATCCACCCAAACGTTATTATGGCATATCAGAGAACATAGATTTACATATCTACATCTCGATATTATAGAAAGAGTAGCAATAGTGAAGAATCTTAATAATTGTACACTAGAAGGTACTTTCTCGTTTAGCTCAGATTGTTCAGGTTCTGCCAAAATGGAAATTTTGATATCTCTAAATGAGAAATTCAATAATTTTATTGAGATTCATGAAGGAACAGAAGGATTGAATGGAAATTATGTGAAACGAAATGAAACTAATTTCAAAATATCTCCTTCTAGGTATAAAATTCCTACCTACAAGTTTCCAATTTGGCCAGAACCATACATACGTAATGAATCCGTAACATACACCATTAGATCATTTAAACAACGTGATATCAATCCCATAGAATTATTTTTTAATATCAGAGTTGTTAATCAAACAGTAGAATATTCAATTATCAAAATATTAATGGGAATTGGTGTTAAAAGATCAGAAAAAGTATTCAACCTCAATGTCAAGATTCCACTATTGAATCCTTTAACAAATATTGTAGGAATTAAGAAGGGAATGAAAACCATTGGAAAATTAGAAAGGGAATCAGATAATTTACAGTGGAATATTATTGAACGCGTTCCAAACGATAGACAACTCAAGTGCTCAATATTTATCCAAATACCATCGACGATAAATCCAAAGAATGTGATTGGCAAACCAAACCTTTCCTTTCATATGAAAAATACTGCTTCTGGATTTGGATTTCACTTTTCACGAAATGTTTCAAAGGAAAATTTTGTGACCCATGTGAGTTTGCTAACATTTTACAAAGTTTATTTTGATGATACGTGAACTTAGTCTGTATTGAAGAGATGAAGCTTTCCCAATAATGAAACATGATCATATTTGTTTTAGAATTATTTAATGCTGATTCAAATCAATCAATGTAGATGAAAGATAAAGCACTTGAAAGATTACAAAATGAACTTATTATCAGAAGTGCAAGAAACAATTTCACACTGCCCAAAGCCATCAAATTACTGATCTTGTGAAACTGATTACAAAACAATAAAACTAAACACTCTTAACAAGAATTTTCTAATTAATTAATATCAGAAAGTGCACAGATGATATGAAAATGGTGAAAGTCTCAAGAGAAATATATACACATGCACATGAAACTCTGAAATTGCACCCACACAACTGAACCAAAATCTTCCAATTATAAAAAATGTCGCAATCTTCTTCCTCCTCTTTTGAGTTGAATGTACAATCACTAGTGCAAACTCTGATAGAATATAATGGAGGAGATAATTTTCATATAGAGGCCATCTATTTGTTCGGCTCTCGTTTGTATGGAATTGAAAATACATATATTAGTGAATCGGATCAAACAAAAAGTGATTATGATTTCATTATTATTACCAATAGAAAGGCTGATGAACGAGAGGGAATCAATAGGAATAATAGACTTCCTTCCGATTCTCGAATGACTTTAGAGTTGAGTTGTGGAGAGAATCAGATGGATTGTGTAGTGATGGATGTTTCACATTTTCTGATGGATGTTTTCATTGAGCAACACAATTACAAATCCATTCTACCATTGTGGCTTGAAAATGGAGGTCAATTTGTTTGGTTTGAATCAAATTTAATGAGATGGATTAGAACGTATTGGATGGCCCTATTGAATATTAGATTGAGACAAATTCAGAGAGGTCTCACTTTGTGGTGTAAGATTACAGCTAAGAGATCATTCAATGATGGAGATTTGAAGAGATCTAGGAAAAACCTTCTCCATTCTATACGTTATTTGAAATATGCCATTCACATCACAAAGGACAAGAAGATTGTAAAGTATAGAAATGCAAAAAAGTTTCACCAATTATTCTTTGAAAAGACAAAAGAATTCAACTTGTGGAGAGAATATGAAGAAATGTTTAGACCAATACATAAGTTGTTCAAATCTAAATTGAATGATGCATGTTATGAAATATTCAAAAGTTCACAAACATTCTCCAATGAAATTATGAATGAAATTATTGAGAAATCCATACCCTCCACTGCCTTTTTAGAATATTGTAAACGGTACGGAGTTACAGAGTTAGCACGAGACTTTTCAATTGTAGTTTCACCTCTCTTTGAATCTAAAAAAGAACAACAAGAAAAGCAAGTCATTTTGGGAGAACAGCAATCCTCGCCAACGGCCATATCCCTCATTGAGGGAACCTATCATATTCCTCAAGACCAATCAATAATTGACCTCATCAAGAAGGAATCTTTCATTTCAACCAAGTTGGTCAAGATGATTACTCACAGAGAAGTTCACAAAAGATTGGACGATTTAATTCCTCTTCAGGAATGTTGGAATGGCTCTATTGTTGAAATGCATCCACCATCCGATTGGACCAATACTCTAGACAGGGCTAATATGAAACTTGTGGCCCATCCATACAAGTACTTTTTCCAATATGATTCTGATGCGTGTGACAATATTCTTTTAAAAACAAATAGCAAACCTGTAGAGAATCAATCCATTCAAGTCACAATGAAATATGTTGGCACCATGTGTATGCTCTTTTATCATGACAATGAGTGGAGAATTAGTACAAATCAATCTCAAGATTGGGAATATTTATATGGAAGAAGTGATCCGTCCACTATGAATAAGAATGATACACAAACAGATTTTTGGAAAGTATTTGAAGAGGGTGGATATTTACTCCCAGAAGATACCACCAAATGTTTCATGTTCACACTTTCCTCTGTTCCATTCTTAAGTGAAGGAGATTCATCTAGTAATTTCTCTTCTCGAGAGCTCATAGCTCATGGTTGCAGAGATATGAAAACACTCAAGGAAGAATCCATTCAACCACACGCAGAAAGATACAATTGGAAACATCCAGAAATTATTGAAATTATACCAAAAGGTCCTTACTTTGATATTGTAGAACAGACCAAATACAAACCAAAAAAGAGACCTCTCAATGCAAACATGTGGAGAAAGAAACCAGATGATATTTGTGTCAACTTGCCATTATTTAAAGTTTTTGAAAAATATATGGAGCTAGCCAATGACTTTTCTACAATGGATCCGGAAAGATATTCTGGATTTATTTTGTGTGATCAAGATTTTGTAAGAGTCAAGATTGAAACTGGTATTTATTATAGCATGTCGTATTTGGAACTTTTCAGAGATTCAGAAACTCAAGAAACTAGTGTAGACTCTGAAAATAATCAAATGTACATGATTGAAATGGTTAGAAATTTGAAATCCTTCCTCTCTGAAAGTGTTCAAGAACTTGTAAATAGTGGAGGCGACTTGTCTACACTTTCTGAAATGACCACTGATCTCAAATTGGTGAAACATTACGTTCCAGAATTTTTCAATCTCTACGTCGAGTATAGAAACCTGTACAAGATTACATGCAATTTAATGAATGTTGTCCACGCAAAAATTCAACAAGTAGTTCAACAACAAATTGAGAATGGAACATTGAAAGAAGAGGATATTAACAAAGTGTATCCAGACTTGGTTAAAGAATACTCACCACTCTCCCGAACCTTCCCACTCATGTACATGAGAAAGAACCAAATTGATAATTGTTTCAATCTATTCACACGAAAGAATTACCTCCACACAGAAGCCATTCACAATTTACTGACCGAGTGTAGACAAAAAATTGATAAGGTTCTTCCATTCCTCACAGAATAGAACTATGGAAATTGGTTTAAAACTAATTATTTATCATTGGACAGTAGCAACCATCCAAGTATCTCTTCCACCAACACATTTCACACACCAATGGCGGCACACAAACAACTTGAACCAAACTTTACAATGTTCATCTCTATCATGCATCATCCTCAGATGTAAACTACACAAAACATCAACATTCAAAACGGAGCCAATCAAAAACATCTAATAAAAAATTTTCTCAGTCCCAACTCCGTTTACAAAATTAACGCTCCGATTTTTTCAAATTTTTTTTTTAGCTTTAAAAAAATGAAATCACAATTCGCCAAGATTCTCGCAGCAGTTTTCTTCTTGGGTGTTGCTTGCCAATTAGCCTTGGCCGACATTCCAGTCCACTGCTTGTATGAAAATGTTTACGGTACCTGGACTTTCTACAAGACCGAACCAAACTATGATAACCAAGTTATTTATAATCAATGTTCTATTGATAAGAAGCAATTGCCAACAACCAAGCTCGACACTGTTACTATTAAACTCTCTGAACCAAATATTGCCATCTTGATGGGTAAACCAACTGTCCGTGGTCATTTCACTATGGTTTATGACCAAGGTATGGAAATTAAAGTTGACGGATTGAAGTACTTTGCATTCTTCAACTATACTGAAGCTAATGTTAACAATCACACCATTGTTACTTCTCACTGTGACCAAACCTTTGTTGGTACTTATCACGATAACTCTATTCCAGCTAAGAAGTGGGGTTGTTTCAAGGGATTCAAGTCATCAAGCTTCCAAGCTAAGACTGTTCACTCCATTGACCATGCTGAAGAAAAGATTAAGAGAGATTTTGAACACTCCACCGTCTTTGTTAACAATGACAGATATATTCAAGCATTGAATAAGGCTCAATCCACATGGAAGGCTACTGCTCACAAGCAATTCGAAGGTATGACCTTTGCTGAATTGAAGAGAATTACTGGTTCATACAGAAGAAGTTATCAAAAGACTAGAAACTTGAAGAAGCAACAAGCCAAGCTCAGAGCTATGAATGCTGATAAGGTTACCCTTTTCAATGGTAAGACTGGTCAATTCGAATCTCAAGATGCTGAAAAGTTGAGAGCTTCTCTCCCAACTGAATTCGATTGGACTAATGTTAATGGACGTGACTTTGTTGTCCCAGTCAGAAATCAAGAGGTATGTTTTTTTTAATTATTTTTTATTTATTTTTTTTATTTATTTTTTATTTATTTATTCAAATATGGACATTTATTTAATTGAATTACCAAATATGGAAAAAGCAATGCGGATCTTGCTACGCTTTCAGTTCAAGTGACATGTTTGGCAGTAGAGTTAGAATTCCTTCCAACCTTACTCAAGTCCCAGTTTACTCACCACAAGACATTGTTGATTGTTCTGCTTATTCTCAAGGATGTGATGGTGGTTTCCCATTCCTCGTTGGTAAATATGCTATGGATTATGGTCTTACTGTTGAAAGTTGTGACCCATATCAAGGACACGATCTCGGAAAGTGCAGCAATCAATGTCCAGTCAATAGACAACAACGTCTCCATTCTTCAAACTATTACTTTGTTGGTGGTTATTATGGTAACTCTCACGAATTGTCCATGATGCACGAAATTTATCAAAATGGTCCACTTGCTATTGGGTTCGAAGTTTATCCAGATTTGAGAAACTACAAGCACGGTGTTTACAAGCACGTTACTGCTGAAGAATTGAAGGCTCAAGGTCTCTCTGAAGATGAAATGATTCCACACTTTGAAGTTGTCAATCATGCTGTCTTGATGGTTGGTTGGGGTGTTGAAAATGGTACTCCATATTGGAAGATTAAGAACAGTTGGTCAACAACTTGGGGAGACAATGGTTACTTTAAGATTTTGAGAGGTTCTGATGAATGTGGTGTCGAAAGTGATGCTGAAGCTGGTATTCCACTTTTCTAAATAATATAAATTATATAATTTTTTAATTTTTTTTAATTCCTTTTTGGGATACAAATCGATAAAAGAAATCTATCGATCAACATTGCAGAAAATTACCACCTCAACCTCACTTCACCTAAAAGCACAGACTGATAGATCTGTTCTACTGAATTCAATAGAAAGCAGTTCACTTTAACAAAATTACAAATTTATTGCCTTAATAATTCGATAGGTATTCAGGGCTTGTTTCTCACTGACGAGATTGTAAATGGTTGAACTAATCATACCTCCTGGATCTGAGTGAATACAAAAACTCAATTTGAATTTCTCTCCATTATTTATCTTTTCAATTCTCCAAGCAACTGAATGAACAAAACCTCTAACATTTCCTCTTCGATAGGGAGCTTGTGAATCCTCCATTTCTGGAAAATCAGAAACTGACTGACATATCAACCATGCTACATTTTCACATTCCTCATAAATATCATACTGAATCACAAATTCTCTATTCGAAACAAATCTAGTATTAGTATTGTAAACCTGAAAGCAAATTCTCCAATTCTTTTCATCCAACATGGCAATACTCTTCAATTCCTCCAAATCTGGATCCCACTTTCTCCTCTGTTCCATATCATTTTCCTTTGTAATATACGAAAACAATTCCACAATAGATCCATTCGAATATTCAAACTCTGAAACTCCAAGCCATTTGTAAAAGTTTGATTCGGGAGGTGAATTTCTAAAGAGTGAGGTCACTTGTTCCACTTCTCTAATTTCCTTCTTTTTTTCCCATAGTTTTATTCCTTTAATAGTATTATTATTATTCATTGTATTGCTGGTATTATTGTTAATATTGGTGGTTGTTGTATTTACATTTGTATTATTATTATAGATATTGTAAGAATTGGGAAAATGTTCATTCATACAAGTGTAGAAATCATATTTAGCTTGTTCATAGCATTGATCAAGTGAGTTTCTCCAATTGTTGAGTAGTTCGGGAGTGGAAATTATTTGTTTACTCGGTTTTTGATCCTTTTGATTGAAATTCATCATCATCATCAATAAATTTACTAATATAATTGAAATATAATTATTTAAATTAAATCTTAAAAGGGAGGTCCTGTTTGTTATCTTTGCTTTTTTATTTTCTATGTATTTTCAAAATCATCATCTTTGTGTTTTAGTAATAATTAAAACATAATCATGGATGTTTTGTATAATACTTGAAGTGAGTCGTATTCCATTCTGATCCGATCCTTGATTGCTCATCAAACTTACAAAATCACATTATCTTCCACCACCACCTGACAATAACTCAATATGGATGAATAAGCAAAGCTTTCTCTGTTAAACATTTTTGAATAGTTATAGACCATATCTGCAACAAATATTAATCCAATCAAAATATGGTTCAATTTCAATCAAGTCAATTCGGAATAATTGAAATTCAATCGAGTTCCATGTAAATGTTGTAAACATGTTGATAGTACAACAAATGCAAATTTAAATTATTGAAATTTCATCTACAAGGAGAATTGCACGATTTTCCAATTCCAAATAAATTCACTCAATTGGAACTCGATTACAATAACAAAATCAAAAAAAATGACGCAAATCAAAGAAGTGAAACCTTTCAAGTTTGATTCAAATACTAAAAAATGGATCACTGTACAATTTGATACATCACATCAAGGGCTTTCCATAAATGACTCATTCAAATTGGGTTCTTTAAATATTATGGACGAAAAGTACAAAATTATTCGATCGATTATTATTAGAGATGACGAAAGATTTGTTCACACGGTCAAGTTGTTGGAAGAGGAGAATTTTAATGTACTGGCTTTGAATGAAGTGACTCCAAGGTTTTTGAAGAGATTACAAGATTCTGAATTCTTTTCAAAGAACTATTTCTTTACTGACATTGTCAATGATGATGTGACAGATTCTGTCAATAAGAGTTTGGGAAGTGGATTTCAAGGCAATTTAATCTTATCTAAAGTTTGCCCAATAGCTGTTCATTTGATTGAAAATCCAATTTCTAAGCATTTTGTTTTGGCAACCTTTGAATGTGACAGCACTGAAAAATTGTGCATGATTTCAGCTCATACTCTTGCTTATGCAAAGAATGTTGAACAGAGAAAAACCGAATTGAAATCAATTGCCAACAATTCATATGTTCAAGAAATGGATCAGGTGATCATTTTGGGAGATTTAAATCTTCATGCCGAAAGTGAAGACGAAATCATTGAGGAAATTGGATTTAGAGATGTTTGGAAAGAGACCAGAAGTGATAAGGGGTATACGTTCGATCCACTGATTAACAGTTTCATTAGATTTAAATATCTAGGAATGGAAAAGAGGAGAATGAGATTGGATAGAATTCTTATTCGAAACTCAAACACTCTTGGAGCTTGTCAACCAATGAAACTCTTTGCGAACAAGCCAATTCATGAATCTTCCAAACATTTAAGTGCTGAACCTTTAAATACACCACTCTGGTACACCCTCTTTAATATTCTATTCGGGAATATCAATAGAAAGGATTATCTATTCTATTCTGATCACTTTGGAATGAAAGTTCAATTGAAAAGGTATGAAAATCAAAGTGACCTATTGAAACAACATCAAGCAATTAAGGAAGAAGCTATAAATCTCACTGAAAATCATGTAAATGATAGATATTCATTTGTGAGAAAGGCTCTTCTTTCAATTTTCATATTATCCCTAGCATATTTCGTTTTTAGGTGGTAATCAATTTATAATAAAATATAATCATTAAAAATGCACGATTCTCTCTACTTTTAGGGTTTATAATTCTTGTATTATGTCAAGGGTTCAATTTCCAATTTCCAATCTTGTCTTATTAACTCAAGTTGAATGTCAACAAATCTATTCATTTATCCATCACACTCCACAATTTCCTCCTTATTTCATTGCTTCTCTCTTATTTCCATTAATTATATTTCCCACAAATGAAAACATCATCCAAAAAGCAATATAAGAAGGAAACATAATCTCATCCAACATGAGATAAGCCTTTGGTTGATCCTTTTTAAACAAACTAGCCAAGGCCAATATTCCAGACCAAAACATGCCACTCGTCAATGAGTACAAAGCCTTTCCACTCCACCAAATCATCACCCTCCTACTTATTACTCCTCTCCAATAATACAAATACATCAATTCATAACACAATTCAGCTCCATCTAAAAGTACTCCAATCTGGAGAAGGAATTTAATATGAATAGGCGTTGAATAGAATGTAAATGATCCAATACAACCCACACCCAAGGCTAACTCCTTCAATCCATAGAGTTTCATCCATTGCTTGGAGAGTTTCACTTTGGGGTTTGATGGATCTTGTGGGTTCTTCTTGGGTGATTCAATCGGAGGATCAAGTAATCCTTTGGAAAATGATGGGAATCCGAGCAGGGAAATACCAGAGAGAAGGCGAGAGGCGATTAGATCAACAGGCATTTTTTTTATTTTAATAAATTGATTGATTTTTGTAAAGTATTAAAATATGTTATTTACATATTTGGAGTATTGTATATTGTAATGACGAGCATAATATAAATCTAAGGAAAGAGTGTATCCGTCATGACTGTATATCTTTCTCTTTGGGAGGTTTTTTCATCTTCTCTTGAAGGTCTTGAGTTTACAAATTTCAATTCAGCAAATGATTGACACATGTCTCTAATCGTCCTTTCGAATGGAGTATATTTCAATCCAAGAGTTTTCTCAGCTTTGGATCCATCAATCTTTTTCATTTGGATTGAAAACTCACCAGTTGAGTTGGAATCATAAATTGGAAGAAAGTTAACATTCTCAACATGAAAGTCTTCTCTGAAAACTTGTGCAATTCTATTGAAAGTTTCAACATAGTTTCTTGTGGAGTGACAACAAATGAATCTGTTTCCTTTGGCTTGTCTTTTTTCCATTGCTAGAATGTGACAATTGGCAACATCTCTTACATCAACAATTCCAACATTATCAGAGTTGAATACAATGGAGGTATCTTCATTTTGAAGGAGAATCTTATAAATTTCAAGAATGGAAGAAGTTAGAACAGATTTCTTCAAAACATCAATCGATTCTTCAGAGCTTGTCAAATCTTGAATCATTTTCTCAACCTTTTCGCAGAGAATTTGATTGGATTCTTCTTGATCGAATACCTTGTTGGGGAATGGAGGTCCAATTACAAAGGTTGGTAGAACAGTTACCAATTGAATCTTGTGTGAAGAAGTTAAATATCTACAAAATTCCCAGGCAAATCTTTCAGCTTTGACTTTTGAAATTCTGTAGGCACCCATTGCATCTGTTAGTTTACTAGATTGATTCCAATCACATTCTGATACAATGCCACTTCTAATCAACACAATTTTATCATGATGATTATGTGTAAAATTCATTGTCAAGTTTGTTAATTTGAGATTGACTAAATAGGAAAATAACATACCTTGGAGGATTGTAAGGATTGAACAATGTTGCAGTACTACTGGTTAATACAACTCGAGTGACTTTACTTGTTTCACAAGCCTCCAATACCAATCTTGTTCCATTCACTGCTGGTTTGTAGTACATTTCCTCTGCCTCCTCCTCAGATGGTGGTTCTGAGTTGAAAAAGACAGGACTTGCAGTGTGAAAGACACAATAGGCACCTTCAAAGATTTTCTCAAGTGTCTTGGCATTTTCATCCTGAGTAAAGTCAATTACTTGAATGGAGAGTTGATTTTCAAAGATTTGTAACCAATGATTAATGTAGGGAAGTTTGGAGAGAATGTAGGCATCAGTGCTTGGGAATGATTCTTCATTGGGAGGTGGTCGAATAGTACCAACAACACGATATCCCTTACATAACAATTGGAAAGCCAAATGTCTTGCAATGAAACCATTGATTCCTGTCACTACACACAAGGTTTCAGATGGTTCGAGAAGGAGGTTATCATTTGAAAGACTTGGTGAAAGTAATGTTGATGTTGGTTGAGTGCTCATTTGAAACCAAACTTTTTTTTACAGTTTGAGCAAATTTTCAAAACAAGGAAAATCTCTTTCTGCCCACAAATAAGTATCTTCTTTAAATAGTAATTTTATTTTTTGGTCTTCTTTGCACCTCTAAAATTATTATCTTGACGTTTTCGTTTGTTATCATTACCACCTCTTTGTCTCTTTTGATTTCTATCATTGTTTCTATTGTAATTACCTCCACGTGATGGTGGTCTGGAACGACCAGCTGAAGATGAGGATGATTGATCGTATCTATTCTTAATAAATTCTGATATCATGTTAGAATCGTCCTTCTCTCTGTGAGAGTTAGTTTGATGCCTTCGGAGAATGGTCAATTTCATAGTATTTTCAACTGCAAATTCGACAATGAGACGAGCTGCTGAGGCAACCTTATTATCTTTGACTCTTGGATTGAGAATTTTTGGATTATTGTTAAGTCTTTCGAGAGCACACAAAGCAGCTTCATGTTTTTCAAATTCTACAAAGCCGAATCCCTTGCTTTGCTTGCTATCCTTATCCTTAGCAATCTTGACTTGAATCAATTTTGGTTTCTTTCCTTTACCCAAAGCTTCATCATATTTAATCTTATCCAAAACGAGATTCTTCAAATCCTTGTCAGTCCATGATTTTGGCAAGTTTTGAATAGCAAGTCTGGTTGGAGAAATGTGGTAGATTGGATTATTGAGCTTGGTATTCTTTTCAGCCCAATTCTTTTGAATCTTCTTCAAGTGTTCAGCTGGCATGTCCTTAGCCTCTGGACTGTTGGCAGCAATGAAACCAATTTTGGCCAATCTCAAATTTCTTGGATCGTCCTTCTTTTCCTTCTTCTTGTTAATTTCTTGGGATGATTGCTTAGAGATGGCTCTAGCAATGAGCAACTTTCTACCATCCAAAAGAACTTCACCAACATTTCTTTCCTCTTCTTCTTCTGGTTCTTTGGAAATCTTTTCAGAGGCCTTCTTCTTTTCTGGTTGTTTTTCAATGAGATTTCCTTCGGCTTCTCTGATACATTTCTTGGCATCCTTGAATCTCTTGAATTTGACGAAAGCTTTACCACTTGATAAACCATCAGTCTTGGCAACAATGGCAACATAGGCAACCAAACCATAGTGCTTTTCAAATATGGCCTTAATTTCATCTACACCAGCTTGGAATGGTAAATTTTGGACGAAAACTGTCTTTTTAAAGTCAGCAGCTGTTTGCTCCTTCTTTTCCTTAGATTCTTCTTCTCCTTCTGGTTTTTCGGCATCTTCCATTTGTTCATCAGCATCTTCTTCGCCAACACTCATGTCATCATCTTGATCCTCCTCATCAGATTCATCACCCTCTTCGACATCATCATCTTGATTGTCCTCATCTGCGTCAGCATCATCCTTTTCATCATCGGATTCTTCCTTTTCCTCTCCATCAAATAATTCATCCAAACTACTCTTAGATTCCTTTTCCTTCTCTCCAAAATATTCCTCAGGTTCCTCAATATCATCATCCTCTTCATCGTCAGATTTTTCTCCTTCAGTATACTTTTTCATGTGTTTTTGGAATTTTTCTTGTTCCTTATCGAATTCTTCTTCCTTCTTTTTAAGGAAAGCGTCTTGCTTCTTTTTGACATATTGATCACGGTCAACTTTCCAAGCTACACTCATCTTTGTATTCTTTTTGGCCCAATCCAAAGCTCTCTTGGCATGTTTTGCCTTTCTAAATTCGATAAAAGCATATCCCTTGTGATTACTGAATAGAAATTAGAGTTCAGTATAATTTTTAACAATTCAATTACTAACCTTCCCTGTTTTGGCATTCTGATATTATTCAGTTTACCAATTTTACTGAACTTTTCTTGGAGAGCTTGCATAGCTTGATCCCAATTCATAGATTTTGCAAGTCTGGCAACCACTAAAACTCTGTTAGGGAAAATTCCATTCTTATCTGGTTTATCTTCTTCTTCTTCATCTTCATCGTCACTTGAACTAACATAGAATGGATCATCCTTGCTCAAGACATCATTTTCTTTTGGTTTCTTTTCCTTCTTTTCCTTGGTTGATTTCTTTTTATCCAAAGATTCCTTCTTATCGGTATATGGTCTAACAGTAATTGTCTTTTCATTCAAAGAAGCTCCATTACACTTGCTCAAACATTCACTTGCCAAAATTGCAATAGGACTATCCACAGATTTAATTCATCAAAAACTATTAGTAAAAACGTACAATTCAACAAATGCAAATCCCTTGCTCTTCTCTGTTTGTTTATCCGTAACAAGTACTACTTTCTTTACATCACCTACTCGCAATCGGAAGAACTTTTCCAAATCGTAAACATTGTCTGTAAGAAAATGATGAATTTAAAATCAAACCTATCTTTTGAGTAACTTCAGGACTTAAATTCCGAACACACACGGTAGTATTCTTATCAAAACCCATTGTTAAGTATTGTTGTTGCTTGTTGTTGGGTCAATATTCAAATATTTTTTTGTACTTTAAAATTTGCATCATCACACAATATTCAAAAATTTAATAGATTATTCTCATGTTGATGCTGATGATGGGATGAAACTTTATACTAATATCAAAATTACACCAACACTTGTCTATTCTAACAACACTCAACTAACATTTTTGATGAACATTAGTCTATTCTTATTATTTGATGAAGAGAAGGTCTAGACTAACCTGCTTGTTGAATGCACAGTGGAACTTGATTGTTATAAAAAAATGACATCAACCGAAGATTCAGCCACCAACAATAATTCAACACCAAACGGTGCCACCAGTGATCAACAGGCTGAGCAACACAAGGAACCAGAATACGACGGAACCGAATTAGATGCCGATGAAAATGTAGAATCAGTTGTACAATTTTCAAGGTTTGTAGTTGTTTTTTAATGGAATAAATTGGATCAAAATTCGGAAAACTTGTGATGATCAACTAGTTTTGAAGAGTTAATCGCAAGAATAAGAGAGAACAAGGAGGCCGGTAATGCCATGTTTAAAAAAAATAGTTATGAAGATGTAAGTGAAAGTAAAACTGTTTTAGATAATGACATTTGAAATTTTCAGGCTATTCCATTTTATAACAAGGTTCTAGAAGTATGGTTCAATTTAAAGGAGAACAAGTATACAAATATCTCTGCTACAAAGTAAGTAGATAACATTTCAAATTATTAATAATCGTTTAAATAGGGAGCAATTTCATCAAGCTGAAGAACTGGTTCGTGATACATTTAACAATGCTGCTTTAGTAATGTTGGAAATGAGAAATGTTGGTGAAGCATTTAGATGTGCCCAAGTAAGTAGTAGGGAGTGACAACACTAATTATTTAATTGCATTCCTTGATGATTATTTTTGATCAAACATTTAACCTAAATTTAGAATGCATACAGAGTTTTACAAAATACTAAATCTGTCTACATTATGGCTAAATGCTTCTACTTTTATAAAGAGTTTCAAAGAGCAAAGACCTACTTGGCAATTGTGTTAAAAGAGCAACCAGAAAACAAGGAAGCACAAGCATTAATGGAAAAATGTGATGAGGAGGAAGAAGAGTATGAACCACCTTCAATGTTCATGTATAATAATAGTTTTAGAAATAGAGAGGAGGATGAATTGGAGAGAGCCATTGCTCTTTCTAAAGCAGCATATGAGGAAGAGGAAAAGAAGAGAAAAGAAGAAGAAGCTGAAGACCTTAAAAGAAAACAAAAAGCAGATGCGGAACAAGAAGAAATCTTACGTAACTTCCAAATTGAACAACAAAAGAAGCAATTAGAAAAACTCAAAGAGGAAGAAGAGGAACATCAAGATGATGATTATGAAGTTGAGATTGACGATGATGATGTTCATGTGCATCACGATGAGAATGAAGATGAAATAGACGATGATATTTCTCTCACACAGAGCGAGATTGAGGAACAAATGAGATTATTAGAATTGGAGGAACAGAAGGCTGATTTTATTGAAAATGATGATGTAGATTAAACTCTATGGAACTTTTTGTAATATTTGCTCAATTTTTTAGAATTACATAATATGAATTGATTAACAACAATAATCTCAACTCTATGAAGGTATGAGCTTCAATCAATACTAATTGTCATCATTGTGGATTAATTGATGGATCGACATTATTGCCCACTACAACTATCATCATTCAAAGTGACTGGTCATTTATGCTTTTATTGCAGCTACAGTAGTAGTCCTGGCTATCCAGTACAAAATATGTGATCATTATTACTCTTAAATTACCCACCCATTTTTCAAAAAATTAAGATTACAGCTTAATATATCTTGCCCGGGAGCTGTTGAAAAGATGAGTTTTATCAGTTCATGGTTTGCTAGACAACCTTCTGAGGGAGGTGGTTCTGGTCTCTCTGATGAAGAATATTTATCTGGTGGTGGAGAGAGCTCTCCTCTCAATTCACCAAGAATACCATCTTTTCTGAGAGATGCTTTTAATAGTGAGAATACTCATCTTGAAACTCCTCTTCACTCGGGAAGCCCTCAAATAAGCCCAAGAAGTGTTGGTGAGGAACAAGATTTGAGGAAACAAGCTTTAATTAATAGTGGACCTAAAACTTCAGCCTCCTCTCCTGCTGAGGGAAGAACAAGAAGAAAAAGCTTTGCCCGAAGATCTTCAAGTGCCAGAAGTGTATCAACCCTAACAAGACCATCATCAGATGATTTAACAAAAGGTTTACAGGATATTGCCAATACAAAACCACTCATAGAGCTGGAAGGAACTCAGAATGTGGTTACGATGAACGATGAAATTTATGTTCCTCTCCCTTTTGCAAAACAACAAGTCCAACAATATATTCACATTATTGATGAGATGAAGGCAAAATATATTTCATCTGTTGAAGAATTGGAAAGATACTATAAGGATACTGAACAAAATTATACAAATCAAATGAAGAGCTTTGTGTCTGAATATCAGACCAAATACAAGGCACTCCAACAAAAGCATCACATTGAAAATAAGGAAGTTAAAGATAAGGAGGTGGAGACAGATATTGGCCAACAAGAATTCACAGCAATAATGTCAACACCACCCTCAACACCATCAACAACAAATAGTAGCCCTTTTACTTCGAATACATCCCAATCATCAACAGCAGTAGTACAAATCCCACCCTTGGAGTTACCAAAAACAGCAGCTACAGACCAGGAGAAGAAAGAATGTGATAAATGTCTCAAGATGTTAGAAGAAAAGAGAGCTATGCTTATCAATTTCAATGATCAATTCTTGATTTTAGAAAAGACAAGAGAGAATGAAATTGAATCCTTGCTCTTGCAGATCGAACAAAACAAGAAGCAATATAAGGATAATTTGGAGAGTGTTGAAAAGGAAGTAAACATCCTATTAAAACAATTAGAGGATAGACATAGAGAAGAGCTAGCAGAGGCTCTTAAGGTAATTTCTGAAAGGAGTACCACTTCTGAGTCTCAATCAGACTTGGAAAAGGAAAACCACAAATTAACTGTACTGGTAAGACAACTCGAGTCAGACAGATCTAGGTTAATTGATAGTCAAAAGAAACATTTTTCATTGTTGGAATCACAAATCAAATCTTTGACTGATCATAATTGTACACTAGAATCATCCATTGAGGAAAAAACAAAACTTGCAGATAAACTCGAATATGATATTAAATTATGGAAAGAAAGGTTTGATCGTTTGGAAAAGGAGCAGATAAACCTTATCAAAGCTCTTGAAGAAAGCCAAGAAAACATCCTGTGGAAAGAAAAATACGAACAAGCCTCAAGAGAAATTGAACATAAGGATAGGATTGAAGTTGATTTAGAAAAGAATGTAACAATACTTGAGGAATCTATTCGAGTGAAGGATAGAACAACCCAAGAACTAGATGAAAAATTGGAAGCTCTCCAAAAACTTTACGAGGAACTTCAAGATAAATTTAATAGAGAACACGATGAAATCGCTTCATTAAGAGAAGAAAAGAAGAATATTGATGCAATGAAGAATGGTTGGAATCAAGAAAAGACGGAACTCCAAAGAATTATTGACAAACAAGCAAAGCAAATGACTGAAGAAAAAGAAGGATCTCAAATTGATTTGGAAAGAGTTCACAATATAATCAAGGAACAATTTGAAAGAATAGAGATGCTGGAACAAGAGAATCATGATCTCTTAATCAAGAGAGCATTAGAAAACACTCAAAATTCCCAAGCCGAACAAATTGACAAATACAAGAGACTCCTCACTAAATACAAGGCCACAAACAACCAACACAAAGACAATGCCAATAAGCTTCAAAAGGAACTCAAAACTCTTATGGAAGAAAATGCAAAGTTGTCAGACTTGAATACTGAATTTTCCAACAAATACGAAGAAATCAAGTGCAAATACCAACAAGGTAATGCTCACCTTGAGCAAAAGGATCATATTATTGGATCTTTGCAAGCTAGGATTGATATTTTAAATGACGAGATTGATTTATATAAGGATAATGATCCTGAAAGAAGAGCTGATCTGTACAAAGAACTAGAAAGAAAGCTAAGTCTTGCTTTATCTGACAAGAGCACCTTTACAAAGGAAATGGATGACGTCAAATATGAGCTTTTATGTGCTCAACAGGACTTGGAACGCGAGAAGAAGGCTCTTGAGGATTACAAAAAGATCCAACAACAGCATGAAGAACTCAGCAACAGAGCTAGTTTGTTGGAAGTTGTCAATGCAGAGCTGAAGAAAAATACAGAGATGGACAATAGAAAGGTCAGAGGAGACTATGAGTCCAAGCTCAAGGAGGTGAATGATGAGCTATCTTTACTCAAACAATTTGTAGAAAATTCGGACGAGCATATCAAGTCAACCAAAACAAATATTCATGCTATAACAGTCGCTTTCGAAAATGCTGCCGATGCACTCAACTCTACACCATCAGATCCAAACAATCTAAAAAAGATTGCTAAAATGTTGCATGAACAAAAGGAAACATGTGACGATATTGAGACGAGACTTTCAAACATTCTGGAACTACAAGCAAAGTTGAAAAAGCCTCTAAGCAACAACACTGATGATAATCCTAAATCTCCACCTAAGGAAGTGGTAGAGATATCTGAATAAGACTCTTGTAATAATAACAACTAGTTACCAGCTAAATAAATTGTAAAATATAAAAGGAAATTACCTTAAAAAAACATGTCCATTGGGCTTGATCGTTCATTGGTTTTTCTTCTTTCAATAGTTGTGCTGTGGATTCATAATGATTGTTTTGTTTTATCATCATCATGTATATATAGTGGAGGAATAAAATCAGGATCTTGTAATGGAATCATAGAGTCAAGTATTGCATTAAGGAATGACCTGGCATCTTTCAATAGGGGATGTCCTATCAATAGTGTATTTTATTATCCAAACAGTACCACTTTTGTGTGTGGTGAATGTATTCCAACTACTCTTTTGTACTCTAGCATTATCAGTAATTATAAAATTAACATTTGTAAGCAGACAGCTATAGGACGAGTTTGCGAAGATCCACAAGACGCATCCCTTCTGAATAACTATCAATGTCCCATTGGAGATTATTGCACAGAGGATGGAACCTGTAAACCTCTTTCCTTGCATCCTCTGGTTGGAGAGACTTGCACCAAAATTGAGCATCCTTTCACTTATCTTAGTCTGAAAAATCTGTGTGGATTTGATGGTCTGCAATGTATCCATGGAGTGTGTCAGGTATGCCAGGATGGAATTGAGTATACACCAATTTCTCCCGATGACTACACCTACATTCAATCAAAACCAATTTTCACTCGAACTAAGGATAACAGAAAATCGAGAAGGTACTGTGTCAATTCAAAACTCTATCCAACAAAATATGATTATACATTCCTCTCCGATCCAACTTCAGTTTTCGTATTGAGTTTTTGCATTGTTGTTGTGTTAATTGTTGTAGCAAGAGATTGCATGAAATTGAAAAACTCCAAATTGGCCCAAAAGTTTATCACTCGATTGAAACTCTTCCGAAAGTCAAAGAAATCAACTAACAGTAATAATCAAGGTAATAGAAAACTCTTAAATCATTCCTCTGCTACTAAGCTCAAGCACACGAGAAAAAAGCAAGAAACCTTCTCAGATATTTCAGATGATTCGGATTTAAGTGATTCCTCCTCAGATTAATTTGTATTATTAGTATTGTAATTATTCATTCTGAACAAGGAATAACTATTCGATATTGGATTATTCAATAATTGTTCCACTTTTCCTTCTTCAATCACTCTTCCAGAATCAAAACAAAGTAAATTATCACAAGCTTTCAAACAACTCAATTGATGTGTTACCCACACAACTGTTAACCCATATTCTCTATTCATTCTCTTGACACTATCAACAATATTTTGTGTGTTTTGATTGTCCAAGTTTGAGGTAATTTCATCTAAAAGTAAAATCTTGGGTCTCTTGGAATGTTCGAGAGAAAGTTTAGATACAAGGAGAATAGCTCTGATAACGTAAATTATTGGTTTTTCAATTTTCAAATCCTCTTCCTTATTAATTATCTTATTGAGATTGATACTTGATGTGACAATTTGGAATTTTTCAATCTCTTCCAATATTTCATTATCGGTAAAATAATTATTCTCATCGAAATGTTCCCTCAGTGTTGATCCAATCATGAAACTTGTATCTTGAGGGATCATTGAAACACAATTTCTGTAAGTATCTGTATCGTAATTGAAAATATCTCTTCCATCAAGGTAAATGGATCCCTCAATAGGATACCAATATCTGTGAATGCATGAGAGTGCAAAACTCTTCCCTGATCCAGTTCTTCCAATAATACCAGTCATTTCACATGGGTTAATCCTGAAAGAGACACTATTCAGGATATTTTTACACGATACAGATTCCAATTCCAAAGATTGACAAGTAGCTGAAGAGGGCATGACTTTTTCACTGTGTTGCTCCTCATCCTCTGTTTTCAAATGAATATAGCTGATAATTTTACCAATGAATGGTAGTTCAGATTCGACTCTTGTTGAAACCACAAGTGTCCATAAAAATCTATTGAAAAATTCAATACAAGTTGTGAGCAAAATACCTGCATAATGCAAGTTCTGCTTGTTCGCGTCTTGACAGCTATCCTCACAAACAGCTTGTACCAAATACATGAATGGTATGAATAATAGTAGAGAAATTAAACACTCCAATCTTACACCAATCCAATCAGTGCAAGTGTTAAAGGCATATGATACGTTCAATGTGCTGGAAACTGACTGTCTGAATTTCCTATTAAAATAATCGACTTGATTATAGCTCTGAATCATGATGAGAGCTGTTGGATGAGTGGACTCCATAAACAATTGAGACATTAATGCTCTCTTATCAGAAAGTATGAGGGACAATTCATCTTTTGTTTTCGAGTAGAGATGATAATATCTTCTCGACTCAACAATAATTACTATTGTAATAATAAGTGAAAATAAAACCACCCAAAAACTGGCCCCAGCAATGTACAAGAGCAATGTGATGAGAGAACCCAAACACTCTAACCATTTCTGAGAAGCCTCCTTCAAAAGCCATGGTATCGATCTGTCAAGTGTGTTCATATTGGTTGAAAATCTTTCAATAACATCTCCATATCTATCTTTCTTTTCTGAATGATTAGAGCTCGAATTTACAAAATAGCTCAGTGGAACGTGCATAACCTTATTGAGAGCATGATTGTGAATCATGCTACTGGTTTTGTAGCATTTAATTCCCCAAAAGTATCCAAGGCATAATTCCACAACCACCCTCAAACATCCAAGTAAAACAAATAAATATAGATAATCATTGAAAAATCCAAACAGGGAATTGGTAGAGGATTTGAAAATTTGTGAAACTATTAAAAAAAATAACGTTGGACCAAGTGTGTAAATACTACTTTTTGAGGTGAGATAGAATTTGGCAATTTCAAATGGTGAAAACATTCTCTCTTGTATACCATCTTCAGATTGTGATTGAGTAGATAATTCTGATAAATTACTTGATACTCTTACAAAGCGTTTCTCTTTTTTTGGAGAGGAAAATTCTCTTTCAGTGAGATCTTCATGGTGTGCATTCAAGATGCCCTCACTAATGTTTCCTTCGACAATATCATAGACTCTGTCCAAATAGGAATCATATCTTGAGTCACTTATGGAAAATAGAACAGAGGTATCACTCAAATTCTTCAATTTTCTCCTAAATGATTCCATAATCACTGTAGTTACAGTAGGATCCAATGGATTGAAAATCTCATCAAAAATCAGCAAGTATTTACAGTCTTGGGGTTCAGTTTTTTTAGAATAGTAGAACTTGTAGAGGCCTCTTGCCAGATTGACTCTCACTTTCTGTCCACCAGAAATATTGTTACCAAAGTAGCCACATACTTTTTGATTTGCCTCCTCATCTCCTAGAACAGTACACCATTGATCCAAATCAAAAACTAATTGGGATTCTTTGAGGACTCTATTATAAATTTCCTCATCCAAAGGTAATCCAAAAGTAATATTTTCCAGTATTGTACCATTCACAATGAATGGATCTTGTGGTGTGTAGATAATCTTTAAATCATTAGCCATTCGAATAATTCCATCACCATGTTGTTGATACGAGTCTAACACTGAGAAAATGAAGGATGTCTTTCCAGAACCACTCTTTCCTCTTAGTGCAGTCCATTCACCCGAGTTGATGATAAATTCTGTAATTAGTGAAACGATCTGCGTCTTTCCCTGAGTTTTCAATTTAGTTCCAGTATGAACTTCAATTAACTTGTTCTGAGCTAGAGATTCAGCTGGAGAAATTTTCTCAGAATCAAACCTATTACAAAGATTGGAAAACAAATTATTCAATCTATCCAAACAGTGCTTGGCATAGATAACTTGATTTAAACATTTAGGAAGCTCGAAAATTGGAACTGAAATACCATCCAATAATACCAAAATTGTAAATATTGACTTTTCGTCCGTAGGTTGATTCATTACTTTGGATACCAATAAAATGATAAAAGTAATGGTGAATGGTAAAATATACCAGATGCAATTAATAATATTATCCACCCAATATAAATTGAATAAATAATCCAATTCATTTCTTCTGATTCGTTTAATCCGTTCCAAAATGTAAGATTCCCAAACTAATGATTTGACCTGTTTGAAACAATTGAGAAAATGAGCAAGTGTTCCATTCCTTTCATTGGATTTTTCATTCTTCTTGTTGGTAAATTGCGAATTTTTAGATTGCAAATATAAATTAATAGGTATTGTTAAAATGCAAATTATTATGAACACTATTGTAAGCAAGGTGCTATGATATTGAAAGTGTATAATTAACATGGCACCAACCAAATGAAATATGTGTGAAAGTAAGCTATGGGCTTGAGAAACTGTTCTCTCAATTTGTGTAATCTCACTCGAAATTGATGAATAATTCAAAGTTGAGCTTCTCATTGTACATTTCATACATCTCTCATATACCAATGAGTATAAATTAAAGCTGACCTGATGTGAAAATACACTCTGAACATTAAAGTGCCATCTCAATGTAATTCCAATTAAAATTCTATTTACAAAAAGTAATAAACAATAAACACCAAGTTTCAAATCAAAATTAAATAAATCCATCAACACACTATTTGCTCTACTATCAATCAATGAGAGTATTGATCCTACAAGTACAGTCTGAAAGAGTTGACAAATCTTGGATATGAACAAGGGTATCAAAGTCTTGATAAACGATTTGAAAAAGGTCGAAATAAAATCCGAAAATATTAATAAATTTCCATTATTACTGCCATTACTATGGATGTGATGGTGTTGTTTGATGTTTAAAATTGGTTGTGTATGAGGAGAGATTTTTGTTTGGTTTTCAATATTGTTCCGAATTAATTGTTCGATTGTATCCTCCTCCGAAAGGTCTTGTTTGATAGCATCACTACTACAATTAGGAGTAACATGTTGAGGTGATTTCAGAGAAGATTTAGCCGAGAATGTCCTCAGAAAAGGATACATGAAATTGAAAAACATTTTTTTTAATATTTAAATAGATTAATATAATTGCAACTCGAAATGACAATACGTGTTTTTACATGCTCCACTTCAATTGGACCTCCTTCTTGTTGGCTAAGTATTTGGCAACAAAAACTGAAATGAAAAGTGCAGAGGTAGAAATGATCAACATGGCATAACTGAAATCTTCATTGAGAATGTCAAACTTTTTAGATGGTGACAACCTAGTGAAGAAGACATCCAATCCAGAGGAGGCCATCAATGTAGTTGATTCAAGAATTGATGGACTAGTTTGAATGTGTTTAACTCTGCTAACTGGTTTGTTATAGGTTGGAACATTGAGTGAAACAAATGGAATGTATGGGTTATATGGCATTAAACCTTCGGCAATTTCATCTGATGCAGCAGTTGGATTTCTTGGTCTTCTTGCATCGATTATCTTCTTGTCAACCAAATAAATTTGGTCATTAGTAAGGGACACTATTAATTATTGTTAATAATTGATTTCTCAGAGTAAAATATACTTACAAATGAATTGTTTGTTGGTGACACCAATAGTGGTCTTTGTAACGCCAATAGATCTTACACCGAATGGTAAAATATAAGTATTCTTTCTAGAAGTTGGCTTACTATATCCGAATGATGTGAAAACTCCAGCTTCTTTGCTTCCGAATAACTTTTCCATTAAAATTGATCCGAAACCTTTCTTTTGGAAATCAGTACCATTGTTAAATAATTCAACAGTGGTCAACTCGTGTCTCATTTGTTTAGCATTCGTATATTGATAAACAAGAGTATTTTCATCCAAAACCATATTAACAGGTCCAACAGCATCTTCGTTATGAATTTGGTGGAGAACTTCACCTGTAGTACCGTCAATAACATAAACACGCAAAACTGGATATTCAGTAGCTTCCTTTTCAATAGTAGCAACAGCAAACATGGATGGATTAAGATACTTGTACAATACATTACCAGAAGCAGTTACAATAATGCCAGTATAGATATTCTCATTCAAGAGAGCTTGTGGAGATGCGAAAGCAACTATTGGAGAGTTGAGAGAAACTGACCAAGTGTTAGTCAACTTGGTTTGATTGACATTCCAAATGTATCCTGAAAGCTTTCCTTGAGCAGCATCCCTGGTGTGGAAATGAATATTGAGTGGGAATGACTTGACATTTTGGATAATTTCTTTAGTTTCTGGGAAGATATGAACATTAAGTTCAGTATCCACCAAAAGAAGTGGATGAACTCTATCTTCGCTTGTAGTTGGAAGTAAAACAGCATCAGTGTATACATAAGGAAGTGGAGTGACTGTCAAAACCTGTCCATTCAAAGCATCAATAACAATGGCAACACTCTTCTTATTGTCAGAAACAATGATGGTAGCTTGTGATCTAATCTTAATATCATCTTTAAGAACTTGATCCTTGGTAATGAATAGGTTAATCTTAAGAGTAGAAGAAGTATCAATATGTTTCTCAAGTTCACCCTTGATGAAGAGAGACCAAACAAGATGGCCATCAGAGGTGTGAAGAGCCAAAATCTTACCAGTCTTGGATTTGAGAATTACAAGCTTTTGGAAACCAAGTCTATCTTGAACAAATCTGAGGCTTTCATCTCCACCCTCGCCATTATTCTTCTTACCAGAAAGTGCATTCACATAATCAATAGCCTTTTGAATAAGGTCAGTAGCTTGAACAATTTGAGTTGAAATTCTGTTTCCAAAACTAGCAACGCCATTACCTGATTTAACAGTGTGATGAACTGGGAATTCAACAAATTTAATTTCATCAACAGAAGCAAGTGATTCTTCTCTCTTCCAAAGTTGTTGATTTTCTTTAAATCCAATAATAGAATCATCCTCAGTAACTACAATAAATCTATGAATCAATTGATTGTTATTACTTTCCAAATTCTTGAATAATTGGAAGAAAATAGATTGAGCCTTTCCGTGCTTTTTAATGTCCAATGGAGCATCATATTGTACTAAAACATCATTAGCTTTTTTAACAACGATCTTAATAGTTGTAGCTGTTTGTTCTTGAATAGAAGCATGATAAGTAGTTCCGTCCAAATTTGTGGATGATGAAATCTTTTCTGGTTGAGAAATGTCTTCCTCCTTAGATTCAGAAGTATTCACATTGAAATAAATAAGTTTGTTTGTTGTTTTGAAAATAACTTGTTCACCAGTATAATCATTCAAACTTTCAACAGTGAGAGAGAAAGATGACAAATCAATGGTACTCTTCACAGTCAAAGCTCCACTATCAGTATTTAAAGCCTTTACAACAAGTTTTGAAATAGTATTACTATCTGCACTCAATTCAGCTTGAATAGCATTGACATTCTTTTCGAGCAAAACTAACTTGGCAAAGACAACCCTTTTAACAATAAATTACTAACACTATCCGGAATGTATACTTACCTTTCGTTTGATGAGGATACCTTCCACTTTTCAGCTCCAGTCTTGATATCCTTCAAAAGGAGGGTACTTCCTGTAGAGATGATTACCTTTTCTCCTAAAGACAAAATATCTGATGAAGATGAGAGGGAATTAATATCATATAAAAGACTACCATCTAAAGCATTCCATACTCTAACATATCTCTTGGATGATGAAGATGAAAGAGATGCTATTTTATCATTCCCGATTGAATATAATCTGTCAATATTTTCATCATCATTAAAAACTCTTCTCCAAACTATTTTAAATAACAATTTTCATAGTAAGTGTGTTGATTCTACTATTCAATAAATAATTTTGTACATACTTAACTCGCCTGTTCTAATACTCAAACCTGCCAAAACAGCCTTGTTTGTGGCTACAACAGAAAGAGCCTTGTTGGAAAATCCAGATTCTACCAATTTTACTCTTCCTACATTTTCCTTCATCCAATCAAATGTATTGGCTTCACTTTGTAGGATGGCACTTGCACTTGATATTATTATGAAAAGCAAAGTTGCCATCATCAACAGCGAAGATGATGTTATTGTTGCTGACTTCATTTTTTAAAAGGCTTTGGAAAAATTAACTATTATTATTTATATATTGCAACTATTAACTTTGTGCAATATTTTGTGTTTATTATTAACACTAATGTGTTCGTGAGTTAATATTTCCGAAATTATTTAACATTTTTTGCCACTTGGCCAGTTTGTCACTGCTGAACAATCTGTACATGTGAGCTTGGAGTTTGCAGAATCGAATCATTTCGTCTCTTTCTAATCTTTCCATGTACTCATAGACTTGTTCAGCATACTTTTCGTACTTCTCTAGAGATAGTGATTGTCTGTTTGTTTGAATACCACACAACCAGTCAAGAGCGCAAATATTCATTGGATAAGTCTCAAAAGACTTTTCTAATGACTCTACGACCAGGTTAATATTTTTCTCTTTCATATCTAGAAGGAGAAGAGCTTGATTTAGGTAGGCCATTGAAAGTTCAGATCTAATTTCGCTTAGAGGTGAATGTTTCCAGATAATATTCATTAGAACATTATTATCTTTTAGGGCCTTGTCAAAGTACTTGGTTTGTTGGAAGAGTGTTACTCTATTCAAGTAAATTAGAATTAAATTCTCATTACATTCTAGAGCCTTATTAAAGTTTTGCATGGTCGCCTTAACGTCATTGACTCTCCATTTAAGAAGACCAATCATGTAATATACAAAAGGTTGAAGCATGGAATTACCATATGTCATTTCAACATCACAAGAATCAAAATATGCAGCAGCAGGTATAATACCTCTGAACCCAAAAGCATGTGATTCCTTGATGGCATTCAAAGAATTGTCGAGGAAATGAATTGGAGCCATTTGATTCCTTGACGAAAGTTTGTTAAAACCAGTTAGCATACCAATAAAATAGTGTCCATAAAAGCATTGGCTATCTTTCTCTATGGCACTGAAAAAGTGTTCGTTAGGACTTGGATTGTGAGTAAAGTGGTGGAGGCAACCGAAGAATACTTCTCTGACAGCCTTTGTCTTTTTGATGAGGGTTGTAAAAGTGGAAAGTAGTTCAATTCCACTTGGAGAACTTTTCATGTTCATCAATGGACTATTGGCAATTTCGTAGAGGGTATTTAAATAGTTAAGTTCTTCGTCGCATCTCACAATACCAATTCTTAACCATTTCATAGTTTCAATATTCTTATCCATTAACCTAAATACTTCTAAAAGTTGGAAGTAGGCATGATAATTGTATGGATTCTTCTTGACAGATTCAAGGAAATGGAAGTATGACTCCTTTGCTCTATATTTACAAACAAGTTCTGTACCCAAAATGGCATCATCCATAGAAGTCTTGGATTGATTCTTTTCAGAGAGCATTTCTTCCCGATAGGCTTTTAATCCTTCATTAACTTGGTCATAGAATGATCTCAAGCATGGATGGAAAAGGTCTCTAATCTCTGTTGTAGTCTTGTCAATGTTAAAGCTCGAAAGTACAGCAATGTTGTATTTTCTTCTCTTTATCTTGGATTCTTCACAATCTACAGACTCCAATAATGGTGAGTATTCTTCATTATCAGATAAGAATTGAGAAAGTTTTCTCTTTTGAGTTGGTTCATCAGAATTAATCAATTGAGGAGGATTATTAGGAGTTGGAATTTGATGGCACAAACCAAACAAGTTAAAATTAGAGTTGGCATTTGGAGAGTTAGAATGGTAGAAATCTCTATTTTCAAAAAAGTCAATGGCAACAGCCAAATCATCAATAGAGAGTCTATTTCTCAATTCATCTCCAGATTTGGAATACAATTCTGGATTTTCAATGATACTTTGGATAAAGAGTGCTCTCACGCAAAACTTATAAAAAAGGAAAAAGTTGTTTTGGAAGATGTGATCTTGGGATGTTGTACTACAAGGGTTATCTTTCAAGGTTGATTTAACATCCACTAGGCTATTTAAATGTTCAATTGCTGTGGAATTAGAGCGGTTTTGAAAAAAGGAATTGTTCAAATATTTCAACACACCATCGAGTGAATCTTTGAACAAATTGCATGACGAGGCGTCTAGGGTAATATTGGTCGACAATGTCTTCATACAAAACTCTTCATCTCCCATCAAAATGTCCCTAATGACTTTCAGGTTGTCTTTTAGGTGATTGAAAAAGGCGGAATCTATTTGAGGTTGTTGGATAGTTGTGTTGGGTGACGGTAGGCTGGTTGACAAATTTGTTGGTGATGAATTGGATTGGAGGCTTGTGGATCTAAGAGTTGAAAGAGGTGATGATGCCACACAAAGGTGTTGTTGACTATCAAGGAGATTTCTCAAACGAGTAGCTTCCAATGTTGGATCTGCAGAAGCTGTACGTGTATTTTGGTTGGGAGATGAAGAAGAGGAGGAGGGATGTCTATGAAGGCAAAAGTTTGGTGGGGATGGTTCGAAAAACATGGTGTATTCCTAGGAGAGTTATATGTTACAATTGTGTGGAGATTTGATGGAAGTATTAGCGATTGGTAGCAGTAGTATACAAAATGTGGTGGTTGTGATGATCAAAGAGGGTAAATTTCGGAAGGCTTGTTTGATCACAAAATGCTAATATATTCGAAGAGAGAATTAAACGGTGACTATGAAGATACTTGAAACAAGTTTAAACAATGCGTTCACACACTCTCGTACTATTGTTGTATGATTGGTATTTGAGGTTGAATCCAAACCGCAGAGTATCAATTAATTTTTCAAAGGCTTGTTGTTGTGATTTATACCTTCAATACCTGCAAAGTTGCGTTGTTTTTTTTCTCTAATTATTCTACGCAAGTTAACAACAAGTACATCAGGGAGATGCAAACAAAAACGCCAAGTAACTTGGACTTGTTGGGTGAAAGCAGACACAATCAGCTAGAGGAGCCACTTTTGTATTTAAAAGCATCGTCAATTCTTATTTGTCGTTATTGGTGATGAGTTTTTCTCAATGTTGAACCATGACGCGCATAGGAAAGGGTAGATAAAATCTGTTAATAGTGTTAAAAGATCCGCATCAATACAAAATGGTTTCTTTGGTAATTTATATTGACCCTTTGAAGTATTAAGGATGGAACAGTTTTATTGATCATATTATTAGTAATTGTTATCAACAAAGATGGAAAAGTTATTTTGTTTGTTGTTAGTAATGATTGAGGTACTTTTTATTGAGCGGCACTTCCATAAAGTGTTTGTTCAAAATAGTTTAGTAAAGAGAATGAATTCTATACCGAAATGACTTGAAGAAAGGTGGAAACTTAATAGTTCATCAGAACTTTTTTCATCAATGCCAGTTAAAGAATTTCCCAGTTTGTTATGTTGAGTTTGAGCAAGATTACCATTTATTTCCACTTCTAATTTGATTTTCAATAGAAAACCCCAGAGAAAAAAAAAAATCACTCCTGCCTTCTAATTAGAAGTCAACTTAGCTTTTAGGCCTTGATTTCTAGGTGAGGTATGAAATATATTTCATTAAGTTTTTTAGCCAATGTCTCAAGTTTCCTATTCAGTCAATGATTACACAACCTATTTACATTATTATTGGCGTTGGTTAAACTACAAAGAGGAAAAAATTAAGGGAAGTGATGAATTGATTGTTGCGGCAAAAAAACACAGCGAGAATATCAGTAACCGAAAATCTAACAAGGCATCAATTCCCTTAAGGAAGTATTGGGATCGGAGAAGGAAACTAAGTTATCGAGTGCAGAAGTAACTGAAGAGGCCTCGTTTGGAAACGCTCCACCTTAATTTGTTCACAAAGTCTTGTGAAAGTTTAAAGCTTAGTTTGTTACGGTCAGCAAACAAAAAAATGACAAGGAATTTGCGCTGGCCAGCCTTAATGGCAAAGTTAGCGACCGTTTTATTATTATTATTATTAAATCTAGGACTAGTTTTTTCATATACATGTAATGGAATAGACTCGAGTGAAAAAAGTAGGGTCTGTTCAGGACATGGTTTTTGTACATATCAAGATACTTGTCTTTGTTATTCAGGATTTGGTGGCAAGTTTTGTTCATCAAAAGTAGAAGACCCATTAGCAGAATATGTCTTTGTTAATGGTCAAAATTTTGTTCATGTTGATTCAACTTGTTCGCTAAAAGTGAGTGGAGCAAGTGTTTCGTCGATAGGCTTATTATCTCCTCATCAATTCTTAACTGAAAACGGAGGTTCTTTCCACTATGGAGACCAGCTCTCCACACAACTTTATTCATCAGCAAGGAAAACCTACTCTCAATATATGGACACTCCATGCGATTTTACATTTTCATCATCAGATTCCAACTTGCCACTTTTACAAGTTGAGGGAGGCAATATTTATTGCTTTGAGAATGGATGGTTTGCTGCACAAACAAACGAAGTGAATCCACCAACCCTGGTGGTAAAGGGGAGTGAGGAGGTGGTTCTTAAGTTTCCAAATAGTGAAGAAGGAAGACTCATTATTGACCATTTGGATGTCCAACTCTCAAGACATGCTTCAATTGATAATCTGGTTTTCGTCGCAAAATCAAGTGAAATAAGAGGTGGCGTATTCAAGGGTAAACTCTTCACTGATGAACTTTCCTCCATCACCAGTACACAGATTGACGGTAAGGTGTATATTGTTGGACAAGGTGGAAATATACTCTTGAAAGGTGTTTCATTCACTCCACGACGAACAACAAGGAGATACAACTCAAAAGAAATCACTGCATGCTCAAAAGAAACAACTTGTTCAAGTCATGGAGAATGTGATGTCTCTGATTCATGTGTTTGTTACTCCAATGCTGATGAAGGTTATTGGACGGGAGCTTCATGTAATACATGTAAAAATGGATACTACGGAGAGAAATGTGCCACATCTGCTGCGGGTCCTGCTACAATAACTGATGACTTTAGAGGAATTTCATTCGTCTTTCATTCCCCTTCATCTTTTACTGGTTCTGAACTCTCATGCTCCAAAGTTTTACATCCATCTGATTTATCTGGAGATCTTTATGGAACCAGTGCGAGTGTGAGATGTTTTTACTTGGACAAGTCTACGTATCGTTTTCTCATCAAGTTTGGATCAATTGATTTTTCTCTTCAATCTGGGGTTAGTAATTTGAGAATTAATGCCGGTGCTTTTGATAATTCCACATCTTCTAATACTATAACATATTTGAGTTTTGTTATTAATCCACCAGCAGTTATTGCAACACCAATAGCAACAATAAGACTTCCAGCAGTAGATACCTTCAGTTCTTGTGATACCATTCTTGTTGACGGTTCTCAAAGTTATTCGGTAGATGGAAAGGCATTAACCTACAACTGGGCAGTGGTGGATTCATCATCTTTGAGTGTGGTATCCACATCATTTGCTAATAGCGCCTTTATTACTTTGGATTCCTCTCTCGCTGCCGGAAGTTACAAGATGAGACTTCAAGTAAGAAGTGAATACCTCAGTAAGGATAGTATCATAGTTTACTCTAGTACTTTTGTGAAATCAACAAAAGTATTGCCAATTTTAACAATTGCAAAGGATCAATACACTCTGACTAAATACTCAAATCAATTTCCATTACTGATTAACAAATTTGTTGAGCACTCATCCTGTAGGGCTAATGGTGATACAATAGTGGTCGAATGGTCTCAATTGAGTGGACCAAGTGTTGCATATAATGTAGATTCATATAATGATCTTTTTATTCCAAAATTGACAACATTTGGTAGTAATACATATACATTTAAAGTTTCCGCATATTATGCTTTGGATCAAAGCACAAAGACATCAAGTATCATTACACTCAACACTCAATCTCCTAATTTAATTTTGAACTTGATGAAATATGAAGCTAAATCAGATTACACAACAGTTCAAGTTGACTATTCTGATCCAGAATCAATATTCAACACACTCTCATCAGAGACGTGGACCTGGACCTGTTTAGATAATACCTCTCCTCGTCTTCTCACCTTACTAAGTGCCATTTCCAACACCAAAAAGACTTACTTTACAGTTTCCACTTCTTTATTCGATATCATTCCAAGATCCGTTGATATTTCTCTCCAAATTGTAAAGTCAGATATGAGAAGCATAACCAAGGGCATAACCATTTATTTTCAAACAATTCCTCCAGTTGTAAACTTTGTTACAATTGAACCAAAATCGTCAGTAATAGCTCCAGGAAAGAATTTCGTCTCACAAATATTTGTGACATCTTTCTCTGACAAGACAAATTCAACATGGAGTTTGAACGGCGTTACTTTATACTCAGGAATAATTCAATCAGGGTCATCTCAAACTGTAAAGGTTGATTCTTCTAAGTTAACAGAAGGTTCTTCTAATGTTTTGCGAGTAGTGGTTAACGACGGAACAATCAGTCAATCCACCCAACTAACTTACAACTTCCAAGTGGGCATCTCTCCAAAAGTGTGTAATTGTGACATTTCACCAACCAGTGGTAGTGCTATGGAATCACAATTTCAGTTTTATTGTTTGAATTGTAAGAGCTCGATCAATAATATAGATTTTAGGTTTGGTTATATAGATGATAGAGCCAATTTAAAAGTTTCTCTCTACAATAAGGGTAATTTCTTTTCTACTAAATTGCCAGGTCCAACACTTTCCAATAAGGTAACCGTTTTCTTTGATATTATTGATGTTACCACTGAATCAACAACGACAATTTACAAGGACATTACTGTAACTTTACCTGCAGTAGCTTCAAATGTCACCCTTGTATTAGAAAAGTCACAAGGTTTTAATTCTTTAAGTGATTCATATCTCACTTCTGGTGCTTTTGGAAAGAGTTTCTATCAATCATCTGCAACTTCAAAAATTGATTCTGTTTTGCTCAACTCTGCTCTTAATGGGCTCGATTTACTCTCCACTGCAAAGGAGTGTACAAATGGTATACAAACAACATCTGGAGCTTGTAAATGCGCCGATGGATATGTAGGAAACAATTGTGATGTTCATGTGACCGAATATGATAATATTCAAATGGATAAGTCAACGCTATTGAGAAGCATGCTCCAAGTTTTCAATGGAACTAATGTTGTAGTTGATCAAGATTATGTCATCATGGTATCTATTGCCATAGATTCTCTCATAACAAACTATCCATATCTCAGTAACATAACAATTTCTCAAGCCTTAACAACTTTGGACAAATTTATGGATGATGCCTTATTAGTTTCAGATCTTGGAATACCTATTGAACTTTATAATCTCTTGATCAAATGTTTAAATAATGTATATCATTATATTTATGATAGAAATGGAGGAGGTTATTCTAACGGTATCAAGGTCTTTAGAATTATGAAGAAATTCTCTCTTTTGAGAGCAAGAGAAATCAATGTAAATTATCCAGAATATGTCAGAGGGTCGTTCTACCATTCAACTGTTGGAAAGAGTACTCTATACAATTATCAAGCAACTCTTTTACAAGTTGAATCATCTACATCCATCTCTACTTCTCTCTTCTCACCTCAGACAACAATTATTACAAAGCCTTTCGCCCATGCTTTAATTGTTTCTGATGATATCATTGGTCTCAACAAGAAGTTGAACACCCCTCTCAAGACAAGCTTACCATCTACTTACAAATTATCAAGTGCCGTTTCTCCAATTGTCTCTCTTGCCATTACTGATAATCCTGTCTCGTTTAATGGGGAAGGTATAGAATATATCATTCCAGTGAATACCACCAACATTGTTCATGACCTAACTCAACAATCATTTTCATATGTAGTTCAATCAAGAATTTTCTACTGTGCTAATTTTGAAGATTCTGCAGCAAGCTTGGCAACTTTTTCCACAACAAATTGCACTTACACCTCCTTGAATTCTTCACTTGTTAAATGTAAATGTAATCATTTGACCAATGTTTTCGTGATGGAAACAACTACCGTCACCTATGTTTCCTATATTATCATTATTTGCGTTGCAGGTGGTATCTTATTGGTTTGTTGTGTTTTTACTATTACATTCATTTGTGTGGCCGTATGCTGCTGCTATTACAAGAAGAAATACCAACAAGATGTAGTTGTCAAAAAGAAGGTAGTGTACGTTGGTAAGAGAATGAAGGACGGGACAATCATGTTGGTGGCAAAAGCTGTCGACACTGATATTGAAATGTTAGAGAAGAATGGAGGTAAGAAAGTTGTAACCACCACAACCAATACAACAACCAATTCGTCTGATAGCCAATATGCAAGCAATCAAAATATGTTGGAAGGAGTGGCAAGACAAACAACCAGTGCTCATGCCTATAGGAAAGAGGGTGGTACCTTTGTCAGCACCGAGGAAATGCAAAATAGACAAATGATAACAGAGACTAAAGAAGGAGGACATTCTGTTGTCAATTACGAACATATGAGGTCAATGGCTGATATTAAGGATACAGGAAGCTATCGTACTCTCACCAGTAGAAGTAACAGTGAAGAAGAAAAAAGAGAATACAGTAGAGGTAGTAGCTTTAAAGGTAGTCATTATTCCTCTTCTCACGGAAGTAGGCAAGCTATTAATTATGCTCGTGAGCAACATGAACATGTACCATTTATGAAATCCCACTCTGAAACTAACAGAGGGTATGAATATCACCAAACAGTTGATGAGATGAATCAAGAGTCAACAACATTGGATGACTATCATAATGAAGATTTCAATGAGTACTCAAGAACTGTTTCAAACAGTAATGCCCAATATTACACAAACAAGATTAATACGTATGGTTCAAGAAACCAAAGCAGCAAATCTTCAAGAACTGAATCGCCATTCTCTTCTAAAGGAAGCCGTGAAAAGCATGAACTTGTTGCTGTTTCTGCTGCTCAAAATAGAACCAATTCGAATGCTGGCTATTCTAATAACTATAGTACCTATGAAACAACAAGAACTTACACTGATGAAAATGGACAAACGAGAACTGAAACCATAAGAGGGGTCAATGACAATGGTAAAGTCAATGTGGAAAAGGTGTTTTCTCAAAATGGTCACTCTGAGGTTGTTTCAGGTAATGGTTATGATGTTTATCCAAATGCTATGAACAATGATAGAGGTGTTACTAATGCTTCCAGAAATCTTCATACCGGGGAATATTCTTCTCAGGAACATCATGGTGATGTCAGAGCCATCAAGACTGGATATAGTACAAGTTATAGTACTTATGAATCATCTAATAATAATGGTCAGATTTTAACTCAAGAACATCTTGGCGATGCCAGATTAAAGACTGGTGGATTCTACACAAACTATAGTACTTATGAATCTTCAAATACTGTTAGTGACAATAATGGAACAAGAACAGAAATTATTAAGGGAGTGAACGATAATGGAAAAGTTAATATTGAAAAGAGTGTTTATGAAAATGACAAGAAGGCTGGTGTTGTAAAGCAAGAATATGTCGAACCATCCTTTATGATTGAAGAAGAACAAGCAGTTAGTAATCATGCAAAGAACACTGCACCAATTGCTCAAGAAGAGTTTAACAGCACTTTCATTACAAAACAAAGCACTAGTGATGATTACTTTGCTCCTCCATTCTTGACTGAATTATCCGAAAAGGAGAAGGAATCCAAATGTTCATCCAGAAGATCATATGCTTCTGCAAGAAGAAGCACTGGCAGGAGTAGAGTAACTTCTAGCTATGGAGAGACTCAACATTATGACCAAGAGGCATTGCTCCACGTAGAGGAAAAGGCTGTAGAAGAAACACCACAAGAAACAATAGTAGAAGAGAAAATTGTTAGACAAAGAAATGAATTCTCTCCTTCACCAAGAGATACTGTCGAACACGTTTCCTATGAGGTTGAAGAAAAGATTGATGAACCAGTTTATCTTCCAAAGGTTGTTAGCCCAAAGCCAAGAGAGACTGCAATTCATCATGTGCCAAAACGTGTCGAAGAAAAGCTAATAGATGAACCAAGACATGTTCCAAAGGTAGTTAGCCCTCCAAAACCAAGTAAGCCATTGATTAAGCAAAAATCTCAATACATCGAAGAAAATGAAGTTGAAGAACATATTGAAGAACCAAGATTTATCAGAAAAGATTCTGCTAAATATGTTGTAGAAAAAGAACAAGAAGCTGTCGAGGAGAGCGTTGAAGATCAACTTTTTGCAACAGAAGATTATGATGAAGAAAAGATCGTCACATCAAAGAATAGCTATGAACCAAAACAAGAAATACACCAAACTATGCACACCTCATCTAAAAACATTCTGTCTCTTCCAGAACACTTTACTGAAGATAAGCTTAATGGTTCCAGAACAAGGAGTTCAAGTTACAGCTCATTCGAGTCTTCTAAAACTGTTAGTGATAATAATGGAACAAGAACTGAAGTTGTAAAGGAAGTTAATGACAATGGTAATATTAATAGGAGATCTTCCTATGACGAAAGAATTCATTCTGAAGAGAAACACAGTCAAATTGTTGAAGAAGAAAAGATTGTAAAGCAACAACCAAAGTTCATCCCACAACAAGAAACAATTGTTGAAAAGGTTGTTAAACAAGAACCTTCTTATGTGGTTGAAGAAAAGGTTGTCAAACAAAAACCACAATTCATTCCACCAAAACCAAAGAAACCTATTAAGGTCCAATCAAAGAATAACCAACAGGAAGAAAATTATGTGGTGGAAAAGAAAGCCAAGAAGAATGATTCAGAATCTTCCAACTACAGCACTTATGAAACAAAGCGTACAGTTACAGATGAAAATGGAACAAGAACAGAAATAGTTAAGGGTGTGAATAATAATGGAAAGGTTAATGTTGAAAAGAGTACATTGGTGAATGGAAAAAGAACTAATGTTGAACGTTCTGAAGATTATGACGAGAGTTACAACAACCAAGAAGCAGTTGTCAATAATCGTTCAAAGAATAATCAATTCTCTGAACATAACATTATAAAGAAGGAAACAAGGAGAACTATCACTGATGAGCGAGGTACTAGAACTGAAATCACAATTGAAATTAATGATAATGGCAAAATTACAACTGAAACAAAGACACACTACCACAACAAGAATGAACAAGCTAAGAATAATAATAATGGAAAAATCAATTTTTATGAACGTAAATCAAAAAATAACCTCCTTCAACAACAAAAAGATGTTAATCAAGAAAGAATGCAAGCAAATGAAAGAATTGTAAAGGCAGTAAACAATAGAGCAAGAAATGGTTCACCACCTGGGAAGATTGTTAAAAGACAAGAAGCTAAACCAGTTAAAATGGCAAACCCAAGTAGAAGTATTTCAGCTCCTGAAACTAAGAAGACTAAATCTGAACCTCAATTAATTAAGAAGCCATCCCCAAAGACAGAAGAAAGTAAACACGTTTTGCAAAAGGTTGCTTCTAATTCTAAGAATGAAGTTAAGAGTAGGATTGAAGCCAAGAGTAAGACCGAAGCCAAGAAGAAGACCGAAGCTAAAAAGGTTAAGAGAACACCTCCAGAAAATGCAAACCAAAATAGAAAGTCCGTTGAATCAACTGAAACTAAGTCTGAAACCAAGACTGTTGTTAATAAGAGCTCTAATGATAGAAATATTGATATAACAAAGGGTGCTAATACCACTGCTGTCAAGTTGGAAACTAAAACTGTTGAAACAGAACAAGTTGTCAATAATAAGAGTGGACAAAACAACAATTACAGTTCCTATGAAACAGTCAAGACAACTGTTACAGATAATAATGGCTCCAGATCTGAAATTGTTAAAACTGTTAATGATAATGGACGTGTCAATATTGAAAAGTCTGTTATCCATAACCAATCTTCAATGACTGACATGAATGATCAACATGAAGGATACTACGAAAAAGTTGTTCATAACAATTCATCGAACTATGTTAACACTGACCAAGCAGCAAGAGTTACTGAAGTTGTTAATAGATCTTCAGTTCCTCCTCCACAAACAAACTCGCAACCAGTCATTCATCAACCAATTGTTCCTGTAATTCCAAAGCCAATTATGACACAGCAAGTCGTTTCTCAACCAATCCCTCAACCAATTCCTGAAAGAGTTGTCAATGATTCTTATATTAATGAAGAATATGTTGAAAATAGAGATGCGTACAGAATGCAAGAAAAATACATGCATGAACAATCTCAACTTTCCAGCTATAATAATCAAACAGATTCTTCATACGTAGTTGATAACAATAAGAAGAACGACATTGTCTATTACAATGAGAGATCAATTGTCCAAGATAGAAATAACATAGTTACAGGACAAGCCAATCTTAACCTTAGAGTTGAATCAGTTAATGCTATGAATGAAAACAGAATGAAGAATTCCTCTACAGAAATTGACCATTCTAACTATGGTAAATCAACAACAGGAACCTATGAAACAACTTACAAGACCTATTATAAGAATGATGGTACTCAAGAACAACCTCTCCCAATCAGTTCAGGTCCTGTTTGGAGAGTTGACGGCGATTTTGTTGGTATTAGTAATAATAATAAGGCCACTGTTGTTGAAAGTAGAGTTGTTGAAAATAGACAAAGAAATGAATTTGCTCAATCCAATAATAACTCTTATGAAACTCCTCCAAGAGTTGTTCCAGTTAATGATTATATCAGTCCTCCAAGATTTGACCCTCCAGTATATGAACAACCACAAAAACCGGAAATTGTTCGACCAGTTTCAATTGTTGTTGAAAATCAAAAACCAAAAGTTGCAAGCACATATGTTGCCAGAAATGAAGTTGCTGAAAATAGATTGAAGAATGTGAGTTCTGAAATTGATTATTCAGGCTATGGAAAAGCCTCAACAGTTGGTATTTATGAAACAACTTATAAGACTTACTTTAATGATGGATCTCAAGAACCTGTTGTTAGACCTGATCTTCCAAACACATTGAATATTGGTATGAATAATAAGATTTCAAGTACTCAAATGCAAAGCAGTTCATACCAATCCAATAGTCAAGCCAATAATAACTTGCGCGTAAACAACTCTTACGTTGAAACTAGAAATAATGCCTATTCAGAATCAAGAAATAATGGTTATTCAGAGGCAAGAAACAATGCTTCATATATTGATTCAAGAACAAATTACGTTAGTAATCCATATCCGGGTGATAATCAAGCAACATTTAAAAATTATCCTCCAACTGTTGAACCTGCAAATAATAGAGCTTATCCAAGAGGTGAAATTAAACCAAAACCAGAGAGATTCCCTGTTGGTCAACTTCCAAGAGAACCTTATGTTAACAATGGTCAAATTTCTGATGATCCAATGCTTCACCATGCAAATATTGTTAAGCATAAGGATGGAGGATATTATATTAAGGTTCAAATTAAAGAAGATCCAAAGGAAGGCAAGAAGAGCGTATTTGTAGTCCCAACCGAACAAGAATCAAAGCGTAGAGTTAATCCAATTCCACTCCAAATGGTAGATATTTACTCTATCAATGAAAATCAAGCTCGTCAAGTCAATCTTAATCAAGAACAACAATAAATTTACCAAAATATTGGTTCATTTTATGATTTACAAATTTAAAAACTGCTTGATTTGAATGAGAGTTGCAACTCTAATTCTCTGATAGTTCTTTCAAGGCTTTCCTTTTCTCTCTTGACCTTGTCAGTTTCGAATTCAGCCTTTGTAACCTTTTCTTTCCATTGACGAATTTCATCACGCAATTGATTTTGTTGAACCTTCAATTCATTTGAACGTTGTTCTTCAGTGTCAGCTCTCTTTTCAGCCTTTTGAACTTCACGTTCGGCCTTCTTGACTTCTCTCTTCATAGCAGAGAATTCTTGTTGTAATTGGTCATACTTGGTGTGTGAAAGAGCAAGTTCTTCTTCGAGCTTACGTTTTTGAGCTTCAACAGTGAGAACGTTTTGTCTTTCTTGTTCAACCTTGTACTTCATGTCAGTAACGTCCTTTCTGATTTGCTTCATACGATTATCCATATTAACTCTTTCTTCCAATTCAACTTTGAGTTTTCTAGCTTCTTGTTCCTTTTCCATTTCAACTTCCTTGATACGGATTTCAAACTTGTGAATTTCATCACGAACATCTTCCAATTCAAGGGTCAATGCATCACGTTCACCTTTGAGATCCTTAATTTCTTGGTTGAGCAACTTTCTGTTTCTCTTTTCCTTTTCAAAGAAGTTCTTCAATGATTGTAATTCTAGTTCAGCATTTGAGCTAACTTGTTGGGAAGTCTTGAATTGAGAAGTAACAGTAGTTAATTGTCTCTTCAAATCAGAAACGTCATTTTCCAATCTGAGCTTGTCTTCAACTTCACTGTTCTTTTCAGCTTGAAGTTTTTCAATAGTTCTTTGCAATTTTTGAATATCCTTATTCAATGACTTTTCACCTTGTTGGTTTTCTCTAACTTGTCTTTCCAAATCAGAAATAGTTTCCAACAACTTTCTGTTTTCATTGTAAAGGTTAGACTTTTCAATTTCAACCTTGTGACGAGCTTCGTATTCCAACTCCTTTTCTTGCTTTCCTTGCAATTTGGCTTCTTCAACTTCAGAACGAGCACGTTTCAAATCATTCAAATACTTTTGAAGTTCATTTTCCAATTCCATTTCACGCTTCTTGAGACGTTCCTTATCAAGTTGTTCTTGCTTGACATTTTGCTTGAGTTGTTCAATCTTATCTCTCAATTCATTAACTCTTTCTTGAGAAGCCAATGAAGATCCAGTATTACGACCACGAGATGAATTATCCTCATCATCAGAATCATCAAAGGACCAATCTCTAGTTGGAGTTGTTGCAGTAACTTGAGAAACAACACTTGCAACTCTTTCAGTAACACGACGTGGTGATCTTTTATCAACAACAGGAACAGATTCTTCTTCTTCAGAATCAGATGAGCTATCTGATTTAGTTTCTGAGAGTGATTGCTCTTCAGCAATTGAAGCACCTCCAGCACTAGCAGTTGTGGAAAGAGAAGATGGGAAAGTTTCTTCAACACTTGGTTGTGGAGTAACAACATCAACATGAACTTCAGTATTATCTTGTAAAATCAATTTTTCATCATCAGTCAATTCAGTCTTTTCAGCAACAAGTTCATTAGTTCCAGACTCAACAACAGCTTCAACGACAGTAGCTTCTTCAGTTGGTTGTTGAGTTGTTTCTTCAGTTGGTTGCTCTTCAGTTGTTGGTGAAGGTGTTGGTTCGACTGGTGTCTCTTCTACAACAGCAGCTGGTGTCTCTTCAGCAGTAGCAGCAGTTGGTTCTACAACCACAGCCTCTTCAGTAGTAGAAGTGGCGCCATTTTCTTCTGTAGTTGATTGTTGTTCAATTGGTGTTGTTTCTGCTGCAGTAGCTTCTGGAGAAGTGGCGGCAGAAGTTGTTTCGGAGGCTTGTTGTTCAGAAGAAGCAGCACCTGATCCTGCATTTTCCTTAAAGAATTTATAAACAGCCGAGAGATATGTAATGATGGATCTTTCATCTGGTTTTTCTGGATCGATATCTTCTGGATCCAATAGACGTGGAATGCCCAATTGTTCTGCTTGATCGAAAGCCCATTGAAGTCTTTCAACACGACCAAAATCATCCTGGATGGTCTTGAAAGTTAAACCCATGTTTGTCAAGAGTTCTGGTCTTTGCTATAATGTTAGAAAGAGTTAAATCATATATAGAATACAAAAAAGTGAAAGAGGAAGGTTAGGGAATGTTAAAAGAATCAATACATACACTATCAACGATGGCAGCAAATGCCAAACCATCAGCAAAAGATGTTGATAAATTCTTTACTTCAACGCCACGTTCTTGACAGGCACGTTGACAGAATTTGAGAATGGCTTCCTTTCCTCGTTTGGTAGACATGATGAATTATTATTTTGTGTTGTGTAAATATCGAACAGTTTTGCTTGATCGATGGTGTTGGTGTGAAGAGAGGTTTTTTTTTGAATAGTGATGTCTGACAGAAGTTAGATGACAACATCGATATGATGGACGAGTTTCCATTCATCATCACACTAAAAAATAATAAATTTTGATGGGTGCAGTGAAGTTTTAATGAGTGTTATCCTAAAACATGAAACTCAACACCCAATTACTTGAACCAAATTGATCAATATCATTTCAACATTATCAGTGAACTAGATGTTTACAATATTCAAGAACAATCAATGTAAATTAATTCAAAATTGTTTTTTTTATTTAATAAACAGGATCTGATTAGAGATGTGATTTAATCAAATCTTGTATTTGGCTTCTCAATTTGTTCAATAAGGTATTCTTGATCAGTATCAGTATTTTGTCAGAATCTGAAAATCTCCAAAATTTTTAAAGCTACCATTGAGAATCTTATTAAGGTGAGTCAGTACAGATTTTTGGATATTAAGCCTGCCCTTGATCTCCGTTATTGTACTCATCAAATACCAATATTCTAGAGGGTCTGTTTCTGTGTGTGTGGATGAAGGGTCTATGATTCAACGCGTGTGTTATTGTTGTATTGCGATTGTCTGATGCAGCATTCATGAATGAACGACGATGACGATGTTGTTGCTCATGATGACGAATATTTGTCTTGGGAGGGAAGGAGAAGGGACCCATTAAATTATCTTGATAACAATTCTTGGGGGAAGAAGGAATTGCTATACTACTGGAAGCAGTGGTGGATGATGAATCGTTATCCAAGTCATTCTCAGTGTCATCATCAGTATCCTCATCATCTCTGCTGCTCGCTGATAAGGTTGTTGATGAAGAAAATAAATCTACACTATTGCTTATAATAGTATTCTCTTCGAGATTTTCTTCAAATTCTTCTTGTCTTGCTTGGCAATGATTTGAAAGTGAAGAAGAAATAACAAACGACCTCTCTGATGAAGCACTAGAACATTGAGACATTCTTTTCCTATCAACGAATCTCTCAACTAGTTACGCCGCCCTTAATAACATTGAGGATTTGTCTGTTTGTGAACATCACAACACCCCTCAATGTCATGAATGGTCACACATAGAAGGAGCGATGACCGGTAGAAATTCCGGTAACAATCATTGCAGTTCGGCCGACCAATATTTTATTTATTACGGTAGTATAATGATGTATCTTACTGTACGCGGGATGATGTGAGATATATTGTAGTCTTGATTAAACTTTATTAAGCAAGGTTAAGAAGGATTCAATTTCCTCCTTTTCAATACCAATAGCGCAAGCAAGCGTAATGTAATGATGAGGATAGGAATCAGTATGAGAACCATATCCAACAAATGAAAGATGGGGGAGTACTGTTTTTGAGCTACCTTTCAGAACTACCCGAGGACCAGTACAATTTCTGTAAAAAAGCGATACGCCCACCTTTAGTGCCTCCTCCTTTGGTAAATCAATGGAAAGAGCAAATGAAATTTGGTTTCTCTGTAAAGAGCCTCGTATTAAGGAAAATTTAGATTGGGTATTGGTTAATTTGGATTCAATCTCAGAAACAAAATGTTGAAATAGCACCTCTCGTTCTGCGAGAAGCTTCTCCCATCCATCTTTACCCATTGATAGAAGAGTGATGAATAGGTCAAGAATTGGTGTCATGGATGCTCTTCCTGCATATATTTTCGACACCTTATCAATAAAGGTGATATCACTACCACTGGAAACAACAGCTCCTCCGACAGGTACCATAAAGTTCTTATCAGTACTCTGAACGAAACAAGTAATGGTTGATTTTGAACTGGCAATTGTCTTGTTAATTCTCTCCATAATTATTTTTGATTGAACTCCATAGGCATTATTTACAACTTGTCCAATTCCATACTTGAAACAAATCTTTCCAATTTCAAAAACATCATCTGGAACTCGAGGTGCAAAACAACTTGTTGTCGACAAGACACACAAAATATTTTCAGCTCCAACTTGTTGTATCTTGCTTTCAATAGATTGTAGATTTGCCTCAATAGATCCATCCTCATTTAAAACATTCTCAATGACTATTGGTGTAAATCCAGCAGTGTCAATAGATTTGAGGACAGATTGTTGATCTATTCTTGGCCAAATGACATACTTCTTATTGGGCTGTTCCAAACTGTTGGCCAAGGATCTCAGACACAAGGCAAGTGTCATTCCTGTACACATTGGCACAACAATTGATTTCTTTACATTTTTACATCCTGCTAATTGAATTGCATGATTGACAAGATAGTTACACAACTGTAAAATAATAGAGGATCCAGCTGCTTTTGGTTGATTTGATGTTAATTCTCCAGATCTTCCAATACCATGACTGAGGTAGAAGTGTCTCTTTTCCACCAATTTACTAAACACTCTTCCTTCTCTTTCTCCAATTCCGATATGATTTTCATAATTATTCGTATCCATTGATGCAAAGAAGGAAAGCAAGGACTCAATCTGTTGATCCGAAAATCCCTCCTTTGGTAATTGTCTTTGTGAGAGGAGTGTTTTGTACATCTTTTGCTGTTTGTTTACAGCTTGCAAAGCTTGTTTCACGTGATTGGCTTGAATCAACGTGCTTGCAATTTCTTCAAAACCATCAAAACTCATTTTTTCTTTTAAAGAATTATTGAATGGCTATTATTATTAATTTATAATATAGTTTATGAAGTAATGAAAGACCACTAATAAATTATCAATCTTATTGCCGTAGATCAAAAAGCAATGTCTTCCCTCATCAATTTTTGTTATCAAGAATAAAAAATACATAAAATGCCATCCAATTCCGACTCCAAGTCATCATCAAAACAAAAAGGTGATGCAAATAAGAAGAAATCGAAAAAGCAAACACCAAAACGAAAGAATAGTACATCATCAAATAATAATAATAATACTACACAACAAAATCATAGTAATGCCAAACATGAAAAGGCAAATTCATCATCACCTTCTCGAGAAATGATAGAAACTTCATCATCACTAGTAGTGTCATCATCAACAGATAATATGGACCAACAGAATATAATGGATAATTCCACACCAAACACAATATTTGAACAACGAAAAAAGTTTGCATTGAAAAAGATAATTGCAGGCTACACTAAAGGAATTTCATTTCTTCATCATCAAAAGTATGAAATTGCTATAGGATGTTTTACAACCTCTCTCGGTTTGAAACAAAATTTATATGTTACCATAGTGAAGGATGATGAAGAAGGAGGAGTCTTGGATGATCTACAAAATTGTCAAACACAGGAACCTCCTTTTATATTGGAATCAACACTTTTTGATGATGACCAACATAGGCAGGATTTACACTCATCTCTGGGCTTTCATGATATTTCTTGTTCTTCAAGTTCTCTTCCACTTTCTCCTTGTACCTTTACATTGTATATTTTGAGAGCCATAGCATTTATCGGACATCATGTATATTCTAAAGCAGTTGTGGATTGTGATTCAGTTCTGCGACAAAATTCTTCCTATCATTCAGTAAGTATTATATTAATATTTAATATTCATATTTATTCAATCAATTTAAAATTCATCAAAATAATTATAAAAGGCTTATATAATTAAAGGACATGCTCTTATATGCATGAAGAAATATAAGGAAGCATATATGAATTTCACAGCACTTTTAGAACAAGTCAGTATCAATTCACAAATGGATTCCCAGGAAAAAAATTATCAAAATAATAATGGAAGACATTCACACAAGTGTGATATTGACTTTACATTACTTTTGGGAAGTAAGGAGGATGTTTTTGATAGCCTGAGAACTCTACATGGAACATCATATCATATTAATGAAATGTCAAAGAAACAAAACAAAACCAAAAGTGATTTGGATGCCTTGGAACAATCAGTAGTTAATATTTGTAAATATTGTGATTATTATGCTAAATCTATTGTGGAGTATGAGAAGAAAAAATGTGCAGAAGTTTTTGGTTATAAACCTTCAATGGAAGAAATATCCAATGAGATGGAATTTCAAAATTCTGAAAACTTTACCGATTACGACGAAGATCTTGTAAATGATGAGAATGATTTTGGATTAAATATTTTGGACATTTATTGTCTTGCCTCATCTCCCACTGATATAAATTGTAGGAGTATGGGCGCAGTATTACTCGTAGATTATATTGCTAGTGCAGTAAATGAATGCTCTAGGGCCATGTCAGAAGATTTTGATAAAATAGACATACAAAATAAGAAGGAAAACAAGAGTGTTCTGGAGGAAATATTCAAGGAAGAGGAGGAACGATCTCTAATTTTAAATGGTATTGATAGTATATTGGATTCTCTGTGTTTGTGGGATGATCAAGAATTGAAACTCTTCTCAACAAGAGCAGTAACTGATTTGTGTAGTGTGGATACTGATTGTTCACTCAGGAGAAGAATTGTGCAATATGAGGATGGCGATGCTCTAAGACAAATCATTCAACAACTTTCCTTGATCGATTATATAATTCTTGACATTGGAGAGTGCGATCATCAATTATGTGACCTTTTGGATGCCTCTGTTTCTGCTCTTGCTTCTATTGCAAGAGGAGGCTCTTCAGATATTAGCAGAACTATTTATGAAATGAATGGACTTGTGGCTCTATCTCCAATATTACTACAAGTCTCTAGATCATTGGCTGTTCAACGAATGCCAGTTGTCAAAGCTGTATATATTGCCCAATGTTATGCATACCTTTCAGTGGAGAATTTTGATGTCAAGGAAGCAATAGTTTCTGATGAAAAGACACTAATTGCATTGTATAAGCTTTCCCATCAAATTATTGATGTGGAAGCTAAAAATTTTGCCATTATTACCATTGGTAATAGTTGTCAAAATCCTGAATGTTGGGGAAAACCTCTCTTACTAAAACAAATTTCGGAACAAGTGAATAATACACTGATATCAAAAGGATATTTGGAGCTTTTATTGGATATTATTAAAAAGGTACCCAATCCTAATAGTCCCTTTGGAAAGCCAGGAATTGACATGAGCTTGATTGAGCTTCAATACAATTCAATTAATACAATGACTGGATTATTGGGATTTGAGAGTGGAAGAAAGAGATTTGAAAAGAACAAGGGTGAAGAAATTTTAACAGATATTATATTTAATAGTAAATTTGAGGCACTGAGAGATGTCAGTGCAAAAGCTAGGACATTTTACATCACCTTGAATGACTATGGTGACAATATTAGTGAATTTGTATTTACCAAGTTTAAGATTTTGAATTTCTTAGATTCTAGGCATGATGTTTCTGAACCACCAAAACCAATCCAGACAGAACCTATCAAATCAATTAAACCACCACAACAACCATCATCAAATGGAAATAGTAGAGAAGAAATAATTAGGGAGGAAACTATGAGATTTATGGAAATGAAAAAGAAGGGAGAACTTCCAAATGATTTTAATGAGGACTTTTATTCTAAATTGATGAATGGTATACTTGGTATTGGAATCGTCGGCATGTCCCAAGACAAGAAGGGTACATCTGCCAATGGCAAGAATAATCAACAAGTGGATGATAAGAAAATTACTTCTCCAAAGCCAACAAATACTGTTCCACCTAAACCACAAAAGAATGTTTATAATGAACCATTAATAGTGAAGGATATTTCACATTTGTTGAGAGGTGATTCCACAAAGAAAGAAGATCAGCCAACAGCACCAAAGGAAGACCCAAAGAAGAAAAATAAGAAGAATAAGAAAGGTTCCAAGAGCAAGAATAAGAAAAAACAGCAACAAGATGCAAAGAAGTCCAAAAACAAAACACAAGAACCAGTTGACAATAAGAAGTCAGAACCTTCCTCCCAACAACAGGGCCATAATGCTAATTCTTCAGTTGTTGAACAAAGAGTAATTGAACTTTCTGATGATGAAGATTCTGAGGATGACCCACTTACTGAGACAACTACTCCTGTAAATGTTACACATGAAGAACCACCACAGCCTATCATTGTCAATGAATACGAAGGTAAAACTCCAGAGGAAATATTCTTATTAGAATTTGAAAAAGGCATGTCAAGACTTGTAAAGGAAATGTGGATGTGAAAATAATTAAGGGGTGTGAATTTATATAAAGTCTCAAGTGAGAGAAATCATTCCAATAGTTATTGGATGTCAACCTATTTCTTCTTAATTACTTCTTCTTACTGTACTTTTTAATTGTAAGAGCCAGGATCTATTCTTGGAAAGTTGTGAAATTTAGATGGGAAATTCAAATTTAAAGTTTCATAACAAAATTGCACCATCACCCAAACACATAAAATTAAAAAAAATAATAATTTAAAAATAATTACTTTGAAAAAAAAGAAATGCTACCACAAACAACAACAAGTGGACAAAAACCATCAGTACAACAACCAGAATGGTTCAAACCACAAGGAAGAGACACTGGTATTGAAGTGTACAATTCCTTGACTTGTCAGAAGGAAAAGTTCATCTTACAAGACAATAGTAATACCATTACTTGGTACACTTGTGGTCCAACAGTTTATGATTGGAGTCATATGGGACATGCCAGAACCTATGTTGGTTTTGATATTGTTCGCAGAATTTTGGAAGATTATTTCAACTTTAATGTTATTTATATTGAAAATATTACCGATATTGATGATAAGATTATCAAGAAGAGTAATAGAGTAGCCTTGGAAAATAATGCTTCATCACTTTTAGAAAAACTTACAAGCCTTCCATCATCGGAATCAAATAGTAAATTACAAGAATACCTTTTGAATTTGCAACAAAAGTTAAAGATTGATCAAGAAGAAAAGGTAAAGGCTAAACAACTTACATTGGGACAAATTCTTGATGAATTTAAAGCACTTGTGAATGCTGTTGTTGAAGCTGGATTGAGTGCTGATTTAATTTCTCAACCAGACTTTTTGTCTGTTCCACGTTATTATGAACATTTGTTCTGGGAAGATATGAAACAACTTCAAGTCAAGACACCAACAGTTCTTGTTAGAGTTACTGAACATATTGATGAAGTTGTTAGTTTTATTCAACAAATTATTGATAATGGTTTTGCTTATGAAGAAGGTGGAAATGTTTACTTTGATGTTGAAGCTTTCCAACAAAATCAAAAACATGTTTATGGTAAATTGGAACCATGGAATGTTAATTGTGAAGAACGTTTGATGGATGGTGAAGGTGAATCTGAAACTGAAAAGAAAGTTTTTAAAAAGAAATCAAAGAAGGACTTTGCTTTGTGGAAGACCTCAAAGCCAGGTGAACCAGAATGGGATAGTAAATGGGGTAAAGGTAGACCTGGATGGCACATTGAATGTAGTGCTATGGCTTGTTATGCACTTCAACAAGCTGCTAAATTGGCTGGTAGATCTGCTAATGATGCTACTTTGGATGTTCACTGTGGTGGTATCGACTTGAAGTTCCCTCACCACGATAATGAACTTGCTCAATCTGAAGCTTATCTTGGTTCAAGACAATGGGTCAATTATTTCCTTCACACTGGTCACTTGTCCATTGATGGAATGTCCATGTCTAAATCAAAGAAGAACTTTATTACCATTAGACAAGCTCTTGAAAAGTACACTGCTCGTCAAATCAGAATGATGTTCCTCTATCGTAAATTTGATGATGAAATGGAATATTCTGAAACAACTATGGAATATGCCAAGTCTATTGAAAAATCATTCCAAGAATTCTTTGGTAATTTAAAGATTATTTTCAGAGATTATGTTACCAAGACTGGTAAGAGTATTGAAAAATGGGATCAAGCTGATTTTGAATTGAGTGAAACCTTGTCAAAGAGCAAACTTGACGTTGATACTGCTTTGAGAAATTCATTCGATACCATTAAATGTATGATAACTCTCCAATCTTTGATCAAGGCAACTAACACTTATTTGGAAAAGAAGAATGTTGAAAAATTCAATGAATTTGTCAAACAAGGAGGTGATCAACACAGTGCTGATGCTCCAAAGTATCCAAGTGTTCCACTTTTGAAGCAAGTTGGTTACTATGTCACTAGAATTTTCTCAGTTTTTGGTTTGGTTGATGGTGTTGATACATTCGGTTTCCCAGTTTCTGGAGGTGAAAGCTATGAAGAAAATGTTGCTCCAATCATTAATGCTCTCTCTGACTTTAGATCTGAAATTAGAAACATTGCTCGTGACAAGAATGACAAGAAGGAACAAAGAATTTTACAAACTTGTGATTCTTTGAGAGATGATGTTCTTCCAGGTCTTGGAATTAGATTAGAAGATAAGAAGGAAACAACATCTTGGAAGTTGGCCGATAAGAATGAACTTTTGAGAGAAAGAGAAGAAAAGAAAGCAAATGAAAAACAAGCCAAACTTGATGCTCTCAAGAAATCTGAAGAAAAACTTGCCACTGCTCAAAAAGAATACGAAACATCATTGATTGATCCACTCGAATTTTTCAAACAAGGAGAATATGCTTCCCAGTTCTCTGAATGGGATGAAACTGGCCTCCCAACTAAGGATAAGGATGGTGTCGAAGTGACAAAGAGTGCCAAGAAGAATCTTTCTAAGGCTCTAGATAAACAAAAGAAACTTTTCACTCAACAAGAAGCCAAGAAAAAGGCTGTCCAAGATGCAGAGACTTTGGTTCACAAGAATGGGCTTGCTGTTACAGAACTTAAATAAATAAACTAGAAATATTCTTTTCAAATTATTTGTATATTTTGGTGCATTTTATCAAAATTAATTAATGACAACATTTCCCAAAACGCTCAGAATCGTTTTAGAACATTTTTGCTGATAGTTCACAAAGGCAAAAACAAAGTTTAGTAAGGACCTTTTCTGTAAATGGCGAACGGCTAATAAAACGAAAGGTATTTTAAATAATTTGTTTTGGATTTTTATTGTTAAAACTACAACTTAGTGAGATTATAATGAGTGGAAATGCAAAATTGGTGAGGATTAATATGAATTACAAGAATGTTTAGGATTTTCTAAATAGATGCAGTGATAAATTATTCTTCCTTCACTTAGACATCGTTCTCAGCAGAGATCATGTCAGCAACAATTTCTTCCAGACGTTCCTTCAGATTGGCTTTATCCAAAGCAGTAACAAAGAAGACATTTCTGAGTCTGTTTTCAGTATCCTTTTCCTTGTAAGTTTCCTTGATAAAATCTTTAGCAGCTTCTCCATCATTTTCTGGTCCTTTATAATCTTCGAATGTATCAACTAATCTGGCACCATTTTCAATCTTTCTCAAGAACAAGTCGTGTTTGTTGAAAAGCAAATAAACTAAAGTATCGGCAAACCACTTTGAGTTGATGTAATCAGCAAAGAGTTGTAAACTTTCCTTCATTCTGTTAGTTGTATCATCTTCGTAACATTTTTGGTCAAATTCACTCAATGAACAAACAAACAAGATACTATCAACTCCTTGGAAGTGGTGAATCCACTTTTTACGTTCGGTTCTTTGACCACCTATTATTATTGTTAGAATATCTCAATAAACTCGGAATACTTACCAACGTCGATCATACAGAATGGAAGATTCTTGAAAGTAAATGGTTGTTCAATAAGACCAGTTGTCTTAATTCTAGCTCTGACGACATCTTCTTCACTTGGCATATAATCAGAAAGACCAATTCTTTCCAAGTTATCAAAGTAGTATGAAGCAGAATCTTCAATTTGGAATTCGTTTCTTCTCGACATGGCTTGAAGAATGGCTGGTTCCTTCCACAATTCAGCAATATCTTGAGCCAAATTAGAATCCCAAACTCTGTCTGGAGCAAGAAGAATCTTTTGTTCTAAACTTTCAATCTTTTCGGCACGTTCTCTATTTTCTTCTGTAGAAATTTGAAGCGAAAGTGTCTTGGTAGCTTGAATAAGAACCATCATGTTACGGAGAATGTTCTCATAGATCATTGGTCTAACTTTAGCCTTTTCATCAGTTGTAAATCCATTATTATAGATTAATCTCATTTGTTTAAAGATGGTACCTATATATTATTTGATAACAATAATATTATTATTATGATGAATATCATATCATTCATCAATAATAACAACAACAACAACAATATTAGCATTGTGATCAAAATAGTAGTACGAATAGCACATTCATCATACATGGGCCACCATTTCAAATTGAGCCATTTTTCATGAATATGTAAAATTTACGGAAAAGATTTGGAGGGAAAGTTTCGATTCGCATCATCAAGGAACAGAATATCATTATCATGACCACATGCACAACAGCAAACAAGTGTCAATAGTAGGATGATTATCATTATATTGCAAAAATTTCCAAAAAAAGTATAGTAGAAGGTTGTGGTATCATCACGTAAACATATTCAGTGAATCATCAATACCAAGGAGCAAAATTAATACATGAGAAAGTTTGGTGGAGAGAATAAACAATAATTGTGATGAATCATATCAATACATTTTGTATAATTACTTACTCTTTCCAGAATCACCAGCACCTACGAGAAGAATCTTTTTAGGTGGTTTAGCTGCTGCTACTGGCTGTGTAGGTTGTGTAGGTTGGGTGGTAGCTGGCTTCTTGCTCTCTGAATTTCCAAAGCACATGTTGAAGAAGGATGATGTTATATATTCGTAAAGTGAGGGAGGATTAGTCTAGTTTAGGTGATGTATTATCCAATGTATAAAGTTGTCTAAAATTTACTGGGGACTGAGATACCTCTCGCAAATTTGTTGGATAATTGGGGTAGTTGTTGTTGGAAAATTTTTTTGAGTTGTTTTTTTTAAAGGGATAGTGATGGCTGACTTGTAGCAGTTTATGATGGCATTTGTGAGGACCTAATTTCATCAGCACAACAGATTCAACATTAAAATACCTCAAACACCCCTTCATCATTTTCATAAAACAATGAAAAGTGAGTGAGGAACAAACATAATATTCATTGAATAAACGCCTTTTATGACTAGAGATATAGAGAATTCTTTTTTTTTACATAAAAACAAATCATTTGATATCATATGTAATGATTGAAAAAGATATTGATATCATCATATATAAGTGAAACATAAGATGAATGAACACTTGAGAGATGATTGTTCTTTTTGAGAGTTATTGTGTTGTGTGGTAAGAATATTGTAAAGTGTTTGGGTAACGTTAGTGAAATTGGAGAACGTTTGGCAACGTTATTTCAGTGAAGGACAAGTTCATGTTTGGGTAACTTTTTCCGAATTTTGTTGAATCAGTGATTAAGCAAGAAATTTATTCGAAACGGTTGTTCATACTAAATATTTTACCAATTTGGAGTATTGGGGAAATGAAGACGATACTACACTACTTTTCAATATGTAACAAGAATGTCGTGTGCTTTTATGTTCCAATCCAGTTAATTATTCGTATCGAAATATCATAAATGTGCTCGTCTCGTGGTGTAATGGTAGCATAGTGGACTTTGAATCCATTGACGGAGGTTCGATTCCTCCCGAGACGGTAAACGTGGCGAGCCATGAATTTTTTTTCTTCTTTTGATTTAGCAAGAACATATGCTAAATCAATTTTACAAATGCACAATCAAAAAAAATGGGTAGAGAAATACTGTATGATTCCTTTCTGCTCTCTGAAGTTTGCATCTTTCTTGATCAGCCCTCGATCGCTTCATTGAGACAAGTCAACTCTCACATATGTAATTTACTCCTAGAATGTGATGATTTTATTTACTCCAATGAATTGTTTAATATTTGTAAAAAATTATTTATTAATAATGATGATGGTAGTACGAGTGTGAGGGTTGTCAATATTTGGGACTCATTTGGTGATTTTAGAAATTATATTAAGGGTAAAAGGGGAACTGTTTCCTGTTTGGAATTATTTAAGGAATTACTGTTCAACCCAATGGTTTTAAAAAGTTCTAATGATTTTTCTAATGAGATTTATGGCCAGTTTATTAATTATGGGGGATGTATGGAATATTCTATCACTCAACCATGTAGAATTATTGGATGGATGTTGAGAGATTTTTGTTCGAAAGAGAATAATAATGTAATGATGAAATTTCACAAATTTTGCCTCCTCTCTCATTTTGCTTATACATCAAATGTTGAGGTTATTTATTCAAATGAAGCAATTGATCCATACACAAAGCTTCATACTCCTAACACATCAAATTTTATTGTAAATATTTGGAATAAGATGTTTCCAACCAATTCTGAATCAGAACCACCAAAGAAACATGGATTTGTCAATAACTTCATGACAGATATTATTAAAGAGATGAGAACTATTGATTTATTATTGAACATATTGGATGAATTTAAAACCTTTAGAACAGATAACCCACCTCCACCTAATTATAATGAGATAATATTCCACACTCGTTCAGATCCATCCGTTTTCAACTTTACGCCACTTAATAATTCAATTTTAGAGCCATTGAAAACGTTTTCTGATATTCTTACCTATCATCATTGGTTTGCCTACACACCAGATCCATTACTTCCAACAACCTATCCTAAACTAAGAAGACAATTTCTTGGAATTGAAGATGAGGAGAATTTCTCTGCAAAACACTATGATCACTTGATTATGTATGACTGGACAACTACTATCGGAGGTGGATTGTGCTCTTACTGGCTATACGCCATGGAATATTTTACACATTCATTTTACCGATTGGATACTGGAGAATTCGTTGTGTTTACGACTAATCCACAAGATTGAGAGCACTAACTTGAACAAAATTCAAATTGGAAGAGGAGATTGGGCCAAGTTTCATGTTGGACTATCAATTGAGAAAAAACACGATCATAAACCCAATCTCATTGAGGAAGATTATAAAGACAACTTCGTACTATTAGGTTTTTATGGATAGATAAATAAGGTGATATTTAATTAAATCTACTCTTGAATTCCTTAGAGAAAATATTACATGTCTCATCATCAAAGTTGGTAAATCTGACCTCAAATCGATCGGCCTTAATGTTATCCTTGTTGGATTTCAAAAACTCAGTCACCGTATTAAACAATACCTTGGCACATCTATCCTTTGGGAAACCGAAAATTCCAGACGAAATGGCAGGAAGAGAAATGCTAGACAAACCAGATTCTACTGCCATATTAAGTGAGGCTTCAACACACATTCCCAATTCGAAATCTTCCTGTTCAGCTCCAAGAGTTTTGAAATCATTTGCCTTTCTACTACTCCAAATAGGTCCTACAGCGTGATATAATGTTTTACAAGGTAAATCTCCACTAATTGTTTCCACAACTTCACCATTTTCTAATTCTCTTCCCAAATCTTTAATCAATTTATTACTTTCCTTCTGAATAATTTGACCTCCATTCTAGAATTAATTATTATTATTTCATAGCATCATCATAAAATCAAAAAATTAAAATACAGATCATGATCATACATACCTTTACAATAGCTCCGGCCAAACCAGACATGTGTTGAAGTCTACAGTTAGCAGCATTCACAATGACATCGACTTTTTCCATGGTCAAATCTCCCTTTCTTACCTGAAGGACAAATCGAGGATCAATATCAGAAAATACATTTTCAAGTAAGAGAACAGATTCCTTTCCAAATGCAATTCCACTATTAGAAGATGATGAAGACTTCATATTGTTTCAAGGTTGATATTTTGATATTTTTTATGAATTTTGTTCTATTTTTAAATTTATACAGTTTAGTTTCAAATTGAATTGTAACAGTGAACTGTGAAATGAAGGTTCAAGTATTAAAAGTATTAAAATTTAATTGAGACTTATGAAATTTTCAGTTAAAACGTAATCATTCGAATATTGAAGATTTGAATATTATATTGTATCAATTAATTGAAATGATTCGTCCAAAGAATATTCGTTAGTACTAACAAAGATCTCTTTCAGTACTAGATCCATTACTTTTCAATAGGTCATCTTTCAATGATGACATTTTGCAAAGATGACCTATTATTCAATGAATTCATTTGAGGTTCATCCTAAATTTCAGGATTATTGTATTGTCCATCAAGCATAGTCCAATAAGAGACATTTACAAAGAAAGCAAGTCATTATTTTGGGAAGTGAAAAGGAACATCCACTCACTCCTCTCCACAACTACATCATGCTCCGTAACTAATCAATATGTTCCTTCCCAAACTAATAATCTACCACCATCAATCGGCACAAGCAGTTTTACAATGACCTTCTCCAACAACCATCACCAAAAGGGATCGAAATCAAACAGTAACAACACAGCTTGGGATCTTGCTTGTACATACTCTGGTGTTGGAATCTCCAAACCAAGAAAGATGATGATCAATAGATGGTATGCCGAGTCGTTAACTAGTCCAACAAAATCAATCGATTCCTTGCAAGACCAATTTTCAACAAACGAAATCAAAGAATACAAAGAGAAGAAAGAAGAATTGGATTCTCCTTTAACCTCATCTGATTCTGGAGAAGATGCAGAGGAAGAATATACTCAACCAAGTGATAGTCATGACGACGATGAAACAGTCTCCTCTTGTTCGTCATCAGAGGAAGTCAAGAAACCAAAAAAGCAATCATCTCCAAAACAAGTTAAGAAAAAGACCACAACCACAACTCCTGTCATTAGAAAGAAGAAGAAGCACACTACAAAGGGTCAATTCAATACTGGATGGTGGTCAGATGATGAACATCAAAGATTTTTGAAGGGCTTAAAGGAATGCGGTCACAACTGGAAGATGATTAGTACCAAGTATGTCAAAACTAGAGGTAGAAGACAATGTGCTAGTCATGCTCAAAAGTGGTACCTCTCAATTCGTTATTCAGAGGAACGAGAACAAATGGAAAAAATGTAAATAACACAATGTACAGTAAAATCAAACTATTTCTTCTCTACAACCTTTTCTTTCTTTTTAGTCTTTGAAGCCATGGCATCCAATTTTTTCAAATCAATCTTTGCCTTCTTTTTTACAACCTTCTTCTTCTTTTTCTTGTTTTGGTTTTGGAGTTCTTTGAGTCTGGAAACGGATTCAACTCTAAATAATTGATTCATACTTTCCTCTGGTAATTCCATTAGAGACTCGCTATTTAAGCATACTCTGCTCAAATCAATTATTAATCTTTGAGGTGACAAGAACCGAATCCATTGTTTTGTTATTGAGGGAAGACCGGTATCAGTAAAAACCATCTGCCAATTCGGTAATCCCAAATGCAGAATCATTAATCTGAAATATTCGACAAAGGTCTTGGAAATAAACCACCAATTAAGGCCAAGATCTTGGTACCATATCTCAGCCGAAGCAGGATTTTGTGGACTGTCCTTATATACAAAACACACTCTACCACTACAATGACTTGTTGAATTGCTAAGCTCGAATGCGGAATGGAAAGGATGAGAAGATTCAGTGTCATCATCCTTCTTTTTCACTTCCACAATTTTTTCAATAGAATGTATTGACATGTATCCCATCTGAACTTCCTTTTCATCAGATAAACTAATTTTCCATTTTAAAAGAAATCCATTCGAGTATAATAAGAATGATTTAAGTTCCGATGGTAATTGTGTCTTGTTTGTTTTTTCCCAATTATCTATTTGAGCTTGTGCTGTTGGTTTTGTTTCAAATAATTGAACATTTTTTACTCCTTCATGTGATTCAAGAAAGGCAATGAGGCTGAGGGCCACACTATCAAACATCTCCTTTACGTTCATTTTTTTTGTAGTTGTTAGAGTTTTATTTGAGCGGGATTGTATTTTAATGTTGTTGCAGTTTAAAAATAAATTAATTTATTTTACAGAGTTAAGTCTTTCAATTGCCTTATCCCTAATCTTTTGACAAGGTTCTGGAAATTCTTCCTCAATTCTCTTCAATGCACTCTTACTAAGCACAAACAAGTCACAGTGCGACCCAGCCCTTACAGTGGCCATTCTAGTCTGATCGAGAACGACACCAACCTCCCCAAAGAATTTACCTTCATCCAATGTAGCAATGACTTTTGGATCAATGCCCTCTGTGATAACCTCAACAAAACCTTTGAGAATGAAAAACATTTCATTGGCAGTATCACCCTTCTTCACAATTAAAGAACCAGCCAGTGCAGAGTGAGGTTGGAGAGCCATAACCATCGCTCTGATAAAGTTCTTTTCCGCACCATCTACAAGGAAGAGATCAACCTTCTTGATCAGTGCTTGTTGTTGTCTTTCTCTTTCTTTAAGCCTGGTTCTTAGCTCATCCAGAACCTTTGTATGTTTAATTCTCAATTTGAGTAAGAAGTTTGTAAACAAATCATCACTGTTAATATTGAGCTCGGCAATAAAAAATTGAATAACCTTAATGGTCTCTCTATTACTGAAGAATGCATCCAATCTTCCACCATCTTCAGGATGAAGCTTATCAAACCTTGACATTTCCTCGACCAATGGTTTGATATTACTAAAGAAAATATGCTCTTTTGTCAATTCTTGTCTTGGATTCTCAATTAGTCTTAATCTTATACTCTCGAGTAATCTTATCAGATAAGAATTGTCGGGTGATGGAATTTGAATTGTTTCCAAGTGAAACAATAACCTTCTGTAGAAAAGCACTGTCTGGTAAAATTGTGTCTTTTCCACTTCCAAAGTTTTACTGTATCTATCCCAAAATGATTCAAAAGTTATATCTCCAGGCTTTCTTTGAATAGTTTCATTGAGGCCATTGAGAGCAAATCTCTCAGATCGTTTCACTGATCTTTGAACCAACTTTTCCAAATAAATTTGAGACTGTTCAACAATGTATCTATTTCCATATCTTGTATCCAGAATGTTAAGCAAATCTTGTTGGTGGTTGATTTGAGCATCGAGAAATTCATTCCTCCAAACATCACTATTTAACACCTTTCTCTTTGCTTTTGGCTTTGCTATTGTCACATATTCGGATTGATAGGCAGGTAAGAAGTCTGATCCTGCCAAAATACCAACTAGTGGATTTTTGAGAGTTGAAGAATGTGTTATCGTTGATTTGGCCATTTGATAGGATTTGGTAAATAATTCCTTAAATACCACATCACTTCGTTTGAGTTCTTCATCTATTTTGTCTTCAAATTTTTTATCTGCAACCCTCTTTGGACCTGTATTCTGAACATCATCTGAGTTGATTTGAGCAGCTGATTGTTCTGCTTCTGGATTGAGTGATGTTTCCACTAAATTATTATTCTCAAAAGTTTTAAATGGCAAAAATAACAGTTCCAAGGTTTGTCTGGTGAAATCAGGCCTGTCGTCTAACTCCTTAGCCCTACTCATAAGGGATCTTTGATAACTGGCATCGAGCTCCTGTTGAGGAAACTTGGTCAAAAGTTCAGAAGCTACAAACTTGTTATCAGAGTTGTTTTTCCAATACTCGAATTTTTTGTGTGTTAATATATTTACACGTCTAATGGTTCCACTAATTGCTTTCTTGACACAACTGTTTCTATCAGTAACATCGAATGGATCCTCAACATAGAGTTCCAAATTTGTTTGATTAGTGGTTGGTGCTCGATTTTGTTTGAAGAAAGTCTTTGATTGAATTTCTACTCTATTTTCCTTATTACTATTCATTCCGATAGGAGAGGCTGATCTTGAGAGTTCGGTAAGGAAAGTGCCTCCCCCTCCATTGTTACTTGCTTCTTCCGTTGTAACGATTGAACTATTTACAGATTCTTCTGCCACTTGAGCATTGATAGTTTCAGTGATAAAGGCAGAAATTGGTTTCAGTCTCTTCTTCGTCTTTCTCTCCCAGTTGATTTCATTTAATGGTCCAGATGAACCAAATTCATCATCAAGAGTTGAAGAGATATCCTTCTTTCTAGACCCTGAGGAAGCTGTTGTTGGTGGAGGTTTGTTTTGAAGAGGAGGGAGTGCTTGTCCCTTACCATTCGGAAGTTTTGGAAAGATATTTGCATTATTATTATTGGGAATTGGTTTTGATTTTAGAGGTGTATTGAATAGATTGACACTGTTTGGATCACTATTCTTATTGGGATTGTAAGGGGAAGGATAGCTGGCTGATGTATTGAAAGAGTTTTGTACATCATTATTTCGTTTGTTTTGGCTGGCAGTATGAGTTCGAGAGAAGGGAAAATGGCGGGTTGTTCTAGTATCCAAACTGCTGGTGGCCCTGAAATGTACTTGAGAGGAATCGATGTTACGATTCATTCTGGTATTCTTGATGATCCTACTGTTGAGGATGTTCAGAAAAACTTGATGTGATGATGAAGATATTTTGTTTTAAAGTCTCTTTGAATTGGTGCGTATCTTATTCATGAATAGTTTCCGTTTGAAATGTACAGCGATATGAATATTTGTCGATATTTTGACAATGGTTGATAGATGGGAATATTGAGCAACCACTTGTGCCGAGAGCTTTAATCCGATTATGCTTACTTAGTATCCGCAGAGACTTGTTTTTTAATAATTCTTTTCACAATAAATAACCAACAAACGGTTTGTTATCCAAAGCTCTGCGCAAACTTTATAGAATAAATAGTTTAGTGTTTATTCATCTTTTGTATGTATTATTGATCTTTATCCATTCATGAAGAACCAAGTTAGTTAAGGAAATTAAACAATGGATAATAGTCAGCATTTTGGATTTTGAAATATCTTGATTGTGACTGAAAAGTGCTGGAACCGGCAAAGAGCTCTCGTATGATTTCCAACACATTGGTTCGCACCGACACTGTCAATTTTTGTGTTCTCTTGCCAATATTAAAAGTCAGCTATCAATAAAAATGCAACGTTGGCCTGCTGACAATGGTGGAAGTGATAACAAAATATTATTGATGGACTCACTAAACCCCATTCTAAGTAGTGGACAGAAGACAATAACAAATTCATCAACAACACCTTCTTCTTCTTTCACCATCATCAGCACCAAAAATCAATAATAATAACACACTCTCATTAGATAATAACAAAATCGTGCTAACAGATAACCTTCACGCACCGCAACATTCCTCTTCAGAAAATGAGACTACTCTCTCATCATCTAAAACGGCGGGAGAAGCAAACTCTTCAATAATAACCCATCATCAAGAGTTTCAATAACCGATAATAATAATAATTTATTCTCGATGAAGAAGACAATGACGATGATGGAACACCAACTATTTGCACGACACGACTCTCCTTAAAGGTAGCACAACAACCAATTCCCTTTTCGTTGGATGGTATTGATCTTCAAACGGTTTCCACAACTTCGGCAACCATTCAATCAACAACTTCTTCATCCTCCATAATTAATAATAACAATAATAGTGGTTCCATCATTCTCTCTCCTTCATCCTATTCTTCGTTACCGCAGCAGCAACAACAAGAACAACATGGAGATAATAGGAATAATAATTCAAATAATAATGGAAGTAATAATAGCACTTCAACATTTAAACCAACATTACAATCACAACAACATGTGCCTTTCATGATGAGGAATAATGCCCTGTCGCCCACTTCATGTAATTCATCTGTTGGAGGAATGTCAACAACTCCATCCACACCACGAAGTTCAAACAATATCACACCAAGAAGCTCCAATGATACATCCAGTCTCAATACTCTAACTTCACCACATGAAGATTCGAATAATAATGGGAAACTACTTTCTGGGAAAATGTTCAAGCATTTGGCAAACTATTTGAATCATGTCCAAACGAAGAAACAACAAATTCATGAAACTATGGAACGAGAGGCAAAATTACACAACAATAGACTAGGATATGCCAGTAATTATCCAACTCCATCGACACCTTCGGCAGAAAGACTTGTATCTCCTACAAGTGGTTTACACGATTTGCAATCACCACTACAACCACAACGAAACAATCAGGGCTGGGACAATGATATTGTCTGTACTCCAAAACCCAGCAATGGTGGAGCAATAGATTATGCAATGAAAACTCCATCCACCCCTTCCTCACTGTCAGGTAATAATGTTGCCATTATTAATGGTAGAAGAGTGCCTGTGAATTTTAACACTTCATCCTCTCAATTGTTAAATCAGAAATCTCAATCTTTCTATCATGTATCAACTCCATCCTCATCCTCCAAAACCACTAATGTAACCTCTCCAAATAGTTCAGCACCTCTCAATAATGATAACAATTATCAAATTGGTAATAATATTCAAAAAGCAACAAATCCACCACCAACTAATTCCTCCAATGTATCATCACCAACTCAAAATAATTCCTCTAATCTTACAACAAGCCCTCCTTCTTCCAACATTCATAGAGTGTCTTCCCCAATCAATGATCATAATAATTCATTTTCTCATATCAATTTAACTGCCTCACCAACTCTGTCACCTGTAAAGATATCAGTATTTAATGATAATATAGTGGCTCCAACTTCAACCATTAATACTACTAATAATAGCCCAACACCTCTATCAGCAGTTTCAGTGATAACAGATAATTCTCATTCATACCCTACATCACCAGCACATAACAAACCACAACATCATAGAGTAAATAGTAATCCAACAACAGATCACCCCCCATCTCATTCAGAAAAGGGAAAGTATCCACTCAATTTGAATTTTAAAAATTCTATGGATGAATCTGATCCTTTCCATCATGATGGAATGATTTCTGTTAGATCGATATCAAGTGTGACAAGTTATAATGATCACGATTTACTGACACCTCGTATTGATATTGGAGCAGTTTATGGAGCAATAGTTGGAGTTGGGACCTCAATTACAAATCACATCAATGAGCAGGGAAACAAAACAGCCAGAAGAAGGAATACCAAACAAAGAGCTGCCCAAGGAAAGAGAAGAAGCAATTCAATGGCAGCTTCATCATTTTCACATCACCAAGATTTTGTTGTCGATATCAAACATCACATTAGTGATAGTGTTGCAGCAAGTGCTACCAATTATTCTATCAATCCAATAAGCCCAATACCTGCAGTGGATAATAATGGATTGGCCTTCTCTCCTCAAAAGAAACCTGTGCCTACTCTAGAAGCTTCAAAACCAGCAACAGATCTCTTAGTAGAACACCTCAAATCACCTCACACTCCAACTAAACTCATGTTTGGAAGAGGTTCCTCCACCAATTCTCCAATTCATATCAAGGCAGCCTCCTCTTCCAATTTATTGAGTTTTTCTAATCAGGTAGCAGCCTCTGCTCTAAAAGATCCATCAACACCAACAAAGGGAGCTGCACCAATAAGCGTGAGTACTCCTCTGAAACAAGTTGGATCATCTCTATCATTTTACATTCCCAAGCTGACTCCACTTTCAGAAGTAGCTAAGAACTCTAACATTATCATTCATGCTACTAAGAGTGGTTGTGTTGCATTGTTGGAGTGCGTTCTCGATGATACAAATGTGAACAATATAAGAGATAATCATAATGGTAATTCATTACTTCAGATAGCAATTCAATATAATCAAGTTGAGGTTGTTGCACTGATGTTGAGCAAGTTTGACATTAATCTCAATTACACAAACAAGATTGAAGGAACAGCTCTTCATGTAGCAGCCACAAAAGGAAATTGTGATGTTTTGACAATGCTCTTGACGGCTCTCTCCAAAACAGGTGTTAAAAAGTTGGACTGGGCCAGAAAGGACACCTATGGTAATGCAGCTATTCACTTGGCTGCAGATGCTAGAGATTACAAATCCATAGAAACAATGATCTTGTTGGGGGTTTCACCTACCCTCAAGAAGAGAGATTCTGGAGTCACATCACTTCATATTGCAGCATCAAAAGGATATCCAGAAATTGTGAAATTATTAATTGATTTCTATACAGAGCCAATTACTTTTGCCAATATGAGAGATGATAATGGTCTAACTGCTCTAATGAGAAGTGTTCTTTCTGTGCATTACAATGACAAGATGGAGACTGATGAGTTCTTGGAGAGATATCAACCTTCCTATTATCCAAATTCACCATTGGGATCACTGGAAAAATTCATTAGAACCAACTCTAGAAATTGGAATAAGGATTTAACTGATGCTGAAAGAAAGAATTATATGAGAGTGTGGTTATACCTCTTGAATGAAATTGATTATAAGGCATGTTGTACTGTCAAGACTATTGCTCATGGATTGAACTTGTTCCATCTGGCAGCCATGTCCAATAATGTTGTATTCTTACATTTATGTGCCCTCTCACTGCCAGAAGATCTCTATCAGAAATTATTTTACGAACCAGACAAGTATGAGGGATTCACTCCACTCCACTTGGCATGTTGGTTTAATAATTCGAATGTTGTAGAGCTATTCCTCTCAGTTGCCACTGAGAATCAAGATGATATTCAACAAAAGAGAAGAACTCTGGTTCCTTTCAGAAGACATACTGATTGTTCAGCTACGGATGTTTCAGATTTGGGATTGACAGCTGTTTCAAAGCAAATGTCCTCAAGTGACTCTGACATTAATACTACAGTCTTTCCTTCTAATGCCAAACTTGCTTTCCAACTTGGTGGAACATCTACATCATTACAAGATAGTGGCAGAGTGAATATTCCACAGTTGAAAGTTTCATTAATTGAAAAGAAAATTTCGCCACAACCAAGTCCTCAACAAAGCCCAGGTACTGCCAGATTCAAAAAAGGATTTGAAAAACTCTCCAACCTCATCAAAACTCCAAGAAGATCTCAAAGTGCTACTACACCTGAAGATCAACAAACTCCAAGGGATTCAGAGCCGAGATCTGGTAGATTTTTCAGAAGGAGAAGACCAACCATCAATGAAAGCAGTGAAGAGGATCAAGCACATCATGAAAATAGTTCATTTATTTTGAAGGAGAGAAGACTAGATCCAAGACATTACAGATATTCAATTGAGAAAACTAATTTATATGGAGAGACAGCACTCTATGTAGCAATACAAAGATTGAAAGATTTACTAATTGAAGAACAAGATATTCGTGATCCACTACTTCAAAAGAAGATTTTGGAAGCAAAGAAGAAGAATCAACAAGAAATTACAAGAACTTCACAAAATTTAACAAGAATTGATGCTACTGCCAATAATCCACTAGCTATTTCCACAGCATCTATTTATTCTTCTCCTTCTTCAACTGAGAAGAGTACATCCAAGTTTTTGAGTATGAGAAGATTGAGCAGTGTTCATTACAATATGGAAAAATATTGGGAATCATTTGCTGAGAGACTTTCTTCTATGGACAGCATTGTTCATTTGTTAATCATTTCCAAGAGTTCTCTCAAGGCGAAAAGTACGAGAAATAAGGATGTTTCAATCCACCATCTAGTTCAAAAGGTAATTGATGAATGTGACAAGCTTCCTGATGAAGGAACAAAACTTTCTTCAATGCACACCAATATTTCCATCAAATATTCTCTTTTTCTGAGTAAATAAATGAATTCTTTAACGAATGGTAATGTTCTTTTTTATAAACCAATCTATTGTTTGGATTCGTCAACATTATTAACTTTCTTGCTCTGAATTGTTGATTTTTGAGAAATTTTAAATTTGAAGTATGAGTTGATATTTGAATAGTATTAGGTAATTGTAAATTAGTAAATTGAATTAGTTCAAGTTCGTATGGATATCAGTTTTCTATCCAAATTTGGAACCTTACATCTAACTTTTTGAGCTTGTTCCAAATGAAAAACTATTAGAAATGGTTTAAATTAGCACCCTTCTGTTGAACTATTCCATCCAATAACAAAAAATGAAAGCAAATCTAATCTTTTCAATTGCAATTCTACTCTTGCTTGCCATCCTCTCTGTTCAAGCAAGTGACAGCTATCAAACTAAACCTCCAGTCGTTGTTGACAAGTATCACAAGCCAAAGATTTGTAAGAGAAAATGCTTAAAGCACAAGTGGATTAAGAAGTGTTTAAAGCACAAACTCGTTGGTCAAAAGAAAGTCTGTGATCAATATGCCATTGTCGGTGCTGGCAAATGTCTCAAACATAAGAAATATTCCAAATGTGACAAGTATAGCAAGCCAACAAAGAAATGCGTCTTGCATGCATACAAAGTAGTTGGATGTGCCAAGAAGAAGTATTGGAAAGTTTGTGATTCTTATGGAACAAAGAAGATTTGCATCAAGAAGGGCTTCAAGAAATTCTGTGCCAAACACAAGATTATTAACAAGTGTGTCAAGAAGGGATTTAAGAAGGTCTGCAAGAAATTCAAGAAGGTTCCAATCAAGAAGTGTGAAAAGAAGAAGGTTTGCGACAAGTACACTGTTGATTCCTACAATAAGAAGGTTGCCAAATGTAGATATGTTAAAAAGTGCAAGATAGTTTCATGGGCTAAGAAATGTGCCAAGTATAAGAAGGTTAAATATTGTAAGGAGAGAAAATCAGTTAAGAAGTGTTGTCTCATTAAGAAGAAATTCTTCTGTGCCAAGCATAAGACCATCAAGTTCTGTAAGCACAAGAAGACTGTTTCCAAATGTGTCAAATATCAAAAGAAGAAGTATTGTGCCAAGTCAATTATCATTCCTCCAAGATGTATCAAGAAGAAGTATTATAAGAAGTGTTTGAAACGTTCAAAGGGTAAGAAAATTTGTAAGAAATTCAAATTTGTTGGTGGAAAGAAGAAGTGTTGCAAGTCAATCAAGAAGAAGATTTGTATCAAGAGAAAGACATGCAAGAAGTCATCAAAGCCAATCGTCAAACCTTCCTTGTAAATTAATTTTGGCATTTGCTCACACTCTTAGTAATAAGTGAGAAATATTAATAACAAAATAAATTTAACTATTTCACAACCTTCTATTTTGAAACTTTCGATGATAATGTAATTAAAACACTTTAGTTATCATGAAATACATAAAGAAAAAATTTGCCGACACCAGGGATCGAACCAGGGACCTTAAGATCTTCAGTCTTACGCTCTCCCAACTGAGCTATGTCGGCTTCTTGCTTACATAATAAGTTATGATTACTTAATGTGATAACATTAGTACTAATTTCTCTTCTTTCTAAGATATAATTCATAAATTAAGGCTTCTTTCACCACACGAGAAATTGAGCAACATCGAGCCACATCATTACTTGGGAACCTGTGGTGCTGTAGTCTTTTGCCTTTTGTTCCTTTACAAAACTTTGTTTCAATTATTCTTATTAAAAAAAATGTCTAAACAAAAGAATACCAAATCATCAAGTATGTATTTTCACATTCCGATGATGAACCATTAAATATCAAAATTTGAAAAATCCTATAGCCCAATGGTTCGACAATGCACAAGTGAGTATTCTTGAAGAAGTCATCAGACAAAATGATGGCAAACCTTTCACTATTCAAGAGACGGAAACTGCCCACGAACAAATGAAACTCTTATCAACGAGTGCAGACACGAAGGGAATTAAATTCAGCTCTACAGCCTTGCACTATCAATATTATCATAGTAAATTCAAGAAGAGAGCCTTGCTGATGTATAACGTACTGAGTGGATTGTGGAGAGTGGAGAGTGTGACAGCACTGAGGAAAAAACAGGAATATAATGAAAAGACAATTTTGGATAAGTTTAACAAGTTGGTGAATGATAAAAAGAAGAGTAAGAAGGAGTATAATGCGAGTGAATTTTCTGAATTAATGACCTATTCATTAGTATTATCATCGAGTTGTAATGAGTTAATTGTGGATAAGACTGCTGATGAGGAAGATGTATATCATGATGAATATTACACAAACGAGGAAGTTTCAACAAATACACACAAACAACAACCAGTTATTATTCCTAGAGAATTCACAATAGAGAAAATTGACTTGAAAAAGAGATTTCTTAGAGTTGCTTCGATTGGTGGTGGACCTGGAAATGATTCTGCTGCATTTGTGGTTTTGAGAGAAAGTATGTTGAACAAAATATTCGAGAAGGGAAGTGAAATATCATGTGATTTGTATGATTTGGAAAAGAATTGGAAAAATTATCTTCCTCGTTTACAGGAGCTCACCAAAGATAGTTTGAGGTTGGATTTCAACAGATGTGACGTGACAAAAGGATTGGAAAATTCTCTGAATAGAGCTCTCAAAGATAGAGTTCAACACTATGATATTTTCCTTTTCAGTTATGTTTGCAATGAAACATCACATCTCACAAAACAAGCTGATGGAATCTTTTTCAGAGAATTATTTACCAATGCAAAACCTTACTCAATGTTTGTTTTTACAGATGTGATTGAATATGCTAAAAAGGCTCTTTTATATGTGGAGAGTGTTGCCAAATCAGTGGGTGACAACTTCATATCCTTCCATCCTCAATCTAATCAAGCTCAGGTCATGGCAATAATAAAATACTAATTTCGAGTTTATATATTTACAATTTCCTTGCTCATAGTTTTTCAAAATTTTGGTAAATAAATTCAATTATTAATAATTCTTCATTCCATATTCGAATTCCTCTCTTTGTTGTCTCATCATTTCTCTAATTTGATCATTAACATCAACTTCCTTAGTTTCAAATAATGATTCAATAAGTTTTGGTAAAGAGAAATAACCTAATTGATCTCCCATCACTAAAACCAATAAAACAATTGCCAAAAGTGCAACCAGACTGAAAATACCAGTCTTGGCATTTTCCCATCTATATTTCGAAATATCCACATTTAAATTCTTAATTTTTTCCTCACACTTTTCTATTTGTGATTGCAAGTATTTGATTTTAGTAGAGTTTTTTTCAGTATCCGCCAAATCATCCAATTCTTGTCGGAGGTTGCTGATTCTTTGTTTTTGTTCAGCTTCTTTTTGAACAAGTTTTTCCAACAGTGAAGCAACGTTTTCAGACATTTTTTTTAACAATCAAAAAATTAATTGTAATAATTGATGAAAACACGTATTGGCTCATCTGAGTTGTCGATGAAAACGTAGAAATTTATTCGTTTGATTGGAACTTTTGTTGCTTTTCAATAAAGTCTTGCATGGATTGAGCATTTTCGACAGAGAAGAAATCCATTGGAACACCAGTGTACATCTTGAAACTAGGTCTCATTACACCTGCATCTGTTTCAATAATTCTAAATTCTAATTCAGTAGAATCAGAAGCCAAATGACCCTTCTTGAAAGAGGCAAATAAAAGTGGACTAGTTGGAGGGCCATAAACATTGAAATCGACAATGAAAACTGGTCCAGTTCTACTAATATATAAATCAACAGTATCTGTTAAATATATTATTCAATCAGCAGCATATTCTAATAATGATATTCGAATAATGTAACTTACAATTCTCAAGTGGGAATGAATTCTTGATAAACTTTTCCCAAAATCCAACTAATTTTTCTCTATACATATCCTTGTCTGAAACCAAGAAGCTGTAAAAGTTTGAAATATCTCTCTGTGAAATACCAATCAAATTTCTATTCTTTACAAAACATCTGAATTCCATGGAAGGATTAACATCATACCATTTTCTCAAAGCCAATACTCTTCTGACCTCCTTTTCAGGGGTGTAATCAGTGCAATTGTTGTAAGCTTGCTGAACGTCATGTGTAACGAAAGAAGAACTCTTCAAAACGAGGAAAACATCAGAAACTGTTTGACATCTCAGTAATTTGGAATCACTGAGCATCCATTGAGCATCTTTTGGTGCGCTCCAATTCATTTTAGGGAAAACTTCTTCATACTCCTCAATTGCACTTGCAATTTCCATTTGTAAAGACGTAAATTCAGGAACTTGATAATCATCCTCATCCGAATCTTGTTCATTCTTTTCTTGTACTTCCTTATACTTCTCCTCCTCTTCATCGCTGTCACTGTCAAAATTTGGAACTTTTTGAATGTTATCAATCGATTCCGGTAACACCACACCATCATGTTTCAAATATTCAATAAAATCATCATTTAAATAAATTAATTTCGAAAGAATTGTAATTCTCTTTGGTGTAATTTGTGGATTTGTCTTTCCATCATATAAATAATACCAATTTGAAATAGAACATTGATTCACTTCATCCATCAATAAATAAGGTTCAATATTTTCCTCTTCATCCTCCTCCCTGCATTCGGCACAATCTTCCTCCGAGCAACATGAATTCTTTTCTTCTAACATTTTTTTTCTAAATTTATTTTCTTCAAAATCAAAATTTAATTCTACTTTTCTTTGCAATAATAATTTTTAATAGTTAATAATTAGCAATCTATCATCACATCAAGGAATGATACAGGAACAACACTTATTATCAGTGAGTACACTCCCTTTTAATTTTGATAAAATTCCCTCCACGAGAATTTCAATTAGTCGAATCAAAAAAAATGTCAGGTTTTACCTTTAATTTTGGTGGAGGTGGTGGTGCAACTACACAACCTGCTTCAACAACAACTGCAACAACTACTGGTGGCACCACAGGAGGAGGAGGAGGATTTTCTTTTGGAGCAAATACTACACAACCAGCCACAACAACAACTGGTGGAACTACTGGTGGATTTAATTTTGGTGGTACAACAAACCCTACAACAACAGGGACTACAGCCACAACAACAACTGGTGGAACTGGAGGATTTTCATTCGGAACCCCTTCTACTACTGGAGGAACCACCACAACACAGCCAACAACAGGAGCAGGTTTTAATTTTGGTGGTACAACAACAGCCCCTACAACTACTGGTGCCACAGGAACAACAACTAATACCACAACAACAGCTCCTACAACTGGATTTAATTTTGGAGGATCAACAGCCCCAACAACAAATACTACCAATCTCACCACCACAAATAATAATACTACAACAAATGCTACAGTCACACCACAACAACCAATCACTCCAAAAACACAATTCCAAAAACTTCCAGACCAAATGAAAAAACAATGGGAACAATTTGAAAAGGAAAAGACCGAAACTAAAAGAAATGCTATGGATATTGTTAAACAACAAGAAAATTCGAGCGATTTGAACAAGTTAAAGAGACAAATTGAAAGAGTTGAAAAGAAAATTAATACATCTAAAGTAAATATCACACGAGCAAAGGATAATGTGGAAAGAATTAAACATGATGTATTGGTCGAATCAAAGAATGCAGAACAAGCTCAAAATAATTTTAACAAGCTCAGATCAGCCTACACCAACACTGATCCAAACTATTCATCGACCTATTTCATCAATACAGCTCAAAAATTGGAACAAAGAATGCAAGAAATTTGGAAGCAAATTGAAGATGTCGCTCAAACTCTTTCACACAGTGAGGCTTATCAATTACCATTTGGTCAATTACTTCAAGGAACAATTGTTTCACAACAACAAGCTTTTTTCAATGCTGCTGCTAGGTTATCTGTGTTGCATGAAAAGGCTAATGAGTTGAGAGATGAATATATTCGTACCTATCAAATTAGAGGTGATCCTTTCAAAGAACCATCCAAGACATCCAAACCATCTTATAATTATTCAAAACTTTCGAATTCTTCCTCTCTGCCTGGTCTCAATATTCCAACAACTCAACCAACCACCTCTACCACAACTCAACCTACCACTAATACAAGTGGATTTAACTTGGGAACAACAAATACAGGATTTGGACTCACCAATACTGCCACAACAGGAACAACCACCACAGGTTTTGCATTTGGAACACCAACCACCAATACGGCAAATACTGGTACTGGTTTTAATTTTAGTACTCAAGCTGGATCCAGTTCAAATAAGCGTAGAATGTAATAAATATTTACAATTTATTCAAAGAATTTATTAAGCCATGATGTAAACCAGGTACCACTTGTTTCCTTCTCCACTTGTTTGTTTGCTTTAGCCACTTTTTCCACATTCATATGTACTTCTCGTTCTGCCTCCTCAATTTGTTTCTCTTGTTCATTAAGATCCTCCTTCATGTCGACAACCAATTCCCTCATTAAATCCAATTTAGACAATGCTTCATCAAGGCCCTTATTTAAATCCAACTTCATTTTGGTGGTTTCATCCTGTTGGTCACGATGGAGAGCAATTTCCGATTCATAGTTTTCCACTCCCTGAAATAGTTCTCTTCTGCTATTATTATGAGAAGATCGATTTGATGCTGTTTTTTTCATTGTTTTTAAAATCTTAATTTGAAAGTTCTAATAATAAATCAACACAATCATCAATGATTTGAATAATTTATTATTTGATGGTATTGTACCAATATAAGATGAATTGGCGATCTGAGTTTGACCTTAATTATTTCCAATAATGATCCTTTTGATTTACCATTCAAAAGCTCTTTGATTCTGACCCCAAATGCGTATCCTCCTTATCTCACTAATAAGGTGATCAAGAGATCCTTTAACAACTTTATTTGGTCTGATCTACAACAACACAATCAATCAAGATAGCAGTCGTTACATAAGCCGATAGTACACCAGTATCTCTCTCATCAAACAAATACATGGGAGAGAGAAAACCTCATTGTGAACAGTTTGACAGAACATGACGAACCAGTTTTTGAATAAAAAGGACCTACAGGTAACTTCTCATTCTCTCCAGAGAAAGAATCTACGGTAATTGGATATAGTGAAGAACGCAATAGACAGATAACAACCACACACCCCCTGAGAATTGCTATCAGCACCACCATCAAATTATTTGCTACATGAGCGATTTCGTCGTATGCAGGAGCCTCAATAATTAATCACAACAGCAATAATAACATCATCATCACCCTTCCCTAAATTATTTAAATAATCCATCTTATTCCAACAACAAATAAGCACACCCCATCACCACAAAACTAACAACCAATCATGGGAGGAATTATTTCTCGTTCTCAAAAAGCATCCCATGATGATAATCCCATGTCATTATCAGATTCCTACGATCATGGCAGAAAAGGACGCTCTGCCTCTGAGCCCAAACAATTAAGCAAATCATCATCAAAGAAGAAGAATAGTGCAGCAACATCAAGTAAGAAACAAGAAGAGACACCGAAGGATGAAAACGGCCCACCAACCTCTCTCAGACTCTCTGCTCGAAGATATAGTCAACACCTAGATTCAACTATTAAACAATTGGAAGATGAGCTGAGGAGTAATCATTCCCTGGCACACGATGATGATCAACCTAATCAAGATGATGAAACATGCTCGATGAGTTCCATGAATAGTCGAATCAGTCGAAGAAGGGCAAAATCAGAGCTTGTCCCAGCCACAAGTATAAAACAATTGGACATTCCAGTTGGAATTGAAAAACCAGCCAGTATAACTACGGACGGTTTGAGTATAGAAGATGCTTACAAACAAATCTTGATGAGCTCCTCATTGGGAAAGTCTCACGAGGAAATTCTACATAGAATGCCTGCAGCCAAAATGAAAGTTGCATCATCAACGAGAAAGGGGCCTAGGGATGATAAGGATTCAATCATTAAGGATCAAATGAAAAAGGCGAAGGCTTCGAAAGAAGAATCGAAAAGAAAGTCCAATGGAATGAACCGTTCAAGCTCTCGTAATGGTCTTGATCAATCATCTTCAATGAACAGATCTAGCTCAAGAACTGGACTCAATCAAGCTGATAGTGGAGAGAGTGGTAGGTCTAAGAGTCGAACCAACTTAGAGTTCTCTAAATTTGACAATTCATCATCATCTTCCAATAGAAGAGAAGAATCTAAAGTAAGTCAACAACCCACTTTGACAACCTCAAACGTTGTTATTAATGGAACTAACCACAGACAAGAAATTAATAGCAAATTGTTAGAATCTGAATCCTCAACATCCACCCTTGTACAAAAAAATCCAAATAATCAACAACAAGCGTTGCCTGCTGCAGATAACAATCTCCTAGTATTAAATCCTCTTTCGAATAAGAAAAAGAGGAGAAAACCCATAGCTCCAGAAGAAAAAAATGATTCAGGAGTTCAAATTACAGTGCTAACACCAGACGACAAAGAAGTTTCAGCCCAATCCAAACCTCACCTCAAATGGCAAGAACAAAAGAAAAGAAGCCAAGTTAAATTGCAAGTCAATAAGAAATCAGATGAAGATTTCCTCTCTGTAGGATCAAAAAAAAAGAAAGTTAAAATACGGTCTGCTGAAAATATTGAAATGGTCATTGTTAAATAAAATACAAGTTATAGAGAAAATTTATTCATCGTGCATTCCTTGCTCATCATCACTGTCATCCTCAAAACCACGATCACGATTTTCAAAGAGCAAGTTAGCAGCCATTTCTTGATTCTTATCACAGGCCAAATAGGCTTGAATGGCTTCATTCTTTGTAAATCCTAAACCAACAAGTTCGTTAATCTTTCGTTCATCATCTTGAGAAATGAAAATTGTTCCTGGTGGTGCTTGTTGTTGAAGTTCCTCACCAGATGGTGGATGTTCACCTCCAGTAGTAGTAGTTGGAGTAGTTTGTGGTTGAGTTCCAGTAGTTCCAGTAACTGGACCAGTTTCATTAATAATTTCCAAAAATTCACGAGGATTAGATTGAATGATTTGGTACAATTCCGGACTAACTTGTGATACGTGTGTCAAGAATTCACGTAACAAAGTTGGATTTTGTCTGATAGCATTTCTCAAATTGTTAAGTTGTGGTGAAAGGGTGAACAAATCACGCAAGCTGAATCCTTGTTGATTTCCAGCAAGAGCAGAGGCAAGACTACCTCCTTGTGGTGGAGTAGGTAAATTACCACCATTTTCTTGCATCATTTGCTTGACATTTTCAGGAATACCAGAAATGAGGAATTCAGCAGCAGTAGCTCTATCATAGAATGAAGCCTTCATACACTCATCAATATCATTTCTATCATAGCCCATTTCCAAAAATTGTTGCACTGTTTCATCATATTCCGGAGATCCAGGACCACCTGGGATATTTTGTTGTTCTGTTGTTGTAGTTGTTGTTGTAGCAGTAGTAGGAGTGGTGGAAGGAGTAGTAGTGGTTGTAGTGACTGGAGTAGTTGTTGAAGGAGTAGTGGTAGTAGTAGTGGCTGGAGTAGATTCGGAACTTGGTTGTTCAGTAGTGGTTGGTTGTGGTGTTGTTTCTTCTTCCTTCTTCTTAACTTGAGCAGCAAGTTGCTTCTTCTTGGCAACGACAATGACAGCAACATTGGATTGAATATTGGCTGATTCAATGGATTGTTCATCAGCTAATTCCTTTCCTCCATAAATTAATTTCATTCCATTAGAACTGTATTCTGTGGCATCTTCAACAGATTGTTTCAATACTTTGATCTAATTATTGTTTAGATATTGATTGGTTCAAAATATAATGTATAACAAATGATATTGGTGTAGAGATGATGGATTAAAAAGAAAATACAATGTTGTTAGTCTAATCTCAAAGCCTTCATCAAATAACACGTACCGTATCTGTTGGATTTGCTTCGAGAGTAAATTGTCTCTTGAGGACTGTCTTGAAGGTGATTTGCATTTTTTTAATTAAAGTATTCTTTGAACTCGTAATCAGATTTAAATATTATTTATTTTTAGATTGGTTCCGTTTTTGTTTGTGTCACACAAAGAAGTTAGAGCAAGTAAGAATTTTTGTTGTTCATATTATTAAACAAATCTTGTGATGAACCCGACCTCAATAAACCCATTCTTCTAAATCAATTATTTCAAAATGTTGATGTGATGCTTTATTAATATTTATAAAATTACATCAGTATTGAAAATGATGGAGGTGAGACAATTAAGCAGAGAGCTAAAAAATCAATCCTCACCTCTTCCAATAATTTTTCTAATCAGTGAACTTCCAACTCTGATTACACCATCAGCAACTGATTGAAACATATTCAAAGGTGTATTTTCATCATGAGGATTATAAGCTGAATTATTCATAGTACGATTGTCACTAAATGATTTAAATCTTGTATGAATGGATTCAGGACTATTGGAATCGCCTTTATATTCTCTATATACAATTGTTGGAGGTGAAAATATTTGAGGTGGAAAGAGTAAATTATTCGGATTGGTAAGCAGTGATGATTTCTCAACAAATTTGCTCACTTCTGATCGATAGTTATACAAATTCATTGAGAGAGCTTGGATTTGTTCTTTGCATTCATATCGGGAGTGAGTATCTTCCACACATTTCAAAATATCATTCAATTGAAAAGCTGTCTTTTTCAGATAGAAATTGCTAATATCCTCAGCTGATTCAAATTCTATTCTTCTTTTTGATTCTCTTGATTCATTCCGATTTGAAGGAGTTGGTTGTTTGAGTGAGGAAGATGACGAGTTGTTTTGTGATTCCATTTTTTTTGATTGAAGAATCAAATTTGGTCAATCAATTTTAATTCCGATATATCTTGAATCCTATGATTGAATTATTTACAATATTTACAATAATTTAATGAAGAGTATTTACAAAAATATAGTTGAAAAGTTTGACCATGTGTGGGGATTTCTGAAATTCAGATTTAAATTCAAAGAAATCTATTGAACCATCCCCGTTAACATCACACGTTCTCATGGTTGCTTCAACTTTACATTCCACTAGATTCATCAGTTTAGTTTCAATCAAAATGATATAAATAAGACTTACACTCCTTATCTGAGATTTTATGTTTGCCTGCTGAAAAAACAACTCGTAATGCTTTTTTAACTTCTTCTCTTTGAATATTACAACTCCTGTCAACATCTAACAGTTGGAAAATTACTGAGAACAGACACAATTGAGTATTACAAATATTGTAAACTTACATTTTAGCTTTTCTTCAAATTTACCATTCATATAAATACTCAAACCAATTGAGAAATCCTGCAAATCAAGATAACCATCTCTGTTTTGGTCAAACACTCTAAACAATTGTTCCTTCACATAGCATGTTATTCCAAAAGTATCAATGAAATTGTAAAAACTTGTTTTGTCCATTAGACCATCAGCTGTTTTATCTGAACTTGCATTCTTAAATATTTGTAATAAATCTGTTCATAATAAATATTCAATTTCAAACAAATTTAGACGAATAATTGGATTTAAGAACCTACGTTTCATTTCATCAATTCCCATCGAGGATTTCTCAGAGACAACTCTCATCACTGAATAGAGAGCACTCTCATCAGGATTGGAACTGAAAGAAAAGACCTTCCCTGAATTTCTCATTGTTGTATCTGACATGAATTCGTCATAGACAAAATTCTTTACTTTATTATTCTTCTGTTGTCTGATTGTTTCAACATTTCGTATGTATTCATTCAAAAGCATTGTCATTTTCTTTTCGGTTGTGTGATTCTCAGAATGTTCATTCTTTAAAACTGCCCTCAATGCAAACTTGTGAACAATTGCAAATCTTGTGAAAATGTTGAGAGATGTAAACATCAAGAGACATAATTGGTCGGATTGGTCAATGCATTCACAGAAGAGATAATTTCTGAATCAGAGAATGCATTATCTATCACCTCTGGAGGAAGAGATTTTCTATGGGATTTTGCCAAAATATAATCCAAATCAAATGTAATTAGACTTTAAACACAAACCCAGACAACTTGTTGGCTTTCTGACAGAGTTTTTGATTAATCCCAAAGAAAAATAGAAGCAAATTTCAAGAATGAAAAACAATGCAAGTATTTCCAAATCAATCATATAAATTATTACAAAATTGTTAATTGAATTCAATAATAAAACAAATAGATTTTATCCCAACAAAAAAGATAACAAAAATCGTATTTTCAATTTTAAAAAAATGTTGCGCCAATCTCAAGCCATTCGTTCACTTCTTGTTAAGAATAGTAGCAAGGTGATGACTCCACCTTCCTTGATGATGATCAATAAGAATTTTAGAAATTTTAATACAAATCAAAAGACCTTGTCGGAAGTTCCAATTTATGTTCAAATTAAAGAGTCTAACATACCTCCTTCTGTCCATGCTAAAATCGGAAGAAATTTATATAGAAAGGATAATCATCCTTTGTGTATTATCAAGACAATTATTCAAAATCACTTTATTGAAAAGGCAGCCAAAGGTAGGTGATTTATTGGAACAATTAAATTTATTGAATTGAAAATTAGATAATGGAAAGGTTCAAATTTTCGATGAATTCCATCCAAAAGTAACAACTGTTCAAAACTTTGAAAGCCTGTGTTTCCCTTCCGATCACATTTCTCGTCAACCAACTGATACATACTATTATGATAGCTTACATTTATTGAGAACTCACACAACAGCCCACCAAGTTGAAATTTTACAAAAGGGTCACGAACACTTCCTTGTTGCTGGTGATGTTTATAGACGTGATGATGTCGATGCTACTCACTATCCAGTTTTCCATCAAATGGATGGTGTTAAAATTTTCCGTAAGAAGGATTTTATTGAATTGGTTAATAGTGGAAAGGTTGACTTTGTAACAGGAAAACAATCCGATGCACTAACAAAGATTGATGTTTCTCAAAAATCATCGGAAGAAATTCAAGCTGCATTTGAAAATTATTGTATTCAAGAATTGAAGAATGATTTGGAAGGATTAGCTAGAGCTCTCTTTGGAGATGTTACTATGCGTTGGAATTCTGATTATTTCCCATTTGTGGATCCAGGTATTGAATTGGAAATTGATTTCCGTGGAAAATGGTTGGAAGTTTTGGGTTGTGGATTAATTAAGAAGGATATTATGCTTAATGCCAAGTATGACCTTAACGAATATACTGGTTATGCTTTCGGTGTTGGTTTGGAAAGATTGGCAATGATTTTGTTCGATATTCCTGATATTAGACTTTTCTGGAGTGAAGATGCTAGATTCCTCTCACAATTCTCACAAGAAATTGTGAATAGTCCTAAATTATTATTGAATACCAAATTCAAACCAATTTCTAAATTCCCTGGATGTTATAAGGATATTTCTATGTGGGTTGACTCCAACTATAGTGACAATGATTTCTATGAAATTGTCAGAGAATTAGCAGGAGATTTGGCTGAAAATGTTAGCATTGTTGATGATTTCACTCATCCAAAGACTGGAAAGAGAAGCAAATGTTATCGTATCATGTACAGAAGTATGGAAAGAAGTTTGACCAATGAAGAAATTGATGAAATCCAATTCAAGTTGAGAGAAGCAGTTCCACAACAGTTGCCAGTAACATTAAGATAAATTTATTTCATATTTTGCTTCACATCAAGTGCATATGTTATTTCTTTTTAGTGCAAACAACCTAATGAACTTGTATCACGTTCTCTCAAAAAGGGTGAAAATCATTGTACAATTCACATTCTGCTTTGAATAATTCCATAAAATACTCATTATTGTTGCATATTTCCGTAATAATGGCCCATATTTTGTGGCATAACTCCTTGGACAACTGGAAAACCAGCTCCAGCTTGATTGGCTGGAATCATTAGAACAACTCCACCTTGTTGCTGAACTTGTTGTAATTGAGCTTGATATGCAAGCATTTGTTGAGCTTGGAGTTGTTGCATGTGATTCAATCTCATTTGTTGTTGTTGAGCAGTAATTGGTCTCTTGGCAGCTAATTCTCTTTCAGCTTCACTACCATATCTTTCTCTTGAATTTGGTTTAAAGGCATACTCTACAATAATTGGCTTACCAGAAATGTATTGTCCATTCAAATGCATCTTGGCAGCATCTGCAGACTCGAAATTGTCATATGATACAAAAGCAAACCCTTTGCTTTCCATTGTTTCTGGATCTCTTTGAATTCTTGGTGTATTTTGTATCATGACACCAAATTGTCCAAATAATTCTCTCAAAATACCTTCATCACTGACTCCAACAGGATCCAAATTTCCGACCCACAAATTGGCACCAACATCCAAATTCTTTGCTGATTTATCTTGATCGTAACGATTTAATTTCATTGGTCTTCCGAATAATTTAATTTGATTCATAACTTGAATGGCATAATTAGCATCATGTTCATGTTTAAATTCTACAAAGGCATAACCAGAGTGTGTATTAGTAATACGATCACGTGGAATTTTAGCATCTACAACAGGTCCCATCTGCACAAACAATTCCCATAATAATTCCTCATCAACTTGTTGATCCAAATTTCCCACAAATATTGTAGCCTCCTGATTACGTTCATATTTGGCAGCCATCATGGTTCCACCTCCACCACTTGCTCCATTTGCTGATGATGACATTTTTTTAAATATTAAATAAAATTGAACATGTATAACATTTTAATTACTAATTGAACATGTATGACATTTTAATTACTAATTACTTTCAATGTTTAAATATATTAGAAATATAACAAATATTTAAATATATTAATATTTAAATTATTTATCATTAAAGTTCTTTTTTAAAATTGAAGAATAAAAAATGAGTAAATTATGCCCTTATTCAACTCTCGGATTAACAACCGAAGCATCATTGAATGATATCAAACAACAGTATAAAGTTCTTGCACTCAAATACCATCCCGATAGAAAAAATCTCTCGGAAAATAATGGTCTCGATGAAGAAGAAACGAAATTTATTGAAATTCAACAAGCTTACGAATTATTGAGAGATCCAAAGAAGAAGAGGCAGTACGATAGAGAATATCATTTAAATAAGTATAATTTGGAGAAACAGTTGGTGGGAAATATTTCCGATTACATTTTGTTATCTGAAATGGAATATGACCAAGATGAGGATGTTTGTACTCATAAATGTAGGTGTGGTGGAGAGTACACAATTCATATGGAAGATGTGCTTAACGATTCAAATGAAAATCAAGATGGTGGATGTTTCAAATCCTATAACATCAATTGTAATAATTGTAGTTTGATAATCCAAGTGGAAAATGATATGGATGATAATTTTGAAGATTTTGACGAATAGTTTCAATCCCATTGTTGTCCATTATCAATTAATCAATTAACTTTAGGATATCATTTTCAATGACTCAAACAACAGAGCTTGTTCGGATGCTGGTTATCAACCAAATTATGAAAAAAGCAGAAGATCATCTGGCTAATTGTTCAAATAAATCATAAGTTTATAGTTATTATTAGTAGCAACTTCTTCAATCTGACAATACATAGATATTGAATTGAAACATTTTATTGATATTGGCTATTGTGTGGATAACATGTAAGCAGCAAAATATCGGAATAACCTCTCGGAAGATGGTTTTGTAAACTTGTTACCCAAACAAAGTTAGCTCGAACACGTGTTTGCCCTTTCATTTTCTAATGCAAGATCGTTCGTTCAAGAGAGAGAAGGAGAACGGGAACTTAAAGCCACACAGGAACACAATAAATTCTACAAGGCTTTTCACCACAGCGCGTCAATCACAAACAACAGCCAAAAAAAATGTTTACAACTAAACATATCGTGTTAGCTGCTCTCTTGTTGAGCGTAGCTGCTATAGTTTCAGCTGAAACTTTCTTCTATGAACCTTTCCATGCTGGATATGAAGCCAGATGGGTTAAGAGCAAGTCTAAGGATAACTATGGTGAATGGAAACACACTGCCGGTGAATGGTACGGTGATGCTGAAGAAGACAAGGGTCTTCAAACTGGTCAAGATGCTAGACACTACTCAATCTCTGCTAGATTCGATAAACCAGCCGTCTCTAGAGGTGATAAGCCACTCGTTATTCAATTCTCCACTAAACATCCACAAAGCATTGACTGTGGTGGTGCTTACTTAAAGTTCTTGCCAACTGGTGCTAGCCAAGAAAACTTCAAGGATGACACTGAATATAGAATTATGTTCGGTCCTGATATCTGTGGTTCTGCTACTAGAAGAATTCACTTCATCTTCAACTACAAGGGTAAGAACTTGTTGTGGAAGAAGACTGTTCCATGTGAAACTGATCAACTCACTCACATTTACACTGCTATTATCAATCCTGATGCTACCTATGAAGTCCAAATTGATGGTCAAAAGAAGGAAAGCGGAAGTTTGTATGATGATTGGGACTTTTTGCCACCAAAGGATATTCCAGATCCACAAGCCAAGAAGCCAGCTGATTGGGTTGATGAAAAGGAAATTGTTGATGAAACTGATAAGAAGCCAGAAGACTGGGATCAACCAAAGTATATTTCTGATCCAGAAGCCAAGAAGCCAGAAAACTGGGACGAAGAAGAAGATGGTGCCTGGGAAGCTCCTCAAATTCCAAACCCAGAATACAAGGGTGAATGGAAGGCTAGAATGATCCCTAACCCAGCTTACAAGGGTGAATGGTCTGCTCCACTCATTGCTAACCCAGATTATGCTTTCGATGAAGATGTTGCCAAGTATAACGATATTGAATATGCTGGTATTGAAATCTGGCAAGTTAAGGCTGGTACTATCTTTGATAACATTATGGTTACTGATGATTTGGATGTTGCCAACGAAGCTGTTCAAAAGGTTGTTGAACGTGCCAAGAAGGAAAAGGAAGCTTTCGATAAGATTGAATCTGCCAAGAAGGCCAAGGAAGAAGAAGAAAGAAAGAAGAGAGAAGAAGAAGAAAAGAAGAAGCAAGAAGAAAAGCCAGTCGAAGAAAAGAAGGCCGATCACGACGAACTCTAAATTTCTAAATTTTGATAAAATCCTAAAAAAAAATTATTTACAAATTATTTAATTCTAAATTTCACAAATTCTCAAATGATTAATTGAAACAATTATGTGGATGATGAAATAATTGAACTAGATGTGATGACATTTTATGAATCAGATTAACAAAATAATCCCCAGTCCAAAACCTTTAAGGATCTGATAATTTTTGAGAATAATTGGAATCGAGGTGATTGTGTGGCTTCTTGAGCATTAGAATATTGAATACAAGGATCATTGAGAGTGATGAGAATGTCAGTATCAATTTCCTTCAATCTTAAAACCCAAACAAATACTGTTACCAAATCCAAATCTCTATTCTTTTCCACTTTCATTTGTCCAATACCACCAGCAGCAAAATCGGCATTTGGGAAATTGGTAGATTTTGTCATTGTAGTATCATCAAATTCGAATAAGAAGGAACGATCATTTGGTGCAACATGGTTAGCAGTGGCCAAATCGTCGAACATGAATGATGTCACACTTTGGTTTGGCTCCTCACACCTTCCGAGAATTTCAATAATTACTGAAGGACAACTTGATGATTGTGATGATTGTGAAGGCACTTCCAAGTTATCAGTCCAAACTTCCTGATTATCGGGAATTTCTCTAAAATTTGAAGAATCCAAATAGCTTGATGGTAAATCAATACACATTGCTCCTCCGAACAATGGTTGAGTGACGAGTGTTGTGTTATTTGTTTGATTTAAAGACATTTTTTCAAAGTTTTTAATTATTCATTTTAAACAAGCTAATTAAAGTATTTTCAATGATGTGCCTTTTGGTACTATGGTTTATTCATTCTTTATGAAGATGTATTGAATTCCTTCTGGTGGAATTCTGCCACAATTGCAAATCGTCTTATGGGATCACTATTGCTACTAGTTGTACAGAAGAGGCAGGTCTTCCAGATCTATCCTTCATAATTTACATCATTGAAAATGCATTTTAATTAATCTTGAGTGGAAAAAGTTCAACGTTGGTTTTTGTTGAAATCCTCGAAAAAGTTAGAAACTAATCCAAACAAGAAAGAATCGCCTCTTGTTTTATTTTTACTTATTACTCGATTTCATTTGTTTCAAGTATAAAAATTCAAACAACTTTGAATCAATGGTGAATAAGGATAAATTTCTAAGTTTTGTGGAATAAATTTTGAGTAATGGAAGTGACAACACTTTTCTTTCAAAAATCTTTAAAATTTTGTTTCATTTGGTATCAAAACAAGTTGTTTTACTCATTGTTTGATTCCATCTAGGTCAATCGTAGTCACCTCACGTTAAATATTAATATCTTCAAACAACCAATCAGCAAGTTCTTTCCAATACAAAAAAATGTCCTCAAATAACGGTGGTGTGGCTGATCCTGTTCATCCCTATCGTGGAGTTCGAGTACAACTCACAGAATCTGATGATGAACAAGATAATAATAATCACACCCAAGAAGATGAATATCAATCTTTTGTCGCAAATAATAATAACAACAATTCAAGTAGATTTCAATCACTCCGACAATTCTTCTCATGGAATAGAAGTAGTAATAATAATTCTAATAATATCGATACACCAACACCAGCTATTAATGATACACCAGAACAAGCTACAGAAACAAGATCTCCATTCCCATTTTCAAATCTAAATCCGAATTTAAGAAGGAGAATTGTGGTGTTAATGGTAATATCGATTCTTTTTATCATAATTATTGCTATTCACTTTATACTTGTGGCAGCTTTTGTTAAACCATCCTCATCATCATCCGATAGTGGACAGGAAAATTCTTCTGATACTTCAAACGCAAACAGTTTTCGAACTGTTTTACTCTACACACTCACAATTCCGAATGCAATTTTGTTTTCATGCATTGCTTTTTGTTGTACGTGTTTGTGGGGAAAGAGACTTCTCGCATTATGTTTAAATCATAATAGATCCACCTTGATCAGAAATCTCAAATATTACATGTTAAAGTATGGACTTGCTCGTTATGAAGGAGAACATGATGATTGGGAAGGAGAGGAAATTTCTGAAAGAAATCAACGACTTTTAGAATTATTACAGAGCCGTGGAATGGATGTCAATTCATTGAGATTAATGATGATTGATAGAGATTTTAATGCAAATGATTATGATACTCTTTTACAATTAGATGGGCATCATGCTGAACCTAGAGGTGTTTCAGAAAACACTCTTTCACGTTTAACAGTATACAGAATACCTCCGCTTTCAGCTGTAGAACATTCCAATGATGATTCAGAGCTGTACACTGGAGTTCCTACCAATGGAGCTAATTCAAGTGCAAACAATGAACAAGATTCATCTGTGCCTTATTGCTCTGAAAATTTAGGAAGAAGTCTTTTAGAAGAATCTTGTTGTATTTGTTTGAGCAAGTATGAATCTGGGGATGTAGTTTGTACTCTACCAACATGTTTACACAAATATCATCGTGATTGTGTTTTCCAAGCATTGAGAATGAGGAATCAATGTCCTATTTGTAAAACAGCTATTTAACTTGTAAATAAGTGTATTTATTTGTATATAAAAAATATAAAGTTATTGAACTAGTCACATGTCTACCTGTTGAAAGTAAATTCAATACTTGAATTGGCAACTCCCGCTTCTTTGTACAATTTGCACTTGGCGCCAAAATTGTAAAAATGTAAATAAATTCATTCATATGGAAAACTCTTTAAAGATTTCAATGAACCAGGCTTTGAGTTGGAAAAACAAACATTAAAAAAACAAATCAATATGAGAGCAACTGACTACGGCAAGAGAGACAGCAAATCATCACCAAAACTCGATGAAGACTCTTATTATTTATCCGATTGTAGGGATGAGGGCTTCTCAATTATTGGAGACAATGATTTTCTCTCCACAATAATGGACAATACACAACGACTTCAATCAATGGTACAGAATTGGAGTAGTAAAATAGTAGAGTCGAAAGAAGATAGGGATTTTCTAATGGATGATGAATTTGCCCTTCCTTAAATTGTTGTTTCAATTGAATTGAAAATTACAAATTATAATAGCATGCGAGATGAAACAGGATCAAATATTTTGAGATTGTTTAATTAAACGAGAGAATGATCAGTTAACTTATTCTACTCCTACATTCGAGGAGCATTCGAATATATTCTGATCAATGTAAATAATAGCCCTTATTACTGTAAAAAATAAAATAGCAACCACCTTATTGTTTATCCTTATTCTGTTTGCAAAAAGCATTAAATTAGCTTGATCAACTGCCTATTCAATGGTCGAAGAAACTAAGAAAGATACATTTAACATTCCAAAAAAAAGGGATCCATCAAAGGGGAATCCAATTTCACAGGGAAGTTTCAACGTTTCAAATTCTATCGGAAATAACTCTTCATAATTATTCTTCAAGCTTCAACAGACCAGTCGAAATTGCATCAATACACATTGAAGGTGAAGAAAAAGCGTTTAATCAAAAATTAAATATAAAAATATTTAAAAAAAATTAAAAAGCATTGTGCTTGTTTTTGTAGAGAGGAAATTTTAAAAACGAGCCTTGTTATTTAATTCAACAACAAAATGATACCAAACAACGATCATATTCGGATGTTTGATGATGATGACGAGGAAGATAATAATCAAGAAAATCTTCTTGGTAGAGGTAGTAGCACAGGCCGTCCTAATTTACCTCCTGGAGTAAAGCTTCCACCTGGAATTAAAATACAACCATCAACAACTGGTACTACTCCTAATTTGCCACCAGGAGTAAATACTCAGAATTCATCATCAACATCTTCATCAACAGCAACAGAACAAAAGGCAAAAGCTTGGATTAAATTTAACAAGAGAAGATTTAAAAATATCAATCAAACAAATGGATCAAGTGGATTATCAAAGAATGCGAAGAATATTAACAAGATTGAGCCTCCAGAACTTTTAAGAGAAATTATCAAGGAACATGGTGATATGTCTAATAGAAAATTTAGAAGAGATAAGAGAGTTTATCTTGGAGCATTAAAATACATTCCACATGCAGTACTCAAACTTTTGGAAAATATGCCAATGCCTTGGGAAGAAAAGAGAGAAGTTGAAGTATTGTATCATGTCACTGGTGCCATTACTTTTGTGAATGAAATTCCTAGAGTAATAGAACCTGTTTACCTTGCACAATGGGCAACCATGTGGATTTTAATGAGAAGAGAAAAGAAGGACAGAAAACATTTCAGAAGAATGAGATTTCCACCATTTGATGACGAAGAACCACCAATTGATTATGGTGGCAATATTCTTGGAGTAGAACCTCAAGAAGCTATCAGAATGACTCTTGATCCAGAAGAAGATTAGCTGTACTTGATTGGCTTTATCAAAATAAGCCTCTCATTGAACACATTAATAACTTTGTAAATGGAAGTAGTTACAAGAAGTGGAGACTCAATTTACCAATCCTGACTAACCTTTACAGATTATCTGAAAGATTGTTAAGTGACATTGTAGATCCAAATTATTTCTATTTATTCGATAAAGAAGCATTCAAAACTAGTAAGGCATTAAATATGGCACTCCCTGGTGGACCAAAGTTTGAACCACTTTTCAGAGATGTTGATGCAGAGGATGAGGATTGGAATGAATTTAATGATATTCACAAAATTATTATCAGACAAAAAGTAAGAACTGAATACAAGGTTGCATTCCCTCATCTCTATAATGACAGACCAAGAAAGGTAGAACTTTCCAGTTATAGACATCCACTTTTAACATTCAACAAATCAGAAGATCCGGATGCAGATGTTTTTGAATTCCATCACTCTATTAACCCAATTTCATCATACAAATCTCAATATGACGAAGAACATAATGAATTTGAATATGAAGATATTGGTGGAGATGGAGATGTATTTGTACTTCCAGATGATGTTTCTCCTCTTTTAGATGAAGAACCACTTTGGACTCCGTATACTCAACAAGGTATTGATTTGTATTGGGCTCCAAGTCCATTCTGTCATCGTTCAGGAAAGATGAAAAGAGCACAAGATATTCCTCTCGTAAAATCATGGTATCGTGAACATGCTAATCCTGAACATCCTGTCAAGGTTAGAGTCAGTTATCAAAAACTTCTCAAATGTTACATATTGAACGAATTACATCATCAACCTTCTAAGGCTCAAACAAAGAGAAATCTCTTTAAATCCCTCAAAAATACCAAATTTTTCAAAACTACTAAGATTGATTGGGTTGAAGCTGGTTTACAAGTTTGTAGACAAGGTTTCAATATGCTCAATTTATTAATTCACAGAAAAAATTTAAATTATTTGCACTTGGATTATAACTTTAACTTGAAACCAATCAAGACACTTACAACTAAGGAACGTAAAAAATCTAGATTCGGTAATGCTTTCCACCTTTGTCGTGAAATTTTAAGATTGACAAAACTTGTTGTTGACTCACATGTACAATATAGAATGGGTAATGTTGAAGCATACCAACTTGCTGATGGTTTGCATTACATTTTCACTCATGTAGGCCAACTTACAGGCATGTATCGTTACAAGTACAGACTTATGAGACAAATCAGAATGTGTAAAGATTTGAAACACTTAATTTATTATAGATTTAATTCTGGTGGAGTTGATAAGGGTCCTGGATGTGGTTTCTGGGCTCCTGCTTGGAGGGTTTGGTTATTCTTCTTGCGTGGTATTGTACCACTTCTTGAAAGATGGTTAGGTAATTTGCTTGCCAAACAATTTGAAGGAAGACAAAATAAGGGTACAGCCAAATCTGTCACAAAACAACGTGTTGAATCTCACTTTGATCTTGAGTTAAGAGCAGCTGTTTTGCATGATATTCTTGATATGATGCCTGAAGGTATTAGAGAAAATAAGGCTAGAGTTGTCTTGCAACACTTGAGTGAAGCTTGGCGTTGTTGGAAGGCCAATATTCCTTGGAAAGTTCCAGGTCTTCCTTCTCCAATTGAAAATATGATATTGAGATATGTAAAGTCCAAGGCTGACTGGTGGACCAATGTTGCCCACTATAATAGAGAACGTATTAAACGTGGTGTAACTGTTGATAAGACTGTCAGTAAGAAGAATCTTGGAAGACTCACTCGTCTCTACCTGAAGGATGAACAAGAGAGACAACATAACTATATGAAAGATGGTCCATATGTTACTTCAGAAGAAGCTGTTGCTATCTATACAGCCACAGTTCACTGGTTGGAAAGCAGAAAGTTTGCACCAATTCCTTTCCCTCCTCTTTCGTACAAGCACGATACCAAATTACTTATTCTAGCTTTGGAAAGATTGAAAGAAGCTTACAGTGTAAAGAGTAGATTGAACCACTCACAACGTGAAGAACTTGGTCTAATTGAACAAGCTTATAACAATCCACATGAGGCCTTGACTAGAATCAAGAAGCATTTACTCTTACAAAGAACTTTCAAAGAAGTGTCTATCGAGTATATGGATTTGTACAGCCATCTCATTCCTGTCTATGATGTTGAACCAATGGAAAAGATTACCGATGCTTACTTGGATCAATATTTGTGGTATGAAGCTGACAAGAGAGGATTATTCCCTAACTGGATTAAACCATCCGACTCTGAACCACCTCCACTTCTTATTTACAAGTGGTGCCAAGCTATTAACAATCTGTCAGATGTTTGGGAAACTTCAAATGGTGAATGTGTTGTAATGATGCAAGCCAAGTTTGATAAACTTTGGGAAAAGATAGATCCAATTCTATTGAACCGTTTATTGAGACTTGTGGTTGACAGTAATATTGCTGATTATATGTGTGCCAAGAACAACGTTACTCTAACATTCAAAGATATGAGTCACGTGAACATGTATGGTTTGATCAGAGGTCTTCAATTTTCATCTTTTATTTCTCAATACTATTGTCTCATTTTGGATATTTTAATGCTTGGATTGGATAGAGCAAGTGAAATAGCTGGTCCTGCAAGAGAACCAAATATTTTCCTTACATACAAGGACTTACAAACAGAATCAAACAATCCAATAAGATTATACTCGAGATATATCGATGAGTTCCATATACTTTTCAAATTTACTCATGAAGAGGCTCGTGAACTTATTCAAAAATACCTCACTGAACATCCTGATCCAAACAATGAAAATATTGTTGGATACAACAATAAGAAATGTTGGCCAAGGGATGGTCGTATGAGACTTATGAAACACGATGTTAACCTTGGAAGAGCTGTTTTCTGGGAAATTACTAATAGATTGCCAAAATCTCTCACTACTTTGAAATGGCAAGATTCATTTGTCTCTGTCTACAGTAAGGATAATCCTAACTTGTTATTCAGTATGTCTGGATTTGAAATTAGAGTATTACCAAAGATTCGTGCTCCTTCTCAACAATTTGTTACCTCAAAGGATGGTGTTTGGGATTTGAGAAATGAAATCACAAAGGAAAGAACAGCCCAAGCCTACCTGAAGGTTAGTGAACAATCTATGAGAAAGTTTGAAAATCGTATTAGAATGATTCTTATGGCTTCTGGTTCTACAACCTTTACCAAGATTGTTAACAAGTGGAACACAGCTGTTATTGGATTGATGACTTATTTCCGTGAAGCTGTTGTTAATACACAAGAAATGCTTGACCTTCTCGTAAAATGTGAAAATAAGATTCAAACAAGAATCAAGATTGGCCTCAACTCAAAGATGCCTACCAGATTCCCTCCTGTTGTATTCTATACTCCAAAAGAATTGGGTGGTTTAGGTATGCTTTCTATGGGTCACGTACTCATTCCACAATCTGATCTCAAATATTCCAAGCAAACTGATACAGGTATAACTCACTTCCGTTCTGGTATGAGTCATGATGAAGGTCAACTCATTCCTAATCTTTATAGATATCTCCAACCTTGGCAATCAGAATTTGTTGACTCTCAACGTGTTTGGGCAGAATATGCAGCCAAGAGAAGAGAAGCTCTTGAAAAGAATAGAAAGTTAGGACTTGAAGACTTGGAAGATTCTTGGGATAGAGGTATTCCTAGAATTAATACACTTTTCCAAAAGGACAGACACATTCTCGCCTATGATAAGGGCTGGAGAGTCAGAAATGAATTCAAGGCTTATCAAGTACTTAAACAAAATCCTTTCTGGTGGACTCAAACTAGACATGATGGTAAACTTTGGTCATTGAATAACTATAGAACTGACATGATTCAAGCCCTTGGTGGTGTAGAATGTATTTTGGAACACAGTTTGTTCAAGGGTACTTACTTTGTTACTTGGGAAGGTCTTTTCTGGGAACGTGCAAGTGGGTTTGAAGAAAGTATGAAGTTTAAAAAGCTTACAAATGCTCAGCGTTCAGGTTTGAACCAAATTCCAAACAGAAGATTTACCTTGTGGTGGTCTCCAACTATTAACCGTGCCAATGTCTATGTTGGTTTCCAAGTTCAATTGGATTTGACAGGTATTTTCATGCATGGTAAGATTCCAACCCTCAAGATTTCATTGATTCAAATCTTCAGAGCTCACTTGTGGCAAAAGATCCATGAAAGTGTAGTTTGGGATCTTTGTCAAGTATTCGATCAACAAGTTGATACTCTTCAAATTCAAACAGTACAAAAGGAAACAATCCATCCTAGAAAGTCTTACAAGATGAACTCTTCTTGTGCAGATGTTTTATTGTTTGCTGCATACAAGTGGCAAATTACTAAACCTTCTCTATTGACAGATCCAAACGATACCTATGACTCTAGTTCTAATAAGTATTGGATTGACGTTCAATTGAGATGGGGTGATTTTGATTCTCATGATATTGAAAGATATTCTAGATCCAAGTTCTTGGAATATTCTAATGATAATCTTTCATTCTATCCATCTCCAACTGGTGTCTTGATCGGTATTGATTTAGCTTATAACTACATGTCAGCTTATGGATGTTGGTTCCACGGATCCAAGCCTCTCATTCGTAAGGCTATGGCTAAAATTATGAAAGCCAATCCTGCTCTTTATGTCCTCAGAGAACGTATCAGAAAGGGTTTGCAATTGTACTCTTCTGAACCAACTGAACCATATTTGAACAGTCAAAACTATGGTGAATTGTTTAGTAATCAAACCATTTGGTTTGTTGATGACTCAGATGTTTATCGTGTAGTTATTCACCAAACTAGTGAAGGTAACTCTACTTCAAAACCTGTAAATGGTGCTATTTATATTTTCAATCCAAAGACTGGTCAATTGTATTTGAAGATTATTCACACAAGTGTATGGGCTGGCCAAAAGCGTAAAGGCCAATTGGCCAAATGGAAGACTGCTGAAGAAGTTACAAGTTTGATTAGATCACTTCCAGTTGAAGAACAACCAAAACAAATTATTGTTACTAGAAAGGGTTTGCTTGATCCATTAGAAGTTCACTTGTTGGACTTCCCTAATATTGTTATCAAGGGAAGTGAATTGAAATTACCATTCCAATCAATTCTCAAGATTGACAAATTCAATGACTTGGTAATGAAGGCAACTGAGCCAAAAATGTTGGTATTCAATATTTATGATGATTGGCGTGAATCAATTAACTCATACACAGCCTTCCTCAGATTGATCTTGACCTTACGTGCCTTTGATGTTAACCCTGATAAGACAAAGATGATTTTAAGACCAAGCAAGACAACCATCACACAACCTCACCATGTTTGGCCAACTTTGGACGATCAAACTTGGGTGAAAGTTGAAGTTGCTCTGAAAGATTTAATCTTGTCAAATTATGGTAAACGAAACAATGTCAAGGTTACATCATTGACTCAATCAGAAGTTCGTGATATTATTCTTGGTATGGATATTGCACCACCATCAGTTCAACAACAACAAATTGCTGAAATTGAGAAAGAGGCAAAAGAAGCCACCCAACTCACCACAATCACAACCAAAAAGATTAACCAATATGGTGAAGAGATTATTACTGTTACCAATACACCATACGAACAAGAAACATTCAGTAGTAAGACCGATTGGAGAATGAGAGCTATTGCTGCTCCTAATCTTCAAATCAGAACAAAACGTATTTTCATTGAACAAGAAGATATTGCTGAGAGCGCCTATGACTTTGTACTTCCAATGAATATTTTGAAGAAGTTTATTTCTATTTCAGATTTGAGAACTCAAGTAATGGGTTATTGTTATGGTAAATCTCCTGAAGACAATCCTAAGGTTAAAGAAATCCACTGTATCGTTTTGGTTCCTCAATTAGGATCACATAAGACTGTAGCTGTTCCAAAACAATTACCAGAACATGACATTTTGTCAGGATTGGAACCACTTGGTTGGATTCACACTCAACCTGCTTCTGCAAGTCATACCAGACTCACCCCTCAAGATGTCACATTCCACTCCAAAGTTATGAACCAACACAAATCTTGGGATGGTGAAAAGACCATTACTATTACCTGTCAAATTACTCCTGGTTCATGCAATCTTACTGCACACAAGTTAACACCAGAAGGTTTTGACTGGGGTAGAAAGAATAAGGATATTTTCAGTGATGAACCACAAGGATTCAATCATGCTGCTTTCTATGAGGGAGTCCAAATTATTTTGTCAGAATCTTATATGGGATTCTTTATGGTTCCTGACGAAGGTTCTTGGAATTACTTCTTTATGGGCTATGGTCATACTGAAAATATGGAATATGGCGTAACTCTTGGAGTTCCTAAGGAATTTTATCATGAAGTCCATCGTCCTCATCACTTTTTGAATTTCAGTATGATGGAAGATGCTTCCTCTCAAACAGCATTGGAACCATCTAAGCCAACAGTTCTAGCCAGTAGTAGCACTGAGGAAGAGAATCATGAAGAGGCAGATGTGGACAACCTTTTTGAATAAATATTGCATTAATTTAGTAAATTACGTCTCATAATCGTTACCTCAAGTGCGTCTCGTAAAAAGACTACCCTCAACTCTTATATCTAGAGAGATAGCGCAGAGAGCAACACGAAAGTACCAAAACCTTATTAGCTCACCCTAGTGTTCAGAATTGTTTTTTGGCGCCATTACGATTATTTTCTCTCTACAAATAATAATTATAACTGAGTTGTTGGGGGACGTTAGGCACTTTCAAAAAATGGCATGATGGCGGAGACTGCAACAATCCAATCAAGTATACCACCTCCCTATCAAGTGCTTTTTGGTCATCATCATACACCAGTACACAACAGCAATAACATTTCAAAACAATCTTCCTCTTCATCAGTTTTACTCTCCAATACTTCAATGATGGAATCAAAATCTATTAAACCTTCACCCATGAAATCCGTAACCCCAAAATCCCTTGTAAAATCCACCTCATCAGCTCATTCAGCAACAACTCCAAAATCTACTCTTACTACCTCCTCCACTACAACAAAAACAACCTCAAATAACAAGTCATCCAATAGTCAAAATGGAGTCATTAGTAGACCTCTTTTAAGTTCGGGCTCATCCTCATCAATAGCTTCCACTACATCTACAACATCCCTTCATTCAGCAAGAACAACGATAGGGACATCACAAAGGAAATCAGCTCAATTAGAATCGTCTAAAACCTCAACAACAACCTCTACTACAACAAAATCATCCTTCAGAAAACCACCAGTTCCAAACCTGAGAAGTTCTTCTCAACAAAGTCTCCCAGTTTATACACCAAGCAAAGCCACTGCTAAGGTTGTTACAAATACACCCTCTGCCAGAGGATTGCTTAACAGTGCCAGAAATTCTAATACTCTTTCAGCAAGAAGTAATGTATCAGTTCATTCACCGATCACTCCAACCAGACAAATTTCTTCTAGGCCTCAATCAACAAAGGTGAAAGACATTGTTCCATCTCCAGCCAATAGTTTACTGATAGGTAGTGTTCCTCTTAGCTCATCACAACCCTCTTCGTCAAGAAGTACGAGTTCAACCTCTTCTACATCATCTCAATTCAATTCTCTGCTTATCTCCAATACTTACGATGACGATGACGATGAGGACTTTATTGTTCCTGAAACTAAACCGACAACACCTTCATCATCTTCTAGTATTGCCAAAAAGTTTAACCTTACCCTCAATCTGAGTAGTATAACGAATAATACTCCTCCCATGCTTCCAAGTACTGTGCCACTTAATGTCCCTAAAAAACCACCAGTAAGAACTGTCACATCTGAGCCCGTTGTCACTACTAAGAAAAATATTGTGACTGTGACACCTGTAAAAACAAACATCACTGGACCTACAGCATCCACCAGCCCAAAATCAACCAAAAAATCGAATATTCTCCATGGAGGAATAACAAGCTCAACAACTCTTCCAAGGCCTTCCAAGAAGGCCACTCCAAGGACTTCAAACATTGTGTTGGAGCAACATCACGAAGACAGTACTCCAACAAAACCTAGTGTTACTGATTCTGTAGAAATTCTTAGTGCAAGACCTGTAGTGGAGGATGTTATTTTCAATAGGTCTCCCTCACAAGCATCGACTAGTCCAAAACCATCCTTAATTACCTCACCAAATCACAGCGAAGAATCTTCACTCTCCACCTCTAGGTCGAAACAAAGCAGTATTTATGATGAGATAGAAGAATATAAAAACTTTGAAGATAAGGAAATAGCCACACTCCAGCAGAGCTTCTCCAAGTCTTCAAGAAGCACTTTACAAACAGAAAACAAAGAAGAATTTTGGAATATGGTAGACAGAAGTCATACGTGCATTCTGTATGAGAGCGAGAAGCTATACAAATTATTTTGTCTGTGGATTAGTGAACAACAAGAACAGGAAATTGAAGATATTTATTCAAGTGTTGATGAAAAATCAAGACGAGATGAATTGGCCAAGCTGAAAACAAACTCTTGTGTTATATATGAAGAAGCTTTTTGCGAAATAGTTCAATACTTTCTACAACTTGCTTGTAAATATTCAGACGACCTCTTGGATCACTGGTGTGAGTTTAATTGTTTGGACTTTTTTGATTTCTTGGATGTAAAGAGTTGTGGAGCTGTTTCTAAAGAATCTGTGTTTATGATTCTATGTTTGATATCATCTCAAATATGCAGAAAACTTGCTGCCTTTCTTGACACCTTTGGAGACACCCTTTTTGAATTTTGTAGGCCTGTCTCGAGCAAATCTTCAGTATCCAAAACAGTTAACATTCACATGACAAGAAAATTGGCCTTCATTTGTAACATTGACGATGTTCAATTTACCAAGTCAATTTGCAAATTAGGTTTGGCAAACTGTGAAACTTTGAAGAAAGAGGAAGTATTTAAAATTTACTCTTTAATTTTCTCTAGATACGATAAGGGGTCTTTATCCGAGAAGGGTTACTTTGTCCCACCAATGGTGACTCCAATAGAGGACAAGCACAAAGCTCCAATATCAGCAAGAACCTTTGGAAACATTTCATCTAGATACCATGAAACACCTAACAGTGGATCAACTCTGACTTACACCTCTATTGTAGTTGAAACCAAGTCACAGACACACGAGCAAGTAGATCAAAATGAGGAAACTAAAGACGAACCTCAACTCTCTGATAGAACTCCAAAAGTTGTGTACAGCAGTTCTAAAAAAATAGCACTCCCAATCAGAAACAATTCAAATACTCAACTAGTTGACACTCTGTCAAGTGACCCTGTGAAAACCAGCAACACTAAGGATCTCAATTCTCACACAGAATCAATAGAAGAGAATACTTCCGGCAGAGAACCAAAAACAGATATTGACTATATTGAGCAACCAAAGGACAAGTTGTTTGTCTCTGCTCAAAACACAACCAACAATGGAAAAGGAAACAAGTATCTTATCGAAACAACACCAACTCCAAACAATACACCAAACGAAGAATCAAAGAAAAAGAAGAAGAAACGATGGAAGTGTTGTGTGATGTAATAAATATTTATTGAAAAATCTTCAAGTTTAAAAAAATGTCTAACGATGATGGATCTCATCATCAACATCTTTCGGAAGTGGAAAGTGGAATTATAAAGAAAAAACTTGTGAGTGAACAAGATCGTAATGAAATACAAATGCAAATGGATTCACTTTATGAGGATATTGAAGTTGTTAGTGAAGGAGAGGATTCTTTATCGGATTATGGTGATAATTCCATACCTACAAAGCTTGAAATGAAAAACAGCAAAGCATGCGATAAAATTGCATCACCGAATTTTGATAACTACTTTTCTTCACCTTCTGATGATAGGATTAGATCTCCGAGTGTACCTAATCTATATTCATTGAGTGCTACGCCCTCTGATGACAGTGATCATAAAAAAACAAATTCAATGCCAAATTTGTCTAGGGAAGCACAATTGGAACAGCTGAGGTTTATTCAATCGATGAATTTTTGTCAGAATTTCTCATCTATAATCAATGAACAATATGACGTATGTATTTTTCAGTAGGAAATAATTAATTTGACATTAATAGGAAAATTATTCATGGATTGATTCTATTGGAGATTATTATAGATATGGTGACAAGGAAAAATATGTAGAACCAACTAAATTACCAGATATTGAATTGACCGATAAAGACATTAGTTCATACTTGGACAGAATCGAAGAATTGTACATTAACTACGAGAAGAGTAAAATCAAACCAAATATTCAATCAAACTATTACGAGTCAGAGTTAGAAAGTACCTTTGCTATGGATATTGCAATTAATAGAGAAATGATACCTGCAATATATTTTGAAGAGGGATTTGATTTGGGAAATGTCAAAACTTTTCAAGAAATTTTCTCTGAGGAAGCCATGTCGACATCATTACTTTTTCAAGAAAAAATTTCACATTACCTCGACAAGACTGAAATTTTACTAATTCAACACATAACATTCCGTTCCTCAAAGATTTTTGATGCCTTCTTCCAATATAATCAGTTAGATGATGACTTACAAGTAGCTATTCCTCTAGTGAAGGAGCTACGTCAAAAAATCAAAGATATCGACAATATATCATCTAAAACACCACTGGAGGTCACTTCCCTTGTAAGGAGAAGGAAGAATCTTAAAAAAACTCTAGAAATGTACAAAGTAATTTATGCCATTCAACAAGGTCAAGAAATAATTGATGAATTGATTGAACGCAATGATTTCCTCTCTGCTTTGGAGCTCATCAATGAAACAAGAGAGGTCATCAAAACAGAGTTTGCTAGCTTGAAGTGCTTCAGAAATTTACCAGAGAAACTAAACGAAAAGACAATAGAAATTCAATCCAAAGCACAAAATTTATTTATTTCCAAATTAATAGAAGGATACATATCCTTATTCGAAGATCCAAAGAAGCCCAATGAATCTTTGCAAGATTTTATCAAGACATTAACCGAGAATAATCAATCGAGAGAAAATTTACAAGCAGAGTTTGAAAGCATTGTAAAACCAATCATTGTTGTTACTGACACACAGTTTGTTATTCACAAATACAGAGAAAAATTACTGGCATTCCTGAACGAGAGGCTTGCTTCAACAATTGATAAGAAACTTTCCCAATCCAAACCTAACACTGCTGGTGGAAATGCACCAAATTTAAAAACCTCCAACAGCTCTTCAACAGAAAATAGTGGTTCAAAATACTTGAGTTCCAAAAATACACAACAATTAGGAGCAATAACCACTGATCAGTATATATCACTGATTAGAGATCTAGTCTTTGTAGGGCTGTCCCTTCTCCAAAAGAGTGCTGATATTATGGTAGTTTTATTCCACTTATTGGAGGATGTTAATGAGAAGGAAAAATCAAAAGCATCCTACGTATTACGAGAATTTGAGAAGATTAATTCAACAATTACAGAAATAATTCATAATAGACTTTCATTGATTGTATCTTTGAGAGGAGAAGTGACACTTGTTAAAAATAGCACAAAAACAGAATTACTCACGTTTATGGATATTTGTTTCACTTTTATAGAAACTAGTGAAAAAATTATGGGAAAGAAGATTAATTTTTTGAAAAGTACTATTCAAGCAGTTGGTAAAACATTTTTGGATGAGTTCGATAAGCAACACTTGGATATTATAAAATCAGTTTTGGAAAAGGAGAATTGGATTTGGGTTGAAAATATTCAGCCAAAACATCAAGAGACTGTAAATAGCATAACAACGAGCGTCCTCAATGATGAATCTCAATCATCTACATCTGAGAGCAAATATATAGTAATAGTCAACGAGAAATTTCCAATCTGTTCCAGTTTTTTACACTTGGTAAGAATGACAAAGAATTTCCTAGATCTATTATCACCAGAACATCAAAAGTTTATTAACAGTTTAGAATTAAGCACAAGAATATGTAACTTGTATGGAGTATGTTGATTTTTCTTCTTATAATTTTCTAATTCATAATCAAAGACTTTTAATATTGATGTAAAAAATTTGATTTTAAAAGCTGGAGCCATCAACTCAAAATCTGGTTTGAAAACTATTACAGCCAAACATTTAGTTCTCACATATGAAGTATTGGGAGCAGTAATTGCATTCCTAACACAAGTTAAAATTTATATCGAAAATGCAGATTCATATTTGAAAGGAAAATTATCAAAATTTGATAATCTACTCACTGATCTAAAAGAACACAAGAAATCAATTTTCCAAAAGCTGTTTGATATTATGAAAGATGTTTTAGAAGGTCATGCTAAGGAAATTGTAAAGTTTGATTGGGATGGAGGACAAAGAAAGGATTCTCCATTTGGAGCTATCCTTAAAGCATTATTGTCAGTGTACAAGGTTCTAAAGTCATACCTTAGCACACATCCAAACGATTTAAAGTCTCTCTTTACCAAAATTGTTATCATGTATTCAAGTAGAATGAAGACAGGAGTACAATCACTCCAGAGAACAGGATTGAGCAGAAGGGCAATCAAAAACCTAAAGGAAGATGTTGTTTCAGTATCGAAACAATTCCAACAATGGTCAGATGCTATTGCAGACGATTTCGATATGAATGAAGTGGATAGTTGCTTTAATGAATGTTTTGTTGTTGCAACTCCTTCCAACCTGGTAACCATACCAGCTCAGGCAACAACCGACCAACCAAGCAACTCAAATAAATGAAGTGAATAATTTATTAATGAAAAGAGAAGTGTATGTACAAAAAATTCTTGTAGAATTGAAGGGTACAAGCCAACAAAACCAAGAATTTAAATATCGTAATCTCTAATCAAGCTCAAAATGCTTTTAGCTTCTCTGGCATAGTCAATTGGAGTAACTCTGATAATAGTGAATTTGAGTTTAGGTTCCTTTGTTGTTTCAGTGGTAACACGAACAGTAAATACATATCTGGTGAATGTTTTTTCACCTAAAAGGTATGGCATGTATTCAGGTTCAGCTGCTCTTGCACACATATCATCAGCAGTCATGTCACTGAAAAGTTTCTCTACAGCTTGATTGAATGCATTGCAATACTGTTTACCAGTCCAATCAGTAATACCCAAATTAGCCAAAAACTTTCTGGTACATGTATCAGAGGAATGATTACATGATGAGCAATGGTAAATACCCTCATTTTGTTGAACTTTCTTGTTACATTCCTTATTTGTACAAGCGTCATACCACAACTCATGTTTAATATATGAAACATAAGCTCTAATAGTAAGATAATCAGGTGCAGTAACAGTGTCAACACTCATATTTTTACAGTCAGCAATAACATTCTTTCTCTTGAAAGTTCTTTCAGAATTTACAGCAGCTTGCTTTTGAGTCAACTTGATACCTTCACCATCAAACGATCCTTCATTATTTTGATACCATTCAGATAATTGTTGATAAATTGGAATTCCAGGATCTTTGAAGATTCTTGTACTATTAATAGTGTTAAGAGAAACACCACCATAGTTTGACTTTCTTACACTTTTCAAAATAACAACATCTCCTTGTTGCATATCATGAGTATCACACATATCACCCCAGATTGTTAAATCAACAGTACAAAATGGAGAAGATGAGTCATCAATTAAGGAGATATTGCAACGTTTGGTCTTTCTATTATTCTTTGTAGTAAATTCTTTAGTTTCTCCAATATTTTGAACAACACCAGCAACATCCAAAATCATGTTATCTTCAACATTTGTCATGTCACATAATCTAGTACAATTGAAAGTGTCAGTTGGAATTTCAGAATCTCTAGCGTTTTGAATAACAGTATCACGGTCAAAAGTAATTTCATAAGGGTGTGGAATTGTGGTAAACTTTCTATTTGCATCCTTCAATTTACCACCAGAGAAGAAGTAAACTGAACGTTCTTTGATAGCATCATAATATTTCTTGGCAACATCATTGAAGAAAGTAGCACGAATCTGGCCACCATATTCGTCTAATAATTCAATAGAGAAAAGAGAACCCTTACTTGTTCCTTTGTCCCAATGTTTCATGTCACTCTTTTGTGTTACTCTAGCCTTAATTACCCAGACTTTGTCATATGGATTGAGATTTGAAATTGGTTTAGCTTGATCATTAGAAAGTTTATCATCATCTAAAATACTACTCATTCCACCATCATCATAGAAATTATCTGCAGCTGTTGTACCAGAACTCTTTTTAGCCTTTGGTTGAACAGAAGTAGAAGCACTAGAACTACTACTTTTGCTTGTTGATGTTGTCTTTACCTTGTCAGATGATGAAGTGTCACTTGCGCCAGCAGTTGCATATGGTTTTGGATTGCCGATCACTGCATCTAAACGTTCTTCCACAGTATACTTGACAATGATAACAATTTCCTTTGTGTGTTTCAAGCTTTCATAAATTTTAATGACTGCATATTGATCAACAGGTTGAGAAGGTTTAATAATAACAGCAGGACAAGAATTAATTCCATCACTAATAGTAACAATTAACTTTTGACCGGATGAACGAGCTTCAGTTACTTGAACACAAGGTGTAATTTTGTCCATTGTTTTTCCCTGCATCAGGGGAGCTATGCAACGATCGAGTTTACTCATATTTTTCAAATTAGCCTAGATTTGCACTCAGTATTGTTGGTGAAGGTGTGCAATGTTTTTTTTTCTATTTGATTTTTAAAAGAAATTTTATTTTAAAACGGTTTTTATATTTGTTAGCGGGAAAATTTTCTTCTGGTTATTGGAAGTTCAATCTTGTTGTGCTGCATAATTAATGAGAAATTATTAAAAATCAATTAATGAGATATTTAAAAGTTAGAATAATTATCAATTTTCAAAAAAAGTAATGAAAATTAATATTGAAATGCTCAGAAAACTATTTGGCGCTCAATAAACTACGATTTTTAATTTTAAAAAAAATGAGTTCAAGAAATAATTCACCATCCATCGACTTGGTGGCAGTGTTGGACAGAAATTCGCGATTGGATCATGGAAAACGTACCTTGGAATCAACAACTCCAATATTAGATAGGAGTATTGCTCACTCCCCAATACTGGAGCATGTTAATGAAGATCCAATTTCAAATAGAGCAAAAATTATCAAAAAACTAGGAATCAAAAGACCAAACACTGGTACAATGACACGTACAACAACAATTACTGTACATTCGAGACCATCATCATCTTGCTCAACAGCAAGTCCATCAAGTAATCAAATGTTCAATTTAGATAAAGTAGATATTAAATTATTAGACTCCATTTATGATTATCAAGGAGATAGAGACTCTAACAATTTTTATCAAGGGTCGGGTCACATTTCACTGAGCATCAAGCCTCGTCTCGATATTAAACAAAAAGTAAACGGAAGACCCAAAATGGAGAGAAGTCTTAGTGCTAGTGTTGGGTGTTTAACAAGCGTTAAGAAGCTTGAAACTAAGATAATCGAAGAAACTCCTCTATTGGGTGATGAATTCCAAATTGAAATTGAAACACCAAGACATACCCAACCAAAGGCAAATCCAATGAATTATGAAATTTTGTATGAAGGAAACTTTGAAAGAGGATTTATGAACGATAGTGATGGATATTTTGAATTTTTATATTCAGAAACAAAAGGACCAACCTATAAGGGAAATGTGGAAAATAATCAATTCGAAGGAAAGTGTAAGATCACATGGGAAGATGGTAGCTACTATGAAGGAGAGGTTAAAAATGGTTTAAGAGATGGATTTGGAGTCTTTATTTCAGGTGATCACAAATCTAAATATGAAGGAGAATGGAAGGAAGGCAAAAGACATGGAAAGGGATTTATGACATACTCTGCTCATGAAACATTTGAAGGAACATTTTCAGAAAACAAAAGAAATGGCACTGGTCTTATGCACTACAAGAGTGGAAACTACTACGAAGGAGAATGGAAAAACAACAAGAGAGAAGGTCAAGGAACAATGCACTGGGTGGTTGACCCTTTAGAAGTATATGAAGGACAGTGGATTAATGACCTCCCTGATGGTATTGGAAAGCATACTTATTTACAAGCCTCTGGAAAGAAATGTAACTATTATGAGGGATCATTTTCAGAAGGAAAAAGAGAGGGTCAAGGTACATTCTATTATGCTGATGGTTCTTACTACTCTGGAGAGTGGTATCAAAATTTGAAACATGGAAATGGCATATTTTACTATTTGAATGGTACTGCACAAAAAGGAGTTTGGAGAGAAGATAAACTGTCTCATCCATTAGAGTTTGTTACAACAAATACTGAGAAATCAACTCCTCCAGCAACCTCAAAAACAACAACCGGTGGTACTTTAACCTCTCCAATGATTGAATTGTATATTAATGACCTCCTTCTGAAGGTTGACGGAACGTTTGATGGATTAAATAAGGTCAATTCGCTTGTGCAAAGAAATATCAGAAAATTCAAGAATGTTTTTGCACACTATTGTAAATATGGAATTGATCCGTTGTGTATTAAGAAAACTGCTGCTGCAACAGCTTCCATCAATATGAATCCTAGAATAAGTATTCAGGGAATATTAGAATCTGGGGGTGGAGAAGAAATGACAGCAAGCGAAATGAAGATTTTCCTTTCCAAAGATAACAAGCTTACAATGGTTCAATTTTGGAAGTTTGCTCATGATTTTGGGCTTCTTAATGAGAATGTTAACTTTGCTGTGATTGACAGAATTTTCATTTTTGTGGCCACTCAATCAAGTGCTGAAAGAAATATCAAACTTGCAAAACAAGAGGATGGCCAATTGCTCCTCTCTACCGACTCTATTAGAAATATCAAATTAGCAAAACCGGCACCGATCAAGAATGGAAAAACAAGACCTGATTCTTCTTCCTCGTCAACTTCAACTATTCGTTTCAGAGAATTTGTTGAGGCATTGGTACGAGTGAGTTCAGAACTCTATAGAAATATCAATCATGGAACAAGTAGTGTAGCTGATAGATTCAAGGCTCTTCTCACCGAGAAGATTAACTTTACACAGAGTGGATTTGTTCCAACAGAGTTAGTGTCTGCAAGATCTGCCAGTGGTGAGAGTGTATTCTCCCTAAAGACAACTACCAACATAGTATCAACAACAAACAGCACCAGCCTTGCTGGTTCACTGAAAACAACGTTTGGAGAATCGAAGAACTCTTTGGCCTTACCTACACAAATAATCACTACAGACAATATTCTTCAGAGCGGTATTTCAAAGCTCATATCTGAGCCAACCATATCAGAGTACCTTAACAAAATCTTCTCCTACTACTGTAGATATGAAGGAGGTGGCTATATAACTTACGAAGAAGAGTTGGAATGGCATGGTGTTGATTCACATCGAAAGCTACAATCCATTACCGTAAAACAATTCATGAGAATGGTGAAGGACATGCTTATCATTGATGGTGTTTATCTGAAAATGATTGGTGTGATTGGGCTTTTTGAAGATTTATTTGTAGACATTGTAACAGCAGAGCCAAATGAGACTCCTGATGAACTAAGACGACGAAGGATTGATGTCATTATCAAGAAGGAAATGTTTTACGAAGATTTTGTGGAGTGTGTAAAAAAGACCATTCACAAGAGGGTACAAAAACAGATTCCGTTCGATAACATTGATGAAGGTATTGTAGTGGAGGAGTGTCGACAGATCATGGAGGTTGTTATGAGCAGGTTCGATAGCAAACCCTAATTAAGCTAGTGGACATTGTTAAAAATGAAAAACATAACGAATGGCTAACCAACTTTATAACGAAACGATCCTGTAAATGTAAAAATATAGGTATAAAAATTCCATACATAAAACAATGTCAACATATTCAGTCAAAGCTTTGGAAAGTGTTCATTGTTTGATTTGGACTGCCATTTCTTTCCCTGGACATGATCCTTAATAAAACTAATTTCGTAATCATTGAGAAATCTCTCTTTCCAAATTTTAAACGTAATTTTCCCACTTGGTGAGGATGCACAGAGATTTTTTCTAAAATCATTGTAATTTCATGAAACTATTCTTCCATCAACAGTCGTAACCTTTCTAAAACAAAAAGACTCCTCTCACATCCTCACTTGTTGTATCATCTACGAGGTCGATTAAAGTATTTTCATCATCAATTGAACACGATTGTCTACACCAATCCCTTATCAATTAATAACAAAATTGAGAGACATCGAGACCAGTGGTTAATAATTTTCTTAAAAAACAATCTCCCCGAACTTCAGCTCCAAATAGAGTGCCCAACCTGATCAGCCCTTATCATAATCTGAAGAGAAAATTCTTCATAATAATGATAAAAAGCAATACACTGCTGCCCTGAAAGTGTACTATTTAATCTCCTCCACAACCACCTAACCTCAACCACAATAATAATTATTGCAGGAAATCTATTTATTAATTATTATAATTTATTTAAATTAATTCACGATGGGCTCATTTCCCTCTCATTCCTCAACAGAATCACCAACAGGTGGGATATGTTCAACCAGTAAATTCAAGGACTCCTGGATTTTTATACTCTGAAACGAGTAGGGGAAGTTTGGGAAGTATTAAGAATATACCTCTCATTGAAACAACACCTACTGAAAGTCCACAGGAAACAGCGACAAGGAACACCAATCTCCAACTTAAACCATCAACATTTCATCAACAGGAGGAAGGAAAATTGGCCCCACATCAAAAAACTTCATTGGACACTTCACGGTCGAGAACATCTCGTTCAGCAAAAGATGTCTCTTCCCATCATCATGTAGGTGATGACAATTCATCACAAGAGAGTAGTCAAGATAGTGACTCTTCATCATCCTCACTTCTTCCAGAACATTCCTTTCAATTATTTACTGGGTTTACATTAGGCACAAGTTCTAGGTATAGCCCTCATATTTCTTCCACTCCTTGTTTACCCTTACCTCATATTGGATCTCTTCCAATTTCATTCCGACCAACAGAAATTGAATTCTCTAAAAAGAATAAGAGAAGTTTTTCATTGGATGAAAAATCAGATGAACAATCAAGACATGAAAGACATTTGCATTCTTCTGCAGTTAGTAGAAGAAAAATGTCTGTCATTCCTACCTCTGACAATAATAATTTACTCCCACCAGATTTATCAATAACAGTTTCAACTCCAGAAGAAAGCAATCGTCAACCTAAGATTACTCTCGAAATTCCAAAACCAATCATTGAACCACCAACTGAAACTGAAGACCCTTACAACTTGTCAGAATTCAAAATGGGAACTAAATCTCCAAAGAAAGCTCCAGTTGCTAATGTTCCAGATTTTACAAATTATCAATTAGGCCAAAAACCACCAAAACAAAAGAAGGTTGGTTTTATGGGCCCCCTTGTAGATATTATTGTACATGGAGGTTTGGGACTGCCTAATAATCACAAAATTCGTAGACATTCCTATACACCTCAACCTTCGGCTGATTTGTTAGAAAAATCCAATGTCAGTCCTCCACTAAGAAAGCCAAATGCCAACCTTCCTCAACCAACAATAGGACTTGTTCCAAGCCCTAAAGAGAAGAGAGATTTGAGTAAGTCAGTGGCAGATTTTGTACTCCCTCAACCAGTAGATATTGAACCATCTCCCAAACTATTTGTAGCTACCATCAGTAAAACAAGAAGAATGTCTCTAAAGGACGAAACTGCAGAGAGACTCAACGACTTACTTTCAAAACAAAGAACAGACCAATATAAACTGTAGTAAATACTGTATACACAATGTAATATCAATTCTGTATAACTCATTGTTTTCTCAGAAGAAGTGAATGAGGCATAATTTTTTAGAATATTTTATTAAACATTCCCACAATTATTATCATTACTCTTTAACACTCTATTGATGATTGAGAATGAAAAACATAATCTGCACCTTTTAAGTAGTTCATTTCTGCGACGCTAAACCTTGAGGACGACCGAGGTGTAGTTACTCTATATGGATGATATAAGGAACGCTTAGTATACCGTCGCTGACTGCGAGCTGAACCTCACTAATCGGCTTCGATACTCTGCAACACTTATCATTTTGTTTAAATTATTTCCGAGAAGGAAGTACGATACAGAAATTAATTATTTTAATGAATTGGTTCGGGTTGCTTTGTATGACTTTCCTCTTGTCCTTCATCACACAATTTAAATAAATTAAATAATAAATTGAAGAATTAATTTTCAAAATCATCGAATAAAAAATGCAACGCTTCTTCAATTCCTTCTCGCACATTCTCGCTAGGTGTAGGTTTTACATGTAATACTCTTATTGAACATTAGAAAACAACAATTCAACTGTAATATCATGTACTGTGATTGATATTGAATTTTAAATGTGGAAAATTATTTTCGGATATGCTACAATAATTCACTTCATCATTTTACACAAATTCTTCATCATTTAACAATTCATCATAATGAAATTTACAATTACATACTTTTGATACTATTATATAGCGAACATCACCAAGAGAAGTTCAGCAACAAGTATCATCAAGAGTTATAGTGATACTTTCATGATGAATACACTCGCTGCCAATCCTTTTGTTGCTCTCAAGGCTAGTTCTCTCTCTTTCGGTCCTTCAATTTTCAACCAAACCAATGTTCGTTTCAGAAGAGTTGTTCGTCACAACAAGCTCGTCACTGGAGTTAAAAGTCTCAAGACTAAAACATCAGCTAAGAAACGTTTCAGAATCACTGGTTCTGGTAAGATAAAACGAAAGCAAGCCGGCAAGCGTCACCACGCCTGGTCAAAGAATAGAAAAAGACTTAATAGATTGGGTAAGACTGTTTTGGTTGTTTGCAAAGGTGATAAGAAGAAGCTCAAACGTTTCCTCTCATTTAAAAAGTAAATAACTAATGTTGTGATTTTGGAAAATATGTCACGATGCAAATTATTGGTTCAAGTTTTAACATCTACAGAATATAAAAGAAAATATTTAAATAATTTATTTCCTTTTTGTTTCAAAATTCACATTCCAAATCGATATCTTTGAGTCTTTACATCCAGCAGCAAGTAAAATTTCCTTATTGTTCTCCTTAAAATCGAGAGAACGAATTGCATTTTCATGATACTTGTACACTGCCAGCTTCTTTTTCCTTTTCAAGTCAAAAACCCTAACACTGCCATCCCAACAACCAGCAAACATTAATCTGGACATTTGACTTGTACTAGCCACTCCACTCATATTGTAGCATGAGATATCATTTACTCCTCCACTCTTCATTTCAAATGAATAACTTGTTTGTTCTCCTGTAAAGGAATGATTATTATTGGTATCGATTGAAGAGTTTGTTGGAATATTAGCACGATCCATTACATGAATCTGGGTTGAGCTAGCTCCAATAATGATTTTATCCAATTCTGATTGATAATTAATGGCAATTATTGGATCCTGAGCATTGTGTAAATCATAAATATGCCTCACACCAATCAAATCTCTATAATTACAAAATTTTGGTTGTTCTCCCTCCAAATTTTCTTGTTTTTCAAAATTCTCCAACACAAAAGTTGGCTCACTCAATTTCCTCACATCAAACTCTACAATTACTCCACCTTCATAAGAACACAATAAATACTGAGAATGGTCAATACAAACCATTCCAGTCAACATTCCAAAAGCTGACAATGAGCTGTACTGACTCACTGGAGGGGCAATCATTAGAGAGCTTTTATATCCATCCAGAGTTTGTTTCTCTCTACAATCCAACAGCATCACTTGTTCCTTATCACACGGCACAAAGAAACTCAAACTCGATCCAATCCGACACGGAGCAAATTTACAAAATGAAAATATCGAATTATAATACCATTCCAAAGATGATGAAGATGGTGACGATGATGAAATGTTAATTTGATTCAAATCCAATCGTTTAATACATCCCTCCCTTCCCTGTGAATATAAATAATGATCATCTTGATAAAATCCGAGAATGCAACCATTGTGATGGTTCGGAATGGATTGTTTCACTCTCCTTGTTTCCAAATTGAAAATATTGAAATTTCCCTTTAAATCTCCACTGAATAAAGATGATGATGATAGGTTGGAGGTAGATTTTTCAAAATAAACACTTGTCACTTCATCAATGTGTCCTCTCAAAATAATAGGTTGTTGCTGTTGACTCATTTTTTTAATATTTAATAAATTTTTTAATATTTTAATATTTATTATTGTAAACTCGAGTTTAAATTTCAAAAAGAATTTAAATATCCATTCTTGCCCAATTGTAAACCTTAGTTTGAATTGGAATGTGTGCAATTTCACTGATTGGACCAATTGGAATAGCCTTAAGAGCAACACGAACAAGAATTTGATCCTTGCCATCAGTAGAATGCATAATATTGTAAATTCCTCTTCCAGTATTAGAAACTGCACTAGTAATTCCACCTCCCAAATAATTTTGATAATCATACATTTGATTAATTTCTTCTTGATTAGCTGAAGCTCTATCAACGCCAATCATACTCCAAGTATTTGATCCAGATGAAGGAAGACTTGATTGAGCATTACCTGGTGAGAAGGCAAATAATTGAGCCTTATAACTGTGAATTGAAGAGTAAACGAATTGAGTTGGATCCAAATCAATGGATTGAATGGAGGCAGAACTACCCAAAACAACTGAGAATAATTTTTGTGGCAATTTAACTGGTTCATCTTCATGTCTAATCAAAACTGAAACAGTCTTGGTTGAGGCATCATATGAAGTCCACAAGTAATCAACATACGAGTCCAAAGGAGCTGACAAGGCAACAAGTTTTGGTGACAAGTATGCTCCATTAGCAGTCAAACTGAAAACACCCAAATAATAAGTATACTTATTATTGACATCTGGGGCAAACAATGCAGTAGCATAGAGGGTATTAGTATTGGATTCATAGAACAATCCAGAAATGACCAATGAAGGAATGACGACAGTAGCATTGAATTGAACATTGGTAATGTTAATCTTGAGAATATCATAGGATTGTTTAGCATGTTCATAGACAAAGACTTTGTTGGCTGGAGAATTTTGCAAATCAGTTTGCATTGGAGACGAATCATCACTGAACAAGTAGAAGAGTCTCTTGTTGGAATTATCTACGGCAGTAACAGAGTTAATAATTCTACCAGAAACTTTTCTTGGAGCACCAGAAGAGTATAATTGAGAATCACTAACTGATAGGTCATTCCAATTCAATACAGGAACAACTTGACCAGACAAGATATCGATACCAACCAAAGATGCAGAGCTATCTTGATTTTGAACGACACCAAAGACCATTTCTTGAGTGGCTTTGATAGATCTAGTCTTGGCAAAGAATTTTTGACCTTCTGGATGGAATTCAACTGCTTGCTTCTTTTCAATATGGCTAGCCATAACAATTCTCTTAGATGATGCAGGAGTAATCATGATATCAATGCATTGATGGAAAATTGGTTCAGTTGGCTTGTTTGGATTGTAACGAACTCTGATAACATGTCTACCAGTTGTACCTTGTGGATTCAAATATAATGGAATTGATAAATTGGTTCTTGTCCATTGTCTGACAGGGAAATAATCAGTCAAAACACTTTGAACAGTGAATTGAGAGTCATCAGGATTTTCACCTGAGGCAACTGAAACGTCAAGCCATCCAGGATGACCAACACTGTAGTGATTCAAATTTTGTTGAAGGTCGATATTATAGGTTTTACCTCTTTGGAAAGTTGCTTGGACTATTCAAATCCAAAAAATAAATAGAAAATATTTAAATGTTAAAGATAATTTGCAAAATACAAACCTGGACCACTTGGTAAAGAACCACAAGGACCTTTAAATTTAAAACAGGTCGGATCACCAAAGTCTGAAATATTCAAACCTCCTCTCTGTCTAGGATTAAAGACACACATATGTGAGTGGACAGGCGCCATGCTTTGCATAATGACGAGGAGCATCATTGTGCTACATAAAACAAGGAGGTTGGCAACTCCCTTGTTTGGTGTGAAGGTTGGTCGTGTTTGCATTTTTTTTGAGTAAGAGAGATGGTGAATCTCCAAGTGTAAACGAAAGTTGTGTTGCACTGCAGGATTCTTCCAAAATACGGAGTTGCCAAAGATTTTGCGGAGGAGAAATGTGGGGGAAAATGTGGGGGAAATTATTATTGTAATAAATTGCGGAGTTGATGGTTAGGCATTGTAAAGATTCTCAAAGGTTGATGCAATGAGGTTGATAAGAGATTGTTTGGCCTCATTATTAGTTGGGTTTTGTGAGTACATGAAATTTTCATTGGATAACATATTTGATTGCTGTATGTTATCAAAGTATTTGAATTTAAATCTTGATAAGAGCATTGAAAAGTGTCCCTTCAACTCAAAGTCATCAGTTTGATTAACCTTATCGTTCATATGAGACATTACTCTGAGGTAGGTCAGAATGACAATTAATTGTCTCAGTGAAAAAGTGTCATGTCCAGAAATTTCAATTATTTGTTCCAACCACTGAATAAATATCAAGATCATTTCAATGTATTGATCATTTTCAAGGGTGGGTTGCATTATTGAGAAGGCTAAATCCATAACATTATTGTAAGAAAAGTGTTTAGAGTCATTTCTAGTAAAGACAGCACACAAATAAATGTGAACAATAAAATTAAAAGGAAAGCTCTGCAGCTTTTCCTCTTCTCCATTCAGATAGAATTTAAATTGATCCTCAGTAAATTCTTTACATTCCATTAAATCTTGAAGAAATACTAAAAGGGAATCCTTACAAAAATTCAAATCCTTAGTTGGGTCCGACCCAAATATAAAGTGGGTGACATAGTTTAGGCAAACGGAGAAGAATTCATCATATTGTAGAGATCCAACATCTCCTCTCCTTGAAGAGATATTTGACATCATATTGGCAGTGCTCGTTACAAACATGTGGAAGCATTTGTACTGGTGTGTAATCCACTTGTTATGAATTGTACGATTGAGAATATCAATTTTCTCTTTCATTTCATTCTTTGGGATGGAAATTAGAGGGATTTTTCTTTGGTTTTTTAAAATTGAATTTCCAATAAAGAATACTCTAGGATGTTGTGTTTTCTTGTAGATTAATTCGAGAAATCCTTCAAATATCATAGATAGAGATGGCCTAATTTTAAGAGCCTCCAATATTAGTTTTGAATCATCATGTAGCTCTGGAGATTTGAATGGATTTTTCAGTAAATAATTCAAACAATTTGAGAACTTGTCAACAAGCACTGATTCACTACTAAGTAAAATGATAGCTTTCTTTTGTGGTGCAACTATTTTAGATTCAAGAATTTCCATACTGAATTCATTGATTATTTCACTATCAGCCGCCCAATCAAATCTACAAATCATCTCGTTCAAGTAATACTCCATCAGTGAAGAAATGGTAACATTTTTCATAATTGCCAAAAAACCTAAACATAATCTTGCAAAATTAATATGCAATTCAATCCCCAATCCAAAATTATTATTAATCATATCAAAACATCTTTCATTAATCATATTTGAAAATATCTTTTCAAATTGTTCTCCTCGAGTATTCTTCATGAGTTCATTATTAATTTCTCCCATCATTTCAAATTCAGTCTCACCATTATTTCCACCTCTCACTCTATTACAATTCCTCAACAACATCAAACATGTATTAATAATCCTCTGCTTATCCGAAAATTCTCCACTCTCCAACAAAGTCTTGTATAATATTAAATAAATCATAGATATTACAGGCTTTGTAAGTGGAGCTAGCCACTCTGATTTTCGCACCAAACGGTCCAATAATTGTATCAATGAAGGATAATCATCCAATAACAATTTAAAAAGACTCAAATCATGAACATTCCGATAGGTCATCTGAAGCAAATGATGAATAGCTTGCAGTTCCATATGAGAGAGCATCTTTTTTTCATCAATATAATCAACCCATTGCTGCAGATGATTATTCGTGAAAGAGTTTGATATCAAATCGAGAATCAGCACCATCAAAATCAAGCGATTTTTTATTTTTTTTTAATTTCGATTTTTTTCTGGATATTCTTCTTATTTGAAATGATCAACATTTGCGTGGTGATTGATATTATTGCTTGTAGAATAGTTTCAAATTCAATCAGCAGCCTTATTGCAGTTAATGTTAAAAAATCTGTTCTTGACAAATTCAATGTCATCACTCAATTAATTTTATTAAAAAAATGGCATCAGGAAATGCGATCGTTTTGGATTCTATGCGTAGACTCATGAAAGTCTATGAAGAAACTGGAGGAAAGGAATTACAAATTAAAGATCAATTGGATGATGAAACTAGAAAGAATGTATTTGAAGCTAACAAGATTTTATTGGTTAGAAAATTAGACTTGACAAGAGAAGTACGTTATTTTTCATCGTTACAAGTTTTATATTGAAGAGAAATTTTCATGTTTATATTCGAAACATTTCTAATACTGATGGTAATGATGTAAAAAATGTTCGTTAATATTCGGATAATGTTATTGTGATGGTTATAACAAATAGAAAATCAATGAAAGAGATGAGGCCATGAAAAAGAATAAGAATAATACACGTGTTATTAAATTGAATCAGAATATCAAGAAAATGTTACGATATCTGAGAAAGGATTATCAACATTTGGAATCTATTCACAAAAACGCTGCCAAGGTAAATTATTTCTTTCTAAAATTATATATTTAATTTATTCGAATCACACAATTTCATTACAAAACCATTTGTAAATCCTTTTGAAAAGAAAAAATTCTTTGGAAAACAAGCAGATCCAAGAGAATTAGCCCAACAACAAGAAGACCTCAAACTCTTAAATCTTCACGTCACACAAGTTGAAAAGCTCGATAAACGAAGATTTGAAAATGGAGGTGAACCTCTCGACTCTAAGGAAGCATCCAAAAGAAAGGAACTCTTCTCCATCAATGAAGAAGACAATACTCCATCACAATCCAAACCACTCATCTCTGAATTCCTACTCAATGAGGAAGATTTACCACAAGATGCTCGTGATTATGGTAATTTACCTCGAATTAATATTGAGGAGAGTTTAACTCAAGTACAAATGTATAAGAAGCAAATGGATCAAGGTTTGGATGCCTTCTCTAAAAAGATTGAAAAACTCAAACACATCACTGATGATATTGGATCTGAATTGGATGAACAGAACAAGTTATTGGAAAATATTGGGGATAAGGTTGATAATGAATTGGAGAGATTGAAGAATTTGAATGAGAGAACTGAGAAGGCAAACAAGTTGGCAAATCAATCGACAAAGATTTGTCTAATCATGTTGGCTGTTAGTATTATTACTGTTATTGTTGGAGGTGTTGCAGTGTGGTTGGTTTATTTCTTTACGCCAAAGTAATTTCTCAGTGTTACACTTTCAAAATTATTCAACCAAGTTCTCCCATTATTTAATATATCCTAATATTAAATTTTATTATTATTTGTATTTTGTTTACAATATTATGTTGTGTATTTATTTCAATAGTTATTTCTCTCAACGCTTTGTTGTCTTCACTCTCTCAACATCATGATTAATTTTCGGGATATGTTGATGATGACAATATCGGAATTTGCTGCAAGATAAGATGAAAGGAAGTTTGATGAAAAAATGCCAAACACATTCCGAAAAAAATTTCTCAAATTTTCGCTCAGCATCAACAAGTGGAGACATTCCGTGCTACGCCAAATAGTTGAAAGAGAATACAACCTAAAGGAATAGAAAATAGTAATAATTATTATAGTATTATAATAGTAAAAGAAAGATGGCAAAGGAAGGTGAAGGTGATGATAGATGGATTGTAAACGACCTTGGTGTGACTGGTAGAAATGTCGGAAGATGGCATTGGACTGATGAAGATGTCTTACCTTGGTGTAAGGATCAATTAAAATCACTCCTGAAGAAGGTTGAATGTTACTCTGAAGGTAATATGAAGATTACCACAACAACTGTTAGCCATGTAAAAGGTGAAGCCTCTGTAATGAATCGTAAACGTAAACTAATTTCAATCTTTGAGTTGGATGTTGAAATTGGATGGAGTGGTTATATTCTATTGGGAGAAGCCTCTGATTTGTCTGATACTGATTCCGAAAAGTGTATTGTGGCAAAGGGTAAAATTAAAATCCCTTATCTCTCTCAAGAAATTGATCAAGGAGAAAGTTTTGAAATTAATGTAGATTTGGACACTAGTTGCAAGAAGAATGAACATAAAGTCATAAAGGAAACACTCAGAACTAAAGGATTGGAAACAATCAAAACAATTGTGAATAAGTTTTTGCTTACTCTCAGAGATGGAGCCAACATTAGAGAAAAATATCAACTCTGGGAACAACAAGAGCAAGAAATTGTAAAGAAAGTTAATAGTTCAAATAATTTATCTGAATCAGGATCCACTAGTAATAGAAATGTAACTGAATCTATTGTTGGAATTGGAGGTGCTCATGTTAAGGAAGATCAAAAGAAGAAGGTTGAAATTCACATTACTGAAAGATTTGTTGGAGCACCACTTCCAAAGATTTTTGAAATGCTCACTGAACCAAATATTATTTCTCATTACACTCAAAGTCGGGCTGAGAGTGACAAGAGAGCTGGAGGTAAATTCTCCCTCTTTGGTGGAAAGGTTAGAGGTGAATTTATCGAGTTTATTCCAAATGAAAAGATTGTACAAAAGTGGCGATTTGAAGATTGGCCAGAAAATGACTATTCCACTGTGACAATTTCATTTGAAAATAGAGGAGGTGGTGAAACTATCGTAAAGCTTGACCAGGTTGGTATTCCATACAAGGATTCTAATGGTTATTTCGTTAAGGAAAAGGTACAAAGTGGGTGGGAGACCAACTTTTTCCAACGTTTAAAGGTTTTAACTGGTCAAGTAATTGGTTCCAGTGGTTTTTAAATATCAAGTTATGGTGAATAAATTCTTGAAACCAATTTAAACCAAAATCAATGTTTCAGTTAAGAACTTTATTCAGTCTTGATTGAGATTCTCATGTGGCTGTTATCTTCAACAAAATCGTGGTCTACGGACCATCCTTGATCTTTCATCAAGAGCATGAAGGTTTCTAGTTCAACATTCAAATTATTATGATTTACAGTTTCTTCATTTGAACTCAAAATCTTGGTAACAATAAACATGGCCTTGAATACATCCATTGTTTGAGCCTTTTCCTCAAACAATACATGAATGAAATCCTTATCTTGAATAATTGTGAATCTGTTTGATATCAATTGTTTGTAATGATAATTTTGAACTAAACTCTCAATTTGCTTAATATTTGTATTGATTTTCACTTTGCTCTGATAGGAATCCAAAAATGGCAAAACAAATTTTTCTCTTTCAGAAACCTTTGATGGATCCAAAACAGCTCTATCCTTCAAGTATTGAGAGCAAGCTATCAAAAATCTTTGCTTATTCAAAACTTTCAGTTTTACATTTGAAACAGCCTTGTACAATGAAAATAATTGAATCACAGAAAGTACGCAAAATATTGGAAACACTTTTGCAAACACGAATTGAGTTCCAAGTGAAAGTGCAGAACTCACAAAAATTCCCAAAGTAGTACCAATTAGAGAGCAAGCCAGGGCTTGACTTGTTGCCTTAGCAGTCACATCAGCCAAATTGTCAGATTTGGCAAATGACTGATTCATGGCAGCTCTAGTTGCACTAGCTGCAAAACAGCTTACATTCTTTCCAATATTTGCCAAACTGGCTTGAGCAATAAACCAGGATGGTCCAGTAATTGGTGTGGTTACTTCTAATAACGCACTTGCTACGAGAGCATATTCTCCTCCCATTCTCCAAAATTTTGGATCTGCATCAAAATTAGTATTGACCTTACTTGCAAATAATATACCTCCTAATTGACCAAGTCCATCTTTAATTACCCAAGCTAAAGCACCTCCTAAAAAAGCAAGAAAGTACTCATTTCCTCCTAATGCCAATTGTGAGGTTATTCCGGCTGCATGCAATAATGATTGCATTGTTAATACTCCTGAAAAACTTCCAGCTGTATATTGCAATGCTTGCCATTTACAATAATTAATATAATTACTAGAGACTGAGAGTGGATAATTCTTTGGTAGAAAAACACTGATCATTCTCTTCTTCCAATGATTGAATAAATAATTAAATTTTGATTGATTGTTCAATGTTATTGATTGATGGTTATTGTCTTGTTTAATATTATCAATATTTCTCACTTGTTCGATATTTAATTTTGAAAGCTTATTATTCTCACCACGGGCAAACCATGAAACATGTTGTTTTACAACGATTTTATCAATATCATGTTCGGAATTGGTTTTCTTATTATCAATAGACTGGAATCGTAATACACCACCAATTACATGAATTTTGTTTGGTTTGCTTCTATTCTCCAATAAACAATAACTCGATTTTTTAGACGATTTTGTGAGTAGAGAGGATTTAAGTCTTTTCATTTTTTAAAGTGTTAATGGAATAGTGGATTTGTTTGTTAATAAAGGTGGATTCTCAGTAGTTTATTCTTCTGTGGTCTCATTGTCTGTAGAAGAAAGCTTTTCTTCAATGTTTTGAATTCTCTTCTTTAGGTCAGAGACTGTCAAAGACCTTCCCATATTCTTTTGTTTGGATTCTTGTTGATGAAGTTTCAATTGTCTTCTGATATCGTCAACAGAGGTAATTGCTGTTGCCTGTCTCTGCCTTGATGCTGGTGATTGGGCTCTGTGGGATGATGCTGCAAAGCTCTCTTGCTTTGAGGATTCATATTGTGCAATCTTGGCCAATTGTCTATGAATGTATTGTTGGAAAGGTTCACTACATTTTAACAAGTGGTTATTGATACCAACACTTGGATGGTTCTTTTTGAATTCATATAGTCTGTATAGACCAGTATGAGTACTATCCTTATTACTTATCAAGTTGAAAATATCAGTGAGTTCATCCTGTACTATCTTTTCATTTGAAACAGTGGATGGTTGTTGAAGAGGGTATGCTTGCTGAATTTGACTGGCTGTAACACTATTTCTTGGAGGTTTGCTTATCGTTTGTGCTGTAATATTAGGGGTAGTAGTGGATGGAACAGTTGCTTGTGAGTTTGTACTGGAAGAAACTGTTGTTTGAGCAGAGTTTACCATCAATTCAATATATGAAATAATTAGTGGATTTTTGTGGGTAGGGATAAGTCCAAGACATGATCTGATAGTTTCTCCTTTAACCTTCACAAGTTCGTTAAGGATGGTTTTAATGGTTCTAAGTGGTAGATCATTCCTGTCCTTGAAGAATGTTGGTGGGTTATGAGTTAAGAAGCTGTGAAGATCCATCAACAAAATATCAACATCAACTCTGTCAATAGTTGCAGCGAGTGCTTTTGTTAATTTGATCAAGCACTTGACAACTAGCTCAGTATATTTTTTCAACGAAGTATTTGCATATGAATATTCTAACAAGTGAATCAGTGAGGTATAGGAATAGGTTCGATTTGAATTTTCCAAAACTTTCAACATTAAAGAGTTCAACCCTCTTAATAATTCCTGTCCATAGTCGAGACTAGGTAATCTTTCGTCCAACAGTCTGCTCAGTAGTTGGTCGATCATTCTTTGTAGTGTCTCTTGTGGTACAAAAGCAGCCATTTGTCTATTACTAAAAAGTTGCATAAGTGTTGAAAGGAGATATTTACATATTCTTGTAGAGACTAAACCAGCAGATGCCTTCTCAAAAGAGTACTGCGTATTGTCTGTTAGGGACTCGACCAATTCTTTAAGGTATGATAAAATAGCCGGTCTGCAAGACTCATCTTTAAACATGGAGACTAGGGTCTTCAGAGCATTGATGGCTATCTCAGATCCATGGTCGTTTGTATTGATTGCCTTTACTAGCTCTCCAATAGAATGACCAGATATTAACTCTTCCTTCTTATTATCTCTTACTGGAGATCGCTCTGGCATCCTTGGTGTAATATTTCCTGGCATTGGGCCATTTGCTGAATTGTACACATCATGCATTGGTGTTTCTGCTTCTACTGGAGAGTCATGATTCACTTCAATCTTATCCAAATCTAACTTGTATTCGTCAACAGTTGCAATGCCTGTAATGCCTGTGGAGAATTGTAATTTTGGAACAAAGGTGTTTGTAATAGGTTTTGTCTTTGGTGAGGAGGGTGATGGAGATTTGTTTGGTGAGGTTGCCAAAGTCTTTGAGATATTGGCCCGTTTTTTGACAGTCTTTGGCACTTTTGACCCCTCTTCTTCCTCTGTCTGTCTAGTATCCACACTAAGAGATTTACTAACATCTCTTAGAGTAATTTTCTTATCACCTCTGATAGAGTTGGAAGGTGTTGTTGGTAGTGTGAGGGATTGAGTAACAGGTGGAGGTTGAGATTCCACCTCAGTAGAAGGGGCATACTTTTGAAGAAGAAGTGAGAAACCTTTTTGATGGGCAGCTTTGAGTTCTCTAATTCTCTTAAAGACAAAGTCATATCCTCCATTAGAAATAATTTCACCCAATATTGCCTCTGCTAATTTCCTTGTATCTGAACCAGCCTTTGTTAAGTAATCGAGTATTGGCTTCACCAGAGGAGTAAATAAATCCACATTCTTATTTTTCATTTCTACTATATGTTTGTGCATAAATTCAATAATTTCCTTCTTGCCTTCAGGGTTTCCTTTGTCGCTTGCTATGGATTTAGGGAATATTTTGAGCATACTCTCAAACTGAACTATATTTAAATATTTCTCCAAAGATTCTAGTGCACATGTCCTCACTGCCTTGTTATTGTGCATAGATTTCGAAATAACACTGGGAAGGAGAATCTTGATAAACTTTTCCATTTCTGGGCCAACTGCCTCTGAGATCAGGTCAATCAATAAAAGTGTAGATATCACTACTTTGTTATTATTGTCTTCCAATCTTTGTCTCAATGCATGTATCAGTTCAAGAATGTTTGGTAAAATTCTTTTGTGGGCATCATTTACGATAATTTTTTCTACAGTTTGAATTGCTTCAAGTCTTGTCATCCAATTCTTATCTTCCATACTGTGATAAATCTTTGGGTGAAGTTTTGGTAAAATGTCACATCTTGGAAGTGTGTCATACATTGCACTACTGACTTTAAGTTGTTCTCCCTTTACTTTTCTTGTTGGTTCAGGAGGTTTAGAATCAACTTTTGAAAAATCCTTTTTTACCATGTCTAGAAGAGCTGGTTTAACATCTCCCAAAAAGTTCAACAAGCCCTCTCCCATGAACAACTTCATGGAACATAACATTTTGATGCATCCTTTCTTAATAATTGGATTACTATTCCCAAGATATTTTTTAGAAAATTCAATTAATTCCGAACTATTAAAGCAAGCAATACTGAATTCAGTAATAACCTCTCCTAACCATTCCAAAACTGATCCAATCAATTTTGGAGGCATTTTGTCAGTCAAAGTTTCTGAAATCTTATTAAAAACAAATTGTGGATTAATTGACTCGCACACTTTCTTCATAGCTTTCTGAATAATTATATCAACTTTAGGTGTAGCTAATTTTTCAATCATCCACTGAAGTGTTGGTGGTATATTAACCTCTGATAACTTTCCCTCTGTTGAGGAGAGAACACGTTCTATTATTTCGAATATCTTTTCCAAAACCTTGGCATTAGACTCTTTAGTACCTGGTTTGTATTGGAATAATGAAATAATGTGTTCATGCTTTGTTTGAAGGTCATTCTTGTCGAGACTACTAATTACAGATTCAATATGATTCAATGAGAGCATTCTATCATTCCAATTACTGTTGGCTAGTTGTTCAACAATATTTCCTCCAAACAAATTATTGGCTTCCTCAATAACATCAGAACTAGATAAACTTTGAATTGATTCCGTTTTTTTAAGGGATATTGACTTTGATACTAATGGCTTCGAAGAAGGCTTCTTAGCGAGAGATGATGTACTAGATCTAACTGGGTTAGTATCTGCTCTTGAGCTAGGCCTAAGTGTGACTGAGCTAGTTGTCTTTGGAATATTTGCAGGTGCTGTCTTCTTTTCTATGGATTGAGAAAGTTTTTTTCCAACACCATCAGAAGGAGGTGATCCATACGATTCCAGATATTGAACAATCTTTTCCTTCATGTAAGAGTCGAGTTTAAGGAATAAATTTGTATAATCAGTGTCCCCAATAATAAATAATAATCTTGCCAAAGTTTTGCAACACAAATCTCTAACCTCTGAACTTGCATCTTCACAAAACGAAAGCAAATTATTAACCAAATTTTTTAAAGCCTTTTCTAAATCCTTCTTCTTCTTGTTTTGGAAGCATTTGTCGATGAATGTAAATATTTGAAGTTTCTCAGAGGTAGAGGCTGTCTTGTTGTTCATTGCAGAGAAAATAGTTTCCAACATATCTGTAAAGGGAAATGAACTAACATCAAATGAAACTAAACACTCTATAGTCGAATCAGAAAGATTTTTTTCTTTCAGTTTTGTAAGTAATCGTTCGTAAAATGGCTTTGCTGATGATGTAAAATCTGTTTTTAAGGCTTTAGAGAATGCACTTAAGCATTCAATACTTTCCTTCACAACAACTACATTTTTCTCTCTTTGAATAATTACATTAATCTGAGATAATATTTCAGAATAGTCGGCTTTCTTAATATTGAACGTTTCCAAGAGTTGTTTGAGCTCTTTAAGAGCATCTCTCTTAATAATCCACTTGGCGTTAGTAACATCATCATACCAATCCTTTCTTATTTTATCGTTAAGGTCTATAATTTCTCGTTTAGCTTTCAGCTCTTCTGATGCAGCAGTAACCAAATTCTTAATACTGGCTGTTGAGTTATAAACGCTTGCCAGTCTTGAAAATCTGGTTGGTTTAGGTGACTTGTCCTGTAATAGATCGTATTCATCTTTAAGTGCTTTTAATTTACTTCCTTTGACATCTTTAAGATGTGGCTCTACTGTTTCGTATCCAAGCCATTTAAAAGTTTCTATTGCAAGCTTATGGGACTCTTCTCTTGAGCTGGCATCTTCAAGAATAGTAGGTAAACTTTGAAGAATCATTTTAGGTGGAATGGTGGGAAAACCAAAACATTGTACGGCTGACTTTACAATTCCAATGCATTGAGAACGAACCTTTGCTTTCTTACTACTGAAAAATGCTTTGAGAACTGTAAGAATAGCTGCTGGATCACAAGTTTCAAAATATAATAGGATAATATCCGTTGATTTTTGTTGCACGGAGCTCTTTGATGAGAGACCTTTATCAACCAGTAGGTTGATAAACTTTTCTGCCGAGTTCTGAACATTTTGGTATCTATTAACATAGTGAAATAGGGTTTCTACTCCTTTTTCTAAAATATTTGGGTGTCTATTATTTAGGGTTTGTGTCAATTCAGTTTCTATCAATTATTTTGTAATATTTGTTCAAAATTAAAACTTACCACTATCTTGAAAAATGCTATCGTTTGTATCCTTTGTTTTGAATTTTGTGATTAATTCATCCAATTCGTCTACTTTCTTTGCCCAAGCAGGTTTATCTTCTCCTCCTTCCGATTGTTGTTTTGATCGTTCCAATTCTTCCTTCAACAAGGTTTCAAATAGAGTTGTAGAATCTTGAGATGAAGATGCTGAGTCTCCATTTAAATTATTTTCGGGAATTGGTATTGATTTGTTCAGTTCATTTTGTGGGCTTGGTTTGTTGATCGGATTTTGTTTCTTTGGCACAGTACCTACTTTGATATCAGATGCCGGAGTTGATGGTTTGCTATTTTTTTCCTCTTTAACAGTTGATGAAGAAGTCTTGATTGTTTCAGATGTTGGTGATGATATTTCGCTGTTATTATTTTCTTCGGTTGGGATGTTTACAGGAGGTGCATCAGAAATAAAGTTATTGATGTTTTTGCTTGATATAAGGAAGTTTGATAATTCTACAGATGCTGTTGGTGATATGTTTGCTGGTGGAGGATTGAGAGATGTTGAGGCTGAAGGGGGCCTCAATAGTTTATCTGAATTGTTTGATGAAATTTTTGGTTTTTGTGATTTATTCTTCATCCTTTCTTCCTCTTTTCTAAGCTCTTCTTCGAGCATCTTTTGAAAGATGTCATTGCTAGAAGGAAGAACAATTTCTTCATCGTTTTCCATTTTTTTTAAATTTTTGTTATTGGATTGTGTTTTGGCGGGAGATAACTACAAGAACCAATTAGCGCGTAAAATGTTGTGACTGTCAAGATCAAGCAAAAGAGAATACCTTCGATCTTTGGGTCACTAATATCTTGGTTTATTAGTGAATTGGTGAGTATGGACTGGTTTATCTTTAAGGTTCATTACTTGTTTTACCTTTCGTTTAGTTGTAATTTTAACTCCACTCAGATTATTTGCTTTTCCTGCAACATGTTTTTCATGTGTAGTATCAAATGATGTTGGCAAGCCCAGACTTTTCATTAATTGTAAGTTTTCATCTTCCTCAACTGAAGGAATGGAGAACTCATCATCAGATGTCGATTGACCGTTCGATTTACCATATTTACTGGTATTTCTTTCTCTTTGTGATTGATAAATATTTTCCGAATTATTATTTACAAGATTTGGTTGTTGTTCAAAATTGGTTATCTTCTTTCCACTATTTGTTGATGGTAAATTATTAATTTTTTTATCTGATGTATTCCTATTACTATCTTGTGATACCACCTTTTTAGGGTTGGATGTTTTTTGTTGTACGTTATTGTTATTATATGGTTGATAACGAGATCCCGAATCACTACTTCTGTATTGTTGTTGGTGTGGTCTTGTTTGGTCTTTAGGCATTTTTTAAATATTATCGGATGAGGAAGGTGCTCTGTTGCTTGAAGTGAAAGTATTGGTGATGGATTCAAAAACATTCTGTTCACCAGCACTGTCATAGTATTCATCTTCACTCTCAGTGTTATGCTCATGAAGAGCTTTTTGCTTTTGTTGGAGTTTAAAGTAGACAAGGAAATAGAAAATGAATAAAATCCAATCCAAAACATTAATGAGTGTAGCAATCTTAATATTAGTGAGATGGGAGAATTCTGGAGTAATATTAGAGATGAATAGTGAAATAATGGAATAAGTTAGTCCAATATTAAAAGTGATGTAACCTGTCAATACACAACAAGAGAGTCCTATTAAGCAACAAAAAGGATTATTTGTCAAATTCTCATGAAAATATTGGAAAAATTTGTGATTCTTCTTCACTCCTCCAGTAAGATGACTATCCAAAGTGTAGACCTTTGAAATAATAATTGAAATAAATACTCCTTTTGCTTTTCAAATAACCTACCTTTACCACAAATGCAAAAAGTACTGAAATTACCAGAACTAGCAAAAATTTGACAAACTCTATAAATGTGATAATCACAATTACAGACAAAAATTGTGCCTGTAGAAAGTTAGTGAGTGATTTTTCATTATTTGGTGCATATTCACTCACAAATGAATCTATCATTACATAGACACTCGATGCTGAAACTGAAAATATTGTAGTCGGAACAAGACATAACAATATTACAATAAATTCAAAGACATTCTTTGAATGCCTTTGATGATTATCAGTTCTACTATAAACAACAGCATTTCTGAAAGGAAGAAGAATATCGTTTTCATCCTCATCCGATGCTATACTATCATCATCACCTCCAAAAAATTGATTAAAACTACTTGAAGTCGATCTTGAATCAAATCCTCTCTGATTAATAACGGTTGTTCCTGGTGCAACAGAAGGTGAAAATTCCGAAGTACTATTGAAAATATGAATCAATATTGCTTTCCAAAATAATGTGTCATAAACTTACTGTGTGCCACTGCTATTTGGGACAGTTAATTGTGGTGATGAAGTTCCTGTTGTTGTTGTATCTGTTGTAAGATTAGGTATAATGTTGCTGGTAGTGCTCATAATAACTGTTAGAGTAATAATCAATCGCAACTTTAAATATATTGCTAGCTGGGTTTCCACTCAACTTTTTGTAAATAAAAATAAATTTTTTAATTTAAATTTTTTTATTGATGAATTTTTAAAAAAATGAGAAGAGTCTTCACAAAGAACCAAAAAGCAGTCTCTGCCTTCCTTTCTACCAAACATCAACAATATCATACCCAAAGCTCTATTTTGAGTGTTGCTACCAACGCCAAAACAAGAGTTACACCAACATCATTGAACTCTCAAGTTTATGAAAATCCAAACGCTAAACGAGTAGCTGTTGAAAAGAAATACCTCCGTAAAGCACAAGCTGCTTGCGATAAGAGAAATCCCGAGACTGTCGAAACTACCGTTCAAAATATTATTGAAGATTTAAGAATTAATAATGTCCCTGTTCCTTCAATCGAAGTTTATACCCAATGTATTAATGCTTTGGTTAAAAGCCAAAAGTCTGACAAGGCCCACAAATACTATGATATGATGATGCAACACTATAGTCTGACTCAAATTCCAATTAGTTTACTCGTATATATGATTAATGCCTGTAAATATAAGAAGGAAGAAGTTAGAGCTGTTGACTATTTCAATCAATTCAAGGAAAAGTTGAAGATTCATGAAGAAGCAGGTGATTCTATTCCACATAGAGATGAAATCATTACTAGAGCATATACAAATTTAATTAACAGTATGAGTAATGTTTTGGACAAGGAAAAATGTGATCTCTATTTTGAGGAATTTAAGTCAACATACGGAGAAGATAAAGTTGATTACTCATTATATGGATGTATGATGAAAGTTAATTCTTTCCTTCAAAACTATGATGATTGTGCCAAGATTATGGATACCATCAAAGAAAGAGTTTATACAATCATTCCAACTGGAACTGATATGGCTGAAAACAATCCTTCAAAAGTTTTGACCCTCTTTTATAATATGATGATAACATCATGCCAAACACTAGAACAAACAGAAATTGTTAAAAAGCAAATGGAAGATGAACAAATAACTTATGACCATCAAACATATGTAAATTTGATGAAGAAATATCTTCAATTCGATGAATATAGCAAGATGTACGACCTCTATGAAAACCATTTGAAGTCTACCACTATACGAGCAAAGGAACCAGTTTTCTTCCTTTTGCTTGAAGCATGTTATCGTGAAGCCTTCCAAAGAGCTAATGAAGTTAAATCTACCACAGGAAATGACATTAGTAAGACAGCTATTTTTGACATGACTCGTATTAAGAGATATTGGAGTGAAATGAGAAATAAGTATGGCAACAAAGAACCAAGCGATGTTATGATTGAATCTCTCCGTAAAATTGTTCAAGAGAACAAGCAATTCAAGAAAGAATATAGATCAGAACTCAATAATCTCTTCAAGAAGCAAAAACTTGAAAAGATCGAACAACTCAAGAATATTCAAAATGAAGAAAAAAAGCAAAAGTAACCTCCTTAGCAATGGAAATAAATATGGATCGTTTAACTACAGTACAATACAAAAGCCATAAAATAATATTTCCATCTTAAAAAATTTAACAACAACCACGGAAACTGTTAACGCCACCACATTGAGGATTTATGTACATCAAAAATTCTTTCACAACAAGTAAGGAGCGACAACAACAATAACAACAACAACAATACTTATAAATCTAGGCAATGAGGTTGGGAAAATTAGTGCTTATTCTTTTCCTTTTATCATTGCTGTTTCTTACAGGAGTCGCCTTTGGTGCTTTTAAGAATACCGTTAAACCAGATAAAACAAATGAAAAGAAGGGGCTTGGTTTAATAACCAAAACCAAAAAAACTGTTGCTCAACAATTAGTCGATTTTATTTCAAAACCGTTTACTAAAGAACCAAAATCAAAGGAAACAAAAGGCATTTCGCCTAAAAACAAAAGAACAAAGAAAGCAAAGAAAGAAGAGGAAGATGATGGAGAAGAAGATGAAGAAATGAGTATAAGTAATAATGAGTCTGAAACAACATTAGTGAATGAGAAAGAAAATAATGATGAACTAAATCCAATGCAAAAATCATATAGCATCGATTCAGTTCAGAACCTACAACCAAGTGAAATTGAATCAGCAATCCCTAAAAAATGGCAATGTTTTAATATTCCTTCCAACGATCCAAAAGTTTGTAATGGTAGGGGAGTATGTGGATCAACTGATAATTGTGTTTGTTCAACAGGATTTACTGGTGAGAAATGTCAAACACCTGTATGTTTTGGAGTTGAAGGTACAAGTGATAAGGTTTGTTCATCATCTGGTTCTTGTATTGGAAAAGATATATGTCAATGCAAGAAAGGGTTCACTGGTTCAAATTGTGATCAGTTGGAAAAACCAAAATGTAATAGCATTGAGGCTGATTCGCCTAAGGTCTGTAATTCAAGAGGTAGCTGTACCTCCATTGATAGTTGCACTTGTAACGAACCAAATAATTGGGGAGGCAACTTCTGTCAATATCCAAAATGTAATACCATTCTTTCGAATGCTAATACAGTTTGTAATGGAAGAGGTACATGCGATTCTCCTAACAAATGTCAATGTAGTGAAACTAGCTCATGGGGAGGCATAGACTGCGAGAAGCCTAAGTGTTATGGTATTCTTCAAGGGGACAAAAATGTTTGCACAGGACAAGGAACTTGTTCTGGTGTTAATAAGTGTGTCTGTAATACCGGGTATGGTGGTGAGAGATGCCAATACCCTAAATGTAATGGAGTCTTATCAAATTCATCGTCCGTTTGTAATGGACATGGAAAATGTACTGCAACTGAAAATTGTGAATGTGTTGAAGAATACACAGGAAGATTTTGCGAAACAAAGAAATTAATGAAATGTTATGGAAAACCAGAAGATTCCCCACTTGCTTGTTCTGGAAATGGAATGTGTGTATCAACTGATAAATGTGTTTGTTCAAAAGGATTTACTGGTAAGATATGTCAAACACCTGTATGTTTTGGAGTTGAAGGCACAAGTGATAAGGTTTGTTCTGGAAATGGTAAATGTGCTGGAAAAGATGATTGTCAATGCAAGAAAGGGTTCACTGGTTCAAATTGTGATCAATTGGAAAAACCAAAATGTGATAATATTGAAGCTGATTCGTCACTTGTTTGTAATGGACATGGTAATTGTACATCCACAAATAATTGTGAATGTGTTGAAGAATACACAGGAAGATTTTGCGAAACAAAGAAATTAATGAAATGTTTTGGAAAACCAGAAGATTCCGCACTTGTTTGTTCTGGACAAGGTTTGTGTGTTGGAGATAATATGTGTAAATGTGATGAAGGATTTACTGACGAGAAATGTCAAACACCTGTATGTTTTGGAGTTGAAGGTACAAGTGATAAGGTTTGTTCATCATCTGGTTCTTGTATTGGAAAAGATATATGCCAATGCAAGAAAGGGTTCACTGGTTCAAATTGTGATCAATTGGAAAAACCAAAATGTAATAGCATTGAAGCTGATTCGCCTATGGTTTGTAATGGACATGGTAATTGTACATCCACAAATAATTGTGAATGTGTTGAAGGTTACACTGGAAAATTCTGTGGAACAAAGAAATTAGTGAAATGTTTTGGATTGGAAGAAGATTCACCACTTGTTTGTTCTGGAAATGGGTTGTGTGTTGGGCCTAATAATTGCTCTTGTGATCCTGGATTTACTGGTTCTCAATGTAACAAAGAAGTTGAAGCCAAATGTAATGGAATCAAGGCTTCTTCGATACATGTTTGCTCTGGGCATGGTGTGTGTGTTGAGGATAATATATGCAAATGTGATGAAGGATTTATTGGACCATTTTGTGGTATTGATATATCAGAAATCAAATGTTTTGGAATTAAGGCTTCTTCACCAGATGTTTGTTCTGGACATGGTAATTGCACTGCTAAAAATAATTGTGAATGTGAAGAAGGTTATATAGGTGACCAGTGTGGAAGATTAAATGTCATCAAATGTTTTGGAATCAATGCTGATGCTCCAGAAGTTTGTTCAGGTCGTGGAAACTGTACCGGCAAAAATACTTGTGAATGTGAGGAGGGCTATTATGGAAACCAATGTGGAAAATCATTAGCAATCAGATGTTTCAAAATTGACGCCACAGATCCAAATGTTTGTTCAGGTAATGGTGATTGTGTGAAAAACAATTTTTGCAAATGCCATCTTGGATTCAGAGGGCCAACTTGCGACAAGTCAACTGCATTGGATGTTATGGGTAATAAGACTTTTGTTTCATCCATCATGACAGCAATTCCAAAGGGGTTCACTGCCGTTGATAAAGAAGAATTCAAGCAAAATTATGCTGAGATGGCCAAGACTGGACAACGTTCAAACATTCCTGTTTGTTTTGGTATGCAAGCAATTAATGAAAAAGTTTGCTCTGGAAAAGGATCATGTACAGATACTGATACATGCGTCTGTTTGAATGCATACACTGGACCTATTTGTGAGAAGGAAAAAACTCAAGTTGAACTTGCTACCTCCATGAAGCAACAACAAAAAGAACAGGCCGCTGAAATGAAGCAAGTTTTCCAAAAGACAGAAACATCTGAAGACTTGGGTAAACAATCAGCCAAATTGATTAACAATAAGGTTAAAGAACTTAAACCAAAGCCTGCTGACATGAATGATGAGCTTAAACAAAAAGTTGTTAAAAGAATTACTGAAGAATTTGGAATTCAACTTGACGATGAAAGACAGAGTAAAATTGAAACAATAGTTTCAGGAATGGGATCTTATCCAAGTTTGGAACAACTTTCAAGAGTTCAAGAAACTATTGTAAACATTATGGTTAAATCCTCCCAAACTTTGAGAAAAAAGAAAGACACAGAGTATAAGAAAAAATTGAACGTTGTAAGAACCAAAATCAACCGTTCACCTGCATCTGTAGCTACTTTATCACCAATGGAATTAGTTTCGGCAGGAACAAGACCTATGGGTAGAGAATACTTGAATGCTGGTATTGGATGTCATAACATTGCAAAAAGAGGAGATGTTTTTTCAGATCTTAAATGGATCCACCCTTCAAATTTCTCAGCCACTTACGACACCTTGAGAGTATATTGTGAAGGGGAGTGGACTTTGGTTGGTTTATCAAGTTTAACAAACATCAGACCTCTAGATTTTGAAAGTGAAGAAAACGAAGAAAAACTTATGAGATTTGTGTATACAGCTCAATTTGCTCAGTTGGATCTTCGCAAATTCACCATTTCACCATATGGAGAGGTTAAGGTTATTCTTGTAAATGATCAAAAGACCACTTATTACAAATCAGCCTGCCCTTTCTCCAAGCTTAAATATTTCTGTACGAGTATGTGTCCATGTGCCACAAGAGTTTCTGAATCAGGAGAATGGAACCACCTTCAATCTCAGAACTCAATCATTCCACTTGGAAAAAATACACTTGTATTTATTAAGGAAGATTACCTTCCTGATGAATCTATCGTTGTTCTCGAAGCCTCATGGAAAGATGATAAGGATTTATCAACCAATTTCCTTAGTACAGATGACTTGTTGGAGGAATTGTACTAAATTGGGAAAATTGTAATAAAACTACATTTTTATTTTTACATTGTATAAGGTGGATTCAAAATTGTTGCCTCAGATATTTGTTCATCAAAATTAACTGGGAAATTTTTAAAGTTTCTTCCCGTTACTGGATGAGTATTAATTGAATGCTTATTCACACATTTGAAATGAACAATTGACATATCGGGAAGTACAACAAAGACAGAGCAAGCATCAATAGATTTGTCACAGGCTGCACATCGGCAGTCTTCTTCGCTGATAAGAACCTTTCTTGAAACTCCCTTTGCCAAATCTACTTTACTTTGCACATGTCTTATCTTGCTCATGTTGTAAACCACTTGAGTGTGTCTTCCAACATCAATGGAGGTCTGCATAGCTTGTCGTATGAAATCTGACACCTTTGCAAGATTAATATCTTCTGGGAGTATCGAAAGTATTTTCATTGGGTCAATGTTCTTAGCTTGAGTTTTCAGAATATGGAGAGCAAAATTCTCATTCTTCGGAAATCCAGTCTCTGGGTACAAGCAAATTCTTAACAAGGAAACAAACAGTGGGTTGTGTAAGTCAAGGTCATTGGCTTTCTTGTTGGTTTGTTTTTCCTTCTCCTCTGACACTTCGAGAATGCCACTAGATTGAAGAACTCTTTGCCTCATCATTTCTTGAAGTTCATTCTCTTCAACTTTCGAACGTTCATTTAACATTTGCTTATAACAATCAATGCAATATCTTTCAGCCCATTCTAAATCTTGGATTCTATGCACCAACAGTTTGAGAGCAGCCTCGTGATTTTGTAATTTTCTGTACAATATTAATGTTTCCTCGTGCAAACTAGTCTTTTGAAGCTTGCTTAAAATTTTGTACTTGTTATAGCTATTGGTATGCTCCAACATGAAAATCAATCTTCCTCTTATTAACCCCAATAATCCAGTTTCTTTACCTGCTTCCAATCTTACTCCAAAAGGAAGGTACTTGGTTGGTTTTAATAAAATAACAGTGTCAATATAATTGATTATCAATTTTGTGTGGAACTTTTCTTCTAAATTTTTCTCAACAGCAATAAGGAATTCCAGGTAAGCTCTCTCTGTATCAGCTGGATAATCAGATAAAAATGAAAGGATACGATGAGGGTTAAATTGGTTTTTCCTTAATTTAGAGGTTAGTATCTGTATTGCTGCAGACTCATCCATATCAAAAACCCAGGTTGAATATTCCAAAACAAGATTTTCATCCTCCAACTCCGATAAAAGTTCTATTGATTCTTCCACTCCATTAGTTGGTGTGGAAGTCTCTTTCAACCTGCTCTCACCCAATCTAAGCCAAACTTTAGTTAAAACAATTCTACTGCTACTTACTCTTTCAAAGTCTGTAAGGCCTTTCTATGCTCGTTCTTTGAGTAGTACAAGAAGGCTAGGTACTTAGCATTGTCTTTAAACAATACCTCACCACAATCTAATGAGAGATGATTTTCGGATCTAAGTAAAATCTTGAGTTGACTGAATTTTTTAAATTCTGTAAGATAAAGTTTGGCCAGAGCATAATCAATAGCTGCCAATTGCTCATGCCCAAATTCGTCTATTCTCATTTTTCTGCATTTTTCTAAAAACTCTTGCAATGCTTTCTTGGCGTTCTTAATTCTGACCTCAATTTTAACAGGAGCTGTATCTTCACCTTCCTGCTCCATAGCCTTTTTGACTGAATGAAAGGTTGAATTAAATAAAATATTGGAGCAAACACTTACTCTTTTCTTTCAAATCTCCTTTTGATTTCTGGCTCACAAATATCGAGGTTGGTTCGACAAGGTCTTTAAAATAAAAGAGAATTTCTCTGGGATCAATCCTACTCTTATTGAAGTGGGCAAAAGCTTCCTTAAATCTTGTTCTAAAGAAACAGGCAAAACCGGCTTGTTGCTCATAAATATAAAGTTTTCTTTCCTTTTCCTTCTTGGTTCCTTGAAATGTCTTTTCAAACAAACCAAAAGCTTCAAGAAGTCTCATCTTATCTATTAAATCACTGATATGTTGATCAATTGGCTTAGGGGTTAGTAAATAAACTGAATCTTTGTTTGCTGTGAAAACTTTTTGGATATGATCTGACGACATAAATGCCTTATTGTTCTCAAGAGTTTCATCAAATCTCTTCTCGTACATATTATATACTTCAATATGGTTTTTAGATATACCCAAAAGGAATGGGAAACAAATGCTCACAATTAATGGAGTTTCTTTCCATTGAATTCCTGACGTCATTCCAATAATTTTAACAAAACATCCATAAATGCTATATTCATCCGAAACAATGTTTGTTAATTGAAGTTTTTGTAAATCTTCATCAACTTCTCCGGTCTGATAATTAAGCATTACGTGTTTACTTTTAAATCCTAAACAAATTGTTTTTTTCATCCATTCAACTCCAACAACATTATCATTGCCCGGTACTTTGATTTCTCTTACAACTTCTGTATGTTCTCTATAATCATAAACAACCATCTTTCTCTTTACAACAGCAACTAACTCGTGAGAGAAGTTCTTATTGATAGCATAACAAGTTGCTCCTCTTGTTGCTTCCAATGTCTTTCATTGTTGGTGATCCGATTTAAATAATAAATTGAAAAACCTACCTCAAGGTGAGTAAGGGTGGTCATATCGTAAACACAAACCGTTGAATCTACGAGAGCAAAAAGCTTTTTATGTGGAGGGTCTACTTGGAGATTGGTAATTCCCTTCTTAACAGCCACTGTCTTCTTTTTCAATAGAGTAGCACTATATTTTGTTATCCCTTCCAAATTTTCATTAATAGTAAACATGTACAATTTCCCATCATTTCCACCAATCCACAAATATTTGTCTGTTGTTAAAAAACAATCATATTTAACAATTATATTATTATTTAATAATCACTTACCATGGCTCGCTAGAGAGGCGACCTTAGCCTCAAAATCCTCAATAATCGTGTATTTTTCCATAGATGATGTATTGAATCAATTTTTTTAACCGATGTGTTGCGCCCATTGGAATTTTATTGAGAGATTCATTGTTCATTGGTTGGCTATTGTACGGCCTTGAGTGTTTCAAATATGTTTCAGTTACTCTTTTCAAAGCTCAGCCTTACTGTATACTTTTCGCGAAGTATTTTGAATTCCTTCTCAAATTTTGAGACCAACCATTCTGAATCAACATCTATTGGGTCATATACACAATGTGTCCAAGCTTCAAGTTTGTACTCTTGGCAGAATTCAAAGCTTGACTGCTCTTTAAGGAAAAGGACACAGAAGAAAACTAATGACTCAAGACCAAACTCTTTGACAATAGCCAGCATTTGGAAGATACATCGCAAATCTAAAAAGTTGAAAAACAATTGTCTCAACCATCTCGTTACAACATTGGTTATGCTTAGTCCACACAAAATATAAGAATTGAAATGAGTAGGATACTCTTTGTAGAGTACTTTTTCAACTTGTGAGGCAATCTCTAGTATGACCTCTTGGTTGTTGCTGATAAGGTCTAAGAATGGATTATTAGAGATGAAGGAGCTAGCCTGTTGAACCTCTCCAAACAAGAGTATACTGAGAATCTTAGACCAACTAAGAGGTATGTGTTCCAGAGGTTCCACATCTTTTCCGTATATAGATTTGAAATAAGAAGAGGAAAACTTTCTTCCAAATCTTCCTAAATTAATTTTTCCAAATTCCTGAAGCTCCTTCGAATTGACAGATATTGAAACTAGACAAGACTCTCCAATAAATGATCTCAATCCAACAACCGAGCTTGAAGACAGAGCTTCACCCAGACTGGAGCATGATCCTTGTGAATTCGATACTGAAATTCTCTCAATTTTGAATTTAGATTCCTCACCTCTCTCCTGTTTTCCACCCACAGTTACACAAAATCTTATAATTGAGTCTCTCAAAAAAGTTGGTTCATCCACAATCTCAGACTCATCAGTAGAAGATATTTGGATTAATCTGCTCCAATAGGTATCGTTGTTGTACATGTCTGCAGCTGAGTTGAGATTGTTTATCACACTCTGAAGTAGTCTTAGGCCATACTGAAAGGTTTAGATTATGATTTTTTGAAGTATACTTACAACTGAATCACATTCATAAGGTTGCAAAATAAAGTCATTCCACAACCTATCCGTTACGCTTTTTTCTGAGAAAGAAAATGGTGAAATAAGAATACAGTGAACGAGGTCATATCTGAGGAATCCTGTTTCATTCTTTTCAGTTTCTGGCAACCACTCAAATTGGTCATACACCATCTTGTCTTTCTCTATTAGATCTATAATATAATTTTGAGAAATGTCTGAAAGTGCTTGAGGTACATTGCACATTTGAGAAATTAGGAAGCAGTTTGTTGGGGAGTATTTGAGGGCTCTGATATTTTTCACGATTATTAATTATTGGAATTCAAATTGTTCAAACTTACAATGAAAATATATGTTCAACGCATTCCTCCATCATTTTGTGTTGGAGAATTAGATTCATACCTCTGGTGAATTTGTGCATTCCAATAAGCAAATAGATGATCTTGTCGTAAAAGTTCTTTTGATGCTTCAGCACCAAGTTTAAGGTATCAGTTGATTCTAAGGTGTCATAAAATTCCTCATATTGGGATATTGATTCAATGATCTCCAACACGTGTTTCATTATTTCAGATGGTAGTTCTGGTGAATCCATAATAGTTCTCAAAAAATCAAACATTCCAGTAAGTTTAACCTTATCTTTTGAAAATAGGCTTCTATTCTTCGTTATGGAGCATTTACAAATGTCGCAAATTGCTATAATAAATTGCTCGGTAAAGGCGTTAATCACGTTTGGTTTTTTAAAAGATTTAAGCAGTAAGGAAACATAGTCCACATCTGAAAATACCTCATGAACATTTGTGAGGGCCTGTTGAGTGACAGCCAATAGTCTTCTGTAGTGCCCAGAATCAATAACAGTTCCCTCTTGCTCTCTGATAGCTTTGAGCAAAGACTCGCATAGTTTGTTGATAGCTGTTGAGTGATCGAGAATGGCTTTGCATTCTCTATGCTGAAGTAATTGAGCACAAACAGCCGAACTATGGGTAAGAATAAAGTATTTCATAATTTTTTGATCCTTTGAAGTACTGTTCAACCCCTCATAGATTCTATTCAAAAAGTCGCTCTTCATAATATTTTTGATCACTTTCTTACGAATCTTGTACTCCTTCATCCAAGCCGAAAACCACTCAGCCTCAGTGTCAAGATAACATTGATAATGGTAGGCTGTCACATAAGAAAATAGAGCGAAGGTTTTTTCTAATAATATTTTTGAGGTATCGCCAAAAAAACAAAGCCAGTTCTTAGGCAATTCATAATTAAATTGAATTAAAACCTTAAAACATTCAAGTAGTGTAACGTTAGCCTCAATATGTTCAATAGTCTCCTTGTTCGTATTCTTACATTCTAAAAGTAGGTAATCCAAAAGATTCAAGTGAATCTCTGCTGTTGTCTCTGGAGGAGAAACTTTGAAAAAGTTCTTGTGCATTTCAACACACAACAATCTAATTTCCTCGTCCTCATCCTCTAATCCATTTTTCACATTCTCCAATACAATATTCCAATACTCATTCGATACTATATCACCTGCAAACATTTTATGGAGCTCCTCACAAGCTGCCAATCTAATAGTCCTTTCATTTTTCTGATCTCCTAATTGAAGAGCCAATTCCTTTCTTCTTTCTGAGCTGTCACTAATATGACTTGTCTGATTGACAAAGTTTTCCCAATAAAATTCTGAGTCTCCAGAAGGAGAGTCTACATTAGTATGACTAGATTTTGCTCCCTTCCTTTCTCTCCACCCATGTTCTTTGAACTCGATAATTGCTCTGTCAACCTCGGCCAAAACTTGAACTAGCAAATGTTCAAACTTTGGAGAGCTTGATAATTCTTTCCCAAAATTTACACTTCCAGACATGATATCAAATAGCAAAGAATCCTCTCCTTTTTCATTGATTTTTTGAATTACATCTTTTGTAAAAACACTCTCTATGTGTGATAAAATTGCACTCACAATATCATATTTCTACAATTATTTGATACTATAAATACAACCCCACAAGATAACATACATGAAATTGAGCATCTAATCTTTCCATTGAAATCAAATCCCTCTCCATATCTACATTTCCATCCGATTTCGTCTTCCGATCATAATCCTCAAAAGAGAATACTTTGTATCGTTGTTGAAGTTTTTCTAGTACCTGCTTGATAGCCTTTGCATTAATAGTTTTCTTCTTTCTCATTTTTTTTAAGGTTGTATTTATCATCACCCACTTATTACTACAAAGTCGGTTTCCCAAGCTGTCGAGTTTATTTTGAGAGTACGTTGTATGCAAGTTGAAGAGCATGTTCAAGTGATTTCTCACCAAAGACATGATAACTCTCAGAGAATAGAGTGGTAGTTTGTAGGGTTGATGAGAAGGATTGTGGATGTTCTGGTTTTTCAATAATATTCTCACATATTTGAAGGAAGTGTGAGTTGATTATTGTTCTTTGATTGTTGTTGGTTGAGCCAGTATCATCATCTTCAGTGACTAAGAATTCTTGAGGAGATTCATCCTCCACCTCCACTGTGATTATTTGAGAGTGATCTGAGAAACTCTTTCTATAATCAATATCTGGGAATAACACTTGATGAATTGGTAAGAAGAGATCCCACAAATCTCTATTATACTCATTGTTGAATATACCTGTGCTTCTTTCGAGTTGATAGAGAGACTCATCATCCAGAATGGGTTTTCGAATAGTTGCCAATTTTCTTAGAGAGTAAATCGATAGTCCGTAAGGGTGAGTCTTATTATTTGACAAGTTGTTTCCTCCCACTCCCAATAAAATAGCTTCAATAATTGTTACGAAATGATTTAACAATGTTTTGAATGGGAATGATTCATCTGAATCCTCTTTTGTAAGTAAAACCTCATCTTTGTATCCCTTTGAGTGAGGATCAATACCCATAAACCAACAAATGGATTGTAATAAATAATTCCAATCGAAATACTTGTTATTTTTCACACCCTCTCCAATATCAAACAAGAGTCTATATTCTTGAGATTTGTTCTTCATATAATTTACAGATGGGAGAGGCAAGTTGTAAGAACCTTGATTTGATTCCTCTCCATATAATTCTTCCATTTCCTTTAAGAGAGGTTGTAAACCTTGAATATTCATCTCTGCAAGAAAGAGAGTATTTGCCTTGATACCAGCCTGTAAGTTATTTGCCTTGAAAAGTTGTTTGTGAAGTGAGCTTCTCAATAAGGTGTGGTGAAATGTCTTTTCCTGAATGGTCATTTGGAGGAAATTCGAAAGAGACATGGTATCCTCTGAGCATTGAATTCGAAGTGGTTTGTCATTGATGAGAATTCCACCTCTATTCTGTCTCGAAAAATTCTTGTTAATATTTACAAAATATTGCGCCCACTTGGGATGTACAGCAGTACTATTAGAATCTAGAGATCTATCCAATCCAAAACATAATTTGAGAGTAAGGCAAACAAAGCAAGTTACAAACATGCATGGAGAGATGAATCGTTCTGAGAGTGGATTCTTCCAAAAAGGTATTGTAGAGGTTTCACTTTCGTATTCAATATGAGTTGAGGATGGTTCATTATTGGCTCTATAAGCTCTTATGAGTCTGCATGTGTATGTTGTCAATGTGTCACATTCATCTTGTGGTATATTCGGCAGAATCAATTTATAAAATCTATCCAATAATATCTGACAATTCAAATCAGGAATGGATACAAATGTTTCTTTCAAAAAAGAATCCTTAATCTTTCTGATCGAAAGTTTTTTCACTCTGGACCATAATGCTCTACAATCTGGAATGTCGCCCTCACGAAACTTTGAAAAGGTTATTGAAAAAATTCCTAATATAACTTACATTGGATGCCATGTTATCTTCCGTGTACATGTTGAATGAAAATGTGTTAGTACTATATTTTCTAAATCTTGGATCATTAGAAAATAGCTCGGTACAAACTCTTCTATATGGGAGAGTAGAATTCATAGCCCAATGTCTCAGAACAGAGAGCATAACTGGGTGACCTATTGTTGCACACGCCAAATAAATAAAAATAAGAGTGTCATAAGGTTTGAGTTTTGGCAATAAAAATCCAACAAATGTCACCTCTTTCCTCAAATATAATTTTCTCAAAGCTCTACTATTTACTTTTACAAATCTATGTAATTTTTCTCTCATATCTGCAAGTAAATTCTTCTTGTTGATTTTACCTCTCAGTAGGGGTTTTTTACTAAAATTGAAAAATTCCAATAAATAATAATAATCAAATTAACACCTACTATTTGATTTCATCCACATAATCCAACCAAATATCAGCAACGGCCTTCCTCAAAATTGGTGGAAATTTTAATTTATCCACAAGACAATCCACCTGATATTGTAGAACCCTTTGAAAGCAAAATATAAAAGAATATCCGCTATTCTGTTCACAACATTCTTCCAAGGATTGAGATGTTCCGAAATCTGAAAATGTAAAAACATCCCTACTTGTTTGTTCTCTTTCCTGTTGACCAGTCATGTAAGCAAAATTGTGAGTATCATCCTCTTGGTCTCCTATTTCCAAATAATATGTCACTCTATTTCCTTTGCTACCAAAACCACAATATCCACAAACTTTAGAAGCACCCAATGGTGCACCACATTCCACACATTGTCTAAATTGAGAGGTCATCTTGTTGATGGTGGTACTAATATTTCGGAATTGATTTATTGCTTTCAGAGAGGCATTAATTTTTTTTATAGATTCGGAACTTGGTTTTTTGAACACTTCAACAAGTTAATGTCTGTTTGCAATTTCTAATCAATTGATAATATGATTAGCTTCAAGTTATTCAAAAACAATTTGTTTCTATCAGCTAAGTTAAGAAACTATGGTAATAGAATTCCCTCCAAAGCTTTAGTCATGAACAATTCAAAGTAAAAAATTACAAAAATAAAATTCTACCCAAAGGAATTTCTCTGTGGCGGGAAAAAACAGTCGTGGAAGCTTTAAAGTGCTGGGTGCAAAAATTTCTTGTCTGAAAAAATATCCCAACATGCAACAACAAAATCAAGTTCCAACTTTCAAGCTTTTACTCGGTACGTAATAAAGTGATGAAGAAAATATTAATTGGATACATCAACAATCAAATAATTTAGTCGGTGATGGTGGTACTGGTAAAACCACTTTTGTCAAGAGACACTTGACTGGTGAATTCGAAAAGAAGTATATTGCCACTGTCGGTGTTGAAGTTCACCCTTTGACTTTCTTCACTACTAGAGGTCCTATTTGCTTCAACGTTTGGGATACTGGTAAGTTAAAATCTTGTTATTCCTCCTAGTAATATTAATATTCAATTTTTAATTTGTATTTTGATGTTGATTTTAATCTTGTCATTTATTAATTCTTAAACAACAACAACAGCTGGCCAAGAAAAGTTCGGTGGTTTGAGAGATGGTTATTATATTCAAGGACAATGTGCCATCATCATGTTCGACGTTACTTCTCGTGCTACTTATAAGAACGTTCCAACATGGCACAGAGATATTGTCAGAGTATGTGAAAACATTCCAATCGTTTTATGTGGTAACAAGGTCGATGTTGCTGACAGAAAGGTTAAGCCAAAATCTATCAACTTCCACAGAAAGAAGAATCTCCAATACTATGATGTTTCTGCTAAGAGTAACTACAACTTTGAAAAGCCATTCTTGTGGTTGGCTAGAAAGATTGTTGGTGATCCAAATTTGGGTCTCTCTGAAGCTCCAGCTATGGCACCTGCTGAAGTTGCTATTGACATGAACGTCATGAAGCAATACGAAGAAGAATTGCAAAAGCTTGCTGAATCTACTGCCATCCCAGAAGATGACGAATTCTAAACTATCTAACATTTTCTCACCAAATATTTCCCTTTCCAATCCGATCTTTTCCGATATTATTGCACAATAATTGTAATAAAATCATCCAGTAAATATTAAAATTATTTTCAAATCAATTATTAAAAAAATGAGTGAATGGAACTGACAACTCGAAATTTTTATTATTAACTAGTGATAGGATCGTCAGTTTCAACAATTTTCATTGCTACATTTAAATTTGGTGATTGTATTTGTCATTATTTAGGTTATTGCTTTTCAAAAAGTCCAAACAGGATTGAAATGCATTTTCCATCAACATGACTGTAAATTGTTGGGGATGTGAATTTCTAAAAGTTTCGACTGCTGCTATATATTCCTTTCTATCATTTGAAAATGTGACAGGGAATGGAAGGTGAAGAGAAAGAACATAATTAGCCAATAATCTTGCCATTCTACCATTTCCATCAGAAAAAGGGTGGATGTCTACAAAGTTAAAAGCCAAGTAGGAAGCCAATTTGAATAATTTTTCAACATTGAACATATCTTCACCTACGCATTCATCGACAATTGTATTGTAATAATCTATGAGGCCTACACAACGATCTGCTACTAAATCATGATCTACATAATAGAGAAGGGTGTTATCATCTCTCATTGCACACGCTTGCTTTTGTCTGTAGAGGCCATTATTCACTACAAGACCCTTCATCAGGATGGAGTGGCATTCCTTAATGGTATCCTCAAAAAGCATGATGGAGTGATGTAGTTCTGATTCATTGAGAGTTGACAGCATTTCAGATCTTGTTTCATTAAGGAATTCTAAGGCTTTGAGAGTATTGACGGTTTCATTAGATTCCTTAGAGCTTAATTCATTCCCTTCTTTATAGTTTTGAAGGGATGAGATTGTTTCATGTAGAGTTTGATGACCAACATTTTCACCCTTATTTGAGTTGAACACATATTCTCTTTGCTTTCCATATTTAAAGGAACGAAATAACTCTTGATACTGCTCCATTTTACTCATACGAATAACATTCTCAATTGTGAAAAGTAGTTTTTCATCAAGATTATTGCCAAGGGAATAGGATAGATCAAAATTTAGAGCACTTCCCTGATTCATCCATTTAGTATATTCTTTTTTGAATAGATATGTAGGTTTTATACGATACTCTGGCTCTACCTCTTTCATGAGGCCATTTATAACATCATCCTGACTCTCCTTGATTGTGCTTGGATGTATGATCATCAGTAGTGGATGCTTGTTTTTTTGTTTTTTATGTTATTTATATTTCAATTATTTGTTTTCATTTCAACAACCAAATTGATCTAATAATAATTCGAGAAAGTGTAAGGAAATTCAAAGTATTACCACCACAACTGAATCAACAATAGTGTGTTTCAATTAATTGTGAACCCATTCCTTTTCCTTATCTACAGCATTATTACAATACCTCTATGATTCAATGCATATTAACATTTTCACATTCGAGAAGATCGATTAATCGTCGAGCGGTGAGCATTTACCGTTGCCATGAATGATATTATCATCTTAAAAAATAACCTCACATCTCTCCTCTTCAACTCTCTCTATTAAGAGTTTCATGTTATTATAGGCTTGGTCATCATTAAATTAGCATCATGGGATTTGAGTCATATTCCCTTGAGAGGACACTTTATGAAACAATAGTACCGTTATTCAATAATTCTAGTAATAGTACTACCACCTCCTTTGGAACGTACACTCCCTTCTTCTTTAACACTACAGCAAATTCGACTCTGGATACAAAGGTTGGTGCGACGGATGCGTGGTTTTTCTACATTTCCCTTGTAATTTCTATTATTGTAGCTGCAGTGTTGGCATATGCACTTTTACGTTATTACACTTCACAAAATAAGAAATTTGTATCATGGTTTCTCTACGTTCCATTATTTCTAAATTACACATTCTTATTTAGTTCTGTATCCTTAATTACATTAGATGTCAGTTTGGCTTTAACAAGTTCAGGTGTTTTACCTGATACAGCTTTGGAAATTTGTTGGTATATTATCTATTTTAGTTTACAAATATTATCTTGGATTGTTTTACCAATTTTACAAAATTATGCCTACACTGGTGAATTTACATTTTATGGAAAGTTTATCAGATCTGTTCTATCACATATTATTACCTACTCAATTTTGGGTATTATTGCTGGAGTTGTAATTGTGATTTTTGTCATATTTTTGGTAATTGCTGACAAGACACTTTTAAGTTTTTCTTTCCTTATCAACGTTGGTGTTGCATTATCTAACCTTTTTGGTTTAATTCTATTTTCTATATTTTTAGGATATGGTATTGTGAAAATGCCTAGAACCTTGTGGAGAAAATCAAATGTTGAAAGAATTATCAAGTGGAATTGTATTGAATCAACTGGAAAGAGAAGTAAAATGAAAAAGGAGGAGAGAGCTCTAGCTGAAATGGTTGTCACTGTGAGAGAAGTTAGTAAAATTGTCACAAAAGAGCACAAACTCTATTGGTATATTGATGCAGTTTCAAAGACATGCGACAGCATTATCGAAGAATTTCCAAAATTACAAAAAGTTGTCAATTCTATTGAATTGAAAGACTGTACCAATTATAACAAGCAAACTTTTGACAAATTCCTCGAAGTGGGTTCTCTACAGAGATTATGCCCAGAGGAAAGTAAGAAAAAGACATGCACAAGATCTACCTGTGTGAAGATTCATGCAGAAATTCAAAGAGCAATGAGAGAATACAGAGCTAATAGATATGAATGGGAAAATACTCTCAATGAAACATTTTATTTACAAGATGTGATTAGATGCTGTACCTATCCAAGTAATCACCCTTTATTCAAAAGAGAAATTGTGTCTGATTTTAGACCAATGAATCGATTTTGGAGAACCTACTTGTATTTTTACTATAGATTTGTTCATTGGATTTATTATAAGGTTTTAGCTACTGTTGCTGTTTCCTTCGCCATAGTAATTTTGTATAGTGAATTTGCTCCAAGTGTCTTTTCACTAGCTGAAGAGACAGGTACTTCTATTTTCTATGAAATTATTCAACGTTGTGTTAAAACAGGAAGCAGTCCCCTCATTCAAATTGTTTCTTTATTAATGGTTGTTTGTATCATTTTGCTAATGCTTGGAGGAATGTTTAAGGTTAGACTTTTCAAAATATTTAAAATGGTACCAAGTTATACTGATACTTACTCATTATACTTTTCAGCTTCCCTTATTTGTAGAGCAGTTCCATCTTTGTGCTATAATTTCTTACTCTTATTGGATATTAAGCAAGATGATGGAGTTGCCTTCTTTAGTGCAGTTGGTATTTTAGATTTTAGAATTTTCCCTGATAGTTTGGGAGGACCAATTATTGGAGATTTAATTACAAATGTTTTGAAACAATTCCCAATGATTTTAATTGTTTTAGTTTGCATTTTATCTTTTTTTAGAGTTTTTGAGAGAATTGCTGGATTTAAAAAGTATAGATGGAGAACATTCTATTGTTGGGATACTATTCCAGCAGAATTGATGGAGAATGGATTAATATTATTAAGACAAAAGAGAAAGTCCAAACGAGAGAAAATCATTGCCGAAACTAAACAACAAGAAAAGCTTGACATCCAAAATGCTCTCTCTAGCACTAGAAATCCAAATAATAATGTTATTACTGATAATCCAATACTAAACGCAAGTGCCTTGGATTTGGGAGATTCTCAAGCAGACTACCAACAATTTAACCAAGAAACTACAGAGAATAAAATTTAAATTATTATTTAATATTACAATTATTGCTAGTATCGTTTTGTACTGGATCCTATTGTTGGCTTTGTTGAGCGAGTGGCAGAAAGCCCAGATGATTGCCGAGATGTTGAAGATGCTGAGCTGGTGGAATTCTTTCTTGGCAGTCCAGTACTGGACGATGCAGATGAAACGCTTTGATTAGTAGCCTTTCCACTTGTTCCTCGATCTTTTATCTTGCTCTTGGCTGCTCGTTCACCACAAGATATCACGTGTCTCTTATGAGTTTCTTCTGCAAACTTTCTTCCACAATATTCGCATTGGATTCTGTCGTCCAATTCTTCGTTTTTAATTGTAGGTTCTGGGTTTTTACCAGCAACATTAATGAATTCTTGATGTTGTTTTCTCCAAACACTTGCCTTCTTTTTGTAAGGTTTGGCGTTTCGTTTAGCCTTTTCAGCTTCTTCTTTCAATTCATCAGGAATAAAACTCATCTTCTTTGCTTTAGGTTTTGTTTCCTTTTCTTTACATTCTTTCTTGTGATCCAAGAAATAGTCTACCTCTACCATTTCGTTACAGTATGGACATTTTCTTTCTGTTTCTTTTCTTTTTGCCACAGCATCACCTTTTCTCATTTCTTCTTCTAACATCTTTTCAAACAAGCTCATGCTGTTTGCCTTTCCACCTCCTCCAATTGGTTGACTGTCAATATCCACAGGTACAGTGGATGCTACTGCAGCATTTACCCTGGAGGTTGCAGCCTTTGAAGCTGGTTTTTGTTGCTGCTTTGGAGCTGATGGTTTAGAAGTAGTTTTCTTTGGAGGAGGAATGTATTCTTCTTCCTCTTCTTCCTCTTCTTCCTCTTCCTCTTCGAATTCTTGCTTGTAATATTCGTCATCTTCTTCCTCTTCTTCTTCCTCTTCTTCATCATAAATTGGTGGAGGAGGAGCCTTCTTTGGTTGAGGTTGAGCAATTGGTTTTTTAGAAGGAGGAACAACTTTAGAAGGTGGTGGCATTTCTCTCTTTTGAGCTATTTCAGGTCTTGAACTACTTTGTACAAATGCTGTTGTTCCATGTTTTCGAGGAATAAATTTGATCTTTGGTCTTGACACTGGTTTTTCTTCTGGAACAATTGTTATATCCTTAATTGATAATTCTCTGTTGAAAAGAGCTAGAGGAGTTATTGATGCTTCAATTAAAATTTTTGAGGGCCTTTTTGATCCTATTACAGATCTTTCGCTGATGGACGGAGATGGCTCCGAAGAAAGTTTTTCTTGAGCTACCCTAGATGGTTTTGCAACAGTAGTGTTTGGACCTGCAACAATAGTTTCTCTGGCACTATTTGGAGTTCCGCTTCCAGAAATTGGTTGTTTAGTTCTATTCGCACTCAATCTTGGTTTGCTTGGTGATTGTGCTGTATTTACAACTGCCTTAATTGCAGAATCATATCTCTGGACAGAACCTCTAACATCAACATCTTCTTCATAGGAATCGCTTCTATTTGATAACCTTGATGAGCTCCTAGAGGATGGTTTTGAACCACCATTTGAAGTTGAAGTTGTGGTCTTGGAAGAAGTTGGAGGTGCAGATTGTTTCCTAATTTTTCTCGAGTCATCCATTCCCTTTCTTGAATCACCATCCTCATCATATGATGGAGTGTAAGATGTTGACTTTTTTGCCATTTGTTGCTGGTAATAAGAAATGGATTGTTTACCAGAGTTGGTAGAAATATCTTCATAATAATTTGAATAGGATGATCTCGGGGTTGATTCATCATCATTATCCTCTTCAAACATTGGTACAGCAGATCCACTATTAATCCTCGAAGGTCTACCCGATGAGCTTATACTTCCATTGCTTGAAACAGAATTAGATACTCGATAGGAACTTAATTTGTTGGTTGGTTGAACCTTTTGAGAAGGCTCAACATCCCATGGAAGTTTTTGTGTTGTAGTTTTTGGTTTTGAAAAGTCGTTTCTGTCCATCCCGCCAGCATATCCACCAGAATAATCATCACCAATAGCAGAGTTATACTTTGACCGCATAGCAGTCTGGTTTTGAAACATTTTTTAAATAATAAAAAAGTGTAGAAAAGGAGTAAAAGTTTGGCGGGAAGAATGCACAAAGAACATTTTGTATTTTCAATATTAACAACCGAAAAGGAGGGAAATGTTACAATACATATTGAATAATATTGTTTATTTATTACCTAGCAGCAGTTTTTACATGTCCTTATAGTTTGTTTTCAAAGTGGAATAGAATGGATAATTTTTCAACTCAAAATGTTGAGAAAGTTCTGAAATTTTAGCAGAAACATCTTTTGCTTTTTGTTGAAGCTCCATTCCATCTTGATCAATGCAGGAACCATTGAATTTTAATTTAATTTCCAAGAATTCAACCTTTTCTTTCAGATTTGAAACAGTACTGTACTTGTTATTGGCAATGTCATAGTTGGAAACACTCTCGATGGGATACATTGATCCAGCATCTTCTAATTTTCTTCTGGTCGAGGTGACATCCTGAGAAAATTGAACTCTGGATTGGACAATCATTGATAGGGATTCAAGAAGTTCTTGTTCCTTTCTGTATAGATAATCTCTAGCTTTTTCAAAATCTCGCTTAATATCATTTACTGCTTCTTCGTGTTGTCGATTCATTAGATCCAATTCATATGGAGTTCCACAAGCTTGTTGGATCTTACTTACTCTAGATTCTAAAACTTCCACAGTTGATCTGATATCTCTACACTCCTTTTCTCTATCCATTTCGTCTATTAATTGACAATCGTGAGAGTTGTGAACAGAACTTCTTGAACATTTTGCACAAATCAATTCAGAACACTCCTTACATAAAATATCTACAGGAAGTTGGTGTAATTTACAGAGAGGAATACCCTTCTCACTAGCAGCTCTGACATATGAACTAGTTGGAGTTGAGAAATGTGCATGATAATTAGCAGTGTTTTTTGGTATTTTAACTAAACTAGATGATTCAAAACCAAAACTTGTACCAATATGATCTTTCACTATTGGACTCACTGGACATGAGCTGATGGATGAAGATGGCGAAAATACTTGAGGCGGTTCAGATGAAGGTTTGTTGATGGTATTGAGGAGAGGTTGATGATACTTAGGAGAGGTTGGCCTGGTATGAATATTATTAATTCCAGAATATGAGGAACGGAGAGATGATGTTACACGAGGAGGTGAAAATTCTAAGGTTTGTTGTTGCTGTTGTTGTTGAAATATCGCTGGATAATTACTAGTGGAGTGTCTCAGAGGACTAGTAAAGTTCTTTTCTCCCATGTTGTTGTAATCTTGTGTTTCTCTACTGCTCGAGAATTGAATTTGTCTAGCCTCAACTGAATTTGATGAAAGTCCTCCAAAACTTCTGTCCAATCCATTCAAATTGTTTTTTTGAAAGGAATTTTCATTTTCAACTGGATCTTGTTTGTATCTATTGTTGGTGGGAGTAAATTCCTTATGTCCCGAAACACTTGGATAATCTTCTCCTTGAAAACTTGAGCTCTGATATGAATCATCAAGTTGCGAGCGGGAAAAGGGAGATGAGTTGATCATTTTTTTTAAGGTTTTTAATGGACATGTTTTGAGAGAAGCAACAACCATTGATAGAGAGAATCATTAGTTTAGGGCAATGAGTAACGGTAGAGTATTTTATTAAGGAATTCATATTGGCAAGCGTCCCCCTTAGCTCAGTCGGTAGAGCGTCAGACTGTTAATCTGCAGGTCGGTGGTTCGAGCCCACCAGGGGGAGAAGATTTTACAATATTTTACTTTTTATTTTTAAATAAAACAAAAAGAAAATGTCTGATAACAACAAGATCAATCACACACTCTTGAACTCTGATAAAGCTCCTGGTATGTATTTAAATTTTTTATTTCAATTAATTCAACTTCTTCTAGCTGCTCTCGGACCATACTCACATGCTTCAATCTTTGACGATCGTTTGATTTTCTTGAGTGGACAATTTGGACTTGATCCAGCCATAGGAAAACTGGCAACAAGCGAAGAACATGGTGATGTTTATGCTCAAACTCATCAAACCTTGAAAAACATTACAAATGTACTTGAAGATTGTGGATCAAGCTTGTCACAAGTATTGAAAACAACAATTCTCTTGACTAGTATGGATAACTTTGATGCTGTAAACAAAATTTATGTAGAATATTTCACTGATAACAAACCTGCAAGAGGTTGTTTTGCAGTTTCTCAATTACCAAAGAATGCTCTTATTGGAATGGAAGTTGTTGCTTACAAGAATTAAATACCTGGTCCACGTGCTTTGATTTTTTCAACTCGTGTCACTAAATTATTTTCTCTACTGTTATAGAATATTATTGAATCGTACATATTAAAAGTTGGATCCACATGTCCTGGGATTAATTGAATTTGATCTCCAACATTAATTTGATCAATCAAGTCCTTGGATTTTTCATTCTCATTCACAGAAAGAATGCCATGTTCATCACCACCAAAATTATATTTGAGTACTCTCATTTGAGGTTCTTTCAGAATTGGATTGCCACTATCAATAGTTGAGGCTTTGAGTCCTGCATCCAATACTACCCTTTTACCTTCTGTCTTGCTCACAACAGTGGAGAGAATGTACAATGACTGTGAGTAAAAGTGTGAATCATCTTCCAAGACTGGTTTGTTGTTTTTGGTCATGATAGATCCATAATCAGCATCACCAAATAGCCATGAACCTGGTTGAATTTCTGTGAAAACTCCAGAATTCATTTCAAATTCAAAAGTGCCAGTACCTCCACCAGTTACATACTCAACTTTAATTCCCTTCTCTTCCAAAAAGTCAACCAAACTCCTTGTCTTTTCCACAACTTTTTGAGTTGCCAACTTTCTTTCTTCATATGACTTGATGTGTTGATTAGAGCCATTATAGCATTGAATGCCTTTAAAATTCAAATGTCTACTCTCATTAATAATTTTGACAAGGTCCAATACTTGATCCTGACTCTCAACTCCACACCTATTCTGTCCCACATTATATTCCACAACAAGATTTAATTTCTTTGATTCACCATCCATCAATTTATCCAACAATTCAATCACCCCACAATTATCAACGCAAAGTGAAACTGTCTTGTTTTGCAAATTATTCATCCTAATGATCAACTTTAATTTCTCCACACTCACAACTTGATTCGAAATTAAAACATCATCCACTGTGGAGATGGCCTCTACTGCTTCACTCACTTTCTGACAGCAAACTCCACATCCTCCTCCAATTAAAATTTGATCGGAAGCTATTGCTGGAGTCTAACAATATAATTTAATATTGTAATTAAACATCAAACTTACCTTGTGTGCTTTAAAGTGTGGTCGTATTGCTACTTTTCCATCAACATACTCTTTCAAATTCTTTAAATTTTCATAATAAACAACTTGATCAATCACCAGACATGGAGTTGGCAGAGATGAAATTGTTTTTCCGATGAAAGATTCAAAAGGTGGAAGGCAAATCAGTGATTCCATTTTTTTATTTGGAGCTTGTTGCTGTTGTGGTTGTCTTCTTCTTTTCCTTCTTGGATTCCTTCTTTGCTTTCTTCTCTGGTTTGGTGTTGGTTTGTTGTTTGATGAGTGACTTGATTTCTGTCAGATTTTTGTATCCTGCATTTCTTAGGACAATTTCAAAAGTAACAGATTTGGCTACAATGTTTGCCAGAATTTGTGCATTAATATCATTAAGGTATTGATAATTGCAACTGGTTAATTGTTTGAGAATACCAGAGTGACCACGTTCCAATGCATATTCCACATGTTCAATAGCAACTTGTTTCAGTAAATCTCCCAGGTTGAGCATTCTAATGTGTTCGAGTACATCCTTATTACCATTTCTAACAGCTGTTTCAACTGCTGATAAAGTGATGAGATCCCACTTTCTTCTAGGTACATTGCATGAACGAAGTTCTGTAATGGCAGCTGCATCTCCCTTTGTAACTAACTTATCCAAGAGGTCATCACTAATATCGTCGAAACGAGTAAATCCCAAAACTCTGAGTTTAGAAATAATAGATGAATGTCCAGCAAGGATGGCTTCCTCCAGTACGCCCAATGAAATTTCATTAAATGGAAAGTCAATCGAGGCCAATAATTCCAATGAACGAGTGTGACCCTTAATGATACATTCGTTAATCAATTCAGTGGCAGGATAAAATCCCAGTGATGTATAAATCTCCACAAATGTCAATGACTTGAGGAAAATAAAGCAATGGTTATACATTTCTATCATTGTCTTTTTAGATAATTCTCGCAAAGTTTTCAAATATTCTGGTTTGAGGAGTGAAAATTCGGTCAAGTGATTTGCTGTGAATACTTTGATTATTGGATGCTCGGTTTCTTGATTTTCCTTTGAAAATTTCTTGATTAGTTTAAAAAGTGATTCAAAATCAGGAATTTCCGATAGGAATCCAGAAATGTTCAATCGTTCTAGTGACATTGGTAATGTCAAACTTTCTATCCAAGTATTTTGTGTATTTTGATTTGGTGTGCTAGCTTGAAAATTGTATGAAATATCCAAACTCTTGATATTCTCACAAAGCATGATACACTTTTGTGTATTGGCCCACGTTAAATTCTTGTTCTTAGAAATGTTCAATGATATTAATCCTCTCTTATTGATGGAACAAAGTTTTTCAAGACTTGAATCGTTTAATCCACAATTTACAAGAGAAATTTCCTTCAAGTGAGTAAATCTATCGAAATAATCATATAGAATTTTAGTAGAAATTTTCTTTTCTTCAATGTGGGTTGCTCTTGATGATGCATTGATGGCTCCTACAACTGATCCGATAGTTGAATTCTTTGCTGATGATACCTTGTTATTGGTATTATTACTAACATTTTGCAAATATCTGTCAAGGTCGGAATAAGAATTGATGGCCAGTTTCTCCTTTCTGTATGGCCAAATAGTTAGTAGCCAATACTTTTTAGTGAAACATGTTGAATGGAAGCATTCATTGTCATCAATGTAGTGAAGAATGTGGAGAATAATTTCGTTTGGAAGGGTTTCAAGTTGAGAGAGCATGTTTTGATTATTTTTCTAATTATTTGTTTTTAAAAATAGATAAATTAATATTGAACTGCACGGTTTCATTTTCAAGATTTACAAGATTTTATGTTTGATTTAAAAAAATAAGTTTAATTCTCGAATTCGCTTTCTGTATACTCTGTTGCACACTCAGTTTCAAGCTCAAAATTAAATTCATCTCTTTCGTCACCAACACTTTCATCTTCATTATCGAGGTCCATTGTGAAGGACTTTCTTCTATTCCTCGTTTTTCTTTTTGCTGATTCCATCTTCTTCTTTTCAGAAATTATTCCTCCAACATTATACAGAGATTTGTCCTTTGTCAGAGTGTGATCTCCTCCTACAACTACAATCATTGGGTTATTTACAGGTTGAACATCTTTCCTCTTATTGGTTGAGAATGTGGATCTAGATCTTTTCAGAGCTTCTAACTGTTTTTCAATATCGTCTACATCCTCAGTAGTTGTACTTTTTCTTCTTCTATTAGCTCCACCATGGTATGTCACAGGAGTAAGGTGAGCTGGATTAGTTGGTAACGACACTTCTCTCAAATCGTTGATATTCTGTTCTGGTTCCTCCGCGTCTTTACTAAGCATAAGGTTAATGAAGTTATCGACATCGTTGGCCATTTTAGTATTCGGATCTGTTGTTTTCTTTTTCAAGTCTTTAGCATTCTTTTCGGATGGCTTGTTGTCATATCTTTGATTTCTGTGTTGTGGAATGGCAAAAGGGTCAATTTTCTTCATTTGGAATTCAGAATTAGGGTTAAGTATAGCATCAATTTCTGAGCTTTGAGTTTTCTTCTTTCCAATTCTCACAGAAGTGGAATGATTTAGAGGAACGCCAATAGTTAATCCCTGAGGATCTGGAATTGCTGCTTGATTTTTAGGGGAGGAAATGGTAATTGGGTTATTAGAAGGTGAGAATGGTCTTTCCTCAATGATGATTTTTCTGCTTCGAGACGATGAACCACTTGGAGAATAGGATTCTTCCTTTTGAACCATTGGAGTTCTTTTGTGATATGAGGTTTGACTGTTTGAAGAGTCTAGGGCAATGAGTGGTGTCTTTGGTGAAAGGTTGGTTTTAGGAAGTGATTCTTGGAGAACCTTAAATTGTGCGTATCGATTTTCTGGTTCTGATGAGAAAACATCCGTCTTGATATCATCATCCTCGTTTCTTGCTAATTCCTCATCCGATGTTTTCAAGAGTAAGCTTCTTCTGTTAGACTCTGTAGCTTTATACGTTCCTTTTCTTGAAATGTTCGGGTCACTTTGACTTCTTGAATTGTTTGTTGATGAATTAGGTCTATTACTAGATGATGTAGATGATTGATTATCCAAATACACACTTATTCCAGTCCCTATCGATACACTCTCACTCGTCTTTTTCCCATTGGAAAGTGCACTCGGATAGCCTCCCATATTATGTAAAATAATTATGATAGAAGGTCGTGTTGTTGTTTAATCCTACTATGAAGTGGATCCTTTATGATGATGATGATATAATATATTAAGGCACCTTCCTTTGAATGCTTTGGCGGCAACAAACGTATTTTTTCTAAAGAATATTCAGGCCCTATTTTTGGAAGGCATGTTTCCATAAAATGTGCGTGTCGGAATTGTAATTTTACAACAAAATTTTAATTCAAAATAGGTCGTAATGAAGAGCAGAGACATTGTTAGATATTTCTGGAAACTTACAATAGATTATTTTCTAAGGTTTGAATCAAATTGTTTAACAAAGATAAAATTAGATGAGGCAGAATTCAATCAAAAAAATAGCTTTAAATTGCCAAGTGGTAAAATAACAATTTTGAAGATCGGAAATGAGTAATTCATCATCGGAACAACAATCAAACGATGCTGCTCATCGTAAATTACAAGATAATTTGGGAGCTTCTACGTGGGCTTTTATGCACACGGTGGCAGCACAATATCCAAAGAAACCAACACAACAACAACAATCACATATTAAACAATTATTCTATAGAATTGCAGAGTTTTATCCTTGTAGATGGTGTGCCAAGGATTTTGCTGAGAGTATTCAGAAATATCCAGTACAATCACAAAGTAGAGAAGCTCTCTCTATCTGGTTGTGTGAACGTCACAATGAAGTAAATGAAAAAATCGGAAAACCAATTGTACCTGATTGCCAAAGTGCTTGGAAGAGGTGGCTTGTGGAGGAGGATGATGATGCAAATGATTTTTCCACAACAATGATTATTGATGAGCCAAATGCAAATGAGGATGATTTGAAATGGCTGTCACCATCCAACGAGAAAGATGATGGTATTGATTTTCAACCAGCTTCAATGGACGATTTGATGAAGGATTGTAAATTTTGTGAAAGTTCTATGGGAAAGGAAAGATATGACAAGTTGAAAGGATTATTTAAAAAACCTTAAATAATAAAATATTTATCAACTTTGGATATCTTACAAGAAAGGTGACCAACCAGAAAACATGACACCAAGCTTGTCAATTGCTGTTGCTTCACTTATGAGTTTGTTAACTTGACCTTTTACACCTAAAAGTTCTCCATCCTCTTGACCAAGTAATTTTTCTTTCAATCTTATAAGAGCTCTCTCAGCATCTCTATTGTTTTTGGTGGTTGAGGAGGATGATTCGACAACATAGGAGGTTTTTTTAGACTTCTGAACTGCATAACCTTCCAATGGAGAAAGAGCCCATCTATACAAAGGATCGTGCAAGAATACTTCAATCACTAATGAAAGAGCTTCAACATTATTTCTGAGAACTGTCATGGTAGCATAACAACAATTCTTAAAAGTACCCTCAATACCTGAAACTCCAAATCCATCAATAACATCTCTAGTCAATCTGAAAGGAACAAGCTCAGGAATTGGTAAATATTTTCCTTGCTCAAAGCAAATACCCAAATCAATATGAACAGCCTCTCCTGTAGACTGATCGATAAGAATATTATTCAAGTGTCTATCTCCCAAACCAATGACATAACCGAGCATACTAATAGATGCAACGGATTTTGTGTAGGCTTGTCTCTTTTCGAACCAATCAGAAGGATTTGGAAATTGGGAAAGGAAAAAGTGATGGAAAGCTGGTTTAAAGTTATTGCAAATCTCTACAAAGTTGTTGATTCTTGTGGCAGCGTCTGCTTTCTTCTCCAGACCAAACATTGTTCTTCTCACTTCACTATTTGTCTTATCTTGAGGTCTGTATTTTCCGTGCAAACTTTGAGGATAATCTTGCTCATTGTTTCCAATTAAAAGTGTTGCCATAGGTTGAGTATTTTCAACAAATCCTAAAATACCGCTTGTTGGTGAGGTTGGAATTACTTTGTAAGTTCTTATCAACAATTTTCTTCTTCTTGTTTCCTTATCCTTTTTGAGTAAACTATTGGCAATCGCAAAGAGTTGTTCAATAACGTGATCTTGTCTCATATCATCATTACCTTTCACTAATTGCCTATAAACTTGGCCATTGGAAGCTACACATGAAATAATCTTTGGTAAGTTAATACCTCCAGCAAGACTAAAGTTTTGGGAAAAGTTCTCAATAAATGGTATGTCTTTGAGATTATATGCATCATGTGCACAAATTGGAACATCAGCAGTAAGAATAGGAATTACAGGTCTCTTGATATTGGTTATTAAGAGCTGAGAACTTAGTTTCTTAGGGGTTGATTGCTCTCTCTTTTGTTCTTCACTAAGTTGGAGGAAGGCAAGCTGAATATAGGCATCCATAAGAGTGGCATAACTTTCAATTAATTGCTTGTTTTCTTTCTTCAACTTGTCAATTAGAGTATTGGCAGCCTTTATCTTATTTGGATCTGGCTTGTATGATGCTTTGGCTGAGGTAGTCTTGGAGGATTGGTCAGCATTTCTAATTTGAAGAATGAGAGGTAATGTATGATATGGGTGTTCCTTTGCTATTTTGAATAATAGATGCATGACAACATTATTGAAAAGACACTCTTCAGCAAAATAACCCATTCTGGAAGCTATTTGATAAAAGAGAGGGATAAACTTATGGGAGGGAACTGGTCCTTTAACAGTCATTTGATAAACAGATTGGTTGACTTTCTCATTTGTGGAATTTGAAAACCAAATATTCAAAATTCTTGGTATTGTCACAAAATCATAATTATCATTAGTGGAAGAGGCCAGCAAATAATTTTCAAGAACAAGAGTTCTAAATTCCTCTTGTCTACTTTGAATTAAAACCTGTTCTTTTTGATCCAAATCTGTAATCTTTTGCAAGTGGTTCATCTTGCTCCTAAAATCCGAAGTTACGTCCTTGTCATTTAATTCCTTTCTCTTTTGGGCATATTGTTGGTAGAGTTCTTTGTTTTTCTCCAATAATTCTCTATATGATTTGCTGTCTTCACTATTTTGCTTTCTGACAATATTTTGATAGAGAGAGTCAATATACTTTCCCATTTGGAAGCAGGCTTTTGCCTTGCTTGAAGCCTTCTCTTTAGAAAATTGTAAAAATCGTATAATATTTTCATAAGAGTCAGTTTTGCTATCTCCTAACCATTTACCCAACAAATAGCATGCCTTGAAGTAGAGTGGAGAATCATGTTGTTTTCTCTTTTCCAATTGTTGAATTAAAAATCTGAGAATGTGAATAGCCCCAGAAGTGTCGCCTGAACTCCATAAAATCTTGGCTTCTTCTAAAATTGATGGAGGTGTACTTCCACTTTGCATTTGTACTGATAATCTATTTGCTAAATTAGTGGCCAATGTAAATTGGCCTTCCTTTCTTGCAATTGAAATAAATTCACTTTCATGCTTGATGGCCAGTTCATTTTTCTTCAAGGCACGTAAAAGAGAAGCTCTAAAGTTTACCAAGGTTTCAACTTCAGTGAAAGAATCATTCTTAATTCCATTAGTTCCCATGAACAAACCCAAATTGTTATCAATAATATCATTTTCCTTGAGTGCAACATTTCCAATTTCTGTCCACTTCAGGGACCATGCTATTTCTAATTCTGAAAGGACTTGTAATTTGGCCAAATTTGATTGAGCATTTCCTACACTGATAATGTTTGAAATATATTTTCTATGGTTTGATAATGTTTCTTTGAAGAGTGCAGAATCACCTTTTACCAAAGCATAAAGAGAATTGAAAACTGTTTCATTGAATCCAGTTATATTACTTGAATGTGAAGAATATCTTTCCAAATTATCAATAGTTAATGTTTTCCAACGATTTTCGAAAAATTGTTCTCTGACTTGAGGGTTATCCAATGCATCTGATTGAATGCTCTTTAAAATTAATGATGATACTCTATCAAGTCCCATATTTTTCAATGAATCTAAAACACCAATCACAGAGGTAGATTTTTCCAATACGGAAGTATCATAAAGACCTAAGGTGTTTGTCCAATCACCTTCCTTCTCACCCAACAAAATTTTTGATTGCACTCCATAACTTTTGGTAGCTCCATAAATACAATCAGGATCATCTATAGATTTGTAAATTGAAAGCAATAATTTTTGACTATCATTGGCCGATTCTTCGAATTCAATAGGCAACTGATCCATGAATGACAATAGATTATCTTTTTCAAATGATAATTCTGAAAACATCAAAGAAGAAAATGTAATTCCTGCCCTTGCTGCTGCCTTTGCAATAGTTGAATAAGGAATATTAAAAAAGCAGTTGGATACTGTTGTTTTAGATTTGATTTGCTTCTGATTTACCATGAATCTATAGTGTCTGTGTAATAAATCTAGAGCCATTACTATAAGTTTGATAGTTTCAGATTTGGTATTTTCATTGACCAGAACTGATTCTATCAAAGGAGAGAACTCTTTGTTAAGTTTGTTAGATTGAGCTCCAGTCGCAAAATCTAACAAAGATAAGATGAAAATCATCTCTGCAAATTTGACTTTCTTTTTACATATATCTCTGCACAGACCAAGTACAGGATCTGCAGTTTTGGTTAGAACAAGCTCAATGACTTGGGATAACCACTGCTCATGAGACTTGTCATTGGTGTCAAAAATCTCTTTGGAATTATCAGCAACAAGAGTAACATCTGTTTCTATTGGTCCAGTTGCTATGTGTGGAATATATACATAGTTTGGATCAGCATTTACAAAAGGGTCAAAGTAATGCTTCTTGTCATTTGGAATTTTTTCCATACTACTTTTAGAAGAAATAAGAATGTGGTGTAGGGTTTTCAATGCCAGTTTGACTACTTCAACGTTATTTTCACAAATATATCCGTTCAGAGTAAGGAGTATTCTAGCTTTTGACTGTTTGATTATTTCAGAGAGCCATGATGAAGATTTGTTTGTAACATTTGGATCATTGTCTATCTCATCAATAAATGATTTGTCGATTAACTTTGAAGTCTCAATATTTTGTACAAGACCAAGATTTCCTAAAGCCACTGTTGCTAGCTCTTTCCATTCGTCTGTACTCTCTGTTGAGCAAGCTCCAATTAGTTTGGAAATTAATTTGTTGAAATACTCCTCCAAAATTGAGGCTTTCTTGTCTTGTTGGGCTAGAACGTTCATGAGTGAGAGTCTATGGGTTTTGATTAACCTGGAAACATAGGTAAAGCTGAATGTAGATAAATTTTCGCTTGCCAAAATGTTTCCAATTTGAGTGAAGAAATTTTCTGTTCCTTGAATTTTCTGTTGACATACATTCAGTTCCTTGAAAATTTCTTGACTAGGAAACGGTTCAGTCTTTGCAACAGCTGGTACCATTGATGGAGAAGAAACCAAAAGCATTAATGTTTTCATTGGTGTTGGTGATCCAGTTCCTTTGGAAACTATTTCAATCAATCGGTTTCTTATTTTAGGATAAGTTAATTGTAATTCTGTCAACGCTACGGAATTATTTGCATCCAAAATTCTCGAGCAAATTTCGAATATTAAAGAACAACTTGGCTCGAACAGCTCACAATACGAAGTACAAAACAGTGCTACTGTAATAACACTTCTCAAAAGTATAGGTACTTGCAAGTTGGATCCCATTACTTCAAGAACAAATGTCTTGAAAATATAAAAACTTCTACTGCTCTCATTCTTCTTTTTAGAAAGTAATTCGAAAATATTGGTAATCATATTTAGAGTTTTGTGTAAATCTTGGTTTAAAAGTTTTTCTACGTCTTTTTTTTCTGCATTCTTAGAAAGATCAGACAATGTTTTGAAAATCATATCTTTTCCAAATGTAAGTACATTATCTGGTTTTTCCGACAACAAAAATAATGTTTCTAGTAAAATGTCTGTGATATTCTTTCGTATTAATGTGTCTACTTCTGCTCCTAAGGTTCCCCTTATTTTTTCCTCAATAATAGATTTGATCAATGACCTATCACTAAAACATCTGGACAGACAATATGGGAATACATAACAAAAGTATTTTCTCAAAATAGACTTGAGATCCATGTTAATACAGGAACAGATTCCTTCGAAAGTTTTGAGTTGAGTTTGAGTAAACAGAATAGGAAGTATGTCAAAAGCATTATTAATCAAAAATGGCCCCAAAGACTTTTCTCCAAACAATTCATAAGGAAATGAGGAAAAGTCTGTCTTTTTTTGAACCCAACCCAGTATTATTTCTCTAAGGTTGGTTCTCAAAAATCCTGATATATCGCCACCAGCTATTTTAGACATAGTCACCTTAGCAAGCTCCTTTTCTTTAAATTCCTCGTTGGCATAGCATGAAAGTAATCGTAAAATAATCTTCTTGGAAAGGGTCGGATCAGTTGTAAAGCTAAGTGAAAGCAGGCAAGTTCTTATTTTGAGCTTATCTGTTGGACGCTCGAGAATTTCAATTAACTCATCCACCAAAGAATCTATACTTGAAACAGAAGCCCAATCGTACAGTCTTTCACTCATTATTAATCTAGGGAAAAATTTATCACTAAATAAGAATTCTTTGCAAGTTTTTTTGAAAGTCTCCAACTCTTTAAATTTCTCAGAAATTTTAGAGGCTGAAACAACTGCTCTTGCTAGAGAAATAGTTGAATCTCTATCGAAGAAATCCTTTTCGTATACGTCCAAAAGTGAGCTTAATAACTCTGAAAAAGGAGCCACATGTGTGTCCTCTATAAAGTTTGCCATTGTGGATAATATTTCCATTACATTTCTCCAACTCTTGTTATCTCCAATAGATCTAGGAATAATTTCAAGGCAATTAGTGATCATTGCAGAGTTACCAGTTTTGGCCAATATGTTACAAATACCAAACTTGACAAACATCTCTGTTGAAGATTCGAAAATAGTATTCAACTCTTCAACTGCCTTCGTTTGTATATTTGGGTTGTATGTGAGCATATAGCCAGTAAAATTAAGCCCATTGTTAATAAGACTTCTGCAAATAGGTTTCTCTTCATTCTTTGATGAAGGAGTATCATCAATCATAAAGCCATCATCATTTGATGAGTTTCTTGAGATATTCAAGCCTTCAACAGCTTTTTTAACTAATGGCAATACTAATTCCTGTACAAGCAAGGACCATGTGAGTATAACACCATCATGTCTTGAATTCTTTTCATTCACAAGTGTTGCTGACAATTTATCCAGTATAGCATCCCACTGAATTGTCTCGAACTCTTTTGACTTGAAGCTATCCTTTAAAAATTCAATTACTAAATTGTGAATATCAACGTAGACTTTTGAGAATATTCTATTACTTAAAAGCGACCTGTTTTCAATGGTCATTGTTGTGAGTAAATGAACCATCTCAAGAATCTTTGTCAAACGTTTAAAGTTTTCTGATGACTCGGATTTAGAATCTCTTGCCAAATTTTTTGCCAAACCATTCATAGTTATGGAAAACTTTTCCAGATTGGAACTATCGAAAGGTCTATCGTTTTCCGAAGAAGATGAATCCAATTCATCTCTACCCTTCAATATATCTAGTAAATTATATTGTTCAAGAGAACTTTTGTAATCCAGATACTTTTTAAATATGGAATCTTTAAATGGTTGAATATTTCCATCAGTAGACAAAATAGTAACAAAAAATTTTGAAACTATTTCCATATCTAAAGTAATACCATATCCAATATCTAAACTTCCACAAACCCATTTCATTAGTAACCCCATATCCTCAAAAACCTTAAATTTCCTTTTCAGGTGATGTTGTTTGAATAAAACTACAAGCAAATGTAATGACTCTATGGAGACGTGTTGACTATTCGAGAAATATTTTGATTCTAACACTTGCAAATTGAATTCTGGCTCATATGCCAAATTGTCGTCAACTTTTTCTAAAATTAATGCTAACAAGGAAATAGATTCCCTGATAACATAACTAGATTCCCTTTTCACTAGTTGAATTAGAAAATTGAATAAGCTATTTCCCCAAGATATCTTTTCCTCTTTGAGAAGGCAAATTCTGAATATTTTCAGAATTTCTGTATGAACATCGTCAAATATTTTTCTTTCAAAAAGTCAGTAGCCAAGTTATATAATACTTACCTCTCCTTTACAATCGTGAATAACCTTTCAACAAATTCAGACTCCATAATGTCTGAAAACCTTCCATAGTATTTGCTCATGATTATATAGACCACTTTGATCCAATTAGAGGTTTCTTCTTTTTCTGGAGGGGTATTTAAAAGAGTTTGAACTATTTCACTTTTTACAGTCTGAACCTTCATTCTCTTACTTGGTGACTTGTGTTGGGAATCCTCGTCAGTGGAGGGTTTTTTTGTGGACTCATAGATCAGTACCTGGTTCATACAGTCTGCACAGACTTCAAAATAGATATCTCTATTTTTCTTCTTCATTTCTGCTTCCTTTGTATTTATATTTTTAATATTATACGAAAAGTACCTTGTCTGATTCAAACTATTCTTTAAAATATTGTAGAATTCAATAAGATTATCATTTTCAAGAATAAGCTCTGTTTCTTCTGTTCTTAAATTTATAATTATTCTAAAAAATTTCAAAATCTCGATCTTTACATTACAATAATTATGATAAATAAGGAAAGAATTAAAACTTACTTTTAAATATTCATTGTTGTGTGTTGTGGAAAATAATACAAGTAATTTAGAACAAATAGTGTTTGCCAACTTTCTAAATGTATCAATATCATCAAAAGACAGTATAGTTGTAATATAATTTAAGGCTGTTATCAAATGAAGTTGAACTTTGTCATAAACGCAATTCTTTGATTTTCCTAAAAAGTAATCCTCAAATAATGCTAGCATTACTTTCTTTTGAGATTCGCTGAACTCTCTTGGATATTCCAATATGATCATCTCCACACATGATGCATAATGATTAGCATCAACCATGGAAAGCTTTCCATCAATAATTAAATCTCCAAATGATTGAAGTAATTCATCAAAAAGGCCACTTGTTATCTTGGAAGAATATTTACGCACGCCTAATATGGATTTCAAAATATCACAACTGACAGCCGAGAAGCAAAAACTTCTATTAGAATCATCATTATTATTGTTGTCATTAAAATTAATATTTGTTAAAATAAATTGAATTATATCTTTGATTACTTTTGCATTGAGTAGATAGGTTTTATCATTGTCGGAATTATCATCTATTCATCATCAGATCAAAATTTATTATAAAGTTAAAACACTTACCTTCGGGATTGTCACTTTTACTATACTCAATAAGTGTTGTTAAAATCTCCTTACATGGAACAGCAAACTCTGATTTTAATGTTCCTGATGATTTGTTTGCTTTAGCCTTGATTTCTGTTTCTAAACATTCCAAAAAGGCTTTTTTGATAATTACACTCCACTCCTTTTCGTCCAGTACTGTTAAATTATTCCGATTTCTATTTACAAAGTCTCTTAGTTGGCCAATACCTTTCTTTAAAAATGTTTGATCATAAAAAACTAGGAACAACATACTTTGCGATCTGTTACTTTTGATGATTGAAGATTGCCGACAACACCTTTTATTTCAAGCTGGAGTTGTTGAGACATTTTTTCTGATATTTATTGGAAAGAATATTAAAAGCCAAGTGAAGAAGCCTTGAAGGTTAGCATTGCAATATCATTCTTAACACTTTCAATCTTCTTATTTTGTTGATTAATTACCGTCTTGTAAAGTTCAGTATTATCCTTTGTTGTTGTGATTGCTCTCTCCATTCTTTCGATGATTGTGTTTTGTGCTGTGTTAAGTTCACCTTCCAAATTCTTTTGATGACCTTTGAGTTCGGAAATTCTGTTGAGCAATTGAGTATTTTCGGTATTGATTTTGATCATTGTTTGTTTGTATTCTGTAATCTTATTGTCCCATTCCTTCAATATTCTTGCAGATTCTTGTTCTCTGAGAGACAGTTCAGCTTTAATTTCCTCAGCTTCCAGATCTATCTTGGCATTTTCCATTTCCTCAAGATTAATTTCCTTTCCAAATTTGAGCATTTGAACCTCTCTAACTTTATCTTTCTCAGTTGAGAACTTTTCTTCCAACCCCTTTTGTTCCTTTAGCATGCCTCTTTGTGTCTTTTGAAGATCAATATATTTTGTACGAAGTTGATCCCGTTCTTTAGAAAGCTCTCTAATTCTTTCAAATAATGCCTGTAGAGACTTGTTGGTAAATACAATTTGATCTGAAAGATCAGCAGCAATCTTATTTTGCACCAATGACTGAATTTGGTTAAACTTCAACACTACAATAGTTTCCAAATCATTTAGCTTGTTTTGTTTCTCTTTTTGTGTTTCTCTGATAGATTCCTCAATCTTATTCAATTCCTTGATGATGTTTGCTTCAATTTTTTGAAAACCTTCTCTCTTTGTTTTAATGCTTTTTGCTGCCTTGTCAATTGAGTTAAGAGCTTTTTCTTGTTCAATTCTTCTAACTTTCAAATCAAATATTTGATGATAGAGTTCTTCGGTGCAACCAGAAGGAATTTTGTTCTTTTCTCCATCAGTAGAAACAACATCTGAAAGATTTTCATCATCATCGTCTCGATCGTTACCGGTGAAGAGCTTCCAAAGTTCGGCATATGCTGGATAATTCTGAGGAACAAGAGTGTGGAATTCTTGAATCAAGTATTTTTGCTTTTTGATCTGTTGAACTTCCTTTTTCTTTTGCTTTAATTGTTCTTGACATTCAGCAATTTGATTTTGAATTGATGCCTTCTCCTGCTTTTTAACAAGCAATTCTTGAATCTTTTTAAGGTCTTTAACCTCATACTCTCTCAAAATCTTGAGTTCTCTATACAATACCAAAAGCTTTAGGTCTGCAGATTTAAGGTCACCATCAAGTTTGAATTTTTCTCTTCTCAAATCTTCAATAGCATTATCAAAGCTCTCGATTTGTTTGTCTTGTTTCCTCAAGTATCTATTTTTTTCATAGAGAAGTCTTTGGAATTCAGCTTCCTTCTCTGCCTTTTCGAGCTCTGAAAGCTTGGATGTGTTAGGATCGTCTTGATTTTCTTTGTGCTTTGGTACTGTCTTTGCACCTTTTTTACCATACGACTTATCATCCCCTCTTTCTTGATCGTCATTTTCAATCTCAGAGACTGAAATATTTTCTCTCTTTTCTGGGTACTCTTCGTCCATTAGCTCTGGTTCGTAGAGTTTTTCATTAATACAGATCTTGTTATTGATTTCTTGGATTTTCTCATTGTAATGCTTGAACTTTTCAATGAGACGAACCTTCAAGTCCCTCAACCCCAACAATCTAACATTGAAAACCATTCTAAGAGTGTGCATACTCTCTTGCAAAAGGATAATTTGACGAAGTTTCTTCTCTGTGGTTACTCTTTGTCCATCAGGAACAATGTAGTCATCTGCTGATTTTAATTTATAATCTCCCATGTTTTGTTGTGCTCTCAGGATTTCGGAAATTTCCTCTGGATCTTCTTCGGTTTCTGAAGGTTTTCTATTTAGTAATGTCTGTCTTTGTCTTTGTCTTTCCTCCTTTTCTCTCTTCATCATTTCCTGCTTTTCAAAGTTATTCATTACAGTTTTTCTTCTTCTATTGTTTGAAGAATGAACTGATGGCGTGCTGTTTTCTTTGATTTCTACAGCAGAAATTGAATCATCACCAATTGTTTTCCATGCTCTTTTTCTTCCAATTTCTTCATTAATGAGCTTGTGAACTTTTTCGATTTCCTTTTTCAGCTCCTCGTCCAATTTTCTTGTTTTAAAAGAGGTTACAGATTTTCCGCTTCTGAAGGCCTTCAGGTCTATTCTCTCAACATCTAAGCAGTCGATGAAATGGTCTTTTAGTTTTTTCAGAGCTACATCATGCTTGGCAGAGTTCCAATCCATTTCTTGTCTGGTTTCATCAAGCTTTTTCATATTACTTGCTAAAACTCTTTCTTTCAAATTTGTGTCAACTTGAAGTTCTTCTCTCGATAATTTGATGTCTGATTCTCTCTTCTCGTTTTCTTTTACAATTTCCATATACTTGGCCTTAATCATTTGAATCTTCTTCTTTTTCTCTTCTTTTCGTTTTTCTGCTGCTGCTTGCTTTTTGTTTTGTTCTTCTTGCTCCCTTGCTTCTTCAATACTGACAGCTTGACCTGGTGATAAATCATCAACAACCTTTTCCTCTGCTACAAAAGTCAAGTTTGGTTTTTCTCCTTGCTTTGTTTCGTACTGTGGAACTCTTTGACTGAAGAAACAACCTTCCCTACCAACAGTGAGCAAGAAGCTAGAATCAAAACTTGTCATGGCACTCACTATTTCTCCAAATATACAATCATGCAAGTATTCCCCTCTAAACTCTTTCATTGTTTCTCGCTGTATAAACAAAACAAAACCATCTCTAAAACCACAGATAAAGTACTTCTCATCTGTGCTGTATGTTAAACTGGTACAAACAGATTTGTAGTCGCAAATATATCGCTTTGGATAAATCATTTCATTTGAAGAACGGGTAGTTAAAATACTCGAGTCATATTCTACAATTCCCTCTCCTCTTTCGAAACTGATAATTAAATTTCCAGCTTTTGAAATCTTTGCCCAAACTATTTCACTTGGTTGCTCCTCACTGACTTCTTCCTTAATTTCCTCTTCGTCATCGCTGTCATCATCGTTTTTGACCTTCTTAGGAGGAGCCTCCTTTTTGATGTATTGTGAATAGTTTATCTTCTTTGTAATTGGTTTGAATTCGAAGGTTTTTAAGGTATCAATCTGAGAGGAGTCAGGTTTTTCCATTCGCAAAATTGAGCCATCTTGAGCAAACAAAATTAAATCAGTGTTATCAGGAGAAAACATTAAACTATTGATTGGTTGTGTAAATTTAGCATAACCAATTGGAGAGAATTGCTTTGTATAATCAAAAAAGAATACCGTGCTATCATCTCCACAACTTACAAATAAATGGTCCTCCTTAGAATAGGCAAAATCATTTACCTTAGTCTTATGAGGCTTGAAAACACTGACCAAAGCAAATGAATCTTCACATCTCCTGAGTACTCTTACTGAACCATCTAAAAAACCTGCAGTGAATACAGTTCCTGTTTGATCTAGGAAAGAAGGGTTCCAAACCATTTTAGAAACACCACTTTGAAATTTTGTAGAGTATACTTCCTTTTTTGCCCAGAAATAATCAAACAATCTCAATGTTCCATCCTCACCTCCAGTAATTGCAACGTGATCAGTGGGAGATGTAAGCATTCCTCCAACTGCACCTGAATGGAAACTAAATATTTTAATGGCCTGAGCATCAAGTTCAAGATATGGATATTTCCAAAATCCTCCATTAGCATCTTGAATAATCCAAATATCATTTTCTCTAATTAATGAAATAACCCTCACATCCTCCCCAATAAATATTTGTCTTTTTGGTCTGATAGAGATTATGTTATTTGTATCTATTGGTTCTGCAGAATCGATCATGTTAAAGTCCCAAAATCTGACATAACCATCATTACCTCCTGTAATAAAAACACTCTCTTTTTCATCGTAAATTACAACTTCAATTCCTTTTTCGTGACATTTTTCACCCATATTAGTGAGCAAACATTTGATAAGGTTCTCATCCCAAAGCAGCAGGTAACCGTCCTCACAGCCAGACAATACCTTACCATCAGGAAGCTCAACACAACTGGAAATATCAGATATATCAATTTTACCAAATTTACCAATCTGACCCTTCAGCTTTAATCCAGTAAATGTTTTTGCCATTTTCCAAAATTTGATGTGCCCTGTACCACTTGTGGTAAGCTGTCCTTCACTTGTTGCTGAAAATGAAACAGAATAAACATCCTGACCAAAGGCCTTATATCTGAGCGCTATTTTTTCCTGTTCCCAATTCCAAATAGTGAGTAAATAATCGGGAGATGATCCGACTGTAGCCAATCTGTTTCCCTTAGAATTGAATGCCATCGAAGAGAAAGCTCTCAAAGTACCATTTTTTAATGTTTTAATTGGCTTTAATGAGATACTCTCAATATCTGACTCTATTGTTATTTCATAAATATATACATTTGGTTTTTCTCTACTCTTTTCTCCGATAGCAACCCACTTTTTCGAAGGATGGAGGGCTAAAGCTCCAATACCTCCATGACCGGGTACATTAATCCATCTATATCTTGATTCCGCAATATCAATAAATTGTATGGTGTTACCAACACTTGTTATAACAATATTTTCCTTCAAATACTGAATATTATTTCTTTTAAGACTCTCAAATCCGAACGAATGATCGAGAGTACAAATATTCTCGTATAATTTTTCTGCAACTTGTTGTTTGGAAAGTTGATTTTCAATCTCCTTCATTTCCTTTTGCTCTTGTTGTGCTTCGAGCTGTTCGTCCGTTAATTGGTTTGAGCTCATTTTTTTGTAGTTGTTTTTTCAGTAAAGTATTTTGGCGGTAAAATAAACCACATAGCCCATCACCACAAAGAACAAATTTAACAACAATTCAGCAATTGGGCCCACAAACTTATCAATATAGTATTTAGTGTCATTTAATGAGTGGTTCCATTTCATATTACTTGTATCTTATTCTATAAACTTCGTCAAGGAATGTTTTAAGGAACAATTCAACAACACCTCCACTCAAAAGATTCTTTACATTGGCAATCATACCGTACATTGCAACACTGTCCTTTCCATCGTAATCCGTACCATGTTCTGAAACATATGAAACACACTCCCTCAAGTTTTCAACAAGTTTCTGTTCTAAACCAATGTGTTGAGGCATGATGGTCATATGGAGCGAGTCTGGTCTAGTTTGACGTTGTAAATCCCATCCATATTCCTTCTCCATTCTATCTGAAATGGCAAAAATGTTGATTGGTTCATATTTCTCTTCTTTTGTGAGTGAATTTCTAAAATTTGAAAGAGTTTCCTTTGAGGAGAAGGCAATAATGGTAGAACATGGAGAACCAACAACTTGCAAATACTTTGATAATACCTCATCTGTTTCAATTGCATTCTGAATGTACTTCCTAGTATTGAGCATTTCTCTTGTCACTTTGACAAATCCTTCACGTCCAACCAATTTCAAGCTGTGAATTTTAGACAATTAGTTTTACAATCTTATGGATTCAACTTACCTTGCATATGAAGAGGCGATAGGACCACCTCCTTTACTTCCCATAATTGTTGGACTGATATAGAGACCTCCACTCCACTCACCATAGGCAAAGAATTGCTGCTTTCTAATCATTGGATTTCTATACATGATAACACTAGATCCCTTACAAGAGTATCCATATTTGTGTAAATCAGCTGAAATACTGGTAACTCCCAATAATCTAAAATCGAATGGTGGAAGAACATCTTGGTTGACTGCCTCATTAATGAATGGAACTACATATCCTCCAATACAACTATCTACATGCAATCCAATAGGTCCCAATTTAACACACAACTTGGACAATTGCTCAATAGGATCAAGAATACCATGAGGATAACTAGGACATGATGCAATTACGAGAATTGTCTTTCCAGGATTGAAAGCCTTTTCAACAGATTCTGGATGCATGGTAAATGTTGTTCTATCCACCTCAACCTCAACAAGTTTCAATCCAAAATAATGAGCTCCCTTATTGACAGCTGGATGGACACTGGTACAAACAATCACTTCGAAAGGACCTTGAAAATTGTTAATTTCATCCTTCTTTTCAGGATACTTTTCAGACATTATCTTCTTGTACTCTTCGTGATAGTTTGTGAAAAAGTCACGATAGGCCTTGAGCATTAACAAGAGAGATTCTGTTCCACCACTCGACACTGATCCAACTACATCCTTATGGAGAAAATCTCTGTGAAATGAATGAGGAAGTATTTCATTTTCCTTACATTCATCATGTCCATGAAAAAGATCAGAGGTCATCTCAACCAATTCAATTTCCATTTGTCTCAAAGATTGGAATGCCATTGGTGATAGACAATTAGTATTCTATTGTAGCAATAATGAATCAAAATTATATTGAAATAATGAGAAAGAAAACTCACAATAAACATGTTGTGCATCTTTGTAACAAATTCATCATGACCCTCCGATAAATGATAGACAAAAGCAAAGACTTTTCCTTCCTTTGTTTTGGCATCCAATTCTTTCAGTGATTGTAAATATTGTTCAATCTCGGCTTGAGAACTGGCCTTCCCAGGAAAGGTCAATCGTTGAGATGGAGCTTTAGTTTTAAACATTTCGGAAACACTCTTCTTTACCTCCTTCTCAATTTCACTACCAATTAGTTTTTGTCCCACCTTTGAATTAGCCAAAGACATTGTAATTGACTTGAAGAGAGATTGATCATTTTCCTTCCTGTTCGTGAATGTCTTTAGGATGAAATTTGCAAGTAGAAAGATCAATAGAGATCTTTCACCAACTTTGATCCAATTAGTTGCAATACTAGTACTGTTGTCATCTCCAGAGGATGCTGATGAAAACCAAGTCAAGAATTTAGCAAGGATCGATTGATCTTCGGTTTGTATAGTTGACATGTTTTTTTCAAATCTATCGTACATGAAGATTTAATGAACGATAATGGCTTTGTAATCCACAGCTCATGTGAATCCATCAAGTAAACAAGAACAAGAATTTCCATTAACAAAATATTAATATTCAAAATTTGAAAGTATTCAAAGAGATGATTGTTGTGAGAGTTTTAATTTGATTGAAACAAAGAATAAAAATAATGAAAACTTCAACAACTTGCAAACTCATGATGAGAAGAATTTTATCTTCTACCACAACATCCTCAAGAAATGTAATATTCTCCAGAGTTAATTTCAATAATTCAACAACAAATCATCATCATCAGTATCATCACTGTGAACATTTCCCAGCTTTATCGGGATTAACAACATGTTGTTATCATACCAATTTGACAAATAATAATAAGAGACAAGAACAAAGAATACTCGATGAAAAAACAGCAATTATTGTAGAGTCTTTTAAAAAGTTGTGTATTGAAAATGAAATTCCACTCCCTCTTGATGATAAAACTCTTCTCACTTCCATTGTTCAAACAAGAGGTTTGTCATCGGAAGGTTCTCGATTGAATTTTGTTGGAAGAAATGTAACTGCATTGTGTGTAGCTGATTACTTGTTTGCTCACTTTCCTAATCTCACTCATGATCATCTTGTGATGGCCACTTTAGAGTTTTTAAAGAATAGAACCATTGTTCAAGTGGCAAAGAGTTTAAAATTGGATGGTTTATTGTCATCCTCACTGACTTTGGTTGCTTCATCAAATAATTTGAATAATAGAGATGATAGTGATTTGGATAATCCTCCAATTGATTCAGAAGTTACAGGAAGTGGATTGAATATTGAAAGAAATAATTTGGATTCACTTTTAGTATTTTCAATTTATAGAATGGTTGGAGCACTCTTTGAACAACATGGATTGATGGAAGCTAGAAAATTCATTGTGAGGAATCTCATTGCTCAGAGTATTGATATTACAGCCATGTTACAATATTTTGATCCAAAAACTCAATTAGCTCAGATGGTACGAACTGGTGAAATGCATGAACATGCTCATAAAACAGTACAATACAAGGAAGTTTCCAAAGACGAAAAGAGATTTGTCACAGTTCATGTCTATGTTGATAATGATGTCATTGGAGAAGGAACTGGACAAACTAAAAAGATTGCTGAACAAAAAGCAGCCCAAGATGCACTCAATAAGTGGTTCTCTCATTATTATAGTGCTCCAACTCCACTTCAAAAATTCAATTAAACCAATCAGTGTTTAATCAATATTTTACAATTTTTAATAATTTACTAAAAAATGTCTGAAAGTAATAACACCACAACGGAATCTGTAGAGAATTTGCCATTCTCCAAAAGGCATCCATACGTTTATAGTGCCCAACAAGGTCTTGCAGTTGGTGGTATCTTGACTCTATTTCAATCAAAGCAAGCCACTGGAAACTATTCACTCTCCAACATTAAAATGTCTCATCTCGGAAAGAATCTAGCATTGGCTGCCTCTATTTTCGTTGGATTAGACTTTATGGTCGATCGTTCCGTAGCTTACTTTAAAAAGAAGCAAACATCACCCTCTTCCGATAATTAATTATTTGTGATTGTGATAATATTATGATTGAATATGAAAACATATTACACTAACTACAATAACTTGCTATTTTATAAGTGATGAATGTACTATGATTCAATTCTACAACTCGTAACAACAAATTCAAAACTCCCTATCCCGAAGTGTTTAATGACCAAAAGCAAAGAAAATGGAAAAAATTGATTGAATTGAAAAATTGAGAAATTAAATAAAATTTGAAAAAAAATGATGAAACGTATCTGCAGCAGAGTTCCTTCAGTCTTGTGTGGCAAGCAAAATATGATGATTTGTAATGGTGTTACCACTACTAGATCCATGTTTACTTGTACTAATTTCTTGAGAGCTCCACCAACGGAACTTATCAAACAATTGAGAGCCGAAACTGATGCTCCTTTAGGACAAGTTAGAAAAGCCCTCGAAGAAAGTGATAATGATATTAAAAAGGCTAAGGAATGGCTCAGACAAAAAGGTCTTCAAACAGCTGCTAAGAAATCAGCAAGATCTACACAAGAAGGTATTATTGGTATTCAACAAAATGGTAATGAAAGAGGTGTTCTCTTTGAAGTTAACAGTGAAACTGACTTTGTTATTAACTCGGATGTTTTCAAGGGTGTTGTTGACGAATGTTTGGATGTTTTGGTAAAATCAAAGTTTGAAAAGAATGAATATTCAGTTGAACAAGATGAACAATCATTCAATCAACAAGTTGCTGAAAATTCAGCACTTTTTGAAAATGGAGTTTCAATCAAACAAAAATTCACTGAACTTGTTGCTGTTTTACGTGAAAATGTAAAGGCCAGAAGAGTTAAATTCATTAATAATATCGATTCCTCATCTCAATTAGTTGGATATCTTCATAATAGTAAGACCTCAAAGATTGGTGGTGTTGGTGCTTTTGTCATTGTTAAAGCTGCTCCAAATTCAACCAAGACTGCTGAACAATTACAATCTGCTGGTAGACAAATTGCCATGCACATTTGTGGTATGGGTCCAAATTATTTAACAAAGGATCAAGTTCCAGCTGAAGTTTTGTCTCATGAACGTGAATTATTAATCAAGAGACTCGAGGAACAAAATATGGAAGAAAAGAAGAAGGCTGAAGAAGCTGGTAAGGAATATAAGCCAAAACCACAAAACATTTTGAATATGATGATTGAAGGTCAATTGAATAAGCAATTCCTTGCTGACCATGTCTTGTTGCTTCAACCTTGGGTTTTAGATCAAAAGATGTCAGTTCAACAATTTTTGAAAGAAGAAGGTATTGAAGTTGTTGATTTTATTAGAATGAAGGTTGGTGAAGGTATGGCTTACCAAGCAAAGAAATCTTTCGCTGAAGAAGTTGCTGAACAAGTTGGTCAAAAGTAAATAAAAAACGTTTCAACATTTCCAAAATATGTTAAATATTTCTAAATTTGTATTTTTTTCAACATTTCCAAAATTAAACAAAAATTTTGAAACTCTATTTTATAATTTTACAGATTATTCGTAACATGGATCTACTCAATCCATATTGTATTGTATTGTTGTTTAAAATTTTTACATAACCAATTGGTACAAGTCATTTACAAGTTGGCTTTCGAATACCTTGTACTTTGTTCCAGTCCAAGTACCAACCACGTCTAACTTCTTAAGAGCTTTATCGACATCTTCTCTAGTGTGAGCAGCAGAAACGCAGAAACGAACTCTTGAGCAGAGTGTGTCACAAGCTGGAGCACCAACAACGACAACAGCAATACCTTGTTCAAGACTCATTCTAGAGAATGCTGGCATCTTAGCAGGATTGTATAACATGGTAATAATGACAGGTGAGTCAACATCACTGATAACTTCAAATCCGAGCTTCTTAAGACCTTCTCTGAGATAGTTAGAAGTATCATTAAGTTGGAAGAGCTTAGTCTTACCAATGTCAGTACCATCATCACCAGTAATAACCTTAAGAGCAGAGAGAGCTTGTTGAGCACATGGAATAGGTAAACTACTACCATAAACAAGACCATAACTGTTCTTTCTAAGATAAGTAATAACTTCCTTATCTGCAGCAATGTATCCTCCAACACTTCCAAAACTCTTAGTAAAAGTACCCATCAAAATATCCACATCAGCAGGTGAAACTCCACAGTAATCACAGACACCTCTTCCATTCTTACCAAGAGCACCAATAGAGTGGGCTTCATCAACATACAAATAACAACCATACTTCTTCTTGATTTCAACAGCACGCTTCAAATTGACAATTTCTCCTTCCATACTGTAAATACCTTCAACGATAATGATAATCTTCTTCCAAGGTCTATGAGTTACAGGTTGTCCTTCAATAATACTCTTTCTGACAATCTTTTCCAAGTGATCCATGTCATTGTGTTTAAAAACAGTAACTTTAGCACCACCAGTAGATCTGACACCAGCAACAATACTAGTGTGATTCAATTGGTCACTAATAATTAAACAATCAGGTGTTGGTGCCAACAATGGGATGGTAGTACTGTTAGTAGCAAAACCCATAGAGAAAACAATAGAATCTTCCTTTCCAACAAACTTGGCAGTCATATCTTCCAATTCCTTGTGAATTTTAGAATAACCAAAATCTCCATAAGCAGAAGCGGAAGCAGGACCATATTGATCAATGCTCTTGAGCACATCATCAAGAACGTGCTTTGGACTATCAGCAAAGCCCAAATAATTGTAACTAGCAAGATTTAAACAATGAATTCTATCATCGGTAATTTGAATGGTCTTGTTGTAGTCGTTAGAGACACGTTTCATAACATCAATGTAAGCACCTGGTCTGCTAGAGATTGGTCTATTCCAACAATCACAAATACGACGATAGAGTCTACGAGTATAGAGGTCTTCGTATGAATGAACAAGAGGAGCAAATCCTTTTGGTGTTTGATGGATAGAACCAATAAATAATTCATGGAAAAAGTCACGGATTTGTCCCAAAAGGATGAGGACAGCATAGTTGAGGTATGTGGTAATGAGAACCCACGATGAGATATCACAATGAGTCATATTGTATGTCTATTAAACTAGAGGTTTTGTTTTTAAAAAGTAATTCGGGTAGTGTGATTTTAAAACCAGGACAAAGGTGTAAGCAACAATTTATCAGGGGTAAACCAATCACACTCACGGATATTTTTTTGGTTTGGATTATGTTTTGGGTGCGAAAATGGGCGCCAAGCACTTTGTCGTTCTTATGAGTTACCGTTGAGGAGAAAGAATTTTAAAATGAAGATTACACAGCCATTGTCCGCATTGGGTTGTGTTTTGTAACAACGGCAAACAAATATCGTTGATGAGGAAGGTGGCTAATGTGAAAAACCCTTCCATCATGATTTCCTTATCAAAGAGATTGACCAACGTTTACTGAGATTGAAAAACAATTTCGCCATTCATTTTTATTCCTTACTATTTTGTAAGAATTTCTTATTAAAACTACAATTATTCTTTTAGCATGCTTCTCTTCAGCCACTCATCAGAAGGAGATGTCAAATCAAAGTGACTATCATATTCGTTACTTTCTGCAATGTCTTCCAATTTCAATCCACTTGGAGTTGGTTGAGGTATGGAAGCAAATTCCAAAAAGCCATGTGTACTTCTAGTTGAGAAAAGTCCTTGAGGAAGGAAATCTGAAGTGTCAAGATTTGATAAATTTTGGTCATAAATGTCATTAAACGATTCTTCTAATCTGTCTATTTCCTCAGATTCTAATATCTTAGATGTTTGAGGTGTCATTGGTTTACGAAGAGCTTTGATTTGGGAGGTTTTTTGGTTGAATGTAAATTCCTTTGGTACTGTAATTTCATTCTTCCAATTTTCTCCATACTTGATTTCACGAACTGAATTCTTCTTCTTTTCACGAGCCTCAACTTGTCTTTGAACAAAATCATCAAAACCAACAGGTTCAATTGCACTCTCTTCTCCCATACTCTTTGAAAATTCATCAGGCTTCATTCTTTCTATTACTGGTTTAAAAGTACATTCTCTCATTTCTTGAACAGATTTCTCTCTTCTTTCCTTTTCCATTCGGGCTTTCCTCTTATTGTCCCAAGATACAACCCGATCGTTGAAAGATTTGTTAAGATTCTTACTTGGGATTGCAGAAATGGATGGTCTAAAAGTGCATTCTTCCATTTCCTTTTCACACTTTTCTTTTCTCTTTTCCTCAATTGCTTGCTTCTTCTTCTTTTCAAAGTTTAGCAGTTGCGTGATTCTATCTTCATTTCTTGGTTTTTCTTCCTCAATTAATTTTGATTTTTCATTGATCTGTGGTTTAAAGCTAAGGTTCAATTTGTTTGGTGAATCCTTCTTTTCTGGTCTTATCAGAAGTCTCTCCTTTGATGAAACTGGAAGTCTTGAAGCAATTTCTTCAGAAACTGGATTAATTTTTGGATAGTGGAGCATATTCTCTCTTTCAAGCAACTTTTCCAATCTTTCGTACCTCTTCATTCGAAAGTGTTCCTCCTTGTGGAATAAGTCTTCATATACAGTGTCATCTCTTTCTATATCTGTCAAGTTAATCTTTGGATTGAAATCGTAGAGTCTCTTTTCTTCTTCTAATTGTTGCATTGAAATTTCTTGCTTCTTCTCATTCATTTTAAAGCTCAATTGGTAAAGACGATCAGTGACACTTCCATCTCTCATAATTTTAGCTGCCTGGGCTGTAATCTTGGGTGTCATTGGGGCAATTTGTCCAAAATAATCTTCAGTCATTTCTGCAACTCGTTGCTGTCTCAAGAATTCCTTCCTTTCAAAAGATTCTTCAAGAGACAAATTGTTATCTTTCGCTTTTTTCTTATTTATAATTTTAAGGGTTCTAGGATTAAGTTTTGGTTTGAAAACCTCTTCAACCATTTCCTTCTCCTCTTTCATTTCTCTCAGTCTGTTGAGCTTCTCATCTCGTTCTCTTTCCCAAGCTCTATTGATTTCATTCACATCCTCCCTTCCTCGCATACTTTGTCCTAATTTCGAAATCGCAGGCTTGAAAGAAAGCTCTTCACTTATTTCTTGCCTTTGATTTTCAATATTATCTTTTCTTAATCTTTCCTTTTCCTCGAATCTTTCCATTAGATTAGAGTTATTACTGAAATCATGTTAATCACCTTAATGCATTTCAAATTGGTGAACTTACTTTGCTATTCTCCTAGATAAATCACTTATATTTGGCTGGAAGGTATTCTATTCGGAAAAGATATCAATAATCAACAAAATTAGTAATAACACACATACCTCACTAAAGTACCTATCCCTTAGCTGTTCCTTTTTGTCTTCCATTTCCTTTCCTTTTTGTATAAGCTTCTCCTCAATAGGTTCCCCCCTTCCAGAGTTTCTGGATCGCGAAGAGAGAGATCCTTCATTCTCGTCGTCGGAGTCTGAAATTGCAGAGGCATTTAATTTCAACTTGTTGATGATTGCTTCCACACTTTCTCCATCTTTTTGTTGTTGTTGAGGTTTTGTTGAAAAATTTACAATACCTACCATCAATGTTCTTAATCTTTCTTTGTGAAGATAAATCCACGTTGAATGATGAATCTGAAGATGGTCTGGGAGATCTTTGGCTATCAGATAATAGCCATTCCTTATGCTTAGCCAGCTTTTTTCTATGCTCCTCTAATTTTGCATCGCTTATTATAACATTAAGGCTTTCGTGTTTTTCATCAAACTTACATTGATTTACTAAGCGAGTATTCTACCAAAACGTTGCTCATTTTTTTTAATATGATTACTGTTATTTCTCTCTGTTTTTCAAATCCGTAACGGTTTCAAGACAATTCTTTGTAAATTTATTAGAAATATTTTCTTTTTGATCCGCAAGCCGTCATAGCTCAGTTGGATAGAGCACAGGACTTCTAATCCTGGGGTCGTGGGTTCGAGCCCCATTGTCGGTAATTTCTTTTGTGTTTTTGTTTTTTCAGAAGGCCTAGCAACAACATGTTGTAGAGCTCCATATTTGATAATGTTAGTAACTTGAAACAAGTCAATCATTTCCTTATTACAATAATTTCTTTAAACGCACATTATTGTAATTTCTGTCTCTGATACCAAAACATGTTCTCGACCAATTATCCACCAAACATATTTCAGCCACAAAAAAATGTCGAAATTAATACCAAAACTAAGCTCGATTCAATCCTGCTTCCGAAAGAATCATCACCACGCTTCCAATCTTTTGAAAATAGCTCAAGGGTCATCCACAATAACAACTTACAGGAGCACTAAATCATCAGTTCAAAATACCAATTTGTTAGTTGTTAATAATAATAATAATAGCAATAGACACTTTTCATACTCACAAAAGCAACATCAAGAATACAAATCGTCATCCTCTAATGAAAAATTACCACAATTTAATATTCCCAAGTCGTTGTTAGCATTGATTTTGTTTGCATCGATTGGAACTGTCGGAGCAACACTGCTCAAGTCAGATGACAATAATTTAATTGTTTACATCAATGCAGAAGAGGAAGCAACACAAGAAAGCAATTTGGAAAATACTCAATATTTTACTTTGGATCAAGTTGCAAATCATAACTCTCTTCAAAATGGTATTTGGGTTATCTTTAAAGGAGGTGTCTATAATGTCACAGAGTTTATTGAAGGCCACCCTGGTGGCACCGACAAGATTATGTTAGCCGCTGGTAAATCCATTGAACCATTCTGGGAAATTTACAGACAGCATCACACTAAGGAAGTTTATGAGATATTGTCTCAGTATAAGATTGGAGAATTACATCCAGAAGATGCCAAAAAGCTGAAAGAACAATTTGAGCAACAGAAAAGTAATTCCAATGATATTTATGCCAATGATCCTGCAAGAAATCCAATTCTTGTTGTGAATATGCAAAAGCCATTCAATGCTGAAACTCCACCTACTCTCCTTTGTGATAAGTACATTACTCCAAATGAGTTATTCTTTATTAGAAACCATTTACCAGTGCCAAGTATTGATCCATCAACCTATGTTTTGGAAATTACTGGTGAAACTTTGAAAGATGGTCCAATTAAACTCACTTTAGATGATTTGAAGAATGGTGAAAAATTCAAACAACACACCTTAACTGTTGCCTTGCAATGTGCTGGTAATAGAAGAACTGAAATGTCTTGCTACAAGGCACCAAGAGGTCTCGGTTGGACCAATGCAGCAGTTGGTAATGCCATGTGGACTGGTGTTAAACTTGTCGATATTTTGGAGGCCTATGGAATTACTGAGGATAAGATTTTACAAGATGGAAAAGTCAAACATGTAGAATTTGTTGGAGCTGATACTGATGGAATTTCCACATATGCCACTTCAATTCCAGCAGATAGAGCCTTATCTAATAAGGCAGATGTCTTGTTGGCATTCAAAATGAATGGAGAAGATATCCCAATTGATCATGGTTTCCCAATCAGAGCCATTGTACCAGGAGCTATTGGTGCAAGAAATGTCAAATGGTTATCCAAAATTATCTTGTCTGAACAAGAGAGTCAATCTGTATGGCAACAAAAAGATTACAAAACATTTTCACCATCTACAGATTGGGATAATGCAGACTTTTCCAAATCAAGTGCAGTTCATGATGCTCCAGTTCAATCAGCAATCTGTGTTCCTTCGCCAGATTCTAGAATTGCATCTGATTCTGAAACCATAGTTGTGAAGGGTTATGCCTTGGCAGGTTCTGGAAATGGTATTGAAAGAGTTGACATTACAACAGATAATGGAACTACTTGGCATACAGCTCAATTAGAAAGAGAACCACTCAAATATAATAGAAATTATGGATGGACATTGTGGCAAGTTGAAGTTCCACTCTCTGAAAAGGACATTACGGAAGGAAAACTTAAACTCTGCTCCAAGGCAGTTGATACAGCTTACAATGTACAACCTGAAGATGTTAAGAGTATTTGGAATATTAGAGGAATTCTCAATAATACTTGGCATTGTGTTAATGTCTCAATTGAGAATAAGAAGGAATAAATTTTTCAATACTAATTGAGTGAATACATTCATAACGATCTGATTGCATTAATTTCTTAATTTTAAAAAAAATCAAAAAATAAATTTAAAAAAATGGCCAAAACGAAGAAGGAAATACAATCATCGGGAGCCACTGATGAGGATGCCATTCTCAAGGAACAAAAATTACACGTCATATTGGAAGACCGTTTATTTCACGAAACAGCTCGTACACTCATATCTGATGATGCTCAAGCCTACTCACAAGCTGTAGATCCAAATCATGCTAAAAACATGGCATTTGAAAATAGTATCACTTATCATCCTCACGGAATTAAGAGAAAAAGAATCGGAGGTGGATTTTCTAAAGCAAAGAAGGAAGGAGATGAAGATGCTTCAACATCTTACAAAGTTTTCTGTTGTTGTTTCTATTTTGGAAATCGTTATTTGAAACTCAGTTTTGCTCAAGTAATGATGACCATCATTATTGCCATGATTGCCTTTGTTGCTTATCTCAAGTTAACAGAAAATGTATTCTTCTTCCAAACTGTACACGATTTAGAGGAAATTGATTATTATCAACTTTTGGAAGTACCACGAAATGCCAATGCCAAGGTTATCAAGAGAGCCCACAGAGAACAAACAAAAAAGTGGCATCCTGATCGTAATCCTGGATGTGAAGAATGTGTAAAGAAAATGACTTTGATATCGGAAGCTTATACTGTTTTAACTAACAAGGAATTAGCAGATTGGCACGTAGCCAATGGACTTCGTGTGCCTGAAACTATGCTTAAGAAATATGCCAGGGCAAAGAATTAATTTTCGAGAGAGTTTTTTGTATTTAATAAAGTCAAGCTCACAAGATGTTAAACTTGATTCTACTAACTCAATCAAACAATTAAAATTAAGGAAACCTCCCATAAGAAAAAGAAAGACTGCTAGTGTACCTACCAACAAAAGGGCAAAATCAGACAATTCTCAAACCAATCTTTAGATATTAATATTTCTTAAGAACTCACTGGCCAAAACACAATCACTCATTGATCTGTTAGGTTAAGAGGAATGAATTAAATTATTAAAGTTTTTTAATATGGAGCTGTTGTGGAAATAGATAGGCCTGTTTGTGAATTGACTATTGTTCACCTCAGTCCATGCCCACCGTCTATCACTCATAATTAAATAATAGATTTCTTAATAGCTTCAGCATCAGTTAAGAGTAACTTCTCAATAATAGAATTAGATGATGAAGAAGCAGCTGCCAAGCAACAATCTTCAGTCGTTGTTAATGTTTCTAATGATACAGGAGTTGTAATGGTGTGAATTTTCGTATCAATTTCTGATTGTGAGTTGAAGAGTTGTGTTCTTTTAGGGATGACTTGCTTTAGAAATTGATGATAATTGGAAGACTTGTGTGAAGTGTTATTCTTGAGTTTCTACTAAGATTGAACTTGTGCTTTCTCCCATACCTAATTCAGTTGGATGACTATTATCGAGATGTATTTCTGATTGTGAGTCTTTGTTGATAAAATTTAACAGTATCTCAAAATCCTTAGTCAAGCAATCTTGGCTTATTTGACAGTTTAATACTGCCAATGACTTGGGAAATGCACAGTTTAAAATAGAATCAAAAAAATGTCTTCATCATCAGATGCCACTATCTTGTTAAACCTTCTCAAGAAGGTGATGGACGCACAAGATGAAAGAATTTTGGCTTACAAGACATTCGATAGGTTTGTATTATCATTCAATCAAAAACCAACATCTTCGGAACGTATTATTATTAATTATCATCTGATCATCAATTAATCCGATCATGATTGTGTTATTGTTGTGATTATTGCTCAGCTCTTTCAAATCATTCAAGGCTAATCCAAATGACAAGATGGAAATATTAAAATACAACAGAGTTGTGGAAAGTACAACAATGGAGTTTCAGGAAATTTCCTTGACCATCAGACAAGCACAAAAAGAATTGAAGGAAATTGGAGATGAGAAATATAGTGGATTAATTGATCAATTACAAAATTTGGAGAGAGAAAAACTTCAAATTGTGAGTTTTATATTGTAAATAATTTATTGGAAGGCAAATTTAATTATGATCATATTATGACAATTCTGGAAATGATTTAGACAATTAATATTCAAAAAGTTGAACAATTTGTTGAGGAGGAAAAGAAGAAATTGGCTTGTGATCATGACGAAAAGTGTAGACACAATCACCAAGATGAAGAGGAACTTGGGGGTGCCAAGTTGACTCTCTTATTGGAAGATTTGAAAAAGTTTATAGTCCGTGAATCAGAACTTATTGAACAAATTAACGAAATTTTAGAAGAATTCAGATGTGATATATTGGAATTGAAATCATCATTGTAGAGACTTGAAGATTCAAACATAATATTTGAAATGAGCTTGATTGAAAAGTTTCAAACAATCAAAACAGATTATTGAGACTCTTTTAAAGAATTTTATTAGAAATTTATAGACCGTATTAGAATGATAATAAACAAACTATTGTTTACTTCAAATCATTTACAAGTGTTCCATCATATAAAGTGAGGAAAAATGATTAGTAAGTTCATTGTAAACTAGTAACAATTTCTGAATTGAATAAAATCCAACTTTGAAAATCCTTTTCAATTTCGAACTTGGAACTCACACTTCACCACTTTCCTGAGCTATTTAAAAATCGTTGATCAACACCACTTCCAAACCAAAAAAAATCAAACAATTTATTCTTCTCCTCCTTCACATTACAATCAATCTCTTGATCAAAAAATGAAAGTATCTGAAAGTGCTCTTCAAAAATTCGAAACTCTCTTGTCCAACTTTGCCCCACAAAGTGTCAATTTAAGTGTTCAAATCGATGCTGGTCACTTACCAACCGATCAAATTGGTGTTCAATGCGAAATTCCATTCCTTGTTCGATTGCTATCAGGTAATTTACCACCACAAGAAGAAGAAGCAGAAACAACCAATGTCTTGAAAACTCCTGTAAATATTTGTCTAGTTTTGGATATTTCTGGTTCCATGGATGAACCTTTAAAGAATAGATCGAAGGGATCTAAATTGACTGCCTGTAAATCTGCTATTCGTGAATTGGTCACCAATTTCTTAACCTACAAGGATACTATTCACTTGATCACATATAGTGATAGTCCAAAAACTGTTTTTACAGAAAAGAATAAGGAATCAGTCAACTTGAATGATATTGATAAGATTAGTACTGAGGGAAGTACTAATATTGCCTCTGCTTTGCATTCTGCTGTTGATTTGCTTCATAATTCAAATGCTCCTGGAACTAAATTGATTGCCTTCTTCTCAGATGGTCAATGTAATGTTGGCGAAACTAATTTAAACATTTTTGGTTCTGGATTATTGAAGAAATTGAAAGATTATTCTGAAGGAAAAGATGATCAAATTCACATCTCTTCATATGGTGTTGGAAGTGATTATGATGAATTGTGGCTTCAAGCAATTGCTAGAACTGGTAAAGGAGAGTATTATTATTTGGAAGACGAAACCTATGCCAAAGATGCATTCGAAAGATCACTTAAAAAGTACAAGTATCAAATTGGTAAAAAGTTTAATGTGACAGTTTCTGGATTGAATGGAGTAACTGTCAAATCATTTAATAGAAAGTCAGATTTGAATTCACTTATTAGTGGAGTTTCTCTTGGTGGATTATTTTGTAGAGATTTGCGTTTTATTGAGGGTGTTTTAGTTTACAATCCACAAAATTCAGCAACCTTAGAAGCCCTTAAACAATTAGATTCGAATAATGGTTTACCAATGTTGAAAGTTGACTATTCCTACATTAGTAACACTGATGAACAAATTGTCAAGAGTGTCAATTACATTCACACAAGATTTGCCTCCAACACTAGTGAACTCTCCACTCAATTGAAACTTTATGAAACCAGTGCCGAAAGAAATGACTTTACCGTCCAAAATTCCATCCTCTCCATTGCCGATCTCCAAGTTCAATTCAACCAATTATTAGAACAACACAACTCTGAAAAAGCTTTGGAATTGGCCAAACAAATCGAGGAGAAATATAAGGAACTCGTTGAGAAGGATCAGTACGGAATTGTTGAACAATTGTACACACAAGCTGTTCATCAACGTTCAGAATTGGAAAAGCACGGAATTTCTGAGAGTTACAAGAAGGTTGTTTCAAAGAGTGCAAGTGTGGCATTGAAAGTTTCAAAGAAGGAAGCTAAGGCTCAATATGAATGTGAATATGATGATTGTGAAGATGAGGAAGCTTATGGTGGATTGTTTTAAATAAATCATTTTGCTTTAATATATTTGGCACTGGTTTTTAAATAGTAAGTATTATAATATTTAAATAGTTTACAATAAAGTTAAATAGTTGGTTGTATGCCAAAATTATGGAGAATACAAAAAAATGAATCAACACTCAAACGAGGAGGAGGACTCATTTTCCTTACTCAATACTTCTCATACTGTTGCTGCTGATATTGATGATGAAGAAGAAGAATTTAATCATTCCGATGATGAAAGAAATGATTGGATTAAAACTAATAGAAAATACACAGAGAAGGAAATAATGATGAATAATGGTGAAAGTGCTATTGTTTATTTGAGTGGATTGGATTCTAGTTTGGATAAAAGTTTGCTGGAAACACTTTGTGTACATATTGAGGGTTTGATTGGACCAGTGGTGGGAAAATCGAAAATGGTTCAACATCCGAATTTTCCAAACCAATTTCATATATCAAAGAGTGCTCACTTTATGGTGGGTGTGTTTAAGGAGAGGATTGATCAAAAGAAGAGTGAGATTCGAGAGAAGAAAAAGGTAATTTCTCAATCGAATGGACAACTTTCGGAGGAATATAGTTTCTTGTTGATTCAGGAATTGATTTCAAAACATGTGAGTGCTGTGGAGGATCAATCGGGTGTTTTTATTTATTGTTTGAATAGAATGTACTCAATTATGCGAAAGGAGTTTGAAAATATTTCTACAAGTAGAAATAGGATGAAAATGCAAAAGGAGCTCAGTATGGCAATCAATTATTTTGTTCAGATCTTATTACCAAATGTAATTTTGAATGAATTAATTGATGACTGCTTTGATCCATTTGAGGAAGTACAAAAAACCTACAATTTGTGTTTCTCCTTTCTGGTGCCACATGTAAATAATCAAATAGCTCACACCCTTTCTAAAACAATGATGGATTGGCTACTCTCACTGGAAACTGAAACAATTTACAAACTCTCCAAAGATAGAAAGTTGTTCGATTTCTTTGTGAATGCTATTCCTCTTGCACCAACAGAAAATAATACCAAAGTATTGCCAGGAATACTAGTTGGAGAATGTTCATATATTTATCCTAAATCATACAATGTGAAACAAAACATGATTATGAATTGTATAGCTATCAAACAAATTGAAAGATCCAATAAGAATATTCAAATAGATATCGAGTCAGACATTTCCACATTACAGAAGGAGGTGTTAATTAATGTAAAACAATTTGTATTAATTTTACAACAGTATAATATTAAGGTTGTCATATTCGAGGATATTATTGATGATTTTTTACTTTTTGAGTTGACCAAATACGACATTATTTGTGTCCATCATGTTCCAGATATTGATATGGTCTGTGAGACATTCCGAGTTATTCCTCTCACTATTCATACCCTTACAAGATATAATGAGAGTAGGAAGGTGCACGAATTGATCTATTTTGGAAAATTACAGAAAGACCAAGTACCCAGTGGACACGTTTTTCAATGTAAAAACTTTAGAGAAATACCATTCACACAAACCAACAAGCTTCTCTCCATTGAACCAATTCATCAGGCAAATATTTCGAGCGTAATAATTAGAGCACCAATGGAATCTTTGGCAGAATTTTTCAAAAACCTATTTTACAAATTGCTGAAATATCTGGCAAATTCATTCAAGTTTTTAACACAGGATCCTTCCCTTCCAACAATAGCTACTGTTTCAGGAGGGTGTTATTTCGAGTGTAAATTAATTAGGATATTGAACTATGTAAAGATGAATTTTCATTCTGCTGTTCCACAACTTGGAAAGTTAATAGACATTGTTTCTCGAACCTATGAGTCATTGACAGTTCAAATCATTTCCAATTTAACAAATAATAGCGGAGGTGTTGTGTCATCTTCTAGATGTTTGGAAACTTCTCTTCACTTGCAAAACAACAATAGCATGCTGGTTTCATTTACTAATACACCCATGCAAAAGGAGACAGCAATGACACTTCAACACCTGCTTGTATCCAAAGAAACCTTAACACCATTACAGAGTTCTTTAATTTCTGAAGGACTTTTATTGTGTGAATCGAGAGAAAATATGGGAATTACAGAGTCTTTGTGTGCTAAATATGATACATTAATGAATATTTGTCTTACTATTGGAAAATTGCTTCAAGTAGATCAGTTTTTAAATAAATCATGATAAGAATGTCTCATTAAACATTGGATTCTGTATCGGAATTATTTGGTTCTTGTTCTTGATTCACATTTTCCACTTCATTTGCTAAGAATCCAAAATCAAATGCTAGTTCCAATTCACTTTCGTCCACTTCTACTATTTTCCCATCCTCACCTTCTTTGAATCTTTTCAATAGTTCAGCAGTGTCTGGTATCAGAACAAACTCTTCATCACTACATTCATTGACATTTTGAATGTTGGGATCATCTTGGTACTTGAAATGATTAATCATATCAGTATAATTATTGAAATAATTTTGATTAAATTCAGTTCTGTTAAATAGTGGATTGACCAAACAACCATCTGATTTTACCTTATCCAAAATAGATAACATCTGAGTATCTTTGATTAGGGATTGAATCTTGACGGATTGATCCCCATTCCTATATCTTTCTTTCCTTTCCATAAGGTAGAAAGCCAATGGCTCGACATCCTCCACTTTCATACATGTGTGAAATTGGTACACTAGTGGATGGGTATAATTTTGAGAGATGGCACACGAAAGCATGACCTGATCACCAAACAATTCATAAATTTTAGCCTTGATATCTGAAACCCTGTAGGTCTTTGTGAGAGAGGGAGGAAAATGTTTCAGGAATACCTTATCATCCCTTCTAAAGTAATCGAATCGCCTATGTAAGAGATACATTAAATCAAAGTAAAGCTCTGGATCACTTCTCCATACTTTTTCATTCTCAATTCTTCTATCAATCACTTCACTCATTGCATCTACAAATTTATCAACATTAAATGCCTGATCAACATAATTTTCATAAATTTGATTTGTAACACAAGTTCCATACTTGGTAAATTGATGAGCCCACAAACCAAATTTGAGAGCAGCCAAGAATTTTGATTCAGAATAAAGAATTTCAGGAATCCATCTCAATATTCTCTTTTTAGACCTATCATCATGAAAGAAATCAAAAATATGCAAAGCATTCCAATCCACTCTCCTCGCCAAATCATCAAAAGAAACCAAATCACTCATCAACAATACAGAATGAAGCTGTTTCAAGACAGCTTTAGGAATAATCCTTTCCAATTCTTCCATTTTAGTGCCATCATCAATTCTCTTCTTGAAATTAAATTGAAAATCCAAATTATCACAACATTGTGCAAATTGATGACCTCTCACTCTTGAATCTCTATTAAATCCTTTCAAACTTTGTGGAGAAAGTCTCTTATTGAAATCCTGCTTTACCACTTCTACATTACAATACTGCTTGTACTCTATATTTTGATGGCAAACAGTGGAGAGAATAGTTTGACTCAATTGATAGTGAGAATGCTTTCTAAATCCCAAATAAGGACAATGATGACCATTTCTTATTTTAGGTCCATTTCCTTTCTGTCCAGCTATTCTGCTCACATTTTCATAATTGTATTTTAATTCTTTTGGAAATATGATAAATGGATTCAATTCGGAATTTTCATGAATTTTCCAATTTTCAAATCTCAATTCTGTGAAAATTGAAAAATTGAATGGGAAATTAATGAAATTGGTATTGTCTAGTACAAAATCATGGAATCGGAAGAAGGTTTCTGTTAAAATAGATTTGATGGTAATAAGTGGATCAAGAGTTTCGTTTATAGTTTCGAAATTACTAGACGAAACGTGTAAAAGAATAACAGACGAAAGTAGGAGAGTAAATAAACTAATCACGATGAGAATAATCTTTTCCGAACACGTCAACGCAACATGATGATGACAGGTCTCGTCACTTGCCATTTTTTTTAAATATTTTACAATTATTCAAATTTCAATTACTTTTTCTTATATTTTCTTTCAAATTCCTTTCTTTCCATACTTCTCCTCAAACTTCTCTTCATTCTATCTTGTAATTGTTTTTTCTTTCGTCTAATTCTTTCAGGTGTAATCAATCGCTGAATTTTCACACCTTTCACATAATTTCAGAGAAACTGATGCCACTGTACGATCAAAAAAACATCCCATCACTCGTTTCCTTCTCCTTTCTCCATCTCTGTGTCTTCTCCATTTTTGAAATCCAAAATCTCCAGCTTTGAGAAGAACTTTAGTTTCTCCAATTTTCATCACAGATGGATGATAGCATTTACCAGTAAAATTGGTGGCTCCAGTTATTTGTAATTTACAATTTACAAGATCTGGCACATTGAATAAATCTCCAGAAATGACATCTCCAATTCGTTTGCCAACTAGTACCCACTCAGTAAATGCAGTATGATGAGCGTAATAATTATCATTCTGATACACTTTAACTTGTCCAGTAAATGGATTTGCAACTTGAATCTAAAGATGTGATCAGTATTTGATTCCGATCTTTTTACTACTCACTTTTCTCAAACTACACGATTTTGTTGTTCCACAACTCGGATACTTGTCTGCCATAACCGACCTGACATTGGCATCTTGTGACCAATAATTTGTTCCTCTCGAATATTGGGTGTCAAGTTTTTTGAAAGGATTTGATGCTGTTGGTCCAAGCACCATTCTATAGTGGCTTCCCAAGAGGATTGGAAACATTTTTTTTAATTAGTTAATGTATTACTATTTCTCCTTGTTGAGCTGACGAAAATTAATGACAAGTAAGTTGTTGCATAGTACTTTGTGTGAACATAGATCATCTCTGAAATTGAAACATCAATTTATCAAATGTATTTTAAAGACTATTTACAATAATATTCGAGTGAATTCAATTATTCTTCAATCTCTATTCTAGGTCTATTAGGATTATTATCCAAGATCCAATGAGCTAACCAATCAACTGGATTGATTGGTTTTTCTTTTGCTAACTTTGTTAATCCGTCCACTAAATATTGTTCTAAATTTTCTCTAATGTATTGATTGGCTTCGGAATTAGTAAGTATTGGATCAGTATTGATATTTGGATAAAAGAATTTAACTTCTCTTCTTGCTGCTTCTGGATCTGAGCTTCCATGACAAGCATTATAAGTTTTACTTGTTCCGTACAATGCTCTCAATGATCTAGGGAAGGAAATCTTTGCCATTTCAACATCAGTTGGTCCAATCAAATCTCTCCAAGCTTGAACAGCATTATGCTTAGCTAAAACAAGAACAATTAAAGGTCCACTCGTTATATATTCAATAAGTGTTGGAAAGAAGGATTTTCCTTCGTGTTCCCTATAAAATAATTGAACCTTCTCTTGAGATAAATGCATCTTATCCCACCTCACAATTGTAAATCCCTCATCAATAATTCTCTCCATAATTGCATCCTCATATCCCTTCGCAACAGCCTCTGGTTTTATTAGAGCCAAAGTCTTTTGAACTTCCCTTCTTCCATCAAATTCCATTTTTTTTAAAATTGTATTTGAAGCACGTTAGAAAATGGCGGGAAATTAAAATCTACAATTCATCATCGGATCATCAATTAAATATTAAAATTAATTATCTTATCAATTCTCAATGTAAAAAAGAGGAGATTATTGGTGAAGGAATATATCTTTGGCTGAAATTAAATTGATGAACAACAAAAAAAACGCCATTTGCAGAAAAGGCTTTAAAAAAGCAAAAAAAATGTTGCGGCGATTCATATTGTCATCTTCTCTTGGTTCTCATCATCGATACAATTTGATTGTTGCTGGTGGTATTGCTGCTATTGTAGCTTCATCTTCTAACAGAGGTTTAAATTCTGGTCATGGAGTAGTTGCTGAAATTTTAAGAGTTTCCGAAAATCGTTCCTATCACACTAGTCTGTGTTTACATCAAAATTCCGAGGATGTAATTCAACAAGTGTTGAGGGATCCTGAAACCAGCGATTCTATCAAGGACTTTGTTTTGGAGACTGTCAATATTGTTGAACGTAGGAATAGAAAGAAGAAAATTTCAAAGAGTGAAGATTTGGAGAATGTGGAATATTTGGAAGCAGTGAAGAAATATCAAAAGGATATCACTCAAAAGGAACCTTTGGTTATGAATAATACTGAAGAAGCTATTGACAATGTTTTTAGGAAATACCTCAAATCATCAAAATCAGCAAAACTCTCAAAAATCCTTTCTTTCTTTGTAAAATATCCAGATGTAGCAAGAACAGGAGAATTTTACAGTAGGTTCCTCCGTGCTATTGGTGAAAATTTGCAAATATCTAAAAAGATGCCAATTGAAACAATTGACAAGATTTTTGAGAAAATTCAAACCATTGATATTACTCCCGATACTTATCGTGCCTTGATTTTGTGCTATGCAAATAAGGGGAAAATGGATGCTATTCCAGGATTACTCGATAAGATGGATGCCCTAATGAAAAAAGGATTTATTTCCACAGCTCTTTCAGAAAACGAGGTCAAACAAAACAAAGACGAAAATACAGAAAAAACAAAGCAAGGACAGGTAATTACTGATAGTGAATCAGAACTTGAAAGACAAAGAAGACAGCAACTCAGAGATGAAAAAGAAAAGAAATATTTAGAATATTTGAAGCTAAGATGTACTTTCGAGTCATTTGTCCATAATATGGATCTTACTGCAGTTGAAAGATTAATTGTAATGAAAAGAAACGAATGGATTGCTAACCACAAGTACAATAGAACATATCTAAGAATGTTGTGTGACTCTCTCGAGTTTTATCTATTCAACCAAAAATATAGGCAAGCAAAGCAACTCATCAATCTTGTCTACAAGTATGAGTTACCGAGAACCAGAGGTAAAATTAGTAGTACTATTCCACTAGATGAAGATAGTTTACTCTCAATGTCAGACAAACCAACCTCATTGGATGATACTGACAGATTTTTCAACCTTCTTCTCCGATTTTACAAGGACAGCAATCGTAAATATCTATGCACTCAAAGTAAGAGAATGTCTGTCTACAAGCAACATGGAGTTAAAGTTGATGAAAAGACACACCCAATCAATGAACCATATGATCTCCCAAGAGAGGTACTTTCTACTAACAGACTTTTTGAATTAACAATTGCTGAAATGAAAAGAGAGGGCGTTCCATTTACTAAGAATATTTACAAAACTCTGAGCTCCTACTATTACAGACAACAAAATTATGAGAGATGTATTTTCTTTTTTGAAGATTGCTTAAGACATGGTATTATCCCATCCAAAACTTCATTTATTTATGCAGAAGAATCATACTTGATCACAGGGGATGTGAAAAAGGCAATGCAATGTCACCAAATGAGAGATTTGCACTATAGAATAAGTGAAATATCACCATCTATCCAGAATATGGGTGCCTCTGCTATACTGGATTATTTGTACAACTTTGAAAACCAAAAGGCTTCTAAAGGATCAGAAAAGAAGCGCAAGAGTGGATTCTTTAGTGAGTATGCTCAAAAGAAGGAGCAAGACGATGATGAAGATTTAATGAGTGAATTCATTCCAAAGGATCAAAAAAAGAATTTCAAGAAAAAGCAAGTTTATTCATTAACAGACCTCTACTTGAAATTATCAGATGCTGCCAAAAATCAAGAAAATTGAAAATAAATAGTTAAACTTCTTGTACTTCATTGTCACTTGATGAATCGCTTTCAAAATCTGAGTAATGGAATCGTTCTACTTGCATTGAGGATACTGTTCCCATCCTCTCTAGTTCTTCATTTTGGATTGGTTTTACCTCCTCTGCTAGTACATTAGGTTGACTGCTTGACCCGTTGGAAGAGGAGCCTAGATTACCTGCGCTGTTAAGCATGTTGTTTGTCCAGGATTTTTCGAAAAATCTATCTTTGCATTTCTTATCAGCCAACATACTTTTGACATCGTGTCTATGCCCAAGCAAGAATAGCACATCAGTATCTTTTAACATACACTTTAGAGATGGGTTTGTGTAAATGTATCTTTCATCCGATCTATTAACCTTAACTCTACTAAGGGCCATGAGAATAAGATTGTAATCATAGCAAACAGTCATTAAATTGAGCACACTTTGGTTTGCAAAAAACGATGGAAGTGGTATTTCAATCATTACAGATTGATGATCGCCAGCAGAAAACTCATCCGAACATAATTGATCAACAATATCTACTATTCTCTTATTATGATAAGATTGGGCCAACAGCTTACTTAGGAAAGAAGAGGATGGGAAAATCTTTCCAGAGATATAATAATCTGAAAATAAGCAAAATTGATCGAAATCATCCAAATCATAATCAACCACATGATCTCTCATTAGCTTTTTGACTTTGAGATGGGTTGGAATTCCTTGGTGTTGAAAAAATTTCATATTTGCCCTATTTACAAGTTCTATTTAGAGTTATTGTCATTGCTAATTCCAAAATACATACCAATAACATAATTCTTAGTCTTGTTGATAACTGAAAATTCGAGTGAGAGTTTGATCGCATCAGCGTCAACCTTGTACTCATTGTATGAGTTTGTCGAGGTATCAACTTCTTCAGTTGTGAAATATAGCACTGATTGGGAAACCTCGAATCCAGCTTTTGATAAATCTGAATGATTCAATAAGCTTCCTCTTATTAAATACACCAAATTGAATTTTTTCAATCTGTTGTAAATTGTTTCAACCTGGTCGTCTGAGCCTTCACTTAGGAAAAGAATAGGTACTGAACGATAATGTCTTTGCAATGATCTTGTCATTGAACAAATTATTTCAGGTTGTCTAAAATCTCCTAAAATAATGAGATGGTCCTTTAAATCAATGTCCTTATAGCTATTGATAAAGAACTCTTCTTGGGGTCTGTCATTGTCCAAAACGTTATAATTATCACAAAGTGTTTGATAGAAATTATTTTCTCTCTCAGAAAGCTGTTCGCCTGTATATAATTTCCTAATAGTTTCCAAGTAGTGTCTCTTTTCTCTAAAATACTTCTCAGGAGCAATTAGCTTCAACAGGATTTCTAAATGAGTTTTTTCATCGTCCTCTTTTGGCCGTAAAAGGTGGATGTCTACCACTCTATCACTTCTTGCTTTGAGGAGTTTTTTGGTATTATCAAGTTTTGGTTTGAGCTTGAGTTTTCTTGCTTTTTTCTTTGGCTCCTCCTTCTCTACGGTTTCATTTTGACGTAAGAAATCAACAAAATGAGATTCAAAAGCCATAATATCGTTATTTTCTTGCTTTGACCCCCATCTATAATCTATTCTTTCAACCTCAACCTTGTTTGATTTGATATTTTCCAAATCCTTTTGTGAGATGACATATTTTTCGACAATCTCTGCATACTTGATACTTGGAGCAATGCAAAAGCATTTATCACCTTCTCTAATCTTATATTTTGCTGGGTTGATAAAAATCAAACCGTTTGATTCAATAGCAAAAATAATAACAGCAGACCTTCTCAATAATTCAGCAACATCAATGAATAAATATCCATAAAACACTGAGCTAAAGTGAACCTTATATATTTCACATGATAGCCCCTCAGCATATTCAATAATCCATCCAATATCATTCTCTTCTGGAGATATCTTCTTTGAAAATCTATAATGTTTAGTTTTACGATAGTCAATCTTAACATCTGCTCCACTTAGAAGATTATACAAGAATGGTCCAAAAACAGAAGAAGCTGAGCACGCCGACATAATCTTTGAGCAAACAGACTCGTAACAAACAACTACCTTAGCACCAGCTTTTTGTATCAAACTTCTCGATTCTAATAAATTAATTTGGGCATACACTTTAAGCCTTGGATTGAAGTTTCTTAAAGAGATTGTTGTCATAATTACGTTAGTGTCTTGTTGTTTAGGGTCATCAGATTTTGGACTGTTTAATAGAAACACACTGCTAGCCTCCCCAACTCTCAATAAGGTCATAACTTCAAAATCCATTATTTCTCCGTGTAGAACATGTAGTTTGTTGAGAAATGAGAACGATTTCAAATTTTCCTCTAAATCTTCACAAAATTTCTTATCCTTAAATAGTACTATATGGCTCAATTGATATTCCACTTGGTTGATACTTACAAACAATCTTGTTACCAGTTCTTTTCTTGTACTGAAAGCATTCCTTAATAAAGTCAATTACTTCATCCAATCTACAGTTTCCTGTTATTATGGTATGTTTAGAAATTGTTGAGTTTTTAACTCTAAAAAGAGTTCTGTCAGAAGTGACAATATCGTAAATTTGGGATATTTGAATGGGAATGAGAGATACACCAATTAAGAAGAATACAAGAACAGTTAGCCTCGATGTCCAATGTGAAGGAGACTAGGCAGGATGTTAATATTCTATGATTATCATTCTAAAACTTACAATATCACCATATCCAATAGTGAAGAGTGTAATTCCCATAAAATAGAATGCGTCATGAAAGTAAATTCCTCTATTCATAAAATAATTTTCCAACCACTGAAAAATTCCTGTAAATATAACCATCAAGCAAGCAACTGTAAGTCCCAAATCGGCAACTTTAATATATACTGAGTTTACTCCTCCACCTTGTGCAATTTTCTTAATGTGAGGAATGATTCTCAACAATCTAAACACTCTAAGAATGGATACAATTGAGTAAACATCACTGACAATATCCCAACCATCTGGGATTAAGGCTATTAAATTAATAACGAGTGCAGGAATAATTGTGATATAGTCCAATATCGAGAGGGGAAGAAAAAAGAATAATTTCCTTTGTTTCAATGTTTCAACTAATCTACAAATTTCAACTTACTTGTTTTTGGCCATTACAAAATTGGTCCAGAAGAAGAATGAGAAAATAAACGAGAACATCAAGTCCAGAATAATAAGGGCTGTCATTCTTTCTCCGAAATCTAATTGGATATAGGTCGAAATGATAAAGAAAATGGCAGTCAAAATTGATAACACCATTTGAAAGATTTCCACATCAATATAAAAGTCCTTGACTATATCCCAAAAAGACTGTTTTTCCTCTATTTCCATCGCCTGTACTCCCTCTGACAGCCTCACTCGTTCATTCAAATCTCTTATTTGCCCATTAACATCAGTTTGTTCCTTTTGAACTTTCCGAAAAATCATATTCCTAAATTCTTGAGCATGTTTCTGATAGTCATTAGTGTCTGTTGTATTATTGTCATGTTCAATGGGAGAACGAGAGCCATTAGTTCTCCTCTCCGTTGTTGAGGTTATTTGAAACGCCTTATTGTACATTTTTTTTGAATGAACCTCTTGGATTTTGGCGCCAATTCAGAGATTTTTTTTAGAGTTTTTTGCTTTATTGATAGTACACCAGTTCTGAACTTGAACAAAGCCAATAAGAATCAATAATTTGAAAAAAAAGAAGATTAAGTTTACAATTATTCTTGCTAGTTGAAAGTAATACAATTCCAGGAATTATTGTTGATTTTTGGTTGCTTGGAACCAGTTGGCGCCAAAATGTTTTAGTTAAAAAATTTTAAAAAAAAAGACGCGAATGCCAGCAAACCATCACGAAGAAAGACGTAGGAAAAAAGTAGCACTCGGAATTGTAAAACAACGTTTAAGTCTCAAGAATGGGATTACACGACGTGTTTCATTGCATACTAAGAGGGAGTCCACTTCTTCAGCACCAACGGATTCTAATCACTTGGCTGATGAAAACACTTATGAATATGTTTTGTCTAAATTATTTCCCAATGGAATTAAATTGAAAAAGTAAGTCAAGAAGAGATTTGTATTGTTGGAATATAAATTTTAGAAATGATCAAGATTTAATTGAGGGAACCAATATAATATGTTGTAAATATGTGTTGAAAGTATTGGATTTGGATTTTTATAATTCAGTTATTAATAATCAACGTGTATTGAAATTGTTAAACCTGAATCAACAAAATATAGTTCAGGAATTAGTTGATTTAATCATGTATGAAAGGGATATTACTCAATTAAGATCATTTGCTTTAGTTGATTTGTTGGTTGTTCTGGGAATGATAAAAGGATATGGCTTTATCAAAATTACACGAGTGAATATAGACAGGTTTATGTCATCGTTCAAAGATGAAAAAAGTACTGCCCAAATGCTTGAAACTGTTTCCAATGCTAAAGATATTTCAGTAATTAACAATCCATTACTGGATCAAATGTTTGAATACTCGCTTAGTATGGCAGCCGAATATATGAAAAGAACTTCAACAATACTCTCCTTCCCAATAATTCAAAAACATCTACAACTAATAGCTTCCAAACTTCCACTCCCACTTTCGCCAATTATTCTGAAAGAAAAAGGTACCGAAAGAGGGAATATTAGTAGTTTATTCGATCAAAGAGAGACAAGCGACATTTCTATCAAAATTGGATCGAAAATATTATATTGTCACAAAACAATTCTTGCCTCAAGCTCTATTTTCTTTGAGGGGCTTTTCAATAGTGGATCTGAATTTAAGGAATTGAAAAATAATGTGCTAGAAATAGATACTAGTATATATGACGAGAAATTACATGAAATAGTTATCAGATCATGTTATGGAAAGATTGGAAAATTGATTTCATCATTTCCAAGATTAGTTTTTCCAGTGTTCAAATGCTCTCACTATTATGGAATGCCAAGACTTGCTGATTTTTGCATAAAACAGTTAAGAATTGGAACTAACAATTTTTTTTCACTTGTAAATGAATTAGAGAAATATGATACCATTGTTCTCAAAGAAAAACTGATTCAATTTGGAATATACAATATGAAACAAATTGCAGAAAGGAAAGAAAATTTGTCTTTACTTCCAGAAAGTCTTAAAGATGAAATTATTTTCAGATTATATCACGAGCAGGACTAATTAACAATAAACATTTCAAACTTCTTCCTGTTGAATTGTTATCTCTTGTTCAGATTTGAATCGTTCTACTTGAATATTATCATTACCTTCATCGTCTGAGCTATCAGAAATGGGTGATGAGAATAGATTATTACTTGTCCAAGATCTTGTAAAGAAGCGATCCATAGATCCTCTTGTTGCAACAAGACTCTTGATATTGTTTCTGTGTCCACACAGAAATACTAGATCGGTTTGTACAAGTGTTTTAGAGAGCGAAGGATTTGTGTAAACGTATCTATCGGATGGATTGTTTGTTTTGACTCGACTCAAAGCTAATAATATCAAATTGTGTTGATAGCACGATGTTACTAATTGGAGAACTGATTTACCAACAAATACTGAAGGAAGAGGAACTTCAATTACAACAGATTGATGATCGCCTGATGTAAATTCATCTGAACACAATTGCTCAATTAGGTCAACTATCTTTCTATTGTGAAATGATTGAGACAACAGTTTGCTTAGGAAGGAAGAGGATGGAAATACTCTTCCAGAGATGTAATAATCAGAAAATAAGCAAAATTGATCAAATTCGTCAATATCATAATCTAAAAGACCATCCTCTCTCATTTTCTTAACTTTTAAATGAGTAGGAATTCCCTGATGTTGAAAGAACTTCATATTAGCTCTATTCACCAATTCTATGAATTCTTTAGATGAACAATGAAAGTGAATGATAAACTTACCAATAACATAACCCTTACTCTTATCCATGACTGAAATTCCTAGAGAAAGCTTAATTGCCTCCGAATCAATAGTGTATTCATTGATAATTTCATTATCCTTATCCTCAGTTGCGAAAAATAAAATTCTCTTGCATACACCAAACCCTGCCCTTCTCAAGTGTGTTGTCTTCAAATAATTTCCTAAAATAATATAAACCTTATTAAAGTATCTTAATCTTTGGTAAATTAGATCCAAATAATCAGTCTTATCGGTCATTAATACAATTTGGGTATCTCTCGAGTGCCTTTGAAGAGATCTCGACAATGCGCACACAATAGCTGGTTGACTGAAATCTCCAAGAATAATTAGGTGATCACTAATATTCTTATCTTTGTGGTGTTGGATGAAAATCTCATCTTTGGAGAATGGTCGGTCTACCATATTATAAATTTGTGTAATTTTGCTGTAGAATTCCTTCTCCTTTTCGGCCAACTCACTTCCTGTAAATGTATTTCTGATAGATTGCAAGTACTTTCGTTTTTCTTGAAAGTATGATTCTGGAGAAATTAACTTTAGCAAAATTTCCAAGTGAGTGTTGTGATCATCATCCTCATCTCTTAGTAGAGAGATATCAACATTTGTTTCAGTTCTCATCCTCAGCAACTGATTGATACGTAATCTGGGTGTCACCCTTAGTCTAGGACTTCTTAAAACCCATTTCTCATTATCAACCTTTTTCTGTTGTTGGTTAGAGCTACTGTTTGAAGAGCTAGCAGGTTTTAGATATTCTGTAAATTCTTGTTCAAATACCTCGGCTTCTTCGTTATTTTCTTCTGTTTGATTGTATTCAATAATCTCCTCTTCCTCCTTTCCAGATTTAAACTTTGAGAGCTCAGCAGCAGATATTTTGAATTTTTCGACCAATTCAGCATATTCAATAGAAGGCGCAATACAGTAGCATCTATCACCCTCCTTGATTCTATGACCTGATGGGTTAATATGAATTGTATGATTACTTTCCAGCGCAAAGATAGTAATATCAGATCTTCTCAACAATTCAGCAACATCAATAAATAGACTTCCATAAAATACAGGGCTGAACTTGGCTCGATATAATTCATTGTTCATTCCATCAGAATACTCAATAATCCAATTAATGTCGTTCTCTTGTTCCGATAAATTTTCAGAAAAGACATAGTCTTTCAACTTGTCATGTTCAATATCCACATCAGCTCCACTTAGTAGATTATACAGAAAGCAAGAAAATACTGGAGCTGTAGAGCAAGCAGACATTACCTTCGAACAAATAGATTCGTAACAGACGATTACTCTAGCACCTGCTTTTTGAATCAAATTTTTTGATTCTATTAAATTGATTTGAGCATAAACGCTAATCTTTGGGTTAAAGTTTCTCAATGCAATAGTTGTCATAATAATATTAGTGTCCTGCTGTTTTGGGTTTCCTATCTTTGGACTATTTAATAAAAAAATACTTTAAGGAGGAAAATGGATTCTATCCTCATATCACTAAAATACTTACCTGTGAGCCTCTGCTATTTTTAGTAAGGACATAATCTCAAAGTCCATAATTTCTCCAAATAGCACTTGAATTTTACTGTTAAAATCAAACTTTCTCAAAGAATCAGTCAAGGATTCACAAAATGGTCGGTCATTGAATAATACTATAGTATTATTTCATATTAGAGGTAAATAACATTTTTGGAGTTGAGAATTACTTACGAATAATCTTCTCAACCTCGTTTGATTTATACTGAAAGCATTCTTTGATAAAATCCAACACTTCATCTAATCTACAATGTCCTGTTATAATAGCATGTTTTTTTAACACAGGGTTTTTAACTTTGAAAATTGTTTTCTCTGCTGTGACAATGGCATAAATTCCTGAGACCTGAATTGGAATAATTGTAACACCAATAATGAAGAAGGATAGAACAGCAAACCTAGAAGTCCAATGTGTTGGAGTCTAAATCATTGAATAAGTCAATTTTCAAATAACATTCCACTTACAATATCACCATACCCAATTGTAACAAGGGTAATACCTATAAAGTACAATGCATCATGAAAATAAATATTGGTATTTGTCCCAAAATAATTTTCTAGCCACTGAAAAACACCGGTAAATATAACAAGAAGACAAGCAATTGTAAGACCTAGCTCTGCAACTTTTGCATAAATTGAATTGATATCTCCCTTAGATGAAATTTTTTTAATGAGAGGAATTAACCTTAGCAATCTGAAAACTCTCAATAAACCGACAAATGAATAAATGTCCTCCAACCCACTCCAACCTCCTATAATTGAAAGTGTGTTAATTGTTAGTGAAGGTACCACCGTAATATAATCCAATACTGATAAAGGATGAAAAAAATACATTTTCCTAATTTTCCAGGGTTAGAAATATTTCAATAACTAGCAAACCTACTTGTCCTTAGCCAAGAAGAAGTTTACAACAAAGAAGAAAATAAATAAAAGGGAAAATATCAAATCCACTACTAGAATAGCTGTTAGTTTGCCATCAATATCCAATTGAATATATGTTGAAATGATAAAAAAGAGAGCAGACGAAAGAGCTAGAATAGTCTGAAATATTTCCATGTCCAACGTATATGCACTTATTAATTCAAACCAATAAGAGGTTGTTAAATAGCCATTCCCTTCATCGATTTTGAAAGGTTTGTAATCTTCTAAATTTCTAATACTTCGATTGAATTTCTTAATTTCCAAAGGTGAGGGCAAGTCAACATGCACTTTTCGGAGAGATCTCTTCCTCAAATCCCCTTTGTGATCATTTGTTTCTCGGGGTGTATTGTTAGTTGATGATGGGCTATTTATACTAGTCGATGAAGATAACCCATTAAACAAGGACATTTTTTTGTAGTGTTTTTGGCGGTTCTCTTCTCACAATTATCAAAGTATGGTTTGAGTTCCTTTTCTTGAGCCATCACGAGACATCTCTACAATTCATAATATTATTATTCTTTGAATTATGTCTCTACAATTAATATAATATTGTTATTATTGATAATCCAAAGAAATGAATAAATATTATGCAATATCGGATCAAGACATTTTTTACACTGGTAAGTATTAATAAAGGAAGAGGTGTTGAATAGTAGAGAAAGTCCCTAAATACTACTTTTTTTATTAGAAGCATTAGATGATGATGATTGAAAACATTGATGGAAGCTACAACATCTCTAAAGGTGGGTGGATTAAATTAAAGACAGGAAGAAAGATGTTGTAAATCCACAACGGGTTGGTGATATGATGAAAGAAAAAACTCAATGATTTAGATGGTCAAGTTTTGAACTCTGCTCTTAATATCGGTAACATAGAGGAGTCTAAATTATCCAAAGAAATTAATTATTAAAAATTCATCAATTAATAATTTTGATTTTCAATATGTTGATATTTACCTTCTCAAACCACAGGCTGATTTAGTAGAGTCCAAAATAGCCTTGCAAGAAGAATCCACATTATCCAATGTTGAATTTGTGCTTCCCAAACAAGATTTTAATTGTTGAAGGGACTTGTCGCATTCTATCAATTGTGTAGAGTGTTCATAATAGACTTGTTGGGTTTCTGGTCTTCTTCTAACGTTGATTCCGTTTGTGCCTTTAGAGTCAAGATGGTCCACAGGTTTTTCGAGCATTTTTGTTTTTCTTCTTAAATTTTATTTTTTAAAACTTTATTCTCTCTTGAATTTTAATATGTTATTAACAATTGTCATCATGATGAAGATTTGTGTATTGTTTTTAATAGGAAGCGGATGTAAGATGAAGATGACAATATCTAATTGGTTATTAGGAAGTTGATTCTCATCAGACTTTAGATATTATTAATTGAAGCACTAAACACAAATAATAAAAAAATAGAGTTTCAAATGACAACACCAAGCTTGCTCGAACTCGAGAAGGAATTAAAACAAGTTGGAAAACCATCAGCATCTCTATGTATTGATATTATAAAGGAAGTTTGTGAGAGATCTTCACTGAGGAGACCTGATTTAGTGCTCAAGTGCGGAAAACATTTGTTCTATAATCATAAGAGTGAAGCCTTCTCAAAACTTGGAAACAATGTTTGGGATTATTATGAACATTTATTGAGAGCAGCTGCTGATTTGAATAATATTACTGTGGCCCAAGTATGTTTTAACAAAATATCATCTTGTAATAATTTATTATTATTATTTAATTTATTATAATACATTGTTAATAATAATATTTATTATAAATAATTATTGTGATTGGAACAACAATATAGGAATGTTTAGTTAGTCTTCAAGGGCAATTCGGAGAGTCTCTCAGAGTAAAAAGATTGGAAGGACTTTTGATGGAGGCACAAAACCAATTCGAAACAGCATTACAAATCTATGATGACATTCTTAAAGATCATCCAACTGATGCTCTCTCTTACAAGAGAAAGGTTGCAATTTTCAGATCGCAAAATTTAATCGAGGAAAGTATTACAGCACTCAATGAATATTTGAAAATATATCAAAATGATTTGGAAGCTTATGAAGAATTGGCAGATATTTATCTTGCTAATGCTGAATATAAGAATGCTCTTTTCTGTATTGAGGAAATGATTTTGAGTAATCCAGCAAATTATATTTTCCATTTGAAATATGCAGATATTCTTTACACCACTGGAGATTACAGAAATGCCAGAAAATATTACAGTCAATCACTTAATATTAACAGTGAAACAAACATGAGAGCACTTTTTGGATTATATTTGACTTGCAAATCATTGGGATTTTCTTCCAATGAAAAGTTAAACAAGGAACTTGCTAAACATTCCAAGGATAAGATTATTCAAATGTACAAAAAATCTAACAATAAGGAAATGGCTGATTACATGAGCATTATTCTGGAATCACCTTCAGAATAAATTTTTAAGTGAAATGGAACTTTTGAAAAACTAGATTTATTTTGTAACAAGCTTCTTCAATGTACTGCTGCACTGCTCCTTTGCATTTCTATCAATTTTGACATGAGTTTGGCATTGTTGTAAATATCTTCGCAGTAAGAATAGACCACTGTTCAAATCACATAATCTAGAGTGCATACCATACACCTTTCTTTGTAAATACTCACATGCTAATAGTGTTTGGTTATTGGTGGCCTTTTTCTTAAGCCCACTTTGTGCCAATTCTGAAATCAAATGAGCTTCACTATTTTCAGATAACTTCAACTTTTTACAATTGAAAAGTAAGGTAATAATAGGGTCTGATAAAAGCTTTGAAATTAAATTCTTTGAAATGCACTCATCAAAGATCACTCCCATATATTCTGTATCCAAGCAATCTGAGTTCGATTCTGCAAGAGATTTGAGTTTTTCTACAACATTTGTAGCAAGATTCTTGTGGTTAGTTTGGAGAGCAAACTTGAAAGAGAGGAAATAACTTCCCTTATTGAATAGCTTTTCAAAGAAATCATTAGCAATCGTTTCGTTCAAAAGTTCGACTTCCTCTCTAGTAATATCCAACACTGTTTCTTCCTTAGCATTTCTATCTACAAGAGTGTTAAGAAGGTCAACTAGAAGTGCTTCTAAAAATGATTGACATTGTCTCTTCTCCTTGAACCATATTCTCAAGATAAATGAAAGTGCCTTGAATTGTTTTTCATTTGAGGTAGATGATAAAAGGGAAGAGAACATGTTTTTGAATTCATCAGTTGGTGGTTTTGGTGTTTGTGCATAAACATCCTTTTGTAATGGGAAGTTTTCACCAATGGCATCCTTGGTCTGATAGATGGCCAACAGAATGTCTTCATCTTGATCAGCTAATGTTGAAGGTGTTTCTACTTTAGGTTCTTGTACTTCACCAATGATTGGAGAATCTTCTTTTTGAATTACAATTTGTTCTTGTTTGATTTCAGGTGAAGGAGTTTGTGGTTTCTTATATTTTCTAATAATTCTAATGAGAGCAATTCTAGTTCTTACAGGGAAGTCATCTTCCTTCTTAGTGGTATGCTCAATATGTGAGAGGATGGTATTGAACAAGTCTGAGAGATCCTTAATAGAGCCCAAAATAATATGCAAGTAAGTGCATCCAAGCTTAGCATTGTTTGGAGGCCAACATATGCCATCCTCTTCATATGTTAAATTCTCGAGCTCTTCTTGTGTAAAGTCTTCCTCATCATTGGTCTCAGTTTCATTGCTGAGCTCTTCAGCATGATCCACTAGGCATTGAATGACTTGGTCAACTATTTCCAGATAGGATTTAGTGGAGTCAGTAGAAAGGAACGAAGGTTGTTCACCAGGAGTCTTACTTTCAGAGAAGATATCAGAGTATTCTTCTTTAAGATCGGTAAGAACTGATTCTACCATATCTTTGCTTCGAGTACAGAGGGCAATATTGGCAAGTACTCTAGTCAATCCAACTTGGTTTTTAAAATACTTGTCCAATAATCCGAGTAAATTATCCAATTCCTCTCTTTGGAATACTCTCTTGGCTGCCAACATTCTGAAAATATTGCCTCTAACAAAATGTTCGAGCTCAGAATTAGTTATAACATTGAGGGAGTTCTTCATGATTGAAATACGAATAGCATGAGGAAGTTTGTAACTATTGTTAAATGAAAGCTTTTCTACTATAGATCTAATATCACTCTCGGTCAACTTGCAAATGTACTCTTCTGCCAGTGTTGGTTTTTCCTTATTGTCAATGCTGTTACTTGTCAACAATGATTCAGTGATGAAAAGGTAAAATCTTGGTCTTTCTACGTTATTCTTAACTACTTTCTCAACACTATCCAATATGGTATTTACATTTTGGTGATTAATGTATGGACGTAAAAGGTCAAATAGGGAATCTGGAGAAGTAGAGTTGAGAATTCCGTGATACTCCTTATTGGTAATTCCCTTGCATTCTTTACAGAGGGTGTCTAGAACAAGTTTCTGATCTCTGAATTGGTCATCTCCTAACGATAAAAGAACGTCCATCAAGAAGGAAAGCTTTGTGAGGTCATACTCTTTGGCAAGTGAAGGTTCCATAAATTGTAATAATAAGCTGGTTACCTTCTCACGGTTAATGTTTGAAACAAACTCAAATATGAAAGTTTTGTCTTCTTGAGAAATGACCTTATTTTTCAAGACTGCTTCCAGGTAGCAAAGGTAAAATTCATCCTTTCCTAATTTTAACTTATCGGCCACTTGTAATACAGTTTGTAGGTGATCCTTGTTGCTTGTTTGAGAGAGTAAGGTAAGAGACTTGATTCTATAATCCTCCTCGGTTATAAATTTCAAACAGCTCAACTTGTTGTTGGATAAAGTAGAAAGCTCATTGAAATGACTACATATGTACAACAATCCGTTATAAAGAGTTAAAATATCTACAATTGAGCTGAATTCGGTTTTCAAATCAGATTCTAAAGCCTTTTCAATAGTTTCTTCAATGCTGAGCTCGTCATAATAGTCAGCCAATCCATCTGGGTTTTCCAATAACAAAAGTCTTAGTCCAAAGTAAAAGTTAAACACCCTGAGCATTCTTTCAACAATGCTTGACTTGGTTTCACGAGGTTGAGAAGAAAGAATAGAGTCAAATAACCTTTTGACCTGGTCAATTTGTTCAATAGGTACTTGAATTAGTATAGAAACAAATGAAATGATATGACCATTCAGTAGGGTCAAGCTTGCAAATTCAAGGAGTGACTCTAGAGAAATATCAGTACCTGTAGCTATACAATTTCTAATATGTGAAGCCTTCAATTTGAGAAGGTGTTCAATTTCTAACGAGCTGGAAGAAATGCCAAACTTGGAGAGGAATGATACTTCCGAACTGCTAGAATAAATTGGAGATGAACCTACAAAGTTTGCATTGAATGGGGTAGTCTTGGTCAGTTTCTCAAATTCTTGATGGGCAAGAAGTACACACTCTGTCAATGGTTTAATGGATGAGCGAGAGGAGAAAAGCTCTTGTGATTCAATTAGTTCATAGTTAGAGATCATTTCAGAAAGTTCTGAAGGATCACAATTTTGGATAGCAAATGAGGCCTATATTCGATTGTAAATTAAATAAATATATGAATAAAACTTACAAATTTCAAGCGGTCTTCATGTGAAATTTCACACATGCTGTCGATACTCATCTTGGAGCAGATTTTGTAAACTCCAGTATGATTTTGCTCCATAAGGGTCTTGATTACTGAAATATTTCCTGAGCCAGCCTGCTCCAAAGATGATTCAATAGCCAACTTTTTAATTTCCTTCTTATCATGCTCAGTTCCACCCAATAACTTGGAAATTTCATAAAATTCTTTCAATCTTTCTTCCTCAGTTCCTGTTGTATTATTTTCAATTAGGTATTTGATTACTTCAACAGGGCTATGCTTTTTCAAGAATAATGCTGGAGGATAGTTGGTATAAATTTTGTCAAGCATTCTAAAAGCTGCCAATACATCTTTTTCTCTCTTCCACTTATGTTCTTGTGAGAGGGAAATGTGCTTCTCATTTTGTAAGCTTTGGTGTAGTGAGATACACTTATCGGCAATCATTATGGAAGAATCAGTTGGTTGCACAGAACTGTTGAAAAGCTCAGAAGTAGCCTCAAATATGACATCATCAGCTTCATCAAAAGGAAGAATACACTTGGCAACAATGTAATCATAGGCCAAATTGGCATGACCAGAGAGGCAGCAGTTTTTCAAAAATTGGTGATAAATATCATTGAGAGACAAGTGAGCAAAGCAGGACTTGTGAAGATTATTCAAATCATTATAGAGTGTTTGGTATGATCTCTCAGATTTTGCACTCTTGATACCTGTTTGCAAAAGTTCTTGCATAATATTATTTCCCTCAGCTTCCAAATCCATCGACAATGAAAGTTGAATAGAAAGGTTACTATTTTTACATGTTAAAGTTGGTGAACAAATTGAAAACTTACTGTTTAGAGAGAATGGTAACTGCTAGAGTATTTCTCTTGAGTTGATTGACTTGGTCTTCCAATTCTTCGTGAATATTCGATGTAGGGAGAGCATTCAATACTCTAATAATATTTTCAGTATTTTCTTTCCAGTTCTTGACCGAGTAAATACATTCAATAGCTAAGAGAGTAATGGTCTCATTGTCTCCCAATAAGCTTGTTCTTTGTTGAGCAGTTAATATCTTGCAACATTGCTCAAAGCTGTATGGTGCAAGTTCGTGAGCAACAAATCGATAAATAAGTGAGTCTTTTCCAGTCTTTTCCTCTTCACAATGTTCAACGAAATTGATTCCCTTGTTGACAAGCTGGGAGACAATATCTACACTATTCTTATTAATGAGCAATTTGAATTTGTCATAGTTGGACATGTTTTCTTCAAAATCTTTGATGGAGACAAGTTGCTTATTCAAATTAAACAGATTGCCTCTATTATAAATCATTTGGGACAAGAATTTCAGTTGATTCAGTTTTTCTTCCAATCCATTAACATTCTTGTTAATACCAATAGCCAGTATCGTCTCAGCATAGCTCACCATACCTGAGGTAACATCAATAGTTTCAGCCCTACCAATATACCACTCAGTTATTTCCTGTGATGTTGGGTAGATGGTATCGAGTTTTGGCAATTTTTCTTCACAAAAATCATTACACAATCTGCTCAAACTAATTTGATCCCAGCGTTTCAATTTACCAGATTCTACTCCTGGTAATGCATCCTCGTATAGTCTTGGATCCAGAGATTCTGGTATAAAAGATAAAATGTCTAGAATAAGGTGTGGAGAAATAGATCTGCTTTGATGATTCAATTTTTCCACTCGCAACCCATATGATAAAACTGTCTTCAAGGAATCTAAATCTTTCATAGAGGCTTTTTCCTTGGCATACTCGAATAGATCACAATTTCTGAAAGAATTGTACTGGTCAGCCTTATATTGTTGATCTGCAAGTTGCATGTACATATCCAATCTGTCTAAATAGTAAAGGATCTTCAAACGCTTTTGTACAATATCTTCGTCATCTAATTCCTTTAACATTTGTTCTGTTATGGTGAGACCACACTCGAGAAGAGCTCTCATGCTTTCTTCATTGGTGGCTACTCTCTGGATACATTCCTCAATAATCCAATTCTTATCCGAGACTTGGTTGAGTATTTCAATGGAAAAGAGTGAAATGACTTGTCTTCTCCACATTTTCTTGTAAACTTGATTTAAATCCAAGGAGTATGATTTGGCTAATGATAAAGCCTCTTCCAAATCTCCTTGTTCTAACTTTTCCTTGAATTCTAATTCAGGTTGCTTCTTACAGAATCTATAAAGTCTGTAGGCAAGTGATAAAGTGGATGGAATCATGTTTTCTTCCTTTAACTCTTCTGGTTCTTTAATGGCCTTTGGGAAAAGGAACGTCAGCAAGGTGGCAAAGGCGCTAAATAAAGAAGTTTCTGAAGCATTTTCCAATGTTTGCATTTGCTTCTGTTGCTCTTGAAGCAGGAGATATTGTTGGTCCAATTTGAGTTGATTTACATTAGGTTCATATTCCAATAAGAAGAATTTTCCATCATGAGAACTAGAAATGATTGGCATTCCTTCCACATCCTCTGTTACATCACCATCTCCGAGAATGTTTGATTTTGATGTTACATCCAACACTGATAATTGATTAGAGGTTGTACAAATTATAACTGATGAGGTTGACCACCAATTAAACTCTACTACATCTACTATTTCACTCATATGTTGGATTCTGGAGTCATTCTTAAATGGAAATGGAGCTCGGTAAATGTAGAGCTTTTTAGCTGTTGATAAAAAGGCGCAACGTGATCCATCTTTAGAAAATACAAGTTTTGGATTTACAATTACATCATCACTATTACTCAAGAAGGATGTTGATAATTTGGTGCGTTTTGGTTTTTGATCAACCTTAACAAGAGTAGAATCTTCCAATTCAGGATAACTCAAGAAAATTGATTCCTGCTCACCATGTTCCAAAACTAGAGAAATAATTCTTCCATTTTCGCTATCATTATAAATATCGAAAGATAAAACTTGATCAGAATAGCTCTTCATCTTGTAAAGTTGGAAGTTTGATGAATTCTTAACTAGAGGAATAACAAAAACTGATTGCTCATATAGGAACAAAATGTCATATCTATCCTTGATTAAATACTCAAAAATTCTCAATAAAATCTTACCTTTCCGAATTAAGTGATGGCTTTGAAATTTTTACATTTGAAATTGATGGTCCACTCATAGAATGCTTGTCAAAATTCAATAGAGAGTTCAAATCAATTGAAATTAGTAATTTAAGGTCATGTGTGTAGACTCGAATCTTTCCATCGTCTGAACATGTGACTACTACTAAATCGTCTGAACAGGATAATATTTTTCTTCTGTCAGTCCACTCCATAGCTTTCACACTTGCTAATGAAACTAAATCTTCATTAAGCAATCTCAGTGTTGCCTCCTTTAGGGTATATAGCCCATTAGAAGTGTATTCAATAGCCCAATTTTGATGAAATTTCTGAATGATAGATTGTCTAACATTATTGTCTTGACTTTTTTCTGTTGCTGATTGATCCTTGTTTGTGTATGTATTGTAAATCATTGACAACATTTTAGATAATTTAGAAAAATAATTTCCTTCATCTTGTTCCGATCCAGATGTCTTTTTCAAAAAATCGGTAACATATAATCGTTTTTTAATTTGTACAGAATGTTCTCCAATTTCCTCAAAATTATAAAGTTTAATATCTTCCAACGATCTTTCCGAGGAGTTGTTCTGTGTGTCATCGTCTAATAGAACATCACTCAATGATGAAGATTGCAATGACGTCATTTTTTTATGCTTTGGTCATCAAAACTGCAAGCTTCTTATTCGTCTTATTATTCAGTCTTTGTAAATACATTGGTTAGTGTACTAGTTAGAGTTTATTATACAGTTACATGAGAGTAGCACTTAGTGTTGAGAGTTGTGAATGGCTCTAGAAACAGCCTCTTGCATACATTTCCTAACAAAGAGGGTTTGGAAAGCTTGTTCTTGACCCTTTTGCATAATGTTTTGCACAGAGGAATGAACGAAAGGATCAATGGTTGGTGAAGTGACTGGCATTGGTGATGTTGTGGTGGTAGGAATGATTGGCATGGTTGGTGATGAAATATTGTGCACTATAGTAGTTGGAGGAACCTGTGCTGTTCTTCTGGAGACGTCATCGAGTAATTCCTTGATGTAGTCCTTGCTATCACGTGTAAGCTTATTCAAAAAACCATTTAATTGCATTCCCAATTCCATGCCTTCAAGGAAGGATCTGTCGGAAGCAATGTTTGGTCTATTCTTTTGAATATTATCTAGATTGGAGGCTATCGTTCGTTGTATAAATTGATTTGTTGTTTGATTTTGAAATTGTCTTATAGCTTTAGAGTAATCCTTTTTGAACATGTTAGATTGGTTTGATAATCCTACCACACCTCCATTAATCAACGAATGATGAGAAAGATTATCCGATGAGGTTGTTGCTGAAGAAGATGGAGCAACATGTCTGCCCACTTGTTGTTGACTCATTTTTGTGTCTTGTGTTTCTTTTTGGATTGAAGGGAAAAGAGAGAGAAGAGATGAAACTGTGTTCATTCTTTGAAATACTAGAGGTTGACATGTTGAATCTGTATTATTGTTGCAATCATTTTGGAGAGTTGTATTGGAGTATTGAGTGTTAAAAGTTAAATGATGATTCATATTGTTGTTGGAGGAAAGCGATTGACCATTATTAGTTTCCATTAAGGAAGATAAGGAGTCGAGTGGCTTGTTGCTTATTGTTTGATTGGAAACATCATCTGGTTTCAATGGAAGGTCAGAAATGAGAGATTGGAAGAGTAAAGACGGTGATGGCTTGTAAAAGAATGTTGTTGGTGAAGAGTCTATTGTTTTCGATGGTGCCAATTGTTGGGTTGAAGCTAATGAATACTGGGAAACACTACCACTTGAAATATTCTCATTCAAAGCAGGAGTTTGTGATGAAAATCCAATGCTTTTGCTCATATTGCTAGATTCCGATTGTTGTTCTTGTTGAGGAGGAGAACTGTTGTTGGCTCCGAATGAAAGAGTTTTTGTTTGAAGAGTTGTAATTGGCTCCTTTCGTTGCTCTTCTTTGAAAAAAGTAGCAGTCTTTGAAGCTTTTGGAGCACCAACTTGTGAGGCAGTAGTCTTGAGAATACTCTTTCTTGGTTTTTGATTCAATAGATACAAATGATAAGGTTGTTGTTGTTGATTCATCTTTTTTTTGAGACTCTTTGTTGTGTTTGGTAAGTGTTTTGATTCAAAACGAGATATGACCACCATCAAACATTTAGAGCTCTGCACAATTAATGAATCGTACGAGAAGAGATTCTCATCATCATGAGTCAATGACAATCTTTGATAATGCAACTAGTATTGCCTTTCTCAATTTACAGTTTTGTTGCAATTAAAAATTGGTCCTCTGCAGTGATCAATATCTTTCAAAGATGGCTAGGCAATAATTCCTTAAATATATAAATTCCATTACTAGGATATACCATGCCATTACCAATTAGTATGATGCTATGAATCTCACAAACCAGCACATGATTGTTCGTATTCACAGAAAGTTTTCAAATGTGGTGGACCTTACTCCAAGATTGGTTTCAACAATTTTAGGATTAAAAATAGACAACAAAAAAAACGAATAATTTAACGAATAAGAAAATGGATGGAAGAGGAAACAAAAAGATGAAAACTGTGCAGGAAGCCTTTCAAGATGTTTCCGATCATCAGCCACAGGAAGCCTACTATTACTCCTCCTCCGATCAACAACAACAACAACCAACCATACAACAACAACAACAACAACAACATGGCAGTAATTTTACAATTATAGAGCAAGATGATCATCACCATAACAGAACAAACGTTCACGGACTAAACGAAGGAGCCTCCTCATCTAATGGTAATACAAATTTACAATTTGAAGAATTATCAGATGGAGAAGAAGTCATGGAAGACCAACAAGATTTTGTACATAAAACACCCCATCACGAAATGAGAAATTATCAACAACAACAACAGCAAGGAAATATAATGATGAGAAATCCAAATTCATTTCTCGTTGAGGAGGAAATAGAACATGAAGATAGTGAAGGAGAGGACGAAAGTGGAAATAGATATGTTAGATCCACTAAGACAATCATTAACGACGCCAAATCAGGTCAACCACAAACTCAAACCAAGACCACTACAAAGAAAGTATTGGGAACTGATGGTAGAGTAATTTCAACAAGTACCAGCTCAAAAACAGTCAATCTTGGATCTTCTGGTGACATTCCTGTAACAATGACAAGCTCAAAGACTGTAACTTCAAATGGAAATGGAACATCAACTACTACCGTTAGTTCAAGTTCTGGATTTGGTGGTGGATTTGCTCCAATGCAAAATCCATTCTCTTCAGGACCAACATTTAACACTGATCCATTCTCTAATCCATTCGGAAATGATCCATTCTTCAACGATCCGTTTGCATCTATGCACCACAACATGATGAATATGCAAAATAATATGAGACAACAACACTTACAAGCAATGCAAAACATGCAAAATATGCAAATGGGCATGCACCAGCCAATGTTTAATTCATTCCACCAGCCAATGTTTCCACAACAAGGAATGACCTTTGGAGCTAATCAATCATTTATGCAACAACCAAACAATTTCCCTAATCAACAACAGAACTTCCAACAAAACTACCAACAACCTCCACCTCAACAACAATTTCCTCAAAATCAATATAGAAGATAAATATTAAATTTCAATTATTTATCAATTAAATAATTTTCAAAATCTATTCAACTTTCACTCTCCTCAAAACTAAAATCCAATCAATTTTCTACAAACATAGTTCCAATGTGAAAATCTATTTTGTCTTTTTGGGTACTCTCTTTTTGAGAGTACTAATATTCATAGCATTTTGATTTTGTGGCACTGGAACAGAACCTCCCATCTTACATTCCAATTTGAAATCCAAATCAGACATGGCATTTCTCAAATCATAAATTAAATCATTGATTTTTTCTCTATTCTTTTCATATTTATGTAATCTGACTTGTTGTTTAATTTGTTTAATTATTTGCTAATAATCATGATAATATATGGTTGATAACATTATCGGAAGATTTTAAAAAACATACAGTCTTTTGTGGCTCTCCGAATCTGTGAGCTGTTCTCATCATGTGTAATAAATTGGAGAAGATTTCAAATCCAAACTTGACGTGATACTTTTGGGTGGCCCTAGTGATTCTAGGAGGTGGAATACCAAGGATTGGCATGGTTTAAACTTGCTCTATTTTTTTCTTATTCTTCCTTCACAAATTTTACATTAAATGGATGAAGAAAATTTAATAAAAACTTGTTTTTACCAGCAAGCATTACTCATAGATTAATAATATCGATTCTTATGTTGGGTTTTCCTTTCAAAATCTCGTTCAAAACGCTCAAGTTGATAACAACATGAATAATTAATATCGAAATAACTTGGCAATAAAAATTTTAAATGAAGTTCAAAAAAAATGAGCAAAAGAAAACATCAAGTACTTCTCGACGATGACTCTGCAGAGGAAACAACAACAAAAACAACAACAATAGAGGAATCAGAGGAAGAAACCAAAGAGGAATCTCCAAAGAAATCCGAAAAGAAAAAGAAGGATAAGAAGGAGAAGAAGGAAAAGAAGGAGAAAAAGGAGAAAAAGGAAAAGAAAGAAAAGAAGGAAAAGAAGGAAAAGAAGAAGGATAAAAAGAAGTCTTCCGATAGTGATAATGAAGATGAAGAACCAAAGAAGAAAAAGTCTAAAAAGAGTTCCAAATCCGATGATGAAGAAGAAACAAAGAAAAAAGAATCTGATAATGAAAGTGACAATGAAGTCCAAGAAGATACACACATGTCTGATGATGAAAAGCCTGAACCTGTTGTTGAAGAGCCAATGATTGAAGACTCTGAATTTACCTTCACTTTACCAACAAATATGACCTATGCTCCACAAGATCCAAAGATAACATATGAAGATGTACAAAATAGCAAAATTTATGTTATTGAAATACCAAAAGGATTTTCTGTTGATGAAGTTAAGAAGAAATTGGAAGGAATTTCATCTCTTGGAGAACAAGATGAATATATGCTGGATTCAAATACTGGACTTGCTTTCTCTAGGGAAGATAGTGTTAAGGGATCTATTGCTCCATTATTTACAACTAAGGATAGCGACGACCATAGACTGAGAAATTCAACAATTGATGGATTCTATAGAATTGAACAAAAGCTTGATATGCCAAAATATGATGCCTTGAAGGAAAAACAAAAAAAACTCGAAGAAAAGAAATCTAGAATCCAAGAAAGAGAAGAATTCTCTGTTAAAATTTCTCAAAACATTTTCAAACCTGATGGTTGGTCTGACAAGTCTGTAGACGTATCTAAATCACATAAGAAGAGTGAAAAGAAATCTGAAAAGAAATCTGAAAAGAAGGAAGAAAAGAAGTCTGATAAGCATGAAAAGAAATCTGAAAAGAAGGACGATAGAAAGAAGGAAGAAAAGAAATCTGAAAAGAAGGACGATAAAAAGAAAGAAGACAAGAAATCTGAACATAAAAAGGAAGAAAAGAAATCCGAAAAGAAAGAAGAAAAGGTAGAGAAAAAATCTGAAAAGAAATCTGAAGAAAAGAAATCTGAAAAGAAACACGAGAAGAAGGATGAAAAGAAAGTAGAAAAGAAGGAAGAGAAGAAGTCTGATAAGCTCGAAAAGAAATCTGAAAAGAAGGAAGAAAAGAAATCAGAACATAAAAAAGACGAAAAGAAGGAAGAAAAGAAATCAGAAAAGAAATCTGAAAAGAAGGACGATAAAAAGAAGGAAGAAAAGAAATCTGAAAAGAAGTCTGAAGAAAAGAAATCTGACAAGAAATCTGAAAAGAAGGAAAAGAAATCTGATAAGAAAAAGTAAAAGAACTATTTATTTTTAATTCTTCTTGATCTAGTTCTTGTTTGAATGACTTGCTCCTCTTCTTCTTCTTCTTGCTCTTCTTCAGGCATTTCTTCATCTTCAACCACTTTGGAGGAGCTTTGAGAGGATTGTTTGGATTTAGATTTACTAGCTGGCTCATCATCCTCTTCGTCCAGTAAATCAAGCTCTTCATCATCATCGTCCAATAGCTCGTCAATTCCATCATCATCCTCTTCTTCTGACATGTCTTCCTCCTCTTCTTCTTCGATTGCCTTTCTGCCCTTTTGTTTGGATTTTACCTTACTGTTTGCTTTTCTTGGTTTTTTCTTTCCTTCCTCTTCCTCCTCTTCTTTGGTGAGTAATTTCGATTCAATATCATTTTCTTCACATAGTTTGAGGTGAGTAAGTCTTGTTTGCTTTTCCCATTCCTCAATCTGATCCTTAAGTTCTTGATTCATATTTCCATCACTGGCTTTCTTTCCAATTTTTGAGGTGGCAGTTTTCTTAAATTTGGCAGTTATTGAAGTAAGATATTCATAAACCTCAAAATCTATCAAAGACTTCTTATAGGATTTAACACAATCTTCTGAAATCAATATTTGAATACACTTGTCGTTCATTGTGAGTTGGGTCAAACAGTAAGCAAGATTTCTCCACTGTTGAATAATTTCTGGATCAAAGTCACTCTTTGTTAGATCTTCATTTGGCTGCACATCCATATTGGTTTCATCTGTGTGGTGATCCTCTTCCTTCTTCTCAAAAACTTCATCTGTGGCTTTGGTTGTTGAAGAAGAACGTACAAGGTCAAATCTTTGGCAAAGTTTGCGAACTAACTTTTCATTATGTTGCACCTTTGTTACAAATGAAATGAGGAATTTCATAATGTTTTGGAATGCAACAGGGCCTACACCAGCATCCCTTCTTGATAAATTACTTAAAATGGTTGGTAACAAGTTATAAATTGGATTGTTGCTACCGGATGCCTTCTTAGCTAGCTCTGTAAAGAAAGATTTTGATAGTTGCGAAATTTCTTCAGAAGTGTCTTCAATACATCTGACAATTTCGAAAATATTTGACTTGACTTTTACCATATCGTTAAGAACCAAGTGAGAAAGAACCAACAAGGTGTTCTTTCTGATTCTACTATCCGAATCTCTGAGACAACTATACAAGTGATGAATATATCTTTCAACAACATTAGGGTATCTACACGCAAGATCGCCTATTGTTACAATAATGTTATTTCTAATGGTGGTATAACCTTCTATGGATTGTTTAGATCTCATTTCTGGTTTTCTTATGAGGATTGTAAAAAGTAATCTGATGTTATCCTCGCATACTGTTTGACTGATACACATATATTTACAAAGGGCAAGAATGGCTGTTTTTCTCAATGGAGAATATCTGTACAAATTGGCACTATCATGGCAAATAGATAAAATCAAAGGCAAGTAGGACCCATATAAAGATGACTCAGTAATGATATTTCGTTCCTTCTTTTCAAATGTTTCTTCAAGTTCATGATCGTCAAGACTTGATGGATCTAAGCCTAATTCTCTTTCCAGAACGGTTGTATCATTATCATTCTCCTCCTCAAGTTCTTGTCTATCCCTCTTCTTTTTAGATCCTTTCTTTGGTTTTTCCTTCTTTTCTGCAGCTGCTTGTTCCTTCTCTAGGGCCATTCTATGTTTATATTTCTTGGCTTGTTTGAATTGGTCTTCAATCAGCACTAATTCTTTTAGAGCAGAATGTCCTAAAATAAAAAATAGCTTTGTAAGTTCAATAGGAGAAACAGTGAGCGTCTCAGATCGTGATTGGTTTGGGTCTGATAAATTAGTTTTCAATGAAACCTCCTTAATAATGTGGGTTGTCAACTGTATTGGATCTTCTGCAAGGCAAAATATAGCATTCAAAGCAGATTCAGTAATGGTCATCCATTCAGAAAGTTTGGATAGCTCCGGTGGTGAATTAGGATCTCCAATGATGAGGTCAAGCAAAAGTTTGAAAACACTGTGATTATCTGGTAGTCTGTATCTTGGATTACCACCAACATATTTCAGACAGTCATCATTCTCGTTTGAGCTACTCTTCTTCTTTTTTTCATCTTGAAAAGCTTCGCTAGAGTCGTCCTTAGCAAGTCTTTGCAGAATTTGGCATGAATATACTGCAATGAGGAAGCTAGCTTTAGCTCGTTCTTCCATAACCTCGGTAACTAACAGTTTAATCTTTTTTCTTATTGGTTCTGGTCTAGCTGTAGCAACCATATTAATTATAATAAGGGCTCCAACTACATGATTTTCTGGTTGTTTTTTCCCGGTCAATTCGAACAATGCCAAGAACAGATTTTTTGAAAACTTATTATTGTAAACAATCAAGTTCACAATAGTTTCCAGAGAGGAAAGCTCAGATTGGTTGCACTCTAAAGCTAACTCTGCAAATCGTTGTGCAACTTCAATACACTCATCAGTCGATTTCAAATTTTCAGGGTTCATAAAGATATTTTGAATTGATTCCAATACAGCATCTTTGACAGTCTGTTCAGGAGACCAGATAAGCTTAAATATTTTCTTAAGGGCAGGAGTGGAGATATCAAGTTTAAACATGAAAGACTTCTCTATAAAGCTGATACATTCACAAACATCAGAGCTGGTTTTAGAATTTAAGAGTTGATAGGCAGATTCAAAGGTTGAATGCAAATTGTTAACAAAAGAAATTGCTTCTCTGAACAAAATGCAATATCTTTTTGCCCTGTCTTGTTTTGTCTTGAGATCAGTTTTTTCTGCTTCTGGAAGAAGTTCAAGCTCAGGTTCAGAGTACTGTGGAATATCATCATATGTTTTTTTAGCAGCTGCCAATTTCTCTTCCAATATAGATAATTTCAGAACACTTCCATAAGGATTGTTAGACAGAATGGTTGATAAGAAATGCACTGCAGCCTTTCTGACGAAAGCACTCTTATCATATAATCTTCCAGACACCATTTCCAAAACTTGAGGTATTTTTCTCACAGGCAGAGCCTTTTCCTCGCACAACATTCCCCAACAAGCAAGAACCTTACTACGTGTGTATGCATTTACGTCGTACATTCTCTCTTCAAGAATATCAATCAGAGAATCACGAGTTTTCTTGGTAATGTTTTCTGTTGTGGTATTTCTACTGTTATTTTCTTCTGAAGTTGACTTGAGTATTTTACAAATTACGTGTGTGATTGCTTGCAGAACAGCATTTCTGATATGATAGCATTCTGCATCCAAATGGGATATCACTACGCTCATATTTACAAGAATCGATAGTGGAACTCTTTCGCCCAAGTCTGATATGAATTGAGCAAGGTTTTTTGTACCTGCAGAATCTGACTTCATGACAGATTGTTCTAATCTGCTTATCTCTCTGAATAACTCGCTAACAAAAAGCTTTCCAACACTATTCTCAGAATCAGATGAAGGAGCACAAATGTGTTCTATCATTTCAATAATACATGATAAGCAACTGGCGTTCGACATTATCATGGATAGTATCGAAGAAATAACTGTTTGCATATTTCCTGATGGTGCATGAAGGGCAGCAATGATAAGCTCAATAATCTTTGGTTTGAGAGTTTCTGATTTTAGGTTTTCTGGATTTTCCATAAAGGAGAAGGCAACTCTGAAGAATAACAAAACAAAAGAGTCCTCTATTTTGTCTTCCTTATTCCACAACTTGTCTAATTTATGTCCTAGGACAGAAATCAAGAGTTTCAGTATTCTTTCTTTCCAATCATCCATTTCCAAAACGCTTTTCCTTCTCTTTTTAGATTTGGATTTCTTCTTCTTCTTTTCTGCTTCACTATTGGATTCCATTTCCTCCTTTTCGAATTTATAAATTCCCCAGAAAACACAGAAGACGAACATTTTCAAAGCATTCTTGTGAATAGCAACAACTTTGTCAAAATCATCTGCTCCATATGATCTTTCGGCTGATGATCTGATGAACAGATTCGTTATGCTAGTTAACAGACTGCTTAGATTTGTGACTAAACTGTCCAATAGACGTTGTTTACAAGTATCATCAAGAGCAGAAAAATGTTTAATGCAACTGTAGATTGCTGTAAAGACGCTTCCATCTGTGATAGAGTAGGGTTTATCCGAAATTTTGTTTTCAATATCTAATAAAACAATGATCATCACACATTCCGATTAAAATATAAAACGTACCATCAATTAAACTGTGAATTTCTGTCGTAGAGAATGAATTCACATCCATATCATCAGAAACATAGAAAAAGGTCTCTGACTCTATTTCCAAGTCCTCAGGTTTTAAAGGAATCGAAAAGTTTAACACATAGTCTTCGTTCGCCATTTTTTTTCTGTTGAATTTGAATTAAAATTTTGGCGGGAAGACAATAAATTTAGTAGCCTCTCGAATTGATTGTTTTGTTATTGCTTCAAACGACTTTTCATTACTAATAAAACAAAATATTATTATTTATTCTTTGCCATTAATTTCAATGAGTGATTTCAAGTGCAATGAAGAACTTCCAGCAAAGATTGGTGGTTCATGAATTGTTGCTTGCATTAATTTGACCTTTCCATCAGCAAATTCCAAATGCACATCAAGGAAATAATTAATACCAGCAACGACTTGCTTTTCAATGGAAATAACCTTTCTAATAACAGATTGATTTTCAGATTCAATGAGTTTTTGTTGTAAAAAGTTAACCAATTCAGTAATCTTCAAGTAGTCGGTTTCCTTATTTCTTCCTCCTGGAATTGATTCTAATGCTTGGTTTGATATGGACTTGATAGAATCCTTCTTGTCAATAGAAACCAATTCAAAAGCATGGACGTGATGCATTGGTTCAAATACCTTAGCTTCAACCAATTGTTTAATCTTTTCATTCGAAATAACGTGCATTGTGATATAATAATTTACACCATTTACAATTTGTCTTTCAACCTTAATAATTTCATGAATCTTTGCTTGATATGGAGTTTCCATCAATTTAACAGTCATGAATTCCATCAATTCTTTGATCTTTGTCTTGTCTGTTTCAATTGCTTTACCACCTGGTAAATATATGGATTGTTCAGATAAGTTTATCAAGAAGAGAATAACGAGCAAAAGTATGAAAGTGAATAGAGTGAGTTTGTTGTTCATTTTGTTTTGTTTTTGTGTAATGGAGATTATTGATCAGAGTGAACTGAGATGGATTTAACGAAATTAAAAGTAGGTTCTTTTTTGTAATTCATCTAAAAATGGAATGCAAGCTAATTATTGCTAATTTGAGATTGGCTACTCTTTGGTTCTTGAAGTGTTATCTGTCTGAATTGTTTAGAGATTTCACATAGAAGGAAGGTAATGAACAAGTCAACTTGCAAAATAAATGAATTACTTTAGATACAAACTCATGTGGGTCTATTTCAAAATAGACTTTCTGGTACATTAGAAATATAAAAATAATATTAATTAATTATTAAAATTAAGTAATTAAAAATGAATTAAAAATGTTGTCACCACAACACATTTCCCGAATGGATAGAATTGCAGACCATTTATTTCCGAAAAACAATACAACAACAATTCAATGTGATGATGACAATAAACAACATGGACAAACAAGTGGACAAACAATGAACGAAAATAACAAGCAAAAAACAAAAAGCCTAAAATTAATATTACAATATTTATTGAATAATAATTTATTATTGAAAGGTGTGCAAGGATTTGTTTCGGATCATGATCAATATGTAATTGCAGAGGAAAATATTGCAATTTTCGAGAAACAACAATGGATTGAACATTCACAAACAGCAGGAAAGACAGAAGCAAAGCCTATTACTGCTGGAAAGAAAAAGATGTCGTCAGATAAATCAAAATCCGATCCAACTTCTCATCCAGGTTTGTTGAACAAACTGATCAGGAGCTTTCAAGGCAACAGCTCACTTTCTACAGATTCACTCCAAGCATTTAATAATATTCTATTTCTGGTAAATTCAATTCCTCCCTCAGTGAATAGTGTCAGTATTTTCGATATCATGTTGAGAAGTTCAAAATTGGATTCAGATTTATTGCCCTTCCTTGCTCAAGTTAAAATTCCAAAGAGTGCACTTGGTGGCACTGACTACAAGACATTTATTGCAACACTGTCAAAAGTACAAATGTATCTGCCCAGTTGGTATTATAATTCTCTAGTTCTTGCAAAGGCCCTTTCAAATTTCGACTCTATTCTCTTATACTGTGCACAGAGATTTGCTAGGGAAATTAAGGTCCAGAAAGCCATTACTGGAGCTTTAATTTATCCTGCAATAATGACAGTAATTGGTCTATTGGGTATTACAATGTTATTGACCAAGATTTTACCACAGAATATTGGTATTTTTGAAAGTATGGGTCTTACAGTCCCATCCTTTTTACAATTTACAAATTATCTCGTAAGATCTATTCAATACCATTGGTTGGCTCTTATTTATATTATTCCTTCAACAATATCATCAGAGTATTTACCTTTCAAATCATTCTTGAAATGGCAATACATTCGAATGCACACCCCTATTGGAAATTTAACATTCTTACAAGATAAGGCCACGCTCTTGCATACATTATCATTACTCGATAAGGAACAAATCACTTCCAAGCTCTTAATTGTCTGCTCAAACATCAGTTCCAACCCAATTCTTCAACACATGGTGGAAAGTATGGCCAGCTTGGCAAAATATGGAGCTGGTGCAGATGAAGTTTTAGCTTACATGTTAAAGCAAAAGCATATATTTTCACCTTATGAAATAGCCTATCTTCAAGCTTGTTTTATGAGTGGAAAACATGTTATCATTCAGGATGGTTTGAAGTATGTTTCTCAAATGGTTTTGAAAGAGTATACCCAAAGACTTCAGACCTTGTTGAAAATCCTCAATCCTGCCACCGTAGCTATTATTGGTGTATTGGTCATTGTTATTGCAGTACTTGGTATCTATCCAATGATTGCCTTGACTGGTGCTGTCACTGCTAATAAGTAATAGGAGATCAAATAATGCCTTAAAAAGAATTGGAAGAGTTTCTCTAGAGCTATATCTGAAATTAGTTGGATTTCTCAATCAATTAAAGGATGGAAAGTGCAAATAGGTCTTTTCCTACATTGAAGACTATTATTACGATGATCGAATGAAATAACAAGCAACACTTTGAAAAGAGAAGTAAATGTAAATCTGAAAATATAGCAATGGAAATCTCTAAAATAATTGTACTTTGCAACCATCTTACACAACAAGATTCACAAATAATAATGTCAACTGGTTCAATGAGGAAATAAATATTAGAAAAATTAAAAGAAAAAAAATGTTGTCTGACGCTTCTCACCTTCCAGATGAACAAAAAATTCAACTCATCCTCCTCTCACCAAATTTTAATACACAATTCAAAATACCCACCATCGATTTAGATGTGAGGTTAAAGTTGAGAGAGATGGGAGAGCCAATGACCTTGTTTGGAGAAGGTTCGTCCGAGAGAAGAGAACGTCTGAAGAGAATGATAGCCATTCAAAAGCTTAGAGAATCGGAAGATGTAGAACAACCATCATCAGCATCATCAGCATCGACGAGATCAGTCTCGGAACAATCAGTTATTATGGCTGATTTTAGGAAGGAATTAATACAAAGTGGAAGACAAGATTTAGTGGAGCAAATGCAAGATGATGAAGAGGAAGCAACAGTAGAGGAAGAAGAAGAAGAAGAGGATTTATCAAAACAATATTTTACTTTCCAAAGTACAAATCCACATTTGGCAGAGGTTCGTGAACAAATTGCAATGCACTCTCTGCAATCATCACATCAAAGATTGGAGAGCATTAGAGAATATGTAGAAATTGTAAAGAAGGATAAATTGGGAGAACCAACTATTAAACAAGGTCTTGCAGCACATTTAGTGGAGAGAAAGAATAGATTTGTAAAGAATTTACAACAAAATTTATCACTGGTTTCTTCGATTACTGGTGATTCTAGGCCGATTTCACAAATCAAATTTCTGGGACACGATTTTGGAAAATGTATTTCATCAGGATGGTCAGGTGACATGAAAGTTTGGCAGGTTGCCAATCCATGTTTCAAGGAAGAAGACAATATGATTGACGAGAGTGAGGAAGTATCAACAAAACCAGAAGTTATGAATGAAGACGAATCCTTCTCCTGTACTCAATTGAGAAGTTTCTCAAATGCTCATGACGAGAGAATTACATGTCTACAAGTGAGAAATGAGTATGTGTTGAGTTCTTCTGCTGACAGAACTATTAAGCTTTGGAATTTGGAAGCTGAGGATACTGACAAACCTGTACAAATATTTAATGGAACATCAGAAAACAATGAGGATATCAATTCGAGAGAAATTGTCACTGCTGGAAATGCACATACATCAGTAATCAATAGATTGTCCATTCATCCAAGTGGCCAACAATTCATCAGTACAAGTTCTGACCAAACTTGGTGTATGTGGGATTTATCGAGAAACGAATTACTCTATTCACAGGAAGGTCACTATTCTCCAGTTTATGGTGTAGACCATCATCCTGATGGAGGATTATTGTGTACAACTGATATGAATGGTATTGTCAAATTATGGGATTTAAGAACTGGCTTGTTGGTGGCCAACCTTGTTCACCATGTCAAGGAGGTACTCAATTGCTCATTCAATCCATACAATGGTATTAATTTGGTTACTGGTGGTGTGGATGGTTTGATTAACGTTTGGGATTTAAGAAATATTAGTCAAACCATTGCTGCCAAACAAACAGATTCCAATCCTGAACAATTTAAACAAGATCCAGTTTACTCTATACCAGCAAGTGGTAAACTGATGAATACTATCATGTATGAGCCATCATGCGGTAGATCAATAATTTCCAGTGGTTTTGATGGAGTTGTTAGATTTTGGGATCCAATATCTTTCAAACCAATTTCTCAATCCTCTGTGGGAGATAGAATTCTATGCATGGATGTAGTTCAATATCCAAGAAGTTGCCTACCATCCACTGATGAAGAAAGTGTGTACGAATTTGGAAGTTGGAGCGAGCACTTGATGGTCGTATGTGGTGGCTATGATAAAAAGTGGAGAAAACTAACAAGCTTCTCAAGGAGAGCCTTAGTAAACTCTTCCAATAAATAGATACAAATTGTTTTCAAATATCTAATGTCCCTTGTTCGTGTTAATGATAATTTAACTAGAACTTTGTCCATGATGTTTTCATTTGTGAAGTAATTTACCTTTTATCATACTTGAATGTCGAGTTGACCTGAAAATAAATTTGTTGGTCGCTTTATCATTAAAAAAAATGGAAAAACTCGCAACATGTAAATCACAACTTTCAAAGGACTTGTTGATGATGAACTCATCGCAAGACTATAAATTTCACAATGACATTATATATGAAATTATTTCCTTCTTTGATGATTTTAATTTTATTGTCTTGCATTGTGCATTGGTATCCAAACAGTGGTACAATGTTATTTTATCAACATGTAATAATCTTGTTTCGAATTGTAAATTTGGTGTTGAAATGGGTGGCCAATTTTTACAGAATATTGCAACTCTTAAAGTTAGTGCCACGAGTGATGATACTTTTAAAAAATTAATCTTGATGAAATCACTAACTAAACTTGTTATTAGAATTGAAGAAGAAGAAGAAGTTCATCATCTAAGTGGATTGAAACAATTAAAAAGTCTTCATATATATGGCAGTCAAATTCGTGGTGAGGGAGTTAGATATATTAGTGAATTGAAACAATTGACCAATCTTGATATTCGTAGTCATAATATTTTTCATATTGGAGCTAAATACCTAAGTGAATTGAAACAATTAACCACTCTTAATATTTATGGCAATCATATTGGTGCTAAAGGATCTAAATATATAAGTGAATTGAACCAATTGACCACTCTATTCATTGCTGAAAATAGTATTGGTGTTGAAGGAGCAAAATATTTAAGTGAATTGAAACAATTGACCAATCTTGGTATTTCCGTTAATTGGCTTGGTAATGAAGGACTTGCATACGTAAGCAAAATTAAACAATTGACCATTCTTGATATTTCTCACAATGATATTGGCGCTGAAGGAGGAAAACATTTAGGTGAATTGAAGCAATTAACTCTTCTTAATATTTCCCATAATAAGATTCAAGATGAAGGACTTGAAAATATTGGCAAATTGAAACAATTGACCACTCTTATTATTAATCAAAATGACATTGGTGCTGAAGGAGCACAATATTTAAGTGAATTGAAACAATTAACCTTTCTTAATATTAGTGATAATCGTATTGGTGATGAAGGATCAAAATATATTGGAGAATTGAAACAATTAGTTGATCTTTATATTAATGACAATGACATTGGAGAGGAAGGAGCAAAATATTTACGTGATTTAAAACAACTAATCTATCTTAATGTTGGTGGCAATGAATTTGGTGATGAAGGAGCTAAATACATTAGTGAATTGAAACAATTAACCAAACTTGATATTAACAACAACTCTATTGGTGATGAAGGAACAAAACATTTAAGTGAAATGAAATAATTAATAGATCTTACAATTTCCACAATTAATATTTGATTTTGTAATTACAGTTTCGTCTGATTTATTTTTGGAATTTTTTTTGGAAATATTTCATAACAACCTTATTCTGAAATGCTACTCTTTGATCATAAGAGAATTTTTCTTTCTGAGTATATTGGAGCTAAATATCATTCTTTTAGCCTCTTCAGGTACTGAATCATTCACATAATGTGGCGTGAACGGTCTTTCTAATAATACTCTTGACAGAATATCAATTTGTTTTTGGACCTCAGTAGGTAGCTTTGCCAGTGCCATCACAACAAGAGAAAATATTCTCCTCTCCAATAGTTCAAAATCTACTGATCCATCTGGCATGATTACTCGTTCAACATACTCCAAATAGAGAGGCTTGGATCCTAACAATTCGATTATCTTGTTGATTTCCGTTTGATTTGTTATGTTTAGCATGTTCAAGTATTGAACTTCAAATTCATAGGAAGGATCAAAAAGCTCCATATATGATAATCTCCCTCCTGCTGAATCCCCAAATTCCTCAAAAGTTCCATCAGAGGACACAATTAGTAAACTTATAATTCTTAACTTTTCTCTTACCAAATTGACAAAGTTGTTGGTTATAACAGGATTTCTGTTTGCATTGTCTATGATAATTATAGGACAGTATTTCTCAGAGGAAGGTATGTTATTAAGGAATTCAAGAATTGTATCCTCAATGATATTCCATGAAATAAGATCATTATCATTAAATTGAAGATTTAGTGTCTTTCCTAGGGACTCCTCTGTTGTTGTGTTTGTGAGTGTTATTAGCAAGTAAGGACGGGGATCTAGAATTCTTCTAAGGCTTTGTGTAACATTGTTGTCTTTCCAATTCCACTTTCTCCACATTGATGTTTTGCAATTATGCATACGTGGAAAAGAGGTGAAGAATTTCATTTGGAATATAAATACTATTAGCCCGTCTATCCTTGTCTATTTGTTGTCTGTGGTAGAATGTGTCGTTGATCCTGGTGAGTCTGTCAAAGTTTGGAGACAAATAAAGCAAGCCCAAAATCTTGCACAGAGTTTGTGGTCTCTTTTAAAGTTTTTTTTTAAGAATATTGAAATACCTGAGATCCCAACAGAGAATAATACCACGATACACCATTAAGGGTACACCTTATTTGTATTATTTTTAGAAAATAAAAAATGTTTCAATCCTCAGCTGATCAGGGTGCATGCATGTGCGGTGCAACTTTAGTTCATAAGCGTGGTGGAGTTTCAAAGTGGAAAAAAAATCAATTTTTTTCTCTTATTATTTCGGAACATGGTGCTAATCTACCGCTCACTAAGGCAGAACAATGGTTTGCCACATCTTTTTTTCCCTCAGCATTCTTATATGTCGCCAAATTGAAAAGGGAAGAAAGAAAAGAGTATATTCGTTCTAATTATCCTTTTCTTTTAGAAGAGGAAGATTCCATTTCGGCTTGTATTGAAAATTTGTTATCAATTAATTATTCAGTCTCGTTTCAACTATTTCCAAACAAATATTTTACTGAGTTTTTATCTTATAGTGCAGATGAAAGATTGACGATGATTAAAGCAGACAACATTTTGAATGGTTGTATCGATATTGAAGCTCGAAATCTTAATCTTGATCAATCCAAACAACAGTGGTATTTAAATTTTGCTAAATGTGTGGTTGCAGGTGCTGAACAACAAGGAGAGACATATACCAAGAAAATAAGCTTTAAAAACCAATTAGATTTGCTTATGGATGATGCCTTAGACTTCTTTACACCTCCCAAAGAAGTTGACATGCAAAAGTTAAAATTTTTAAAGGGTACTGACTTAAACACTTTAGGAACTCTGAAAGAAATTAAGTTCGTCCAATTTAAAAAAATATTTAATGAACATGATAACAGTGACTTAGTACGTGGTAATGTCATTGTACCAGTTGACTCTAAAAACCAATTAGCTAAAGATATTTTACCATTTCTTCCAAAGTTTCAAGTGGATTTGTTTTCAACAGAGGAAAGAGAAACACTTAATCAAAATATTAACTCAGGATCTACAGTTGTGATTATTGGACCATCAGGTTTGGGTAAAACAGCGCTAATTGCAAGAAGATTAGGAGTTAATCCAGGACTATTTATCACATGCACTTCTTCTTTGGATGCTAGCGTATTAAATGGAAGAGGAATAGATTACGCATCATTAGCACTATTTATGCATTGTGAAAAATTGTCTAATATTGAATTATATGCATCTGTTAGACAATTAATCGAATGTAACTTTATTGCTAGATTACTTGTTTCACAGGCATGTTTGGAAAATCAAACTCTGTTGGATTATTTTGAAACCCCATTACAATTAATTTCATATATACAATGGAATGGTAATACCAATATGGCAACATCTATTTTCAAAGACATGATAGAACAAGGATGGCAATACCTCCCGATTAACTCATTAAGGAAGATTACTGTAAATCTTATTGTTGATCTTTATACGAAATTAGAATTATCGCATGATATACCTTTTGTAATTGCTGTTGATGAAGCATCCATTTTTTCAAAAAGTTCAACAGTCATGTTATCTGCACAAGGAACACCAAGAGATTTATTAACAGCTATTGCTTCAGAGATTAGTAGTTTACAAATTGAAATGATTGAGAAGAATCTAACTATATCAGATATGTATTGTGGAACTTTTTTTACTTCGGATGTTGTAGACATTATTCAATCCTCTGTTTGCAAACTCACGGAAAGAAACATGAAATACTCTATTGGCCTTGATCTTGTATCATTTGATCAAGCTCTCCAAATGCTAGAACCTTTTTACAATATCAGAGAGATTTTAAAAAAGCAAAAAGTCTCCAAAAACCTACTCAAAGTCAAATTATTTGCCATGTTTCCAACAAGAAGAAGAGTTATTGGAATGATAATTGCCAATCCTTCATTAATTTTAGAAAATGTTGAAAATGCTTTCAAACTAGCTTGGAGAACTTTTACCCAAACACTTTCCTCGCTAGTCAGTGAAGGATTCACAACAAAAACCTCAAAGGACACGATAGATGCTGCATTTTTACTTGAAGCCCTAGTAAAACATGATTACCCTATTTTTGCAGGAAAACTAATCAAATGTGACCTTACAATTTCTTCTATGCTTACTGGCTCAGGTATTGCAAGACCTGTTTGTGAATTAGATTGTCATTAGAAAATCCATCAATGACCTGCTATGATTTTTTACGTAAATATAGACAATCAAAATGGGCGATTCCCTTACTGGAACGATACAAACATGTTGTGGAGTGCTTATTGGGAGATCTTTTGTACTTCCATTGTGTTGGTGAACAAACCTTATCTCATTTAATTCATGGACTGTACTATTATCCTTCGAGATATTGTCATCCAGATGTCATTTGTTTAAACAAAAACAAAAATGGCCTTACTGGTATTTTCGTTTGTAACAAGAATGAAAAAATACGACAAGGTATAAAGTCAATTTCACCAAACCTGTTTTTCAAAACAAAGTCTCAAAATGCTACACCTGGAGAAACACTAGCAAGTTGGTGGGATAATTGTACTGCTAAAAAATTGCTTGAGGATATGGTTAACAATCAAAAATCAATTCTCTTATTAGTGCACTTACAAGAAATGGCCACAGTTGAAATAGAACCGAGAATAGAGGTACGTATCTTGATTTAGACAAAGTGTTTTTTATGACATTCTTGGCAAGAATTTGTATTCACTGTTTGTTTCCAACTATATTGATGTTGCTAAATTTGCTGAAGATTAAGGAATTGTTGGAAGTTTCACAAATTGTATTCCGTTGTTCCTTCTAATTCCAACATTGAATGTTCCTCACTAATAAAGCGAATTAAGCCAACAAAATTAGAAATGACCTATTTATTTGATTAATACATAATAATAAAACATGGCAACAGTAGTTATATTTGAATATAATTCTTTTCAAATACTGGAATGATCAGCAAAATCAATACAATGTTAAAATAGAAAGTTATTGTTGTGCACAACCTCTATTATCAGAGTCATCATCATCTTCATTAGAGTCTCTGTCACTATCAGAATTGTCTTCGCCATAATCTCTTTGTCTACGGCCACGTTTTGGTTTCTCAAAAGTTGGATGGACATAGTCACGATCCTCCTTAGTTGGACATCCACACAACATTCTATTATGATATCCTATCCAATCATCATCTTTCACATGACCTGTTTCACCAAATTGTGCAATTGATTCCAAAGTAAGTTGCACAAATTCATAATTTGTAAGTTTTTCACAAATTGTCTCACTAAATAATAATTCCTTAATGTTCAAAAGCTGTCCAAGTGTTAATTTGAATTTTCTATCTTCCTCATACTCAGAAGGAGCTCCATTAGAATACCAAACTGTCTTCTTTGCTTTAGTTGATGGTTTGTCATGTGTGGCATATTTGAATGATCTAAAGAATTCAATACCATAACCTCTAACTCTGAAATGATACTCAAATTCAAATTCAATACTCGAATATGAATGATCAGAGTAGGCAGTGACACCAATAGTACAACTTCTCAAATCATCCAAATCAGAATCCTCAAAACAAGCCTCCAACTGTGTAATGAGGAATTGGCTCAAAACTTTAGACTCTTCCTTCTCGGTTAGCTTAGTATTAGCTTGAACAACTTTTCTCATCTCTTCCATGATGAGTTCTTCCATTCCCAAATTTTCATCATTCTCCAATATTTTCTTATGAAATGTTTGTGCCTTCTTTCTAGTCTCATAATATATTTTCCATTCATCATCAGCACCATCCGATCGATTATCATTAGCCTTCAGAATTATCTTAAATTCTTCTAACGATTTCTTCTTCCATGATTCAACAGCTTGTTGTGTTACGGAAGAAGAAGCTGATGATGATGTTTTAGTCTTTTTGGTTTCCTCCTTTCCATCACTCTTGCTCTTTCTCTTTGGCGGCATGTTGTTTTGCTTTTTTTTGATTTTAATTAAAATTTAAAAAATTTAATTGGAATTAAATCTTAAGGGAGTAAGCCTCTTCAGTGTAGATTTTCCTATGTTGTACGGTTATTTGATTGAATATTTAATAGTTTATTATCCAAAAGCATACTAAATCCGTTATTTTCAACACAAGCAATTTGGATGGATGATTACAAAACCAAAAGTAGACTCCCCCTGGTGGGCTCGAACCACCGACCTGCAGATTAACAGTCTGACGCTCTACCGACTGAGCTAAGGGGGATCACATTGACGATAATAAGAGTAGCTATATGTTTCACCGTGCATTTACTAAATAGTAAGGCGCCAGATTAGAGGTACCTTTCTTCGGTGTGGTTTACCACTTAAAAACATTAAAAAATTTAAAAAAAATGAAAAAACAGGTTTATGCTGGCGATAAAAAGCATTTTGTTGTGTTTGTTCTAGGTGATATGGGACACAGTCCTCGTATGCAATACCATTCACTATCTCTTGCTAGGATGAACCCAGAAAATCATCATGTGGATTTTGTTGGATTATACGATTCCGATCCTCACGATCAAGTCATGAAACAAAAGAATATTAAAATTAATCCATTGGCATCAAAGTGGTGGAATTGGGTTAATTATTTGATGAGGTTGCACTTTACCATGTTTTTACTTTTTGCACCAGTGAAGGTTTTATTGCAATTTTTAATCATGACTATTCAATTATGTTATATTATTAATAGGAATCCATTTGGAAATTCTTCATGTAAGAAGGTTTTGTTGACTCAAAATCCTCCTGCTATCCCAAATTTATTCTTATTTTGGATATTACAAAAGTTACATCTTATTAAATTGGATGAATACATTATTGATTGGCACAATTATGGATTTTCAATTTTGGCACTCACAAGAAAGAACAAACATTTGATTAATTTTGCTACATTTTTAGAATTTAATTTTGTTAAGAATTGTGCCACCCATCACTTGTGTGTTTCTGAGCATTTGAAAAAGGATTTGTGTCAAAGATTGGGTATTAGTGAATCCAAAGTTACTGTAATGTATGACAGACCACCAGAAATGTTTGGTTCCAATCTTTCTGACTCTGAGAGAAATACACTTTTCAAGGATGTTCTTTCTATTGATACTTCAAGAAATTTCAAGCTTGTTGTCAGTTCTACCAGTTGGACTGAAGATGAGGATTTTAGCATTCTCCTTTCCTCAATTATGGAACTTGAAAAGAAATTGGAAAGTATTTCACCTTCTATTTATTTGGAATTTATCATTACTGGTAAAGGGCCTCAAAAGGAGTATTATCTCAAAAAGATTGCCTCCCTCAATCTCAAATATTGTAGAGTTCAAACTTACTTCCTGTCCTATGCTGATTATTCCAAACTGTTGGCATCTAGCGATGTTGGTGTTTGTCTCCACTATTCTAGCTCTGGATTGGATCTTCCAATGAAGGTCGTCGACATGTTTGGCAGTGGTCTTCCAGTATGTGCTATTAAATATCTGACATTACCAGAGTTGGTCAAACATGACGAGAATGGCTACATCTTTGACAGTAGTACTAACCTTACCAAGTACTTGGAAGAATTACTCATCTCACCAGAGGGCTCCTCCAAATTGAAATCCATGAGAAACCATCTCAAACAAAACTTCCAATCCCACCGATGGAATGATGAATGGAATTCTAAGGTTGCTCCACTCTTCTGAATTTACATGTAATTACAATTTCTCATTAAATCAACTCACATCAATCAATTGTAGTTTGAAAGCCATTACAAAACCATTTCAAAAACATTAGAGAAACATAAAGCATTCGAAAGACACTTTCTTGAAAGGAAATCATGGAAAGTCTTTTTTCCCTCCAAAATTATGTAACAGATTTTCAGAGCATCAACTGCGCCTTGAATGCGCCTTAAACCACCAAAAAAAAAGAAATCAAATTGTACGTTACGACGTTCCAAGAAAAAAGTCGTCGACGTCATCATTGCTGTATTTGAGGAGATATTTCCACCTACATATATAATTACAACAACAAGAACAACAATATAGTATCAAAGCAACAACATTTTTGAATAAGGGATAGTATTATAATATGAGTACAACGGAGACGAGCAATACGACCATGTCGGGACGTCCAGCAATGTTCATTGTTGAGGTCCTCTATCCATTCTTTCCATCGGATAAACAACATCTCACTCTATCACAATATGAAAAAATTAAAGTGATTGAAACACACAAGAGTGATTGGTGGATTGGAGAAAAAGCTAATGGAGAAGTAGGGTTATTTCCTGCTAATTATGTAAGAAGAGTGGTATGTGTTATAGTATCTTCCTTAGAATGTATCTAATGATTATTCTTGGATTTAATTTTTAAATGTTTAGCAAGATATGGTTGAGGAAAGCCCGAGAAGAAGAGAAAAAACATTCAATAAGCCTGTCACATTCGATCCAAAAAAGACAAACACTAAAACTGTTGATCCTCAACTCCAAAAAAGAAAAGAAATAGCCAGCCAATTGGGCTTAGGAACTGTAGATTGGGATGAATTAATGTCTGATGAAGATGAAGAAATTGAATCCGATGATGACATTGTTCCAGAAAAGAAACCCAGTCCAATGGTCACTAAAACTCAACCTAGTTCATCAAATTCACCTCAACCAGTAGCCACAAATCAAACCATTACAACTGCCATGCCTGCTGGTGGTAAGTTTGTTACTGAAGAGGCCTATGAAAAGAAGAAGAAGGATCTCCAAGAAGCATTGCAAAAACAAATGGAAGATCAAATGATAAAACAAAAGCAAATGGAAGAAATCAAAAAACTCAAGGAAGAACTCTTAAAAACCAAGACAGAGGCATCTAAGGGAGGTGAAGAGAAATCGACCACTCCAAGAACAACACCAAGAGGCTCGCCTGGTCTTTCAAACCAAGAAGTTCAACAATTGATGCAGAAGCAACAAGCTGATTTTGAAAAGAAGCAAAAGGAAATGGAAAAGGAATACGAAACGAAGATCAAACAAGCAGCTGAAAAGTCTTCTTCCAACTCAACAGCAACAACTGATATGCAAAAAACCATTGAAAAGTTGAAGCAAAAGAATACTCAACTCGAAGGGCAAGTTGTTACTCTTGACAAATCTCTGACAGATGTCAAACAAAAATACAATACTGATGTTAGGGATCTTTCTCAAAGACTGAAGGAACAGAAAGACGGATCAATTAAACACATGAGTACCAAGGTAATTAGAATGAAGAAACAAGTTCAAGCAATCAAGTTCGAAAATGGGTTCCTTAAGAAGGAAGCTCAAGATATGCAAAAAGAATTCCTGAATGCTGTTCAACTCATTTCTTCTAAGGCTATGAAGAAACTTTTAGATGGTTATAAAGATCTGGAAGACCAGTACAAGAAGGAAGTTAAGGAAAGAAGAGTTTTATACAACCAGTTACAAGACCTGAAGGGAAATATTAGAGTCAACTTAAGAATTAGACCAATAATTCCAGAGCAGGACGGTCAAAATCCAGAAACTTGTATTGATACTGTAGATGAGAGAGAAATCAAAGTTTCTGATAAGGAGGGTAAAAAGATTCAAAAGTTTGAGTTTGATAACGTTTTTGGAATCAACTCAACACAAGAACAAGTTTTCGAAGATGTCAAACCACTGGCAACATCTATTCTGGACGGTTATAATGTATGTATTTTTGCTTACGGTCAAACAGGTTCTGGTAAGACCTATACTATGGAAGGATCACCATCCAACCGTGGTGTAAATTATAGAACTCTAGACGAGCTTTTCGCAATGGTTAAGGAAAGAAAAGGCGAATATAATTACGAGGTTGAAGTTGCTGTTATGGAAATTTATAATGAAACACTCTTTGATTTATTAAGCAAGGAAAAGACCAAACTTGATATCATGTTGAGTAATAAGGTAGCCATTCCAGGCCTGACCAAGTATAAGGTGAGCTCATCAGATGATGTGAGGAGAGTCCTTTCACAAGGCTACGATAATAGAGCAGTCGGAAACAATAACATCAACGCACACAGTTCTAGATCTCACTGTATTGTCAGTGTTTTTACTGAAGGTATCAATACGTACACAAACCAAAAGGTATCAGGCAAGCTTCACTTGATCGATTTGGCAGGTAGCGAAAGATTAAAGAGAACCGATGTTAAGGGTGACAGACTGAAAGAAGCTCAAAGTATTAACTCTAGTTTGAGTTCTCTCGGAGAAGTTATTTCTGCCTTGGCAACTAAGAAGAGTCACATTCCATTTAGAAATTCAAAACTCACCTCACTTTTACAAGACTCTTTGGGAGGTAACTCTAAGATTTTGATGTTTGTAAATGTAAGTCCAACTTCAGAGAGTTGTCCAGAAACTCTGTGTTCTCTTGGTTTTGCCCAAAGAGCCAGAAAGGTCGAAATCGGTAAAGCTGAGAAGAATGTGACAGCATCAAAGTAATAAATCTAATTTCAAAAATGATTTATTTCTTTTGCAACCCCTTCCATTCCATATACCAAGATCTATCTGGGAAAGATTTCATGTTATCATCAACACAACGTTGAGCTTCAGCTGTATCTTCATTTTCTAAGGTATCAACAGGATTCTTCCTTCCATCAGTCAATTTGTGTAATATTGAATTCAATCCATTCAACATGGTTTTACCTCTCTGTTTAAATACTTGCCCAATGGTCATATTTTGCAAAGGTAATTGAAAATCAGAGTACATTATATTCAAAAATCTCGTCGTCTTCTCATTCACTCTCATCATTATATAATAACACAATCCTTCAATTGCTAAAGAATTGGACGGCATTGTTGCAACTCCACTAGGAAGATCAGCTGTATGTAAAACAAACATGTAAAGATCGATTGCACTATCTTTTACACATGTTGTAACTGTCTCCACATATCTCTTCTTTAGGAGTGGAATCTTGGTATCAAAAGCCGTGGTCATAATCTTTACAGCATAGGGACAAGTTGTTCCATGAAAGCTCTCATTCGGTTCAATATAATTCAGATAATTCAAATTATTACAAAACATTGGTTCGAAATAGAGATGATTCTTCTGATGGGTCCACATTCCCCAAACATCTTCCAAACTATACGGCAGATCAATTGATAATTTACAAAGTTTAAATCCTTTCATTTGCTTGGAATTAAACACGTACGATGTTCTAGAAGTACTAACGGTCAAATTCTTCTTCTCATGAACAATCTTCCAGTCGGGTGTATCCTGAGCTAATGTCAATCCAAAATAAATATGCTCATCCGTTATAACAGGTGTCTTTAAATCATTGGGTTTAAATCTCAAATCTACCTTGTATCCTTTCGAAATGTCAATTCCAATCTTTCTCGTATAGCTCATTCCCATCTTGTTAAGGAAGTGCAATAATTCTTCCGATCGGGAAAACTTGATAAAGTGTCCCAAACTCAAATCTACCAAAATTAACAATGAAATAGATCCTAATAAATACCCAGGATGAAATTCCTCAATTAGACTTTCTAAACTTGGTTTCGAATAGCTGAGTGATGAAGAATTTGAAGAGCTAGAGCCTGACGAACCTTCACTACATGCATCATCTTGTTCTTCCCTACTTAATTTTTGACTTGTTTGTTGCCAGAGTTCTATAGATGACTTTTGAAGTGGACCAATGTTTAGTTCACTTTCTCCATCATTTCTAAGAAAGGTTTCGACAATAGAATTCATCTTGTCGTGTAAATTCTGCAAGCTTCTTCTAGAAAGTTTTAATGTATTTCGTCTATTTGATGATGCTGAAGAAATACGAATGTCAGCTTGATGATTGTTTCCTCTCAACATTAACGAGAATGTTTCGTATTCGAAAGGAAGACCAACAACTTTCTTATATTCTTCAGTATATTCAATCACCTTGTTAATAAATAGAATAGATTCTTGATTATGATGTCTTTCTAAAAAGCTTTGAAAAACTATTCGAAACTGGGCACATTTTATTGCCTCTTCAAATACTATCTGATAGTTTCTTGCATGAAAATCACTCATGTTTTGAATTTGTTTTTTTCTTGTGTATCTTAAATTGTCTAGAAATCTTTTTCATGTCAAATGTTTGAACGATTTATCAAGAAAAGTCAACTATCAGAAATGATGTTGCTTTTGTGGACAACTTGAATGACTTTTCTGTTGACATGGTTCATAAAAATCTTTTAGCCAATTTACAAGTCAAAAGTCAAATAATTTATTTCAAATATCATCTGCCAACAGTTCATAACAAATGAATTTTCTTGCACTCTATTGTGCACACAATTCTGTAAATCCAATTTCTTTTTCCAACACTTCCTACAACACAACATGGAAAATCCAACACAATTAAATTTGAACCTTATTTGTCTTGACAAATTCAATCCACTTTCTAGAATGTTTAAATCTATAGAAAGAATCCATCAAATTTTTGTAAATTTCAATGTTGAGTGTTGAGAAAACGTCAGATTTTGACAAATTTTCAATGAGCTTTCGAACTTGATCTTCAATGGTGGAATCTATTTGAGGAAAATATCTTGTTGAGCTCTTTTCCTTGATACTTTTTGGAATGCTGTTTAATTGAATTCCATGTTGATTCATTAATTGAGTGAGCTCTCTAAAATCTTTCAATTCTGCATGAATGATTTTTGATGGAATATTCACTTCAAAAACTGAACTATTATCTGAAAGGTATAGTTTGACCATTTCCTTGACTTTGGAAACTTTGGATCTTGCATGTCTTTCATTAATATTTCTCAATTTTTGTAAATCTTCAGCGAAAAGTAAATTTTCCACTGAGAATTCCTTTTTAAGAAATTCATGGAAAAATTCTCTTTCCACTCTTCGTGAAATGACATAATCAATTGAGAAGGAACTCACTGGAGAGGACATTAACTCTTGAAGATTTTGAATTTGTTGAGAGGGCATGAGTGCATTCTTACTCTTCTTCTTCATGCGAATGAAATTGTGATAGGTTTTGTAAATGGTCACACCAGGATTACTGAAAGTTCCTCCAAAAAAGTGAAGTAAAATTGTAATTACAAGTGATGAAATTGTTCCTCCCACTGTACCATCAGTATTGATCGTTGAGCTAAGAACCAAGTAAATAATTAAAGCAATAACGTCAAATATGAAACGAAGTAAAGATTCTGATCTGTATACAAATGGATCTGTTTCATAAAAGTGATACACAAGGAAATTCTCAGTCTTGATTCCCTTTTCCTTATTTTCCCTTCTTAGTCTGAAATATTTTATAAGGGAAACGAAACAGTCAACTGTGAGAAATATTGGAACTATTAAGAATAATATAGCAGAAATTATCAAGGTATATAAATTATTATCAACTCTAGCCGTATAATTGCAATAAGTTTCTAATGATTTCCATGAAGAATTAAAAATTGGTTCAATGAGTGTATCTGCAGGGGAGAGAAATATTCTCGCACTCAATGCAATATAAGTTACAATTCCCCAAAAGATAATGTATGATATTTCAATAACCTTATATCTGATAATAATCTTTAAAAGGTTTAGGAATCGTCCTCTTTCAGATAATACATCTAGTGAAATAACTTCATCATCTGAACCATCCACATCAATTGATGAGAGAGTATCGTCTGTAATTGATATTTCATTACTTGTAGTTATTGAAGGTCTAAGTGATGATTGACTTGTGGAATTTGTTGGATCTTGATCTGCAATAGATTTTGGAGTTTTCAGATCAGTTTGATTCGTTTCTTGTTTTTTCATATTTTTGAGTTTCTCTAATTGTTTCTGTTTGAAATCTTGCCAATATCTTTCGACCGATTCAATTTTATCCTTCAGAAAGAGTAGTAACATTAGTTTAAGAATCTGAATCGAATATAATGCCAATCCCATAACTACCAAAGGGGCCAGAACGTAACTATTGAAGAAACAATAGCCGTTTTCAAAAGAGGCATATCCTCTCATCCATGTTGGAAATCCTTTCGAATCCAAATTATTCATGTAAAAAGTTTGAGCATCAATAGAGTTTAGTCTCCTTTCGTTTATAAACTTATTCCAATAACTTTCAAAATACAACCTCATAATCGGAAGATTTTCAATAACTCCCTGACTATGAGCAATAATATTGACACTAATTAATACAATTACAAAGAAAAACTTTGATTTGACAGGTTCATAATTTCTGAACATGACTGCCGAAACTAAAAGCCAAATATTAAAAAGAATAAATAAGCTTCTCAAAGTTACAATGATTGAAGGATGGATTTTGGTGTAATTGGTAAGAACAATTTTGTTTTGAGCCAATGTTAGATTATTGGTCACATTAGAAAGTAGAATAATAAATTCTGTAACGTTGTAATCTGTGAGGGAAACATCAGGAGGAGGAATTAATTGGAGGATAGTTTGATTATTGGTGTTTTGGGAGGTGGTTGTCGTGTTGTTATCTGCTTGAAGCATGAATTGTTGATGAACTTTCGCAAACACATGCGTGGACGAAACTAGAAGAATGAAGATGCAGGTCAAGCAGGTCAACCACAACGAACCAACAAACAGACTCTTTGACTTTCCTAATGGTAATATGGACATGATTCTGATGTTGTTTTTTTTGGCTTTGAAAACCTTTGAGTTGTTGACACCTGTCAGCAAGAGCAAAAACGAGCTGGATTATGCGGCATAATGGCTATCCAATCAAGGAAAGTGGTTGGATGATAAATGAACTTGGTTCCTGTTGGTTCAAATACAGAGGATTGAGATTTTGCATTACCAACATCAAAACAACACTTTGCAATTGATTGTATGGTAGTCGAAAACGTGTTTAATTTCAAGGTTTCGTCTATGTCTGTTGGAATTAAAGGATTGGCCAAATCTCTCCTTTCTTGGAGAGGACAAATCTGCAATCAAAAGCGGTTGAACATTGTCCAAGTTTGGTATGTTTGAACCTATCACTACGTCTGTTATAACATAATTTTTGAAAATTATTGTAAGCGAAATTATTTACATTTAATTAATAAATTGTAATGTTTCAAATCTTCAATATACATTAATCTTATTTTCGTTAGTAGCAGCCCTGTTGGTCGATTAATTGGCTCAACCTGAATTTCCGACTTTACAATCCATTCATTTTCCTGATAATTTACATAAACAACTTCCAATTCACATTCCAATAAATTTGCAAGAGCATTAAGACAACAATAATCAGCCCATTCCTTTTCCTGTCTCATATCATGCAAATAATCTGAAATATTTGATTGATCTTCCCGTAGAAATATCAAATCTCTAATCTTAATTCCATCTTTCACTATCGAATCCAAATTTTCCTCAATCCAATCAACACACAACTGTCTCAATTGGAAATTCTTATGTTCACCATCGAATAATGCAAGAGAAATTGAATTGAAGAGACAATTTCCATTAGATTTTGCCTCTACCATCCTCAATTGATTTCTCTTCATGTAATCGGTGAGTAATTCTTCTTTTTTCTTGTTAGTTTCGGAAGCATGATCATGTTGTTGTTGTTCCTGAATAGGAATACTTCTCATGCCATTGCTCTTATATTTGTATGTAGATAATGTTGGTTTTTCATGAGTTGTTATAGTTTCATCTTGTTGATGATGATTTAATGTTCGGGTTGAATCAAAAGTTGAATGAAGTGAATGGCCAGCATCTCCTTTACTATCATTCAATTCAATGTTGTTATTATTATTATTAATGGTTTGATGATGTTTTCTATGATGAAAAGGTGAATGAAAGCTATGATGGTGATGCTGAGTCGTATCAAGATATAAATTGTGTTGGTACTTGTCGAGGAGGTAACTCAGTGGAGTGCAGTGATCCCTCATTGTTGTTTACTAATATTGTTGTTATCTTGTTAGAGTCCGAGAATGTGTGAATGAATTCTTTTCACTTTGAATTAATCTAAATTTAACCAAAATTTTGTTCAAATATTAATTCCTTACTTGATATCGGAATTTCTTTTCCGAACTATTAATAAGAATAGATTCATCAATTTGTTTACTTGTGTTATTTAAATATATAATAATAATACTGTAATTTAGTATTTGATGATGGTAAATTCGGCTAATTAAAAATTGATTGACTTGTGTGATCATCATCACAAATAATAATAATTAAAAAATGTCAAACAATAACTTTGAACCTTCCGATACATTCGTACCTCGTATTCTCTTCAAGACCTTATTCGCCTCCGTGTATAAGAATTTTACATGTAACAAACAATTAATGATGGCCGAGTCTGTTAGAATTAACGAACCTCAAAATACCTTCAAACATACTGTACTTGTTTCCCTCTATAATACATGTATGAGTAATTTTGTAAATAGAGAATTTGATTCACCAATAGAAACCTCCAAAACACCAAATGCTAATAAGAAAAATATTTTGGATTTGGATTTAGTTCAACTTGATAAGGTTTCGGAAGAAGTTTTTAAAACAAATAATGATGATGAAACACAAAAGAAAATTACAGATTTGTTCGATGGAGAATCTATTAAAGATAAGAGTTTGGATCAAGTATTCAAGGAAAAACCAAGCAGAAATGTTGGATTTTTCCTCTCAAAGAATCATGAAAGAATTGCTCTAATGGGAAGAAAGATTGAACAAATTTTACACTTGAATCCACAACAAGCCTTTGATAAGTGGTACAAATTATCTGAATTTAGTTTGGAAAACTTTGGACCTACCCTCAATGTCGATGAGAAGAATCCACTCAATCCTAATATAGCTCAACAAATGAATCATCTCGTAGCTCAACATTGTCTTCCGGAACGAAACTTGGAACAATGGTTTGATAGTGATGCACTCATAAATAGAGTCAATTTCTCAACATGTACTGCTAGTGTCATGTGTGCAGAACAACTTCAACAATGTTTCAATAGAGAAGATTCAGTTGGTTTCTACGAATGTATTGCCTCTGATAAGGAATTAATGAGATGCACAGATAATGTAATTATGAAAAACCTAGGAAGTCAAAAGTAAAAATTTATTCAATTATCATTATATTCAATTCTCTCAATTATTTCATTCTCTCCCTCTTCGTGATGCAGCAATTAATTGTTGAACAACAAGAAATTCAATCAAAAAAAAGAGAATAACACAAAAATAGAGAGAAATGATTGGTTTGAGGAAATTATCATTGTCTAGTTGTTTATCCACTTGCAAAAAACAAGCCTTCATCACAATATTCGGAACATCGAATTGTTCTTCATTCGGAGGGAAGAGACATCTTTCCAGAGTGAATTCGACACTACTCACACCACACAACGATGATACAAGTCATCTTCCATTCACAACTGAATATGATGCATTCTTCCCAAATGAAGATGAATTCTTTGATGAACACTTACTGTCGAGTTTACCACCTAATTTTAAAAGAGATGGTGAAGGTAATTTGATGGTTAAAGTTGATTCCGATCATGTTGAATATCATCGTGATACTCAACAACAGCAGCAACAACATATAAAACAAAAACAGAAAAAACCAGGTTTCTCAAAAGCACTTGCCTTGGAAAAGAAACAATTACTTTCATCAGAAGATAGTATTGAAGATCATGAGAATAGTCTCTATCAAAAACAGGGACTCATTGCTCACGCCAACAATATTCAGGATTCAAAACTAAAGGATTTCTATTTGGGTATGGACAAACATGCACGTTCAATGCTCACACTTTCGGAACTGAAAGGACATATTTATGCTTTTGCAATGGACAAGTTTGGTTCTGCTTTTATTTCAAATAGTTTACAACGAAGAAAAGTTTGGATTGCAAAAGGATCTGATAAAGCTAGGGAAATTACGAAAAAAGATCCAAGCTCTTCCAGCAAGTTGGAACAATCAGAGAATGGGTTGTGGTTTGTTGAACATGAATATGCCTTAACTGGAACTCCTGCTTCACAGGAAGTGGCATCAGTTTTGAAAAAACATGTGATTGGACACACTACTGAGGATGTAGATATGGTTTTTGAGGAGGTTTTACCTCACTTGGAAGAGTTAAATTCACACGTTTACGGAAAATTTATAGTATATCACCTTTTGATGGTCTGCTCACCAAAACAATCGAAAATAATTTTCGATAAATCTTTGAAGGGTAGTATTAAGGACCTAGTATTTACTGCTGGTGGTTCCATGATTTGCGAGAGAATTTATGAATTATTTACAAATGAGAATGATCCTAGAGCTGATATGATCCTTTCTGAACTTAAGGGTTCATTATCAAAGTGCATTCGAGATGCATTCGCTCAGTACATTATTGATGCCATTGCTAGGGGAAGTAATATGGAACATAGAAAGCAATTGTTGAATGAGCTTATTGAAACAGACTCCATTCAAGAGCTATTAGCATTGAATCAACCATGTAGAGTTTTAGAAAAATTTGTTAAATTTTCTGAAACTAGAACAATACTACTTGGGAAACTATCAAAAATCGACTATGTCAATTTAAGTAAGGACACTCATGGAGCTTGCTTTATTACTCAAACTCTCAAGTATGCATCATCCTCTCAAAAGAGGTTGATTATTGATGCCTTCAAGGGACATTTGTTAATTTCATCGCTGGGACCATCTGCTTCACATGTTGTAAATCAATTATTCATTGCTGCCAAACCAGAGGAAATTGATTCGTTCCTTGTTGAATGTAAAGGTCACTTTTTGGCCATGTCACAAGATAGATATGCTACTTTCTTCATGAAGCAAATCCTTTGCTCTACCTATAATGTCAAGTATTTGGATTTAGTAGTTCAAGAATTGAGAGGCTCTCTAGTTTTACTCTCCTATCAAAGATATTCATCCAAGGTAATTGAGTATGTGTTGAATATGATTGTTCACTATTCTAAAAAGGGAGTTGCTTTACCATTCTCCCTCGATGAATTATTGAATGAATTCAGCAAGCATACAGTTCAATTATCTAAGGACAAGTATGGAGCTTTCTGTATTCAACAAGTTTTAAATATTGCCTTTGCAGCATCCACTTGCAATCTAGTTTCCAAAGAAACTAAAATCAGTTTAATGAAAGACATTTGGCAACAGGCCATGCAATTAGCATTGGATAAACATGGATGCTTTATCATTCAATTCCTCGTTCGTACTCCAGAAACCAGAATGCCAATGATGAGAAGATTCTTAGAAACAGAAGATAGTCCAAAAGAATTTAATAGCAATAACTTTTTCATGTTGATCAATAGTGAGCAGGGAACCTCTGTTCTGATGGAATTGGTAAAACAAAGTGATACTAATCAGAGAAATGCTCTCTTTACAGTGATGAAATCCTACCGATCAAGAATTAAGGAATCCTATCATGGAAGACAATTACTCAAATTTTCTACACCGTTTGATGAGTTGGGAGTTCTCTCATCCATGACTGATAACAATGATATGAATATTTTCCCTTCTTCACTCTCTAATTGGAAATAAATTTATTATTGTTGTTATTATAATAATTATCATTGTCACTAACAATTGTAAATATTACAAGTGTAAATGTGTGTTGGATAGAACAGGTAAGGGATTATTTTGTATAAGTGTTATTTTGTGGACCACAGGCTTAATCCTCAACAAGTCATCATGTCATGACTCGAGAGAGAAAAACCATTATCGCTGCAAAGTGTTCTCATCAAAAAAAATGTCAGCAAGCAATAGCCAACAACATTTGCAATCTAATTCCCGCCCAGCAATGGTACGTAAAAAATATTAAGGCTTTGATTTTGACTGGCGACAATAACCTCATTTTTTACACCACCTTCATTCACTAATCAACATTATCATGATCACGCTAATTTTCTATTCATCATCATACTACCACCATCATGGCTGTGATTATCATTGTGGATTTTTTTCATCATGTTATTAGAATGGGCAAGCATTTTCAGCCTTTGAGTTTTGCGATAGGATGAAGTATGAATTTGAATTTGTGAATAGTCAGCTTAATATGTACAAAATAGAAAACGAAAGACTGAGGAGTGAAAAGGAAGAACTGATACAACAATCAAAAAAGGTTTGTTTAAATCAAAAAGCCTTAACCTAATCAAACTCTAATAGTTCTTTGAAATGTCTTACTTTTTAAATACTAATAATCACATAGCTTCGGAAGTGAATGATAGACTTTCCAACATGATACAACGAATTTTGAATGAATTACCAGAAGATGTAAGTTTCCTCTCCTCCTATTATTATAAATCTTGTCAAATATAATAGAAACGAAATATGTATCAACAAGAACTAAATAATGTGAATAATATTACAGCAGGAGATATAGAGAATAGAATTAAATCCAAGTCGTCCCACAGCAAATCTAATTCTTTGTCATCAACAGCTGTGACAATTTCAGAGCAACAACAATCAAGAGATCAAAGTCTTGATAAACCAAAGGAGAAATTAACCTTATTGACATCAATTCCATTGGATTCATCTGCATCTAGTGTGACAATGAGTAAAGATGGATTCCGTGTCTTTGTAGGTGGAAAGGGAAGGGTTGAGATTGTTTCCTCACTTTCCGAGAGAAAGAACAAAGAATCAATTGACTTTTCTCCATTGCAATATGTGAGATCTTGTAAATTGTTCAGAGATGAGACCACAATAGTAGTATCTGGAGAAGGTGCTGGAATTCATCTTTTCGATCTTACTAGAGGAATGAAAAAGTTAACCTTATCTACACTAGACAGTAATGTGAACTATTCGCTATCTCTAGCTGGAGATGACTCTACAGTATTTGCAACATTACTAAAGGGAACAATTGGAATGTGGGATCTTAGATCGAGCCAACTTGTAAGATTATTCGACGGTCACTCATCACCATGCTCAAGCATTGATCTTGATCCTTCAGGAAAAGTTCTGATGAGTGGTGGATTGGATAAGACAGTTAAAATGTGGGACATTAACTCAGGTAAATGTTTCCAAGAATTCCAAACCAACTCTAGAGTTTTATCCCTCACCAACTCACCTGCTTCAGATTTGATTGTGTACGGATTGGAAGATGGTGGATTAGATTTGGTCACTTACAAGACACAATCAAATTCTCACAATGTCATTAAGCATTCTGATTGTGTTCTTACCACTAAATTCTCTCCTAAAGGAAATTACATTATTTCAGGAGCAAAGGGAGGCATGCTTACCATCTCTGGAGTTGATGCATGCTTTAGACAGCTTGCCTCAGAACGATTGAGCAACTCTGTTCTGTCTTGTGATGTTGTGAGTAGCACTGATGGAGACTACATCTCAGTTGGTACATGGGATAACAAGATATCATTGTATAAATTAGTAGGTGTATAAGATCCCTCTGTTTTAATAAACCATACTGCCCGCTCTCACATTTTGTTGTTGTTTGTGAACTCTGATTACAACAACCAAACGAGTAAGATAAGGTATAAATTCGGAACCCAATCCAAACACAACGAACCCCTCAAGTAACCAATTCACAAACAACAGAAAAATGAGTGAATTGGGTCTCAAATTGCGTAAACTGTTCAAATGGCAGTCGAGTGAAAAGAATTCTGAAGCTCAACAATTACTGTCTTCGGGAACAGCAGTAAATAACAATGAAGATCCATCACCATCATCATCAGCAGCAGTAACAGTAACAACAGCAGAAATTACCACAACCAATACTCCACCGAGAAAGGAACGTATGGTTGCATTGGATATTATGAGAGGAATGACCATCATGTTGATGATTATTGTGAATAATCAACCAGCTAGAGCTTTTATCCCGTTGGATCATGCTGAATGGTTCGGATTTACCCCAACGTAAGTTACAGCAGTGCAATTCTTTCTCTCATCATTTTGATGGTCCTTGTTGGATAACACAATGAAAATGTTGAAATTTCACTTTATGAATGTTCTCCTTTTCGGAATGTGTGGATTCGATTTCAATGCAAAAACATTTATTTTCAAATTTTCTATCTACATGTACTATCAATTGATTGATTGAATGGACGTGAACATGTAGTGATTGTGTCTTTCCATTCTTTTTATTTGTGATGGGATATGCAGCTGCAATTGTCTATTCCAGAGAGTGGCCAAGTGATGTTTACTTGTATCCACCAAGTCATGTTAAATTATCAATTCAATCCTATTTTAGAGAATTGTGTGGAAAGAAACAAGATTTAATGGATGAAAATGAAAAGAAGGAAGAAGAAAGTATCAAATTCATGTATCTGATACCAATGAGGAAATCTCTGTATGAATTTGTAAGCAAATGGGTCAAATTATTTAGAAGACCAATTCTCATGTTCTTGATTGGATTTTCATTCTCAGTTCTAGCTCACTTGTTTAATTTCACACATGTGAGAGTGATGGGTGTTTTTCAAAGAATTGCCATTTGTTACTTTATTGTGAGCTTGATACTTGTCATGGTTCCTTGGACATTTGTTCAAATTCTCATTGTTGTCCTCTTCCAAGCTATTTACATTACAGTCACATTTGGATTATATGTTCCTATGGAGGGTGAAGGTGATGGTTGTGGAACGAGAGGTGAACTGTATGAACCTCGATGCACTGCTGAGGGTTATATTGATCGATTAATTCTCTCTAGGGATCACATTTATTTACAAGATTCATATGATCCAGAGGGATTTTTGTCCAGTCTCTCTGCTGTTACTAATGCATTTGTTGGTATTTTAGCTTTTAAGGTGGCTAGAGCTGCTGGTAAGGATGCTCACAAACGTCTCAATTATTGGTTTATAATGGGATCTTTGATGATTTTGGCTGCTTTGGCTATTGATTATGCTGGTCTACCAATTGGTAAAAAGCTCTGGACAACTTCATTTGCTTTGATTACAAGTGGTATTGCTTGTATCTTTTTGGCTATTGTTTCATTTATTGTGGATATTCACCAATTCAAAAAGTATTGGAGTGCACCATTTCTTTGGATTGGTTCAAATCCATTGATAATGTATTGTGTTCCAACTTTGGTTGCTATCATAATGCTCAAGATTCCAGTGCCTCACAATGGAAAGCAAAGTAATCTTTATAGTGCAGAGTTCTTGACATTATTTGCAAGTTGGATCAAACCTTTGGAATTGGCCTCATTCTTACATGGTGTTGTGTTTGAATTGATTTTCATTCCAATTGCCTTCTTATTGTACTGGAAGAAGATTTATATTAAACTTTAATGCTTGTTGATATAATTTGCAAATTTCACCAATTCCTTTCTCAGTGCAATATCGTTTTTGGTAATTTCTAGTGGATCACGCTTAGATTTCATTGCTGACATTTGTAAAAATTGTTCTACTTTCTCGTCTATGTGTTTCTTAATTTTTTCAGGTAATTTAGAGCTAGCAATGGATGTTTTTACATTTCGTAGTGTGCTCAAATCTTGAGAATAATTCATCAATAAATTATCCATAAATGTAGATTGAATTATTGCATTTACATTCTCCTCCTTTTCTAAATCAATTAAAGCATCCAAAATCCCATCATTTTCAAAACAGTCACAAATTTCTTTTGATATTTCATCTATTAATTGTTCCTCCTTGCTCTCAAAAGAAGGTATAGAATCTGTGCATTTTTGATAGAGAGCCCATGCTTTCACTCCCTTAATTTTACAAACACTTTCGGAAACCCAAACAGTATCCTCAAAATTCTCTGGTTTTACCAAATATTCATATTCGTCCTCAAACCCTGTTTTTCTTCTCTGTAAAATCTTTTCAATAACCATAGCCTCTGCATTAAATGTCGATAAATTGAGAATGGCTCTTTTTCTTCTCTTTCTTTCACTTAGGCAAAGAATTCCATCTCTCAGAGAATCTGTATCTATGGTATCTATTTGTAAATTATGAGAAACTGTTTCACAGAGTGGATTTGCATTTACTCGTATCCTCTTACTGCTTCCACTACTGCCAGCACTTGAAGGCCTTGAAGAATCCTCTGAAGAAACTTGTCCATTCGATGATGAACCATTAGCTGATTTCTTCTTTTTTACATCACAATCTTTTGGATACCTATACTCTGAAATGCTATCATCATTATATACATCAAATGGATTCTTCTCTATATAATTAATTTCAAGACCTAAAAAGATCAATAACAATCAATAACAAGATGATCAAAATTACCTTTTCCACAATCAATTTCCAAATACTCCAACGAACCAGCATTATCATCAATATCGATTACCAAATCATCATTCAAAGAAATTGGCACAATCTTTTCATAGGTTTGAATATTTCCTCTTGAATTACTTCTCTGGAAAGAAGATAATTTTTTCCTATCCGCCTCCGATAAACTCTCTAACGAAGATGGCATCTCCAAATCAAACATAATATGTTCCTTTGTTTTCATTTTTTTTTATTTTAAAAAATCATTAAAAATCGTTTCATATTTATTAATGTTTATTGATTTTGGTTGTGAATTGATGGAAATGTTAGAATGATAATGTAAAAAACTATCATTTAAATTGTTTTGAATTTTTCATTCAATTAAAATGAATTTTTAAAGCAATATTTCGGAACATGTAATTTACTTCAATCTAACACTGCAACACGATATGAAATTAATAGAATATCAGGAAAATGGATACTTCATTGTCCAAGAATATTATTATTTACTCTTCATCAATTTTAAAATTGTTGAAATAAAAATAGAAGAATTGATGATGAGCCTATTAATAAAAAACTTTTTGTTCAAAGTTTTATTTAATATTTGAATTTTATTAAAAATGACAACAAAGAGCAAGTCAAAAGGTGGTAAGAGAAAAAAGGATTTGAACAAGGGTGGAGCAGGAAGTAAGAGAGATCTCCAACTCAAGGAAGAAGGACAAGAATATGGTGTCGTTACTAGAATGTTGGGTAACGGTAGACTTGAATGTTATTGTTATGACGGAAAGACTAGACTCTGCACCATCAGAGGTACAATGAGAAGAAAGGTTTGGATTAACCAAGGTGATACTATTCTTATTGGCTTGAGAGAATATCAAGACGATAAGGCTGACGTTATTCACAAATTCCTTCCTGATGAAGCCAGAGAATTGAAAAAGCTCGGTGAAATCCCTAAAGATGCTAAAATTAATGAAGCCACTGAAGAAAACATTGGTATTGAATTCGTTGGTGATGACCAAATGGACTCTGATGAAGAAGGAAGCGGCAAGGAAGAAGAAACCATCAACTTTGACACTTTGTAAATTTTCCCTCTCCTCTAAATTATCCTCCGTTTTTAAACCAATCCAACAAACATAATCAAACGAAAAGGATTGTCTTACAATCCAACAATAATTTATATAAAAATTTAAAACTAATTAAATTGTTGTGTTATTTCTTTATTATCTGATGGAATAATTGCAAAATAATATTTCATCAATTTTAGTATTAATGTAAGCTTCATTCGTTCATATTGCTAAACAGGCGAATAATACTACAATTCAATCCAAAGTTAAATCGATCCAAGAAGAGTATACTTCCATGTAACCTACACAATTAAATAATGATGGAGGTAGGTTTGGTGATTTGCTCCCTGAGACAATTGATCAATTCATTATAGGCCAAGTTCTTTTCCAACTTCCCCGAAGTTAATGTTCTGAATTGAGTTGAACAATTTGAGTGAATTTGTCTTTCAAATCTATTGAAAATAATCATCCAAAACAAATCACACAAATCTACTACTTACTCTATCCTCATTTCATGATCCAAACAATGATCCAATCTATCTTTGTGTAGCCGACATAATTCTTCTCTTGATGATGGTGGAGCCGAGCTCATGCACAACATTAAAATATCGGAAAGAACTGGACATCTCTCTGTTCCGAGATGTATCACAAAGGAATTGAAAATAAATTCCTTGATTGTCTTAAAGTGTGAAAGATTACTATCGACAACAGCTGTTGTTTGAGACATTTTTTAATAGGAAAAGAGACTGTTTATCACAGAAGAGTCAACCTGTGGAATCGAGAAATCATCTTCCTCTTTGAGAATGTCTCTAGTTTTTTGTTTCTCTGGCTTCTTTTTGATGGTTAGGGTGCTTTTGGGAATGTGTTTGGAATGGAAGAGTTTGGCATGATCTCTAATTCTTTCCATGTAGGTTTTTGGCTTGGTTTCGATGGGAGTTTCCTCACTTGGCTTTGATTCTAATTGCTTTGCTTTACTGTTGGATTGAATTGAGGCAGAAGGTTCTTGAGGTTTCAAGGAGGAAGGCTGATTTTTAGACGAATAGGATGAAACATCTGGTGATTCTTCGAGTACAACCACTAAATGTTGTTCTTCAACTTGTTTCTCAGAATGTCCTTGATGCTGTTTCTTCTTTCTCTCAATGCTCCTCTCTAAGATTTCAAACATTTCCTCTCCACTCTGATGACATGTATATTCTGAAATGAGTTTTTGCTTTTTGAAGTTGGATTGCTCTTCGGAGAGTTTAGGTTCATCGGGTTTTCTTTTCTTCTCATTCGAAAGGCTAATGTTATGTCCTACTGATTCAATACAACTTACATGGGATGGTTTGATGAAATCAAATATTGTCTTTTGATTCTTTTCGCATGATAGAAACTTGCTTAGTCTCTTATTTTCAAAGTTTGATTTATACTTTTTCAATTGAGTACTAATTTCAAAATTAACTCCATCAAATTGAGTTGGAAATTCTTCCTCTCCAGGAACATCCTTCTCAAAGGATAATGTTTTCATTGAGGTAGTAATATCATCAAGCCTAGATTGTAAATCATTCATGTCTTCATACTTGACAAGCAACATTGAATTCAAATCAATAAGATGATGATCATAATTCTCTACAATAAGCTGATTATTTAGGCTATTAAATTTTCAAAACTATATTTCCTCTGACAATTTACAAACCTCTTTGGTGTTGGAAGACAATATTGAGAAAGTAATTCCATTCCCGATTGACTATTAATGAACAAACTCTCTTCCATAATGCCTTCTAGTGGATCGTCCTCTTCCTTTTCCCGTTTTCTTCTTTCCTCAATTACGAAATATTTAAGGCTTTTTTCAATTCTTTGTCCACGTTCGTTGTACTCAACCTTCTTTTGATTGACCATTTTTTATTCGGAATAAGTTTTATTTTTACCTTATCATGTTACTACCATCTCAATGATTTAAATTAATGAATAAAATTTATAATTATTACAAAGATCCTCCTTACGAACTATCTGTCATTTATCTCTTGAATAGGCCGCTCTAGTCCACATTTAAAACATACGTCCTAAACTTGCATTTCTTCCTTCAAGAAAATAATACGCACGCTCAAAGAACAATATTTCAACTCATGATGATAGTACAAATAACAATCAAAACAAAAACACATTACTCTAAAACACATAAAAACAAACATCATAACAATGGCTATTAAAGTTTATGGACTTGCTGCAGCAACTTGCACTAAGCGTGTTTTGGCAACATTGAAGGAAAAACAATTGGACTACGAATTGATTGTTGTTAATTTGGCTTCTGGAGAACATAAGCAAGCTCCTTACATTGAAAAACAACCTTTCGGAGTGATTCCAGTTCTTGAAGATGGTGAATTCACTATTTATGAATCACGTGCTATCTGTAGATATTTGGAAAACAAGTACAAGACCAGTGGAAATCAACTCATTCCAACCAATCCTGAAGAATTGGGTTTGTTCGAACAAGGTGCTTCTATTGAAACATCCTATTGGGATCCAAATGCTTCTGGTATTATATTTGAAAAATTTTTCAAGGCCTTGAAGGGTTTAGGTGAAGCCGATGAAGCAAGAGTTAAGGTTGCAAGTGAAAAATTAGCTCAATATTTGGATGTTTATGAAAAGATTTTGAGCAAACAAGAATATATTGGTGGAAATCAATTTACTCTTGCTGATTTGTTCCATCTTCCTTATGGAAGTCTCTTGTTCTTGCCTCAAGTTAATTTTGGTCATTTGCTATTGGAACGTCCACATGTTAAAACTTGGTGGGAAAAGATTAGTTCTAGACCTGCATGGCAAGAAGTTGCTCAATTGCGTTAAATAAATTTGTAAATTAAAAATATTTTTTGTAAACTTTTCAAAATTCACTCATCGTAAAGTTCCTTTTTGAAAATCTGAATGGCTTCCATCAATACACGATGTGCGTAAACAGTCAAATTATCTAATTGTTTCTTGAATGCGCCAGTATTTCTCTTTTCCTGTTCGTATCCAGTTTCACTAACTCTTTGGCCATAAACTAAATTATTTGGTAGTTCAAGAAAAAAGAACTTGAGAAATAGGAGAGTACTATCAACTGTTGAGAGAGATGCTACCTTGTACCAGTGAAATAGATTGTCTTGGTAGGAAGGATCCTGGGTTTTCCAAAAGTCATAGATTGAAGATGATTGGGTTCTATTCTTAACATTCAATTCAAGATGAGCTCCTGATTTTCTAAATAAAGCATCGATTAGATCTTTAACTTCAAATGAGTGTACTTTTGTTAACCAACAATCAATTAATGCAATATGTGAATCTTCAAACACCTCTCTGAGTATATTTTCAGCAGAGTATCTCAATGATTCCTTTCTCTCTTTTGAAATCAATTTGTTAACATATGGATCATGAATTTGTAAATTTTCAAAATATCTATATTTTGCCAACATTTCCAACCCATTATAATCTTTCAGAATTTTTCGTTTCCTCTCAAATCTTATTTGTGATTTAACAATGGTCAATAATTTAATACTCCTCTTTGAAATCAATGGATGATTCACAATAGAAAGAGTCTTTGACTTAAAACCAGTAGGATTCCGTTCAGCCATCTCATTCAAAATAACAATCCAAAACCGATCGAAACTCTCTGTTACAGTACGATAACAATCGGAACATGTTAGTGCCAAACTCATCACAGTTTTTAAATCATTTTTGCAGAATAATAAAATATCCATCAGAGAATCATTGGAGAGGGAAGTTAGTTTAGACATTTTTTTAAAATTATTCTTTTTTGATTTTGCACTTCTTTTTGTAATATTCATACCTTAATTACCAAAAAATCACGTTGAAATACGTTTTAATACAATTTTAACACAGAATTTGAAAATCGAACAATATATCAATAGAGTTTTAGAAAATACTAAAGTAATGTCAAATGTCTAATATGTGATGTGCACTTCTCTTTTTTCACACTTTTCATCAAACGTGGATGGCTTCATGTCTAATGCAATTAACAACGTTTTAATGTTTTGTGCTAAATTATGTTCTTTCAATTTGTACAAGAATTCAATAATTAGGTGTATCTTTTATTCCAGGGTCAGGGAATAGTTCTCATCCATATTAATACCATAGAGCTTTTTGCCTCATTAAGCTTATTGTGAGATTAGATAGAAAAAATGGAAGGTATGTTAACCATGTTTGTTGCTTACTTAACAAGAGGCTGGTTATTTTACACAAGAAGCCTCTTCTTCTTCGGGAGAAGAATGTGAAGAGGGCGATGATGTTGGATTGTCTGTTCCTTACTCCAAAGCTGCAAGAAGCAAAACAAGAAGTCGAACATCACCATCTAAACAACAACCAAAGGCCAAGAAAAAGAAGCTTCAAGATACCATCAATCAAGGCTTTGAATTTTTGGAACAAATAGAGCAATATTTAAAGAAAGAATTACCATTTGTCACAACCAACGACGAAATAGATGAAAAGTTGAAAGAACAATTGGTGGCAATACCAGATATCGAAGGGTGCACTGATATGACTTCCTTGAGAAGGTTATTGTTGACTTTGAGTATTGAATATTCGAAAGAAACTTGCCCTATTTTTAATTGCAAGGATGATACAAGTTGTTTGATGAAATATGCTCAAGATCCTTCAATTCAAAATCTTCAAGCTGTTATCGAACATTATAATCTCCGTGATGATTGCTATTCTTCAATCCTTAGATCTCTTATTCCACCAAAGTTGAACATTTTAGGTTGTGCTACAGAATTGCAGCTCACCACAACACACTTCAGTTCACTGTTTGAATTGGCTCTCCTTTCCAAAAACAAGATATTTGTCAATAGCAACAAACAGATACCAAACATGTTAAATAAGAAAATGTTGTCACAAAAAATTAAGGATTCAATGAAAGAACTTCAAGTTGATGCCATTTTGGCCCAAAAGTACAATGATAGGTACATTACCAAAATTATTAGAGAAGACAAACATGAGCATTCGTTTAGCCATTTTAATCATCCAGATTTTTTAAGAGTGGTATTTGTGATGAGATTGGCACTTTCAAAGAACATTAGACATCTTGTTAAAAAGGATCTGGAATCAAACATACACGACAAATTATTTATTCTTGGCATGACTACTGACAACATACAAACAAATTTGTATTGTATGCATGCAAATATTAAGGATGATCTATCTATATCTTACAAAATGTATACACTTGGAAATTTCCAACATACTGAGGTAAAAGAACGTGCACAATTGATACATATAATTTTGAACTCCTTTTCTATTCCTGACTCAGATATAGTAGAAACGTATTTAAAGCACTCAAAACCTTCCATAAAAGAGCCCCAAACAGAAAAGAAGAAGCCTCAAACATCCTTAGTTGTTGGAGGACTGATTATCAAATTACGTGAAAAAGCACCAGAGAAACTTTGCCAAACAACAAAATCTTTGTGGAAATGTGATATCATTAATCCAAAATCTAATAACAGTTGGAAGGCTTTTTGTAAACAAGTTGAGCCGAATAGTAGTGATTCATTAATAGGTAATCTTAAGTTCCTAACATTGTTCATCACTCGTGCAAGTTCAGGAGAAATTATCTTGTTGGAGGGTGAAAAGGTTGAGACTATATCAGATCCGGAAGAGATTATTAGTTTGACTATAGACTTATTGGTGCAACTGTATTTTCTCAAAAATAGTCGAATAATTCACAACGATTTAAAACCACAAAATATTGTAAAGTATGACAACCATTATTTTATAATTGATTATGGCTTGTCAATTGAATATGCTAGCTGTGATGGAGATGTCTGTAAGGATTTTGACCAGAATGTAATCACTTCAACTTCTGGATCTCCTTCTTATGATTCACCAGAAAAGAGAAAACATGGCAGTGTTTCTCCTAAAAGTGATTTGTTTTCATTAGGTCGTTCTATTAGTGAAATAATCAATGAGTCTTTAAGAACAGATATTAAAAACGATATGGAAGAAACCCATAGAAAGCAGTTCAATATGTTTATGAAAGAATTAATATTGAACATGACAAAAAAAAACAATGTTGAAAGATGGACAGTAGAGGAATGCATTACATTTGTAAAGAGTTTGTACCCAATCGAGTGTAGAACATCAGTTGAGTTTTTCAAGCAAAAAGAAAAATACAGAACTCCAGTAACCGACACAGATGATGGAAATATTTTTGGAGAAATATAGTAGTATCCATTATATTTCCAATTTTTTCTTTTAGCGATGACTAACATTGTTTTTAAGATAAGTGCAATAGTTTAACAATTATTTTTGGATAATACTTAAATGTCGAATGTCTAATGTGATGTCAGCCAAAATAATAATTGATTAAAATCAAAAAAAATGGCAAAAAAGAAAAAGCAGGAATCTTCTTCACCTGCCACTAAACCATCAGGTTCGTACAAAATAAATCACACATTCCCATTAACATTTCACAGAATCATCTTCACTCAGCAAGACCCTTCTCATTGTTTCCTTCCTTATCCTAATCCTTTCCATTGCACTTCTCTACAAGGCGAATCTGTTTTCTCCTGATGGTGGTAGTAGTACAATACTGAGTAAACTCTTTTCTCTTGGACATGGAAGTGCTCGTTTCTATCCAACTCTCGGAGCAAAGAGTAAATTTCCAGCTCCAATCACTTCAACTCCTGCCTATTTGAATTATGCAAAGAAATTGAACGAAACTATTGGAAAGGACAAGAAAAAGAAGAATAGGGTTCATATTGGAATTTTTGATGAGCACAATTATGCATTGTTTTTCTGGGTGAGAGCTCACAAGTTGGGTCTCATTCCTAGAATTAAATATGATGGTGAGAAGGCAAATTCTAATGAATATAATTTACAATATCAAGGATTACCTTTGCTTCATATTGATTCTCACTCTGATGCTCAAATTCCACAACATTATTTCAATTTTAAGAAATTTAGAGATATTATTGAAAATCCTTCAAATTATGAAAGAGTGCAATATGTTAATTCAAAGAATCAAACCAAATTTAGACATGTCTTTAATGATACACATTTGAGTGAATTATTGGAAGCTACATCTATTGGAGATTTCATTCCTGTTGGACAATATTTGGGATTGGTTAGTCCAAAGGTAGTATGGCTTCAAAGTGACTTTGAGGGAGGTGGATACAATTTTGGACAAGGTCGTTTCAATGCCGAGTTGGGAGTGAGAAAGTCAGCAGTTTTGAAGGGATCTCAATCTATTGAAGATATTAGACAAACAGACACAGTTGACCCAGAAACTACCTACTTGTGTTATAGAAAATCAGATGGGTACAAATGGACAAGAAAAATCAATAGAAATGGCAAAAAAACTGTAACAAAGAGATTGGGCAATATTTCACAAATTGCTAAAGCAGGTGTATGCTCTCCCTATGAAGAATTCAATCAACCAGAGAAGGAAACTATTCCAATTCAATGGGATGTATTTAGAATGAAATCTCTATTCAATAGAACAACTGGAGAAATCAACAAGAATGCTCAATTTTTCAACTCTACATCTTATTTGCTTGACATTGATTTGGACTACTTTTCAACAGATGATGAAATGCTTTTTAACATGGTTCCAAGAAAACAATACGCTCCCCTGTTCAAAGTATTTGCAGAAATGGTAGAGGAAGATAAGATTTTGTGCTATGGTAAGAATGTATTGCCAGAAACCAAGCATATGAACAATACAGAGGAAATCAAAAAGTTTAACAGAAAGAGAATGTCAGACTTCTTGCATGAAATGTTTTTCAAAGGAGTCTTGTTTGATGAGAATGCCATGTTCACAAAACAACCTGTTCAGTCAATAAGATTCGATGAAGAGTCAGTATTTACAAAGGAATTGTTAAATATGTGGTGCGAGGGAAAGCTGTTTGCTTTACAACATCTCTATGAGTTATCCAAGTTTATTGTCTTGTTTTTGGAGAGTATTAATTATTTCCATTTATCTTTATTACAAATGAATTATAGATTCCCAACAGTTGAAAAGTATTGTAATGTCAATCAAATGTTTGGAGTTTGTCCAAGTGGTTTACCTTCCAAGTACTTGACAAAGGATCAAATCGTAGATGAAATGAACAAGCTTGAAAGAATCATTGTCGCTCAAGAAAAATTACCGGCCTATGTCACAATTTCCAGATCAGTCGATGCCTATCTTCCAAGAGTGTTGCATCACTTTATCGAGACTGAAACATTGAAAATGTTAGACAGAGCATTCCATACCATTTCACCAAATGTTACTGTCGATACGAAATACTTTGCTGGTTATGATGCAACAAGTTCTGTATATGAAAATGATGCAAGAATCGAGTTTTTCGACAGGACTGAAAGAGAAGCTTCATTTATCCGTAAGGCTCTCAAGGATATGAATGAGCCAGTTGGAATTTTCATTCCTGCTGTAAACTACAAGTTATTCAATATGGCATTAATGACTGAATTTTTGGAATCTCATGGTATTAGTATGGATGACTTTGTACAGGATCTTTCACTTTTGAAGGAATTTTTAAAGTGGAAGATGACTCACGCTCGTGGCATATCATTTTCTGGATTGAAATCTCAAAAGCCTCAAAACGTACCACCAGTTGGCTATACAGTACCTCAAAAGAGACCAAGATTGTGTATGGTTATTGTAAAGGACAACTCTACAGAAAACGAATCACAATTTGATAATGTGAATTGTTGGGTAAAACAATTGAATGAAACATTCGATAGAGAGTTGGTTCTCGATGTAAATATCATTAATGCCAACACTGAGAATGTCACCTATGTTGAAAAATTGAATCTAGTTAAGGATCACTATAGCAATTTATTCCCAACCTACTTTAAATCACTCAATCTCACACTTGATGAGAAGAAACCATTGACCATCATTGTTGATCCGTCATGCATTACATTCGACTTGTCCATTCAAGTGAAGAATAAGAAGAGGAAAAAGTACATTAATTTGGAAGATTCACCACTTCATCAAAAATATTCTGGAAAGGAAAAGATTTCATTTTCTCAATCTATTGATGAAGTAATCTCTCACTTGAAATCCCTCGCAAAGGATGGTACAGAAGTGATATCCAAAGAGGAAAATAAGATTGAGGACAAGATGGCCTACATTGAAGCTCAAAAAGAAAAATTCAACAAACAAAAGGTCAAACACATGTACTCTCTCATTTCATTGATGGCAGAACGATCCAATACTCGTTGTCTCAAGAAAAAGGCAAAGCAAAGCAAGCAACAAGTTAACCAAACCAGTGCATAAAATCTCCCGCCCATTTGAGTGCTAGCATTTGGTGGAATCAAATAAATCATCAAAAAAAAATATATCGAAATGCCTGTCCAACAAAACATTTATTCATTCACAAAGAAGAAGGGTGCTTCATCGAGCGCATCTCCTTCTGTACCATCGTCGGTTGGTGGTAGCAAGAAGAGAAAAAAGGATGAATCATCCGATGAGGATGAAGACTTTGAATTCATTGATGAAGAAGAGGAAAAACCAAAGAAAAAGCAACCAGCAAAAAAGACTACAGCAAAAAAGAAGAAAAAGAAAGAATCCGATGATGAGGAAGAATTGGAGGAAAATACTATTAGAACTTCAAAATTTACTGGTATTAAAAAGAAGAAAGAAAAAGAAAAGGATAGATTTCCATTTCTTACCAATAGATTAGATGATAAGAGAAGGCCAGAAAGTGATCCTGATTTTGACAAGTCAACTTTGTACATTTCAACTGGTGATATGAGTAATTTAACACCAATGGAACAACAGTACTGGGCAACAAAGAAAAACCATATGGACAAACTTGTGTTTTTCAAAAAGGGAAAATTCTATGAATTGTATGAGGAAGATGCTGATATAGCAAAGAAGGAGTTTGATTTAAAGATAACTGAAAGAATTAACATGAGAATGGCTGGTGTACCAGAAAGTTCCTTTCTGAATTATGCTAAAAAGTTTATCAGTTTAGGATATGATTGCTTGCGTGTTGAACAAACGTAAGTATATTTTATGATCTCAATGAAAATAATCAAATTTAAAGAGAAACAGTTGAAGAAAGAAACGAAAGAAAAAAGGAAAAGAAGACTGCATCCAGTTGTGTTGGAAGAGAAATTTGTGACATTACCACTATTGCTACTATTACCGATTTGGATTTCATATCAGACAACGGTAATCAGTACTTGCTATGTGTAAAGGAGGACATTATGCATGCTAGATACGGTATTACATTCTTGGACATTTCTATGGATGCTTTCTATATTGGATTCATTGAAGATGACACTCACAGAAATCAATTCAATACACTCATTCACACCATCAACCCAAGCGAAATAATTATTGAAAAGGGGCAAACTTCTGTTCAAACTAAAAAGAATATTGATAACAAAAGGGTTGTGATTAGAGAAAAGAAGACTTGTAATGAGCTTGCTCAAAAAGAATTCACTGGTTTTCCAACAGCAGATGTAACAAAATATTTTCTTGAAGATCTGCCTCATATTTCAGAGGATGCAATTGTTAAACAATTCTTGGATAATGACCTTGTTATGTCTAGTTTTGGTGCGGCCTTATTTTACTTGAAATACGTAAGTAACACCACTTTTCAATATTTATTGAGAATATTTCAAACTAGTTGAGAAAAGAAGATGTACTTTTATCTAAAACGATCAAATTTTCATTATATGACGGGAAAATGGATACAGGTCATTTGATTCTAGATGGACAAACTCTCACTAATTTGGATGTCAAAGTAAATTCTAATACTGGAACAAAGGAAGGTACTTTATTGAGTTTGGTTGACAATACAGTCACAGCTATGGGAAGAAGAATGTTGGAAAATTGGTTAACAAGACCTTTGAAGAATTCTGAAGAAATTAATGATAGATATGATGCTATTGAGGATATAATGTCTATAATAGAAGAACCTCAATCTATTAGAGATCAACTCTCAAATATAAAGGATCTGGAAAGATGTCTTCATTGTTTGTATAGAGAATCCAGAAAGGTACAAAAAGAAATTGCTTTTGATACCAGTACAAGCAAAAGAAGGGTAAAACCATATTTACACGCATTAGAGAGTTTGAGAGCTGGAGTAATCATTGTTCAAGGATTGCAAAAGTATGCAGAATCTGTGAATTCTAGCATTTTGAAAAGAGTAATTAATATTGATAACCTTGATGAAATTGATAATGTTTTAAGTACTTTTGAAAACCAAATTGATCAGCAAAAGGCCTTGTCGGAGGGTATTGTAGAACGTATAGATGGTTCTTTGGGTCCAGAATATGAAAAGTATTTAGAAGAGGTTGCAGAGATTGACAAGGAAGTTCAGGATTTTATTGCAAAAGTTAAAGAAGAGGTTCCCTCTGCCAAAATGAAAATTGATAAAGGAAATACTAAAATAGTTAAACAATGGACGATTGAAACTGAGGTAAAGGTTGAACTTGATAATATGCCGGATGGATTCAAGAGTGAAAAGAAGAACCAAAAAACTCGTAAATGGAGCCATCCATTCCTTGATAAGAAATTAACAGAAAGCAAACTCCGTCAAACAAAGATGGATGATATTAGAGAGAACCAGTACAGAGAAATCCTCAATGAATTTTCAACATACGACCAATATTGGAAGACTATTATGAGATCAATTTCAGAATTAGATTGTCTCCTCTCTCTTTATACAACAAGTAGTCAAGAGGGCTATTGTAGACCAGTGATTCTTCCTTTTAAAAACAAACCAGTACTAAAAGTAACTAAGATGAGACACCCAACTGTTAGAACAACCAGTGGATTTATTCCTAATGACATTTTTATGGGGGCTGACGATGCAACCACTTTGCTGGTTACTGGACCAAATATGGGTGGTAAATCAACAATTCTCAGATCATCATGTATTGCTGTTATTATGGCACAAATTGGTTGCTTTGTTCCAGCAGAGGCTTGTGAATTGACTCTTATTGATAGAATATTCACAAGAATTGGTGCTAATGACAGAATTCTTGCTGGTGAATCAACATTTATGGTTGAATTATTGGAAACTTCCAATATTGTTAGAAATGCAACTTCTCGTTCTCTTGTCATTCTAGATGAATTGGGAAGAGGTACATCTACACACGATGGTTATGCAATTGCTAATTCTGTTGCTCAGTACATGGCTGATGTTGTTGGATGTTTGTGTATGTTTAGCACTCACTATTATGAGCTCACTGAAGAGTTGAAGCATCATCCAAGTATTGACTTTTATCAAATGGAATGCGAAGTTGAAAAGGACGAAACAGGAAGAATTACTGATGTTATTTTCCTTTACCAATTTGCAAGAGGTGTTTGCGAAAAGAGTTATGGTATTCAAGTTGCCAAGAAAGCAGGTGTTCCACAAAGTATTGTAGATAGGGCTTCTGTTGTAGCTGAAGAATTTGAAAAAATAATGAGAGTCCATAGACCAATTACATATGATAATCTCAAACCTGAGCAAATGGAATATTATGAAAACCTTGTTGCAACAGCACTTGATATTTCTGAAAGAAATGAAATGGATGAAAGCGAAAAGGAAATGATTGTTGGAATACTCGCAGAATATCAACAAAAGATTCTATCATCCTACTCTGACTTTGCAAACCTACTCGAGCATAATTAATTGTAAATAACATATCTATTTATTGTAAGAAGGTTTTTTCTTCCAAGTCCTGAGTTAAATTATTTTCACTGTAAAATCAGAATTGAGGCTGTGTAAATCTTTTTAACATACTGCAAATCTGATTAGCAAGCCATAAAAATCAACTGGCTCCGATCTCACCGTAATGTTTTTCACTGATACGACACAATTCTTCCTCTCTGCAAGTGCCTATCTCACTCGCTATCCATCAGAAAATAACTTGCAACTTGGCATTTCAAAATCCATGATGGATTCTCCGAGCAGATATCCTCTTCATGAGAGATTGCTCATGATTGTGAAGGATAGTAATACTAATATTCAAATGGTTGCAATTTGGACCCCACCACACTTTATGACTCTGAGTTTTCAAATCATTACTGAACAAAGTACAGAGTTGAGACATGCTATTTTGAAGGGACTCACTAACATTCTATTTACACAAGATTTTACATCTCTTAGAATTGAAAATTCTAGTAAAGATTTGTCTTTTGATGATCTTGAGGGAATTATTAGAAAACTTGGAAGAAAGTTGACAGGAGTTTTATCTGATGAGGAAGAATGCTTGGTATTATGTAAGGAATATGTGAATTTATTCAAAGATTCAAGCAAAGCTCCAACATACCAAGTCACCGATAGAATGATTTCATATGCACTCTCACGAGACAATTTAGTACTTCCAAAAACAGAGACAGAATATGAAGTCAAAATTTTGGACACTTCCAATAGTGAACTAGTTAAGATTTACACTGGAATGATCCAAAAATTCTGGAAATATTGTTTTCCAAACAGAGATCAACTCAGTGAAGAATTCATTTTGGAAAATATTCTCATGAAACCTTCACAATCAGAGTACAGTTTTTACATTACTCGCAAAGGAGACTCAAAAGTTTTGGCCACCACTATTGCAACACCAATTCCAAAAGCTTGCAGATATTCCTACGTTTGGACTGAGGAAGAATATAGAGGAAAAGGTATTGCTTCCTTCATGATTCAATCCATTTCCAAACATTTATTCGAAAAGAAGGATTCTTTGAGTGGAGAATTAATGTTTGATAAGATTTTCCTCTTTGCTGATGCCACAAATCCAACTTCAAATGGCGTCTATGTGAGAAGTGGATTCAAACCAGAAAGAGAATTGGCAGAGTGTGCTTTGAACTATCATGAATAAAAAAGAAAAACTAATGATAAACCTCAAAGAGATTGAAAATAAAAGTGTTTCGACATATTTAGCTGAGATTCAAAGAATAAGGCCTATTAATATCCACACCACTTTCCATATAACCTTCTCTTGAGAATATATAATGAGTAGTAAGTCCTAACGACCCTATGATAGCTCCACCAATCCAAGATAAATAGCTACTTTCCACTTGTTGAATTACATTGACTTTTGGCGTAGGTAAATGAGGAGGAAGTATTCTGCTTTGAACTTCCAACTCCAATCTCTCTTTAAAGCCGGGCATTAGTGCTGTTCCTCCACATAATACAATATTGTTTGAAAAATCATTTCTACAATCAATTGGTGATTTCAATAGAGTATTGATGAGTAGATCATCTATACCACCATCAACATAGTCCACTCCCAGAAACTCTGATGGTCTAAATAAAACCTCTCCACACTTGAACCTTAGATCATCAATGGTTATGGTGGTCTTATCTGGTAGCTCAAAAGTTCTACTCAATTGAGAACTCTCTGCATTTAATTCCACTTCTTTCCAATAATTAGGAGCAACATAGGCCAATCTCTCTTTGATTTTCTTACTAATTTCTCTTCCAGAATTGGAAAACTCCCAACCTGACTCATATTTCAAATCTCCTTCCCATTTATGATTTCTTATTCCAACCTGACTCAATTGACTAGCCACAAATTTTGTCAAATCACCTCCTCCCACCCTACCACCCCAAGATCTCATCTTATTCATCACATTCGATAATGCATATCCATCATAAACTGGTAATATCTGAGTACAATCCTCTCCAACATCCAACACCAATCCAGTTGTCCTTCCACTTGCATAAAGTGCAGCCAATGGTTGAACTTGAGGAACAAGTGAATGAAATTCAAAATATTCAAACAAGATTTCAAACCATTTCTGCTTATTCTTTATGGGATTCAACAATGGTTCATTCAGTACAACTCTCCTAGTATATTTTCCCTCTTGCATATCAAACTTGGGAACCTTCTTCAAACAATATTCCAATAAAATAATCATTTCGTCCCAATCCTGAACTATTCCACAAGAAATAATGGGTTTAAATTCATCATATCGAAATGGAAATTGATGTAACTCCTCTCCAATGTGACACTTGAATTCATGTTGTGGTTGAAAAACAGCATTTGGTGAATTTTTTGGTCTTCCGATCATTGATGGAACTTGTAAAGTTGCATATGGGAATCATCAGAGGTGCCAAATTCGTTGTAAACTGAGTAATTAACCTTATTTTTTGTTGTTGTTTGCTTCGATGACAGAACTTTCCAACAAAAAAATGTCCAAAGACACAGCAAAGAATAAACCTCCCTCTAAAACAACAAGTAAAAAGACCGCAACAAGCCCAACCACCAAGCAACAACAGAAAATTACTTCCAGTCCACAATCAACAGCTTCTTCCAGTAACCCAGAAACTGAAGATGAGAAAAGTAAACAAAAAGTGTCTGATAAACGCGAACAAGTAAAAAAAGCACTTCAAAATCTTGGAACAGACAAACCCTACTTCAGAGAAGCTATACTGTTGTCATTATTGACTGATCCAAGAAGTAAAGGTAAACAGTTGGAAGTCGTTATTGCTAATGTTTTACTCTATTCACCAAATTTGAAAACATTTTTGGCTCTCTTGCCGTTGTTGAACCTTGATAAGTGCCAAGGTGCTGCAACAATATTAGGGCAGTTGGAACAGAAGAGTCCATTAACGGTTAACAAGAAATTATTTTACTTAAATACTCTTAGTGAACAGCCAACCCAAACAGATAACTATATCACTGTTGATGATTTAATTGATCCCACCAAATGGGAGGTCGAATTTAGAATAATTGTTCCTTTAGACGACTCTACCGGTCCTGGACCTGATATTATAGTGCAATACCAGCAATTTTTGATATTCATTAGTTGTAAATATTCATCATTAGGCAAGATTACAAAATCCACAATGGACAAAGCAAGATACTCTGTAAAACCGGAAAATTTTTTTGGTAAACGTGTCAACAATGAGGAGGGACGTTTTAATGGTTGGAAAAAGAGCCTTGAAAATCATACAAAAACAAACGGTTATGTGCGAGGCTTAATATCATGGCCGTTATCGGTACCAACTACTGTTGAGGCCAATGAAGTAGTAATTACTAAAGAAGCTATGATGAACGTAGTTCCAAAACCAATTCGGGATAATATTATGAAAAATATTTGAGTTTAGGTGTAATTGATAAATTTTGTTTAACAATTTTACAAATAAACTTCTCAAAAGATTTGCAAGTAAAAATAATTGAAGATTAAAAAAAATGCCAAACAATCACAGAAGAAAGAACGTTGGTGCTGCCGGAAGAGCAAACGCACTGAAGAAAAAGACAACAACTCCGCAACCCTCATCATCTGTGCAATCAGGACCAATGACTATTGATTCAATTATTGAAAATGTGATGGAAATGAAGGAAAAATTCCAATTGGAAGAATGTAGAACCATATTGGATAAGGGAATTAGAAAATTCTCAACATCACCAAGGCTTTTTGAATTGTTATTCTTGATGGGAGAAATTTATCTTGAAATGGGAGACCCAACCAATTCACAACACTTTTTAAAACAAGCTGTTCATGGTATGTTTTTATTATATATAATATTAATTATTTGTTGATCCGAATAAATAGTTAATCCACACCATTATCCTTCCATCATGTATTTGGGTCAAATTTCTGGAGGAAAGGAAAGTGCTCAATACTTTAATAATGGACTCGGAATCATTCAAGAAATTATCAGAACAAATAATAGCAACGACGAAATTAAACAATTATACATACAAGGATTGTGTTCACTTTGTGAATTGTACATGACAGATTTGTGTTTTGAAGAAAATGCCGAACAAGAATGTGAAAAGTGTGTTACTATGGCCAAGGAATTTTATAATAACGTGCCACTCAATAATTGGGATATTAATCTTTTACAAACAATTGCTCACTTGAATATGTGTCAATGTAAACCAGAAGAAGGAAAGAGTATTATGCAAATTGTTGCTCAAAAAGTTATTGATGAAGGAAATAGATTGAAGGAATCTACAAATTCAACATATTCTGATTTAGTTATGGGATATGATTTCAAATTATCAACTGCTAAAAATCTTATTGAATTACAATTACATCAAGAAGCTAAAACTATACTGGAACAATTGAAGGACCAATTTGATGAAGTCGTAGATTTGTGGTATTTATTGGGTATTTGTATTGATTCTTTAGGACAAACAGATATTGCTGTTAAATATCTTGAAAAGGCCTTAAATATTGGTAAGAAAGTTAAAGAAGATGGCATGTTTTTGAAGGAAATTCAAGAAGATTTGAATAACATGAAGCAAAAATTAGGAGGTGTTATTCCAGACGACATTATTGATGAAAATGATGATGAATGGGAAGATGCTGTCGAAGATTTTATTGATGAAGATGAAGAAATGAATGGATAAATACATATTCCAAACACAATATAAACAATAGTCCACTGTCAATTAGCATCTATTGTTTTGCCATTCTATTCATTGTATTTCCACTTATTACTTGCCAACAACCAGTTTAACATTACAAAAAAATGTCTCAACAACAAAACCTCCCTGATTTTCTTCCACTACTCGTTCCGATGAATAGTGATTTTACACAATATCACGGATTTATCAACTTGAACAATTGTTGTGAGGTTTCTTGTCAAATTAAATTTAAAAAAGAAGGTGCAGATTTAAAAACAATGGAAATTCTAGGATCTCCACCACTACAAGAATTACTTTCTAAAAAACCAAATGTAGGAGGACAAACCTATCAACAAATTTTAATGAATAGAATGGCAAAACATGATAAAAAGCCAATTCCTAATATATTGATGGAAATGAAAAATTCATTAGAACAAATTCAAGGTGTAAATAATAATCGAGAGGAAACTGTAAAGAGTGAAATATCTGGAAACTTCTATCAACAATTTATGAAACAAATAGATGAAATTGGATGGGATAAAGTTGCTGATTTGAAGGTGGACTTGTCAGTGGTAACTTTGTCAGTTGTAGATAAAAAGAGGCGAGACCATTTTGTGGAAGTGAAAACCTCAAATATGGAAATGACAACAGCAGAAATACCACCCGAATGTCAATCAATAATTGATCAAGATTTGTTAAATATTGTAAATAGCTCACAAGATATGGATACTTCTAATGATTTTCAACAGAAGGATTTGTTGTCATCTAAATTAACACTTTCAATCATTTATGAAAAATATAAGGAAATGATTGAGAAGATTAGTGACTTTTTTGATGTTATTGAGGATTTTGATACCAATGTTCGAGTTTTAGAACCTGAGAAACCAACACGAGCTCACACCATGAGACGTATTGTCATTGGTAACCATTGCTCAATGCAAATAGTTATTGATCCATTCAAACCTAGAGAAAAACCAAAAGATATCAAACTTTTGGGATCTGATTCAATTATTTCACCCCTAAAGTTCAACCTCAATAACAATAGAAACAAGTGGAATATGAACAAACTATTACGAGAGAATTTGGAAACACTTATGGATATCGAATTTCCAAAACCTTCAACCGACCCAACCACAGAACAAGATGAATTCTCTGAAAATTGTGGTGTCTGCTACTCTTATCGTCTCAACATGAAAATCCCAGATAAGGTCTGTGATAATGTCAAGTGTGGTATGCCATTCCATTCTGAGTGTCTCATTGAATGGTTGAGATCAATTCCAGGCACTCATCAATCCTTTGATACAGTCTTTGGTAGTTGTCCTTATTGTTCCTCAACTCTTTCAGTTTCCACCTCAAAATAATACATTTCCCCCATTACCAAATTAAACACAATCTACAATGTGACATAATTCAGAAGCAAAGGAATATCCAACACCAGATTAATGAATCCTCACCGAAATCACATTCCCTAATTACTTATTTTGGCGGGAATTGAAATCTGTATGCTTCATCCCAAATAACGCATCACAAATTTAAAAATAAATTATTTAAAGTTTAAAAAAATGGTGTCCAAGCAAAACAACGGCGGCGCTGCTGTTGGTTCTTCTGGTGTTGTTGGCAATGCTTCGCCAGCATCTTCCAGCCAATCAACAACAACTCTGAAGAAGAATCAAAGCTCTGGACAACAACAAACACCAAACAACAACAACAATAATTCTGCTTGGAGTAACAAGACCAAGCCTTCTCCTTCTAGTAATAATACTATGGATAATAATCAAAAGAGAAACAATGCTAATAACAACAATAAGGGATCAGTCCCAAACAACAATCAACAACCAAATCAACATCAAAATAAGAACGGATCAAATGTTAATACAAACCCACCTCGTGTAAAGAATACTCACAATACTACTCATAGTGAGAACAATGAACAATACAAACACAAGTCTGAAATCAACAGAAAGAGAATGTTCTTCCTCTTTTTGAATTTCGTTGGACATGTAGTTGAAATTGTCAATGTTTCTGGAGAAGTTTATGAAGGTATTTTCCACACTGCTAAAGCCGATTCCTTAAATGATGATTTTGTTTTTGTTTTGACACTTGCTAAATTAATTGGAGGAAGTGGTACTCAAACTATTCATGAAACAATGACCTTCAAATCAAAGGATGTTCAACAAATTTATGCTAAGAATATTACCTTTAATGCTAAAAAGGCATTTACATCATTCAAAACTGATACTGAAATTTCTAATAGACAACAAACAGAAAAGGAATTAATTAAATGGCAACCTGAAGAAAATGAAGCTGAACTTATTTCACTTGAAGAGGGTACTTATGCTCCAAGACAATGGGATCAATTTTCTGAAAACTTGAATAAGTTTGGTGTTAAATCTACTTATGAGGAACATTTATATACTACAAATCTTGACAGAAATTCTGATTTCTACAAAACTCATGCTGCTAAAGCTAGTAGAATTGCTGAAGAAATTGAAAAGAGTGCTCCATCTCTTAATAGTATTCACATTTTGGAAGAAAGAGGTTTATTGGAACAAACTGATATTTCAGAAGAAGACTTGTACAGTTCTGTTATTCGTGATCCAAAGGGTGCATCAGCTTTCAAAAAGCAACCAAAGAAGAATATTCCAAAGACTACTCAACCATTGGCAACAAATGCTACTCAACCATCAACTCCTGGAAAATATGTACCTCCACACAAGCAACCAAAGGGTCATCCTACTTCTCAACCAATTGTAAAGCAAACTCAAGAAGCAGAAGCTGTTCTTGATAAGGAACCTATCAAGATTAAGCCTCTCTCACCTATTATTGAAGGTATCAAGGGATCAATTGGTAAAAGCCGTTCTGTGAGTCAAGTAGTTCTTCCAGAAAAGTCTCTCATTGAGAAATCTCAAAGTATTCCAATTGAAACCCCAAAACCAAAGAATGTTACCAATTTGTTAGTAGATACAACTAGACCTGGTAGAAGTAATTCATTTACTATTGGATCAGCTCCACTTCCACAAAAGATTGAAGAACATAAGAACATTAGAGCTCAACTCACTAAACCAGTTACTGTTAGTCCAAAATTGGGAAGTGGTACTATGAGTCCAACTCTTCCTTCTTCTCCACTTGGATTCCCTAAGGCAACAAGTCCTTCTACTCCAAATCCAATCAAGGAAAGTATTATGTCATTGCACTTACATCCTTTCGTACCAAAGGTAACACCAGAAGTTGTTGAACATTTTATGGAATACAAGAAGAAGTCCAGTGACTTGAATAGAAATAGAGAAAAGGAAACATCATCATTCAAGGAATTCAGTTCTCTCCTCTCTTCCAAGATTAAGGACGCTCCAGAATCAACAACCACTTCTGCTGCCACTAAACCAACAACTGAAACCAAGCCAGCCACAGAAACTAAGAAAGAACAACCAAAAGAAGAAGAAAAGCCAAAACCAAAGTCAACACTTAATCCTAATGCTAAAGCTTTCGTTTTTAATCCAAAGACTCCTGCATTCGTTCCAAAGATTACCACACCAACACCTCCAACTAGTACAACCACACCTCCAACAAACCCTCAAATGCCACAAGTCACTCAACCTCCACAAATGGTTCCTCCAGGTGTAGGAGTTGGATTCTATCCTACACCTCCTATTGTTGGATATCCACCTGCAGTTGGTACACCATTTGTCTATACTCCTCAATTCCCTCCAACAAACCCATCTTACAATAATAATTTCAGAACAGTTTCTTGGGCTGGAAAGATAGAAGATATTCAAATTCGTAATCACTTTTTCAAGGTTAGTCTAGATCAATTCGAAAAGTCTGTTGGTCCTACTTGGTTGGATGATGAAGAAATTGAGCAAAGAAAGAGCTTTAAGGATGCAGATGCTACTTCTATTACATCTGTTGATATTGATTCCCAAACTGCTATTCATCCACAAACTAATCCGCAACCTTTCCCTTATCATTATTATCCACAACCTGGAATGATGGTTCCTCCACCTTTCGCTACTCCAGTTGTTACCGCATACAGTGGCTACTTCCCACCACCAGTCAATCCAATTCCAAGAGAGCAATAATTTTTACTTTAGAATAAATTAATTTACTGTTTTTTTTGAATTTAGTGGTATAATTTAAACACAATGTCAGAATATCCATTCTCAGCATCAACAAGATCCAAAAGGTGTCTTCTGAATAAATATTCAGACGACATGTAAATGTTTGGCATAATTGTGTTAGATGAATCAATAGTTGTTATGTAAAAGAAGGTATGCTGGAAACCAGGTGCGGCAGCAAACATTTCACCAGGTTTCAATATTGATGGATCCAACAATACTTTGTGTGGAGATTTAACCAATTGATAAACTTCTCCAATACCAGATTGACCACATGAATTAAATCCCATTGAATACATATTACTATCTGTGCAATTTAGGAATAGTGTCTTTATGCCAAGATAAATGTTTGTAATGCTAACACCTGGAGGCAAACCAAAACTAATCAACCCCACAGAGTTATCATTCGTAACGTCTGTGACAGAAGTAAAAGAAAAACCAGCACCATAAAATCTATTAAGGGAAGTTCTGTACAGCTCAAAGTAATCAGAATCAAATACATCCTGTACTATTTCATCTTTCTTGAGCGGTAGTGTTAGTCGAGCAAATACTTTTTCTCTCTGTCTGAAAATATGCCCCTTTTCTTTTTGAATTAATTGTGATTCAGAAATACTTGTAAATCAATAACATACTTGTTAATATAATTAATCTCTTTTTGGTTCCTGCTATTTTCTCAATAATGTCAGTTGTAAACAATTCAGTTTTCAATTTGTAAAGTGCATTATTCTTGGTAAAGCACTTTTTAACATATTTGGGATCAAATACACGATGATTAGCAATGAAAATTCTGGAATTTCTCGTTAGGAATGCACTCCAAGAACCCTCTTGAAACATATCCTGTCCAATTAAAACCTGTTTAAAAGGTAATTTAAACAAACTTCGACGAGTATTAAAAACATCCAATGGAACAATCCTATGGAAATGAAAATCATTATCAATACCCATCTCATAACTCATATTATACCCAATTCCATACAATTCTCCTCTGTCGTTCTCGAAAATATTTGTCGAATATCCCAAAACACAATTTACAATCACCATGCCTGATAATTCTCTAATAAGGGTTGGTTTTACAGCAAAACTTGCACCTCCAATTCCAAGTTGATGTTGTAAATTACTACCAATTGCATAAGCTCTTCCATTCTCATCAATAAATACTGAATGATTATATCCAGAAAAAACTCTTTCATTAATTCGAGTTTTAACAATTGCAAAGAAACCTACTTGACAACTCTAAATCCCTGAAATGCTCCCTCATCAATCGGAAGTGGTTTTTCATATATTTTACTTCCATTATTTTCTGTTTCCTTTAAGGAATCATCTAAGGCAAGTGCATTAGATTTGTTGGACCTTTGGAAAGTACATTATATTCAACAATTCACACCATTCTATCCATATTCAATAACTACATACCCACAAGAAAATACAGTACTTGTACGAACAGTGCTCGAAGAATTAGCACTGGAGAAAACGTGTTGAGCCATTTTTTAGAACTTTTTGTCTTCCAATTTGGGATATCTCTGTCTTGGGTCGGTTAGGAGGGAGAGGTAATGCTTGGCTTCGTGAAGGATTGAAGTGTCATAAAGTTCAATCTGGGTGACTAGTGTAAAATCGTGGAGAGCTGGAGAATTGAGGCCCAATTTGTAGTAGACAATAGCTCTATAAAAGTGGGCATATGAATTGTTTGGATAGAGTTCAATAGCTGTTGAGAAATCATCAATGGCCTTGTCGTAGAAATGGCACTCTTCTAAATAGAATTTACCTCTTTTCATGTAAGAGTTTGGATCTTGAGGTGAAATTTCTATTAACTCATTCAATTTTACATTCTTTTCCATTAATTTTTCAACATCTTCCTTACTCAATGTTTCCTTTTCAATTAGTTCATTAATTGGTTTTCTTACATTGAATGAAAATATCTCCAATCCTCTTTCATTCAGGTCCTTGTTGAGCTCCTCCATGAAATTATTATCAATGTTTGTGAATTTCTCCACAACTTTCTCAATTAATTCTTCCATTTCCTTTCGATCTAAGATTTTCTTTTCATCTTTATCCAATAACCTTTCAGATATTTCCAAAAATCCTTTCCGATTCTTTTCATAATCCACAATACTAACTTTCATTCTCTCAATCGGAAATTCTCTTTCATTCCAATCAAACTTTATTAATCCACCAATATTTTTATTATTAATATTGTTACTATTAGAAACACATACTTTCAATAGAGGTTGATCCAATTTAATAATTCGTGATGATTGAAAGGGCCAAACAATTCCCCTCCTACTAACAATTATTTTACCATCCCTAATTCTCTTCCGAATTAAATATTCTGCCTCTGAATTACAAACTCTGAATCGGGATATTATTAGAGAAGCCATCACAGAGGAGCTGACTATTATTGCACCCAATTTGAATCCAAAAGAAGGTTGTGGTTTAGTAGCATCACTTTGATTCATTTTTTTGTAAGAAAACTAATGTTTACAATAAACTGTTTATTGCAAGAAACATTTACATGAAATTTAAGTGAATTAGGAATCTAATTTCTTTTGAAAAAGAAGAGAAAGTTAGCATAAAATCCACCAGTATCGAATTGGGGTGCATAAATTGTTTCTGTTGCAGAAATATCGTCAATTTCTGTTATTGCTTCCTGTTTAGAACCAACATTAGCTTGGTAGAATATTTTGTAAGCTAGTTTAATTTCCTCATTGGCGAGATCGTTTTGAAAGGTGAGATCCCACCAAAAAGCTGAGCTCCTGGAAGCACATGAAACATCTATACGAACCTTACCATCAAATAAATGAAAATCCTTAACAATTGGTTAAAATTGTTAATAACTATTATATAAAATTTCTCACTTACCTCACCTGAGTCTTCTTCTGCTCCCATAGAAATATAAACAGTATCAGCACAACGATAGTGTTTGCGTTTGCATGGATTTTCTTTTGGCTGTTTCAATTCCAATAATTTGAACATTGTTGGGTCAATGTTCTCAGATTGGTTTGGTAATAAGTATTTGGATTCCTTTCTCATTTTTTTGATGCATTCTGAAAATGGTTGCAGCATTTCTTTTGTAATCACAACCCCTTTGTTATTTTGTGTTAAATGACGTTGTAAAAGGTTAACTTTGATAAATAGAGGAACCAATTGTTGTTGGCAAATATATGAGATTAGTTCATTCGAATATCCTTTCACTTCTTCGCCGTAATTATTTTTAAATCGATTAGTTAATTTGAAAATTAGATCAACAATCTCATGCTCAGTCAACTCTCCTTTCAATGAGTACTTGATTGGGAAATATTTAAGTGAAAATTGAATTCCATCAAGTATCTTTGTGATAAGAGAGGGAATATCCAAATATTTGGCCATGTCAATAATTCTTTTCAAGGTTGAAGTACCCATATAACAATTAAAATCATCACAATACAAATATCGGAAAATGATTTCAAAATCTTTTTTTTTCAAAGGTTCTCCCTCTGTTGAAATAGAGCCTTCAACACTTGTCAAATCAATATTGAATTTATCATCAACTTTTCCCAATTTCCACTGTTCATTCGAATCAATCATGGTTCTAAATAAGCCACTTCTCTTGACTGCAAATTCATGAACATTAAAATCTTTAAACGAAGTCTTTACAATAACATTCGGAGGAACAATAATAGTGTTATTATTATTATTATTTGCTCCTTCTTCATTCTCTCCATTACAACTATCATACAAACTCGATAAGTGATCATAAAGATTCATCTCTTGTGGTTCTCTTGCTTCCTCAAGATCCTTGTCTTGATCAATTGTGCGGCTTCTCTTGCCCATTTTTTTTTCTTGTTTTTATTTGAAAATCATCTTTACAATTTCCATAAAATTATTTCTCACTTGCCCATTCATTTTTTTTGTTCAGGATCCAAAAATTAGAAGAATCATCTACGGTAAGTTTGGCGCCAAAACAAAGATTGTCTTTTTCGAAAAATCAAGTCGTTATTCAATAAAAAAATGAGTAAGGAAGAATTGCCGTTAGATATTGAGGACAGCTATTATCAACATCAGCCAATTTTACAAGACTTTTCATATTTTGGATATTATCCACCAAAACATATAGTAGATGCTCAACAAGCAGTCAAATCAAAATTGATAAGGTCTGCCAAGAAAGAGGCAGCTGCATCTTCATCAGGAAAAAGTACTCTCCGATATAAAAAGTTGCAAGAACAAGCTAAAAAGACAAAGGAAACTATAAAGAATGAACGAGAGAATGATATAATGCACATGTTGAGAATTTTGAAAGGGCCTGATACAGAGAAGGATGATCCAATATCATTTGAGGAAATTAGAAATCTTCCAATCGACAATGAACCACCAACATCATCAAGATCCTCAAGGTCCGAATCATCAATAACCTATGTATCAAAACAACAATCGCCTGTAAAAACAACAAGATTTGAAGATCCAAAACTGTTCAGCTTGACTGACAGAGAAGATTTGCTCCCACCAAAGCAAAAACTGCTTGTTCTGGAGAGTAAAATTACCAGACTCAAGGAGCTGAATAAGCATCAAGCTGTTGTAGATTTGAGGACCATGGCCATTGCCCTAACAAAACTCTTGTATGGTGGTCAATCAGTTCGATTAGCTGAGCATTATTTAGATATTGGTGACAGCTACACAAAAATCAAAGCATACGAACAAGCAAGTAGTTATCTGAAAAAGGGACTAATGCTACTCACGCAAATAATATCAAACCAATCATTCCCCAAGTTGATTAATGAAGGAGCTCCAGAAGTTCTTGATATTGAGTTGGAATATCAGGATGCAAGAAAATTGCTCCCTCACGTATTGCTTCAGTGTGGAAAGTGTTATATAGATCAGGGCTTAATGAAAGAGGCTTATGGATGTCTAAAGGAAGCCAAACGTCAAGTGGATGCTCTCGAGGAAGATGAAAGAGATGTTACAATTACCTTTGATATTTCACTCCAGTTATCTTACCTGTACACCAGAATGCAAAGATATGATGTCTCCTTAGCCCACCTTATTCAGGCGTGGGAATCAAAATTGAATATGAGTGGCACATCTACGCATCCAGATATTGCCAAAGTTTTCAGAGAAATGGCCTATGTACATATTAAAAACGGAACAACTAACGAAGCTATTGAAAACTTCCAAAAGGCAAAGAAAGTTTATGAAGATCTAGGAACAGGAGTTGATTTATTGAATGCAGCCGTAACCTCCTACACTATAGCTGGTCTCTACAGAGAGTCTCAAAATTTGAACAAATCCATCGAGTTTTACCAGGATGCTTCCAAAGGAGTGGAATCTTACTATGGCCCATATCACAAAAAAACAATTAGAGTTTTCGAGAAATTTGCTAGCTCTGTACTTGAAGATGCTCAAGCTAGAGACAATGACAGGGAGGGATTAACCAGAGCAATCCTGATCTACAAGGAATTGCAAAAGAGAAAAACCAAACTCCATGGATCAGACTCCCAAGAGGTAGCAGTCACACTTGAGACCTTAGGTGATATTGAATATGCCATGGAATCGTATGCTAACGCCTTACTGTATTATGAAAAAGCTTGGCTGTTATGTGAAGAGATATTGGGTAGTTCATCTTACAACACTATAAGTTTGAATGAAAAGAGAACCAGAACAAAACAAGTTGCTAAACAACAAGAAGAGGAAGACTTGAGATTGTAAACTAGCAATAATATCTTAATAATTTATTTCTTAAGCTTTCTTTCAAAAACGCAAATCATTTCACAATGTTCAGTGTGAGGGAACATGTCAACAGCAATAGCCTTAACAGGTTTGAATGCACCATAACTGGCTCTAACTGTTGATGTTGGTCCGCAAAGTCTAATAGCATTTTCAACCAATGTCTTTGGATTACATGAAACATAAATTAATTTTTCAATTGTTGGAGATCTCAAAATTGATTCAAGAACCTTCTTGTGAAGACCTGATCTTGGAGGATCTACAACAGCTACACATTCAACATTAGATGAATTCAAGTTATGTTCAACCATCTTGGTTGTAATTGTATCTTCAGCCTTTCCACAAACAAAAGTAATATTTTGAATATTGTTCAATTGAGCATTCTTCCTGGCATCATTTACAGAGCTTTCAACCATTTCAATACCAATAACTCTGCTGACAGAGCTAGCCATTGTAGAACCAATAGTACCTGTACCACTGCAAACATCCAATAAAACACGTTCCTTATTAGACTCCTTATCCATAGATTCTAATGTCCATTCCTTGACCTTTGAATATAAAACCTCAACACCTTTAGTGTTAACTTGGAAGAAGCTCATTGGAGAAATATTAAACTTCAATCCCAAAACTTCCTCAACAATAGTTTGTTCTCCATAGAGCAAATCCAAAGGAGCATCAGTTGGAGCAGCATTGCTGACGCCTGTATGTTGTTGCAAGAATAATCCCTTAACGTTAATAGAAAGATCTGATGATTCGTTCTTATCGAATGATTTAAAGTGAGAGATGAGATTAGTTTTGATTGTTTGCATAGCTTCTTCAGAAATTTCAGTTGGATTAATTTGAACAATGATGAGCATTTCTCCATTTCTATTTTCTCTGACTTTCATCAATCTCCACAATCCAGTATGGGTTTTTTGAGCATAACACTACAATTAATGTAATTATTAAATAGTTCACAAAACAACATACCTTGTATGTATCGTGATGTTGTTCAATAAATTTTTGTAAAACCAAAACAGCTCTCTTCATACTATCAGAAACAATTTTGACATCTTTTGGACTTTCGGCATTGAAAATTCCTTGAGAAAATAAACCTTGTCTAAATCCAACAGTTGGTTTATCTTCAGAATTGTATCCACAAGTAAATTCACAATTATTTCTATATCCTTCAGTTTGTGGTGATGACAAAATACCACACCAAGTCAAATGAACATCCTTCAATTTTTCATCTTCTGGTTGAATAGTATAGTATTCTGGGAGTTCTGCTGTACCATAACTCTTCTTAATTTCAGAAAACATTTCTCTCATACAATCCAATGTTTCACCTTCCTTCTTGACCAATTGTTCTTCATAGGTCAAACTATTAAAATCCGATACGTAAATTCACATAAAAACCACAATCAACAATACTTACTGGGCCAAAGGAGTCACAGCTTCAATAACATTGCTTGGTTTCTCCTTCTTGACTTTCTTGTTTTTTTTATTTCTATTGTTGTGATGATTGAATTTTCTCTTGTTTTGTTGTTGTTGTTCTTCTGGCATTTTTTTGTTCAAATTATTTGATGTTGCCATTGATGACGATGAAGAATTGTTGTTGTTGGTGGATGATACTCTAGCTCCTTCTTCTTCTTGCATCATGAGGGAATGAGAGAATAATGTATTATTATTGATGATGGAAAAGGAACGGGAAGTAGCATTTTGATGTTGCACTCCATTATTAACAATTAAAGAAGGATTGAATTTTAATTGATTCAAACTTGTTGTTATGGTTGTTGGTTTGATGAATTTGCCTCTGTAGAAGAATTGTTGAGCAATAATTTTGGAGGCTTGATTTAAAGGTTTCATTGTATTTTTTAATAAAATTCAATGAGTATTGGAAATTAAAGATATGAATTGATTTCCTCATGAGGACATTAAGATTACTATCATGATATTGCAATGATGATTTAAATTTCAAATTGTTTTATTTGAATTTTCTTAAATATTCGAGAGCACATTCGAAAGGGTTGCTCCGAGTAAGAGAGTTTGAATTCATTTCCAAAAGTTAGTCACTTATTCATAGCGACTGATTGGTCACATTTGCTTAATCCTTTTCAATAGTTGTCTTTGAATTGAGAGAATCAATATTTGATTTTTCTTGTGCATGAATTATTGGAAAATTTTCATTTCTTATCCTTGTAATGTATTCTCTAGAAAGTGAAAGAAGAGAATGGTTATCATCGGAATCTTCTTGACGATTCAAAAGTGCTTGACTGTTAGTTTCCATCTTTTTCTGATTCAAATATTGTTGCCATATTGATTGTTTCTCCTCTTCACTAACATTATTCAAAGACGCTTGTTGTTGTGATTCTTCATGATTGTTCTTTTAGTAATGTAAATTCCAGCAGAAAGTCCGAGTACGAAACCAAACATGCCCATTTTGATTGTTGTATTATTATTGAATTATAAATGTTAAATGATTGCTTTTTAACCTCAGTGTTTTATACTGCTAGTCGGTTGTTGTGTTTTTTTCTTATTGTACTTCTTCACAAAGGAGAGAAAGCTTTTATTGTGGAATTGTTGAGGATGAAATTTTGATTGGGTTTGTTATCGGAATAGGCTTCTCGGTTTTGGCGTCATCTGGATGATTAATATCGCAACAATCTACGCGTGCATATTATCGATTTCAAATTGATTGAGAGTACTCTGCCAAGGATAGCCAAAATGATAAAATTGTCTAATCCAAATGTAATAAGTTTAAAAAATTGAAAATATTGTTGAAGAAGAATATATTATTGACAAATGTATTATTAGAAAACAAGCATCAAATAAAAAATGTCATCAAGACCAACATTTAATGCAGCAAAAGCAACCGAGACACAAGGTGGTTATAAACGTTATGTTCCATCACATACACAATCTGTATATTTAATGCCTTCCCACACAGTCTTAAAAACAAGACAGATCGGGCAAGGAAATGAGGAAGAAATTAAACATAAAGATTTAAAGAAGGAATTACAAGAACGAGAACAATTAGTACAAAAAAAGAAGAATAATCAATCATCAACAATAATACCAGCAATAGAGGAAGAAAAAAATAAGGATATAATTGAAGAAATTGTAGAGGAAGAAACAGAGGAATTTACAAAAGTTCCAAAATCAAACTATGATGATTCTGATGATGATTTAAATACATCTTCTGATTCCGACTCTGATGGTGACTCTGATAATGATGAACTAATTAAGGAATTGGAAAGAGTAAAAAGAGCAAAAGAGGAGAAGGAAAGACTTGCAACACAAGAACGAGCATTGACTAGTAATCCATTATTAAAACCAATAAGTAGTAAGAAGGATGATGATGATGAGGATTCATTTACTGTAAAGAGAAAGTGGACTGATAGTACCATATTTAAGAACCAAGCTAATGACTCTAATCAACAAAAGAAAAAGAGATTTATCAATGATACCACTAGAAATGATAATCACAAACAATTTATGTATGAATATATGAAGTAATTTATTGTTGTTGTTGTTGTTTCACTTCATTCTTGAATTGTTGTGGATTGACTTCATTGGTCATTGTGGTCAAAACTGTGGCCAATTTGCTTGACCAAACAGAAACAAGAGTTTCAACATTCTTCCAATCTTGCTTGTGAGCAGCACCTCGGCAATTAATAGCTTGAACAGTAATGGATTGTTCAAGTTGATTCATCTTACATTCAATTAAATTTCTTCCCATCATATCACAAACAAAAAGTTCAACTTCACCACTTGGTGCCAACTTTTCAATATCGGAATATTTAAGTTCAATATCCTTCTTAGAGGTGAGGATTTTAACAGAGCAAGAAACGAGGAATTTCAAGACCTTCAAGTCAGAAACAAATTGAGAAATGACAGATTCTGTTTGTTCATATTGTGAGATTTTTTGCTTTAAAGTTTCTGGAACAGCTTCATCAGCTTGGTCAAGATAGCTCAAAACAGCTCCAAAAAGTTCTGGTTCGAATTCTTTCAATTCTTCAGCAGATTTTTCGAATGGATTTCTAATAAAGAGATTAATTAATTCCTTCTTATCGCTTTCTTCAGCTCCAGACTTCAATGATTTAATAATCAAATCAAAAGCTTCATTTCTAAAAAGTGTCACTAAAAAAGTTCAAAATTATTTCTACATACATCTTTGAAAGTTTAACACAGAGCTTTGACAAATCAATCAAAATAGCTTGCTTATCCTTCTTAGAAGAGATACTCCATTCAGTGAAAGCAGATTCAATATTGTCAACGATTGCAGAAATATTGAGAGAGGTGGCAACTTCTTCATGTTGAATCATGAATTGAATAATATTAATAAATAATTTAGTCTTTTGTTGGCCATTAGTAATCAAGTTGAAAACAGAGGCGAGTTGTTTGATGATATCGTGACTAGTGTTGTCTTTGGCAGATTTAATCTTGGCAATCAAAGTATCCAAATTATCATCAGAAACCAAAGTGCCCAACAATACTAAAAGAGTATCTCTATCAGATTTATCGGTTGTTTCTTCGAAAAGTTTAAGACCAGTGTTGAATTGTTCACTATATCCGAATAAATTATTATTTTAATCAAACTAAAAAACGTACGTCTTGTTACCCTTCAAACCCAAAGTTTCCAAAGCAGAATCACTCAAAATAACAAAAGATGAAGTAGATGATGAAGTGCTAGTGGTAGTAGCAGCTGTTGTTGTAGCCTTTGTTGGGGCAGTGGTGTTTGTTGAAGTCTTCTTGGTCATTTTTTAGTTCAAAAAATTCAATTTTAAAATATTTTAAAATTTTGTTATATTATTAATTACTCTGTGCTATTTATGCTTCTATGGTACTGTACAATCCAAGATTTACTTTTATCATTAAACATGTTGGCTAGCTTCCTGAATATTGCAATATTCATTAAACATAAAAGTCTTGATTTGCTTCACTCTTTAGACTTGATGAGAGAAGAAAATTTAAAAGCTTGGAAAGTATGGATAAGAATAGAACAACAAACAAAAATAAATTTAAAAAAATTGTATAACACCAAACACATCATACAACTAGAAAAATGGGAGACACAGTTATTGGATTGAAAGGAAAGGATTTCACCTTGTTGGCAGCTGATACAACAGCTTCATTCTCGATCATTTTGATGAAGGATACTGAGGACAAAATAACAGCTGTACCAAATCAAAATATTCTTATTGCTGCTCAAGGAGAACAAGGAGATCGTGTTCAATTTGTCGAATTCATCACAAAGAATTTGAACTTGTACCGTTTAAGAAATGATACAAACTTGTCAGTGAAAGCTAGTGCACACTTTGTGAGACAAGAATTAGCTAAAGCCCTTCGTAGTGGTCCATATCAAACCAATATTATGGTCGGAGGTGTTGATGATATTGAAGGTGAGTTGAGATCAATATTTTAATATTTACCATTGGATAATTAGGAGCTAAACCTGAATTATATTATATCGATTATCTTTCAAGTATGCAAGAAGTTAAATATGGAGCTCATGGCTACGGATCTTACTTTACATTGTCAATTCTTGACAAGCATTACAAGGACGGAATGAATCTTAATGAAGCATTGATTGTTTTAAGAATGTGTGTTGCTGAAATTCAAAAGAGACTTTTATTGAACACACCATCATTTATTGTAAAAGTTGTAGATAAGTATGGTAGCAGAGAAGTTGACTTGTTCTCAGATCAAACACTTCCAGCTGATGCCATGCAAGAATAATTCAACATGTTAAATAGGATTAAATTTGTACACAATTACCAATCTCAATAATACGAGAAACACCCTCAATACTTTTCTTCCACTTTCAATAAAAAACCTTGTATAAACTCATTCACAAAATCCATATTCATTACAGCAGTGCTAGTAATGCAAATTCGTCCGTTTCAATCCAACATTCATTAAGGTAAGTGTCCAAAACTATCCGTTATAAAACATACAGAAAAAAATGCCCAATTTCTATGCTTCTACAAACAGTACACCTCAGCATCTACCTCAATCACTTTTCTCTCAATTTCACCACCAGCAACAGCATCGTCAACAACAACCAATGCCTCAACAATCCTCGACATATGCATCACAACAACAGCATCAACAGCAAAATATGGAATCATCAATGAGAAGAACCTCCGAACAAACCTTCCCTCAACACTATCCATCATCATCTTCTGCCTCTTCAATGTTTCGTAATCAATTATCGACTATTGGAGTTTCCATATCACATGCCCAACCTTCCTCAATAATTCATTCACAACAAACAGAACATGACAGAAATGACCGTTACAGAAATTCCAAGTCTGCAAACTTTATTACTACTACCACTAGAAATGCAACCTTTCAAAATGCAATTGATCCACTTGGAGGGACAGCAATAGGAGAGATTGGAAAATCCAAATCAGCAACCCCAGGACGATTTGAAGCAAAAGGATCACTTATTCTATCCAACAGCTCGAGTAATCACAGTAATACTAATTCAGAAACAAGTGTGCTGGTTCATGAAAATGAAAAGTTTGGAGATGATTTCCATGAAATTGATGAAGGATTCTTGTATTTGCATCCAAGTTGGCCAGTTTATGTTTACACTGAGAGGGGAGAAGTGTTTATGAGAGGTAAGTTTTTTTTCAATATATTTTGGAAGGAAGATAATTGGAGTAGTGTTGTGTATTAAGGTCAATACTAAGGAAATAGTTGTATTTGATCCATTCTCAAAACGTGTCTTTCAACAAGGAAACTTTGTGGATTTGAAAAAGATTTCGTTCGATACCAATGAGGAACATGACATTAATACAAATTTCAGACTTTTCAGAATTCAATTTAATAAGTTGGATACAGTAAGTTGTTAAAACTCTTGGATTGTTAATATTATTAAAATTATCTTAATAGTTAATATTTCTAAGTAAGGACAGAAATGAAATAATCAATTGTCTATTATACTATGCAAAAGAGTTTAGAGAACATTATGATGAGGAGATTAACTTTGAAAAGAATCCGAATGCAATTACATTTACGCCTGATATTAATGTTTCTCTTCATCATTTCCAAGTTTTTGGCATTGATAAGAGAGGTAGATTTTTCCCACATACTTTATCACTCTATTCGAATCATTTGAGGCACGTTGATTCAGAGACAAAAGAGCCATTCTCAACACATGCATATTCTGATATAGAGGGTGATGTTGAGATTGATCCAGACATGCCCACAAAGTTGACAATACGGTACAGGGACGATAATCCATACTCATTCTTGGTTTCTGATAAGGATAGAAGTGAGGTCCTTGTATTGCTGCAAGGAAGATCTTTCATTTATAGACCTCCACATTCTCACGTTCAAATATTTGACGGTGTAGAGTTGAATACATCTCTTGGTGAATTGAATCCAACGAGTGATTTCCCTCAAAAAATAGCAAAGAATGTTTCTGAAGTGGGTGTGATATTGGCAGAACCAGAGCCAATTAAGAATCAATCAGGTTTTTATCAAAAACCAGAAGAGGAAATCACAGAGAGAAACAAGATAAATCTTGATGTGTTACAAAAGGGACTCAGAATGTTTATGCACGTACCAAAGAAACTTGTTTTGAGAGGGAAGAAAACCACTGCAAAGCAAAGAGTTATTAGAATGTTTTTTGACAAGCTCTTGAATAAGGTGGTAATTCAATGGGGAGAGAGTAGTGATAAACTCAATCACAGAGCCTTTGTTGAAAGTATTGAGGAAGGAAAATCAACAGTTATTGAGAGCTCTAAAATTAGTAATTTCCAATCATCCAATTTTTCATTTGCAATTAATGTTGAATGTAAGGAGAAATCAGCAACAGTTGGTGGAAGATTGTTCTTGGTTGCCAATGGAACTATTGAATATCATCATGTTATTGATGGAGCAAAATTGCTCATAGAACAAAAGATTCAAAGAGGTTTAAAAAAGAACTAGTAGGATTATTTCATTTCATCTAATTGGAACTTCTCCTTGAAATTTGACTTTTCTCGAATAATTGATATCGTAGTCTTGGCATAAATATAGTCTAACCTAAGAGATGGCGAAACATAGGGTATTGGACTATTCAACCGAGAAATATGATTGAAGAGAACAATAATGTCTCTAATCAGATAAATTCTTTCACTTTCGTTAGAAAAATCTTCTAATAAAGCAATGTTTTCTAGCTCTTTTCTGAGCAGAAGAATCATGGCGTCAAACACAATATTATTGTTGTTGTGCTTTTCTTTCAACAAAGATATTCCATCAGGGCATAGGAACGCTAAATAGTGGAATAGTCTTAAAATCATTCTTCTACACTGTAACATTTCTTCTGTAGTTCCTACTTCAACATTCAAGAATGCTGAAACTCTAGTAAGAATATTATTACTCTGCAATGATGATCTGATGGTTTCTGATTTTACGAGAATTGTAAGGACTTCTAAGGATTTTTGAATCAGTTCAACATTATTATTTGAGAAAATGGTTTTGATAGTGATTGGTTGTTTCATCAAACTATTTTCAATCAAATTATTAAATTTCGCCAGGGCTGATTCAGGAGACCATATGGCAAGAGTTTTAACAATGTCCAATATCGTACAAAGAATATCTACCTGCCTTTGATTGAAATAATCTGGAAGACCAGCGAAATAGCCTAATAAATCTGAAAGAAGATCTGTTTCAGATACTTCATTACGAATTAATGGAACCTCTTCAGGGTTAAATAATATAGAATCCATATTAGAATCGAATATATAATCGGGTTGGTATGCTACATCATTTAAATAGTTATGTAGATACTTTCTCTTTTCTCTAAGCTTGCCTTTAACAGAACTTTTCTTTCCATCTGGAATGATAATGGTTGTGCTAGAGAATAAAGGGTGTTGGGCATAGCCATTTTCTTGGATAGTCTTTTTTCTCTTTAGTTCTGTAATGCTTTCTGAGAACGATTCAATAAAAGCAATTCTAAACATTTCACTTTCTAATACTAATTTTAAAATGGTTTCCAGTGTGCATGTGAATAATTCAATGTCTTGCTCTTCTTTAGCTTGTTTAAGATAGGAATTCAAAATTGGCAGAAGTGAATACATTTTAGATTGATCATTTGAAATAGTTCTGTGAGCCTTCCATAATTTACCCGAAAGTGGTTCATTAATTAGCTCATCTGTATCCATTGGATCCATTGGATTGATATCGCTGTTTCCCTTATATACTAATAGTTTGTAAAGGGCTTTGTGAAGATCAGGATCTTTTTGGAGATCTGCTATATTCTTATTTTTCCATTTAACTCTTTTTTTAGATATCTTCTTTGGTGCTGTTTCGGGTATAAGTGGAATAATCTTCTCATCTGTTTTATCAATCTTTTCCTCAGTTGGGACTTCTGTTTCAGTCTCCTTTTTTTGAGAATTTTGTGAGGCTTCCTCGGTTGACTTATCATCTTTCGTTTTCTCATCATCGATATCATCCAATACAGCAAGTAAAAAGTCATCATCCTCATCAAGCATTCCACTATTTTCCTGTTGATTTTCTTCCATCTTGGATTGTACTGCAAGTAGCTGTTCCTCAATTTCTTTTTTGGCACTCACTAATTCCTCATTTTCCAATTTTTTCTTATTAAGATTTCCTCTAAGTAATTCAATTTCTGCTTTTAATTTTTCAATTTCCTCATTTTCTTTTTGTGAATCTGATAAATTGGTAGAAGATTGCAATCTAGAAACTTGTTCCTGAGGTTTATAATTATTTGGTATTACAAATCTAGCATGAGATGTTGTTTGTGGTGGTTTGTTAAAACTATTGTTATTATTCGAAATGAAAGAATTATTAGAATTGGAAGTAAATGGAAATAGAGTAGATGTATTAGTCGAAGAAGAAGATGGATTAGGCTTTGAGGTTGTTTGTACAGGTGTGGTTGGTGTTTGAGTAGATCTGTTGGGTGTGGAAAATTGAGTTGAAGGAGGACTTAGGCAGCTCACCAAATGCAAAGGCTGCTTTTTTCCAGACTTTGGGGTGGAAAGTCCAGAGTGTGGAATATTATTAATTCGTTTTTGTGTGTTTGTGGGTGTTGAATATTGAGGTCTTTGAAATTGTTGATTTTTTGGTGGAATGAACTGCTGGCGTTCAACATTTAGAGTTGTAGCTGTCCCAGTCCCAGTAGGCCTAGTACTAGATGAAGCATTCGATGGAGCTGGGTTGGGCCTGTGAAACACAGGTGGAACAAATGTAGAAGCACCAGATGTTCCGTTATTAGAATTGCCTTGTTGATTGGAGGTATTTATCATTGGTGGCACAGGATTTCCGAATGTTGGCCTTGCATAGGTTGTACCATTTCCATTCATTGTATTTCTATTATTCTGATTGTTATTATTGCTATTATTTGCATAATATATTGTTCCACTACTATTATTCGTTCCGCTATTACTAGTAGTGGTAAAATTTGTAGTTGTAGAAGTATTCATGATGCTTCCCGAAGAATTATTGTTGATTATTGTAGAGTTTCGGGTCAAACTACTTCTACCATTATTTCCACTGTTAGTCGTTATTGGTCGTTTCATTCTTATTTAAATCTAGATTGTTTGTAGTAATGTATATTGATGATCATATCAAATTAATGATTTGATGATCCGAATAATAAACACAAAATTGGAAGGAATTTAAAAATCAATTAATTGAATCGACAAAAAATTCCTTTCTTTTGTGGATTTGTTGCTATTTTTTCTTTGAGATTTATTTGATAAAAATTCCATCACAACTCTGCACTCTTTCTATGGCAATGTAATATGTGCTTTATGATGACAATGAGAAAACAAGATACACAAATTAATACTAAGAGAAATATAAGAGAAAGCTCGCTTGATGACTACTTTTGTTACTTCTTTTAAAATAGAAAAAAAATCTCTCAACAATCATCGCTCAACAATCCAACAATCGGAAGGAAAATTGCAAATCGATTTAAATTAATGATAATATAATAATAATTTGATAGTTGAATTACGTATATTTAAAATTAGTTTTTAAAAATCATGTCCAGTTCTAGGAGGAGATCTAATTCCAGCCTAGTTGATGCAACATATATTTCCTACTTTCCCGAGAGAAAGAAGAGGGATAAATCTTGGATAGGATGGTTTTGCTCTCATTATATACAACCATCTAAAATACGTAAACATTTAAAACATATTATCAAGTCATGTTTTACGAGGAGACCTTATTTTGCTTTTGTACATACATTATTATCATTTCCGTTGAGTTTTCTATATTTTATAACTATTTATTTAGGATTGCTAATAGCAACAGCCTTTTCTCCGATATTTATTGGAATGTTCATGTTTGCAGGTGTTGCATGGCTGACACGAATCTTTGTACTTGTAGAAATATTCTTAGCAAGACATTTGCTTGCAATGAATCATAAAATTGCTCCTCGTTTCAAATTAGTGAATATCACGGAACAATTGGTCAAAGGATTTCATTCATTGACAGCAAGATCTAATTTCAAAGAGGAGGAAGAAAATCCTTTAATTCAGGTCGATGATTCCAATTTGGCTAATCCTTCTCCAATTAAGAAAAGTAGACTGAATGAAAATGTAAATACTGCCAATACATTCAGTTCCTACAATATTTCACTTGCAACACAGGATCCTAGGGCAATTTATGATCCAGAAAGAGATTATTATTTCAAAACACCTCCTGCCAGAAGTGTAGATTTCCTTTCTCCAACCTCACCAATGAAACAAATTTTACAAACAAATAATTTGGATGAATCATTCCACCATTACGACTCTGATGACTCTGATAATTCTGTAGACTCAATGCACTCCCCAACATCTCACAACTCTTATTATTATCAACATTATGGAACTATGCTAGGAAGATCAGTTGATATTCACTCAAATAATCCACTTTCAAGGGCATCAACAGGTAATAATAGATCGAGCGTAATGATAATGCCTCAAACAAATATAGTTGAAACTAACACCATCTTGAATACTAATGTGGAGGAGCCTGTTAGGACCAACACTGACAACCAATCTGAAAGTAGAGGAGGTATTTGGGAATATTTAAAAAGATCATACAATAGTTGCTTCGAGTATGCATTTTGTAGAGATGTTGGATTTGCTGTACTTTATTTTACCATGAAAATTCCAATAACTTTACTTACATTTTTCATTTCTATGATATTTTTCCTTATTCCTGTTTGTGCTGTAGCATTCCCAATAGTACATATCGTATGTCAGGCTTCTGATGCTTTACATACAGGTTTTTGTGAGAGAGTTATGACTTCAATTCATGAAGGATCTTGGGTTTATATTGGTTGGTCGTTCTGGTTTATTTACTCGATTCCTGGTAATATTATACTCGCAGTGTTTGCTCTGTTTACACTTCCATTATGTATTTATGGATTGAGATTTGTCACTAGATTCAACAGAGACTCAATTTTACTTGTTTCCAAGACAATCCATGAACATTAAATTTAATCAATTACTTTTTACACTGAATATTGACGAACTTTACCATCTCTGCATGCTGTATAGACCTTCTTTCCATCAGTGGAGGAAATAACTTTGTAAATAGGGTCACAATCTGCTCCAGTGAGTTCCAAGTGTTGAGTAGTAGAGAAACAACCTCCATCAACTGTGGAGAACCATTGCCCATCTCTTGTTATTGAGGAAATTGTAGAATCTACTAATTTCTTAACTTCAATTTGATTTGAGGTTTTACGTAAGTCCAAGTTGACTAGGTGACCAGAATCTGATCCAGCCAACACAACAAATCCATCTTCTATTATACAACAACATTTAAGGCCATGTTCTACGGTTTGAGAAAAAACAGATTGTCTTGTTCTTACATCAAAAACTCGTAACAAGCCAGAGCTCGAAACAAAAGCACCAATTTTACCTTGGGTATCAAAGTCTTTTTCATCGAGAGCTGAGGAATTAGAATTACTGAGGGTGGTATTTACAGCAATAGCGCAATCAGTTACTGGACTAGTTCCCTTATGAATTGTTGTGATTTCTGATTGAGAGGCGCAATCCCAAAGCTTACAAGATCCATCTCTTGAAGAGGCTATTATTTTAATATTATTTAGAAAAATTAAATAATCATTCTTACTTACAAATGAAATTTCTACCCCTATTAATAAAATCAAGAGCATTAATTGTTCCCTTATGTCCTTTAAGAGTAGCTCCACATTCACCATTTGTTAAATCCCAAATTTTAATTTGGAAATCTGATGCACCTGACATAATGACTTGTCCACTTGGTAAAAATCTTGTACATGTTACATCTCCAAAATGCCCTTTGAAATCTCTCTGAATAATATTAGTTGTTGTTAATTCCAATTATACTTACTCTAACAACTCCTGTTGCAGATTCCCAAATTCTCAACAATCCATCACTTCCACCACTAACACCCAATTGGCCAGCAGGAGAAATATCCAATGACAAAACAGCATGCTTGTTCATAATTGTTGGATGCACAATTCCAGCAGATACATATTTATATGTATTATCTTTGTACTTGAGTGACAACGATTTTGTGGCAAGCACATTAGCAATTTCCACAGAATCAGGTAAGCCTTCCTTGACAAGCTTCTTTAACGAATCCAATTTCAAAAATCCATAAACATTCTCCGAACTGTTTTGATACAACATATTCACCCAAAATTTACTTCCAACCTGTTTTTCCGATAGAATTTCGTTCCAATCTGGTTGAACTTGAATTCTTGGCAAGGTTTGATCTTCAGTTGTGTTGTCATTTTTTTTTGATTTTACGTAAAATTGATCTATTTTTGGTCTTTGTCAATTTGGCTTATTACTAGGCATTGAGATGTAAGGAGCAATAATTACAGCTTTTATTGAAAAGAATTGAAACAGTATAGAGAAGATCTATCCTTATCATTTCTTTGGATTTAGAAGCATGAAATTTATACTTAGTGACAGTCCTTAAACTCCTTCTATTGAGGAACCTCAGGTTTTGTATATTCAATAGAATAGAGATTTTAATGATTCGTATATTTTCTAAAAAACAAATGTAGGTTAGTGGCATGTTTTTAATCTTAATAGGAGTAGCAAATTTGCAAACTCAACTCATTTGTATAAATTTTGCATAGAATTCCCGCCTTTTTTAAGTACGTTTTTTAAAATACTAGATTTAAAAAAATGTTTAATGGCTTCTCTTCGTTCAGACAAGACTTGTCCTCCATCAAGGGGCCTACAGCAACGACAACGACAGCCACGCCAGAGGGAGGAGATTATAACCTCTACGTGAGTGCTCAAAGATTTCCGATACAATCTAATGGTGGAATGAAACCCTTAGAAGTGAATACAAAAAAGAAGCCACAAGGAACAACAATGATTAAAGGAAAGTCAATAGTTGATTCGAGGCAGGGATATTATATTTCTCAGGATTTTGATACAGGGAGTGTAATTTATGATAATGCTCCTTCGGTGGCTTCATCCGTTGATAATGCAATGACTAAATCAACTTCATCATCTATTGGAGAAGTAATGTATCCCGAACATTTGATGCAATCATCATATCAACCTTCTCCAACAAATTCCTATCAACAATCAATTCAAGGATCATTTCAACAGCCTTCATCATTAAGTCCAACTGGGTATCAAAATTACCAAACACAATCAACAGAATACAAATCGCCAAGAAAGAAGAATGTTGATGAAATTACAATCCACGTTCATGATGATGCCAACAAAGTGAATAAGGATTTTGTGTGCAATAGAGATTTATTAATGAATGAAATGAAATACTTTAAATATTATTTATTGCAACCAAAAGCAAAGAATGAGGAAATTGATATTTCAGTCCACTGTGATGTAAATATTTTTCAATGGTTGATGGATTACATTAAGAAGGATCCACTCTCCGCGCCAAAGTTAGAAGTGAACTGGGCTATTTCAATTTTAATATCGTCTCATTTCCTTGAAATGGATTCTCTGGTTGAGAGAACTTTAGATTATGTTCGAGATCACATTGACAGTATACTTAAACTTCCAATTGATTTGGATTGTATTCAGCATGATCTATTGGAAAGATTATCTTTACGATTCAAGGATTACGAATTGGACGATGTTAAGGATAAGAAGGATAAAATATTAAGCAAACTATTTATGAAAAAATTGGAAGATTTATTGGAAGATGAGGAGTTTACAATATACAAATGTCAACATTGCCAAACAATGTTTACCAAATCACAATATGAATGGATGGTGTGCAATAGTGAGAAGGCAAAAATTCAGGTAGATTTTCATGGTAGAGCAATTTCCAGACACACTGTGGACAAGATATGGAATATTGACGGATATTTGTACAAGTTGAAAAAATCAGGAATGAGCTGGAGAGATATTTATTGGAGATGTTGGAGTTTAGTCCATTCATACTTTTGCTCTAAATGTAGACAAAATTTTGTTGCTGCTGAATATGGCCACTGTACCTATCACAAAAAAGAAGCAAGGTTCGATAAGGGAACGATAGTAGGAGAGCATCCATGTTGTGGAGCTAAGGCGTTGAAATTTAATAGTGGCATTCTTGTTCAAAAAGGTTGTTGTTCAAAGAACCATACCATTGTAGAATATCAAGATCAAGATCTTGCTGTTGTAGACAAATCACTTAATGCCCTATTTTCAAAACATGCTGATGTTCTAATACCATTCATTGGTGTTGGAGACTCTGAATCATCTCAAAAAACCGAAGTGGAAGATGAGGTGGATGATATTGAACTGCTAAAACTTAAAATTAGGAAAGAAGAGACCGAAGATGAAGACGAGGATGAAAGAGAAGATTCTATTGATCTATTCACAGAAAGATCATGTAAATATGTAAGTACAAATTTTCAATTCAAATTGATCTAATTTCAAACAGAAAATATTCGACGACTTTAATGGAGGAAATAGAACTGCATTGGAAAAGTCTGAACCCACCGAAGAGAAAAAGAAGGTCAATTCCAAAAGATTTCACAGTATGGATATTCAAAGAAATATCGATAGAGAAAATATTGACGACATTATAAAAACCCTAAGGAAGTGCAGAAAAAGAGCTGAGGAACCTCAATCGAGCTCAAAACCAAAGCAAACACCGAAAAAGAAAGCTCCTGCAAAATCAGCTACACCTCTCAGAGGTAAAAAACCTCCAACAACCAGTACTACTGTCAAGAGAAAATAAATAGAGTATTGAAATTGTTGTAAAACTGTTATTTCCTTTGGTTGTATTTTGTGCAAATTGGCGCCTTTCTTAACTACAAAAAAAAATGTCGTTAGCTGCTGATGAAAATGCCGTCAACCCAAACGAAGGAGCAACAAAGGTTAAAGATCGTAATATCGGAAGTGTTTTAAGTAGAAGAAGAAAGTACCTTCAGGAACAAAAGAACGCCAACGATGATGGAGAGGATGATGGTGGTTCAGCACCACCAATCACTCTTGCTAAAGATAATTCATTGCTGAAAAAAGGTTGGCAAGAGGATGAGGATGCTACGAGTACAAAAGAACAAAAAGGAGGAAGAAAATTGTTGGGAATTTTCGGAAAAAACTCAACAGCAAACGTAGAGTAGGTTTATGAATTTTGGATTGTTTTTCTTAATCGGAATATAGAAAGCAAACTCAACAAGATAATTCTTATTTATTTCAAAATGTTCCTCGACCATTGGATGTAGAGGATGAAGAAGGAGCTTTCATTCCTTCATTGGATCAAGTAGGTGGAAATGGAATGGAAGGTTCTGTTGCTGAAGCACCTGAGGAGTATGCATCTCAAAAAGTTCAAACCCTTCAAGAACTCGATCAATCCACAAAAGCCACTCTTCATCACTTCCTTAATATGAAATATGACGATAGAGGTCTAGATCTTTCTCTTTTAACTGGAGTTTTATCATATCCATTGGATGAACTTGAACAAGATGATGATTGGGGAAATCCACAATTCGTAAGAGACTTGTTGAACTCAATCAAGACAACAAAGAAACCATTAACAGTGGCAACACCAACCACTCCTCTTGCTAAAATTGATAGACAAGTTAAAACAAGAGAATTGTAAATAATTGATGTGTACAATAAAAAGTCCAAAAAAATGATAACAAATCTCCTCACACCGACAAAACCAATCACCTTCTCTGAATGGAAATATGTTTTAACGAGTAATCATTTATTGCTGCCTGTTTTCTTAGCAACAGGTGGCATTGATTCATTAATTGGTGATCACACAAGTTTGAACCTTCGGATGGTTGTTGATGTAAATGCAAATAGTGGAAGACATCAGTATGATTCAGTTCAACACTTACTCTACCATATTTATAATAATCAAGGATTGTGTAGGTTTTATAATACTATATTTAACATATCGATTTATTACGTACTGTATTATGCATAATGTAGTTCGGATATTTAAAGGTGGAACTGCACAACAAGCCAGAATGATTGGAGGTTTGATTTCATCACTATTCCGATATTGTTCCAAATTGTTAATTCCATCATCAATTCATTCAATACTCTCTCCAATTATTTCATCAATGATTAGCTATCCATTTGATACTATTTCATTAACTCACCTCAGATCAAAACAAGTTCGTCTCTTCAAAACTCCAAAAGTAATAAGCCAATTCCTTAAAGGAAATTCAGGAAATAATGAAATCGAAGTGATAATTAATAATGCAATGGGTAAGGTTAAGAAGGTATTTGAGGAGATGGAAACTTTGAAGAACACCAATGGATTACAAGGACTGTACAGAGGTTATTTTTCTGGATTTTTATTGGAATCCATAGTTTCAATGTGTAGTAATTTACTTATTGGAAATGTATTCGATTTGTTTTGGAATATTTGGAAGGGAAATTCAAACAACTCAAATTATGAATTTACCAAAACAATTATTACGTTTTCTTTGAGCCATTTAATTGTTGCACCTTTCACATTTGCAAGAATGAGATATCAATCTGATTATGAAAATGAATATTCCAGTTTCCTTGATTGTGTGAATAGAATATACAAGAAGGAAGGTTGGAGAGCATTCTATCGTGCTACCTTTATTTCCTTGTACATTTTTTGATTGTTAGTCCTTAATGTTTTTAGAACTTGGAAATCAATCATCATCCCTCATCTGTCATCACAAAAAATAAATTAACCTGTCATCCTACTATTTTAAAAAAAAACAATAACATCACTGTGCTAGTAGAAGGACTAATAACATTCGGTTTCCAATTTCAAAATGTTAAAGAAACTAATAGGTTCTTCTGTGGATACAAACAGTATTGAAAATCAAAACAATCAAACCGCCAAAACTGTAAAAGATCAATTGAAAAAAAAAATCAAAAAGGACAGAAAGAAGAAGAAGGATGAATACAAGAAGAGAGTAGAACAGAGTATCAACACGGCAACTCTTGGTGATGACTCAACAAGTTATACAACAGCAGCTAGTACATTTACGGATCATTCTGGTGATTCAACATTAGATCATCACTCTGAAATTCCTTCCAATATTTCTCCTGATGATATCAATGAACAATTTATTGAAATGTTGATTGATATTGGTGTTTCGGAAGAAGTTAGAGAGTACGAATCTGCTAACAAGCCACTCATTTCAAAATTTAGAGAATTGAAAAGATATAAACAAAACAAACGTGATATTGATGACCAAGAAACAACTGAACAAGGTGTTGGTGAAATGTTAGCCTTATGGGAACAAAGAGGTTATGATTTACAAATTTTGGAAACTATTCATGTTCTTATTAGAACAGCTCCAACACGTTGGGTCAACCAATTTATTATGGAAAGAGGTATTAGAGCTTTGGGAGAATGTTTAGCATTGACAAATGTATTGGGAAAGAAACGTGATCAAGAAGAATTGCAAAAACAAGCTTTGTGTGTGAGCTCTTTACGTGCACTTGTACATACCAATATCGGTGCAGATGAATTTTTATCCGAAACTGAAGCTGTTAAAAATTTGGCTTTAATTCTTGATACTTACAATGTTAACACAGCAAGTCAATGTCTGAGAATATTAGCATTACTTTGTGGATGGTCATATCAAGGTTTCTCCCTTGTTATGAATGCTTTTAATCACTATAAATTGGTTAAAAGAGAAAAGAGAAGATTCTTTGATATTGTTCAAAGAGTTCAAGAAACAAGAGATTTGGATTACAAATTGGCTGTCATGATTTTAGTGAATGCAATTTTGACAAATGCACCTGATGAAGGTAGTAAATCTCTCATCAAGAAGGAAATGAGAAATTTAGGTATGGTTGAGTTAGTAGATGAATTGAAGAATGAACTTGCCAATTCTTATGGAGGTAATGAAAATGAAGAAACATTAATGGATCTGAGTAAAGAAATTGAAAGATTCGAAGACAAAATCAGTGATCTTGGAGATGCTCACGCTGTCCTTAAAGATTTAAGTGACCCAACTGAAATTGTAAAACTTTTGAACTTGATGTTAAACGAAGCATCCATGACCAGTATGCTTAACATCCTTCAAAGATTACTTAACATTGTTTTAAAGATGAAAGATGGAGATTTGGACAGAGAAACCGTTCTTGAAGCTTGGAAAAATATGTTAGCACTTGTTAAGAGAAGTTTAAAGCAGTCCAGAGAAACAGGAAATGTAGAATATTGGACTAATTTGGAAATCAAGTTGGAAGAACAAGTCAGATTGAACCAAAGTCAAATTATTGATTTAGAAGACTCTCAATACAAATTTAAACAAGAACAGAATGAAAAGTTACACAAAATTGAGTACGAAAGACAACAAAATGAGCAAATTATTAATGAACTTGTTCAAAAACTCGAATCGGAGAAACAAAATATTCAAAAAGAATGTGAAGATAACAAGAAGAAGATTGAAGACCTGAAGGTTGAAATAGAGACAATCAGTAAGGAACTTTCTGAATCTGTGGCATCAAAAATTAAGCTCCATGAGGAAAAGGAAACTTGGACAAAGAAATTAGACTCAAGCGATCAAGACGATGATGTTAAAAATCAAGTTAAGGAGGTGACAGACGAAACCGAAAAGGTTGAAAAGGAAGGAAAATCAAAGATTGAAAAGTTACAAGCAGATCTCAAAAAGCATCAAGAAAACGAAACCAAGCTAAAGGAGACTATTGCGGCCATCGAAAAAGAAATTTCATCTATCAAAAGTAATCCTATTAAGGTACCTCCAACTAGCACAGTAGCTAGTACTGGATCTGTTCCTCCTCCACCTGGTTCGACAGGATTCGTTCCTCCTCCACCTGGTGGTTCAGTACCACTTCCACCTGGTAGCTCAGGATTTGTGCCTCCACCTCCTGGTGGTGATTTTGGCGTGCCTCCACCTCCTGGATCTACTGGATTTGTTCCTCCACCTCCTGGTGGCTCAGGATTTGTTCCTCCTCCACCTGGTGGTGATATGGGATTTGTTCCTCCTCCTCCAGGTTTTGGTGGTATTCCACCACCTCCAGGATCAGGTATTCCAATGCCTCCAGGAATGGATAGTGGTATTCCTCCTCCTCCAGGTTTTGGTGTTCCTCCTCCACCTGGTATGGGCGGTGTTCCTCCTCCTTTAGGATCAGGTATTCCAATGCCTCCAGGAATGGGAGGTGTTCCAATCCTCCACCTGGTATGGGAGGCGTGCCTCCTCCTCCTGGTATGGGTGGTGTGCCTCCTCCTCCTGGTGGTGGTGTTCCAATGCCTCCAGGAATGGGAGGTGTACCAATGCCACCTGGTATGGGTGTTCCTATGCCACCAGGTTTTGGAAGAGGTGTACCAATGGTTCCAGGAGGTTTTGGAAGAGGTGCTGCTGTTGGTGGTGGATTACCTGTTCTTCCAGATAGAGCTCCAAAAGAAGCAACCAGAAATGTTCACTTTGACCAAATTAATAAGACAACACTTACCAATACCGTATTTATGACAAAAGGTATTGCAAATAAGACAAATTCCATTATTGAGGAAATAGATTTGGATCATTTGACATCATGTTTCTCTACAAAGAAAAAGGAAGATCCAAACAAAGAAGTTAAGCCAACAGAAAAGAAGAAGGAAGTTAAATCAATGTTGGATGCAAAACGTAGTTATGCTGTTTCCCTTCAATTAGGTTCATTGAGAGGTACAAGTTATGAATCATTGAAGAAAGCTATTATTGCTCTCGATGAAGCTGTTGTTACTTCTGATAATGTTGGTACAATTAAGCAAATTGCTCCTGAGAGAGAAGAAATTGATACTGTCAATACATATGATGGACCAATGGATGAATTAGCAGAACCTGATAAATTCTTCAAAGTCATGGATGGAATTCCAAATCTCAAAGGAAGACTTGATGCGTGGGAATTTAAATTTAAATTCCCTGATATCAGTGGTAAAATTAGACCTGATATTCAAAATCTTACATTAGCCTGTAAAGAAATGCAAAACTCTAAGAATTTCATCAGATTGTTGGGTATTATTCTTACAATTGGTAACTTTTTGAATGGTAAACAAAAGAATAAGATCAGTTATGGTTTTAAACTCAAATCACTTGCCAAGTTGAATGATACTAAGACTGGTGACGGTAAGAGTTCTCTCCTCCAATATATTGTCAAGTTTGTCCAAGACAACGAACCAGAAGTTGCTGGTTTTGATACAGAATTAGAACACGTTCAAGCTGCCACCAGAGTGAACATTTCCTCTTTGGAAGATGATTTGGAAGAACTTAAAAAAGGACAAAACATTTTACAAACTCAAATTAGAGAAGCCATTGAAGAACAACTTGATGGAGACAAATTTGTTGAAAAAATGCAACCATTCTGTGAGAAGGTTGACAATACCATTAACAAGATCAAGGAAGATATGGAAGCTATGAAGAATCAATTAACAGAGCTCGCAGAATTGTACAATGAAACTAAGGACGATCTTATGAAAGAACCAGACAAATTCTTCCAAATGATTGATGCCTTTGTTCAACAATTTAAACAAGCTGCCGACAAGAATATTCAACAACAAAAGGCCGACGAAAAGAAAAAGAAGGCAGAAGAAGAAAAGCTTAAGAAGGAAAAACTTAAACAAGATCTCAAAAATGCAAGTACAACAAGTCGTCTCACAGCATCAACTGCCAAGAAGGACGATCCAAAAGCTGGTACAAACATTCTTGGTGGTGGTGTCTCGTTAAAGAAGTCAACAGTGAGGAAAAAGATTGGTGATGATGATTCTGAACTTTAATTTGTAAATAAATGTTAATTTTCTTAAATGATATTAAACTATTTTGAAAATCTCAGTGTTGTAATGTATTTGGAAAAGTTCACTTCAATTTCAAAAAAAATGCCAACTCTTAAACTTTCCAACCTTTCCAAAGCAACAGCCGAAGATGATCTGGCTGTTGTGGCTGTCGATAAAAAGAAAACGAACACCAGTGCATCAATGAAAACAACAGTACCAAAGAAAAAGAAGAATTGTAATTTCAATCTCATTCCTGATGAATTGATTGTACATATTGCAACCTATTGTCAAGGAGGAGAGCTGGCAAGGTTTTCCGAGTCAAATTCAAGATACTTGAAATTACTGTTCAATCAGGAAATTTCAAATTTTCCAAACCATACAGTAATTAAGAGTAAAATTCAAACACATTTTGGAGAACATGCAAAACAAAACGAATTAAAAACACAGGAAAAGAAATACCAAAAGGATGAGGAATCAATTGACTTTGATCTAGTTCAAATTCAAGTTTGGAAACCATTAGTTTGTTTCTATTTCCCAAGATTTGAAAAGGCATTGAATATTAAGAATTGGATGCATGTATTAAGGAGAAGAGTTGCTCACATCAAAATTAATGGAGCCAACTTCCTTCCAATACTCAGAAGGAAAGAAGGAGATCCAATCTATGATTTCAAGAGTGATGACGGCTTTATTGAAAATTGTGAATATATCTACAAGTGTCCATTGAAATTTAATAGCTTGGATGGATATGGAGATGAACGGTCATGTAGAGTGTGTGGAAAGAAGGTTTACAATGTGGAAAATATTAGCACATTCAAAGACTACATTTCAAAAGGGTATTGCATTTCATTGGGAATGTCTGAGGAAGAAGAGATGGGAGAGATGGCTGAATTTTACTAGTAAGGAAACTTAAGATCTTTCTTATCCTATTGTAAACCCTTCGCTCAAGACAAATCTAATAAATCACAAATTAATTTAAATTAATAACAAAAAATGTCTTCAAACGACAACACATCATCATCTACTGATAACAACAATAATTCATCCAATAATTTAAAATCATCAGGTCCTTGGTGGTGGACTTTCGGATCAGTTCCAGAATTACCTGCTCACCAACTTGATCAATTAAATCAAACAAGTCAATACTCCCTTCAAATTGTTGATGTTAGAACCGAGTCAGAATATAATAATGGTCATATTGAAGGATCGATAAATTGTTCCTTCCTTCCCAATGTTTTCAGTTTTTCATCACGTATGAATCAAAGTATTCTTCCCAAATTAGACAAGAATAAGCCTGTTTATGCTATTTGTTTGAGTGCCCATCGATCTATTGCAGCAGTAAAGTGGCTTTCCCAACAAGGATACACAGCCTATCAATTAAAAGGGGGTATGCAAGAGTGGAGAAAGGAACAATTACCTGAGGTTACCACCACTCTAACCATTAAGACAACCTCAACGGAACAAACCAACTGTTGCAGTAATGAGGAAAACATTAATGGAAATAGTAATAACGTTGAGCACAAATAATTACCGAAATACCATTGGAACATTCAGCCAAACAGCTCGTTTTAAACATTTTTTGTGTTAACAACACACCACTTCCCAGTAATCACCACATAATTATCCAAAAGAATCATCTCCTATGCTACTGCTTGAACCTTGCACGTTATAATTTTACATTTCACAACAATATATTGACCTCTATGGGAAACGCATGTACTTACATTGACATCTTTTGTCCCTTGGTTGTTCCAGCAGTTTTTGGGAAAGTGATTCCCTTAAGAATCAATATCCTTACCTTATCAGTTTGAACTTAACAGAAAAATTTACAGAAAAAAAAGCGCCACCCTCTCTTTATTGAGCCGTTTCTCAAAAACAAAAGAACTGTTGTTTATTTGCTCTCTTTTCTGTATCAGTTAAAACTCACCTTTGTGTATTGTGTGATAGGAGAGTGTTGGATTTATAACTAAGGTTCCTTAATATCTAGTATCTACTATTAAACTGCTATCATCAAAATAATCATATAATATAATTTATTTTCTAGGAATATACAACCAACTGTAAATATGAGTAGGAGAGGAAGTATTATTGGTTCAGATGGTGAATCCGGAAGTGTGCTAGATTATAACTTTTCTACCAATGTTGCCTCAATAGATAAGCGAAGTTATATTACTTCAACAAGACAACCTAATGATGCCAATGCAGCAGGTAGTGTTGTGAATGCTTCACAAGTGGGTAGTACCACATCATCACTGGAAGATTACTATAATGAGTCTATTGTTACTCAGTTAGAGGAGAGATCCTTCATGTTCCTTCTTAATTTACAAACCAGACAAGAATTAGTTGGAAGAAATGAATATATCAAAACTCTACTCATCAGACTATATTTCATATGGGCAACATTAGTGATTGCCATTCAACCTAGTTATAACTTTGGCGAGTATGGAAGGTGGATAGCAAGAGCTGTTAATTATCCTCTAACATTTGGTTTTGAACATTTACCTTACACTGCAGCGGTCATTATTGCAGGTATTATATTTGCCATACAGCTACTTCAAGTCATTATTTTAATAATTGCCTACAGATCTATCTACAGAATGAGCAAGTATTGGCCCAAAATCAAAGTCATTACTAGAATATTGAATGTAACAATCTCTTTAACAAGTTTGCCAATCAGTTGGCTCATGTTGGGGTTTTTGAATTGTAATTATTCGTCAGCAGTGCTGGTCACTTCTTCAACAACAGCTGAACAAGTTTTGAATAGATTTCCTGACGTGGCCTGTTATTCGGGCACCAATTTGGCTTTCATTATAATTGGTCTTTTGTCATATGTGCTCACAATTTTCACAACCTTTGTTGGTTTTTACACAACAACAGATGCAAATCCAAGGAGTGAAACTCCCTTCTTAACATTTGATGCTCATCTCTATTTTTTAAGCGTTCTAAGCTATCAAATTTACTATTTGTTGATTAATGTTGTAGGAGATCAATTTGTGGTAATTCAAGCAGTTTACTTTGTGGTAGCTAGCTTTTGCATCACTATTTTCTTTTTATTTTCAATGCCTTTTTATAGAAGATGGGAGAATGCTGTTTACTTTGGTTTTGTTTGTGCCACTCTTGGAGGTTCTTTGTGTGGTGTTGTTTCCACATATGTGAATACTCAAAATGAGTATGGTCTTGGTTTAGGACTGTTAGGCATGACTATTGGTGTAATGATAATATTTTCCTTCATTGGTTGGTTGTGCATGGATTTATGGACTAGATACATTAATAAGGATCTGAGAGGAATATTTATGAATCACTTGGAACGTGGATTAGACAATTTGAGTAATGATGACATTATGAATCCTAAATACATTCTAGAAAAGGAGTCTATCAAAATCTTACAAGAAATTGAAGAAACCAATCGCTCAAGAAGACTATTCCTCTTCTTAAAATGGTGTATGAAGAAAGGATCTACCTCTACTTTGGGTAATCTCAGTGATTTGGAACTTTCCAAATGTTTTATTAAGGGTGTTGCCAATCAAAAAACTTACCAAAATGTTGATTTATTAATTGCAGCCTCCATTATTTGTGGTAACTTTTTTGAAACAGGACAACAAAAATCACTTGCAATTTTAGAAAAAGTACGTATTTAAAGTATTTTCATTTATCTAACAAATTTATTCAGGCAAAGAAAAATCAACCCTCTCTGTTACAAAGATTTACTATTGTAGAGAGAACTAAAGAAATTGAGACAATTCTTGACAGTGGCAAAGGATTGCTAGAAATTAAACATATTTTACAAAAAGTTGAAAAGAAACAACAAATTATTTCCTCACTCCACAAGTCCTTCTTTAAAGAATTTATTAATGATAATATTTCGTTCGAGAAGGTAGAAAGTATCAACAAACAAATTACTTCCATCACAAGGGAAGTTGGAATTACTCTTAAGGGCCTCATGTCAAACTATGGTAACAATAAGACTGTATTGAGAACATATGCAAAATTCTTAGAAGAAGTCAAATTTGAAAGAGATCAAGCATATGAAATGTATGAAGAAGCCAACTATATTGAAGAAGAAGAAACAAAAAAGACCTCAGTTCCAAAAAAGATTGGAAAAAATAATAGAGTACTGCCAGAAAGTAATTACTTTGGTGAAGGATTTACTAATCAAGCAAGCGTTGATGTACAAAAAACATCTGGAGCAAGAAGTGGCATTAGTCATTCCTACGAAGATAGAATTGATGAATTCAGTGGCATTGAAAATATTGTAGGCAACCAAAAGAAGGAATACCAGTTTAGAGTTTCTCTTAACAGACAACACACACACAATATTTATTTATTCTTTTTCCTGATTCTATCTTTTCTTTCAATGTGTATTGTATCTATTGGTATTGGTATGTCAGTTTCCTTTGCTGGTCAGCTCTCTAGCAACATTAAGAATTCCTACTATGTTTGCATGCCATCTGCTGTACCTAGATTGCTTTTGAGGGAAATTAGAGTATTCCAAAACTTTATGATACTCTATCCAACCTATAAGAATGAACTTATATCCTCTGGTTTACATGATGTGGTTAATGTTACAGACTTTTTCCAAGACAAATTAGAGAGAATGGAAAAGTATAAGGGACTTTTGGATGAGTTAAAATTGGCTGAGGCCTCTGGTACAATGTCTTCTGAATCCATAGCAGACTATACCAATCCTATATATACTCTTGTTACACCAGTTCTCTATTACAGTAATGATTCAACAATTCCTTCCGATTACATTCAATCCAAAAATGCTTCCATTTCAGAAATTACTGATAGTTTAATCAAATATGCCAAGACTTATTTGAAGAAGGAAGCAAATAGCTTTAATACTACAATAACATCTGGTGATTTCATGTTTTTATGGACAAATAGAAATGGAGGTAGCTCAGCTTTTGATGCTTATTGTGATTTATTTTTGCGTAGAAATTCTGAATCTGTTCAAAATATGAACATTCAATTTATTGCCTTCTACGTAGCTGCAGTTGTTGTATATGGTGTTTGTGCAGCAATTGTGGTTATGATATTGTTAGTACATTTGAGGTCATTGAGATCATCTATTAAGTTTATTGCCACAACCTTACCCAAGGATCAAGTTGGTAAAATATTTCAAGGTCTCGACAAGAAGTCTGATGAAGAAATGGATATCAAAGAGAATGGAATTATTTCAAAACCTCAGACAACCATTTCACTCGTTGTTGTGTCAAGTATCATTGTAACTGTTCTTTGCATTACAATGCTTTTCGTTGATATGCAAATTATTTCTAATACTGAAAGTTTAGCGATTAAATACGTTACTTCTGGAGTTGAAATTTTCAGAAATACAAACAGAGCAGCCTACCGTATGACAGAATTATTTAGTTTTATGAGATATACTTCCAAGAGTAGTTTGAATGATGATCGTTTGCTCTCACAATCAGACCTTAGCACTTACCACGTTCAAATGAAATCACTATTTGGAACTATTGCTTCTTCATGGGAAGTATTAAGATATGGTGGTAGATTTATGAATACTTATGAGGATATTGATATTCTTATTTCTCCAATTACAAATTGTACCAACGTTTCCACATTTTATTGCACCAATTTGGATGAGCTCGTTACAGAAATTAGTACTGTGTCATTAAGATTGAACGAAGATGTATATTACAGTAATTACGCTATAGACAATTTATTCTTGACCTTGCTTAAGGGAAGTGAAATGTCAAATGCCCTTATGGATAGAATAATAGACATTTTTGATTTATATTCTACATATGCATCGACTCCAAGTTTTACATTATCCATAATTGCAGTTGTTATAGGATACATTGCATTAATATCACTATCATATTTTGCATATGTGTTAATAAGAGATTTTTGGGATCAGATTCAACAATTAAGAAGTTTACTCAATTACTTACCTGTGGAGTATATTGATTCCAATGATGCTCTTAAACAATTTGTACTTTTCAATGATCTCTCGTCTAAATCTAGGGCCTCTTCATCAGAAAAAAGCAAGGAAAAAGATGGTGGTGGAGATGGTAAGGTGAGGGCAATTTTGAATTCTGCAGTTGATGGAGCCATTTTATGTAATTCACAAGGTGATATTGAACTTTTCAATCCTGTTGCTCAAAAGATGTATGGTATGAATAATAGTGATGTTTTGGGCGAGCAATTGACCAAGCTATTTGACCCTATGGACCCAAATAGACAAAAACTAGCACAAATTATCCAGCAAATGGTAAATGCAACCCAGTCATTTGGTGAAACACTTGAAGTGGAATGTGTCAGAAAGAATGGAAGTAAATTTCCATCCAAGGTTAATCTTTCAGTTAGTGTAGCCAATAAGAAACCAATTATTAGTTGCTTTGTTAAAGATTTCACACCTGAAAAGAAACAAAATATGTTATTAGCTGAAGAAAAGAAAAAATCTGAACAATTATTGTTAAATATTATGCCAGAGAGTGTTGCTTCAAGATTGAAGGGAGGTGAAACATTCATTGCTGAAAAGTTCAATGATGTAACAGTTTTCTTCTCAGATATGGTTGGATTTACAAAAATCAGCTCTGGAATGAATCCTTCTGAGCTTGTGTTGATGTTGAATGCAATTGTAAATGGTTTTGATGTACTCACTGAAAAGTATAATTTGGAAAAGATTAAAACTATTGGAGATGCCTATTTTTGTGTTGGTGGTATCAACTTGAATGCTCAATCAGATCACCCTGAGAGATCATTGAGATTTGCCATTGATACACTTCAAGTAATCAAGGAATATAATTCAAGTGAGAATACTAATGTTAATATTCGGTAAGTATATAATTTATAATGTAATTACTAAGAAATTTTCTTAAATTGAAACTACATAGTGTGGGTCTACATACAGGACCAGTTGTTGCTGGTGTGATTGGTATCAAAAAGTTTGCCTACGATTTGTGGGGAGATACCATTAATACAGCCTCAAGAATGGAGTCAACTGGTGAACCAGGCAGAATTCAAATTTCTAGAGCTACCTATGAAAGAGTTCATGACATGGGAATGGAATTTGAAGAACGTAAAATTGATGTAAAAGGAAAAGGTTTATGTCAAACTTATCTGCTCAAGAGGAAGCATCACGTTGATCCTTTACAATATGAAACTGATTCTCATCATTCTGAAGAAGGAGCAGATGAAAAGACAGACACATCTCTTGAAGTTGGTAAAATTTCAAATAGCAAGCATAATGAAGATTCAGTTCGTCAAGAATCTGAAGCAGATCAACATGAAAATTATGATAACTTGGAAAACTTGTATGGAATTGGACCAAATAAGAGTGTTGAAGGTCCAACTGTAAGAGGCTCGTTTGCGAAGAAAAAATTGAAACAAGAAGATGTGAATAATCAATCTTTACAAGCTCTCGGATTCTTATCTTCACATTCCACTCCTATTGAGGAAAAGGAGGAAGTAACACCAGAAGTATCTGGCCCAATAAACGTAACGCAATAATTACTCTTTGCACAATTATTGTTATTTTCGTGTTTTTGCAAACAAGCCAAAAACAAAAGTTGATGCCAATCATTAAGGAAGAACTGTGTTACTCAATAAATAAACGCAAGCTCATATTTGTTGTAAGCTTTCAATAATACAAAATAACTATTACATTACAAAACAAGCCAATGAACTACCATGGAAATGTGCACAAACCTGCTACGGTCAATGAATCAATATTCTTAAGGACGAACTAAACGTGATGCTACGTAATCACTTCTTTATTCCTTTTTCGCTGCCTATCATTCAGTTAAGGAGAATTATTCAAACACTTATTTTTCTTCCTATTTAGTTTTTGGAGAGCCAAAGAATCTTTGAATCACCTCCTTGCATGCTTCATTCAACAAATCTTTCAGAGTTTTTGGATTCTTTACAATGTCCATAATCTTAGCTTTGTTATTGGAAATAGTTTCAGCTTTAAGGTATGGTTTGTTTGTTTCTGGATTTAAATCGAGATTGTATGTCTTTATGAATGAATCAACTTTAGTTTTATCATTCAAAAAATCCTCCATTTTTCCTTGTAATTGCTTTTTTCCTTCTACATTGTTATAGGCAAAAGCGATGAGGTATGGCACAAGCTCTTTGTTAAATTTGCTTTTCAACTTGCCCTTTAAAATACCAGATATGACTTCATCTTGTTTCTTTTCACCTTCTTTACCCTTCATGCTGTTGAGAAGGTAGAAGAGAATTTCCTGATAGTCAGAGGTTGTCATATTTGGATCAGGTTTGAAGTTCTTTACAAGTGTTTTCGGTTTCAATTTCAATTCAAAAAAGGTAATAAATTCTTGAACCTGTTTTGGATTGTCAATAAACTCTTTAGGTTTCTGACCTGTCATTGAACAGTAGATGTAAATAAATTGATCGTAAATGCGTTTGTGTTTGCAACCCTCTTGAGTAGCTACAGTCTTTGGGCTTGATTGCTTTTTTGTTTCAATACTTGATGGACTAGCATAATAATTATTCACAACTGTAATGGTTGGATCTGTTTTAGTTTTCTTTGTTGGTGTGGAAACTTCCTCATCATTAACCTTTCTTTTCAATTTCGTTTCTTGTTTATCTTGCTTCTTTTCTTCTTGCTTTACTTCTTGAGTTGCCTTCTTTAAAAGTTCATTCTCTTGCTCCAATTTAAAAAGTTTTTCTCTTTCAATCATTTCAAGTTTTCTTTGCAATTCCTTATTTTCTTGTGCAAGCTTTTCCTTTTCTTTTTTTTCCTTTCTCAACTTTTTTAGCTCCAATGCTACTTGTTCTTCCTTCTCCTTTCTCAATTTCTCGTAATGGAAAGACTCAACCGTAAACAATTGTTGTGGTGTGTGTTTGAGAGTGTGTGGTTTACGGTTGAGTCTTTCCATTACGGTTCTTTTTATGGTTAAAATTGAGGATTGTAAACAAACTCAATGTTGGACGATGAAGAAATCAACACAGCTTGGGATTCCCCGCCAAATTTTTAACATTGGTGAGGAAAACTAAGGAAGTCTTGAAATTTCAGCGCTCTTAAAAAATTGTTTCCTAACCAAACCTTAGAGTCGCGGCAGCGTAACTTGGCTAGTTCTCCCAATGATGAATCGATTCTTGTTGTTTGACTCTCGCAGTGTAGTGGTGCTCATTCAATAATTTCTTCCTCTGTCTTTCAACATTCCTAATTCCACAACATCATTGATACGAAGAAGATAAATTTGATCTAATCGGAAGCAATAACCCTCATGTTTCAATTGTTCAAAGAAAAGTATAAAATGCTATTAAATATTATAGGTCTGTGAAGTTTCTAATATCTTATGTCTCCAATACATACCGAATATCAAGATCACTTTCGCAACATCCAACATGAGAACCTATTGTGAAATAAACCAGCAACCCAAAGTCTAAACATTCACAGACATCTGATTGACCCATCACAACAATCAACAAGAAAAAAAAATTTACAAAGCTTTCATCACTGAATAATTGTTGTGTATTTGCTGCTAGCTATTATTTATCCATTCCTCTCTCCACTTTCTAAAAGAAATTGATAACAATTAACTTGTTTGCATCTCCTCTTGAGAAGAGTTTCGAATAATATTTAATAACAAACAACAACAACAATATCGTTGCGCGATCAACAATGATGATACGTAATGATAATAGACCATTGTTGAAAGGACAAGCACAACAACGTGTTGCTGTTCGATATTTAATCGTCTCCATCTTGTTGATGATTACTTTGAGTTGTGCTTCAACTCTTGCTGCCACACCTCCAGACTGGTGTGCTGCATTATCTGGTGAACAAGTTAAATCAGCCTTTGGATTATGTGATCCATCTTTATCCACTTCAAGACCATCATGGTGTACATATAATAACTTTAGAGCAAGTCAACCAATCACTTTTAGAGATCCTGACATTTTTAATTGTGATGCCACTGGTGCACAATGTTTATATACCAAAATAACAGACAAGACACCAATTACATCAACTGAAAATAACATGATTTGTGTGAAAGATCAAGATGTTGATAATATTGTTAAAATTTATAAGGAAGACTATTCTGGAGGAAATGTTACCACTACTGATCAATCATCACAATCCGAAAACAATCGTTGTTTCTTTGTTAGAGCTGCTAAACCTTTGGAAATGTCAGCTGATGGTGCCAAACAATATTTACTAGTATTGACCAATAGACATTTGCTTGTTCTTGATATGACTACTGAACAATTGGCCTACTCTTATCAAGTACTTGATGCTAAAACTGCTTTAACAGATAAACCAAGTAAGATGGCTGTCTATAGAACTAGCTCTACTGAGGCAACAATTTATGTTACCTTGTCAACTCAAACATTATTGGTTCTTAAATTGGATACTACTGGTACTCTCACAGTTTCATCTTCTAAAACTATTGCTCTTACCATTGATACAACAACCAAATTGTCCTCAAGCGAATTTGTGCAAGATTTGCAAACAATTGCCTACATTGATACTCTTGGAACTGCAACTCATATGGCTGTTCTCTCATATGGTACTTCTACTTCTACCAATGGTATTATCATTTACAAGGGTTCTACACTTTATAAATGGGCATTTGCTGACCAAACTGAGGAAAGAAAGATTTTCGGTTTTGCTCATGGACAATTTGGTGCTGACCCAACATATTCATCAAAGGTTGACTGTAATTCAGTTAAAGCCAGTAGACCTCTTCTTTTAATTCAATCCAAGTCACAAGTCAATTTGATTCAACTCGTTGGTACGCCAAATGACTCACCTGTTGACTTAACAAAGAAGACCTCAATCATTTATACACATGGTGTCTCTGGTGAAAGTATTTATTCTGTGAGTGCATTTACTGAATGTTATGGTACTCTTGCTAAGACTTCCCAATCTGTTTGGGTTGCTGTTGGTGTTGCTTCAACTACAGCCTCTGCAAATGCTTTCGGCCCAAGATTATTTGTCTTTAACCTTCCAGAAATGGCAAGTCAGGATGTAACTGATATTAGTTCTGACCCAGCTGGCATATACAAGGCCGTTGGTATACCAGCTGACACAACATGCTCAACTTCTTATACATCAACTACCAAACCTCAATACTCAAAGAGTGGAACCTGTACTAACAGACCTAATAAGGAATCAGATTTGAAAACCACATCAGCTGTTCCTTCAAAGATGGTTATTGGAATGTACAAAACAAGTGACACTGCTATCACTGATGCCTATTCAACATTTTATCACACCATCAACATTGCCACAAGAGAAAGTATTGAAGTATTTTCCTTCCAAGAGTATGCTTGTACTGACACTTCTGCTTCCACTTCTAGTTCAAGCTTATTTACATTGCAACAAACTGCATTATTGAACAGTGATGGTAAAATTAATGACATTTATGTTTCTGAAAATGCACAACACATCTTTGCTGTCCTTTCTAGAAAGGCCTTTGATATTGATGCCAGAATAAGATTGCAAGATATTTGCACCTTGTTGGCTTCTTCAAATCCTCCATCTTCATTGACTAAATTTACTGAAGCTTGTAAGAAATATCCAACCAAGTATACTGCATTCGATTTTATTGGTTACTTCTCAATGTGTAATGGAGGTTGGACTTGTCCAAGATATGGTGATTCTGGAAAACTCTTGCTGAAGGTTACGCCAATACTGTTTCTATTTCTGCTGGTTATCACACAATTAGACCAACAATGGTCTTTAAATGTGAACCAGGATTTTACTGTCCAACCAATAACGAAGGTCGTAGAAGACCTTGTCCTGTTGGATTCAAATGTAAAGATTCGGCCATGACTGCACCTACTGCTTGTTCACCTTCCTCAACATTTGAAACAACTTGTGGAATTGAAGGTTCCTCTACTGAGCAAAGATGTCCTGATGGTCAAATTTGTTTGAACCCTTTGATGTCTATTCCAGTACCACCAGGTTATCTTGCAAGAAAAACTAGAAGTCAATTATACACTTGTAGAAATGGTCAATATTGTCCATTAGCTACTCAAGGACTTGACACTACAGGCACTACTCTCGTAAATGCTTGTCCTGCATTGAACTATTGTGAAACTCCATACTCTATGACTCCAACTCCATGTTTGGAACAAATTGGTAACAGAACTCAATACTGTCCAACTGGTACTTATGGTAGTGATGAGCACTATTGTCCAGAAGGTTACTATTGTCCAACCTTGTCAAGCAAAGTCTTGTGTGAAGATGGTTATTATTGCCCAAGAGGTACTAAGGAACCACTTGCTTGTACTGCTGGTTATTATTGCCCTAATACCAACTCAATGTTGTTGTGTCCATCTGGTTATCACTGTGCTGCTGGCTCTACTTATCCTAAACGTTGTCAATGGTTCTCCTATTGTCCAGAAGGTTCTGCCAAGCAACAATCCTTCTATTTGGGTATCTTGTTAATGTTCGTTGTTGTCTTCCTCGTTTTGGTCACTTTCGTTGTTGTCAGATGTGTCACTGCCTCTTACAAGAAGAAGAAGATGAAGCAAAAGAAGATTAAACAAGACCAAGAAATCTCAGGACAAAATGGTCTTGCCAACATTGGTATTAATATTGCCAACTTTATTCAAGGAAATGAACAATTCAATTATGATAGTACTGGTTCTCTCGTCAATGAACCACCATTCTCAAAGAAGAACTTTACAATTGATTATGCCTTTGAGGATTTGTCATATATCAGAAAGAAGAGTGAAGAAGTTATTTTCGAAGGTGTCACTGGTCGTGTCTATCACGGAAGAACTACATGTATTATTGGTGTTGATTCTGAAGCAACTTCTGCATTGCTCAATACTCTTTCTGGTAGACATCACTTGGGTTTCGTTCATGGTAAAATTATGATTAATGAACAAATTAAGGATCCGCACGAATTCAGAAATATTATCAGCTTTGCCCCAAAGCAACTTGATATGGCTAAGGAATTGAAGGTTCACGAATTGTTGAGATTTGCTGGTCACTCTCGTTTGCCAAGTTATTATACATACAGTCAAGTTGGTAGACGTGTTGAAAAGACATGTAAGGTTTTGGGTATTGAAAACTTTATGTATGATACAATTGGTAAATCAAAGAAGCACGGTCTCGATGAAGAACTCAGAGTCTTTGTTAACATGGCTCTTGAAATGGTTGCTGATCCAGTTTGTTTATTTGTCGATAATCCATTCGATGAAATTCCACTCGAAAGAAAGAAATTCTTGTGTAAGGCCTTCAAGTTGGCTGCTGAAAGTGGTACTACAGTTGTTTCTACCATGCTCAGACCAAGAAATGATGTATTCCTCCTCTTTGACGATTGTATTATCATGGGTAAGAATGGTGGCATTGTTTACAATGGTCCAACCAAGGATGCTTTGAGATTCTTTGAAGAAATTGGCTTCAAATGTCCAAACTATGAAAATCCTCCAGACTTTTTTGTTGATGTTTGTTTGGGTAATGTTGAAAGACCTGGTGATCCAAACTTTGAACCAGAACGTTTGTTGCACTTGTGGGACTTGAAGAAGGAAGAAAATGAAAAGAAATGGCTCAAATCAAGAAATGGTAATGAAACTCAACAATCAGAACAAGAACAAGAAGATGATGAAGAAGTTGGTGCTTCTGTTATTGATCCACAACAAGTTTTGTTGGGCAGTGAAGTTGCTAAGGAAAGACAAAGAAAGCCAATTGCGTTCTTGGGTCAATATCTCTTATTCTCTCTTCGTGCTTTGCTTCAATTGAGTCGTCACTACAAGGGTGTCTTCTTTGATTTCTTCTTCCACTTTGCTCTTGCTGTAATTATTGGAGGTTTCTACTTTAACATGGACTTTATTGGTCCTCTTTCATCAACTCTTCAAAAGTTGTGTCCAACATTTATTAGTAATCAATGTTCATTGCCAAGAATTGATAAGATTGCACCAATGAGTATTGTTACAGTTTCTGCTCTTGCCATTGCTGCTATGCAATCTTCACTCAAATGTTTTGGTGCTGATAAGGAACTCTATAGACGTGAAGCTCAGAATGGTATCAACAAGATGAGTTACTTCCTTGGTAAATTGACTGGTGAAATTCCTTCCTTGTTGATCTATCCATTGGTCTTTGTTACTTTCTGGTATATCCTCGTTAATCCTGAAGCTGAATTTTACACATACTATGGACTCTTCTTATTATTCGAAATTGTTTTCAGTTCTCTTGGCTATTTCATTTCAGTTTTCGTTCAAAGAACTCATGCTGAATTTGTTGGTGTAATGTACATTATTTTGTGTGCCTTGTTGGGTGGTGTTCAACCAACAGTTCGTACCATGTCTAAGGAATGGTATACATTGGTTTTGGTTTGTTCTTCTCCAGTGAGATGGGCTGTCGAATTAATGTACACTGTTGAAATTAGAAAGTATCAAGAAAGTAATCAAAATGTTGCTACTGCTTTGGAAAATTATGGTTTCTCCTATAAGGCCTACTATATTTCACCAATTATCTTGATTGCTATCACTATCATTTTCTTGGTATTATCATTCGTTGGTTTGGTTATGAGAGATCCACAAGCTGTCGAAAGAATCAAGACTCTCACTAGAGTTTACATTAGAAAGGGTAAGAGAAAGTTGAAGAAATTGAAGAGTGAAAGAAAGAAGCCTGGTGACTATGTCTTCCAACAAGAAAGTGAAATTCAAGTTCTCGAAGATGGTGAAGAAAGTGAATCAGATGAAGACGACGAATTGTTATTGCAACAAGATGAAGTCTATCAACCACCATCCATGCAACAAGATCAACAATAAACAACCAACTTGTGTGAAAACAACACGTAAATCTTGTCTTTTAACATCTTGTTGTGTTGAAATTTTTTCAGACAAAAATTTTTCATATTTATTAGTTATTTGATGAGTGGGTGATTTTCATTAATAAAACACCGTACTAACATAATAGTATATAGGGAGTGTTCAGGATATATTTTTAAGAACATCAATGTGAATCGGGTGTGTATAGTGGTAGCATTCCAGACTGTCACTCTGGCGACCCGGGTTCAATTTGTTTTGTTAGTTGAATGATATCGGTCATTCCTTATTTGGAAATTTCATTCCCGGTACCCATGGTATGAACGAGAGTTTTGACTGTGTTAAATTACTCGAGTGCTTTTGATCAAGAAGTTACAGTTATGAATAATTATCAAGGAATTTGGCGACACGGTATTATATTAATAATGTGTTATTATTAAATGTTAATTTGGCGTCACGGTGATTGCAATGTGTTTTTATTACAGTTAGTATCTGTTCAACAACAAATCATCAATAATTAATTAACAATCAGTGACCTAACGGTCACTATTTAATAAACATTAATAACCATTAATTTATTACTGTTAATTTGTTTTGTTGTTATTATTGTTGTTGAAGTCATCTTCCAAATTAGGAAGTTTCATTCCCGGTAGCCATGATATGAACGAGAGTTTTCAATTCCCGGCACTCGAGATCAATTTTAGACACTATCTCCAAGATTTGAGTTTTTCTTTTTGCATATTAGGAGGAATGATATGTAATCTACCTATATATCAATTTTCAAAGTTTCATCTCTTAAAACCACTGATAAAATAATCAAAGATTTTACACCCTCATTTTCCTTTTAAAAAATATTACTGTAAGTTCCAAGTTCCTACCAAAGCTGTCATATGCAGAAAATTGAGAAAGATACAGAATCACCATCACTATCGGAAATACTTGAAGATCTTGAGGAGAATTCTAGGATCTTTAAAAATAAATAACAATAACTTCACCTCCCAATTTTAATTGATTACACAATTTTTGGAGAGTAATTTCTTATCCTTTTTTAAAATTACTTCTACAAGTTCAATATTTTGTTGGAATGTAAAAGCAAAAATAGTAGTACAATGAGAAAATAAATTTACAATCGTTGAATAATTACTTGTACTTATATCTATGAATGAATAATTATGAATTTTAAACTTTTCTAGAATTGATTTGATATTTTGTTTCTTAATTCGTTTTTTTGTATGATTTTCCTTATTGAGCTTATCATTAATTACAATTAAAGTTGGAAGGTTTGCTATTTTATCCTCCATAGCTGGAAATAAAGTACTCTCCAAATACTGAACTGATTCTTCAGAATATAATTCACACATTACAATAACAATGTTAGACTCGTTAACGTATTTCAAATTGTAATCACTAATTGGATTGATTTCAATTAACTCGAATAATTCTACAATCACTGGAAACTTTTCAATGTAATGTGACATTTTCCTATAGCTATCCTCAATTGCAATTTCGTGATTATATGGGAAAGCATTAGAATAGACGTAATTTAATATGCATTTGGTTTTTCCAACACCCTTCATTCCAATAATTAATATCTTATTAAATAATACATTTTCATTATTCATATCATTCATTTTTAAACCAAATCCCTTTCGTCTCATCATTTCGAATAATAAAGTACATCTTCGAAATGATTGGAAAGATGGATTTTGTTTCAATTTCTCTTTCATATTCATGACAATCTCCTTCTCGGACATTGACAATACAGAGTGACTCATCAATAGATGAGTTTTCAATACTTCCCACCAATAATTTTCATCATAAAATTGCTTGAATTGAGAGTTGACTGATTGAAGTGAAAAAATTACTTTTCTAATTTCACAATCATAAATATTTATGCAATTATTGGAAATATCGAGCAGAAAATCAAAAACTGTGATGAGAACTTCTGAAGATAACAGTTGCATTTTTTTTGAATTGTTTTTTGTGAACTATTGACTTTTGACATTGATTCAATAGATTCTAATGCAAAACTTGAACCTTAACTATTTCACTTACTGCATTGTAATGTTGTTTTTACTTCTTGTTCAATAATATTAAATATTTTAAAGATCTAAAAATAGTTTAAAAAAAATGAAACCAAACACTTCTTCATCAAACAACAATCAAAGAGCGAGTAGTAATACAACAACAACTGCAACCACTACTCCGAAGAGTGGTAGTGATCATCACCACCACGATGATGACGCACACAAATATTCCCTCTCCTTTGATAATGTCATTAAAGGACCACTTAAATTAAAAGGTAGAACAGGAACAATTGGCGGAATTACCAAACAACATAAAACAAATAATAACAACTCTAATCAAAAGGCAATTGTAGTGGAAAAGACTGAAGCCGAACAAAAATATGAAACCAAATCGATGGAAAGAAAGAAGAAACTCATCAAGGAAAGAGCTCAAAAATCCTACAGAGAAAAAATCAATGAATTTAACGATCGTATTTCTAAACTAACCGAATATAATGATATTCCAAAGGTCTAATTTATATGTAAATAATCATCAAGTAATTTTATTAAAATAATAACAATGAAAAATAGAAAACTATCAAGTCCTCCATATAGAATTATAATTAAAAAATTAATAACCATGAAGAAGTGATAATAATTTAATATTATTATTATGACTAGTATATAATAATTTAAAATTGTAAATTAATAAAAATTTTGAAACGAATAAAAAAAAATGGAAAATCAAGAAACAAGTCTTGTTGCCGTTTCTTCTTCATCATCGGAAGATAGTAATAACAATAACAACAATATTGGACAAACTCCTGAACAACAACAACAATCAAATCCATATGCAGGAGTTAATCTTTCATCTAGTATTAAATTACAACAAAGTGTTCCTGCTTCAATTTTAGAAAACGAAGAATTGAATAGACTCATCAAGGAAACACTTCCAACAAATTATAATTTTGAAATTCATAAAACTATTCATAGAATTCAACAAATTAAACCAAAGAGAGTTGCTTTGCAATTTCCTGAAGGATTGCTCTTGTTTAGTTGTGTGATTAGTGATATTATTGAAAGATTTTGTCCAGAAACAAGTACAGTAATTATGGGAGATGTCACATACGGAGCATGCTGTATAGATGATCTTACTGCTAGAGCTTTGGGTGCTGATTTCATGGTGCATTATGCTCACAGTTGTCTTGTTCCTGTCAGTGATTGTTGCATTAAGAATATTCTATACGTTTTTGTGGATATTCAAATTGATATTAATTATTTTGTTCAATCAATGATTAACAACTTTCCAAAAGAAACCAAAATGGCTATGGTTGCAACTATTCAATTTGTTTCAAGTTTAAGAACTGCCAAGGCAGAATTGGACAAACATTTCACAACTCCTGTATTTATTCCTCAAGTTAAACCATTGTCACCTGGTGAAGTTCTGGGTTGCACAAGTCCAAAAGATTTAGCTAAAAATCATCAAATTGAAACTATGGTTTATTTGGGAGATGGTAGATTCCATTTGGAAAGTGTCATGATTCAAAATCCAGAATTGAAATATTACAAATATGATCCATATGGAAAGAAATTCACAGAGGAACACTATGATCATCCACAATTATTTTCCATCAGACAAGATGCCATTGAAAAGGCAAAGAAAGCCAAAAAGTTTGGTGTAATTCTAGGAACTTTGGGTAGACAAGGTTCTCCAAAAATTCTTGAAACTATTGAACGATTACTGAACGAAAAGAATATTCCATATGTTTCTCTCCTTTTGAGTGAAATTTTCCCAAGCAAACTTCAACTATTCCACGATGTTGAGTGTTGGATTCAAATTGCTTGTCCTCGTCTCTCAATCGATTGGGGTCACTTCTTTGATAAACCATTACTGACTGCCTATGAAGCTGAGGTAGCTTTAACAGCCACTGAATGGAGACCAATCTATCCAATGGACTTTTACTCAATTGAAGGAGGTGACTGGACAGTAAAACATTACGAGAAATTGAGAATGGAACAACAAAAAGCTCAAATGAATTCATCCGATTCTAAGAATAAATTAAGGGAAAGAATGAAGGCTAATAAGAAGCAATAAATCTGGTTCATAACCATATTCCTTTTATTTTATTTTTTTTGTCAATAATTTTGTCGTTTTGCATTGGCCGTTTACATAATATCTTTTATTCTGCTTGTTCTATCAATATAAAACATATCTCTTTCACATAGAGCAATAGGAATTACTCCCACAACTGCTTTATAATACAATGCAATCATAAATTCATCGAAACAAGCTTTAGATTTTATCATTTCTGCACTCAACCCAATTCTCTCCATAACAACCTTAATCATCTCCTTATCTGCAACGTATTCTGAGCGTGAGCCATCATACTCGTAGCAAACTTCATTTTTTAGAATTTCTTTTTCTTCTTGGAAAACTACTTCAATAGATCTTAGTAGTGAACCATTACCACATCCTTAATCGCATCTATAAACTTTAAAATATAGTTCAGTCAATTCGGTATTTCCTTGAATATTTGGAATGATAAAATCATATTCACATTCTGATTGATCATAAGAAAAGAAATCAAAAGAGGTTTTCTGGATAAAGATGTAAGGTGAAAGTTGGCGAATCATTTCGGAAACTAATTCGTCATTGGATTCGTTAAGGATAGCAGGCTCATAACACATTGATTGTTCGGCTTCCACTGATTTCAAACAGTCAATCGATTGTTGAGCAAGAAAACAGTTTCGAATACAATTTAACATGAACTGAGTATTGTTTCGATTGGGATGTGAAAGAATTTCAACCTTCTCTTCAATTCCTCTTGCTTTCATACCCTTATCCAAATTGGTAATCATCATACTGTACCAGAAATCATGAGAATTAATAAAAGTTTCGTTCCAATCTTTGCAAACTAATCTCATCATGAGAATTTGACCAATGTTGGATTTATCTTCATCATTTGCAAGGAAGGCAACAATTTCCTGTACAAGGACTCCACTGTTGGACAGTAAATTTACACTATATTAGACAAAATAAAAGCAATAAATTCAAATGAACATGTAAATTTCAACTTATTTTTCAACTTGAATTGAAAAAAGGATCATTTGTATGGCTGGAAATGGGCCACGTAAAAAGAACCTAAAATCTTTAGAAAAAAATGTCAAATCAATTACTAGTTAGGGTTATTCACGAATTGGAAAGAATTGACGGAATTGATGGAATTGATGGAATTGACGGAATTTTTCAGAATTTTTTAGAATAATTCAGAATGATTCCGTGAAAAAATTCCAATTATTTCGTTGGTGGTTATTTTTAATTTTTGAAAAGAATTTATTAAACTAAACTGATTAAACACGTTAAAAACGTTTGAAACGTTCTAAATGTTGAAAACGTATTTACACATTTGAAAGAAATGGAAAATCAGTTTGATTCCCGCCCACACAGATATTAAGGACATTAAGCAAGCTCAACTATATCATCACAATATAGGGATGATTATTGGAGGCCTCCAATAATGGTTTCCTTATTACAAGAAAAACATATTTAACGTTTTAAACATTTAAAAAACGTTAAAACGTTTACAACGTTTGAATAATGTAATAAACGTTCACAACCAATTCTAAAAAAAAATTCTGGACACGGAATTATTTGGATAGAATTTTTTAGAAAAATTTCATTCCATTCTATTCCATTCCATTTTCAATTCGTGAATAACCCTAAGTGGATTTAATACTTGGAATTCCAACAAGAAATAAAAGTTGTTGTTTGGGATTTCGGGTGATCTTCTCGCCAAACAATAATGAAAAAATGCACAAAATGTGTAATGGCAGGTGATGGTCCTAAAAACAAAAAGCAAAAACAAGAACCCGAAACCACCAAACCTTTCTCTTCTCCACAGACTCATGTATTAATAACAAAAGAAGACCTCAAAAACTCTGCATTACAACTTAAATTTGTTAATCGTGAAAATGAGTCGGAACGAATTGTTAATACTTTAGTGCAAAACAAGAAGCAACAAAACTTGAGCCAAGCTAAATTAGTGTCGCTTTTTCAAACCTTTGGTATTGGTAAAACAACCTTGGTCAGAAGATTTAGAGAGGTATATGGAAAATGGGATCAACAATCGGAATGGGTGAAAGATTTACAGCTATTTGAATTGGATTTTAGATTATTTAAAGTCTCTTCGGAAGAAAGTATTTCAGATATGAGCAAAAAAATTGCTGATTTCGTGGTTAAGGAATATTGCAAGCAATTTATAACAAAATTCCAACCAAATGGATCACAAGATCTTTTACAGAAAAGACAAGATTTTTACCAAAAGATGTTGGATTTTGCAAACCAAAACGATTATGGAGCTAACCTTATTTTTGAAGCTTTAAATATTGATTCATCCTTACCTGAAGGATATTTAGTACTTGTTGATGAAGTAGATGGAATTTTACAGAATAATTTTGGGCAACTATTGCAAGACTCGAAATGGACAACATGTAAAGAAGGTTGTGATATTTATTTGAGTCGCTTTCTAGAATTATGGAATGAAGTAATGCCACTTCTGATCCCCTATAAGAGCACTGTTATATTTAGTGGTCATATTCCTGTACACTTAGCTTTGACAGAGAATCAAGATGTTAAAAAAAGTCCACCTTCTGATTACTGTCTTGTATTTCTGTCACCTATGGAAAACCAGGTCGTCGAAATCATGCTCAGACAGAGTCATGTTCAAAAAGGTAATTCGTGTATCACACTATTGGATGCTTTACAATTGTTAGGCTTAAATGATATTGATGATTTCATAGATATTCTTGTGGAATATACTGGAACTGCTCCAAGAATAATGGAAAATGCATTCAATAGCATTTTGCGTAACTTGAATAATTTATCATCAAAAGAGAAAATATGTGAAGCTATTGAAAAATCTGAGCAAAAACAACACGATGTGACGATTGCTCTGCGCAATGATGAACAAGCCAAATTGGTAGCTCATTTATATTTACTCCATTCCTTTGGTATTGCCATACCATCTCAAACAGTAAGTGTAGAATTCTTTAGTTTTCAGTTTAATGAGTTTTAGAAATTGTACTTTAATAAGAGGCACAGAAACTTTATTGAAATACTTCCATATTTAAAAATGCATTTTCAAGTCATGGAAGATAAGACTGTCAAGATTAATATACCCAAGCTACTAAAAGATGATATTTTAATGAAATTATCAAAATTCAAAACATCAATAAGTGGAGTGCGCTATAATTTGTTGCAAAATAATTCCATTTTACTCCACACTTCAAAGGCGTTGGAATTATCAGTCATTGATTTATTAGCTGAACAAATATTGACTCTCTCTTTTACAAAAACGAACGAAATTACTGTATTTGGGGATTTATGTGGCGGGATTTTCAAAGAAACATTTTTTAGTAGTTTAGAGTTACCTCCCAATTTTTTAACACAAAATATTTTAATCCCTGGATTTTCACCAATTAGCACAAAACAACAGTACGATCAAGAGATGGGGTTTAGTAATTACCTACATCCAAATTACGTATCATTCACCTCAGTGTTAGACGATGCTATGAGTGAAAATCAATTTTGTGCAGCTATTCCTGGAGAAATTAATAGTGGATTTGATGTATTGATAGCACTGAACAAAACTCCATTACAAGTATTAAGAAAATTGTTATTATTTGAAATGAAACTCTATGAAAAGGATTTTTCTTTATCAAAGTTGCAAGAAGAAATCAATCAAGCATCGGCTTTTTTACCCAATACCTATTCAGTTGAAGAAAAGCCATCTTTGAATGGAGAAAATTTACACTTCACAGTAATAATGGTAGTTATGGGATATTCAGATAGCGTACTTCGAGTTATAGAAAAAAATGCGAATAATTATGGATCTCTTCTTATAACAGGAACATGCTATCTAGAGAATGAAACAATAAGCTACACAAAGCCAAAATTTGGAACAAAATCTTGGTTGAAATTGAAAAAAGGAGGTTTCGAAGTTCTATTGTTAACTAAAAAAGGCTTAGAGAATTTATTAAGCAAGGATTTGTATACTCTGTTTCATGACCACACCCAGAAAAAGGAAGAACTGTATAGAAAAATGATTTGTTATCATGTTGGATTCCCCCAAAAACCTTCTTTTTCAAGCATTGAATCTTCATACACTCCTTTGACATCAAATATTGGATCCTCTCAAATGCATGCCAATCAAGCATCAAACTCAAAAACATTACAAAGAGCTTGTGGAATGTTAATTATCCAAGATAATCTATTGGATAAAAGCAGGCCAAAAAGTTGGAGCCCTGAGCAAGTTAAAGTGGTATTATTAGATGCTGAGCAAGGTGTTGGATTGGATGAAGAAGAGTCCCAAAACCTCAAATTGAAAGGACGTGACTTGGACAATATTATTGATGCTTTGATTAGTTTTAATGGTGACAAAGAAGCAAAGATTAGTCATGCCTTTGCACAACCACTTGAAATTAAGAGTCTTGCAGTTAAAAACATAATTGTTAGATGGGTTTTTAATAATTTACTTGAATACAAATAGTTGTTTCAAAGAGAGTTTGCCTTTGAATGATAACGAACTGGTGTATTAATCCAATTAATTTTAAAATTTATGCAGCATATCACTTTAACTCTTGTTAATTGGCATGGTATTTGGTAGATAGTATTAACAAATCCTTTTTTTATGACAACAATTTCTTGGAAAAACAGGAGGAATATAGTTTAATCTAATTTATTTCCCAGCTTAATAAGAGTTTCAATGACATCTTCATTCCAATCAACATTTCCATTCTCATCACTAAATAATCTCACTTCATTATTAGCCCATTCAGTGCTGTTCACATTCCCACCAATGGAAAGGTATTGATTGATGGAATCTGGAACGTTATTACCCATTCTCTGTCTATTGCTAAAGTTTAGAATTGTGAAATGACTTTGAGATTGATTGGAAACTCTTTCAAATTTAACATTCGAATGAGAATTGAGTGAGGAGAGTATTTTTTGAAAATGTACATCAAAAAATTCCTTCTCTGCAAGGTAATAGTACAGAATTGTAGAAGGTTTTGGATTTGGGACTTTCTGAGGAGGAGATGAATTTGTTTCGAATAACTTTGAAAAAACTTTCTTCTTCCTTAAAATAAACTTGTAAATAAGGAAAATTGTTAATAATCCACCTCCTGCAATCAAACAAGTCCAAATAACTCCATCTTGTTTCCTTGTTAATTCCACAATAGAAGTTACCCATTTCAATTCTACCATTTCCAGTTTAGTTTTCAAAGTTTCGATTAATTTTCCCTGAGTGGAAAGTTGTGACATTAAATCTTGAATTTTTTGATTGATAATTTCAACTTCACGCTGCAAATTTTCATACTTGATAGCGGCATCTAGATTAGTTTGAACAATAGACGAAGGATTATTCGAATTTTGTGAAATAACAGATTCCCCATAAGGATCTTGTCTCGTGGGTTGTGTAGCCAAAACTCCAAAACCAATTGAAGTTGAAATTGCTGCAATGGTAGCAAGAATTGTTTTGATCATTTTTTTAAAAGAAACTAAACTATAGTTTGTGGAAAACGTGATGCAAACAAATGAAGGTATTTATTGATCAAAGACCATTTTTGATCAAGAATTACAAAAACTGACTTTGGAATTCCATTGTAAAGTGTTGCAGGACGATTTCTATTGGTTGGATCAAAGAGAATCAAAAATTTACACACGTTTCGAATAAATCATTCGAAGTTGTTGGACTGATCAATTTCTCTAATACAAAAAACTAAATGAATTACCTTCTTCCTGCTCTTTTCAGTGTTGCATCTATTGCAGCTGGTTACATGTACAAAACCTATCAAACAGATAATCAAACTAAACAAGAAGAAACCAAACGTAAACCTGAATGGTCCGTATCCATTTCAAAAGTTTATGATTCCCTTGCAATGGTTGAGTTTCATCTCTCAGGAAACTTGGGTCAGGTTCCTTATCATGTTGCACTATTCACCAAGAATAATACGAAAATATTGGAAGCTTTCAATTCGAATATTCTCTTCCTTTCTTCCAACGACAAGTCAAAATTTAAGGAAGAAATTTATGCGACCATCAAGGATCAACAAGGAGTTGAATTCAAAACCAAGCTTTACTCCTTAGAAATCGAAAAGAATATTCCACTTTCGTCCAGAATTAAAACCCTTCAGCAATCATTCCTAAATTTACTAAAGGTTGAAGAAACTTTCAAATTTTTAACTTGTGGAGGTTGTGGTGAAGGAAAGTCAACTCTCCTCAAAGCAATTGTTGATTTACTTGAACAAAATTTGGGTTTCGTCTTGACAGAAGGAAAGAGAGAAATGATTAAATGTTACAAATCTGAACAAACTGTCACTACACAAATTTTCAATTTGAAGCTTTCAAAGGAAATTGATGGAAAGCACGTAGAAATTGAGATTATTGATTGTCCTGGATTTTGGAATCAATTGAGAGAACCTTTGAAATCAGATATTGAACCGGCAAAGAAAATTCTCGGAAGAATCTTTAAAGGAAAAGTCAGAAGTGGTATGGACAACAATGAAGTATTTATTTCAAATCCTAATCCAATTTCCAAACCAAACATTATTCTGTATTGTGCTAGTCATGACAAGATAACTACCTCACCTCCTGCACGAAACTTATTCTCAGAGTTGAATGAATACTCATGGAAGAAAGGCGTCCCAACTGTTTTGGTAGCAACAGCTCTCGATAATTCTTCCTCTTTCCTAAATAAGGAAAGAACATTGAAAGATTTCAAGAGTTTTGTTTTTGATGGTCATGTATTCGAAGAAATTGATCAAAGAGAAACAGATGTCTTGTTTGGCAATTATTCCAAACCTATCAAATCAGTTGAAAAGATGGATGTTAGCTTACTTCCCATTGTAAATTATTGTGAAAATAATCTTGCCTTTATTGATCAAGTTCCTTCAAGAAAAGAACTCTCCGATTTCCTATTGTATCAATTATTGGTTTTTATGATTAAAAGTAAGAGATTTTCAGTTTAAAATAAACATAAGATACAAAACTACCAAATTAATTTACCTTGTTTTTCAAATTTTGTAAAAAGACTACAGCACCACAGGTTCCCAAGTTGTCTCCAACCTCAGTACTGATGTGGCTCGACGATGCTTAACTTCTCAAATCGGACGGGATGAGGTGCATGAATCGTGATATGGCCGTAGCCATTCACTTCCTTAATACTTCCAATTTCTAGTAAATTAAGAGTTTTCAATATACGGCCAAACAAGTATTATGTAATACTAGAAAATGTCTAACCCTTTCACATCAAGAGCTAGTGCCACCACTGAAGAACAAGCATCTACTCCCTCAACACTTTGTATTCAATGGCAGTTAGAGAAAGAAGAGAATTAAAGAAGGTTGCTGTATTAGTATTAGTAGGAGGACGGAGAGTAATTTTCCTCTTCAACAAAAAGAGAAACATTGAAAATGTGAACCACTGTTTGGAAGTTTGAAAAATTCCATTATGGAATGTTTGCGCTCCTCAAGCTTGGAATAACAATGTATGTCCATGCACTCTTTGTCAATCCCGATGGTGTGTCTTAGGGCGTACAAATTTTTCCTCACTCACTGCGTACTATCTCTCTATTTTAATTTAAATGGCCAGTAAATGAATATTTCTAATGCTCACATTATTGAGGGAGATGTTGTAACTTCAAGTGTTGAAGATTTGGCTCAATTATTCAAAGGAATTGAAGTCATTGTAAGCGCACTTTCTGGAGATCAGTCAATTGTTTATGATGGTCAACTGAAATTATTGAATGCTGCCAAGTTGAGTGGTGTTAAAAAGTTTGTTCCTTCAAGTTACGGTTTCAATTTCCAAGATTATTTGCAATTAGGTGATAGTTTCCTCATCGATCCAAAGAAGAAATTGATTAGTGATTTGCAATCTCAAAACCAAGTTGACTATCTATTGATTCACAATGGATTATTCTATAGTTATGCTTTCTTTCCAAGTTTCTTATTCCAAAAGGAGAATGACACTGTTAAATACTATGGAGATTTGAATGTCAGAATCCAATTGACTGACACTTCAGATATTGCCAAGTATGTTGTCGAAGCATCTTTGAATCCACAATTAAAGAACAAATCAATAAACGTTGCTGGTGATGAAAAGACCTTAGAAGAATTAGCTCACTTGAGTTTCCCTCAAACTCAACTCGAATTTGAAAAGTTGGGATCCGCCCAAGATTTGAAGAATCACATCCAGAAAGAAATTCAACAAGGATTGAAACCAGAACAAATTGGTCCAATTATATATCAACAATTGCAATGGATTGCAATTTCAGGAGTTGCACATCCACCAAAAACTGATAACGACCTCTTCAATGTTAAACCACTTTCATTGAATGATTATGTAAAAAATCAAAAATAATAAACCTAATCTGTAATATTAAATCCCAATAAAAAACAAAAATTGATTACACGTGTTGTTCTGATGAGAAGATTAATTTATGTTGATCAAGAAGCCGACATAGCTCAGTTGGGAGAGCGTAAGACTGAAGATCTTAAGGTCCCTGGTTCGATCCCTGGTGTCGGCAAATTTTATATTATTTTATTTAAATTAAGGATCTTTGATACAGATGATGAAAAGCGAACATAGGTAATTTTGGACCAAACAAATTTTCAAAATTAAAAAATACCAACATATAAATGTCACATCATAATGATGAAGAACCTCAACCAGTGATCATTGATATCGGTTCTGGAGTATCAAAAGCTGGTTTTGGAGGTGACGATGCTCCGAGATGTGTTTTGCCATCAATTATTGGAAAACCAAAACAAAATTCCAAACTTTCTTCTCTCTTAGGTCAACGGAGTGTATTTGTTGGTGATGAAGCTCAATCAAAGAGAGGACTGTTGGATTTATCAAATCCTATTGAACGTGGTTTAGTTTCGAATTGGGAAGATATGGAAAAATTGTGGCATTTCATATTTTACAATGAATTGAGTATTGCTCCGGAGCATCATCCCATCATGTTGACTGAATCACCATTGAATCCGAAAGCAAATCGAGAAAAGATGACACGAATCATGTTCGAAACCTTTGGAGTTCCAGCCATGTATGTTGCTAATCATTCAGTGCTGGCTCTGTATGCATCTGGGAGGACAACTGGTCTTGTGGTGGATTCAGGAGATGGCATGACACTTACAGTTCCTGTTTATGAAGGGTATCCTAATACAGCACTTTCGTATATGGATTTGGCTGGTAGCGATTTGACTCAATATTTAATGACCTTGTTGAAAGATTTGGAATATTCACCCTTTACTAAAAAGGAAATTGTTAGAGATATTAAGGAGAAACTCTGCCATGTGGCATATGATTATGAAAATGAAAAAGTGGTGGAACAGAATTATGAACTACCCGATGGGAATGTAATTAATATTGGAAAGGAATTATTCACTTGTCCAGAAGCACTTTTTCAAACAAATTTAATTGGAAAGGATTCTCTAGGAATTCATGAGAAGGCCGTTCACTCTGTCGTTAAATGTGATGTCGAAATGAGAAGGAATTTGTATGGGAGTATTGTTCTTTCTGGTGGAAATACCATGTTGAAAGGATTGGAAAGGAGATTGAAAAAGGAAATTGTAGAGCTAGCTCCCTCAACATTTCATGTCAATATCATTACTCCACCTGAGAGAAAATATTCAGTTTGGATTGGAGGATCAATACTTTCAACACTTGGAATGTTTCAACAACATTGGATAACAAAGGAGGAATATGAAGAAACTGGACCTCGAATTGTTCAGGGAAGATATTTCTAGAAATTGTAATCTTATGTTTATGTATATATTCATGAAATAGATTATTTGGATAAGATTTTGTTTACAACTTTCAAATAATTATTTTCTCATTTCTTTTTCTATTAGAAAGGAATTCAAATATTTCAAACATTCCGAAAGAGAAATATTAATGCAAAACCTGTGGAATTTCGGAATTAAACACTAGCTTACAAACAAGATTCCGAAGACGTTACAATTTTGCAAAAATATTAATAGAATTTGACAGGCTTGAAATTTGACAGTTTCAACAATTCTCCAAAAAAAAATGAGTAACGTCGACAAGAGAAGCTCTGCAGCAAAAAACAACGAAGTCAGATTCACATCTAGTGGTTCCGTTGACAAAAGATCAGCTGCTGTTAAAAGTGGTGATGTTCTTCTCACCAAAAATGGAAATGTTGATAAAAGATCGGCTGCTGTAAAGAGAGGAGATGTAAAAACCAAATGAAAATTCTATTTTGATTAATATCGTTCGTGCTTGTGATGATTAATAAATGTAAATTAGTATAAAAGTTGTGAATTTTCTCTTTCAGAATAGTTGATATTTCCTTTTCATCCTCATAAACCAACCGAAATCAACAACAAACATTTATAACAATGCTTGTTCTCAAGTGGTAAGCACCTCTTGTTTATCTCATTTTCAAACTGTACGAAAGTTAAAGAGAGGATTCCCACTCTTCATTTGACAACTTGAAACTACTAGCACTTTTAAGAACAAGAATATAAAAAGCACGATGTATATCAGATTAATTCAGTTTCAATATTGTCTCTATTTTTCAACATACCTTAACCAGAAATTCAACTCTTTATAGTTTCTTTGATTGTAACAATCTGAAACTTGTCTTGTGCCTTTAATAATCGTTGAATAGAGTCATTGTAAACTCAATATGGACTTTTTTTGTAACCAACTGTAGTACTTCTTTACAGTCCTTTCGTTCTTTAAACATTGGAATTTTTTTCATTCCAAGATATTCCACATCTTTGTGCACAATCCAACCATTGAAGTTCTTTCATTCTGTTCTTGTTCAATTATCCGCACCGATTAACAAAGACCAAATGTACAATGTCCAAAATCTGTGGCTACTCTCTTTATGGAAAATCATTCATCTTCAATCATACCATAAAAATCAATATACTAATCAAACTATTCTTTTCAAACATTTAAATACTGAAACATGTTTCACTTCTCAAACACAATCAAAAAAACAAAAAATGAAAAGATTCGTTTCAATCTTATTGATTGCCTTGACTTTGGCAATTCTTGCACTTTCGTTCACTTCTGGAGTTTCTGCAGAAGAATCAACTGCTGCCTCAACACTTTCCTTATACATTAGAAAGAATAACAAGAAGAGAAATCTCAAGAAATACAGACTCAAGAAGAGAAAGAACAATAGAAAGCTCAACAAGTACATTGACACCTATGGAAGAAAGAGAAGAGGATGGAAGAGATATGGAAAGAAGAGAATTATCAGAAAGAAGATTGATGTTTATGGAAAGAAGAGAAGATTTAATAAGAAGAGAAGAATTGACACTTACAGAAAGAAGAATAGAAAGAATAGAAAGAATAGAAGAGGTGGCAAGAAGAATAAGAAAGTTGATATTTACAAGCGTAAATAATTGAAACAGAAATCAATTTCTTTAAAAAGGCTAAATTTTTGAAACAATTTTGCTTTTAATTATTATTTAACATTAGAATAAAGTGTGAGTCTCCATAAAATTAAGTTTGTTATTTCATTTGTAAAACAATTAAGACGGGAAGCCTGCCAGGAATATGGCGACTATCCCGCTACAGTCTTTGACTGTATGAACAGTGAAGGCAACGAATCTATTGATTGTTGGTTCAGTAAGTTTGTTGTTTAGAAAAGCTTGCTACGTGACCATCTATATATCACCTTTGAATTTTATCTATTTAGAAATAGAAACTTGTGGTTGATCAATAAACCTTCAAATTTCGAGTTTGAGTCTTCAAATATTGTTACAGTATTCACAGATTCAAAAAAGACTACAGCACCACAGGTTCCCAAGTTGTCTCCAACCTCAGTACTGATGTGGCTCGACGATGCTTAACTTCTCAAATCGGACGGGATGAGGTGCATTCATCGTGATATGGCCGTAGCCATTACTTAATGTAAATTAAGGTTTTTCAACCTTCATCGTGATATAACCGTTCCTTAATACGTGAAATCCTCCCTTGACTTTATGGTTTACTAGAAACATTTCCTATGAACAATTGCACTACCAACATCTGCATATTCCTGTGCTGTTATGCAAGTTGATTGGAAAGTTGGCAATTGGGAGAAAATACTGCCACCAATCCATGTACTGTACTTTCTTTCTGGTGGTGCTGTTATTCGAATTTTCATTGTGGAGGGAGATATTTCTCTCAACTCATTATTCAATCGTTCAACAATTCCATTAAACAATGTCGATCCTCCTGAAAGAACAATATTCGAATACAATTCCTTTCTAATATCCAAATCTGACTTTCTAATAGAAGTGAAAATATTTTCATGAATTCCAGCAACCTCCATTCCAATAAGATTTGGTTGAAATAATATCTCAGTAGTTTTGAATCTTTCCCTTCCAAGTGAAATTACATTTCCATCTGGTAATTCATATAAACTTTCTTTCGCTGTTTCTTCCACAAAATTACTGGCAACATAACCAGTTTTTTCCTTCATATCCATGACTATTGCAGTTTCGCCCATGGTGTTGAAATTATATCCTCGTTCCATTAACATTTTCTTCAAATAATCTGTCAGGTCTTTGCCTCCTAATTCCAATCTATTGGTGGCATGTGATAGGGCATATCCTTCATAAATAGGTACTGAATTAGTGACGCCATCTCCTGATCCCAATACTACACCTGTCATTCTACCACTTGCAAATATTGACATGGCACATTGATTTGCCAAACACAAACCTTGCACCTTAAAACTTTCAAACATGATTTGTGCCATTTTCGCTTTCGTTTCCTTTGAATTTAATGGCATTCCCATCAATAATACTTCATGTTCTTCAGGAGCAACTCTTAACTCATTATAAAATGTATGATGCCATATCTTTTCCATATGATACCAATCAGTAATCAATCCACGATCAATTGGATATTTGTAAACATTAATACCCCTCCTACACAATGCATTATCTCCAACGTATGTTGTGATAGAGCCCATTGAAAGGAGGATGGGTGCTACTTTTTGTTGTGAAGTTACTGTGGGAAAGACTGCAAGTGGAGCTTCATCACCAGAAAAACCAGCTTTCATTAGAGAGGAACCATTATCAATGATGAGTGGTGGATTTTCATCAGTCATTTTTTTTGTAAGTTTTAATTTGGAACAATAATTTACGATTAGTCTATTACTTTGAGTTTATTAATGTTAATATCAATATTTTCAAAATTACAGGTTAAATTACTAACCTTAACATTATTAAACTCAAAGTTTTGGTGCTGTAAATAATAAATAAATTATTTATTTAAAAAATGTTTGTTTGTCTTTGATTGATTGAATCTACTTGTGGTGAAATCATGGTCACCTTATTTACAGTATTGGTTGTTGGGGTAGTATTTGAAGATGGGAGTGTTTTGAGCTTGTTTGTGGATTCTTCAATTGTTGGTCTATAACAGAAGCACATAGTTTGGAATGGATACAACAAGTCATTATCACAGATGAACTTGTTAATCTTGTCGAGATCAGTAGAATCTTTAACTTCTAAATGGAAACTCAGACAAGAGGAAAGGTATCTGTGGTTGTTAATTCTTGCCCAGTTACCATTAGCATCACCAAACTCAATTAATGGTGATGTATTTAATGTGATTTCTGCTTTGAGTTGTGGCTTGATCAAGATTAGGAAAGCAATATGTTTGTAATCAATAGAAACTCTGATTTGGTTACCGTCTCCATTGTCAATTGACAAAACCAACTTATCCTTCTTGAGTTGAATATCGAATGACAAGTTATTATTTTCACCTTCAAGAGAGCTAATGGTCTTTCCGTTGAATTCACCAGAACGTAAAGTGATATTCTTGAGTTGATGAATTCTATATTCTGAGAGACGAGCTTGACAATATTCAGCAGCTGATTCAAAGACTGAAATGAGTTGCATAACAGAATCATCCATTTCCATGCTCTTAGCAAGATCTAGAGGTGTTTCACCTTCATTGTTCTTAGAGGTTAAAAGTTCATAAATATTGTTGGTATTAGTTCTGTACTTGTCGTCATGCTTTAACAAGACACCAAGAACATTTTGAACATGTTCAACAGTAGCATATCTACAAGCAATATGAAGCAAGTTATCGCCAACTTCATCAGTTTCAGAAATGTCAGCACCATTATTAATCAGGTAGAGACAGACAAGATCTGATGAGGCAAAACTGGCCCAATGTAAAGCAGTCCTGCCATAATTATCTTTGGCATCAATGTCAACAACAGATTCTGTAACCAAATATTGAGAGAGTTCGAACAAGCCACGAGCGCTAGCATGGTGCAAAACAGTGAAACCACATTCATCTGTAACCTTACCAGAATAGAACATGGTTTGATCGTAACACTTGTTGGAGAACGAAGAAGCATCTGCATTAAAGTTATTTAAAGCATTTTGATTACCAATCATGTGTTGAATCATGAGTTGCAAATCATAGGTATTGGTTGGGTCAATGTATTGGAACTTGGCTTCACCACCAATGAGGCTTTCTCCAAACATGACAGAAACATCAACGATGCCTGCCTTTTCACTTTCAGGAGTCTCGCAAACAATGTAATTTCTCTTAATGGTGTGGATTTCTCTGGCATCCTTGTCTCCAAATCTGACAACACATTTGGAGAGTGGTGTAGAAACAAAACCAGAACCCATAACCTTAACCAAAGCACCACCAGAAGTAAAACCAAAGGCAGGAGAAACATGTTCAATGGTTGCTTCATCTGTTTCGTCTTCTTCAGTATCAGAATTTCTCTTTCTCTTATCCTTAGTCTTTCTTCTTTCCTTCTTCTTTTCAATACCTCTCTTTGTAATTGTTTCAAATCCATAAGATTCAATACTACAGACAACTCGCTTTTCAGCATCAAGTAATTCAAACTTGATTCTGAGTTTTTGTCCATTGTTATGTGAGGCAAATTGAATGACAATATCATCAAAGATTGCAACCCATCGCTCAACTGGATGAGATGAAGCTTTAACGAATGGCTTCTCTCCCAAAACTGCTAGGGCTGTATTCTTTCTGGTTGACTTGTCAATACCCATAACTGAAGGTCTAACAGAAATTACAGCTGGGTTACTATCTTGTGGGAGTTTTGTTACATCCAATTCAATAACTTGTCTTGGCAATGGATGTCTTGTATTGTCTCGACCACCAATTTGCTTTTCAGTTACTGGCTTATTAAAACCTTCAACTAATTTAATCAGATCTGGAATTTGAATACCTTGGAAAGTAAATCCATTGAGAGCAGATGGACTTGGTGTAATTGTAGAACCAGGTGATAATGTAGAACCAGAAAGTGGTGAATGTGGACGAGGATATCCCTTTAAATTTGGTAAACTATTCAACACTGTCACTGTATCAGAAAATTGATTAGAAGCTGGTTTAAGTGGTTGAGCACTATTCTGTTCACTAACAAACGGAACACCCTGATTGAAAATACCATAACCCTTTGGATAGGAGTTTGTTTGTGGATTTGTGGTTGCTTGCATATAGCTGTAACCTTGTGGAGCCTGTAAATATCCGCCATTATTAATAAATTCGAGGAGGTTATTGTCATCAACAATTGGCATTACGTTAATATTCATGTGTGGTTGTTGTTGGATATTGTTATTTGGAGTGGTGGCAAATACTTGTTGATCATTGACATCAAATTCAGGAAGGAATGTATCATAGTCAGCAATATTATTGGTAGTATGAGGTTGTTGTTGGTGGAAGTTATTTGGATAGTGATGATGATGGTGGTGTTGATTCGTTATCTGTTGTTGTTGTTGGTGGTCAGCAGAAAATTGTCTTCGGGTATTGTTATTATTATACATGTTGTTACTATTATTATCAGAGAGGGAATTAAATTGGTGGTTAATAATATTCATATCAAAAGATGTAGATGGTTGTTGGATAAACTTAAATATTTCGTCAAGATCAACCGAATCAGAATTTAGATTTGTGTTAGTAGTAATAGGATTTGATGTTAGAACTGTAGGCTGTTGTTGTTGAGGTTGAGATTGTACAACACTGTTTGAATTATTAGGAGTAGTCGTAGATGAATTTCCCAATGTTGCCTGCTGCAGAATATCAACAAAAGGGAAGGTATGCGTTTGTTCTTTTTGCATTGTTTTGTAGAGTGTTGCAAGTCAATGAAAGGAGGAACAGAAAGGAACTCTCTTGGAAGATGAAGTCTTGTTTAATTTTTGTTCGTGTAATGTTCTCTAATTTCGTTGGAACTGTGTCCGGATGTTACACAGGATCTTCTTAATTGAAAATTTTTAAAATATTATTTTTAATGTTATGTGATGATGAATTTGTGTGATGATGGATTGTTTGACGTGAGGAGAGAAGTGGTTGACTAAATTGATAAACTCATTTCTCTTAATAGATTTGGTTTTATTTACGAAGTTTTAGATTTCTTCTTCTGCTGCTCTTCTATTTACATAACCTCCAATTATTTTAAATGCTTGAACACTGATATTCTTGACAGCTGTTGAGGTTTTTGCTGTTGCTCTTGATTTACATGTGTATCTGTCGTCGAATGAGGTGTTGAATGGTTTTTGCATTGTTGAGGCATTATTGCTGTGTCTATCAATAATTGTTCTGTAGAATGTTTCCTCTTCTTTGATAAGTCTATTTTGCATTTCATTTACAATATCCTTCTTACCAGAGGCAATATTGTTTTCTCTTTCCTCTTTTTCTTTGAATTTTTCTGAAATTAATTCTCTATCTGGAGTTGTTGGTCGAATATTTTCTTGTTCAAGCTCCATACAGATATCTTCCCATGCCTTATCGTTCAGTAACTTGTCGTAATGTTGAATTTTTACAAGCTCCATACTGTCATCATCCGAAAGAGCAGATGAATCAATTCTATTTCCAATTATATTAAGGACATGGTAAATCTTTCTTTGCAGATCATAATCTTTTGGATCAACTTCCATATTTTCTAAGAAAAATCTATCTTTAACTGATTTAGCACTTTCGTTTTCTTTCCACAATTTGATAAGATATGTGACTACATTTTCCTTATTTCTTCCCTTCCAAGTTAATACTTCATCCACTGCTTGCATTGAACAATTCATAAAGTCTGCTAAACAACCCAAAATAGAGAGCTTAATCCAGTCATTTACAAGAGTAAGTAAGGTCAATAAGTAGTGAATTCCATCACCATCAATAAATATTTTTTCACTCTCTTCTGTTCCAACAACGCAAGACCATACACAATCCACACTATTGAAAATGAACTCATCTGAACATATTCGTTATACAAAATAAGTTCATTCAATGTTACTTACCCTTTTCCACCTGGTTATAATCTTTCACACAACTCTCTAAAAGTACTAGAGATTTTGTAACACCTCCATTAAATTTGAAAGCTTCTCTGGATTCTATTACATGTGAGCATACGTTAGAAACAATTCTGATGGCATCAGTTCTTGAATTTAACGAAACTCCTGTATCCACACATGCATCAAGCATTATTGGAATGACATCTGCATTAAAAAGGTCGACAGACCCAATTACTGTTGTCGAAATGTTCATAATTGTATTGTAGCATCCTCCCAAAATTGTTTCATCTTTTGTAGTTTGTAAAACCTCCAAGCAGATTCTTGAACCTTGCTCCTTAGAAAATTCCTCAGGTACTCGTACGCTCAACATGAACAATACTTTGAGAGCGATGATTTTAAGCTCCCATTTTTGATTCTCATTCCATTTGTTCATTATTGTTCCATTCTCGTTTATAGTTTCCAATAAGAGTAGAGTAAATCCCAACTCAACAATCAAAGGAAGGCAGCTATCAGAGAAAGTGAGGTAGAACAAAATTGTCCATGATAGCTTTTTCATTTCAAAATCTTCATTGGAAGTTGATGATAAAGAATATTGTACAGTAACTGCATCTGGATATAAGTCTAATCCAATAGATACAGCAGCAAGATATTCTAAAAGTCCACAATCCTTCAAGATTGTTTGGTTTTCAGGTTCTCGGGCAAGGAAGGAAAATAGAATCAAAATATCATTTCTTAATTCTTTGTCCTTTGTTCTGAATCCCTTGCAATTAATTTCTTGAATGATATTGAAGAGAGATGTCACACAAGAAATATCTCCCAAGTAAAGAGTGGATTTTGGAAATACTTCTACAACATTCCACAAAGTATCTACAACTTTGAATACAATCATATCATTGAATTCGGATGCATTCAGCACATTGACTAAAATATTTAAACCTCCTTCTCTTGTCAAAATTTCAGAAAATTCTGAATACTTGGAAAGACACATAATGACTGTCATCGTCTCCAAAAATATTTCAGTGTCAACTTTTTCCTTTTCATTTGTCAAATTAACAATTGCATTAAGAGCATCCCTCAGAATATCAGAATTTTTAACTGCTTTCTGTAAATACTCAATATCAAATGATTTTTCAATTAAATCACTCAAACACTGAAAATATTAAGTCATTCAGTAAAATATTTATGCTGCTTACCTTAGCAACTGTAACTTGAATTGGTTTAGCAATAGCCACAGTCAATCTCATAATTTTTCCAAGAGAATTTACAATTGAAAGATAGGAATCTGCTTTAATTAAAGAATCACTAGCTTTTCGTTCTCTCAATGGAATGAAGCATAATGAAACAAAAGCATCCAATAATTTGATACAATTTTCTTTTGCCTCTAATGGCTTCTCTCCTTCAAGAATGATATCAACACAATAATTTACAAGAAATGTGACATCATCTTTCTCGTCCACATAAAATCCTAATTCCCTGTTTGCCAAAACCTTTTGAAATTCGGCATAATGTCTATCATATAAATCGAATGAATACTTGTCATTAATTAAACTAATAACTTTTTGAAATGTATAATCGGAAGGTGATTTGATCGATGTTGTTGTATTCAATACTTCCTTAGAAAAAGAACTTCTTGTTGTTGATTGTAAATCCTCTCGTAAACTATTTGTTGATGTAAAAGAAGCATTCATTATTGTGCTCTTTTGTATTGGATTTTTAGTTCTCGATGATGAGATGGAATTGATTTTCCTTGGTGGAACAATAGGCTCATCAATTCCGTGTATGATTTGTGTTTGTCCTTTTACTCTATCTTTCGATTCCCCTGAAAATAAAACATCAAGGGGTCTATTTTGTATACTCCTGTTCATTCTTAAATATTTTAAAGTTACAGAGAGAAGTGATAATTAAATTCTTCCAGTGGTCAAGAGCTGCTTAATGATGGCTGTAGATTTGTTTTTTTGAAATTTTTCCCGCCAAATAATCGCCTTTGTTTGAAAAAGAACGTTACAGAGTAAATAACCAATTTTTAAAATCATCATCATTAGAAGAGACAAACAACAACTTTAAAGTTCGTTTCGAAAGGGCAAAAGATAAAAAATGCCTGTAAGGTATCATATTGTATCTCCCACAGCAGCAGCCTCATCTTCCTTAGATGCTGGAGGAGAGAGTACTTCCTATTCAGAGGAGAATGATCAGAAACGTCTAAAAGTTAGAACAAGTAAAGAAGGGAGAAGAAAAGCAACGGTAAAGGAGGTTTTATCAGAGTAGGTGTCGGAAGAGATTTATTAATTTCATAACATTGATCATATTAGATTTGAAGCATTAAGACAGGAAAATGGAGTACTAAAAGAAAAGATTGAAGAACAGACAAGTGCTCTCGATTTTCTTCGTAAATCAGGAGAACAACGAGAATCGTTAATTGAGGAATTGAGGAAGGAAATTAAAAAGCTTAGGGTAACAGCAAAGCAAGAATTTGATATGTTTGCAGAAGAAATGAAAACTAAAAGCATGGAGGATGAATTTAAAATTAAAACATTATCAATTGAAAAATCGAGAATGGAGAGCGAAATGCATATCTATAAATTTTATGAGCAGGAAAATGCTGAGCTCAGATCAATAGTGAAGAGTTTACACGCTCAATTAGAGAAACTATCTCATGTAAAAACATTGGAATCTCAAACATCTGCTGTAGAATTGGAAAAATTTAGGAAACAAATTGAATCGGAATATCAGAAGAAATTCGAAGAATCAGTTAGTAGACAAGAACCAGTAACAAAGAATGATGGCGTGTGGGATGCTATAGTTCGAAGTGGCCTCTTTAAGGAGGTCATGGTAAATAGACCTCCTTCTGATATCAATGTGTTTTTGGAACAAATCAGAAGCATACTTTCTCAAAATGAAAAATTGAAAAGGGATAAGCAAGTAAGAGATGAAGATCTAATCAAGAGAGAAAATTTAATTAGAGAAATGCAGATAAAACAACTCTCAGATCAAGAAAAGATACGATTGCTAGAAGAGGATGTCTATGATTCTAAAAATGCTTCTGCAGACAATGATGTGTTACATACAGAGCTCGATGTTATGGCCAATGAGTTAACAAGATTGACAGAAAGATACAAGACATCCATGTCAGAAATGGAAAAGTGGAGAGGAAGGGCTCTTGCATTAAAACATGTTGATATTGACCTGACTCCAAGAAAGCTCAGTAAGTTACTCGATGCAAAAGAAGAGATGATTCAAAGTGCCAGAAATACTGTTAAGAATATCAAGAAAAATGTGGATGAAGAGGTTGAAAAACCAGCAATATCTGTTTTGCAAGCTCTTTCAATGTGGAATACTAACTTTTCCAATGTAAATACTTCAGAAATGCAACAAGACCAGCCTCAACTTCATTCTCAATCACTTCCCGAATCTTTTAGAGAAGAGGAATTTTCAGAGCCAGTCATATTTGAACCACTACAAAAGAGAGCAGTAACCTCAAAGGAAAAATCGGCAAGGGACAGAACTTGTAAAATTGTTTATCCTAACGAACACTCCCAAAGTCATAGCTTACTATCCCTCAAACCAAAAAAGAAGAAATCTTTCGAAGAAGAGTTTGCTGAGGCTAACAAATCACTGTCTGTAATGTCAAAACAAAAGAAGAAAGGTCAATTGCCAAGCCATTTGGTTTCACTCTACAAGTCATTTGGAGGTTCAAACACTTCTGCTGACAGTAGCAAGAATGGGTCAAGATTTTTGGTGCCTTAAACTTGTTTTACAAAGTAATCAAAGGACAATCAAGTTGAAACGAGTATTGAATTTTCTGGGTCAGAGAACTGCAACCAAATGATAAGATTTAGTACATTACTATCTCGTAACAATCGTATTGAAGTTCAATAATTATGAGCACACAGTAAATAATCCATAGGGTTTATTCTTCATTGTAAACATTTTCCAATATTGGGACAAGGTCAGCCACCTTTTCTTGTATTTCTGTTAAATCGTCTGATTTGGCAGCCAATTTTCTCAACTCGAACCTTTTAAGTAACTCTTCTGCAAATTTCTTAGCTAGTGGTTTTTGTGCCGAATCCACAAGTTGAGCAAATGAAAACTCATAAATGTCATAGATTTTTTGAAGTGCAAGCTCCAAAACGCCAGTCATATAGCTCGGTATTGCTGGGCAGAAGATAGCAATTCTAATGACAGAAAAGACTGTACCTTTAGTCTGATTCAAAATATCCAAACATTTAGCAGCAGGGAATAATCTAGAAGCAGAAGGCTTCTTATTTTCTAAAACATTAAGAAGCTATTAAATGTTAATAACATGAATGAAAATATAAACAAACCTCAGAGTTAAGAATTTCAGTATTCAAAAGCTTGGTAAAATCTGGATTGGCAACGGTTTTCATCAAATCACGAATGACTACAGCAATATCAAAACCTTGAATTTTTTGGAGTAATTTTGTACAGACAATGAAAAACTTGTCATACTGTTGCTGGCACAGAAGAGCATTAAGATAGGTTCTCAAAACCGAGGCAGAAATGATGTCAAGATAGGTATCTCCTACATAGTTGATAATCATCTTGGAGCTATCTGAATATCCCCACAAAGCTCCAATAACATCTTTTTGCAATTTCAATTGTTCGATTATGTACTCTTGATTTTGGAAAGCTTTAGCTAAACTTCTGTAGCCACTTTCTCTCAGAGATTGATTGTGAGATACTTCGTATATGGATGGATTGATAATTTCCTTGACAATCTTTTGATATTCTTCAAATTGATCTTTAAGAATATAAGCAATTTCAATAGCAAGTGACATTCCCTTCTTGTAATCATGTGCAAGGTAAAGTTTGATAACATCTCTAATGGTACCAAGTTCTATTCTTTGAGTATCAGACTTTAACAATTCTAACAACTTGCTTTCTAAAGAAACTATTTCACTAAATTCTTTTCTTTGTACAAATCTCAATATTTTACAATTCAAAATCAAGTCATCAATTCTCTTCTCGTCTGGCTTTTTAGCAAGTGAAAAGTTTGGTGGAATATGGTAAGAGTAATCTTCAAGTTCTTTCTTAAATCTTGCCTTTGGATTGGTGTTTGCCTTTTCAGTTCCTGTATTAATTTTTGGTTTACAGAGTTCGAGCAATTTGAGAGCCTTCTCGAGTTTGTTTTGATTTTTAAGTTTGGTAGCAATTTGCTCCACATCACTGAAAGCTTGTGTCAAATTTCTATGGAAAATATTTGTTTCAACATTTTCAATATTGTCTTTTTCGCTATCTTTCTTTCCACTAGATTCTGATCCTTCTTCAAAGAATCTATGTTGTACAAGTGGATCTAATACTTGAGAGCCCACTGATATGGCCAATAATTCACCACTAGCAGAGTTGGCAAACAATTGATTTGGTGTTACATTTGAAAAGCTAAGACCTAAAATTGAATCACTAAAGAAGCCCTTATCTAATGTTGTCAGAACATGATGAGGCTCTGTTCTTAAACTCCACAACTTTACAGAATGATCTACACCACCACTGGCGAGAACTTCAACATGTGAACGAGACCAAGATATCTTCTTGACTACATTGTTATGTCCTTCCAAAATTTTAATTGGTTCTGCAGCATATCTTTGATCCCACACATAAATGAGTCCATCAGTTGAGCAGCTGGCAAACCAGTAAGGAAGAAGAGGACTCCACTGTACATCAGTAATTGCATCACAATGAGAAAATTGGATGTTGGCATTTGCAATTCCCATACTTCTTGTATCTATCAACTTGACAGCTTTACTGACACCACCAATGAGAATTAAATTAGAGTTAAAACTAGACCATGAACTGCACCATAAAGGACTTCTAGAGCCTTGAATAGTTTGGATTGGAGCATCATCCTTTTCAAAAGACCAAATGTGAAGTCTATTATTTTCCAATGTGTGAAAATTCTTTGGATTTTCTGATCTTTCTATTTGTACATTATTAATTTTAGTGCTGAATGTGTATTGTTCTGGAGAAGGAGTTGTGAGAATAGATGATTGATCTGATTTCTTTAATTTTGAATGAGAAAATGTCTGACATTTAACAATACTATTTGGAGAATCATCAAGAAGACAATTATTCTTTTCACTAGCAACATCCATAGTTTTTACATAACACTCTCCATTAGAACTTCCAATAAGAAGATATTGATTTAACATATCCATACAGTGAATAGGTCCAGGAAATTTCCCACTAAATTGTGGTGAAAATATATTAGTATTTGGTATTGGTGAATCCTTTTTATCCAAAACTGTTGTTGTGTTTGTAAATTGTTTAGCATCACTCCTTGATTTTTGAATTACTTTAATAGTTTGAAATCTTCCTCCAACACCAGCCTGTACAATATAATTTTGTTGATTATTTACACAAATACAAGAACTATCCTCAATAGTAATATCGGAACGTAGGAGTGATTTTGTTACATTTTGTCCACCATCATGAAGTCCGGAAAGAGATCGAGCATTTCTCCAACTCTTATCAGCAACTTTTACATTACCCACTAGGTGAGAGGATGGCAATTTGAAATTATTTTGTGATGAGTTGAAACCCATGCCCAAGACGGTGGGCGATTTTACATCAGACATTTTTTTTTAATATTTTACTATTAAATATTATATTATTTTAATACTATTAAATATTTAATAAATATTAAAATCAATTTTGATGAACATTTTGAATAGTGTTGATGAAAATATTAATAATTTAATTAAATATATTTAAATTAATTTAATAATTAAAAAAAATAAGGGAGGAAAGGCTAAATGATGACTGTTAGTAAAAGGTATGATCTAAACTTGTACGGATTGTGGATGATGATGAATCGGGATTGTTGTTATTCTCCATATTGATCCCTTATTGTGATGAGCACGAATATACAAACATTTGTATCTCGAATAGATTTCTCCTCTCTTTTCATACTTTTAGGGTGAGAGTATCAAGCAACATCAATATTCTCTACCAAAGGGGTGTGATATAGAAACTTTGTGTGTTGTTTCTTGTTGCCTTTCCAAAGTAAAACAGGATTGGCAATGGGAAATAATTGCAATGAGGTTTACGATTTGTATGGATGAAATAGCAACAAGCCTTGTTCAGTAATCCTTCACAAAAACCGTACACTATTTTCCATCATGAATTCAAAATACTCTGATGCCATTCATCACAAGCCTCCTTTTTATTATTTTAATATTATTATTAACATATTATTATTATTTATAAATAAATTTATTAATTGTTCATGAAACATTTACAATTTCTTTAATATCTTTAATCATCCTTCATCAAATATTCTTCTTATGTATTCATAAATTGTTCAATTATCAAATTTTCAGCAATAATTTTGAATTTGAAAAAAAAATGCCAAAGGAAACCAAACAAGCCAAGACAGTCAAAAAGTTGATTCAACAAAGAGCAACAAAACCATTGCACAGAGAATATTTGGAACATGAACAATTGGATGAAGAACAACAAAATGCTCCACAAGGAAGAAGAGCTCTTAAAAAACTTCAAAAGAAAATGAAAGTTAATATTAGTGGTGATGATTATAATGATGGAGAGGAAGAAGAAGAAGAATTTCTTGATGCAAAGACAACAAAAAGAATTGAATCAGCAGTTAAGAGACAACAAGTAGAATTGGAAATGGATGACGATGATGAACCAATTAGTAGTGTTTTAGATATTCCAACATCAGGAAATGAAAAGAAAAAATCAACTTCGGAATATGTTGAAATTGAATTGGAAGAAGAGGATGAAAACGCTTTGAACTTCTTTTTAGGTACAGAAGAAGAAGAAAATAGACAACCAATCAATATTTCTGAAATGATTATTCAAAAAATCAAAGAAAAGGAAGTTTCACAACATGGCCATGTTGATCCAACAATGGTTTCAACTCTTTCATTTGATGAAAAGGCCTTGGAAGAAAAGCTTCACAAGAAGGTTGTTACTTCCTATAGAGCTTTGGGAACAATTTTGAAAAAGTATAGATCTGGTAAACTTCCAAAAGTTTTTGCCATTATTCCAACTCTTTCAAATTGGGAAGAAATCCTTTATTTAACTCAACCAGATAAGTGGTCTACACAAGCTGTATACAAAGCAACTAAATTATTTGTCTCTCAAGGTAATGATTCAATTTCTCAAAGATTTTTGAACATGATTTTATTGCCAAGAGTTAGAAATGATATTCTCACTTCCAATAAGAAAAAGTCCCCAATCAATTCTCAATTCACTTCCCGTAAACACTTAAAGTTAAATCACCACTTGTATCAATCAATTATTAAGGCAACGTGGAGACCAGCTGCTTTATTTAAAGGTTTCATTATTCCACTTTGTGAAGATGGTCAATGTACTGTTAAAGAAGCCCACATTATTGGAGGTATTTTGAAAAAGATGACCATTCCAGTTATGCATTCTGCTGCTGCTTTATTGAAAATTGCCTCTCTCGATTATACCAACACAAATTGCATATTTATTAAGGTATTCTTGGAAAAGAGATATGCCCTTCCGACACAAGTTATTCAAGGTGTTGTCTCCTATTTTGCTAAATTCTTAAATATTCCACCAGAAAAGGCCAACATTCACACTGTTTGGTATCAAGCTCTCCTCACTTTTGTCACTTACTACGGATCAAAACTTTCAAAGGAACAAAAGCATCAAATCAAACAAGTTTGTAAACTTCACAAACAAAACACAAGTATGGCCTCAGAAATTAGAAGAGTTCTCAATAATCCAACTGACCTGCCCCAACATAAATCCAAATATCAAGGAGCTGGAAATACCATGCAAGATGATAATGGTGATGAATTGTCTGATGATTAAATAAAGTTTCTTACAATTAACTCTATTAGAATATTGTAAAATTCACAAAAAGAATGAGCAATTTAAATCTAGTTTTACTTTTAGTTTTCTACAGGTTCAATAATAATAATTTAAAATCTACAATCTTGATTAATTTCATGTTTTGGAGGTTCACTCAAGCCTGGAGCAAGAATAGCAACATTATTTCCGTTCAAAATAATGGAAGGTAATTTACTTTCAGTCCTAGACGATCCATCTTCACTATATGAATATTCAGTCACATTATCCAAAATCATATCTATTTTTCATGAATTAATTATTCAATAATTATTTATAATTACATACTAATATAATCATCAAATCCTCTCAAAGTTCCGACAAGCTCCTTATCATCCTTCATCAATACAAAAATTGAAGATCCGATACACTTATCAATTAATTCTATTCCGATTATATTCCAAATCTATTGTTGAATAATTAACCTACCAAGTGGTTGAATGATAGGAATGGTATTTTCAGTATTTGTTGTGGACATTTTTTTAATTTTAAAAATAACAAAACTTGTGTATTCAACAATATTGCTACAAAAACACTTCTCCCCCTGGTGGGCTCGAACCACCGACCTGCAGATTAACAGTCTGACGCTCTACCGACTGAGCTAAGGGGGATTACCGTGGTTGAAGTAAGATGAAATATTTAGTATGTGTGTCAACCGATGTGCTAAGGTAAAAGTTTTTACCAAGTTGAACTTTCATTTCCAAAACAAAAAAATGCATCCAAGTTCCCATCCAGTTTTTGGTCAAGAATTGATAGTAGAGAAAATCCTCTCCTTTTCCAATGTGGTTGATTGGTTGAGAAATGAACCACCACTGATTAGTAGAACATTTTCTACAGTATTCTCTTCCGAACATTTCGCAAGACTTTATATGGCCAATGTTTTAAACCTAACTAGTGAACAAGTTGGTCTTTTAGAAAATATGGTTAATGGAAAGGTTTCTGATAATAGATTGTTGAAAAACTATGAATCAATGCAGTCACTTTTTAAAGAGTTCGTCAGTAATAGTTTAATTCCAAAGAGAAATTTGACAAGTTTAGTTTCAAAGTTTTGTGCAAATGACACTACATATGCCAAGGAAATTGAAGACACCATCTCCAAAATAACCATGGCTGTTGAAATTCGTGAAAAATTATGTTCACAATATTATAATTGTGACTTGATTATTAATGATGGTGGCACTACTTATGAAATTAAAGATGTCTCACAATTCTGGAAAGGAGGTGAATGTAAGCAAATCTTTGTCCATTCCATTGAGAAGTTAAAACCTGAATTAACTGCAAAGATAGGAGGATATGAAATTGAGGCCACTATCTACATGGGATTTGGTTATCCCTTACAGTTTTTATTTTGTGGTACTTACCAACATTTCGAAGGAACTACTCACTTTGATGAGAGTGTTTCAGTATTTGACAATTTGATTTTCTATTCGGAGGAGTGTTATACAGAGGGAACGAGAGTGGAAACGTTTGAAATTATGAATCACTTTATTAGTGTCGAACAAGATCAAATACCACCAGAATTGAATGCTGAGAGAGTTTACAATACTTTGTGTTATCATTGGTATTGGCCATTTTTGCATGGAAAATCAAAGATGACCAACAAATTTAAGGAAACCATGAAGAAACTGGACTTTGATGATCCAGTCATTTATGTCGACTCCTACATGAGAGAATCTGATTCAAATTCAGCAAACAAGCGTAAACTCAAAGAGTCATCACAAGCTAAGAGTGGTACAAAGAAGAGTAAGCATTGATTTGGATTATGAAATTTATGAGCAATGGTTCTAATGAACTGAGTTTGTTCGTGGGGTGTGAACTATTTTTTCTGCGAATTGTGCTCTTTTACTCTTTAAATGGACTTTGGAATGCTTCAATTTATGCAATAAGCATCCATTATTGGGAGGAAGGGCCAGACGGTTCATTAAGGAAAGTTGATAGTTTTTTCTGTCCATGATGCATGACTGTAATGATGCGCAATAACTCAATAGCTGGCAAGTAAGAATCACAACACATTCCAGAAAACAAATGATAAACTCACCATCCTCACAATCCTATTTATCCAATAAATCATATTTCTTTGATGATGACGATGACCTGAGTGAAATAAGTGTTAAAAGCGACTCTCCTTTGAGTACAAGTATTATTGACGAATTTCTTGATTCGCCATCAGAATTGAGACATTGCAGCTCTAACCCTGATATCAATGATATTAGTGTGGATCAAATTGTATTATTTGGTGATTTAAAAACTAAAACCATTTCAGACTCCACAAGTTGGAAAATTCAAAAGAAGGATAATATCACAATTGAAAGAATAACAGGTCATGGAAAATTATTTTGTGGAACAAGTATTGATTCCCTTCATATAGTGTACGACAGCACGTCTGACGACAAAGAATTGAGATCCAACACCAAATCCATTCAACTTTTTGGTGGTAAGATTTACTACTTTAAATATTTGAAATTTACCAAGTACAGCAAAGTGATTCTTGCCTATCGGAATAAATATAACCTGTAATTTTAAATTATATTGCTAAATCTACATTAGATAGTTTATATTAGCTTCAAACAATTTCAGGAATACTATTAAATAAAATTAAAAACTTTTTTTGAAATTAATTTTTGTTTTTATGGAAGATTTAGAGCATACCCAATTGAGATGTGACATCGATGGCTTCAACGTTCGATGGAAGCTTAATCCAAGCCAACTTCTTACCCTTGGCGGTGATTTGGGTTCTAATGCTTTGGACCTTAACCTTGCTCAATTCTTCGAAAGCCTTCTTGATGGACTTCTTGTTAGATTTCAAATCAACAACAAAAGCAACAGTGTTGTTATCTTCAATAGCCTTGGTAACCTTTGGATTTTGGAGAGTTGGTGGATATTGGAGAATTTGATAGGTATCCATGTCGTTAGTAGCTGGGATAGACTTTCTAACATACTTTGGCTTCTTGGCCAATCTAAGAGTGTGTGGTCTCTTGAAGGTGACTGAAGTCCAAACCTTGTGAGCTCTAACGCCCTTACCTCTCTTGGTAATCTTGGCGACGTTCTTCTTGGCTTGTTCTCTCTTCTTTTCGACGATCTTTGGTTCGGCGATTTCCTTCTTAACAACGGTCTTTTGTGCTGGAGGCATGATGATGTTATGGATTTTTTTTCAACAAATTTTTAAAATAATTTATGGATGACTGGCATTTTGGTATTTTACAACAACAGTTTTTAGAGAGACAAAACAAAACAAACAGCTTGGTGCTTAGCTTCATATCTTTAATGTCAGAGTAATAACAATTTAACAATTAAAAACTAAAATACATTGGATGTTGTGCTCTTCCTCTTGCCATAATTTCTTCAATTTCTTCCACTTCCTTTGGAGTTTCATGACTTAAAACTTCTATACCATCTTCCGTTAATAGAATATCATCTTCTATTTGTACACCAATACCATGCAATAGAGAGTTTGGAATGTACTCCTTCACTTGATTGGAAAAGTAAATACCAGGTTCACAAGTAATGATCATTCCTGGACCCAATTTATCATCCCTTGTTGGAATATCTTCATGAATCCACATTCCTGTTGGATGACCAACCATGTGTGGATAGACAACAGAGTCAGCCAATTGACACAATTCATTCTTACTCTTGGAAATGTTAAAATGTTGACTCAGTGATTCAATAATTAATCTATATGAATAGTCATGATAGGAATGAACAGTGATGGTTTCTGTAGTATGCTTCTTGAGATATTCAATGCACTTCTTTTGAATGTCTAAAACAGCTTCATATACCTTTCTTTGAGGAGCAGTGAATTTACCATTCACTGGGAATGTTCTAGTAATATCATTCATATATCCATAATATTCAGCTGCTGCATCAATTCTAATCAAATCACCATCTTGAGTCAAATGATTATTGGTTAAATAGTGAATAATGTTAGCTCTGTCACCAGAACCAATCACTGGAGGATAGGCCAATCTTTGAGCTCCTCTAATTCTACATTCAAATTCTAAAATTGCTTCAACATGAGCTTCTGACATTCCAGGTCTAATCTTTTTCATCAATTCTGTAAATGCTTGAGCACTAATAGAGGCACATTTCTTAATATGAGCAATTTCAGAGGCACTCTTTCTAGATCTCAACATGGATACCAATGAATCTGGATAAATAACCTTCTTCCTTTGCTTTTCTCCTCTGAATTCTTCAATTCCACCTCCAGATTTTACAATAAAATCACTCAATCCTTCATCAAAATCAGGGTCATGATAAATAATATTGTAATTTCTAACATGACCTTGTAAATCTCTCAAAAAACCCTTGACAGGTTTCACTTCAATTAAATTACCAAATAATTTCTGAAGAGATTCCACTCCATTAACAACTCCATGAAAGAATTCTCTCTTACTCTTCTCCCTTACATAGAGAGTAATTTCATGCTTTATCTGTGAGGATTCATTATTCTTTCTAATAACAAGATAACACTCTGGTTCACTCACTCCACATAAATAATAGAAATTTGAATCCTGTCTATATGGATATTTTACATTTGGACTCATATAGGATTCCTTCTTAGATCCCAAAATGAAAAGAGAATTATCATCCATAATACTCAATAAATTATTCAATCTTTCCTCAAAATCTTTCAATGTAAATCCTGGCACAATTTCATTTTCCTTCATTAAATGTCCATGTGATGATGGTTGTGGTTGATAAGTAAAAGGAATCGGATCAATAGTAATAGAAGAATAATGTCTCATATCATTATTCATAGAAGAATTCGAAAGAACATTATTACTACCAGTAGATGTTCCGATTGATAAAATTCCTCCTCCTCCACTTTTAAAAGATGGTGATGATAAATTATATTTACATAATTTTAATAAATTAGTTTTGGAATGTGGTTGATGTACAAGAAGACTTTTAAACATTTTTTTAATATATTAATCATATTAATTCATAGAGTAAAAGAGAATTAAATTCGAAAGAACCACCAATTAATATAGTTCTCTCAATTGACCAATGAATTGACCAGTCATCATTTTACAATTTAATATTATAATTTAATAATAATTTAATAAATAATCAAATAAAAATGTCCAATTCTACTTCTCCCAATGTAAATTACAATCCCTATGAAGTTTTGGAGGCTATTAATGCTAATAATGGAGGATTAACTCAACAATCATCTTCCTCCCAGCAACAAATACAACAACAACAGCAACAACCATTAAGTTCGGAACGATCAACACCAACGACGAATGGATTGATGAATACTGATAATATTAATAATAATAGTAGCAATACAATACAACAACAATTATCATCAGTTTCTGGTAATATTCAAAGTGGAGGATCATCAACACCACATGAAACTCTATCTGTTTCCAATGTAAATACTGGAGTAAAGACACCACGATCATTATCAACTCCATCACCTAATTTAACGATTAATAGTCACTTTAATGTTAATCAACACAAAAGTAATCAACCTTCGTTGAGGATGGTTCGGATTACTAAGGACTGTTATCATTCCTGTTTAACTCATGCATTGACAACAAGTGAAGAGGAAATTATGGGACTTTTGATAGGATATATTAATGAAAGTACTGGAGTTTCAACAATATGGGATTGTTGTCCACTGAGGAGAGTGGATAAGAGAAGAGATAGAGTTGAAATTTCTCCAGAACAATTGGTAAATGCAGCTTCAATGGCTGAAAAATTGAGCACTGAAGATGGAATACCCACTAGAGTTATTGGATGGTATCACTCTCATCCACAATTCATTCATTTACCAAGGTTTGTATTATTAATGTTAAAATAGTGATTAATCTTTAATAGTCCAATAGATTTGAGTTGCCAATCTCAATATCAACAAATGGATAGTGGATTTGTTGGATTAATTTTCTCTGTATTTAATAATGACAAATCGAGTACTGGAAGTATTAAATTATATGCATTTCAATCTCAACAGGCTGGAATTGATGAACAAAGTATCAAGCTTATTGAGGATCTGAGACGAGGAAATAACAGTATGGATATTTCTGATCTAGATGTTTTAAATATGGCTGAAGGAACAATTGCCATGGATGTTCCAATAGAAGTCATCGAGAATGGTTCTTATCCTAAGCGTTCTATGGAAAGAATAATTCAAATACAACAGTTAATTACAGAGGAGGAAACTGAGGAATTTGAAAAGGCTAAATCAAATTGTGATCCAAATGATATGTTTACAACAGCCTATAATTCTGGCCTTTTCAATGCCAGTATGGTTTGTCTGGTAGAATCATGTATTGAACCACTCAGAGAACAGTTGAAGAATGAACTAAAGAGAAACTTGGAAGAAATTCAAAGACTTGAACAATTGAAGAAATAATTTGAAGATATCTTGCCATAAAAATCTAATAGATTTTATTTTGGACTAAAGAGTACTTTAATTTTATCCTTCCTTAGATCTTAATATCTTAATAATGGTCGCCATGATGAAGGACAGAGGGAGATTTAATCTAGTTTTCTCTTTTTGAATCTACTTTCTGGATCATTTTCATCTTGTGGTTGCTCTTGATCTTCTTCACTTTCGTCATCTTCACCATAATCAAAGATTGCATTTGGTTGAGTTTTGGAGTATGCTGGTGAAATAAATAGTGGATTTTTCTCTGCCTCTGCTGCATGTTTCAGAATGGCATCACGAGCATTTTCATGTTCATTAAATTGATTAATGGCACCCATTCCTTTCATTAAGAAATGAGTAAAGCTGTCATTAATTCTACCACCAAATCCAGGACCTTTTGGAGGTGGATCTTTTGGTTTTTGAGAGCTAACAGGATCTTTTCTTCCCTTCTTTTTTGGTTCCTTATTCTGTGAAAGTGCATAAGGTGCAATAATTTGTGGCTGTACCATTTCGGCTTGATCAATATTCTTCTTCTTGAATGTTTTTGATGTACTTGTAACCAATCCTCTCAAGCTCACTTCTTTATCATAAAATCCAGTGATAGAACTATCTGTGCCAGCAACAAATATTTGATTAATAATTGGATGCCATCTCACTTGCACTGGACTAATTCCATCATTCATATGTACAGTATCTACAACTTTATCATTCTTCCAATCATAAAATACAATGGATCCCTTATCCTGTGGTGATATGCTACTCACAACTGTGACAACAATATCGTTGAGAGGAGAAAAGACACAATTTGAATTTTCCAAAAGATTTGGCAGATTATCAAGAACTGAAATGGGAGAATTAAAGTTTCTGATATCAAATATTTTCAAATTGTCCTCATCTCTTGTTACAAGTGTTTGATCATCATTATGGAAAACAATACTAGTTATTCTAGATCCTCTTTCATCCTTTTCTCTAAAACTCATGTCACACTTGTTTGGGTTGCCATTATTTTTCCAAATTTGTATTGATCCATCCAAGCATCCAGCAGTAATTAATTTTCCATCATTGCTGTAACAACATGAAGTTACAGGGGTTTTGAGTCCCTTACTATTTCTTGCTTTGAATACAGTAATTTGCTTTGTTGTGAAAGTTTCCATATCCCACACTCTGACAGTGGTATCCATAGAACTAGAAATGACATGTCTATTGGATTGATCAGGATTCCACTGAACACCTGTCCAAGAAGCTGTATGTCCATTGGTTTTTGTCATGTCCACAATATAAGTATCACCCTTTTTGAATTTACCTAGTTGACCACCATCTCTATCATATAAAATTGCTTGTAACGAATTGTCTGATAATATGAATTTGTCACCACTATTACTAAATGATAAATGCTTAATCGCATAAGAAGCACTCTCAGTTATTTCATCAATTTCCTTGTACGACTGAAGTGATTCATCCATACCTTGGAAGTCCCAAAATTTGAGTGTATAATCACTTGAACCAGAAATTAATCTAGATCCACTTGTATCAATTGCTATAGCAGTTACTGCTTTTCTATGTCCTTTCATCTTTGCAGTTTGTGACAGTGGAATCTTTTCAAAATCATTACCAGAAGAAAAATCATCATTATCACTTGTATCCTCTTCCAAATCTTCGAAATGTCTAACTTGACTAACAACCATAGGCTTCTTTTCCTCTTGATTTGATTTTAAATTCTTTGAAATTGCTTTTCCATTTAAATCGTTAGTATTAGATATTGTGATTAAACTTTTTGTTTCCGATGATGAATTGTTTGATTTTTTTGCAGTACCGGATTGTGTTCTCTTTCCTCCGAAAGAGAGAGGTAAACCCATATCACTCCAAGACATTTTTTTTAAATTAATTTATTTTAAAAAGTTTTTTAGTTTTTCAATTCTGGTTCAATTAAGACTCTTTTTTAATCTTACTAATCTTACTTTATTATTTTGTAATCTGAAATTTATTTTTGTGAACACAATTATTTCTTTGAAAGAAAATCACCTCTATCACATTCAGACACTGACAGAACGTATCTCATCCGTTTACACTCAATGAATGAGGAAGCATTCATTGAATGATTTATTGAGTTCAATTGGTATTTTCACTCATTTAATGGAGTAAAACAGAAGAAAGTCAACAAGAAGAAAGGAGCAGGCACACAGCATACTCAATGCTTCTTTAGAAAGCAAGACAATATTAGAAGATCGTCTTTACTGATAATAAGGAAGGGCATCAAGACGAACCCATTATGTGCTATTATTTCTGAGAAAGATGCTATCTGTGTTTTTATCACCGCATTTGGAGCTATCAACAGTCCAAATGCACCTCAAGCTCCTCCTCCAAGTAAAAAACCAATTTTCGAAAAGCCTTTTTTCTTGTGAGAAGAGGCAATGTCTCTCCATTACAGCTGGTGCACAAAGTGAGTGCGACCTTAATTTTTATCATTTAAAAAAAATATTAAAAACCTGCTTTGTGGATATTAAACATGATTGAACTGGCAGTTGTGTTCGAGGATGGTTTAAAGAAAATTGAAAAGTCTTATCAATTTGATGATAAGGCTGAATTTCAAGCTCAATTTTACAATGTGTGTGGATTGTTTGAAATACAAAACGTTAAGAGGGATAAATTTTCTTTACAATTTGATAATCCTAGTACCGGAACATATTATTTTAGCGATAGTACTCTTAGTAAGAACTTTTTTAAGGGAAAAGAGGTTTGTTTTTAATTGTTAGCCTAGTGATTTATTGTTGTAGAAAATGTCTGCTTATTTAAAACTAAGACCTGAATTAAAATCTAGGGACTATATCAATATTCTTGACTCGGATGATAGAGTTGAAAAGGGTAAAATATTGTTTCAATTGAAGGAAACATTGCAAGATACCACTTTTTCTGAAGAATTTATTTCTATGAATGGTATTGCCATTTTAGCAAAAGAAGTTACACATCTGAAAGGTAACCTCCAAGGTTATGGTTTAGCCGCATTGAGAAGTGCCCTAGTTTACGTATCTGCCATGGATGTAATTTCTCAATCTCCTTCTACTGTTTCAGAAATTTATAACTTGACTGATACCTCAAGTGGATATCAAAATGTTCAGATTTACAAAAATGCTTTAGAATTGATGATTGTTTTCTGTAGTTATTTGGATAATGGTATTAAATTAGTGAAAAGATCAGCAAAAGATCTTGCAACTAAATGCAAACAACAACCTTTCCAAAACATAATGGATATTTTGAAGAGTGGAGATTTGCTTGTTCAAGTAAATTGCTTGACATTACTTAACGTTATACTTTCAAAGTCTTCAGAGGACAAGAAGAGAAAATTACTCTTCATGTGGAGAAAGGCTGACCTGGAAAGTACATTGGATTTTGCCAATAGGTCAGAATTTCCTGGTGTTAAAGAACAATTATCAATCTTCCAAAAGATCTCGAAGATTGAAATACCAAGATCATGGTATGTTTGCGAGAAAATGAAGATTGAATTAGACAAGGTTTCTTGTAAATATGAACAAACACAAGAAAAACTATTTGCATTCCAAAGACAGCAATCCACAATTAGAGTTCTCAAACAAGAGCTTCAAAAATGCTACGAGACTGTAAACATTTTTTCAATGAAATGTGGATTTACTGATAGAATGTGTACTTCTCAAAGACTTGATACTGATGCTGTTTTAGAATTCTCCCCAGATAAAGTAATTGATCTTAGCAGGTTCCAAAGAAAGAATCTTGAATTAACTGAACAATTTCAATTGCTTCAACAAGCAAGAAAGGAGCTAGCCAAACAATTTTTAAAGGATCCAAACTTTGCGGACATTATTCCACAACCAGAAGTGAAGAAAGATGAAATTGATGAGCTTTTTGCTAGTGATTCAGAGGATGAATTGCCTCTGCCTCCAGAAGATGACCCAAGAGATGAAGAAATTGAAGTTTTAAAGAGAAAGATTGATGAACTTTCTTTAGAATTAGATAATGAAAGAACAAGAAGTTTTGCAGAAGCTGACTATGCAACAAGGCAACTCGAAAACCTCAAAAAAGAAGTGGCTAACGCAAATAGACTCTTGAAAGAGGCCACCAGCAATAACTTGAATCTTCAGAAGGAAATCGAGCAGCAAATTCAAAATGCAGAAAAGTTGGCCGACCAAGTCTCACAGTCAAGTAACAATACTCCACCGACAACTCTAACTCCTTCAACATCAGTCCCTCCTGTGTCAAATCCAACTATTCCAGTACCGCCAACATCTGTTCCTCCACCTGTCGGTAATGTTCCTCCTCCACCAGTATCTGATATCCCTATGCCTCCAGGAATGAGTAATGTTCCTCCTCCACCAGGATCGGGAATTCCAATGCCTCCTGGTTTTGGTGGTGTTCCTCCTCCTTCTGGTTCAGTAATACCTCCCCCACCCGGTTTTGGTGGTGTTCCTCCACCTGGTAGCTCGATACCAATGCCTCCTGGTATGAGCTCTGTTCCTCCTCCTCCTGGATCTACTATCCCTATGCCTCCAGGAATGAGTAATGTCTCCTCCACCAGGATCGGTAATTCCAGTGCCTCCTGGTTTTGGTGTTCCTCCTCCTCCTGGTAGCTCAATTCCAATGCCTCCTGGTATGGGTGTTCCTCCTCCTCCTATAATGGGTAGTGTTCCTCCTCCTCCTGGATCTACTATCCCAATGCCTCCTGGTATGGTTGGTGTACCACCTCCTCCTAGTTCAGGAATTCCAATGCCTCCTGGTATGGGTGGCGTCCCTCCTCCTCCTGGTATGGGTGTTCCAATGCCTCCTGGATTTGGTGTGCCTGTTCCTCCTCCAGGAATGGGTGGAATGCCAATGCCACCAGGATTTGGTGTACCTCAAGTACCTGGATTCCCTTCATGTGGAGCTGCTGCTGCAACATCTGTCAAACCAGTTATTAAGCCAAAGAAAAAGATGAAAATGTTTTCATGGGATAAGGCAACAACAATGTAAGTAGTGAAATAATAAGGAAACTAACCTCATAAGTCAAAATACAATTTGGACAAATGTGGTAGAACAGGAATTGGATGCTGATGAATTTGAAGAAATGTTTTCAAAGAAGGAAAGAAAAGCTCCAGAAAAGAAAGAAAAAAAGGAAGAACCAAAATCAGTCCCATTGTTGGATCAAAAGACATTTAATAACATCTCTATCATGTTGAAAAAACTGCCAAAAGTTTCTCATATTGAGCAAGGTGTTTTAAACTTGGACAGCACAATTTTAAATTATGAACACGTAGAATTATTACTAGGAAATATGCCTGATGCTGATACCATCAATGGATTCAAGGAAGTTCACAAAACAAAAGACTTGAAGGAATATTCCGATCCAGAGTTGTATTTGTATTGTATTATTAACACACCAGAATTTGCTACAAGAATTAGATGTTGGACGTATACTTTACAATTTGAAACAGGGTTGCTTATTGTTGGAAAACCATTAGAAACATTTGAAAATTCTGTTAAAATTCTAAAAGAATCAACTCATTTCAAGAACATTTTAGGTATTGTTCTAGCTGTTGGTAACTATTTAAACGGTGGCACAAAGAAAGGTCAAGCAGAAGGTTTTCAATTAGATATCTTATCAAAGCTCGAAGACACAAAGGATAACGCAAAAGGAAACCTTGCAGATTTTTGTGTTCAAAAAGTTCTTCCAAAAGATGCAGAGTTTGAAGAAATAACAACAGAATTCGAAGTTTTTTCTAGGTCTAAAGAATTTTCGTTGGATGATATGAAAAATCAAGTTGAATCTCTTGTCAACAATCTGAATGACTTTAAGAAGAAGATCAAAACTGTTCAAGGAAAAGTGGAAGCTGAAGATATCTTTTTAAAGAAAATGTCTTCCTTCTTCAAGAAAGCCAAACAAGAATGTGATACTATTGAAAAGAGATTTGAACAATTCAAGACAAACTTTACTAGTTTACTTAAATATCTTTCATTCAAGGATAAGGATATTGCAAAAGTTGACACAAAAGACTTCTTTGGATCCATGTTTTTATTTAATGAAATTATTAAGAGGTCATTAGACAAGATAAAGAGAGAACAAGCAAAAAAGAAGAAACAACCAGCAAAAGGTCTAGGTGCTAAGATCTCAGCAGTTGGTTCAGGAGAAGATGCCATGGCAGCCCTTGTTGACAAGATTAAGAGTGATCTCAAGAAACAATAAAAAAAATGACTTTAATTCAATCATTTATCAACATTTTTAAATTTGTGTGGAATGTAATTTATTCATCCCGAAAACATCAAGCCAGTAATGCCACAAAAATTATTTTATTATTTAATACAGATACAATACGGTCAATTATTGGTCCTAAAAATTATGAAGAATTAACTACTACAACAATTAATGATAATGACAAGAATACAATTTCTGTTAAATTAAATCCAAGAAGTTTTACTGAAAATATTATTGGACAAATGGACCAAAATTTGTTATCATTCATGACAAATATTTTACTCTCTCATCCAATTCAAAGTTTAGTAATTTTAAGAAGAGAAAAACCTGATATCAAAAAACGTATTGAAAAGTTATCAAAAACAACCAAGAAATCAATACCAAATGAGGATATTTTCACTTATTCTCCATCCAGAGCTGAAAGAGAATATTTGGAAGAAAGATTTTAATTTCTTCAAATGTAAATTCCTCCACCAACACAAATCTGTTCTGAGAATTGACTATTAGAATCGTATAAAACTGCAATTTGACCAGAAGCAATACCTCTTGCAGGTTCCTCACTATCTGCTAAAGTAATATCACAAAGAGATGAATCATTTGAATATGATACTTTACATCTAAATGGCTCTCTTTGATTATATCTAACTTTAACAAAGTATTCCTTTGAATTATCAATATTTTCTAACCAGTGACAATTTGAAATTGTAAAACTTGATTTAAGTAGACTTGGATGATTATTTCCAGGACAAACATATAAAATATTATTCTTAAAGTCTTTTTCACAAACAAACCATTTTTCTTTCATTCCTGAAAGACACATTCCTTGTCCTATCGTATAAAATGATGCTCCATCGTGTTCTCCAAGAATTGTTGTTTTATCCTCAATAGAAACTATATTTCCCTTAGAAGAGTCAATATATTTAGAAAGAAAATCTTTGAATTTTCTCTTTCCAATAAAACAAATACCAACACTATCCTTTCTTCCCCAAAGCTCGTTTGGGAATTTAAAGTGGTCTCTGGCTAAAACTCTAACCTCTTCTTTCTTTAAAAATTGCCCAAGTGGGAAAAGACTCTTCTCAAATGCTTTCTTGTTAACAAAAGAAAGAAAATAGCTTTGATCCTTAGAATGATCAATAGCACGTAATAAATGAGTATTTGATGTTTCTCCATTATCAGAATATCCCAATTGAGCGTAGTGACCAGTTGCAATATAATCTGCTCCTCCTTTCTCAATTGCATAGTTTAACATGGCATCAAATTTGATAAACTTGTTGCAAAATAAATCAGGATTTGGTGTTTGGCCTATTGAATATCCATCCAATAATTTCTCAAAAACGTCATTCCAATATTGATCAATAAATTCAACAGGATGAAATGATGATCCAACGTGCTTAATACCAAATGTTTCACAAATAACTTTTACATCATTCCAATCCTTGGTAAATGTACAATGTTCTCTAGAAGGATCCTCTTCAGAACTATCCCAATTTCTCATATGCAATGAAACAACATCAAATCCAAATTCCTTCAATAAACAAGCTGTTAAACTACTATCCACACCTCCACTCATTCCAACAACAATTCTAATTTGTCCTCTTGGTTTTTTTTCTCTTCTTTCAATTTCTTGACAATATTTCTCAAATCTATCAAGTAATTCTTTTGTTTTTTCCTCATTAGCCATTGGAATATCCTCAATAATTCTTATTGGTTCCTTTTTACATGACTCTACAAATGATATTTCCGAAGTGGAAAATTGCCTTTCATATTTTCTATTAAAATCCAATAAAAATTGTTTCTGATTGGACATTCTTTTGTGATAAGAGCCATGAATCCCTGCCTGTAACATTGCAAGGTTCTTCCTACAATTACCAGCAACACTGCCAAAGGCCTCTCTTCTCTTCACCAATAAATTTCTGAGTTGTTGACTCATTTTTGAAGGCTTTTTTTATCGTTAAAATATATGCAGCAAAGGTTGATTCCTAAGCTTTCTTTAGAAATGAGAGAGGCGAAATTAATTGCATCACCGTAAAACAATAAACTTTATAATACAACTATATGACATGATGAAAAGGTTTAAATATCATCATGATGAGAGTGTTTAATTCAATTGCTTTTTGATTGTCTTGGGTACTTTAAATTTTTTGTAAATACTTTAAAAAAAATGTCCTCTCGTTTTTTGACCAAACTCTTCTTGGGTGTTGGTGGTGTTCTCTTCACTACTCACATTGCTGCCGGTTCTCCAAAAACTGATATGACTGGTGTTGTCTCTGATTCTCCAATGTATAAAACTTTGAAGAATTGTACGTAATTTTAAAAAAATGTATTGGCGGATTATAACAATATTATTTTAGCTTGCAAGGATATTCAATGTCAAGTTGAAGAACTCAAGAAGCAAGGAAAATCATTGGATAACCAAGATGAAACTATTGAAACCATCTGTTCCAAGCAATTGGATTCTGGTGTTTGCAAGGCTCTCATGGTTGGAAACTTTGAAAAATTCAAGTCTGGTACTTTTTCTAACACTGATTTGATGGAATATGTTGCTCATCAAATTGCTAAGGAAAGAAAGGAAAATCCACATGGTCATCATGGTCACCATTAATCATTTTAATAGATTAAAAATCACGAGTTTGAATTCAGCTTCAGGGAATTTTATTGCTTTATTGTTGTCGCTCTGAATAATAAAAAATTATTATTATTCGTTTTCGACGAATTATTTAGTTACTGTCAATTAATTATTATTATTTAAACTTGTCTAATGTTTTTGTTGGAAAGTTTGTTGATATCTAGTTTTGAGTAGAAAATAATAGGCTTCTCCTGTTTGCTGGCCAGATAGTTTTCCGTTACATTTAAATTAAAAAAATGTCTTCTCAAGGTAGATCTTCATCAACAGGTAACAAAAAACAATTAACTTTGGGTGACTTTTTAAATAATGACAAAAGAAAGAGACCAGATGAGGAATCATGGATAGAAAAGACAAGAAAACAAATCCGTAACAATCCACCACCAACTCAACCAAATGACAATTCATCAACAAGATCATTTAATGATCATTCATCAAATTCAAATCCACCCTTCAAAACAAAGGCTTCTAAACAACCAAATTATGATAATCAAAATTATGCACAACCTCCTCCTTCAACTCCTCCTAGAACTAGCAATAGAAGAAAATCTACACCAGGCTGGAATAGAGATTGTGTCAAATTACCTTGTCATGAAAATAATGTTTACTTTCAAAATAATAGACAATTGTCAAAATGGTATTTGATCAAAACAGTTTTACAACAGAGAATTTCTGATGTGAATGACATCATTCAAATTATCAAAACAGTCAACTCTAGTTGGAGTTTTTCCTCTAATACTTTCAATTCTTTAGAGACATTATTTAATAATATTTATACTGCTAAGGATAAGGATCAATTTTTTAACACTACATTACCTTGTTTACAATCTTTAGCTTTGGATTTACCAAACTTGATTGACGAAATTCCACTTTTGAAGAAACAAGAGGATAGTTCAGTTACTTTGACTAGAAAACAAATTTGTTGTCTATTGATACATGCATTTTTTTGTACATTCCCAAGAAGAAATCAAACGAGTAATCCATCAGATGAATACTATTACTATCCATCTATCAATTTTATAACATTATTTAAAAAGTCTCCTCTAACAAAGAGAGTTATCAAAAAGGATCCATTCAATATTCCAGTTGATCCAAAAGACACTTTTAAATCACCAAGCTTGTCACCAGAAAATACTCCAGAAATTCCACAACAAAATGATACAAGTTCATCAATCCCTTCTTCTACTGATTTGAATTCCTCTATTGTAACTCAAACAACAAATGATTCTACTGCCATTGCATCTAGTAATCACATGGATGCAAATCTTGATGCAACAATTATCAGTTCCACAACAACAACACAAACCACCACAACATCTAATGAGGTTATAATCACCAAAACATTGTCTATTTCTGAAACAATTTCAATTGAGGATGATTTATTATTTGATGAAGATTTATTGAGTCCATCTAAATTTGAGGAAGAAGAATTTGAAGAAACAAGTTTACTCATTGAAAAACTCAAAACTGTTATCAATTACTTTAATTTAATGGCCGAATATATTTTAAATAATAACTCCATAATTGATGAAAAAGTATCTTTTGAGAGAAAAGTGCTGTTGGATGATTCGAAGGATATGGACAAGATGTTCCAGAATAGCAGCGAAAAGCTGCTTTCTAATATTGAAATCAGAGATAATGGAACAATTGAAGATAATTCACCACATACACTTGATTGTTGCCATGTCGATTTTGCAAACAAAATGCTTGGTGGAGGCGTATTAGGAAATGGTGCAGTACAAGAAGAGATTAGATTCCTTATCAATACAGAATGTATAATTGGAAGACTTTTCACAGAAGAATTAGACGATAATGAAACTTTACTGATAAGGAACACAAAACGCTTCTCAACCTATGAAGGATACTCCTATTCCTATAGATACACAGGAACCTACGATGAGAACTGTGAAAATTTCTCCACTATTAACTATCCAATCATAGCAATTGATGCCCTAAATTTTAACTCGGCCCCATTTAGAAGTCCTTTCGATCAATTTAAGGCAAAGTATATTCAGAGAGAAATCAACAAGATATATTGTGGATTTATTGGTAGTGATTGTAAAATTATATCTACTGGAAATTTAGGTAAGTGATATTTATACAAAAGTATTCCTAATTAAGTTGTTAACAAAACCAAACAATTATATATTTGGTCTTTAATCATGTACCTTAAAGGATGTGGAGCATTTAAGGGAGATTATTTTTTAAAATTCCTTTGTCAGTTCTTATGTATTTCCAAGGTTGCATCTCTAGGTATTGGAAGTGTTGCCAACAACCAACAAGAATCAATGAACAATTTCCAAATGATTTACTTTACCTACTACAATGATGAGCTTGCTAAAAAGTTAAAAGCCATGCAAAGTTTACTGATTCAATTAGAAGTTTCAATCTCTGAATTATACGCTTTAATATGCAATTATCAAACTGGGAAAAAAAATCCAGCCCACACAATTTTTGATTATCTTGTAGATGAATTGGTTGGATAATTTGAGTTTTCAAAACTTTCTGTTAAAGAAGGCAAGACATTGTAAAATACAGTTATATTGGAAAATATCCAATGAAAATTTTCATCACAAAACCATTTGAGGAATTAACAACAGTCTGGAATGATGGATTAAAAGTTAGAGACCAAATTTTCTTCATGCATCTTTTAATAAAGTCCAGAATATTATTTTAAATACAAAACGGTACAATACGTTTTAATATAGATGGTAAATTAATTCTCATGCGTTCTAATTAGAGTCCTCCTTCGTTGGTTTTCGTCAATGTCTGTTGTTTGCCGTCAGTCCCAAAAATTTACAAAATTCATATTTGGAAACATCGTCCAAAGGGCGCTTGAATATAAAGACGTTTAAGCGGCTCAAAGTTCGTTTGTTAACCCTTTATTTTCCATTCCTTACGTCAAAATAAGTAAAGCAAACAAGTCATCTCGCAAACAACGCAACTAGCTGCTTTGTTGTGGCCTAGAGTTTTCCAAAGAAGCCTCACACAAAATTCTCACAAACAAATAAAAACACAACAAAACAATAACCAACAAAGATGATGCACTCAACAGGCACCACCAACACCAACTTTGTTCGTAAAGATTTAATCAGTAGAAATAATATTTACTACCTCGTTACTGATGTTCTGAAACATGAAGAATTAGGAATGAATGATGTAATAACAAAATATAATATGAGAACCGTCATTTCAACTAATTATGCTGCTGATCCATTGTGGGCCAAACTTCAAACCTATGATCCTAGTACACATGAACCAATCCCAAGAAATACTACACCATTGGTTGATCACTCCTCTACATCGAGTTCTGTTGAATCATATTCACCTCAACCTCGACAAGAAATCCCTTCACAACCAACTACCATTTCAACAACACGTGTTGAAACCATCCCAACTTCTCACATTCCAACAACAATAACCACATCTACCACCCAACCACAACAAATTCCACCACAACCAACTACACCTACCCCAATCGTATCGATACCTTCCATTGCTAATGCCCATCTCTCTCCACAAGTATCTTCCTCCACTCCTCATATTGCCAAGAGCTTTAGAAGTCCACCACCATCAGACTACTTTGTTAATAATGCTGCTAATTTAAGTTATCTTTCCATTTCACAATATTTCAAATTACCTTTACATGAAGCATGCGTTGCTTTAAGAGTTGATGAATCATCACTGAAGAAGAGATGTAGAGAATTAGGTATTAGAAGATGGCCATATAGAAAGAGATGTAATATTACTTCTGGTAAAAATACACAAGCACAACAAGTTGAAGAATCATCAGCAAGTGGTGATCAATTATTCTCTTGTTTCCAATTGAATAAGGGTAAATCACCAGTTGCTCAAAAGATGAAGAGTGAAGAAGCTTTGGCACTTGAAGCTTTGGATAAATTGCACAATGTTAACAGATCTGCTTCCAATACTACAACAACTACTACACCTGTTCCAAGCACAACTAGTTCAACCTCAGCTCCAACAACAACAAGTACAACTGTCCAACAACAACCAACTACTCATGGAGTTGTTGCTCATCAACCTCCAAGACCAGTTCCACAACCAACAACAGGTACTGCTTATTCATATCCTCCATATCCTCCACACCCAGGTTATCCTCATATGTATCCACCACATCCAGGTTATCATTATCCATATGGTGTTCCTCCACCAACACATGATGGTTCACAACCTGTTCCATATCCAATGTATTATCCACCTCAAACTTCTGTTCCACCACCAGGTGCTTATCCACCTCAACCAACAGAATCTAAAGATGGACAACCTCAACAACCACCTTATGTTCCTCCTTACTATTATGATTACAGATATTCATATCCACAATCTGGTACTGTTCCACCTTATCCATATCCTCCTCAACCTGGTTATTCATACCCACCACATCCAGATCAAGCTACATACCCATATCCACCTCACGGATATCCAATGGCTTATCCTCCACATCAAATGGGTTATCCTCCACAACCAGTGCCACCACAACAAAAGCTTCAATCAACACCTGTTATTGTTTCAACCTCTCCTGCAGAATCTCAACCTGTTACTGGTACTCCTTGTAGAACTGTAAGTAGCTCTACAAGTACTGGTGAACAAACACCAATCACTCCTGTTGGATCTCCTCAAACTAAGATGGTTTACCAAAGGGAAACCAAAGTTCTCCATCCAGTTAGATATAAACCACCATCTCCAACAGAAACAACAGCTGAAATTGTTGCCAAGATTAAGAGAGAAAGGTTAGAAGAACAAGAAGAAGCTGCAAAGAAGGTTAGAAGAGATATTCAAATTGCTAACCCAACCTGTAGTAAGCCTGTATCATCCCAAACTGTACAAAATGGTGCTTCTATTAAAGTAGCAGAGAAATAACAAAAAAATAAAAATATATAAAAATTATTTATTCAAATCTCAATGATAATTATTATTAAATATGTCTGTGTAGTAGTTGAGCTGTAGATTAAGAATAACTCTGATATTTCTTTTAAAAACTTTAAAAAAATGCGTTTCTTAACATTTACTTCATCATTGATTATTTATTTATTAGCAGCTATTGGATGTTTATTGAGTTGGATGTATTATGTTAATGATGCTCCTTGGACAATTGATAATAATAGTAATAATGCATTATTAGGTTCTTCAAATTTATCTATGGATCAATTTTTATCATCATTAAAATCAGATTCCTTCTCCGATCCAAAACAAGCTTCACAAATTGTTAAACAATTACTTACAGCACAATATCAATTCTCTGCTCTTTGCTTTTTACTTTCAAGTGCTCTAATTTTACTGATTGTCTTTTTCGCAACAAGAAATAGAACATTAACCTTGTGGACTCATGTTGCTCTATCCGTTTGGTTGATTTTATTTGGTCTCGTTTTAAAACCATACTCTCAACAATCTCTTCATAATAAGATTTATTATTTTGCTCTCGTTGGTAATTTCATTGCTCTTGCTTTATATGCTGTACATTTGAGAAATATTAGAGCATTAAGATTGGAAAAACAAGCTGAAAAAAAGACTGAATAATAAATATATTCTTAATAATTTAAAATATTAAGCTCATAATATTGGAATTGTAAATTGAATGTGAAGTAAAAATTAATTTTCACTCACTCAACCATTTATAATTATTTAATTATCAAATAATTAAAAAAAATAACTCAACGTCTCTACTAGCAACATCCACGATGAGCCTACAAAATTCAACCAATAATCGGAATTATCAAATTGAATGCTCTTTAAATAATTTATTACAATCAGGAGTGGATATATCAAAAAAGAAACATAATGGATCTGTTCTTCATTGTCAATTTAGTAAAGGAAATGGTCAATATTGTATGAGTGCTGGTGCAGATAAGAATATTAAATTATTAAATCCATATAAATCATTTTTTGTGTTGAAGGAATATAAATCTCACGGATATGAAGTATTTGATATTGATATGTATGTAAAATATATAGGATTTCAAATATGTAAAATATATGATTTATTTCAGATCGAACGATAATAATTATTTTGTGAGTGCAAGCGCTGATAAAAATGTATTTTTATGGGATGTTTCAACAGGTGAAGTGAAGAGGAGATTTAAGGAACATAAAGGAGTATGTAATATATTTGGATTTTTATTTGGAAATTTATTCTTTATAGAAAGTGAATTGTGTAAAATATAATTTTAATAATGAAATAATCATGTCAGGATCATATGACAGAACTTTGAAAGTATGGGATGTCAGATCTGCTTCATATAAATCTGTGCAAAATTTGGGAGATTTTCAAGATAGTGTTTCGAGTATTACTAGCTCAGATTCGAGTATTATTGCTGGATGTGTTGATGGAACAGTTCATATTTATGACATTCGTATGGGTAAATTGAAAGTGGACGATTTAGGAGGAGCATCAGTTGGTCATGTTTCAATAAGTAAAAATTACAAGACCTATTGTTGCAGTTTGCTGAATTCTACAATATTAATGATTGAGATTGAAAGTGGGAATATCCTTAGGACATTAACAGGACATACTAACGAAAAGTATCAAATTAAGCATACTATTTCGAATGATGATAGATATTTGTTGAGTGGAGATGAGAATGGAAATATTTTTGAATGGAATTTAGAAAATGAGCAATCTTGCAAAATACCAAAGATTGACTCAGATTCTACACCAGTTGTCTCAATAGATTATCATCCAAAGGGTAAGTACTAAGAATTTTAATAGTAATCTTAAATAACATTTTGCAGAGAATTGTTTTATTGCTGGTTCAGTGAGTGCTAATTTGGAATTTTGGAGTTTAACTCAATAAACCTGTTAATTTGCTGCATGTAGCAACAATATACCTTTGCATTGCTTCCCTGAATCTTGTCTTGTAGTGTTTTGGTGAAATAACAGTTGGAACCTTACCCTTATTACTAATAATACCAGCAGATTTGACCCAAGTCTCAAAATGCTTATCCCACGTGTATTGTCTCACATAGTCAATAATACCAAGGATAATATCCCCATTCTCTTCATCTATACCAACTAGTAAACTATAGTCCATGACATTATGCTTGCTAAGGAATAGGGTATCATTGAATACACTAATTGTCAAAATTGACTTGAATGCTTCTCTTGTTATGAGAGGAGATCCATTACAAATAACTGTATTGACATATTATTAGAAATTAAATGAAAATTTAAAACTTACATTCGAGTAAATTCTCATCCATCAATGTGGCTCCTTCTGTTTTTTGATATCTATTTCTTGTAGAACCTTTCAAATCAAATCTCTTTGATATATTTCTATTGTAGAATAAATTATCCATAACAATCACATCTTTCTTGATTGGTTTACCCTTATTATCATGGTAACTCAATCTAAAAACTCCCAATATTTTAACTAAAACAATTGGTAATTCATGATATAAAGAACTGGCAACATATTCAAAGTAGGAATGTCCAATTTCTAAGAATGATAACAATTCAACTCGGGAAACTTCTTTTAACACAAATCTAGAATCCCAAGACATGGTAAATGAACCCTTTTTACCACCTGTTGGTGTCCACTTGACACATCTAGCAAGTGAATGAATAAATGAATCATCACCATTACAATAGGCTTTTCTTAAAGCAGAAAATTGATTAGAAAAGAAGCAAGTGCAACTGAACTTGGTCTTATTCTTAGATCTACCTGCAGATATTGGATTTGAAGCTATTGCAGTATTGGATGGTAATTCAGCACCATTAATAAGTGTTACCTTGTTACTGGAAGTTGAATTTGGTGTATCATAGAATGCTAAGTAGATAATTAATACTACTTGATGTTAAATATACTTACAAAACTTGTAGTGATTCTTATCTTTTGATTTTAAAACTAATTCAATATCAATATCATCTTTTGAAGGAAGGAATTTGTAATAATCATTTGAACTCAATGTATAGGAAATAATAGTAGATGGTTCATCATTGTAAACAATTACATTGGCATCATTAGAACCTGATGGTAAAAACATGTGAGCTGAAACATTATCAATAATATTTGGTAATTTCACTGGTTTAAGTTGTAATTGATCAAAGATTGAAGATTGTTTGTTTTGATTCTTGAATGTGAAAATATTAAATGATTTTCTTGAGGTTGAAATTGGTGAAACCAACTCTCCATCTGTATCAGCTCCTCTCGGAGAAACAATTTTAGTATCAAGTGATAAACCAGTACTAGTGGTAAAATTACCAAGACTATTACTATTAACCATACTACTACCATTTGAACTACTACTTGTACTCATTGTTTCAACATTATCTAAATTAAGTAATGGTACATTGACACCACATTCAATCTCTTCAAGTATTACTTTGATTCTATTTTCATCAACTGTTAATTGAACAGAAATCTTTGTTTCCTTCTTCTTTATACAACTACTAGTTAATGAAGATGCATTTGGAATGGATGAAGTATTATTATTGATTGAGGTTGAAGATTTACCATTGTTTTTGAGCATTCCAAACTTGGAAAACATTTCAATAATCATATCATTCCATCCCAATGAGGAAATGTAAACATTTCTAATAAAATCATTCAAAGTGTAAATATTTTCTTTGGTTTGTGAAATGGCTTCTAATGTTGTCCACAGTGAAGATTGTTGTGTTTTGATTTGTTCTCCAAGTTCAGTAACTTGAGTGATTTGTTCCTGTGTCAATACTGAATAATTACAAGAGATTTCATTTACGAGTTGATTAAAATCATTAAATAAAATCTGACAAGCATCAGTGACATTTTGAATAAGAATCAAGAATTGATTACGTTGTTGATTACTATCATAGGTAATTTGATTTCCTGGGAACACTAAATTATATACACTCACAGGTTTGTATTCAAACTTGGCAATAATATCATTATAGGCAAAATATCTAATATGATCATGATGAACTGAGTGATTACAACCTCCTGTTCTACATTTCAATGAATGATTATAAAATGTTGATTCAAGGAATTTACCAAATGAATACTTGTAGGCACTTTCGGACATTGGAATAACAGGTGTAACGTGTCTTTCACAAATTTTACAATAATTCCACATGGCAATACCTTCATCTGAGGAGGAAATTATTTCTGATGACTTTTCAATGGTTAAAGTTATTTTACCTTCATTATGAGTATAGATTCGGATAGTATTCAAATAATTTGCCAAATTGGCCTTATTAAAACATCTGAGTTCAAGAAACTTTCCTAATGGCATATCATTTTCAGTGTAATATGCAATGACAATAGTTTCTGGAGGTGAAATTGATGGATTTTCAATGTTGGAAATAACTTTTGGATCAATTTTAGGATGTTTTGTGAATAGAACAATGATGTTTTGGTGAGCATATGGTGTTAGGAGTTTTTCAAACATTGATGATTCCAATTCTGTACATTCTTCTTGATTCTTTTGTAAAATCAAATTTGATGAAATGTTCCATTTACCCAAATCCAAATCTTGAATTTTCAATGGGAATTTAACATGAGGAGAGGCAGATAATATGAATGGTTTGTTAGTTGTGTCTTCATCTTGGTTTGTATCTAATAAAGTACCACATTGATCAAAGAAGAATTCAGTTTCCAATTTGAGATTGTAAGCAACATAAATAGCAAACTTGAAAATCTTTTTAACAAGGTCCAATTCCTTTTCATTTTCTCCTCTCAAAACAATGGTACATTGAGCATCTGTTTGACTTCCACAAATAATAAACAAATTCTTATCACCAATTCTTTTAACATAGGCATGATTAACATGTTGTAGAGATGGTTCTAATTGTTGATGAGTTGCAGAGTTGTATTCATCAATTGAAGATAGAATTGGATAACCACTACATCTTGAAATTCTTTCTAAAACTCTTCTTTTAACATTAACAGCAACAGAAATTCCCTTCGCTAATAATAATTCCTTAGCATGTCTACTCACAGATTTCTCACACAATACCAAATCAGGTTTCTTTTCAGCAATTCTTTCAACTAAAAGTTTTAAGAATTCTTCCTCTTGACTTATTAAAATATCCATCGATGCAATCAATGTATCAGCTTTGTGATATTGATATGAAATTGGACAGGTTAACATTAAGAGTTTTGGATTGGTTAAATTATTTCTCATCTTTTTGTGAATAATATTCTTTGTAAAAACAACACCTCCATCAATGTATTCACTCTTCGATAAATTACTTCCCAATACTTTTTTGATTTTAACATAATTGGTAATATCCATCTTATCACCCCTTATCATATTTGGATTTACAGTGTTAACAGTTCTTAAAGCAAGACCAACAATAACTTCTTCCCATTTCTTATCAATAATTTGATTATGTTGCTCATTTTCTTTCTGAATTAATTGGAGAACAATATTCTTCAAATGTACTTGTGATGATTCTTCAATGGAATTCAAATGTTCATCAAAACCTTGTTCAAATTCTTCTCCTGAAATAATTTTGAATGGAACTGTTTCATTATCAACAGTTTGTTGAGCATTTCCATTAAACATGTCAGAATTAGCCATATTATCATCAAAAATAGTGGTAGTTGCTTGAGGATGTTGATAAATCATTTCATCCTCTGAATCTTCTGAATCTTCCTCAGCAGAATTGGCACCACCAGCACCAGCTCCACCATCCATTCCATCCATTAAATTGGAAAGACCATCCACTCGATCTCCCTCCTCATCAATTGGATCATTAAATTGTTGTGATGCATCAAAATCCTCAGCAACACTCGATGTAAACATGGATGAAAATGTTGTTCTTTGAGAATTTAGTAAATTTGAACCGGATGAAGCAACAGTCGTGTCAACAATCTTATTTGATTGATTAGGATAATCAGTTAAATTAGAATCACCACTATCTTTCTTCATTAAATTGTAACAATAAATGCAAACTCTAACTTTAGAGGATAAACCAAACTTTTTACCATCAATGAAATAATCAGAACATTTCCAACAAAATATTTGTCCACAAATTCTACAATGGTGTTTTCTCTTAAAAACACTAAATGGTGTTAAACATTCATAACAATTAGTGACACGATCATCTGGCATCCAAAATTGTTTTGAATGATTCTTCTTTTGGAGTGTATTACTGAGAAATTGTTTAAAGGTATTTTCACGTGAGGGTGTGGTAGGTGGGGTTGAATAGGAATTGAATTGTTGTTGTTGTTGATTTTGATGTAATTGTTGTTGATAATGGTAATGATGAGAAGGTGATGTCATGATGGAAGGACTCATAACACCAATACTTTGAGAATCATTTGTTGGTGAATGATAGGAATCAGCAGTACCTGATTGAAAACCAGAACCAGTTGATGATGAATTTGGAAGATTATTTGGTGTACCTGGAGATGAAGGTTGTTGTTGTTGAAGAGCATTACTTGGTGATTGTGGAGCTGATCCATTATTATTATTATCAGAGTTTACAATTTCATCTGAGCTATTGTTTTGACTTATAAATTTATACAATTCTGGATGTGATTTTGATCTGGAAAGTAAAGAATCAGTACTATTATGTCTACTTGCTTGTAAATCAACTCTGTTTTCCATTTTCAAAAGTTCCTTCTTATTAACAAGTGAAAATCCAGAATAGGAAGTATCATTTTCAGTTTCAATAACATTTGAGCTATTCTTTGTAATTGAGAATGATCTCTTCTTCTTACTAATTAAATTATCAATATGTTGAATATCAAGTGTCTTGTTTTGAAATTCTTGAGAAGAATTTAAATGTTGATTAGCATTATTATGACTAGTGGCATGTAATGTTGGTTTCTCTCTTCTTGTTAAATGTAATTGATTAACTTCAATATTTTCAGTATCAGTTATATCTTCTCTATTTAAAATCTTTTGTTTAATTTTAATATTTTCATTCAATTTCAATTTATTACCACTAACAAAAAGTGAAACTGCTTGATTGGTAGGATTTTCATAAAAGTAATAATTATCAGAGTGATCATTAGTTAAATCAGAATTTAATAAATTACTATGATGATTATTTAATAAATTAGATGATGTATTATTAGCTTGTTGATTTGTTGTTGTTGTATTATGAAAAATCTTTGAAATGAATGAAGAAATATTAATCGGTCCACTCGGAGTACTTGTTGTAAATTCAATAAATTTAGGCTTGTCATGATCAAATAAAATTGATGAAGTGGTACTATTTAAACTATCCGATCTTTTCTTTCCATTATTATTATTATTATTATTGATCGTATTATTGTTATTATTGGTCGATGGAGGGGTGAGAGTATGTTGATGATTTTTGGAATCGACAACTCCGTTCATTTTTTTAATTATTAATAACTGTTACTGTATCGAATTAATTCGGAGAGAAGATTTTTATTAGTGGGCCTAATTGATACATGAAGAAAATCCTCCTCTTTCGGATATGATTGGGTATGAATGAAAATTAATCACCACATTACAATTAAATCCTTACTGATACTGATGATAAATAGATGGTGATGGTGATGAATATAATCTCGGATCGTTGTCATTTCAGTGAGGATTTAATTGAAATCATGATTAATCAATTTACTTCTCTAATCAATTTTGAACTTGTAAAAAACAATTCTCTCATCAACATATTAAAAGGATTCTTTTTGAATGTTTGGATTAATATAAAACACTGAAAAAAATTGAAGGATTCTTGAGGTAGCCTTGATATTAATTAAACTTCTAGGTTGTCGGCCAATATTTGATATAAATCTGCTATTCATAGATAGCCACAATCTCTCGAACCTTCTCTCTCTTCAATACAATAGCACAGTCTAACCCTAAGATTCTTCCACCATTACCATTATCATCATTGTCATCATTAACAGTTCATCATCATTAATATTTTAATATCATCAATAATAATAAGAAAAATGAATCCATCATCAACAAGTAGTAGCAGTGAACAGCAGCAACAAGCAGCTATTGGTGATATGAATGATTCATTACCATTGTCATCTTCTTCATCATCAATTACAAATTTACTTTTATCAACCCTTCCGAATACAAATTCTGCTCATCATCAAAAGATGGTTAATGCATTGGCTGGAAGTATGTCAGGTGTAATATCAACCATAGTATTGGCACCTCTCGATGTAGTTAAAACACGTTTAATCATTCAAAGAATTCCTGTCAAAATACCAACTCACTATACTCACTTATCTAATCAGCATATACCAAAATATCAAAAATCGAAAGGAATTTTAGGAACAATGAAACACATGATCAAACACGAAGGAATTACAAGTTTATACAAAGGATTAGGAACAAATTTATTGGGATATGTTCCGAATTGGGCAATTTACTTTACATCATATGAACATTTTAAAGAGTCATTCGGAAAGAGTGCTTTACTTTCAAATCATGTACATTTAAATCACGTTTTTAGTTCGATGCTCAGTGGATTTATTACTTCATTCATAACATCACCTATGTGGGTTGTAAAAACTAGAATGCAAACACAAGTAGAAAAGAAATATACTGGAACTTTTCATGCCTTGAGTGAAATTTTCAAAACTGAAGGCATTAGAGGTTTATATAGAGGATTAGCTCCTTCATTATTTGGTTTAATTCACGTTGGTGTACAATTCCCAACTTATGGTATGTTTTTGTTTCATTCAATCAACAATTATCTAATGATTATATTTGAATAGAATATTTGAAAAGATTATTGAAAGATCATGATAAGAGACATAATTCAACAGTTGATATTTTAATAGCCAGTTCTGTTAGTAAGATTATAGCCAGTATGATTGCATATCCTCACGAAGTGTTGAGATCTAGATTACAAGATCATGGACATGGTAAAAATATTCAAACAGGAGCTAATTATGAACCATATAAAGGAATGAGGGATGCTATTTACAGAATTTGGCATGAAGAAGGATATAGAGGATTTTATCGTGGAATGGGAGCTAATTTAGTGAGAGTTGTACCTGCTGCAGTGTTAACTTTGGGCAGTTTCGAGTTTTGTTCACAAATGTTCCAAAAATTTGATTCCTAATTTTGTTGAACATTTATAGTTGATTGTAATTTCTGTACTATTTCTTTGAAACTGTCAATTCCTGCATCAGAATGGGCAATTAATTTAGATGCAATACTAAATACTATTTTTCTTTGCTTAATATCCTCAGTATTTCTTTGAGGTTTTTGCTTTTGCTGGAGTAATTCATCGAGAATATGCTCACTTTCAGTGATAATCTTGGAAGAGAGACCAAGCATTTTTGCAAGCTTAATACCATATCTGTCTTCACTACAGTTACCAGGTTGGATTTGATACAAGTAGTTTAATTCACCGTCTTGTGTGGTTGTTACTCTGAGATGTGAATTTTTAATATTTGGATACAAGCTCTCCAAATCACTCAATTCTGTGTAATGTGTTGCAAAGAGAGAATAGGCTCTGATTGACTAATTTAATAACTAAGAATGAAGCTGAATTTGTAAAACTTACACTCAAATGTTCTGCAATACTCCAAGCAATTGAAGTTCCCTCAATATTACTTGAACTTCTTCCTAGTTCGTCAATAATTATTAGACTTTTGTTTGTTGCATTTTGAACAATATTGGTTACCTCTTTCTAAATGATAGATAAGATTTAAAAGTTTAAAACAATTGGTAACATACCATTTCTACCATGAATGTACTGCTATTGCTCTCAATACTATCATTATTACCAATTCTGGTGAATACTCTATCACAAATTCTTAAATTGCAAAAAGCACATGGAACAAAGCTTCCAATTTGAGCTAGTATCTGAATAGTGGCTATTTGTTTAAGATATGTGCTCTTGCCGCTCATGTTGGCTCCAGTTATTATTTGAAAGTTGCATGATTCGGCCATAAAGGTATCATTAGGAACATATTGGCCTTGAAGTTGCTTCTCCATGACAGGATGTCTTCCTTGTTTGATGGCTATTGGTCCCTCGCTACAAAACTCTGGTCTCACGTAATTGTTGGATAGAGTAACTAAGGTGGCAAAGCTATAAAGCATATCTAATAATCCAATGGACTCACTCAGCTTGTAAAGTTGACTCAAATGATTTCTAATGGATTCTACAAGTCTATTCACAACCAAATCTGTCATTAGGTAGATTTCATCAATAATTTCCTTCAATCTAACATTAAGGGAGTTCAATTCTTGGGTGGAGCAGTGAGTTTGTTTTCCTTTCTTTGACTTTTGAATGAACATTTTGTGTGACTCTCCATTTTTATCTTTGAAATGTTAAGAATCAATTTAGAAATGTATAATTACCTTCAATGCTAAAATGATATCCTCTTCTTACATTGTATTTTAACTTGAGAGAGGAAATTCCTGCCTCTGATTGGCAATGCTTGTGATGTTCGTGGATTTCTTCAACAGTCTCAATGTATTTCTTTCTTCCAATATCCAACAGAGCATCAATTTCAGGAGCTACTGCAAAGATAATTTGTTGCTGTTTGTTTTTACAACTAAGAATGCTTTTCTCATTGATTATCTCGTCCATTTCTTCTTGAAGAGATTCATTTTCAGGGAATTTGAGAGCACTACAAATTGCTTGGAGGATTGGAGTATTATACTCTCTCATGCAACTTTCTAGTTTGGGGAGTTTACTCAACATCTTCCTCAAGCTAATAATATTGAGTACAAGAGTGTGGCAAGAACCTCTCGCATTCTTTCTGGTGTGAGTGAATTGAGTTAATAGATGACTCAGATCAATGGAACTAAACTCTGCAAGGAGAGCTCCAATTTCGAAAAACTCTTTCTCCTTGGACAATATCTCCTCAGTGCTGTCTAATCTGGCATTGAGAGAATTAACATCAAGCAATGGTTGAAGAATATTTGATCTAATGATTCTCTTTCCCATTGGTGTCTTAGTATTATCAATATGTGAGAGTAGTGTACAATGAGAGTTTCCATATTTGAGGCTTCTAACAATTTCAAGGGAAGAAATACTGGCAGAGTCAAGCATTAAATGTCCATCACAAGCAACATAATTAATTCGGAGACTTCTTGGTTGAAATGTTAACTCTTGAATGAATTCAACATATTGAACAACAGCAGAGAGGGAACTAACACTCAAATATTTGGCAATTGTATCGGATTTGATAGAAGCATTATCATCCATCATTAGGGTGTCTATTATTTCAACTCCCTTATTCTCATTGAAGAGTTTTCTAGCAATGAAGGTTACCTTAGCCTTTGCAGCACTATTTTGATTATCAGCATTAGATTCTAATTCTTGCTTGACGATAGAGGCTAGTTTCGAATCAAACAAAGATTTAGGAAAAAGTACTTCGGATGGTTCATACACTTTCAACATATTACAAGTGTTGATGTAGCTTGATCCTTCATTGTACTGAGTGAGGAAGATTGAATTCGTTCTCATATTGAAAACAGCAAAGCCTACATCTCTTGCCGGGTTGTCCAAAATAGCAACAATATTAACAGCTGTGGATGATGTAGCACCTTTAGCCTCTTGATTTCCTCTCCTTGGAGTACTAGTTGATGAAGAAAGAGGAGTTGTTGATGTTCTCTTTGATCGACTTGGCGTTCTCATAATTTTACCCGAGGTTGATCGACTCAAAAATGAATCTTGTGGGTTGAGTGGTTGATTGAGCATGATGATTAAGGCTATTTTTTTTTATTCAGAAAGCGGCAACACAGAATGTAGACAATCATGTAATTGACTCAAAAGCTTTGGAAGTTCTTCCCGCTTAAATTTCAAATAGGTTTTTGCTCTCTTCTCTAGGTGCGACAATTCAGTTGCATACTCTTGCATGATGGAAACATCTTCTTCGAGATCTAAGAGTTCCTTCAAGGCTTTTCTTCTTTCCTTCTCAAATTCGTATACTGGTGTCCAATTATTATCAAATTCTTCAAGAATGGATTTGATTTTATCAACCTGAAGAAGGATAGCCTCTTGTTCTTCAGTAGTGCTTGTATCATTCGTATAAACTGGTTCTTCAGTTATATTGTTATTTGTTTCTTCTACAACAGAGGAGAGATTTTCAATTCTCTCAATTCTACTGACTAATTCCTCTTGTTCTAGCAATTCACTTGAAATACTACTAGTCTCACTAGGAGAAGGAAAACTTTCAAACTTGACTCTTGATGGTGGGGCCATTGTAACAGAATTTGAATCATTAAACTTTAGACGATCAACATCTGATGGTCTTCTTGGAGAAGCTCTTCTTTTTGGATATTTTAGTTGACTTGTAGGTTCTCTATCAAATTTGTTTGAGGATGGTTCCTCTTCTTTGGTGTTTTGAATGGTCAAACTTCTGTATCCACTAAAAAGACCAGATCCTCTCTTGTGAGCATTTCTTATTGTAATATAAAGCCAATGCCTAGCAAATTTTTCAATTTTCTTCAGATCTTCAGCAGTACTTTTAAGATTTAACCTTTCAATCATGTTCATTCGTTTTGTTTTTTCCTCAAAGGAACTTTCCATTAACTGTATCATGCCTCTTCTCATTAGGAGTGCTTTTCTATTTTCCATAGCTTCAATTTCTAACTTGGATTTGGCTCTTTTGTAATAAACATAATTCTTAAAGGAACGAAGGGTTTTCTTGGCTAAATGTTTAGAGAAAGTAAACTCAGCCTTCTTGATTTTACATTTAGTATTCAATCTGTCATCCACTATTCCAAACCAATACTGAAATATGTTCTTGATTGAGTGATTCATTGTGAATTTTTCAGCTTTTTCATAGAGGCAATATTTCCTTCTCTTGTATAACATGTATGCGTAGAGTTGTTTCATTGATTTCTCTCTTTGAATTCTTTGATAGTGCATAACTGCTCTTTCATAATCAACTCTTCTTTGTGTTCTGTAATTTTGATAATCTTTCCATGATTTAAGAATTCTTTCCATCTTTTTTCTTTGTAATATCTTTCGTAGTTCCATAACTCTCTTATCTTCTTCATTTTGTTTGGCCTTTTTCTTATTTTTATGAGACTTTAGATTGGCTATTACTTTCAGTATAAGTTGCTTGTTTTTGGTTCTAATCAAATTATCAACAATCCTATTCTTTTCTGATGTTTTATCTCTCTCTAATTCAAATTTTGTCTAATTATTTCATCAGTAATAACTTCTTCAAACAACTTACCTTCCAATGTCTGAATGCCTTATACACAACTGAAAACGAATTAAAACTAATTGATTTGTTTTTTGATTCTTCTTTTTCTTGCCTAAAATTATTATACTAATCGATATTAGAAATATCATGGTGTTCAACTTACAGTTTTCAAACTTATAAAGGCTCTGCATTTGATACTGTGGTCATAAAATCGTTTAGCTTCATATTCCATATTGAGCATGAGATTTTTCCCATTTAATTTTTCTTTCCATTGAGAAAAAAACTCTTTTAAAAGAGCCTTTCTTTCCTTCTTTTGGATGATTGACTAAGCAATAAGTTATTTGAATCAATTTCCTTAATAATCAACATACCTCCAACTCCTTGAAATGGATTGAATTTGAACTGCACATTTTCCAATATCCAAAGAAATTCTTGACATTAGTATTTCTGTAATAAGTAAATGAGGTTTGCTCTCTGATTTGTTTTTGTTTTCTACTTTGCCAAAAATCTTGCAAAGCTTTAAAGTATTCTTGAATGTGACGATCTTTGAAGAAATTATCAGCTTTCATATTATTCTGTTCAATTGTTTTTCTTTTGAGCTCTTTGGCTCTATAGTACAGGGCAAGTGATTTCAGTGATTTTGATTTCAGATTATTATTGAAAAACTCCAGTGCCAAACATTCCTTGTTGTAATTTTCTTCTCCTATATACATTTTAATACTTCTTATTGTTTTAATGAATAGTTGATGTTGCCAGAAATGATCAGCTGCTGTGTCCTTATCCTGCATTATTTTAACTATCATATGTTAGTCCTTATTATTGTAATTGAAATATACTAACCTTCCTTAATTTTTCTTAGTGAGCCCTTAATGATTCTTCTATTTGCAAAAGTATCAGCTATATCAATAATTTCTCTTCTTTCTTTTCTTTGCAGAACAAATAATTTAAGAGATTTCAACACTTTGTGTTCCAATTTTCGTTTCAAAAAACTGTAAGCTCTATCTGTGTAGAGTTCTTCTCTTTCTCTCGATATTTCCAATTGAGTCAACCATTGATTGAAATAGGTTTGCATCAAAGTGAACTTTTGTCTTGTTTGTACAATAAATTCTTTTTTCCATAAATTATCTCTTTCCTCTTTTCTTCTTTTCCAATGTTGAAATGTTTTGAATATTAAAACGATATTCCTCTTATTTTTGGCCTTAATTTCATCCAATCCTTTTCTTGCAAACCATTTCCAATGATCAACTACTTTTCTTGCAAGATATTCATTCCTCGATTTGTTTTTTCTCCTTTCTAATGCAGCTTGTTTTTTCCTTGACCACTCATCCGAAAAGCTTTCTTGTTTTTCAGGTTGTATTGTTGGTTGAAATGGGAAATCGCCCAGTTTTCTATATTGTTTAGTGAGGGCACTTATTGAATCAGTCAACTTTGTTGGTGGTTTGATTACTACTTTTTGTTCTGTTGATGGAATATTTACAGGGGTTTGTATTATTGGTGATCTAATTTTCATTACTGAATCGCCATTGATATTAACTCGTTGTTGATGAAATATATTTCTTCCAAAAGAAGGGATCACAGATACTGTTTGAATATCTTCTTCCTCTTCATCCAAAGTTTCCGGTTCCTCATCATCCAAATTGTGATATCTAATAAGAGGTTCATTAGAAGAACTTCTATTATCAGGTATTTTAGAATTTTTAGATGTTGTATGAACGTTGTGTGCTGATTGTTGTCGAAGTCTATTATTGTTTGTCTGATGATTATTGTTTGATGTGGTTTTCCTAGTTGAATTTGTTGGTGGTTGTGGTGTTCGGGATGATGTCGATGGTCGTGATGATGAAGAGACAGCTTGTCGTTGAGGTAAATTACTCTGTGTAACTCTTCTCTGTTGTTGATTATTATTGACCCCAACAATAGCCAATGGTTTTGTTGTTGGTTGTTTGAGCATTTTTTAAGGCTAAATTTAAATTGTATTTTGAAGAGCGCCAAGTTTAGTGTGATAAAATACAACAACAGAATTAATATTCTAATACTGATAAACTTGTTCTATCTAATACTTAAGGATATCTTCACAGTAACAAAATGATTTCTAAGATTTAAAAATTCTTTTAAATAATAGAAAAGTTTCCCGCCAAATTCACAGCATTTCGCGCCAAGAAGAAAAATAATCACAAAAAAAAATATTCAAAAACGATCACTGATAAAGTGTATCACCCTAAGAATTAGTCGATTTCATCAAAAGGCTTTAACATCATCACCAGCCTAAATAATTAACATTACTAGATCGACGAACAAACAACAATTAATTTATTTATTAAACAATGAGCCAAACAACAAGTCAATCACAATCTAACGATTCAACTAATCACGGCAAAATCGTAAGAATTGAAGCAGAAAACTTTAAATCATACAAAGGAAGACAAATCATTGGTCCTTTTGATGACTTTACTTGTGTGATTGGTCCAAATGGTAGTGGTAAAAGTAACTTGATGGATGCCATCAGTTTCGTTATGGGTCTCAGAGCAACATATTTGCGTTCTTCACATTTAAAACAATTGATTTTCAATGGTGACGGTCTTGCTACACAACAAAATAGAACAGCCTATGTTAAATTGGTTTTTAAAACTTCTCCAGAGGATGAAGAAGAGGAAGGAGCCGAAGTAGAATTCACAAGAACTATTTCATCACAAGGTCAAACAGAATATAAAATTAATAAGAAGGTTGTGCAAGCAGCAGACTATGAAAAGAAATTGAAGAGCTTTGGTATTTTAACAAAGGCTAGAAACTTTTTAGTTTTTCAAGGTGATGTAGAAAATGTTGCTTCTAAATCACCACAAGAATTAACTAAATTATTTGAACAAATTTCTGGATCTGAAGAATATAAGAAAGAATATGATCGCCTAAAAGAAGAATATGAACAATCAAATAACAAGTTGATTACAAATTTCCAAAAGAAGAAGGGTATTAGTACAGAAAAGACTCAATTTAAAAATCAAAAGAAAGATGCTGACAGATTTGATGATGCAACAGCTGAACATACAGAACTCCAAGCAAACTTTGTTTTGTGGAAATTGTATCATATTGAAAAGGATATTCGTAAATATAAATCTGAATTGACCCGTCTCAACAAGGAAAAGAGTCACTTATCATCAAAGCAAGACACAACCAACGAAGAAATCAATGAAAAGAAAAAGGAAATGGCTAAATTGAAAAAACAAAACCTGTTGGCTACAAGCAAAGTTAAAGGACAAAAGGATGATGTCACAAAGAAGAGAGAATCTTTGGCATCATTGAAAGTTGAAATTAACCATTTGGAGAATAGTCTTAAAAATCGTTCCAAGTCAATGGATAAAAAGAAGAATCAATTAGACAAACATACTAAAGATGTTGAAAAATTGGAAGATGAAATTAAGCAGCTAGAACAAGAAAGAGATGAAATGGAAGCCAAGTTAAAAGAAGAAAGTTCCGAAGAAATTAAAATTTCTGGTGCTGATCTTGAGGAATATAACAAACGTAAAGTTCAAGCTAGTGAAGAAACTGTGAGTTTGAGACAAGAACTTTCAACACTCACTGGTGAAAAGAATACTCTCTTTGAATCTCAAAAAACTGTACTTCAAAAAGTTGAACAATTCGAAGAAAGAAAAAAGCAACTTGATGATCAAAAGAAGACCAACCAAAAGAGACTTGAAAAGTTGGAAGAATCTTTGCAAGCTTTAGAAACTGAATTAGATGAGAAGAATAGAAAGAAGGATGAACTCACCAAGTCAACTACTGAAAAGGCTAGAAAAAAGCAAAAATCCGAAGACGAATTACATCAAATTAGAGATAAGTTGAAAGAAGCTAGAGTTGAAAAGAGAGACAGTGAAAGAGAATTAAGATTCAAGGAAGCACTCGAAGGTATGAAACGTTTATTCCCAGGTGTTCTAGGTAAAGTTGGTGATTTATTCACAATCACCCGTGAAAAGTACAATGTTGCTGTTAATGTTGCACTTGGTAAACATTTGAATTCGATTGTTTGTGAAACTGAAAAGACAGCTTTAGAATGTATCAAGTATTTGAAAGAACAAAGACTTGGAAGTTGTACTTTCATTCCAATTGATTCTGTCAAAGCTAAGAAGGTCAATGAAAAGTTGAGAAAGATTCCAAACTCTAGTGCTAAACTTGTTACTGATGTTATCACATATGAAGATAAGGTTGATAAGATATTTAAGTATGCTCTTGGCAACACTATCGTTTGTGATACATATGATGAAGCAACATCAATTTGTTTTGATGATGATGCAGGTTTAGGTTTCAAAGTTAAAGGTGTTACCGTTGATGGTACTGTTATTAGCAAATCAGGTATGGTTACAGGTGGTTTGGCTGATGTCAGAACAAGAACTTCCAGATTTAAGGAAAGTGATATTGAAAAGCTTAAGAATGACAGAGATAAGCTTGTTTCAGATGTTCAAAATCTTACAAGAGAAGAAGCCTCTGATAGTGCTACTTTGTCAAGACTTGAAATTGAAATCAAACAACTTGAAGGTAAACTTGTTGTCAGAACTGATGTCGACTTTACAAAGAAGAAGATTGCTGATGTTGATTCTGAATTGAGAGATATTGAAAAGGAAATCAAGGCCGAAGAACCAACAATTAACACTTTAAGCACTAAGATTTCATCACTTGATAGCAGAATTGAAAAGATTGAAGGTGAAATTGCTGAAATTGAAGAAGGTATCTTTGCTGATTTATCTAAGAAGCTTGGTGTTAAGAATATTAGAGATTATGAAAATAAGAAGAAGAAGGCTGAAGAACATGCTGATAAGGAAAGATCTAGATTCGAAACTATGATTTCAAGACTTACCAATCAACTAGAATTGATCAAGAAGAGAGATATTACAACATCACTCGATAGATTAGAAAAGGATGTTGAAAAGGAAGAAAAGACCTTGAGTGAAAAGAAGGATAAGTGCAAGAAACTTGAAACTGAATTAATTTCTATCGAGAAAGACTTTAAGAAAGCACTTGAAGAAATGAAATCGTCACAATCTTCAGTAGATGACAAGACAACTGAAATGAATGAATTGAAGAAGATTTTACAATCTGTTTATGATGAACTCATCAAGTTGGCTAAACAAATCACAGCTAAGGAAAATCAAATTGAACAACTCAGAAATAGGAGACAAGAAATGTTCATGAAATGTAAATTAGAAGAAATTGAATTGCCATCCATCAAGGGTAAACTAAGTTCAACTCAAGAGTCTGAAGAGGAATCTGAAGAAGAATCCGAAGAAGAAGACGGAAAGAAGAGAAAGCAAAGTAAATCTGCAGGTAAATCTAAAAAGAAGAGAAAATACTCAGAAGGAGAAGAAGTTCAAGGAGAACTCAGATTCAGTGAGTCTTTCCCAATTTCTCAAACACAAGAAGAAACATCATCCCTCTCTCAAGAATTTGTCACTCTCGATTTCTCTAGCATTGAAAAGGAAAAGAGAAATCTCAAAGATATCAAGGAATATGAAGCCATTGAAAAGGACTTTGAAAACAAATTGCTTGAACTTCAAGAAGAAATTGAAAGATTAGCTCCAACTACAGCCATTGTTGGTAAATATGATGCCATTTCTAAGAAATACAAAGATACCCTCGAAGAATATAAGCAAACTAGACAAGATACAACTAAGATTAAGAAAGATTTTGAAGAAGTCAAGAAGAAGAGAAAGGAAGCCTTCATGAAAGCTTATGATAGAATTTCTCAATCCATTGATAGTATTTACAAAGACTTGACAAAATCTGACAAGACACCTGGTGGTACAGCCTATTTGTTATTGGAAGATACTGATGAGCCATACTTGCACGGAATTAAGTTTAATGCCATGCCACCTCTTAAACGTTACAGAGATATGGCACAATTGAGTGGTGGTGAAAAGACTGTTGCTGCTCTTGCTTTACTTTTCTCTGTTCACAAATATAATCCATCTCCATTCTACATTCTTGATGAAGTTGATGCTGCTCTCGACAATGTTAACGTTAATAAGGTTGCCAATTATATCAAACGTTCTGTGAATGGTCTAACTGATTTGAAGTGTCAATTTATTATCATTTCATTGAAAGAAAACTTTTACACTGATGCCAAGTCTTTGGTTGGTATTATGAGAGATATTAGTACCAAGTCCTCAAAGACTTTAACAATAGATTTGTCTCAATATGATGAACAACAAGATGAACCAGAAGTAGAAGAATAATTATTTGTAAAATTACTATTCAAAAACTTAAAAATTTTTATTATGCAAGTCAATTCGAAATTTTACTCGAACTTCAAAAAAGTTTGGCGCCAATAAATTAAAAAATATGAAAAGATCAGCAGTCTACATTATCAGTAGTGATGAAGAAAGTAGTGATGATGAAGCAATTCAATTAGTATCCTATAAAAAATCAAAACCATCATCCGATAAAAAACAACAACAATCAAATTCCTCTTCTATTACATCTTCATCCAAATCATCAACCAAACAATCAACCAATACCACATCAAATAGTAACAATATTTCAAATAATTCATCATCAAGTAAATCATTAAAATATAATGGAAATGAAATTTATTTTAACAAACTAGTTAATGATTCTAATAATTCTAGAAATTTAATTACTCTAAAAGAAATATTAAATATTGAAAAGGCTAAAAGTTTATTTTTATCAAGTTATTGTTTAGATTTTGATTTTTTAAAAACAATCATTCCATTTACTAAATTTGAATTACCAATTACTATTTCAAAACATTGGAATCAAAAAGAAGAAAAAAAAGGAAAGGAATTTCTAAAAATAGGATCATGTCCTGTTTGTGTTTGTCATCCTTCTTTATTAGGTGCTTATTCTAATATGCATGCTAAATTATTTATTATCGAATTTGATGATTTTATTAGAATTGTTGTTTCATCTGCTAATTTAACTGACTTTGATTGGAGCTTTTTTAAACAATGTATTTGGATACAAGACTTTCCTAAAAAGGAAAATATATCTAATAATAATACAAATCAATTTGAAAATACACTTGTTGAATTTTGGACAAAATTAACAGATGGTATTCCAGGTAATTTTTTGAGAAAATATGATTATTCAAATGCTAAAGGTGAATTAATACCTTCAATTCCTGGATATCATACAAATATAGAAAAAGATAAATATGGACATTTAGCAATTAAAAAAGCAATTGAAAGAATGAATTTTACTAAAAATGAAATATTAAATTTAAAACAATCACCATTATATTATCAAATGTCAAGTATTGGATCAATGAATTTAGATTGGATTAAAGAATTAAGTTCAAGTTTTTATTTAAAAGATTGTAATAATTTTAATATAGTATTTCCTAGTTTGGAAAGTGTATCTTCAAGTCATTTTGGACTTAGATGTGGTGGAATGATACATTTAAAAAGTAAAACATTTGAAACTTCAACATTTCCAAAACATTTAATGACACACTACTCACCAAATCAGGCAAATCATTTAGCACACTCTAAAATATTACTACATTTGGAAAATTTAAAAAATGGTTATATTTTTGTTGGAAGTCACAATTTGAGTCAACCTGCTTTGGGTAAATTACAAAAAAATGGAACACAATTATATATTTCAAATTATGAACTTGGAGTTATTTTTAAATTAAATAATTTTAATTCAGAAAATAATTTAGAAAATAATTCACAAGAAAAGGAAGTAAATAATGAAAATTTAGATAAATATTGTAAATTAAATTTACCATTTAAAATTCCAACCAAGAGAATGGATTTAAAACATGATTCACCTTTCATTTTAGAAACTGTTCAAGATTTATTAGATTAAATTGTAAAATATTTAAAAATACTATTATAAATTTATATAATAATTAATACAATTTTCCATCCATGGATGTTGCTGCTGCTCTTTTTAACAAACCTCCAAACAAAATTGCATCCATTAAAATATTTCTAACTTTTTTAAAAATAAATTTATTATTAAAAAAAAGGTGAAACTCTAACAGCCGAACAAGTTATTGAACAGCTTAATAAACATGAATAATAAGTATACTATTCTTAATAATGAAAAGAACAAGAAGTTGGTTCCATCTAGAGTAAATAAGAAGCAAGAAGTTCAGTTGTACAATGATATTGTTTATGAAATTTTATCTTTTCATAGTGATTTTCACTTTTTAATGAAAACAGGTTTATTAGTCTCAAAACAATGGTTTAATATTATTATGGAAAGAATAAGAAATTTTTCATTTACATGTTTTAGTTTAAAGAAAACTCAGCAATCACTACCTCAGCAATTATCACAGAATATTACTACTTTAATAGTAAATAATAATAGTCGTTGTAATGATATTGATATTAATAATTTACAATTTATTTGTGATAATATGAAACAATTAACACTACTTAAAATAGATTATAATAGAATTAATTTAGAAAGTGCCAAATATTTAACTCGTTTACAAAAGTTAAAACATATTTCTTTATATTCTAATTTGAAATTTGACGAGAAAGCATTGGATTATATTAATCAATTGAAAGAATTGCAATATTTAGGAGTTTACAAAAACAATATTCGTGTTAGTGGTGCTGAAAGTATAAGTAAAATGATTCAATTAACTAATCTTAATATTAGTTCTAATTTTATTGGATCTGAAGGTGCTTACTATATTAGTAAATTACCACATTTAACAATATTAAATATTTGTGAAAATAACATTGGTAGTGATGGAGCTGAACATATTAGTGAATTGAAACAATTAACAAATCTTAATATTGAAAATAATCGAATTAAAGATAACGGTGCTAAATGTATTGGTAAATTGTCTCAGTTAAAAATTCTTAATATTGCCAAAAATAGAATTACTTTTGGTGCTATGTATCTTTTAGCATTGAAACAGTTAACAAATCTTGATATTAGTAGAAATGATTTACAAGCTTTGGGATCCTTTTTCGTTAGTGAAATGAAACAATTAACAAATCTTGATATTAGCTTGAATAATATTGGAACTCAGGGTGCTTTAAATATTAATCAAATGAAACTAGTAAATCGTTATCGTTTTGATTGATTGGTTACTTTAAACAATAATAAATAATATTAGTAATAATTAAATAATATTTTAATAATCTTTATCATATAATTGTTAACAGAATTTTACACAAAATCTGTTCCAAATACATGTTATTATCTTTGTAATATTTTAACGTAAGTTTTGAATTGAATTGTAAACTCGTTTAGTAACACTTGTAAAAGTACCATCATCTATTTTAGAAATTGAAACTCTTTCTATTGACTGAACAGATGCTTTGAATTTTGATTGATAAACTTGTCCTCTCTTTTCAGTTGCAAGATTAAATGGTTCCATTGGTACATTTCTATGATTATTTGTAGTAGTAATAGAACTCTTGAGTGTTGATGAATTAAAATCTGGCATTGGTCTTGCCTTGAAAGAGTGTGGTAATTTTGGTCCAATAATGGTTGATGCTACACACGACGATGCTACAGATGCTGAGGAAAGAATTGAATCTTTAAATGATGATTTAACTTTTGTAATATTTGGTGAAACTGGTACAGTAACTGGTTTGTGTAAAATCTTTGATGTATCTACATTTGTATAGTGATGAATTGGTCTAGCTTTAAATACTCGTAATGTATTTTCCTTTTCATCTTTTTCATTCAATTTAGAATCTAATTGTTTCTTATGAATGGTTCCTCTATTTTCTGTTTCAAGTGAAAATGGTTGTGGAACTGTTATGGTATGAGTAATTTTGGGAATGAATGGTTGAGTTGTAGGTAATGGTCTAGCTCTAAATGTTACATTTGAATGTTGTGAAGAATTGGAAGTATTAGTTTCAGAGTGTTGGTGATGATTATGTAATAAAATAGACCTATTACCTGCTCTGGATTTTGTTAATAATTTTGGGGATTCTGGAATGGTTGTTGATTTTGAAATAATTTTAGATGATTGTACCATATAACTACCAGATAGAATATTATCTAATTTTCTAGCCTTGAATGGTCTTGTAAAATCGCTTGATTGTTGTTGAGGTTGTTGAGTAGTGATATTTGTCGATTCTTCTAATTTTGATTGATCAAATTTTCTCTTCTTACTTCTCTCTTCAGTCATTAAATTAAATTCTTGTGGATGTGTAATATCCTTCTTCATAATCTTTGATAATCCTAATTCACCATGACTTTCAAATATCTTTCTATTAAGTGGTCTAGCCTTGAATGTTGCTGTAGTCAATTGTGCATTTTGTGTCATCATTGTAGTATTAGTACGACTTCTAAATTTAGTTCTCAATTTGAAAGAATTTGGTTTTGTAATCTTCATTGGTTTATGTGGAGTAACCATATCTGGAGTTTGTTTCCATCTTGATGGTATTTGATTTCTCATATCATTAATCTTTTGAAGTATACTCTTATTGAATGGTGAATGTCCACCTGCTACCATTGCTGTACTTCTATCTGTATCTAATACTCTACTATCAGTTCTGAATTTGAATGGTTTAGGTGTTGTAGTATTTGCTATTTTAGTAACAGATTTAAATTTAGTAATATTATCATCTCTATCTTGTACTTTTAAGGTTTTCAAATCAGTGGATGGTCTTGAGGATTTTACAATTGTTAAATTAATTTTACCACCTTTCATAATAGATGATTGTTGTTGTGATTGATTATTAGATTGATTACTAGATTGATTATTTCGTTGTCTAATTCTCTTTTCAGTTTTAAAATTTGGAGTTTGAGGAATGGTCAATTTAGCCAACACTTTCCTTTTAACTTTCTTAACAGGTGTCATTCTAATAGAATTGAATGCATTAATTGTACCTAGAGTTGAATTAGTAGTTGCATTGTATTGTTGTTGTTGATTAGTAGATGATCCCAATGACTCTTGATGAACACTATATTTTGAAATGGTACTAATATCAACAATATTATCATAATTATTCATCATCATCATTTGTTGTTGATTATTAGTATCAGCCTGATTATTAATATCAATATATTTTGGATCGAGAAATTCTAAATGTTGAGCATCAGGAGTAAAGAACCATTGATCAGCATTACTATGATTTAATTCTTCATCTTGTTCATGTTGATGATGATGATGCGGAGGCTTAGATTGATGAGTAAAGGCTTTTCTAGAGAGTTTATCAAAGTCAAAGTATTTTGGAGCATTAAATTCCCATTCTTCTTCTATCAACTCAATCTCCTCTGAAGTGGATTCTAAAATATAGTCTTCTTGTTGTTGTTGTTGTTGCGGACCAGTAGTGTATGATGGAGTTGCACTGGACATTTTTTTTTTAGTTGTGATTTGTTTTGTGTAACGGATTGAATGATAAAATTTTGGCGGGAAGCAAATATTTAACGGATTTTCAATATTTAAAAACACTAAATAGTTGACTATTTACTTCCTTTTCATTTCCAAAGAAAGAATACTTTAAAAGACGTGCAGTGATTTTCAATAATAATAATTGTCTCTCCAGTCTTTCTGGCTGTAAATACCAAACTCAATTACATTTCAGCTAATAATGGGATGAAATCTTTGTGCAACGTATGATGGCTGTACGAAACAGAAATAAAGAAAGCAATGTATAGCCATATCCAACAATTTGTTTATGAAGAAAAGGCATTCTACTTGTTGATCATCTTTTTAATATTGTCGTAATTCACAACACATACTGACAAGGTTAATCTTTGTAAATCTCTAGTAAAGTTTAAAACAATGTAGAAATTATCTTCAGCATGGCCTACAAATTTCCAATTCCGTCCCCTAATTTCTTTAGTTATCACTTGTTTCAAATTGTCCTCTTCAAAGTCTCCAATACATAGCAAGACTAGCTGGTGGAGAATTTTTAAGCTTACCATCCCAGCGCTGGGATGGTCAAAACCAGCTAGACCATATCAAAAACTCGCGACTAAAAATAATCAGCTGGTAAAAACTGACTTCGCAGATTTCAGGTAGCCAAAAAACAATTTTCCAGTCTTGCTATGGAATCTGAATCAATAAAATTCCAAGAAGGGTAAACTTTTGTAAAATAGATATAGTCCCAAAAATCTGATTCATATAAATCTTCAGGCTCTACTTTTAGATAATTATAACCATAGAAACTTGTAAGCAGTTTTAGTTTTCTTCCCTGGTCTATAAAGCAGGCCTTATTTTTTAACCCTCTAATTTCAGGATAGTAAGTTGAGCTTGGGGTCTTCACCTTTCTAACATTTGATTCAAAACCTTTTCTGTTACAAACTTTCCACATTATAGAATAAGGATTAGCTTCTAGCTTTTGTTCATACTTTTTTGTTACTAGAATATATATTGAATCGCAAAAGATTTCAGACTCAAAATTGTGATCAATCACTTCATAACATATTTTAACTTCAAACACTGAAAACATTGAATATTTTTTTGAATCAACAAGTGAAATACCTTCTCTCATTAATGGCTTTGTAATATTAACACTATTAGTATCGAGAATAAAACAACCAGATCTCCAGCTTGATAATTGAATTGAAATTATTGGATATTCACCCTTCCTTGGAATGTATGGGTTATTTTTGTAATCATCAGTTTCACAAACAAATGTAATTTTGTAACCATCTTCCAGAAATAAAGTGAATAAATGATCATGACTCAATAGCATAGTATTTGTATCCCAATCACCTACTTTAATATTGTAATAATCCCTCTGCACTAATAGCTCTTCCATGAAAGTACAATCTTCAACCAATTTAACTTGATCAAATAGTTTGTCAATGAGAAGAAACCTCTTGATTGAGTGTTCTCTTCCTAATGATGCTATAAATAGATAAATAGGAAAAACTAGTTCAAAAACAAAATTTCATGCTGACGGACGGGATCGAACCGGCGACCAATGGCTTATTAGACCAACGCTCTACCGACTGAGCTACGCCAGCTTACATTCTTGGTAAAAAAACCTAAATAATTCTCTAATATAACAAATAATGTTTGGAAGTCATTTACAACACATTAAATATTATACCGACTGAGCTACAACGAATTAATTAAATAATATTTCAATCTTTTTCATTTTAGATTTTTCATATAAAAAAAATACAAAAATTTGATCAAAGATCACCAACTATTTCAATCACTCATTTTTGATCACAACTTATTAAAATAGTTATTAATGATGATGATGAATACAATTCCCCTTCTAATATTGGGAATACAAACGACACCAGTCTACGTTCCTCATTCCGATTTTATGCCCTCTCCTCTTCATCCAAATATCAATACAACAACAATTGATCGGTCGGTGAGGAGTGTTAGTTGTGGTGGAACTTTTTTTGTGGTGCGATTGTGGGATTCTATTGGTAATCAAGCATTGAATAATGCTGCTGCTGAAGAGTTGTATATCAAGTTTTCAACACCTAAAACAACTCAATCACCCTACTTTAAATCACTTAATTATGTTGTGATGAATGATGCATTTCGGAATGTGAATGGTGGTGGTGATACGAGTGTGGATGTGTTGAATAATGATAGTAATCCGTTTTATCAATTGGATTATCGATTGGCTATAGAAGAATTGAAATTGGGAAATTGTTATCAAGTGGAAAATGTGTTTTGTAATCAGGTATTCATAATATTACAAATGAGGAATAAGTTGATATTGGCTATTGAAAGTTCATCTGGAACTTTACACAAGTCAAAGAAATTTATGGATGATTCCAGTTTGGGGATTAAGGAAATTGTGAGTGGACCTCTTGCACTTCATATTCTCGTTCGTGGAACTGATAATATGGTGTATTATTTTCGTGCTGATGCTAGCTCGTTTTCAGAGGATCCAAAATTACATTTGGATTTAACAGAGAGGAAGTATGTCATGTCGGCATTGAGTGGGAGATCAACATTTGTAGTTTATGAAACTCAGGATCGAAAACATCAAATTCTCTGTCATGGTGATGATCAATTCCGTACACAAAATGGTCAAGTATCCAATGACAAGTTCACTGAATTGAAAACGCCATTTCAAGGAGAAAGAATTAATCAAATCAAATGTGGATATTTTCACACGGGAGTTTTATTGGAGAATGGAGATGTTTACATGTGTGGTAAGTAATTTTATTGCTTTCAAACTCATTCAAAATATGATGATTCAGGTTATAATACCTATTCACAATGTGGAAGTCATGGTCCAGATCAGTATTTCCAAAAGATTAATTTTCCATCATTCCCCTTACGACCATATCTGACATCAGATAGTCCCGTTTATGAAGGCAACTCTACAAGCCAACACAAATTCCAACCAAATAGAATAATTTGTTCCTCAATTGCAACAACATTTATCAATGATCATGGATTTATCATTGTTGGAGATTCTGCAAATTCCTCTTCGAAAAAGTACATATTTGCTGATGATGGTGTCAATATAGTCAACTGTATTTATCATGCATTTGGAAAAGAGGAAATGTTAAATAATTATGAAACGAATAGTGTCGAATGTGGTGGATGGCACTTTGTAGTCTACAATAAGAAGCTAATGGACAGCAAATGTCTCAAATATTTCAACGAAAATTTGAAAAAGATTGTTTCAACAGATGAAAATTGCTTTTCAGACCTAATTGTAAAATATTAAATTTATTGACTTGTAAATTTAATTGGAAATATTGCAAGACGCCATTATGAACACTAATCTGTAATAGCACCAATAACCTCCTCAACAATTGTATTCTTGTGTGTTGCAGTATAATTTTGTGAATTGGAAAATAAGTGATAATGATGTTTTGACATGACGATAATGAGAGATTTTATAAACTTCTTATTACTCACACTACCTTTCATATCACTCAATAACTTATTCTTCAAATCTGTAATAAATGATTCTGATTCAATTAGTGTATTTTTATCTATTCATTAACACACATTTAAAATAAAAATTAAATATATTGAAATAATTAAATATATTGTAACATACCTCTCCATTCAATTTTCTCAGTCTTGTTCTTAATTATTTTAAAACTAGTTGAATCATAATGGTATCCATTAAAACATGTCACTTCAAGTATTACATTCAATATTTCATTATTATTTGTTTTAAAATTACATTCTGAATAAATTTTCATTTCAGTTAAAATTTCTTTACTTTTTATGGAAACTGAAAAACCCTTCCTATCATTATCATTTAATTGTTTCCTTTTCAAATATTTTTCTACCTTTGATTTAGTATGAAACCATAATCACTAGTATCAAATTTTACTAATTTTCCAGAATATTTCATACAGAAATTTCGCAAATCAATTAAACTTTTCAAATATTGACTAGAATTGAAATGATTTGATTGTGATGGTTGATGAAATTGTATTCACAAGTTGTTCCATCTTTTTAATTCCATCTAATTCATAATGTGAATGACAATTTTTACGAATAGAACTCACATCATTCGCAGAATTATTTTTGGATGATAATAAATTAAAATTAACATCTTGTAATTGTAAAAATTGTAAAATATCAACTATTGCATATTTCTTTCCATTAAATTCATTAATATTAATATAGAATGAGCATGAACAAATCATTAGAAATGTAACAAAATCATTCAAATTCCAATTTGAAGGAATATCCAATAAGGAAAATACATTATTCAATGCTTCCTTATTATGAAATACTTTATCTGATTCATAAGTATCAGTTAATATCAATGTTTCCATTCCTTTTTCAGTGCTATTTGTCGTCAAATAATAATAAACATGACATGTATCATCTCTACTATATATAGTCTTGACATGATGTTGAAATAATTTCACATATCCATTTCCATCTTTTCTTTTTATAGATAATTCACAAACACTTCCTTGTGAATGACCTAATTTTACAGATGCCCAACTTGTAAATTTAACATTTTCATCCTTAAATAATTGTTTATAATTTTTCAATGTTTTTAAATTTTCATCTTCATCATCAATATAAAGATTCATCAGAGTGGAATGATTATTTGATATCAATTCATTATTTAATATTTGTGCATTTAAATGAAGTATACATCCATTAATAAATTGCATGGTGGATGGTTTTGTAGATTTTTCACTTAAATAATTTTTAATTAAATTTTTAAAGAGGAGAAATAGTTGAAATTGATATTTGCATTGATATTGTAAATGACTATTATATCCAATGTAGAGTTCATTGGTAAAAGCTGAATGAACAAGTCTAAATGATAATTGATCACTATTTGGTAAATACATGAAAATATTATGTAATATAATAGTATTTAACCATTTTGTAAAATGATAATTAGAATGTTGAATAATTAATACATTAGTATTGATAGATTGTGTTGAACGTTTAGAATCATTCAATTTTCTCTTCTTTCTATGGCGTTGACGAACTTTGTTTGCATAATAATTCAAATCTTTTTCTTCATCTTCATCTTCATCGGAATCTTCCTCATCTTCCTCATCGTCAGAATTTATACGACCTTTCTTTTCCAAATATCATCATCTTCATCATCGGAATCCTCTTCTTCATCTTCATCATCCTCATCCTCATAATAATCGGAATCGTCATCTTCATAAATATACAATTCCTTTCCATGTAATAATGCATTTCTAATTTTTTGAGCATCATCATCATCCCAATCCTCATATTCACTATTTTCATAATAGTGTTCGTCTGCATCAAGTAATATGCTCTCTAAACTTGATTCTTGCTCTTTTAATTCCTTTTCCCATGATTTAATTAGTTCCAAGTTAACTTGATGGGATGATGAATGTTCTGTTGTTTTGAAATGATCATACCAACAAGAATTGCCATATCGACAACAACCTTGCAACCAATATCTACAAACAACCATTTTTTTTTAAAATTTTAAAATGGTAATTATTTCATCTTCTTATGGAAATCTAATTTATTGAGGCAGAAAATTCGATTTCTTTTATTTGGAATAAAGTTATTGAACATGTTCTAGATTTTCCATTTCATCATCGGATTGATCGTACTGTTCATAAGGATCTTCTATTGTTGGAACAAAAGGTCCATCTAAGCTTAAATGAAACATGGAATAACGTTGAACGTCAGAAATATGAGGGTAGTTGTGTTTGTTACATATTTCCTTAAACAAACAAAGATATTCTTTTTCTTTCTGTGATTTGGTAAGATTTAACATTTGTTCAATTTTTTCAAGCCTTTTTGAGTTGTTGATGTTTAAATCTAAACTTTGTTTTTCCTTCTCCAATTCAGCTTGAATTATTTTAACGTTTTTTTCAAACACCAATGTCAATAATGAGGCAAATTGAGTATGGTAATTCTTAATTGCTTTTGCTATTGGAATATCAGGATGCAAGTATTCTAAAAATAAGCTTGATAAGGTATTGTTGTATGCATTAATACTAAATACATCTGATTTGGTAGTTGTAATAGGATAGCTTATTTGAAACTCAACTTTTTGTTGTTTTTTTAAAACCAATTGCAAAACACTGTTAAAATTGTGAATAGCATTGCAAAGCACAACATAACGTTCTTCACGTTCTAGAGGATCGAAATTTGATAACATTGTTTCACTGATACTTGAAAGCCTATGAGCTCTATTAAAGAATGCATGAGTAGTTCCATCACCATAAACAACAGGGCTTGCAGTATTACATGTAGACAATCTTCTGGCTACATATTGAGCAAACAAAGTTTCTTCACATTCATCTTCATAATCAGAAGTAATCATTAATAACAATCGGTCACCAATAGCCACCATCAATCTTTCTGCTTCACTTGGAAATATTAAATTAACGTCCGAAATGATTATGAATGAATCTTTGAGCAATTGAATTGAATTAATCTTATTTCCAAGATCAAAAAATAAAAGGCTAGTTATTATTAAATTGGAAGTGGTAAAATCTTCCAAAAGCAACTTGTTGCACGTATCAATTAATTCCTCAGATTTACCAAGAGAACAATAACAAAACGCCAATACCTGACGACATATTCTTTTCAAATTAGAATCGTTTGTTGTGTTCAATGTTGAGGTTATGGAGGGCAAATTAAGTTCTAATATCTTCTCACCACTCTCATTGTTCACTAGAGCTTGTAGATTTGATATTAGTGGTTGTATGTTGTTGATATTTGCATCAATGAAAGCAAGTTCTAAGGACTTCTCTAATTGTTCATCCTTCTTTGACATCTCATTCTCCGAAAGGTGTTTCATTGTGTTCATAGATACTCTTTTTACTAACACTTCAACACCCAACTCTAGAGTATTGAATAATAATGCTCCATAGTTTTGGTGTGGCATAAAGTTTTCGTCATACGAATAAAATTTGTTATGACCATCGGTACCAGAGTAGCTTGTCATATTTTGTTGAACTTGTATAAACCTATTATGTTTGTGAAATATTAGAAATCAATTTGGGTAGTTAATTGAATTTCAAAAGTATTATACAATGTACGTAAAATATTCCAATCCATACACCACCACTTGTTGGACTTAATAAATCAAAATGAATGTTGATTATTGCCAAATATTATACCACTACACCAATCCTGATGAGAGTATATTAATATCCAGTATCCATCCTAAACCACTTTTTGGATGTTGGTGAATAAAAAATCGGCAAAAAGCTAAATTGAACCAAAAAGCCAAAAACTAAAGCCAAAAATAAGTCAAGAAATTTCCACTAAAAAATAAACTTTTGAAAAAATACAATATTCCAAATTTATATCGAAAAATGTTGATTTATTGCAATTAGTATTGATAATAATCTAATTAATATTCGTAAAGTGATTTGACTGCATTCCTTGTTGACAAATGACAATTACTCAAACACGACACATTTTCAAATAATATTATCCAATCCGATGAGATTTATCCAAAAAGCCAAGCCCGTAAAAATTCAACCAGATTGCCCTTTTTAAAAAGCCATATCCAAAAAAAGCGGTTTGGGATAGATATTGGATATTAATATACTCTCATCCTGATTACCAAAGGAAAGACATTGATTTATAAATATTGCAATATTAGAATTACATCTCTTATTATTTCAAAACACTCTCACATCCTTCATCCTTTAAATAATATTAAATTGTAAATATATTATTAAATAATTATTGAATATACTTTTAATAAACATACCATGAGTTGGAATTAAATCCACACATAAATTGTATCAGTGTAATGTTGTTGATTCTGATTGACATGAGGAGATTGTCCATTAATTGATAATATAAAGTGTTAACAACATAATAATATTATGACAAGAAGCAATGATGAAGTAAATTGCATTTTTTTAATAAATGAAAGTTGATGATGCTTACAACACACTATCCAAATATATTCAATAATTCATTACAACTTGGTTCTCCACATTCCATTTCAATTCCAAATTCAAATTGACTGAATTCCAACTAAATTTAAAAAAAAATGCAAAATCCCAACCTTCTCTATACCAACTATTTAATCTGTGTTATGGTAGGCCTTCGTGGTAGTGTCGTAGAATGTAATAAATTTGTGGAAAGTCTTGGCAGTTCAATCATTTCCAAATCATCATCTCTTCTCTCCTCTCAAGAATCACTCTTTCTCAATAGTTCATTCCTATCAGAACAACGTCGTCGTCATGGTGGTGGTGGAGGTGAATTTAAATTCAGAATGAATCAGAGAATTGCATTCCTTCAAGGAAATTCATTCACTCAATGGTCCAAGAATGATTATTTTAAAAATGTTAAGGAATTTAATTATGGTACTTTTGAGAATGGTGTGAAAGAATTCTCGAGAGCAGATCAACTTTACATTTTGAATGAGAAGGAACAATTGGAATCAGGTGGATATGAAGCGATTTTATTATCATGGAGTAAAGTTGACATGTCATACAAGAGAGAGAAGGTAATTGAGAATTTGAAAAGGAATTTTAAAGAATTTGAATGAACCATTGTTTTATAAAAATAACAGTATATTACAGTATGGTTTTGCCAAAGAGTTGCATACCGACTCTCAATTTCAATACCAAATGAAGGAAGATAAAAGATTCGTAATCGGTCAATTTCATTAATTTATTGTTAATAAATCTTTTAAAAAGTTTGGATCATTTTCATTACTATTTGTCTGTCTATTATTATGTAAAGCCAAATTCATTCCATTATTATCACTTGATGTTCTTTTTAATTTTTGATGTTCAAATGATAATAAAAATTCTCTCTGAATATCTGTAATTTCCACTTGATTTAATAAAGTTAAATCTGAACTACTTGAAACAATGATTTGATCTCTCATTTTATAAGAATCGCATACAGAATTTCCAATTAAATTTAAAGAGTGTAATTGTCTATTACTTTCTAAAATGAATAAAATTTGATCCATTTTATCAATTCTGTTTTTACTCAAATCCAATTCAATTAAATTTTCTAAAAATCCAATAGAAAGTGAATCTTCAATCTTGTTATTACTTAAATCCAATAAAGTTAATGAATTTGAAAGTGATTTCATTGAATCTGAATCTAAAATCATTGAATTTTCAATATCTTGTTGTTGTAAATGTAATTCTTGTAGTTTTTGTAATTTTGTTAAATTTTCAACAATTTTAATTCTATTATTATTTAAATATAATTGTTGTAAATTAACCAATTCATCCAATCCTTCAATTTTTTCAATTAAATTGTGATGTAAATGTAAATGTATTAATTGTTTGTTATTATTTAATCCTTCTATTTTAGTAATTCTATTATCATATAAATATAAAACTCTTAAATTTGGACAATGTTCTAAATTAATAATTTTAGAAATATTACATGAATCAAAATGTAAATGTGTTAGTGATTTTAAAAATGATCGAATTGATTCACCTGATTGAATTTTTTTAAGTGATTTTTTCATTATTAATTCTCTCGATATATCACCTTGTTTAAATACTATATTAGTTTCATTTTGTGTTTTTTGATTTTTTAATTCTTCCTTCTTTTTTTCTTCTTCAATTTCTTCTTGTTTTTTAGCTCTAATTTTAATTTCTAATTTTTGTACAAGTGTTGATGTTTTTGAAGGTAATTTATCCATTACATTTAAATCAAATAATTCCTTTCCCATTGATTTATGCATTATTGCTAATAACTCAATACATGAATCTTTAACTTGAACTGTTTTATGTGTTAAACATTCATTTAAAAAATCTAAAAATTGAATTGAAACTTCTAAACTACTATTATTCAATCCATGTTTTAAAACAAGTGATTCTACAAGTGAAATTCTACCTTGAATAGCTTTAGGTGATAATGGTTTACCTGAATTAATTGATAGTAATGCATAATTAAATACTAATTTAGAAATTACTTTAACTGTTGACATTTTTGTTACTGCTTGTATAGCACTCTTAGAGTTTCTTTCATTTGAATCAATTACTTTAGTCATCAATAATGGTAATATTTGTGAAAGACCTTCTTTTAAATGTGTTATATTCTTTGCTTGTTGTACTGGTGCTGATTCAACTAATAAAATACATGTTGAATATGCTAATTGCACTATTTTAATAATTTTATCAACTAGTGTCATTCTTAGAATAATAGCAAGTACTTTTAATACTCTTGTCTTTTCAATTGGTAAATTTACACTTGGAAAAATCATAAATCCATGTGGTAAATTAGATGATTGATTAATCCATACATTTAAACGTGTTAGAAATTCTTCTCTTTCTTGATGTTTACTTGATATTAATAATAGGTACATTTCTTCGCCACACAATTCTTTAATTAGTTCAGCCTCTTCTTCCTTACTTAGAACTGTTTGAAGAAGATTTGATGAAGATGAAGCAGATGAGAGTGCAATGGATGAACTTGTTGATTTGATTGAGTTACTTGTTGTACTACTAACTGTTGTGGCAGCACTAGTCAATCTCTTACTGATAGCAGCAGAAGAGGAAGAACTTTCAACTCCACTTCGAGTAGTGAGTTGTGTTCCAGAGGATTGTTTTGTGAGTGGTGTACTACTTTTAATTGGTGCATTGTTAGCTTGTCTCTGACTACTTGTACTATTGGCTGATGATGAAGATGATTTTGATGATTTAGGTGATGTATTTGAAGGCTTACTATTGGTTGTAGAAGTAACAACATTATTTGTTGTAGAATTAGTGGTAGGAGAAGATGAACCACCATTTGAAGTTGTATTAGTTGATGTATTTGAGTTTTGTTTTCCAACTCCAACAACATTGAATGATAATTCTCTCCTATTAATGTTTTGTTGTTGATTGAATCCACGTGGATTGTTGGAGGACATTTTTTTACTTTGAATAAATTGTACAAAAAATGGCGGGAAATGTGTTTTGCATGATTGCATCTAATTGGTTATCAAAATATTAAAATTTATATATTTGGAAATTTAAAATGATATTTAAAGGTTGATTGTTGTAACAAGAAAGTAAAAAATTACAATTTCAATTTTAGTAAGGATTACTGCTAGTAATATTTATCTAAAAATTAGAAATACATTATACATATTTCTTGCAATTTAAAATTTAATTAGAATGATCAAGATTTTTGCAACTACTGTTAATATCATTGTAATGATAACAATAAAGAGTATTAAATAGTATTGAAAAGGAATGAGTAATATATTATATTAATAACCCATCAATACATCCTCAATTGTTTAATACATTTATTCCTTATCTTCTATTTCATTCTTAGAAATAAACAATCATCTCATACTAATTTAACACTGTACAAAAAGTCCCTCACCACAGTACATGAATATTCCTTTGTTGCGTTTCTAATTAGAATCCAAGTTCGTACTTCAATGGATGACGAGCGACACAAGCCTTTCAAAGTTACTGTGAGGCGCAGAGATTGTGACCTCCAATAAGTACGTAGCAAGACAGTGTTTATTTATTTTTAAAAAATATTCAAACACATAACAATTAAAGGTTAGTACTCAAGCTTGCTAAGAAAATTTTAGGCTAATTGTTTTATTATTCATTCATCATCATTTGCTCTCTACATGATGACGATCAATGATAATTCATTATACTCTTCTACGAATAATATTTTAACAACAATAACAAAATCATCATCAATGATTAATCCTTGGTACTAATTATTGTCAAATGATATTATTAAATATTCATCTTCACTACTATAATACTTCCAAATATTTATAATATATTTAAAATATAGATGAAGAAACTTTGGGTTATTGGTACACAAACAATTAAAACAAAACTTGGTAAAGCTGAACAAACTGAAGATGAAGAATTTTCCATTCTCTCTAACAAGTTTAAATCAGCAGAAAAGGCTTGTGAAAATTTTGTTAAACATTCTAATCAATTGATTGAAAATTTCCATGCCTTTTCAACAACATTGGCCTTTTTAGCAGAAGATTTCCGTGATGTTAATACTCAAGGATCAGCTAGAATTGAACAAGCAGGTATGGTCTTGGAAAAGGTATCCAAATCTGTTGAAACTAATTGTGTTCTTCCATTCCAATCCAATGTAACACAAACCGTTGTTAATCCTGCTAACGAATATTTTGTTTTATTCGAACCTGTTAAAAAGATTTTTAAAGAAAGAAAAGATTTAACACTTCAATATGATTATTATAGACAACAAGTTGAAAAGTTAACTGAAAAACAATCAAAGAATCCACTTGAATTACCAAAGGCTAAAGAGAAGATGAATACTTTTAAAGAAAAATGGGAAGAAGTTAATATTATGTGTAAACAACATATTTTAGAAATTTTGGAAAAGGAACAATCTGTTTATGAACCTGCTATACAACAACTTTGTGCAAATTTAATTGAATGGAATTCAGCATTGTCTCAAACAATGTTAGAATTGAAGAATCATTCTTCCACTTTAATTGTTTCACCTGTTCAAAGTAGTTCATCCTCCAGCACTGCTAATAGTAGCGCACATATTCAACCAACTTCATCTCAAAGCAAGTCTAGAAGTGCAAGTGTTATGGTTTCACCTAATGTATCATCATCATCATCATTGAGTATTCCAAAACAATTTGATTGTGAATGGTTCTATGTTGATAGTAATGTTGAAACTCAAGGTCCAGTTTCATTCAAGGCTATGCAACAAAAATTCAAATCAGGTGAAATTCAAAGTGGTACCCATGTTTATGGTGGTGATTTGAGTGATTGGGTTCAAATTAGAACTGTTGCTGGTCTTGAAGCTGCTCTTAAACAATAATTTTATTCAATAGAGAAAATGATTGTATTTTTATTCTAATAATAAATTGTATTATTTATTAATTTAACAATAAACATGAAAATTTTAATACTAACATTGATGATAATAAGAATTTGAATCTCAATGAATTTGGTCACATATTTTTCATAATTCTTGAGGTTATGAGTATCTGGAAGTGGGATATTTCTTAATCCGCATAATCCAGAGTACTAATTTTACCATTTCCTTGGAGTGAGACGTATAATTAACTGAGATATGTTCATTAAGACTTACTATTAAATAGAATCATTCTTATTAATGTTCAACCATTCAAATTGAAAATCAATTATATTGAAATGATTATTAATTAACCAATCAAAATTTTCAACTACACCACAAATGCAACTGGTCTCTAGTTTACAACAAGAATCATTCCGTTGCTTAAAACTCCGTCTTGGTTTTTAAAAAAAAATCTCTCATCATTCTCTCCGTTATTATCATCACAACAATAACAATCTATAATCTATTATTATTATTATTATTATCAATCATTAAATAACAACAATTCTATTCGTAGTAATATATTTAATTATTATTAACTTTAAATGATGGAACAACAATTAACAACTAAAGAATTAATTAGTAAATATTTTTGTCAGGGCATTCCACAAACTATTTTACCACCTGCACTCAATTATAGTGAAATGAGAGATTCTACTGTACCTCATGCACCTATTAAAAATATAAATCTAATTCTTCCCTCCAAACAAGATCAACAATTGGCCATTAAAAATGCACTTCGTTATTTTCCTCAACATTTTCATAGAGAATTGGCCAATGAATTTGCCTATGAATTAAAAACATTTGGTCATATTTATATGTATAGATTTAGACCATCACGTTTTTTAGAAATGAAAGCCTATTCATTATCAGATTATACAAATAAGAATAATTGTGAACAAGCTTGTGCAATCATGTTAATGATTTGTAATAATTTAGATGTTAAAATTGCACAATATCCACATGAATTAGTAACATATGGTGGAAATGGAAGTGTTTTTTCAAATTGGGCACAATTTTTATTAACCATGAAATATTTAAGTGAAATGAATGAAAATCAAACACTTACAATGTATAGTGGTCATCCAATGGGTTTATTTCCAAGTTGTCCTGAAAATCCACGTTGTATTATTACAAATGGATTAGTTGTACCTAATTATTCATCACGTGATGATTATGAAAGATTATATGCTTTAGGTAATACTATTTATGGTCAAATGACTGCTGGTAGTTATTGTTATATTGGTCCACAAGGTATTGTACATGGTACTACTCTTGTTGTTTTAAATGCAGGTAGAAAATATTTAAATTTAAATGATTTAAGTGGAAAGGTTTTTATTACATCTGGTAGGTTTTTATTTTTTTTATTAATATTTTAATTAATATTTTTATTTAATATTTTAATTAATTTTAATTAAATTTAAATTTAAAAAAGGACTTGGTGGAATGTCAGGAGCACAACCTAAAGCAGGAGTGATTAGTGGATGTATAACAGTAGTAGCAGAAGTGAATGAATTAGCATTAAAAAAGAGATATGAACAAGGATGGTTATTAGAAAGTGTTGGTAATGATTTAGAAAAATGTATTGAAAGAATTAAACAAGCACGTTTATTAAAACAAGTAACATCAATTGGATATTTAGGAAATATAGTTGAATTATGGGAAAGATTAGCTAATGAAGATGAATTACTTGTTGAATTAGGAAGTGATCAAACATCACTTCATAATCCATATCAAGGTGGATATTATCCAGTTGGTTTAACATTTGAAGAATCAAATCAATTAATGAAAGATAATCCAAATGAATTTAAATTAAAAGTATCAGAAAGTTTAAAAAGACAAGTTAATGCTATTAACAAATTAGTTGAAAAGGGAATGAAATTTTGGGATTATGGTAATTGTTTTTTATATGAAGCTAATAGAGCAGGTGCTGATATTTGTAATCAAGATGGTAATTTTAAATATCCTTCCTATGTACAAGATATTATGGGTGATATATTTTCATTGGGTTTTGGTCCTTTTAGGTTTGTTTTATTTTTTTTATTTTTTAAATTTATATTTTATATTTTAATTATTTTTTAATTTAATTTTATTAATTTAATTTTAATTTAATATTTAAAAAGATGGGTATGTTTATCTGGTAATGAAAAAGATTTAGAAGAAACAGATAAAATAGCAGCTCAAGTGATTGAAAGATTAATGAAAAATCCATCACTTGGTGAAAAATCACATTTACAATATCAAGATAATTATAAATGGATAGTACAAGCAATGGAAAATAAGTTAGTAGTTGGATCACAAGCAAGAATATTATATTCAGATATAGAAGGTAGAGTTGAAATAGCCTTAGCATTTAATAAGGCAATTAGAGAAGGTAAAATTAGTGGGTCAATTGCATTAAGTAGAGATCATCATGATGTATCAGGTGCAGATTCACCATTTAGAGAAACATCAAATATTTATGATGGTAGTAATATTACATCTGATATGGCAGTTCATACATTTACAGGTAATTCAATGCGGGGTGCAACATGGTGTGCTCTTCATAATGGTGGTGGTACTGGTTTTGGATTGGCAATTAATTGTGGATTTGGTTTAGTTTTAGATGGATCACAACAATCAGATGAGAGAGCTAGAAATGTTTTATTTTGGGATGTTGCTAATGGTATTGCTAGAAGAAGTTGGTCTGGTAATGATAATGCTTTTGAAACTATTCATAGAGCAATGCAATTCAATTCAAATTTAAATGTTACCATTCCAAATCATTGTCATTTAAATGATAATGATTTTAATTTATAATTATTATTATAATTATATTTAAATTAAAAATATAAAGTAAATATTTAATATTTTAATATCAATGATATTTAATTACTAACTATTAACACTACAATTATTATTGAATCATAATGATGATTAAAATTTTTAAATATTCACATTTATTTCATCCTAATAGTATCAAAATTTTTTTGGAAAGTGGGCTACATATTCATAATTTGTTATTCTTTGCAAAATATCACACGCACCAAAATTCATACCATCATTATATGGAGATGCTAAAAATGTTCCTGTATTGTTGGCAACAAGTATTTGTAAATTTGGAAATAATGGTTGCAACCACCATTTATGGTTATTATCCCGATTATTACGAACCATTAAAGTTTTCAATTTTGGTAAATTTGATATTTGAAAGAAATTTAATTGTTTCAAATTATCTGAATAAATTGAAAGTGTAGTTAGTGAATTAAAAGTAAAAGATGTTTCACTTTTATGTTCCAATCTAATGTAAAGATATTCTAAATTTGGTAATTTACAAAGTAATTTCAAATCAGTTGCATAAATATTATGAGAATGAAATGTTAATTCTCTCAATGTTAATATTTTAGAAATGTGATGAAATATCCTATAATTTTCGACAGGAATTCTAAGAATTAATATTTCTAAATTTAATTGACTCAATTCAGATAAATCTAAATTATGGTAAGATCAAAACAAAAAT